TTTAATCTTATTAGTCCATATTTGGGTGGAGAGTCAGCCCTTTACCATGATGACTCTAGAAGAGCTTGCAGGTAGCAGGCATGCAGAGATGGCAACACTTGAACCAGCTACCGATGCTCAGGACGCTAAGAGCCAACGGTCCAAGATGCGTATCGAGTTCTGCGATTCGGTAGCGAAGAGAGCTCGAGTGATCACTCAAGAATTAATTTCCAACCCAAATTGGATGGAGAAGTTCGACGATGACCGACCGTCTAAGGTTCACCATCGTCTCGAAAACGTGGACAGTGAACCTGACTCCCATCCCTTAAACGGCCTTCTCAATGCTGTCCAAAACCTAATGAAAATTCTTCAACAATGTCGAGGCACTAAAAACACGGGCCCACTCTTGGTGATCGTGTTCGACGAGGCGTCAAGCTTAATGAGAATGCGGCCGTCTGACCAACCCAACATCGGACTCTATGTAGCGCTCAATCGAGTCATCAGTTGTCTGAAGAAGTTTCGTGCGTGGTCTTTCTTCCTCTCAACAGAATCTCTCATCGGATACCTTGTACCGCCGAGCAATATCATTCGAACGGGCGATTATCTTCTGGACCCCTCCGCTCGTATCAGCTTTACAGAGACCAACACCGAACTGATGCGATTTTCCCCCTTTGTGAGTCTCCAGCTCGACGTCGAGGACAGACGAAAGATGCAGGATCCAAAACTAAGGAAAAAGGAGCTCCGTAAGTCGTTAAAGGAATTTGCAAAGCTAGATCATATGGCCCAATTCGGCAGGCCCCTCTGGTATGCATATGCAAAGGAGAGTCAGGGGATGATCGAATTGGCCAAATTGAAGCTCATTGGTGGCCAGCAACAGGGGTATTACAGTTCTGACGACCCGAACCACGTATTTGCCGCGCTGTCCTTCCGTCTCTCTTTGGATGTCTGCCTGCAGAACCCCGTCACCATCTCTCTCACAAGGACTGCGGTGAATTCTTTTATGAGGGTGGTCATATCCATGGACCACGAGACCGGAGTGATGGACACAATGACGCCATCAGAGCCAGTCTTGGCTAGAGCAGCTATGGAGCATCTCTGCAGCGACAACTGGTCGGGTAGTATTCAAACACTCTGCAAGGAGCTTCTTGAGAAAGGATTGATAGAAAAAGGGCGCAAAGGAGAACTCTATGCTCGGTTAATGTTAATTCTGGCACACGACTGGGTTCGATGGGCTCGACAAGGTCATACGCCAAAATTTGCACCAACCTTCACGGTTTCCGACTTTCTCCTGGTATTGTATGCTAAGGATCATCACGATTTAATTAAAAAGATGCCTAAGCGGATACTCGAAGCCAGAATGAACTTTACTCATTTTCTACCAACTGATTCAGCACTTACCCCCGAGGTCATCCCTGGATTATGTCGCGACCTGTTACGCCGAAGCGCTGCGATGCAGCTATCTTGGTGCCAGGAAACATACGATCTGCTCATTCCCGTGTACTATGGCACGGAGGATGAGGAGTTCGACCCATCGAATTGTGGAGTCATCGCAGTACAGGTGAAGAACAAGAAGGATGCTACCACAGTGAGAGAGATCTTTCGAGAGGACTTTATTAATGTCGACCAGAAGTCGAATTGGGACCAATCGAAGGCAGAGAGTTCTAAGCGCGAGAGGAAAGATTCTGAGCGCGAGGGGAAAGACTCTAAGCACGACAAGAAAGGTTCTAAGCGCGAGCCGACGAAATTTGTATTCAATCAGATGAAGAACCCTATCCTGTGCCTCCTCTTCGATCTAGGGGTAGTCAGAAGCAGCAGGACTTACACCCCACTTGTCCAAGTGATGCGGAGCGAAAGTGGACAGCAACCTGATTTGTGGGCGATCCATTCGCGAGGACACGACCGCACCATCTTTGGCTGCTTAGAGCATATGAAGACTACAGATTCGAGCGAGCGGTTCTTTGCTTCGATACAAACGAACGAAACTCTGGCTGACCGACTCTCTCGGAGAAATAGAATGTTTTCTCAGCTAGAGGAAGACTACAGATATGAAGGATTTGAGCAAGAAGGGGGGGACGAGTTCGGGAGGGAGTGAGGCCAGTGTACAGAAACAGAGTGTGGATGAGGCAGGAAAAGAAAGCGGAGTGGTTGATATCGAAACTCAAGAAGGGGAAGCAAGCGGTACTCGATCGAAGGGAAAGGAAGTGGAAAGGCTTGGCTTTAGATATGAAGGATTTGACCAAGAAGGGGGAGCGAGTGCGAGAGGAAGTGAGGCCAGTGTGCAGGAAGAGGGCGTGGATGAGGCTGGAAAAGAAGGCGGAGTGGTTGATATCGAAGTGCAGAAAGGGGAAGCAAGCAACATCCGGTCGAAGGAAAAGGAAGTGGACAGGCCTACGGATAACCGGTTCAGGAAAAGAGCCCGCAACTTTGCCAAAAATCATCTCCCGTTTCGGAGACGCTCGGAGGAAAAAGGCTGATTGCGTCACAACTTCGACTCAGTTGCGCTTCAGGTTTGAATGGGCTATTTGCCTCTTTGGCTTGATAGAAAGGATCGGTGATTGAAGCAGAGTGCGAATATTTGTACAGTGTAGACCTTCGGCGGGATCGTGACGCTTTTTAAGCATTGTTAGTGGATAATTTTATTCATGTTCATGCTTCTCTTATTAGTCCAGCGAGCAAATCTGCTCAACGGATACCTCTCACTCAATCTAACGAGCAAATCTGTGTCATGAAGTTGCTCACTCGAGGTCCGCTCGGGACAGTGCATGCGCATCCATTCCGAGGTCGAAAACACCGCCAACTCGGCCGAAAGCCCATTATAGCCAGGGTGGTAAGTCAATCCACCATTTCAACCGGTTGATGAAGCTTGTTGGATAGAGATGAGAGGTTTCCATAGGCGACGACGTTACAGACGGTTGCTCTGTGCAACGATATAGCATTCGTGTGTCTATAAAAGGAGTCTCAGGACCTCGACAAGTAGATAGAAAACAGAGCACTCCTTCATCTCAAGTTGCACAAAAGTTTGACAAAGCTTTTTCTACACTCTGACACCCCCCCTTATCAATTTTGTTCACGTGACTTGAGTCGTCGCTGATTGGTCGACGAAATCGATGCTCATTGGTCGAGAAAAATCCTAAATCCCGTCTCTAATACGGAGGCGTGCTCCAAATGTTGTTACAGTACGCTAATGCCTTGAATAGTATAGTGGCAACATTCGAGCGATGACTTCAAAAGACAAACGACTTTCTAAAGGCTCTAGGTAGAAGGCGCCTAACAAGAGCCTAAAGGTGCACTAAGCCATCACTATAATTATTGGATTGGGCTGAGGTTCATAGGCCACTCTAGGCGTCACCATACCTAAAGAGGAGGAAAACTAATCGGCTTTTGAAGTTGTCGCTCAAATGTCACCACTAGATCCCATCAGGAGTTAGTGTACTGTGGAGCACGCCTCCGTATGGTTATGTAGATTCGATAAGGCAGGTGGTTCACATACACGCAAACAAAATGAATATTAAAAGAAAAGGGCCCCCCTCCTATAGTCCATCTCTGACGAACTCATAGATGGGGCGCCGCAGCCAGTGAAAGCTTCAGCCACACAAGTTCAACTGCAGAAGAGTTTGAATCAGTGACCTCCCAACGGTATGAACAAGACGACATCATCAACAATCACTGGCTGGAGCATTACGTTTACCCATCTAGGGCACCTAGAAAGCTAGGCCGGACAACCCTCTTACCTTACCTATGATCGAACACTAGTAAGGCCCCTCAATTCTATCGGTTCGACTGCAGCCCAAGTGTTTTACCACTCGGTTACGTCCTTGATAGGTCAACCACGATTTGGTGTCAATTTTGAAGCAGTTTCTGCTGGAGTAAAATATAAGCCATTTTTTTTTTTGCTTTTTTAATTTTTGGAATCGCCTGGTTAGGGCTTGGCGTTGTGTGGCGACGCCAAGAGCGACGTGCTGGCCAATCACGAAAGCATATGGCTTGGCGTTATCACGTGAGCACGTAGGCATGTGGTTGTAGCGGCGGGAAGAGAATGTATGAACTATCTGCTGGGGGTGGCCGCTTTACTTATATATATTCCGTAAACGAATGTAGCTTAGCGTGAGCCAGAATCCTTGGCAGAAATCCACAGGCACTCCCCCTTGCCGCCCCGTCATCGGATCCAATCCGTGGACCATGTGGCCGGGGGATCCTACTCGATAGACGTCGATATCGACATGATCCACCGATCGGATCCAGTCTGTGGACCACTCAGAGACGCTCTATCGATCACACTCGGCATGGTTCATGGATTAGATCCGATAAAACACCACCGCCACAGGATCCAATCCATGGATTATGGGGCACTCTACACGATAGAAGTCGATATCGGCATGATCCACCGATCGGATCCAGTCTGTGGACCACCTCAGGCAAGCTCTACTGATCACACTCGAGATGGTTCATAACCGAGCGTTAACGAACGAGCCTCGATGTCGAGATGATCCATGGATTGGATCCGATGGGTCGTAGTATTTCACCTCAGACAAGCCCCTACCGATCACTCTCGAGATGGTTCGTAACCGAGCGTGAACGGGTCAGCTGAGCCTGCAAGTTGTGCAGCCGGTGAAAGTCGTGGTAAGGAGACGGCCTGCGAACGACTTTACGGGTCCGAGTTTCAGCCAGCGAGTCACGTGTGAACCGGCGCGTCAGTGTTTATCATTCCTGAAATGTAAACATGTGCCAACTCCATTAACCATAGCAAATTCATACATTGAAGACTCTACAAACTGCATCTGTACTGCATATCAAGGGCTGGAATGATACAAGACGCGATAATCTGACGTAAACGGTATCTCACACTCTACTGGATATTTAGCGTCCACAAGGTGCAACCTACTCAATGGGAACTGAATTACAAAATGGTACGCTCCTCCCCATGTGAATACGTTCGTGGCTCATCAAAAATAGGCAACCGTTCCTTCCGTTCCACGGTTCGCCCACCATTTTCACTTTCTAAATCTGAATCCAAAACAAAGATGTCCGCCACCACTACCCAGCCCAAGAATACGAATCTATCTCGAAGGTCGAGACGAGCTCACCCGTCAGGTTGCCCTCCACGATTCTCTGCAGACAAAATCAAGGAGACCGACCCGTATAGAATCGAACTGCTTTGGCGAGAAGTCATGGCACCCAAGACCCCCTCATACGCACGCCAGACGAGATCCAGCAACTTAACGAGTCGGAATCCCTCAAACACGCCTGGTCAGACCGAAGAGACTGACAAATGAGATTTCGAACATTTTCTCGACACCTATCTCTAACAAAGATAGTCTCAGAAAGCAGACAGTCAAAAATGCCACAGTCCGAGACGTTGACTTCGAAGAGACTCAGTTGATTCCGCGCGGAGTTGAGATGCTCCATTCACATCAGAACATCGTGATAGGAGCTCACGCTTATTTCGACTCGGACACACCTCCGGACCCAGCTCAATCACGCGAATTCTACCTATCCATCATTCATACAACCCTTGCAGGAAGAGCTGAACGGGACATAGACAATTCGATATTCCTGCCGACGGACGCCAACTTTATCAAGTCTCTGCACAGGGCCTATCACAGAATGGGAGTGTCAGGTGTCTCGGAAACTGAGTTCAAGGTATTTGCTTGGCAGAATCTATTCATCGGGCAGCACGTGGTCTTAATGGATGATACTGAAAGACAGCTTTGCGTTGTACGACTGGTGGAAATATCGCTCAAGCCTTGCGAAAGTCACAGCCGACGTATGTGGTTTGAACCTCCACTCCTCTCCTCGAATCAGCCTCCTCCCAAACCCTTTAGCTTCGACATTTCCTCCGACAGTCAATTCTGGCTTTCCGACAATATTTTAAATGCCGATTATCGAATGCATGCCGGGTCAGTCGTGCATTGCAAGACCTGGGGTACATTTTGTCCCTATTTGTCGATCGAGTTCAAAGCCACAACCGATGACCGGCGCGTCGTGAGGAACCAAGTGGCTGCCACTGGCCTGATTTCCTTGTTCAACCGATACCAGTTGAAGCTCGAGGCCGCTCTTCAGCCTACTCCGGAGCAATTGAGACTGGTTCACCATTACGGACTGACGATGGAGAGAGAACTTTGGGCAGTATGGGTCTTTGAACCAAAAATAGATAATGGGGCATGGGCTGGCTGCACAATACGACTACTTGAAGCCGGAACTTGTCTACACGAAGGAGGACTCGTGGAATTACTTCAATGGATCAACGAAATTCATCGATGGGGCCTTTGTGAGTACGCTCTCGGATGTGAGGAGGATATCAAACAGATTCTGAGTAGAGCTACCACCAACCTCAGAATCTCTACGATAGGATCCTGAGGAAGCGGGATCGATGACAGATGTCAAAGAGCAGATTTCCGGCGCACTGTATCGTCAATGGTAGAACTCTACCAAAATATTTCACATGTGAGTATCCATATGATTTACCACGCATACTTCAATGCTTCCAGCAAAGACCACAGATTGTTTCTGGGAACATCGGCCCCGTTCCTCAGGAGAGGCAACTGAGCGACGGCGCCAAACAACTTGCCGACACTCTCTAGTCATCTATCTGAATGGAAGTGGAAGGCGGGGAAAAGTGGGAGCATACTCGGAGCGATATCAAAAACGGCGGGCTGCCGCGACTATAAATTATTGAAATAGAAAAGCGGAAAAGGTCGTTCTGACCGAGCTGGCTGGAAATGGTGCAAGGAGAAGTCTAGTCGCGTAGGATCTTATCGTTGAGGAATACCAATTTGGCCCACCGTGGCTTTTAACATCCCAAAGAGCCTGCTGGTTCGTTTCGAGGGGAACTATGATTAGAAGCAGCATGGTCGGCGGTGCCGTTGCTATTTCTGGAAAGGACCATTTGACATCACAGCAAAGAGAGACGGCACCACTCACCAAATTTGGCGGCGGATTTCTTTGCAGTCTGAGTTGTTGTAGAACTGAGTTGTGCCAGAAAGTGCCCATGGTGGCAACCAATTGCTCGGTCTGAGGTGCTCCACTATGCTTGCTGACGATTTCCCATTCCTTTACACGCCCTTCTAAAGCCGCTTACCCATCTTCGCCCTTCCTCATGCAGCAATTCGAGTATCCGAGTGATTGAGATGCCTCTAGCATCTTTTCTCTCGATCCCAGCTCTCAAAGAAACCACACACAGCGGTACAGGGCCTGGCCAGCAGATCACTATGGGGGGGCTCACCAAAATACACCTACATTCGGCGTGGTGGGAATCCATCACAGGCGGTCTACTCGAGATTGTTGTCGTGGTCGGATTTTTTTGCGGACCCCAACCAACACTTCGCTATATCCAAAACATATCGAAAACTTTCTCACGCGTCGCTCTCCGCGTCTTTATTTAGTGCTGCGTCCCTTCCTCGCCGCCATTTCTCTCTCAGTGATCTGCCTTTGCTATAGCGATGATCGGCAGCCGACCTGTCGACCTGTTCAGGCGCTGTATCAGGCTAACAAATCCCTCACTTCGTTTTCCTCAAGCTTACCCTCCTCTACCTCGCCCTCATAGTCGAATCCCTCTCGTGGTAGCCCGCCCGAGTTCCACTTCGTCATCGAGCTCGAAGCTCGTGCTATCCGACAAGCTAAGAGAGTTCCCTGTGGGGAACCCAGACTTTGGTGAAATTCGCCAGCTCCCGGGAACGGCATACTTTGACAAGACGGAATATATTTCTGAGCTTGAAGAGGGGTCAAGTGTCAAGCTCTTTTGCCGCCCTAGACGGTTTGGAAAGTCACTCACCATCACTATGCTGCGATACTTCCATGGATTCCAGTTTCGCGACCAATACGACAAACTTTTCAAGATGTGTAGTAAAGTCCTTACTGCCAGATTTGTGACTTATGCTCAATAGGGTCTCAACGTGGATAATGCTGTCAACAATGGCACAATTCAACCTGGACGATATCTTGTTTTAGAATTTGACTTCTCCTACCCCCTCCGTCCTCACGACCGTGACCAGTCTGCGCAGCTCATTGGGCAACACATAAACGACAGGTTGTCGATGTTCAAACATATTTACACCAAATATCTAGGTGAATCGTTTGCATCGCAGACGTCTCCTTTTATGGAGAATCGCCCAGTCAGTAATCTCGAACGCTTAGTTTATGCTGTTGATTTAACGCTTCAAAACATTCATCGGAGAGGCGAGGAGGACCATCCCCTCTGGAATGTACAAGGGGTAAGACTTGTTCTCAACCAACTACTGAATACATTCTAATGCATCCAGGTCTATCTACTTGCGGATGAATACGACGCTTGCGCCAACGATTATATGGATCCGCACAATCCAAAGTTATGGTCCGATGCCGCACCCTCTCGCCTCTTGAAGGCATTCTGGGCCAGTGTCAAAGCTAGCCAGAAGTGGCTTTACGGTATTCAAAAGATATACATCACTGGCGTCACGCCTCTGCTTTTAAGCGACCTTGTCAGCGGTGCGAACAACCAAGAAAACGTCTCTTTCAGTCCATTATTTTCAACCATTTCCGGATTAACTCGATCCGACGTGCTAGAAGCGCTGAGGGTCATCTGCAACAATGAGGGAGAGGTGCAAAAGCACCTGAGGGAATTGGAACACAACGCCAATGGCTATCATTTCTGCGATGAACAGAGTGTAGAGCCGGTGTTCAATACCCACACTGCTCTTTCATATCTTGAAGTGAGTAAAGAGAAGTGCCAGCTAACTCTAATACTAATTTCCGGACATGTAGGCAGTTAGACAGGGAAGACCCCTATTCATATACAATCAGAGCGAACATGGAGCTAATCTATGCAGGTGAGTAACAGTCCAGGTTTTGTCGATCTCCTCATTACAGACAATAAAAACCTCTACACCCTCATGGAGTTCAAGAACATCCAAATCCCCTACCTAAGACTTGGCGGAGAAGACAGCATTGAAAAAGCGAAAAGACTCGAGGATATGTAGCTAGACGACATTCTCAAACTGAAATTCAAGGGCGACAAATACCGAACAGGGAGCATTAACAACTGGATTGATGGAAGGCGCCATGGTCCGGTGTCTGGGAGTGTCCGCAATCAGCTTCGGTCTTACATCATGGGGCCTACCGTCCAAAAGGAGATTGCGGACAAACATTTCCGTGCCTTTGCGGTGGTGATTGTTGGATCGCGCCAGATACTCGTGAGGGAGATGGATAGGCATGGCAAGTGGGTCAGCAAATCTCAGCTTGTGAATGGGATAAGATGGCAGGAGTATGGTCCAAACTGAGACACTAGAAAATGAAGGGTGGTGGCTTGGCATTGAGGGAAGAAAACCCAATTCGGCGGCAGATTTGCTACGTCTTGTACCTAGATCCTGATGCTAGCTGAAATACATTGATTGGATCCCTGACCCTGAACCCTCACGGTCCCACTCGGCCATATGGTCCACGGATTGGATCCGATGGCGGTATTTCATCTGGATATCGAGGCCAGCGCCGTAAGGGGAGGACGACGGCAAGAGAGAGTGCCCGCGTCCTTCCATGACAGTGCAAGCTATGGTTTTGGTCGACTGAGGGACCTCATGAGTGTTCGATCATCGGTGAGGCGAGAGGGTTGTCCGGCCTAGCTCCATTGAACTTCTAGGTGCCCTAGATGGGTAAACGTAATGCTCCAGCCGGTGATGGCTGATGATGTCGGGTTAAGTGACACCGTGGGGAGGGTCACTGATTCAAACTCTCCTTCGGTTGCTCTTACTGGCTGCGGCGCCCCATCTATGAGTTTGTCAGAGATGGACTCTAGGAGGGGGTTCTTTTTGTTAATCCCGTACTGTGAAGGGTTCTAGGTCGAGGATTCAACCAAAGTATTCCAGCTAACATCAAGATCTAGGTACAAGGAAGAGAGTCAGGAAAGTATGCTACGCAGAAAATGCTCAAGAACCATGAACACGTGATCCTTGGCACGTAGTCCCGTGACACCGATATCACGACTCGTCTGGGTGGTCCACAGACTGGATCCGATCCATGAACCATCTCGATATCGACTTCTATCGAGTAGGGTGCCCTCTCCGGAGGTGGTCCGTAGACTGGATCCGATGGGAGTTGTTAACGGGCCTAGTGAAACGCTCTGGTTAATCACCCCCAAGAGGTGATCCATAGACTGGATCCGATGCCCCAAGGCTACTTCGGCGACTTCGCGCCCTCCAGCCGAGAAGCGACTGTAACTTCCGTTGATCTTCATCATTTACACTGAGATTGAAAAGATTTCATACTTCCGTGGATGCTTCAAACTATGGGTTTAGCAACACGAATCACAACTATCATATCGATGCTAGCGTGGAAATGACTACCACTACCTCCATAACAACATACGCCCAAATCTGTTCGACAGGCTGGACGCACGCGGAGGAGATGGTCACGGAAAGCTTTTGTCATAAAAAGGGGTGCGCTTGATTCTGATCACTTCTCAACCGATCACATTCCACCTGGCTTCTATCCCACGACTGCGGCTTGCCATTGACGCGGCGAGGCTCCAGCAACCACGACACTTACCGTTCCAATTCTTGGGTCGCCTTCAAAAACATCGTATCCGTCCGGTACCAACTCTTCTGTCCCCATCACTTCCACTAATTCAACATCCATGTCACACATTTGTTGCAGGGGCTCGGATGATGAACTCATTTTCGTCCTGGAGGTCTGCGAGCCAGGGGCAGATCTTCGATACCAAGGCCACCTCTGACAGCATTTCCTTTCCAGGAGTGTCTGTCGGATATGTACCACGAGATATTGACGACCAACACCTTTGGATCTCCCCAGTTCCAATCATTCGAGTTGCTTTTTGGCCCCGCAAACTTGCCGTCCTCGTACCTGGAGTCGACGATCAACTGTTGCGACCAATTACCCCAGGTTAGGCCAGGGTGCGGTAATCGACGAGAAAGAAATGGTCATATTCACGAATGTTCCTGCAGTCACCATTGGTCTTTTGGCAAAGACAATGGACAATCAGATCAACGTCAACGGCGTTGCTGGCAGAAATGGTGTCCAGGTCACCAAGCAATTGATGGCACCCGACGGACGGACGGACGACAACGGCTTTGACGTGGCCAACGGCACAACTGGCTGGATCGTCGTTGTGAGTCAAGAGATGTTCATCAGCAAGTGCTGGTCTGAATTGTCATTCTGAAACGAAACTCTACCCCGGTGCTCTCTGCAAATCCCAAAGCTGATTCCCAAAGGGGCATGTCAAACTTCTTGCACAACTTGAATTGAAGGAGTCCTCTGTTCTCTATCTACTTGTTGAGCTGCTGAGGGTTTCTTTATAGATATACGAATACCTCGTCGTCAGCAACGTCGTCGTCTGTGGAAACCTCCCACCAGTGTTTCAATGGTGGAGCCTATACATTATAGCAACAGGGCATAAGTCCTTGGACGCCAAGCCAACAACAAGTCCCGTGTACATCGAGTATATGTTTCAGACTGCTGCAGTTCCCGGCGGTTATTTCGATATTGGAACTCCACAGCCTTCCGTCTTTCTTCAACCTGCTTTGCCCGGAGACTACTAGCACTGATCCGTACCCGAATGGATTCACATATCTACAAACAAAGCGCCCCTATACAGCGGTGAGTAAATTTCTTCACTCCTCGGAAAATTTCAGAGGAATAGGAAAGTCAGAAGAATAGACCCCGACTAATGAGAGCAGAGACAATAATCAAGAGCCACTACATAGCTCCTAGAATAAAAAGTGACGGACCAGGCAAGATGAGTTGATTGATTAAGTCCACCGTCAAAAACTACTCCGAGTCGAGTATTGTGGTGAAAGAATTGTCGGTGATTAGAGGATCGGCCAAGGCGGATTTATATCCCCCATCTCCAATATGCCAGAGTAACAGCAGCAAGAACAACGGCCACTTTCACCATATTCTTGAACCCTTGCCCAAACCAGAGACTTATTGCCTGCTTCTCCCGACTCTGATACCCAGCCGCATCATTGACATGCGGAAACGGCTCATTTTGGGGGATGTCCTTCCCCAGAAACCGACACAGTGGCTCCCACCCGTCCAGTACATTCCACTCCAAAAGCCTTTCTTTTGGCACCAATCCTCTAATCATATTGCAATGCTCCCTGTAAATCCATTTCCCGTTTCTCACAATGCCAATCTCCAAATTTGCCCCAGGGAAGCCCATACACCTAAAGAGTCCAGGCCAAAAATACCGCTCCGCCATGTGCCACGCCCAAAACAAGCCCGGCGACCACCACGACATGAGCCAGAACATCCAACTACGATTAATTCCGACGATATTCTTGATGGCGCTTCGATGCCATCGATCAAGATCGTTGCTGATATTCAGGATCACTTTGGCCTCGGGATACGCCCGGATCATTTCCGATGCGAAGACTGAGGCCGGCGCATCGGTGACAGCGACAGCGTGGCCCAGCAGAGCATCAAATTCCTCGGCTGTTATTTCACAGTCTCCATTTTCGTCAGTAGCTAGGAACTTTCGCCGAGCAAGTCGGCACCATCCAGGCATGTTGTGGCGATCTTCAAACATCATATCCCAGCCGTGGTAAGTGTAGTCGTATCCAAGTTTGATGAGAGCCCGTTGAAGAGACTCTGTTCCTGAGCGCGGTGGTCCGACACAGATCACTTGCATAGGGTTGTCTTTCGGGCGCTTTCGGGGAGGAGGTGGCGGGAGATAATAGACGTAGTCTTCGAGGAATCGCCATGCCCAAGAATCCAGAGGGAAGACCATACCGACGGGTACTAGACCTTCAACAGTCAACTGGTGGTGGAGTACCCAAATGATGGGATTGAAAAAGAGAAAAACAATGAATAGGCCTTGAATCAAGGAATTAACGAAAATGGAATGATGGGATACTCACATTCTTCCTATTTATACGTAGCAAATGTGGGTCGTTCGGCCTCCCGTACCCACCCCCTTCTCCTCTTATTTCCCCTTGGCCGGGCTCGACATGCATGTATGGTGATCTGTGATGTAACTAGTATGTAGGCTGAGATCAGAAGCCAAATATGACGCATCCGCTCATAAGACTGAATATAGAATAGTATCCGATGATGAGAGCGGTTCGTCATATCCAAGTACCACGATGGCGGTAAGAGATTTTCGAGAAATCTGTTTATCTGGGCACTGTAGCAGAAACCAGACCTCGGTGGACAACGGCATGAGTCCGCTCTTTGAGACATCTCATATCCATATCTCATGTATATCCGTTAACTTGTTATCTTGCTCAGCTATCTACAATAACGTTATCGCTCTTTATTTTTCTTATCTGTCTCTGTCCGAAGCGTCACCACCACCTTTCTGGCACTGACTCCGCTCTTTTGCCTATCCAGACCACCCTGCACGAAATATAATCCATTGCCCACCACCAACTCGGGCGGCGCCGGCAACAACAGCCCCTTCTCCAACGCAGCGGACACGTACTCACGCCAAACCTTCCTAGCAACGATGCCACCTTCTTGACTTACAATGTTGGTGCTTCCAATCCTCGCCACCTTGACATTCTTCGGTAGATCTTCAGGCGCGGCCACAACGCTCGCGACAGTCCCGCCGCCGAGCGCGTACAGGACCGCCGCGCTCTGGCGTACAGTCGTCTCGGTTCCTATGGCATCGTATGCACCGACGACAGGGGTGCCGTTTTCCTTCAAGAGCGAGATCAGTATCGGGACGATGTCCGGATTGTGGTAGTCCAGCACGAGAGACGCGCCGAGGGACTTGACGTATGAATAATTTGCCGGCGACGCTGTGGCAATGACATCGTAGCCTGAGGCCACGGCGAGTTGAATTACTGAAGATCCGACGGACGACGATCCGCCCCAAAGGAGGAGAGCCGGGTTCTTTTTCGTCGACGGCGACGTGGATATCGGCCTGCTGCTCTCGAGCTCGGGATACCTCAACCCCAGGTTCTCCTTCAAATATAATCCCGCTGCAGCCGTCGAGATGCTCAAAGGGAGCACCACGGCCTGCTTGAACTCAAGCATCTCCGGGATTTTCGCGACCGTCTCAACTTTTACGCGCGGATATAACTGAAAGCCACCATAAGCATTCCCATTACGCAGGCCTAGCGCATGGGCAATAACTCGATCGCCCACATTCAAACCCTGGACATTGTGTCCGACCTCTACAATCTCTCCCGCGACGTCCTCTCCTAGGATGCTCGGGTATGAAAGTCCAAACCCGCCGGAAGTTTGGATCTTCCAGTCCACGGGATTCACGGCCACGGCGTGGTTTTTGACGATGATTTCATCGGGATTAAGATCCGGGAATGGGGCTGTCGCGACCTCCAAAGGAGACTTTTCAGCAGGGAGCCAGGCGGCGTAGTTGACGATTTGCATGTTTGATATTGTTATCTGAGTGAAGGTGGATGATGACAAATGTAGATTATAGAGTAGAGTAGGGTGACGAGGCTTAGCATATACTAGTATAGTGGACCGATTGGACTACGGGCATTGTGCTCGAGTCCCCACACATAACGAAAACACAGCTCAGTCACGCCGTTACTTTACCAAAGGTCGGGCATTGAAATTTAAAGCGACAGAGATGTGATTTTCCGGCTGCTGTGATCAATATAACCATTTCTGCTCTGATTCACCTAGCCATGGACTGACGTATCTGCTAGCCAGCACCCATGCATTTCGTGATATGCCGGTCATCCACCGCATTGACATGGTGAGGTCAGGTAGTCAAAGTCAAGGCTGGCTGTATACCCCTTATGGTCGGCGCTGATTTTGGAATTACCCCACGGCTCCTCTGAAGGGAGACCCTCATATGTTACATCTGTCGTGCTTCTTTCAAGGCCTACCTGCGGGCTAGTGGGCAAAAAGAAGGCGTGGTCCCTGAGACACATAGCATCCTCCTACCACAACCGTAGAGCAGCGGTCGCGGGTGGATGTCGACCTCACCACTCGGAAAATCGTGCAGATGACCGAAGAGTCAGGCGCAGATCGCAGGAAGAACATGCGGGAGTGATCAAATTGCTACTGCCAATTGCCAAAAGTGGAAATCTTTCGTCGCACGTCTCACCAACCTTCACCAGTGTCCGACGGACTTCAGTCTCAGATGCATCCCCCCGGCCGGTTTCGTGGTGATGACACCTGCTGGAACAGGTCTTTCATTTGGTCTCGCCATTTCCATCTCGAAAGCACTTACCAAAACGGCAGTCAAAGTCCTCAGCTCGGCCTTCGCAAACCCTTGTCCAATACAACTACGCGGTCCATGCAAGAAAGTCATGATGGAGTAATTAGTTGTCGCTCCCCCCGTATTGTTGGTTTTCCCCGTATCGGCGTCAATCCAGCGATCAGGCCTGAACTCCTCCGCCGTCGGACCCCAGTGATCCGGGCTCCGGTTGATCGCCCAAGGGACAATGAGGACCGTCTGACCTTTGGCAATGGGTTGATCCACAATGGTGGTATCTCTCGTGGCAGTCCGCGCAGTCAGAGGTACGGTTGGATACAGGCGAAGAGTCTCATTGCACACCCCATTCAGAAGAGGAAGAGCTTCGAGAGTGGTGGCCAGATCGAAGTGAGGTTTATGAACGAAGTCGGTGGGAATATGAGAGCGGATCTCATTCCGGAGGCGAGATTGAATCGAAGGATTGGTGGCCAGTAGATAGGCTATCCAACTAAACGTTGCAGAGGTGGTCTCGTGACTGCCCACGTTCAGTGCTGTCCTTCTTTCCCAGGAGTTAGACGTTCTTTGGGCGACGCACTTACCCAGCAGCTAGAAAGGTCAATAATTGATCCACCAGTTCATCATCCGAAAAATCATTGGATCTTATGAGATGCGAAAGTAGATCGATGGATGCTTCATCTTGCTTCATCGACTCTCTCTTCTCGTGCAGGAAATTTCGGCACAAGTGTCTCAATCGAGTGGTCGCGTTCGTCAGGCGCCGGTCAGCACTCAAAAGCAATTTCGAAGCCCAAGGACCTCCAATCATATTCAGGGTGAAGAGAACCTTGGCCTCCAAAGTGGGATTTAAAATTTCGTCATAGCTCCTTGCGAGCTCATCATGAGAGTTTCGGAGACTGTCAAAGTCTCGACCGAGTCCAGCAATCCCGATCGCATCCAGGGTCACTTTCATGGCCCATTGATTGAGATCCACTGTGGCCGTCCCCGGCTTATCGACATTGGCGAGCAGGCAATCTGAATTCATCTCATTCACGATACTGCGAGTTAGCGCAACGGCTTTGCTCCAGAAAGTCGGGTAAAGTCGCTTGATGTAGCGGAAGCCGAAGGCGGGCAAAACGTGTCTGCGCTGGTGTCTGTGTACGTCGCCTTCGGCGACAACTAATCCCATGCCGAGAATTCGATTAAGATATGTCCGCCCTTTCTCCGGCTTCTGAAAGTCGTAGGGATGACCGACCAGCACATCGGCAAGGGTTTTCGCGTTGGTCAACATCAGAAATTCCAAGTTGAAAATACCCCTGAAGTAAATGGTGCCTTCATTTGGTACTTCTTTCATTAGTTTGAGATGATACTTGCCCATAGGTTTTTGCAAAACCGTCAATCCCGGGCCAATGAACGGGATTGTGCCCTGTTGTGATCAGAATAATTATTTGAGCTCAGTGGTCTGGAAGTCACCTTGGGCCTTGGAAGATGCCGAAGTGGACTTATCCAGTAGGGGTATATTCCGGCTTTGTACACCAGCCACAGCGTGAAATTGGCGGCCGTGAGGGCAAAGAGAAGCAGAGTCCACGAATGTTTTGGCCAATTCGGTGAACAGAAGGACATCAACAACCATGACTCGACAAACGCAGATGAAAACAGGATAAGCGGCGTCGGGACTGACAACGTCATGATTGCTGAATTAGATTCTACACTGTTTGACGGACAGTGGTAGGATAGCAACGACGATGTCTTGATTCCGGGAGTCCGCGAAATTGAACCTGCACATGCAGCTTTGAGACGTCGTAGAAGCCTCGGCATTCGCAGAGAAATATGGACGTCATCGATCTCACCGAGTGTTTCAATTTCCATGCAACCTGGAGGGGATGTTCCATTAGAAAATGGATAAGAATAGAGAGGTACGATGTAGCCCAAAAATCAATATTTATGCATCATCACCAGCTACGTCGTATTGAGATTTGTGCCAATCCTTTCTGTCGGGCGAAAAGGAGTGCTCTTGGCGACAAAAGAGGAGGGTAAATCGACGCCAAGCTCACCTGGACACTCACTCAACCCGCGCCGCTTTTAACTTCCCGCTCTCCCTCTCCTCACCCCTTTCCCTTCCCACCCACACTCGACCCGGCTTTCTCGATGGCGACCGTTACTTTTACGCCAGACCAGGATCCCGCGCCGACGGGCGAGGCGATGACACGACTTCTGTGGGTTGAATGGCCCTTCCCCCCTCTTTCAGAATCCGCTTTCTGGCGCAGGCTCCCAATTTTAGATCTCCTCGAAACGGGTCACAGATTCTCTCCCCTTCGACCCTCTCCCACTCTCAAAGTCCTCTCCGTGCATAAAAGCAATGGACCTTCTCCCGGCTCGACAGCCACGAAGACCCTCGAGAAAATCTGCCTTTTTTCCTCCCGTCTTCGTCTCTCGAACGGCCTTAGGTTCCATTCGTACCTTTCTGCTATCTACCTACCCTCATCCAGATGGACCGCCGCACATGAAGACCACCTACGGTCGACGAGCTCGCAGCTCGAGCTGCGGCTAGAGGCTATAAGAGTGGTGCACATACAGAGAAGGACAAGGTTCGCAAATAAGGAAAACACAACTCCACGACCAAGACGAATCAAAATGCGACCCTTCATCGCTATGTTCTGTAAGAGACTCCTTCTCCTTCTTCCTTTGCCCGCCCTCGAGGGCCGGGGGTTTCCCTTTCTCGTTGGGGTCACTAATCTATCTCGTCTTCGATATACAACTCCCTCAAATCCGACCAAGAAAGAGGTGGAGGGAGCCCACTCTCCCACCACACCAAGATGATACAGAGGCACTACAAAATCGAGATGGCTAATCTGGAGCGCCGACACCCGCACATTATCACGCCCTGGTGGAAGCCGCCACAAGTCATTATAGATAACACAACCGGAAGAGGCCACCTGCAAGGGAGGACACGATTTGCGTATATACAGACGGCAGTGGAACAAACGAACACACAGGGGCAGCAGCAGTAATCTTGTTTACACCGGACTCACCAAATAGTCCACTACTCCATAAACGCATCTGCTATATGGGAAGGGACACTGAGAGTACGGTGTATGCAGCGGAACTAAAGGGTATCCTCCTCGCTCTTCAAATCCTGAAAACCGACCCCAACCGAGACCGCCAGAGGGCTACCATCTTTACCGATAATCAAAGTGCTCTGCAAACTCTACGCAAACCCGGAAACACATAGGGACAATATATTCTGGGGGAACTGTTTAAACTCCTAGAGGACATGGTAACCCAAGGAACGAAGGCGGAATTTCGATGGATTCCAGCCCGCAGAGGAATACCAGGCAACGAAGCCGCGGACTCAGCTGCAAAGGAGGCAGCAGGGCTGTCTCCAGAACCCGAAGGGACGACTTCAGGAGAAAACCCCCATCAGAACCGGAATCAGCAACATGCAGGCCCGGAAGGAATAAAAACGCTCCTTACAACGGCAAAAAAGGAAATCTGCCGCCAAATTTGGAGGGTGGTACCGCCGCTTTTGGCGACCTTTTTCCTCAGTGCCAAGCACGCCCGAAGGTTGCAGGCGGAAGCAGATTTCCCAGTCCAAGCCCTACAGGTCTTGAACTGAAAAGGCGCGGTAGAAGATTCATTCGTGTCTCGATGCTGAAGTGACTCCACAGGAGTGCTTGGGATCGTATAACTTCAGTCGGTAGCATTACCGTTCGTAGCTGTTAGACGGCCTAGGCTTTAACAGGCATTCAGCGGCGGATTGCACCTATTTTTGTTAAATATGGCTCGCCAGCGGCCACATGATATCCACTTTGGCTAAAAGCTCGGCGAAGGCCGAGTCTGCGCTTCTAGTCCATACTTGTCCCCCTGTACGAGTCAATAGACAGCACGGTCGCCGTTCTGAAACTATTCTCCACAAGCAGCTCACTCCTTCGAAACCTCATTCTCATCGTCCTCAATCGGATCACCAGAGACATACAGATCGGAGACACGTCTCGCAACTCCTCCTCCCTCTGCCAACAGAACGGCCTTGACATCTCGTCTGCAGTATGCGCCATGTATTAGACCCCATCGATGAATCGCATTAATGTAGTCAACCAGATCACCAACAGCTCCAGCCTTAGTGCAGTTGCACTTCCAAATCTGAACCGCCTCGCAACCATCCCAGGTCACTTGAGAGTAGCTTTCGTCAGATGCAGCCGAGGATTTGAGCTTTACAACCCAAATCATAGCCATGGGTCCAGTGAAGGTCATCATATAATGTCGTATTTGATCAAAATGCTTCCGGTTCCACGGCTTCTTGGAAGTGCTCAAACGATCCTCTTTCAGTCGAAAACGATTGAAGAGCGCCAACGATGACGCGGCAATCGCCTGATTGGTCGCCTGTTCAATGGTGTTTTCGCTTTTCTTGAATTCGATGGTCAAGTAGGGGGCGGTGTACCTATTCCGGACGGTGAAGGTGGCCATGTCGACTAGCTCTCTGTGGGACTCCGAGAAGGACTGAATGGAGAGCCAGTAAGCGCAGTCTGGCCTCAGATTGAAATCTTTGCCTCTATATTCCTCTCCACTAAGCAATGGTGGTGTGGCCCAAAATGAATCGGCATCAGTCTGCGTATAGAGCTGAATCAACCTTTGCGCTTTCCATGTCTTGTCTTTTTCTTCGATCGGAAGGAAATGCGGTGATTTCAACAACTCTGCTTTGGCAACCGTGGCGAATTCTTCTTCACACAGCTGAATAGCAACCATTTCTGTGTATTGTCGGGCGATGTTCATGTTAAAATGGGGCCCTCCACGTAAGAAGACCGTATCCTCATCTTTCTCAGATTCAACACGTTTGAGTGTCCATTCTCGGCATTGCGTTTCATCGGTTCCGAAATATTGAAAATGGTCGAGCGCGAGCTGGCGAACTGGCTTCTTGACAATTTGAATGCCTCGAGGAACGAGTACATTTAGCCGCCATTTCTCTACCGCGGTGATCTTCGAGACAGTTGTATCCTTAGTAATAGCCGTTAGAGCGTCATCCTGAATACTTTGGGAATCGGTTGCTGTTTCGACTTCAGTTGTTTGGCTAGCTTTCCTGCGCTCTGCCCTGCTTCTCTGAGGTAAGGCCCTCGTAGGTATGTTACTGGGAAGTTGGCCCTTCTTAGGTGGTATGACGAGCTGCCAAAGAACATGAATTCGTCGTGGGCTTGTGTCTGGGATGGGAATTTCAATGTCGGGTGGAGGGAGTGTAAGCTGTTTGGACGGTTGACCTGCGACGGGTGAGGAGGGTCCTGGAGGATGGTTCGTGTAAATGCTGAGGCGACGAGAGGAGGTATATCGTGGCGGAGGTCGAGGAACTTCAATAGATTGGTTTCCGTGAGCAGCAAGCTTCACTCCAGGTGATACTAATCGGTTCGAAAACTGTCGACGCGATTTTTTCCTACTTGTGTTTTGTGTTGGTTGTTGTTGAACGCGTCGCGAGGTCATGAGTTCATCTGTTCGAGAGAAGGGTCATCAACAGCAAATTGGGTACTGTGTTTGCAATGTATGCTTGATTGCATCCCTGACGGGTTAAGTCGAAGACATACCTTGTTTTGAAAGGGTTATCGAGAGTGTCAGATTTGGTCGGGAAAACAAACAATTTGGCGGGGCAACTGTGACTATGGGTGGCCCACGTGACCCTTTTGACGGTCTGCCAAGATTTGTAATGACCAGGGGTCTTCGAAACACGCTAGTAACCCTCAGATACTATATAGTCAGACGGTCCCTCGGACCTCTTCGAATGCCAACTAAGTCCTCCGTGAAATCACATTAGGCGTATGAAACGTTTCAACATCCCTACGAAAGTTGAGGAATATGTTCATTCGACGGTGAAGAGATGGAAAGTAGAGAATGAAGACTGGGGAGTCTCGTTTCCTCGTCAAGAACAGGTATATCGATGTCTTCAGCCAATCTCCTCAGAACTTACTAATTTGTGTCAATATTAAGCTTATCCCGTCAAAAAATGGGTCCGCTTCCTCTTATCGCACCGCCACCGGAAAGTATCATCGCAGAAGATCAAAACGTCGTCGGATCAAGAGGATGTGAAAAAGGGGTAACTGTGACTTAGGATACGCGTGCTGTTGAGAAATAACGGGAGACGCTGGAACGGCGATGTGTTGGCGACCATGGGATACGTCACCACGACTGTCGACACGGTGGATAGCAGCAGTAAGTCTGGGCACCACGTAATGAAACACCTCCGTAATGGAACACTCAATTTACTAGCAACTCGCCGATATCAACACTCGATTGCTCAACTACTCGCCTCATCTATGCTAAATACATGCAAGTATGCATCTATTGGCCTATTCACGCTCCTAGTCCTGGCAGTTGTTGACTCGCTAGACGCTCTTGGGGTCGCTGTCGTCCTCGATAACGTGGCCAATGCATCTTTGGCTTGCTTGATGGTCTCAATGCTAGCGAATATCTCATTGCAGTCAATTGCCTGTTTTTTCTGTGTCCTGCCGCTTAGTTGCTCTAGCTGAGAGCTCTGGGATACTAGGCGTAAATCCTTCTGCGTTGATTCCCACTCTATTCGATCCAATGTGTCATGGCACAACCTGGAATCTCCTCGAACGGTCTTGGCAGACCCACTGTGGCTGTCGAGTAGCCTCGTGTGCCTACCTGGTAGCCTTGCGGCATGACTGTACCGCTGGCTATAAGTATCTGGGATAGGTTTGCATTGCTTTCATGCTCTTTGTCTCTCGTCTTGTACTTTATAGTGCATTGGATAGTAATATCATTGTCGGACCTCCACTCTCATTCCCTCGTACGCCCCCACCCTGACACAATGCCTTGCCTGTCTTGAATAGAAAGCTTCGAACGGGACGAGATATCGATTCCTGTCGTAAAATCATGTGAATTGAGTCGCTATAATCACGCCTATTCTGAGGCGTATGATAGACATCGTCGACGGAGCGTGCTCGCTTGCGAGAATGGGGCGTTTGAGGAGCACTCTGAATACTATTCTGAGCATCGGGTAGAACTTGACGAGAGCGAATAGCTTTCTGTGGATTCCAAGGGTGTATGCCGGCGGCTTTCCAGCCAGATTTAATATTTCTATCATTCAAACCTTCTTGACTTGCGTGCTGATAGCATTCGAGGAACCTAGCCTTCTTGACGGCGGAGGCATCGTCGAATCTAGCCAAGTTAGCAATTTGGTCTCGATATCGACCTTTAACTGGCGAAAAGCAGGTAAGATCAAGGGGCTGCAAAACGTGACTCGAATGGGGTGGTAGATAGAATACCACCACTTTATTCTGATAACATTTTCACATAAATTCGACGGTAGCGTGACTCTTATGGCCATCCACTAAAAGAAGTCGATATTCGTTGTCTTCCACAGCCGTTTGGGGTAGAAAGATTTGCTCTAGCCAGCGCAATCCAATGTCATTCGAGGTCCAGCCATTCGGTGAGGTCGTATATCGATAATCTGGAGTGTTCTCGTTGATAAACCAATCTGTTTGAAGACTTTGTCCCTTGAAGATAACTAGGGCTTGAAGACGCTGGCCAATGGTAGAGATAGTCTCGATTATCGACACCCATTCGCGAGATTCAGGCGTCTTTTTCGAGCAGGACTTTGTCTTCGATGTGCCTAGCACTCTTTGATTGCTGCACACGCCTACCGCAATTCCTGTCTCGTCCATGTTATAGCTATTCTTCCATTGAATCTTGTATCGCTCGTGCATGGCCTTGAATTTTTGAAACCACGCCTTAAGGGTTTCAGGAAGAGTTGAATTGACACGTTTAGCATGAATCTTTCTGCCTACCTTCGAATTAATCTCGGGATGGCGTTGAATAAAGCGCGATATCCAGTTTTGCCCAATCTTTTCCGGCCCACCACAGGCCTTACTAACGACAACAGCAAGTTCTCGAACAGTAGTAAAGGTAGGCGCATGTCCTTGCGCCTCCAGGTCGATGATCCATCTCTTTAACAGCTTCTCTTGCTCATTTGAGAGTAGCTGTTGGCGTTTGCGAGCAGCACGTCGTGAAATGCCGCCATTCAATCTGCGCCGTAGCGTAACATGAGGAACGTCGTTTGCAGCCGCGGCAGCTTGAATAGAGGAGTATCGGCGAGAGTGGTAGTCATGCACGGCTTGTTGAAGACGGAGCTCTTGATTGGATGCCATTTGGGCCTAATTGAGTGAAAATTGGTTGAGTAATGGGGTGGTAAAGTAGAGGGGTTGATGGAAGAGAACGTCGAAAGGGCGTGTTCCATTACGAGGGTGTTTCATTACGTGATGCCCAGACTTACTTCAGCGGACCAACTCTCAGCTTCTCGGTCGACCAGGACGGCGAATTTATATTATCAGTTTCTAATACAGGTCAGCCTCATCGGAACATATCTTGAAGGTCACAATGGCTACCATGTCCCGCAGGAAATCATTCCCCGCAGGTAACCATGTCCTGAAGGAAATCATGTCCTTGAGGAATGGCGGTCCTTACGAAATAGTGGTCCTTAAGGAATAGCGGTCCTAAGGGATGCTGACTCTGAAGGCCTCCATGTCCCACATGTAACTATATCCTAAAAGCTACTATTCCCCGCAGGGAACCATGTCCTGAAGGCTATCTGTGACCCAAGGGCCAGCGTCTAGATAACCAATAGATAGACATCATCTGCCTGCAGCATTCTTCCTGCAACACTCTTCCCTCTCTTCTGCGACACATCTTCTGCACTCCTTCTGAAATGTCGCAGTTGGGCTGATTTCCGATATTCGAAATCGCTAGCTATCTAGATGGGCTCTATTCTCATCGCCGATATCTGAGCCCAATTGTGGAACTTTGTGGAACTTTAGATGTATTGAATGCTCTAAGATACGAAAGAGCGCTCTGGCTCTTCCAACGAGTGCGGGATAGAGCCCATCCATATATCTATCTACGTAGTGTACTTTGGTGCTGTTGCCTGTCAATGGTGTTACAGGCTAGTAAGTGAGTGTTATAAAATGAGTGGGTCTGCCATGAACGATAGGTTATCATTTGTAATGTATCGGTATTTGCTAGATATATCGTCGATGTCGTCGGCTTTCCTAATTTGGTGTATACCGTCGTCTACTTCATGGGCCATGGACTGGATCCGATCAGGGGGATTCGGGCAGACAAAGGCGGCACTCTACCTATTCCTGAGCGGGCCGTGGATTGGATCCGATGGGGGCGGCCAATCAGAGCAAAGTATTTGGTAGTTGCCGAATTATAGATTTTTCGGATCACGTAAATCGGTTTAGGGCCGCATGTGCGTCGCCAAGAATTGCCAAGGCCAATATTGCCGACTCAATCACGTGATGTCTCGACCGCAAGCGAGGCCTTGGGGGTTTGGGGTCAAGCCCCCAAAATACAGAAAGCTACGCTTTCAGCCCCTCAAGACGGGGTGAGTCATCACCCAGCTGGCGCGCGAGCCGGGGGTGAAGCACAGGGCGGCATCACCATCGTCTCGAAACGGGGTGAGCTGGCCGTGAATTTCCCTTCTCTTGGCGGGTCGGGGGCGAAATGCGCGGAGGTTTGCACACCTCCCGAAAAATAAGCAGTCGGGAAGCTCTGTTTCCATACCTATGGTCGATTGTGACATGAAATTATAGCTAACAAGTATCCAGAGGTTAGAGGGCAGCAGCTTTAGCTTAAGAAAAAGCATCCTGTGCTTAGTCTTTTGAAAGGACCGTCGCCGCCGACCTTTCGACTAATGCACGATTTCACACTTCGGTGACATCCATTGTATCCTCCTCACCCGGTATCACGATCTACAGGTTCTGTGTGACCGTTGAGAGGCTGACAGAGCTCCGATGGTCGGCGTTCAGAGTCCTGAGTCCCAAGTCCTTTGATCCTCGAGCCATGTCTAGTGTTTGTCGAGGGTATAGATATAGAAGTACTGCCAAAATATTGGCCATGTGCAAATGAGATAAAAACGGCAAAAGATGGTGGGATTCCAGTGGAAGGGTGTTCACAATCAGCTTTTCAGTACCCGATACTTTCGATATCAGTCCCCTTTTGCGGTGGACGTCTCGCCGATTTCTTATGCCGACATAGTGCATCGAAGACCTGAGTGCCAAATTTCTTGAACGCTTCCGTCAAGCCGCCAGCCGCAATGAGGGACTTCTCCATGTCACTGAGCTGAAAACTAAAAGACCTGCCTCCGCATCGGACCTGACTTTTGCTCAAGTCGATACTGATCTCTTCCCCCTGCACGGCTAGACGATGAAATTCGTCCTCCGCGATGGTGATCCCTAGGAGTCCGATGTTGGGCTGGTTGCGGGCGTAAATGAAAGCGAACGATTTTGCGATGACACATTTGACACCGGCGCCGAGCAGGGCGTTGACCGCAACATCTCGTGACGAGCCACATCCGAACCCTTCACCTCCCACGACAATGTTCAGGCCGTCCTTGACCATTTGTCGGAATTCGGGCATGAAGAACTCCATGCAGTGCACGCCGAGGGACTCACTCGTGGTGTTGCCTGCGAGAAACTTGGATGGGATGATCTTTCACTCAGATTGTCAGAGAAACCTGCTTCGTTGGAAGAAAACTGGAGGTGTTTGAAGAAGGGGAATAAAGAAGATGGCCACCCCTCTAGGTTTGAGGCGAATTTTACTCACGGCATCTGTGTCTATGAAATCACCCAGAAGCAGCACTTTCCCATCGATCACATCTCCTGCCGAGTGCGGTTGGCCAGAACCTGCAGTAGTTGGGTCGGAATTCTCTGAAACGGAAGGTTTCTGGCTTTTGACCTGCTTGTCATTGTCGACACCGTACGGCTCTGAGTAGGAGATGGGCTGCTGCTTAGTTTCAGGCCCTTCTGTCATAGAGAATGGCTGATCGCCAAGGCATTCCTGCAGATATGCCGGGTCGATGACCTCCAAAAGGGGCTTGGGATCGGTGATGGTCATGGAGAAAGACGAGGCAGCGACTGTGGCCGCGGATCCGAGATTTGCCAATGAATCTTTTTCAATCTGTCAGCCTCGCCAAACTCTGAAGGTCTTCAAAATTGCTGAATACCTACCGGGGCCCATTCGGTTCGGAAAATTGCGGTTTTGCGATGACATCCACACCTCTCCAGGTGCAGCCTGGTCGACGCCCTGACCAATGCACATGCTGCAACCTGGAACTCTGACCTTGAAACCAGCTCGTTTGTAAATGTCGAGGAGGCCGATCTTTTCGAGCTTGTGTCGGATCGGTTTGGATCCAGGCACCACTATTCGCCGTCCGTGGTCGGCAGGCTTCCGCCCACGCTCGAGGCCAGCTTTCAACACCAACGCACCTATGATCAGATCTTCCTCGGCTGTGGTGCAAGCTCCAATGAAGGTGCCATCCAGTCGAGTCCCTGCAACTTCACTAACGGGCACCACATTGTCTGGAGATGGCGCTACAGCGACAAAGGGCTCGACTTTGGATAGGTCCACCTCAAAAGTTTCGGCGTATTCGGCGTCCGGATCTGCCTTGAAATACACGGCGTCGCTTTTGTGTTTCTTTGCGCGTCGTCGGCCTCCGATAAACTCCGTGGTTCTTTCGTCTGCTTCGAAGATGCCAGTTACCGCGCCGAATTCCTATTCCAAATTGAAGTCAGAAAGGGGAAACAATCCAAGGATACTGGAGACCGGAGACCACTTACCGTGCACATGTTGGCGATTGCAAATCTCGCATCACACGATAAATGTTGCAGGCCAGGTCCGGTGAACTCAACAACGCGATCCGCGGCGATCGTGTTTCTCTTAAACTCTTTCAAGATGTACAAGATCGTGTCCTTTCCGCCAATCCCTCGCGGTGGCTGGTTGATCAGATGAAGATTGACCGTCTTTGGCACGCTGAACCAAGTCTGTCCAGTCACCAGAGGCATACAGACATCCGTGGCACCCATGCCGATAGATAGACAGCTAACAGCCCCAGCCGAGCAGGAGTGCGAATCGGCTCCTATACACAGCATTCCAGGTTGTGCACGCTCCCGAACGAACTCGGTGTGCATGATCGTATACTAGTAGTATGGTTGTCAGATTGGCGACGGGCGTCACGGGGAAAGACCAACGCTTGCTACTCACATTGAATCCTTGAAAATCGGTCATCTTGAAATCCTGCTTGGCCCGGAGACTGGTGTCCATGAGTTTTTTCACCTTGGGTTGATCGTACAACGGAGGCTCGACTCGATGATCACCAGCGAGCCAAAAGCGATCGTTTCTAAAGATGCCCGGTCTCCCCACCGAATCATACACAGTTTCCATACCCTTTTACCAAATTTCCGTCGGTCAGTGGTCTTTCTCCGGGTTGATAGGAGTTGCTCACCTGCCAGGAGAGCTCGGACGCCAGGACCCAGTCGACGTCGACTTGGATGATGTCTCCAGGCTTGACATAGCCACGGCGCGATACGTCGTGCATCGCGAAAATCTTCTCCGCCATGGTCATTCCACGCCTTCCTTTGGGCCTCTCGGAGAACAACTGCGGCCTTGATCGCGCTCGAGCAGCACTCTTGAGGGCTTCAAGGAAAGCCGAGCACAGGAATATAACGTCTGCTTCGTCCGACGGACGCAAGGTTTCTTGTTCGTTCAACCCATACCCGCCAAAATCAGTCTCGGCAGTGCAACGCTGTAAGCCTTCTTCAAGTGCTTCGGCGACGTTGACGGTGCCTGCATCCTGCAGACTACTCGACACGCGACGTATGAACGACAACAAATTCCCTTGGTCGGGGGAAATAAGGCTGTCGCGTGTAATAGAGAGCGTGACGGTCGATGCTTCTTCGATCAGCGAAATACACTTCGATTCTGACGGGGAAAGGTCTCGATCAGGGAGGGGGACAATAACTGTCGATGCTTTTGTCGTGTCCAGCATTTTTACTGTTGAAATTTGGTAAATTTTGCGGTCTCCTCTCGAACCGAAATGGCTCTGCTGCCATTCATAAGTATGTCAGCCCCATTACGACTTGCACGGGAAATTTTCAGATCATTTTTACCAAATCTTAATCGGTAAAGATGACCTGGATTAGGTCACCGGTGTAGGGGCCAGCATTGAACATGGTCGCCACCATGCCGTTGTCGGGCCGTGAGCGGCAGGGCAGAGTTTCGTTGACGAGACCCCCAATGAACCCGCTACGGTTTTGTGGCGAACTCCTCCCACTGAGACCCTTGGTACTAAACAGGACCGCAACAGGGCCGGTCCCGACTACGAAACGTGTGCTGTCCAACAAGAATTGGTAGGATCTAGCCATTCTGATTTCGCGTACATTGTCAATCGTTCTAGATATGAAATCATCTACCGCCGTCAAGAAACCTTCAGGTTGCAATAAAGGCGCGCCGGAACGATCTCTCAAAGAGCCATAATTGAACCAATACCAATGGCAGCCCCTCTCTCTCCTTCTACGCAATTACGCAAAATGCTCGCGGACCCCGACAAGATTATCGTATGCCCTGGAGTCTACGACGGCATCACTGCCCGTCTGGCGCTGAATGCTGGGTTCGACGCTCTATACATGACTGGTGCCGGCACGAGCATGTCTCGTCTCGGCATGGCCGACTTGGGTTTGGCCACGATGACCGAGATGAAAGACAATGCTGAGATGATCTCCAACCTCGACCGGTCTGTGCCTGTCATCGCAGACGCAGACACTGGGTACGGGGCACCCATCAACGTGGGCAGGACGGTCGCCACATACATCACAGCCGGTGTTGCGGCCTTCCATCTCGAAGATCAAGTCGTCCACAAAAAATGCGGCCATATGACCGGGAAGCAGCTGGTGTCTACGGACGAGTTCCTGACTCGCATCCGTGCGGCTGTCGAGATGAGGAGACGTATGCAGTCGGACATCGTCATCATCGCACGGACCGATGCTCTGCAGTCGCTCGGGCTGGACGAAGCAATCGCCAGGCTCCAAGCCGCTGTCAATGCAGGTGCCGATGTCGCGATGCTCGAAGCAATATCGACGCGGGAGGAGGCCGAAGCAGTGTGCCGTGCTTTCAAGAGCCAAGGCGTCCCCGTCATGTACGGAATGGTCCAGGGAAGCAAGGCGTACAAGCTGACCCCTACAGAGGCGAAAGAGATGGGCTTCAAGATCATCGTGTACGCGGCGCTTTGTCTGGCCCCGACGTTTTTGTCCGTGTCTAAGGCGTTGAAAACGCTGAAAGAGCAAGGAGACTGTGAAAAATACGGCCCTGAAACCACTCCACATTCGTTTTTTGACGCCTGTGGCCTGCAGGAATTGCTCAAGTTTGACCACGCCGCAACGGGGCTGCTGAAATAGGGTGATACATGAGAATCTTGGAGATATTGTGCAACAATTCATTAGGGACATCATTCACAATGTGTCTAATCATGTCATCTCCTTACTATTACTTCTCCTCCAATGAATACATATCTTCCGCATGTATGCACCCGGCTACTCGAGGTAACAGTAGCAAGGTTCAACGAGTTCGATATTCTCAAGCGTCCTGTTAAAATCGCCTCTCCATTTAGGATTTAGGATCTCATCTTAAAAGTATATCAATATCGAGACGAGCACTCCTAGCCATTAGCAATTGCGGCTCAAATGCTTCTTTCGACCGTCTTCAACTCCCTCGACTTCTTATCGTGCCCGAGAGCGAGGCCACCCCCCCCCTTTTTCTAGTATCACAACGTGTACCGGAACTTGATGTGGTCATCGCAAGTCTCCTCGAAAGACTTGCCAACGTCGGGGTGCTCTTCTCCTCTCCCTTCATACTCCCGGAGTTCCCGGTCTCTTTGTTTATTGGCACGGGCCATTAGGAACCTCGCTGTGACCGTTGAGATCATCCCCATCACGACAAAACCAAGAAGGATGCCGTGCCCCATAAAGAAGCGAGGTGGGTGAGTATAGATCTGAGCGCCGCTCATGCTCAGTCCCTGCCCAACGATCATAGCGATACCCCAGGAGATTGCCCGTTTTGTGTTACCACAGAAAGTGATCTGGATCCAGGCGATTTGTAACACAGCGGCGGGATAAGCGCCGGCGACGAGAAGGGAAGCACCGAACATGCTGACTTCTTTCCCAGTAGTGCTGATCAAGATGATCAGACCGAGAGCGCAGGAGGTCAACGATCCGAGAATGAACCACGCCTTATTGTGGTAGTAGTCTGAGAGGTGCCCGATGGCCAGCATGCTGAAGAATGCGCACGCGTACGGGATGATAGTAAACAGCTGGGCCTGAACTTTGCTGTATCCAAATTCTTTGACAATGGTGGGCAGAAAAGCACCGGTCGAAGCGAGCAAGGTAGAGTTGCAGGCCGCAAGCAGAGCCAGGAGGTACGTCTTCGGGTCCAAGAGGCTCTTGATGATTTGACCCGACTCGAACTTGACACGTTGTGAGTTGTATTCTGGAGAGTATTAGCAAAAATAGAGGAGAATTGTCATTAGAGCGGAAGCAGGGGAGATCGAATAAGCATACCTAGGCTTCTTTGCAGGGCCACCTTGATTTCCAGTTCGCTGATGAATCTCGAAGTCTGCTTACGATCGGGGAAGGTAGGCAAAAATGCCGCATTTGCCAAACCAATAGCTACAGCAATGACGCCCTCGATAATGAATAGCCATTGCCACGATGGTCTACCGTCTGCGCCTTCGAGACCACTCTGGACGCCATATGAGATGAGGCCTGAGAAGACGCCGGAAATTGTTGTTGCAGAATAGAAAATTGCTTGGAAACATCAACACCCGGTATGGAAAAATGTTTGTTTGCTCTGTTTCTTACCAATCCTCTTCCCTAGCTCGTCCCTCCCATACCAAATCGCCATGTAGAGCGGGGTGCTTTGAAGCAATGCTTCTGCAGCACCAATGCCAAAGCGAAGCCCAATCAGGTCTCCATAGCCTCTAGCCTCGCACATGCAGCAGACAAGGACTCCGAACGCAACAACGGCGAACCCCAGCATGATTTTTGGACCCAGTTTCCTGATGAAGAGATTGCCAACAAAGATGCAAGCTAGATAACCAGAATCTAAGGACCAATTAGAGACAGGTCAAAATTATAGGGGCATGTTGTCCACTCACAGAATACCATGATAATATTGTAGAACTGCTGGTCTGAAAGATTCAAGCCTTCTTGTAAGCCCATCAAACGGGCGTATCCAATATTGTTTCGATCCTGCCAGAAACCACACATGAGCTTGAACAAGATAACAGACATGTACAGTTTCTCACCATGTAGGCCATAAGGTACGAGAGCGCGAGGAGTGGCAAGATAACAAGGTCGAGTTTCCAGAGGAGGCTCTTCTGTGCTTGGGACTCCTCCGCCGAATAAATCGGCACAGACTGAACTTCCACATCTTCTTTGTGTTCTTCCAAAGAGATTGGGGTCTTGGTCTCGGCAGCCATTGAAGCAGTCTATCTCACTTGTTTGATCGTGTGTGATGAATCCGGGGGACCGCTCGTTGTAAACAATGGTAGAGAACGTTCGTAACGGGGTCAGGAAAACCTTCAGCATATATTTTAGGAAAAGTCTGTATGTTCCTCCCCAGATCTCGGCTATGGACGAGTCCCGTTGGGAGTCCCCACAATCGATAGAGTATTCATTTTTCCCATCACTTGACAAATCTCGAGTTGCTGGGAGCGCAGTCGGCGGATTTCTCTCGGCGTTTGTACTCTCGGGCCGTGAGCGCTTCACTCGTTCAACGGTATTGGCAACCTTGAGTCTTGAACCATAGGAGTCTAGAACGAAGGTAATGGTATCACCACTATGGACTGAGCCTCGATGAATGGTAGTGGAGCCTTTGTCATTCCTTGCTATTGGTTTAGGATTGTAGAAAACCCCAGGAAGAAAGGGTCGGAGAACTCGATTCCAGAGGTAGAGGGGAAGTCGTAATCGATCGACCGGGGGAGAAAAGGCGGAGGGTCGTCTCCACCAACTGGCTCAAGCGATGGGATTGGCCGTAACCTGCTCCTGTCCTCGCCGTGTACGGTCCGCATGCGGCAACTCTGGACCCAAGTTCCGAGTGCGGTACAAGTTGTGAGGCTGCAAGGCTGCGAGCTGTCACCTTCCCACGGCAATGTCTATGCACGGCTTCACTCTGCAAAGCGGTTACGGTTTCGATCCAGGCCTCATTACGGCGCCGCCGACTTTCGCCTAAATGGCCTCATAATCTAGCTAACGACCCCGGAAAGATAGCACCGTGCTACTTCCTGTGGCCAGAAGAACGGTCCGGAAGACGACTGAGATGGCCCTGTTTTCACCGGGTGCCCCAGACCACCTTCGATAGAGCCATTATACGTATTACATTGAGAAGATCTCGTGATCTCATCAAGAGACTATGGGTACAGCCTAGTTCAACTATCATATTAGAAAAGGTCAAACCTACAAGTTTCTAGCTTTCCCCTCCAAATCATCCAGTACTACTCCCCAGTGACCGCCCACTGCACTCGAGCGGAATGCCAAGATGGGTTCTATACAGTTTGACGCCCCACAGCCTGAGGTTTGCGATGTCATTGTAGTGGGAGGAGGAAATGCTGCGTTGGCAGCGGCGTTGTCAGCTCATGAGAGCGGCGCACATGTTGTCCTTCTTGAAGCGGCGTCCCGGGAAGAGCGTGGCGGCAACAGTCGCTTTGCGGGCACAGCGTTCAGAGCATCCCATCGAGGTCTGGCTCACGTCAAGACTGTTCTGTGCGAACAGGCACTTGAAGATGCTGAGCGCTGTTCCATGTCCCCCTACACGGACGAAGACTACCGGCATGACCTCCAGTCGACATCGCACGGTCGCAATGATCCGGTCATGTCTGAGATCATGATCCGGGACGGCTGGGAAACGATCGAATGGATGAAAAGCAAAGGAGTCCATTGGGAAACGACCTTGCGCAAGTACTACAACGTCGATACTCAGAAGGGAATCATCATTGAGCTGATGAACGGCGCTCCAGTGAAGGCTGTGGGCGATGGGGAGGGGCTGATTCGAGACTGGTACCACGCCGTGGAAAAGGCGAACATTACGGTCAAGTACGATTGTCCGGCACATGAGCTCCTCGCGTCGGGGGACACCGTCTACGGTGTCAGGACTCGACAGGCGGACAAGTACGTCGACTTCCACGGGCAGGTCATTCTGGCATGCGGTGGGTTTTCGGCCAATCCAGCCATGAGGCGGCAGTACCTCGGTGAGGGCTGGGACTTGGTACCTGTTCGAGGCACCAAGCACAACACAGGAACCATGCTCCGCCGGGCCATCGAGGCCGGGGCACGACCGGTAGGACATTGGGGAGCGGCTCATGCTTCACCACAGGACATCGATGCCCCTCTGAATGGAGACATCACCAAGACGCCGGTAATCCCCCGTTACTCCTATACCTACGGGATCAGCGTCAACGTCGAGGGGAGGCGATTTTTCGACGAAGGCGAAGACGAGTTTGCACTAACCTACGCGAAAATTGGGAAGATGATAGGCGATCAGCCTCGCGCCATTGCTTACCAGATCTTCGACCAAAAGACCCTGTACCTTCTCCAGACACGATATTCTTCGGGGACCCCCATCGTGGCCGACACAATCCGAGAGTTGGCGATCAAGCTGAAGATCAACCCGACTGTCTTGGAGAGGACAGTTCGAGAATTCAATGACGCGTGCCCCGATGCTGAGGCAGGCAAATTTGAACCGCATCACCTGGATGGCCTCTGCACGTCTCCATCACTAGCGATCCCCAAATCGAACTGGGCGTTGCGCCTGGACCAGGGCCCGTTTGTGGCGTATGGTGTGACCTGCGGCATCACCTTTACCTACGGTGGCATTGCCACTGATGAGAGGGCTAGAGTGTTGAGCAATGAAGGCAGGCCAATGCCAGGACTATACTGCACTGGTGAAATAGCAGGCGGCGTCTTCTATCACAATTACGCCGGCGGCGCAGGTCTGACGAAGGGTGCCGTGTTCGGACGAATCGCTGGTCGGGAGGCTGCTTTGCGAGCGAAAGCTGTTGGTGGCAAGAAGGCCGCATGCTCGTCGGCCTTGCAGATGAGATACAGGAAAAGTACAGGAGTACAGGGTGTTTGAGTACTTGATGTGCGACGACTGAAGTCAGTAGTCAGGCATGGATTAGGCTAGGTCGTTTGACTACAAAGTACATGTAGCGAATCAAAGGGTTGCCAATTAATATCCCCCGCAATATTACGTAGTACTTGGTACAAATTCTTCTTATTCAACCCCTTCAGACGACCCTGCGAGACTTCTACTAAGTACTTGGTTACTTGGTTGCTTGGTACATAAGCATCTAACTCTGTAAGTATCTAGGTGGGTGCTTAGGTAGAACTTAGACAGGCGAGGGAGCCCAATAAAAACCCTCCTCTCAGCCTTAGCCTCGGCCACTCAGCTGTCTGGGGAAGCCAACTCTTTGGCTTTTCTAAAGGGCATTTCACTTTCCTTTGGTCATGATCTAGATAACAGACTAGAGCACATGGCGCGGTCTCACTCTCCTTCTTCCAACGATGGGCATGCTGGACGTGGATGTCGCAAACGAGCACGACCACGAGCGCGCATTGCGTGTCGTGAATGCCGACAAGCCAAAATCCGCTGCGGGCTAGAAACAATCCCATGCCCAAGATGTCGCAAGATGGGACTCGAATGTACGGTCGACCCCTCTTACCGACGAGCCAACCGTCAGGACCGAGTGCGAGAACTTCAGCAACAGCTGGAACAGTTACAGAATTCCATTGAATGTCAACAATGCGATACGCCGCCAGCACCGGCACAGGTACAGGCGCCGACACTCAACACCACCTGGGTTCCCCCAGGGAGCCAGCCGACTCGACCGTCACTTGAGCATGAGCCCTGTGGCCCTATTACTGCCCCCCCGGTTGACCTTGTGTCTGCAGTGGCGGTTGACAAGCCGGTGGTGATGCCCATCACCGGAGTTCAACAAGGTCCTTCATTTGATCGCAGGCCTGTCATACGTGACAGTGACAATGACAATGCCGACAACAGTCATGCAATGTCGTCAAGAACTGCAGCAGAAACCGCCGAGATCCCTGATCGCGAATCTACAAATGGCTCGCACTCTTTTGTCTATGTCTTTGGGAAGACAAGACTCACCCAAACACAGGCCAAAGCTATGTTTGCGACGTAGGTGTGGCCGTGGCCCCTTGGAACGATTTCCCACGTCGTGTCGAGAAAGATTGATACCGATACTGACACTGACGCCAATAATGATTACATGTAACTGATAATGACTGATACTGATATTCTTTAATGTCGATAGGTATTTCGACAAGTATCACCCATTCCTACCGATCCTCGACCCCTACCGAACGAACGAGTCATGCTACGAGACCTCGCCACTCTTGTTTTGGTCCATCATTGCTGTTGCAGCACGACAGCTCCAACTTGACGATAACTTCCTCATGCAGCTGGGGAGCGAGCTCAGCCGAACGCTTTGGGCGACCGTCGCATCGAACACGTTTTCGACACAGCACGTTCAGGCCATGCTCCTACTCGCATCCTGGCCGCTTCCCGATATCCGGTTGTGGACTGACAAATCTTTGACAATCAGTATCATGGGCATGAAATCGGCCATGATAATGGGCATGCATCGACCAGGGTGTGAGCATGAGTATTCAAAGGACTCGGCCCAACTAAACACCCGGTGGGATGCCCTCGAAAGAAGCCGTACGTGGATCGCTTCGGTAGCTTTGTGCCAGAGGTTAGATTTCCTTGCCTTGAGTCCCTGTGGGTCGAGCATGGTGGGCCAGCTAACGATAACAGTCTGTCTCTAGATCTTGGGCATGGCTCCGTCTCAGACTTTGACGACTGGAGCATTCGCAGTGCCTGCAGCATGGACTCTTCTTCCGCCGCAAATGTGCCACTCCAGATCCGCCATAGTCTCATGATACAAAGATGCAGTCACGACGCATTGAGATCCCTTGCACAAGCCGCCGACGGGCCCTACGGCATCCCGGCAGGACCAAATTGTTTCGACCTGATAGCCCACTGCGAACAACAATTCCAGGACCTGTATTCTTCATTGGACGATCAGCTCTCTCTTGCCAACCGGCTCGAGCTCTACGGCTCTCAATTACATATCCAATGCTTCTACTTCTTGTACGATGATCAAATTGAAATTCGGCTGCCTGGACTGTTGAGAGCTTACGCCACGGCATCCGCGCTGATATCAGCAATTTTGTCTGACAACAACGCGCACGACGTCTTGCCACATGCGCCTCTGAGGTTCACGCGCATCATCCTCAATGCGGCCTTGGTCATCTTCCGGATTCTCCATTCAAACTTAGCGATGGGGCTCGACTACAACCACGGGAAATTGTTATTCAACGCCGCGGCCTTTTCAATGCAACAACTATCAGTTCGGCAGAAAGACAGAGACTTCCCTCTTCGCGGCTCCGACATGCTGAGGGCATTCTGGCGTGCGGGAGAGCGTAGTACCACCATGTGTAGCCAAGATCTGAGACTCCGTGTGAAGTCTCGAATGGGTGCCAGCCTTGTCTACGATTGTTTGTGGCTCTTCCGGCAAAAGAATAAGCCCGCCGTCCCCACACAAGACCCGACCACTAACAACAGTCGACTTATGCCTCCGGACTTGGACTTGACAGCGTCTCCTTCAGAGAATGTACACACGGATCCAATGCAGATGCAAGGGGCCACACCGTCCATCTCAGACCCCATGTTCTCCGACGAGGAGCTGCTGCACATTAGTCCGAACATAGACATGAGTAATATGTTCTGGCTCGAGGATTTGGTATTTGTCGGCACAACTTCGTAATGGCCTACATTCCATATGGCTCTACGTCGTCAGGTGTTACAAATGGTTGTCGGCTTTCAGTGTCACACTAGCGGATATATATGTGTTGAGGTATTCATAGACTTGGTCTTGAGGCAGTTCCTGAGACATTCGGCTGCGCGGAAAATTTTAGATTCCCGTTTCAGGCATTCCTTTGAGGTATTTGAGCTATGCTCTAGAATCCAGCCCATTTTGTATATAGATCAAGAGGATCTCGCTGAAATACGAGAGCGGAGACACAATAATACGTAAGACTTCATGCAATACAAGAAGCGCGTTCAGTGCGCAACATGTCATCATGCCATGAAGCATCTGCACGACTTTCTCCTGACCACCTCGTGACTATAATATGATGTTCCAAATCCTTGTGCTAGTAATCACTCTCACTGCCATATTGGCCCATTCACCTCTGGTTATCTTTGTCATTCCAAACCGGCACACTATTGCCGAGATAACAATAAACATGCCAGCTGCGGTGTAGAAGTAGCAGAAACCTCCTATCGAGACGTTAAATAGGGCATTATTCTGGGCGATTTTGTTGACGAGGTGCCCCTTTTAGGTCCCTTTGGTTCAGCCATGGATCGAACCTCTACCACTGATAATCCATGTTGTAAAGCTCTACCCACAAAAGTAAAGAACCATCTTCTTCCGCCAAAAGGTGATATTGTCAAGCACGCTGCTGATCCTCTCTGTATGCTGCCACCACGCCTCCGCGCATATGGACCCCTCATACATCAAGACACAGCGAGACGAAGCAAATTTGTCGATCAAGGGAGTCTACCACCTCCTATGTCGTCTTTCTCTCTCTCCACCTATATTCATGGCTAGGACCTCGCAAATTGCTTCTACACTGCTCTTTCCAACTCAATATCCCTCGACAGGCTTGTCATTGCCGGAGCCCAGTCTCTGGGGAGAAAACACGGCTGTGGGATAATCGCTTCCTGCGACGACGGTGCTACCCTGGTATCTTATCGAAGTTGGATCAAATCCAGAATTGGTTCTTCCTTTCAAATACGCACACAGTTGTTCTAGAATGTTAAGTTCCATGACCAACTTGATACTGTAGAGGCGGCTTTATAGGTGGTCTGAATGTCGTATTGATTCGCATATTCTGTTCCAAGTAATGTGATGTGCATCACGATGATGATAAGCAGCGTGAGGCACGTACGATGAGTTTGATGATGCTCAAGGCCCGCAACCTGTCGCAGCATCGACCTCCAGGGCTGCAACCGCTAGAGGCTCTATTAACAATGCTGAGTCGAGGATGGCGCGAAGTGTGACCCCTGCCAAGGATGATTCATGTGCATAGCATGCATTGCGCAAGGTCCCCCCCTATTTGTCTTCCTTAGCGTTGAAGTCGATGTCGCCCTGCACCTCTATACATAGATAGGTCCTTTTTCGTGTACTCTTTGGAGCCTTCTGGCGAGCCAATCCCTGACGGTGGTCCAATCCTTGACGGATTTGTGCCCCCCTCCAAGGGTTGGCAGTGAACAATTTGGATATTCACATGGCTGTGCGCGTTCGTGGTAGTCATGCTGTTTTTTCTTCCTCCCCGAGACCAGTGCAGCAGACACTCTGTTCAAAAGAGCGAAGAGATTGAAAACGGCCGGAGACGACTGGTTGAAAAGTCAGTTTGAAATTAATGCCGCGTATCGCACTATGAGAGATCATTTGATCGTCCTCGGCAAGGGCATTCACACTGACATTCTCGGAACCCATCGTTTTCTTCATAGACCGGTATACGACTCTCCTATATGGAGAGGAGATCTATCACATGAGCAAGAACGCTTGACATGACGTCCAAAACGGCTTGCGATTTGTGGAGGGAAGCATAGGTCTCCTTTACCAATCAAGTTATCCAACGAAGGGGGCTCTGATGAGCTTCAATTAGCAGTCCGTGATTAAGCACATAGGTGGATCGGGATACTCAGGAGCAGTATTCCAGTCTTCTCAATGAAAGAGCTTCTTCCATGGATTTGGGTATCCTGGGCTTTCCGCTTATCCGAGCTGTTTAAAAAGTTGACAGCGGTCGCACGAAAAGAAACCACGGTCCCATTGATGCACATAAGCCCATATGGCGTTCCAGTTCCCGATGATATCATCGGTAAGTGTTTTGAGCTTTCGAAAGCATGGAGATTAATTGATCCGCCCGGTCTGAATTGACCGCTTAAGAGTGGAGGTCATATCACAGATTCAGTCACGACTAGGAGCCCCAGATGGAGCCATTTAAAGGGACAGCAATGAGCAAACAGGGTCTGTTCAATTTTATTGGTAGTGCTTGACTGATCGATACTTTCCGGCTGGGTTTCTTACTCTGTTGGGCTTGCAATGGGTCATCTTCAATATTCAAGAGCCCGAAAGACGTGATTTCAAGGGAGTGAGTTTCAAAGACTTGGCAATGCATATCAAGACTATGGCCGATATCGATGACTGGATTGTTGGTACGAGGCGAGCAGGAAATCATTTGCCGTTCTTCGTTGACAGTATGGGCTCCATGGTATCCCTCCTCGGACGAATATTGGGATCACTTGGCCATTTACGTACGGGCACCTCCCAAATTCAGGGACCCTTTATCGAGTTTATCAGAAATCTTGAGCAGGATGAATGAGGTTTGGTTCTTGAAGGACTTAGATTTCACCGCTAATTCTGTCTTGTAATACCAGAATAACGTAATCTCGATTTGTCTTCCATGGGCCCATAGCGTCGATAGGGCTCTCCTGTAGGATATCCACCCTGGCATATTGAAGGGCGTTTGTCACCTGTTAAGCTCATGGTAGTCGTGACGATGTAATATGGCCGGGATAGCATGGAGTGCAATTGTTGTCAAAATGAAGAGATTATCGACTCTGTCTATGCCAATCGTACTGGATGAATGGCTTATAAAGACGTTTCATGCGCCTATTCTAATCCTTTTTGCCTATACCTCTTGCTCCTGCGCAATTAGCCCCCTGTCCGGCGCCCGAGGTAGAGTTGGGAAAAGTCTCCTTGCAGTAGAGGGAGTGCGATAACGGGTAGAATCACGGGGGCGCACAATGAAGTTCAACAGCAATGAAGATTCTCTTTCTCCGTGATAGTAAAGAGAGGTCCGGAGAGACTTCCTCACATGTGTACTCGAGGCGCCGCGAGCGGAGGCTATAAATTGGCCCGAAGGAACTGCTCGAGGAGTCATCGGTTCTATCACCTGAAAGAAACCCATCTCTAGCCTTGGAGTGTTGTTGAAGTACACGGCAAATGGAAAAAGGGGGGAGGTGATTTCCTCTGCAGCGTGAGTTGAGTTGTGAAGTACTGGGAGGTAATAGCATTCGGAGTATGCCACTGTATTCAAGTGTGCCAGGATAAGTCTTGGTGCCTAGTTTGTCACCCGGAACATAATAGTTGAATAAGGGGTTGCACATGTGGACGTCCCTCCCCAGAGCCTTATTCATTTTTGGACACTAGTCCTATGGCGGTAAGCGCTATTCCAATTCAGCCTCGCCCGTCTGTAATTCTTTTCACTCCTTTGTTCATACTCAATCCTCCTCACCATCGATCATCATCAACACCACCGCAGTAATGGTCCACACCCGTGGACAAGGCGCCCGGCCCGAGGGCTTTACTGAATGGATTCCTCAAAAACGTGAGAGAAGAGCAGCGGCTGCCCCCCGCCAGAGTCCCTTTTTGCGCTGCCCCTGCGCCTAAACCTGCTTCCCAAATTTCGGGACGCGGCAACCCAGACGGATAATGATCTAACGGTGTGTCCAGAGCCAGTGGCCGCGAAGCGCAAGCGAGAAGAGGACGATCTCGCTGCCGAGAACACGTCCAAACGCCCACGACGGCCCGTCACACCAAACCAACCGAAATTCCTTTTCTCTACCACTCGAAACCGAAGTCTATTAACGTCTGCTCCCCCCAAATTCGCCTCCCAGCGCGAGTCTCCCTACTATAACCGTATCCTAAAGCCTACGAGCCGCGAAAAGAGAGAAGAAAAAAGCCCCGTGCCTCAAGAAAGAGCATGCACGCCACAAACCCCAATACCAGCCCAGTCCGAAAAAGGCTTTCTGGGCAGCGTGAGGAGGATTTTTGGCTACCTGACTGGTGCGCAGGGTGCGACAGAACGCGTCGAACAGCCACAACAAAGCAGTCCGAGTGAATCCACCGATACTACGACAAATCAGGAGCGGGAAACCGTGGAACCAGATAGTCCTACGCCCCAAACCACCCAATCTGAACACCCCACTCCAGACCCGGAGATCTTGGACAGCGGAATCTACACCCGTGAATTTTTTAAACGCCGCCGGACCAGAAATACCATCGCAGGCCGTGAACAATTAGCAGCTATGCGGGCGGCTGCCGAGGGATCGGCAGAATTCAACCTTGCTGCAACACCGGAGTCCCACAAGCGCAAGCTGACTTCTGTTGATGGCGAGATACCGGGCCCAAAACGGGGTGGTTTCGGAATCGACGACAGCTACCTCGATGTAGACAACGAAGTCGAAGGAATCGAAGAATCGCAGCTCCCAAATGCGCGGCTATCCACTCCAGCAACCAGGCCTGCGCCACAGACCCCTCTTCGATCCGCACTGCGACAGAACGGTGGCCATTTGGGTTCGGTCGGACGATCTACCAAATCCGTACGCATTAATCCAAACACCTCGGTCAGAAACATCTACGGACAATTCCATTCTGGAGAATATCACGGCAGTATGTTTTCAGACCCTTCAGACGCGTCTGATTCATCGATCTCGGCGATCAACGTCCTAGACGTCCATTCACCTACCATGGTTCAACAAAATACCAGATACAATGTGAACCCCGGATTCCGGCTCGACACGAGTGTTGTTGACCCCAATGATCACGACTGGAGACCGAGCCTTGCGAATCCTCTCCCCGGCCACTTCCGCGTTCCTGATCTCGATGAAGATGACGATGAAGAAGGCATCACCACTACGACGGAGGTAGAGATGGTACAAGAGCCAATTCCTCCACAGCCCGGCACACCACGAATGTCGCATGCGGAACTCCCTCAACGATCACCACCGACCGAACTCTCTACTTTCACCGGTCATACTAACAATATCTTGAACGACTCGACAACGGAGTTCAAACTGAACAAGGCCAGATCTGATGCGCAGAAATATAAACCGGCAAAGTCCTCTCGACTTTCGCTTAGCGAACAGGCAAGATCACGATCTTCCTCTCCACCGAGCTCTGATGCCGATTTTACCGCGCCCAATCTCGAAATGGGAACCCCCAGTCCAGTCAAGCCTCGAAATGAGCCGGCTCCAGACACTCCCGGCCCAGAGATTGCATCAACTTCTCCTCGGCAAACTGGACTCGAGGAACTGGATAATGCCATCGTCGGAGAAGATGGAATGACGGATTATCAGAGAGAACACCAGTACGACGACTGGGCACGAAGCGTCTTTGCTGAGATTGTACCACAGACATACGAAGAAGCTGGTGTGGCTTCCAACTACATTGCAGACCTTGTCAGAAGAAACTGGACAGAGAGAGATGAGCGCGAGGCTGTTGAGTTTTGGACCAGAGAATTTGCACAGGGATTGCAGGCGGCAAAAGAGGCTGCAGCTCAAGGAAGAGAACTTGTCTGGGTCACAAGTCCCTCACAGATGGCTGAAGGATCAGAAGAAGAATTGTGAAGAACGAAACATGACTTTCCTAAACCATGTCGAGCTCTGGTATGTCTCCATGGCCAAGGAAATGTTCTTGCCATGTTGAGCTCTGGCGTTGTCGGCATGATTTGGAACTTGCAAATCTATCCGGGCGAAACGGGGGTTCGAGCTCTCGCGTGTCCTCACCCTTGTTGTCCTCATTGTCGTCCTTCCTTCATCTTTCTCATAATCCATTGGTTTTGTGGTGGGCACGAACGACAGACCACCTTCTCTCTCCGTCTCGCATGAAGCGAGCCCAGAGAGAAACAATGCACATTACGTGATTTGAAACTCCATTCCGCTATCGAAATGTAGTGGGATTAATGGTAGTCATGTCGTCCTCCACTTCCATAGTCCTCCCCAAGGGTCCTATTCTTCAGGCAGCTTTGATTCCCTGCTTCCACACACCCACAATGCCCTCGCCCTCCCAGAGACTCTGCAACTTCTCCGTGACACTTCCCTTGACGAGAACGAGATCGGCCCTTTTGCCTTCTGCTATGACTCCACGATCACTGAACCCAAATCTCATGGCCGGTAGCGCTGTGGCGGAATTCAATGCCTCCGTGACGCTCATACCACATTTATCGACGAACAATTCCAGCTCCATCCACAAACTAGGCCCGATACTTGTGCCCTTGAGACCGGCGACCGCGTCCGTGCCGGCAACGACATCGATACCGGTGGCTTTCAGTTTCCGCACCGTTTGAAATGCATATTCGAGTTTCGCTGCGGGATCTTTCATGGCGATGCACTCAAGCATATTTTGCTTGGTGAAGGCGTCGACGATCCCCTTGCTGTGCGCGATTTCGGCGAATTTGTCGCGCAATTCTTGCATTTCGGACGTCAGGCTGCTGAGCACGGTCAACGTGGGGATCACAAAGGCGCCTGTCTGCTTGTACAGGTCGACAATGCCTTGAGAAGGGGCTTGGTCGATGAAGGTGTGTGTGAGCCCGTCGGCGCCAGCTTTCAGGACGATCTCGGTCATGTCGACGCTCAGAGCATGACCGACGACAGGGAACCCTGCGTCGTGAGCGGCTTTCACGACTGCGGTTTGCAGCTCGAGCGTGGCGACGGGGATGGCGCCTGTGGGCATCGCGAGGGAGCAGCAGTTTTCTTGCATCAGTTTGATGTAGTCTGCTCCGTTGGCTTTGTGGCTCTGGACGAACTCGTGGGCATTTTCGACGGTCACGTTGGGCCAGACAGATACATAGGCTTTGAGCTAGAGTATCAGGTCAGAAGTTTGGACACACAGCAGCAGTACAATATGAGTGAGTGAGAATCTCGGGCAAAGGAGGGCGACGTTCGGGTTTAGGGCCGTTCACCTCATCTGTTGGATCATGACCAAGCACAATTGGCTTAGGCCACCCGCCCTCAATGGTCGCGCCGTAGAGTGAACTCTTGAGATCAGACAGCGACACTGTGCCGCCAGAACTTTTGGCGTGGGCGAGTTCATCGGTAATTCTGCCTCGCCATTTCTTTACCGAGTCTGGGTCAGAGTGCATGTCGCAGACGGTGGTGACGCCGCTTCTCAGAGGTGATCGTAGGATACCAGACTCATCGGATCCTGGTGGTAGATGTAAGCCGTGAACATGCATGTGGGATTCAATGAGCCCGGGGAGCAACGTGTGGCCTTTCCCATCAATGACTGTGGCTCCGGCAGGGTACTGTACTGAGCTTGGAGCAGTAGACACGGAGGTGATTGTGCCACTGTCTCCGTCAAATGTCACGGTTGCATTGGGATGTGTCGCATGGCCGTCGAAGAGGACTACGGAGTGAATGATTGTTGGGCTCATTGCGAAGATTGAAAGTTGGAATAACCCAAACAGTTCGTGCTGGATGCTGGACTGGAGGGTCTTTGGCTAGGATCGTTGAGAGGGAAAGACGACGAGGTCGGAATAGTCCAGAGCTAATCAATGTCTATCGTTATTTCAATGGCTGCCTTTTACGAATTCTTCGTGAGTATTGCGTACGATCAGCCTAGGTCTACCAAAAGCCGCATATGAGGTGTCCATTTCTGGAAGGGGATATGTACCTTTATCCGCACAGAAGCCAGATTTGACAAGATTGACACCAAGGTTATCCCGTAGCACGGATCTTTTCAATTGAGAAGCTAACTTTTCGCCTATTTTGGTGGTGTAGAGTAAGTTCAAAAACAGAAATCGACTGGGGGATCGACTGGGGGTAAATAGCATTTGAAAAGAGGGGTGAGAGAATATAATGGGGAGCCTGATAGCCTGACATCCTCACTAGTACGTGGGGGACCCTAGAGGAAAGGTCCCGCAAAATATCCCACATGTGTTCGAAGGCTGGTGTCTGACTGGAGAATTGCAATGACTTACATCGAGCCTTCTACGTTCTTAGTCTGTCATATCGAGTGCAGACGGTCAGTTTCGTGCACACCTTGTCCATATTGGTGGCATTGCCTTCCACGACGAACCTCAAGGTGCCTGGGGCAATAGTTAGTGAGACTGCCATAGGAACTGAGACTGGCGAATCAGCCCTGAGGTTCCACGGGAGTCGAAGTCGAAGGCAGTCAATGTCTCAAGAAGCGTTGGTCGTTGAGAGCTGCTCTCATAGTATACCTCACTAGCTTGTGCAACGGACGACCAACATCACTCTGTTGAAGCGCTGTTTCAAGTCGGTATTCTTTACTACCCAGGCTGATCTAAGTTTGTATTTCCTGTCAGGAAAAGAAAAGACTCCGGCTGGGTCTATGGCTATCTACTACACTGTTGCTGGCTGCCTTTCTGCTCGTGGATGGATGTCTATTCCGATATGCTTGGGGGTGTCTGCCTCCGGATAACGAGGTATGAGATAAGACTGGTCCTTGATTGCCTGTCGACATGGTAGCCATGATCTGCGTATGCCCTTGGTAGAGTTTCTTCTGTTCATCAGGCCATCTCATGAACTGGATTCATAAGAGAAAACATTAACACCTTGTCCCTGAAGCATCGAATAAGCCTCACCTCTGAAAAGGAGGTGGTGTTGAAACGCCGAAATCACCGAACGAGTCTAGGGACGCATGGGGCGGCTTTCTGTCAGGCCTTCCTTCGTGAGATAATCATGATGGTGAATGGTCCTAAGGAAGTGGAAAGACAGCTAGGAATATAGTCCTGACGCCCTTGTTTCCCCTGCCATGAACTCCGGGATGAGGCAGTCCGGAATCCGGGGATCCTATGAAGCTCCGAGTTATTCCAGTAACTGGGCCCACCAGCTGTCTACGGCCTGCACTTCGCAGGGACCAGGGTTAAGGGCTTGTTGGTGAGCCTTGTTGACGGACCCCGCTAGAGCCTTACCCAATATGGGGGGCGGGACCGAGCTCATTGAGAGCTCGTCACGTCCATGCACAAAGTAGCGGCCTTTCACCGCTGGAATTGCAATCAGTCATCTGACTCGCCAGCTAACAGATGGGATCCCATGCCATGAATTCGACAGTTGGTGCGAATTTCCGACTTGACGCTTGAAATACATTCTCGATTTCGCAAGCCGAGCTTTGCGCGTACGCGTTACGAATGGTATACTAAAAAGGTTGGTCTTTCGAACATGGGGATGGTTAAGTGCTGAGATGACCGGGACAAATGTGCCTCCTCGATGGTGCAATTTGTACACTGGTAGCACAATTTGTAATCTATGAGCTCTTGAAAGCCATCACAATTGTCTATCATTACACCAATTTCAGGAGACAATTCGAAGGCGACAGTATGAATCTTGAGATGACTGTTTGCTTCCGCTCCTTGCGTGTACGCGCATTCTGATATTGATACTTGGATAGTTGACTTGACTAAGCTTTGAGTCCTAGGGAACGCCAGTCGACTTAGTTGGATACAACGTCCTGGCGCAGTTCAATCATTATACGCAACACTTTCTACGGACTTGGGGATCGTTCTGGTCTTGAAGATCTCCATATCCAGGCCGGGTTGGGACGAATGTACGCTCATACAGTCCATGCCGTCACATACGAGAGGGATAACTACGTGATCGCACAACAAGTTCCTCGGGATATTGTGAAGCACATCAAGTCGTGAATGCTTTCGCCCAGAGCTTTGTCCCCTTTTCAGCTCAGGCAAGTAGTACAAAGCATTGCTTACTTAAACTCCATACAGGAATCGGGCAGAGGTCAGACACCTCCTATAGCGCGGGATCGAGATTGGTTCGATCCCGAGATTCAAAAACTGCTGCTCGGGAGGGGTCTTGCTTTTTACGATAAAGCGGCACCTGGGGATGGCGAAAGCCGAAAAGGATGCCAGTTATTATGCGCATACCTTCACCATGGCCTCCTGCGGCCACATATACGGGAAAGGCCTTGGTCAGGTGGTGGAAAGCATAACCGCAGATTTCAAGCTATCCCTCTAAGCCATCTTGGCCGTACCAGGCACCTTGGATCTCATCGTGGCAAGGCGCTGGCGAGGGTGATTATCACTTGTGGTTCTCGCCCTCCATCGTATTCGACGCCCTCAAAGATCTTTCTGCATCGCATAGCCTGACGAAAGAGCAGCGAAAAAGGCCTTCATCAGCCTATGACAAGGCCGATGAGGATTTGGCATTGCATGCTCCCACAATCTCAGAAGGTTATGGCGTTGCTGATATCCAGTTCAACAGCGAACTCGCTCGCCCGGATGAAGATCCCTACCAAGCGTTGTTCGAAGTGGCTCAGAAGTGCGAGAGAAATGATTTGAAGGAGGTACGTCCTCTGATCATTGCCATCACCTGCATATGGGAAACATTGGGTCATGAGCCAACGCACAAACTTTAACAATTCCCCTTAGGGCTGACATGGCACTAGGTTCTGGGTTCTGTTCGCATTGTGGCACACTGTTGATTCCCCCCCCCCCTTGGATGGGCCTCTATCAGAAAGCGGTCAAAGAGCCTGGAATAGTGCTCAGATCGTTGGTGTAAGCCAGCTGCCTCCACACAAGTACTTTGTAAGACGACCCGTTTCGCGGGTGCTGCACGTGACTTTATCTCATTATTCGGCAAAATTGCCATCTGAAAAATTACTGCAATAGGCAATGGACCCCAGCTCGTCGATTTCGCGGTTCGCATCGAGAGCATTTGCACTTCCATTTCCACCCACTGTTTGAAGTCGTCTTTGTATGTCAATCAGCGTCACAGGACTCTCCAACCCTGCCTGCAAAGATGGCTTACTCCCCATCTCCTGCTTCTCCCCTACCAGGCCCTGACAATGCCAACTACCCTCATCGACGCTCACCGAGTCCTCCTGCACAGCCAATGTCGAAAAGAGATAAAAGAAGAAACCAACACGCTGCCCACCAACAAGAGCTTTACAATGAGCTGTCATCGAACCGAGAACAGCATTATCGAGAACAGCTCATAGCCCTCCAAACCGACATGAATCTTATTTCACAAGCAGACCCCTACGATCCCGAACCTCTAGATGATTCACCGGAAGAGGTGGCTAGAATTGCAGAGTTGGCTGCATCTGGTACACCATACCAGTCCCAAATGTCTTCCCTCGCTGGGAAATGGTATGCCGAATTTGTTCATGATGTCAACGACGCGAAGGAAGCAAAAGAGCTAGCTCTCATACAACTCATGGTACGGTGGGCCCTTGAATAACGACGTTGGCATCTTTCAACGTTTCTGACTGATAGCCGTAGAACAATCACAATGCTCGACTGGAGAGAGTTAAATACGAGTGTGATTATCGTCTGCATCTTGCCGCTGAGGAGTGCGAACACATGACCTCCACCCTGCGGGAGCGGCTCTTTCAAGCACTGTCCAACAAAAGACAACGACTGATGAAAGAGAAGGAACAACTTGACATTGCAGACACCAACGCCCTCCTCCTTCACCCCAGCCAATTCAGCATCACCAATCCCGCTAGCCCGGGTGGCAATCACACCAGTCGCAAAACGCGCTTCACCAGACATCGAGAGCAGGAAGACATGAATGGAGTGGGCGAAGTCACAAACAAGAGGAAACGGAAGCTCCCGGAGGACGATGTGGGCTCACCATCTCGAAACGGCTTCTCGACTCCGGCAGACCGAAACCGCGCCGCTTTGGCCAACCAGACTGCCCCTCTCTATTCGATCCACTCCCTGTTCACGGACAAAGAACTCAACTTCCAATCCCACCAAGCACAAATCGCAGCGCGACACTTCTTTGCAACATCACGAAAGGAAGGTGAAACTGGCAACACAAGAAAACGCGGAAAAGATGTGGATGACAAACGCACTAGATCTGACGATTCGGCATCTGAGGAAGATGAAGAGCTCGAAGCACCTGGGATGGATCGGTCCGCCAGTCAAAATGTGCATGTGACGAGGTCGACACGGACAATCGGTGGCTTGGGTGGATTGAATACGCTCAGCGACTTGGCGGAGAAAGCTGCAACACGTCCAGCATTACCGTACGCTACGCTACATACACATCAAGGAAGACAAGGAACATTCCTTCCGCAGCCGAGTCGGTTATTGGCCGAAGAGCTAGAAGAGGATTTGTTGAAGTTGACTCAAATCGAGACCCGGCCCAAGGGTCAAGTAGACAAGAGGGCCATTGAGGAAGCACTCAAACCTTTGGCAGAATCACGAAGCAACCTGGCACCGGATTGGCCAGTCTATCTAGACGTGCATTTGGTGGATGTGGATCCAAGAAAGACAGCAGGGCTTTCTTGAGGCTAGATTTACTCGGAGTGGGATGTCCTACGATGAACGACTTGCCACGACATTAGAAACGAAGTGCAGCCTTACAACTAGAACGAGATGGATGGGATGGAATATTACTGATTTGGAAACGGAATGGATTTGGACCAGGGGGGAAAATATTGAAAGATTCGCCGCAATGGGGTAGGAATTTGCTGAAGCCGGAAAGATGCCGGTGTCGCCGATGGCTTGTGCGATATCCATAGGCAGTGGTGTTTCTCCGATTCAGGTACAGAACTCTACTTTGTTGGCAATGCAAGATGCTCCGAACGATAGTGATGGTGTCATTGACGGCATTTTCTTCTCCATATTCCCCGGTCTTTTTCCTCCCCGCACGTTTTTCCAATGCTGAAAGCATCCACAAGCGTGTTGATCATGGCACCCTGTCCGTCCGTGCCCTGGTCAAGGTCAAATCCCTCTTTCTCCACCATCGCATCATGTCACCATCCAGATGACTTCTCTCAATGACTACTGGTGACAGAGCTGCAGTGTTGAATGTAACCTGTAGTCAACTTTACAAAGTGCTAGTAGGTTCAGGTATAAGTCTCCCCTCCACGTCCCGCCGCAACAGCACTTGGTTCCTTTACTCTGTGCGTTCTTCATATTCGTTCAGGTAGTGATAGACCGGATTTCCTTGCAAAAATGTGGTCAACACTCATCAATGTCCTCCTGACCCCAACCGTTGTTCTGCCTGTCCTAGGCCAAACCAGCACCAGACCCGCTAGTGCGACTGGCACCGTCAACCCTTTCGCCCTGTATACCTTGACAGCGGAAAATATCACGGCTAAATTTATTCCCTACGGTGCCCGCCTTACTTCTCTCCTAGTCCAGGATCGTGATGGCAATGAACAAGACGTGGTGGTGGGCTATGACAACGCATCCCAATATCTGGCAGACACGGAGACAAATCACACATATTTTGGCCCAATTGTAGGTCGCTATGCCAATCGTATCAAGAATAGCACTTTTACTTTGAACGGCCAAACCTATCATATACCGGCCAATGACCACGCCGGCGCCGACACTCTCCACGGAGGCACGATCGGATACGATCAAAGAAATTGGACAGTGGTGGCTGCTTCAAGGTCAAGCATTACCTTTAGTCTCCTTGATACGGGCTTCCAAGGATTTCCAGGCACGGTGTTGACGACGGCAACCTACAGTCTCGGGACCTTTCCCAGTGGTGCTCAAGGAGAAGTGCGTCCGAGATTGACGAGTACTATGATTTCTCAAGCTCTCGACCAAGAGACGCCCATCATGCTTGCGAATCACATCTATTGGAACTTGAATGCCTTCAAGCAAGCAACCATATTGAACGACACCACCCTGTGGATGCCTTATTCTGACCGGTACATCGTGGTTGATCCTATTTTGATCCCAACCGGTGCTTTAGGATCGGTCTCGAATTACCAGACTCTTGACTTTACCTCACCCAAGTTGCTAGGAACAGCGGTTAATAATGCCACCGGTACTTGTGGCGCAGGCTGTCAAGGAATCGATAACGCATTCATTCTCGACAGGCCCGCCAATGCAGGTTCGACATCACCCAACTTCCCAGTGCTCTCACTTTGGTCAGAAACCACGGGCATTCAAATGGACGTGTCCACGAATCAGCAAGGAGTTCAAATCTATAGCTGCAACGGTCAGAATGGAACCATTCCAGTCAAGCAGAGTCAGCAGGAAAGAAACGATGGTACCCGAACCGCAGCTAGATTTGTCAACAAATGGGGATGCCTGGTAATTGAGACGCAGGCGTGGATTGATGGTATCAATCATCCTGAGTGGGGAATTAGTGACTATGAGCTCTTTTCTCCTACCACTGGCCCAGCGATGAATTATGCGACTTACGATTTCTCGACATTTTGAGGGGTCTTTTAAGGGGGAGTATGAAAAGAGGGTTTGCCGGATGGTGGCCAACACGATGAAGCGCGTTGAGCAGCCAATCAAAAGTCGCAAAATAACGTCATGGTAAACAAACAAATTTTTTGGGAGCATCAAGAGCTCTGAGTGATTCTCTGCTATCGAATCTGAGAGATTCGAGACTCAGCTTATCATTTGTAAATAAATCCTCCAGACTATCATGTCGAATCCTCATGTCCTCGCCCTGTGATGAAATGCAAAAATAGCCCGAGCATTCCACCATCCGTCCGTTCCCTCACGTCACAATGCCCCGATCCACCGCCGTTTCCTCCTACGACAATGAAGTCAGCTCCCCTGACCCTCTTGCCACCTCCTCTAGCGGCGAGAACACGACTGGACATGTCGCGGTCACTAATCGATCGCAATCACCCAAGAAGCAGACCGCTCCTGTAAACAAGAGTCCAAAAAGAGCGTCAAAATCAATCTCCCACGATTCTGCAGCCATATCATCATCTCCTTTTCGCGCTGTCTCAGAGCAAAATCTCAGCCCATGGAAGATTAGGGTCACGGTCGAAGCAGAGCCCGATGATTCGGAAACGGGAGACGCATCGCAGACAACAATGACTAGGACGATGAAGATACCACTACGGCCAGACTCCCCCCGGGAGAACAACGCGAAAACGTCTACGAGGGGGAGGAAGTCTCAATCAGCGGTTACCAAGAATAAGAGAAGCGCGACACCGGTACGAGGAGGGACAAATCGAAGCCGACGTCGAAGACCAAGCGTGACCGATTTGGACATAAGACCACTAGGAGACGATGAGGAAGAGGATGATTGGCTCAAGTCGCAGGTCTCACCACGCAAGAGGCGAGCGTCTCGAAGCCGGAAGAGTACTCCAGTGCCAGAGACCGGTTCACAGGTTTCCTCGTCTTCTGGAAGATCAACAAGGAAGAAATCAACTGTTTCAGAATTTGAAATCCGACAAGATACAGATGCTGAAGGCGACGTTGGAATTCTTCGTCGTCATGATGCTATATCGGAGGCTGAGTCTCCAGGATTGCGCAAGATTGACATGAATCGCGTGTCTGTCCGGCCTCGAACACTGCCCACAAAACTCCGAGCAGATGAAGAACTCGAACACATGGATTCAAACGACCACAATAACTCAGAAATCGCCTCCACATACAAACCTGCGGAAGTTCGAAGAGTGTCCGTTAACAGCGCGATGAGCTATCCAACTCCTTCTCCGACTTCCTCCTATCATAGAGATTCGGATGATATTGGAAAAGTTCCTGATGCTGAGCCTGTTCGGGTTGACGAAAATGAAGGGGTTGACTCAGTCTCAGAGAGTGAGGGATTCACCATGATCGATTTGGATACGCTCCCCTCCGCCAGACGATATTTGAGCACCTCTGAAACCGAGGCAGGAAACCATTATCCAAACTCCGCTGAGGAAGCTTCTTCAACAAGCCAAGGATCATCAGCAGCATTACAAGGGAAGGCGGAGATTTCTCCCGAAGCTCTCCAGCCTTCAACCGACAAACACACCGTCGCCTGCCCTGCTCTGAACCTTGACGAAAGTGAAATATCAAGCACTGTCCCATCGTCACCACCACTCGTGGAGCGGGAAAAAGGTCTTCTTCAGGTGCCGTCTTCATCATCAGCAGGACTGGCGCGAAAGGTGACACCTCAACCATACTCTTCTCCTAAATTGCCATCCCCCCCCAAACAGATTGTACGAAAAACTCCTCGGCATCAACATCGTGGATCGGCCAGCGCTATATTTGCGGGTATTGCATTGCAAGAAGTGGTATCGCCGGAACATGTTAGTGATAAACCTTCGTCGACGGAGGGATCAGCCTCCGCACCATCTCAGGATTTGGATGACGATGATGTCGTGTTTAAAGGCTTCGATTCAGGTACCAAACGCGAATTGAGAGCTGGCCTCAGGTTCGGAGAGGAACTTGCGAAAAGACAGTCGCCAAGTCCGCCGATGGAGGCAGCTCCTCCATCTACCTCTTCGCAGACACAATCCAGGTCTGATCTGACGACCGGATATCCGACATCGACACAAGTCTGGCGTGGGGAAACCACCGTTCAACGAACACCACTCCAGAGCTCCGCAAATTCCAGATCCAAGGTGGTAGAGCTGGGCAGACCTATAATAGAGACGCCTCAAATCCCATCCCCGAAAAAGAGAGATGAAACAATTCTCGATACACAAGCTCGACGTGAACGAGAATGGCAACTCGAGAGAGAAGCAGTATCGAGACAAATTCAAAATGCAAGCGAAAGCCAAGTCATCGTGATCGACAGTGATGATGGAGATGATGTTCCGGCAAATGGGAGTGAAGATATGGCAGCTGCGGAAACACAAACCGCCGTTCCAGACGAACAAGTCGAAGGCGAGGAGGAAGAGGATGTTTGGCTTGCAGAGGCGAAGAATTCTTCCAGCTCAGATCCCTCTCTCCTACACGCTTCTCAACCCACTGGAAACGATCTCTTTACCCGCACAGAGCAACTCGAGCAACGCGAACGAGCAAAGGAGGTCGTGAGTAAGCCTAGAGGATGTCTAATACCAAGCCCTTGGAAGAGAGGTGATGATATTTCTCCTCCGCAAGAACAAAACACTCTCTTATCCACCTACACAGATGACATGAGCGGTCTGATATATTGGAAAGAACCAGAAAGCCAGATCAAATTCGGCGCCGGTGAAATTAAGAGACAACAATGGAGGCACAGAAGTGGCAGTGGAAGATTCGATATTGATCTAATGGCGGGGACACCGAGAAAGGAAGCCGTCGAGGATGAACCTGTCTCTCTGGAAGGGTCAAGCTTTGCTGAAGAGGATAATGAACGGCCGAGACATTCATACAATTCAACTGCAACTGACGGTGTGCGTGAAACACTACCGACGAAGCAAGCGGAAGATGGTACTCTCGACGAGACGAACGATAATTTAGAGGGAGCCACGTCTCCTGAAGCTCCAGTGAAAGTCTCTGTGAATTTCAACGATTCGTCCATATCCATTGGAACATCACCAGCTCAGATCGGACATTCTCAACTTCAGCCGCCTTTCGCTGATACCACCTCAATATCATCTCCTCAACGACCACCCACTCCTCGCTCAGCCATGAAAGGCTCTCGTCAAATTTTTGAGCAAACGCTCGGGACACAGAGAACCGATACACCAATAATGATCAGAAAGGTGGTCTTCAGTGAAAGATCACGCGGTGTGGATATTCACGGCCTGGAAGGGAGTTTCAGCATAAGGACATCGAGTGACGATTCCATGGGTGGTGAAGCCGGAATGCAATTGAATCGAGAATTGCTGTCTCATGAGCAAGAGCAGGAAGATTTACACGATGTTGAAGTCCAACGTGAACTTGAGGCGGAAGATGAAGAACCTCAAGCTCAGGCCGAAGTGGCCATGTCGACTGCAGAAGAAATGCAAACTCGACCTGCAACCGCCTGCAGGGACTGGAAAAATTGGTTCTGGGGATCAAATCGGACAACCAAACCTACGTCGTCAACACCAGAGCAATCAGACACCGAGCAAAAGACACAGAAGCAGAAGCTTTTCTCCAAGTCAACAAGGCCCTCCAACCTTGTCTCCCTTGAGAACAAAAGCCAACCTCTCGAATCAGCCTGGGAGAAAGCCAAAGCCACGGTACCTTCTTCCGTTTCCTCCCACAAACCGCGTGGCAAGAGTGCTTTCAACCGCATCAAACTGCCTTCCTACCTCCTCCCGCCATCCTGTCCGTCCGATCCTCTCCGACCATCAACATCGCCCCTGGCGCTAGACGGAAACTTCACCAACACCCACTTCCGCACTCTCAACATCATATACCGAAAATCTCTGCGTCCCAAGTTCCATGCACCGGCGCGAGATACGATTCGAGACGAAATCCTCGCGCTCAGAGGCGTAGAGATGGAAATCGACGAGAGCGAGAATGGCATAGACAGAGGTGTGTTCACTTGGAAAGTCAGTGATGGCGAATGTGAGGTGCTTGAGCGGTTTATGCAGGAAGTTGAGCTGAGTCATGGGTGGTGGAAGGGGAAATGGGTTGGGATTGGAGTAGGCGGGCAGGGTGATGATGAAGGCGAAGATGAAGAGGATAGAAAGGGAATTCACTGGGGTTGGTCCGTAGAGCAGTTGGCGATGTGGCTTTGTCGAATTGTCGTGGGCGAAGCTGTGAGGGAGGAGGAACGAAAATCCCAGTCCCGTTCTTCTAAGCTACTAGTAGCTGATACAACGCTAAAGACGTTCACAGAAAACAGAAAAGAAGGGCATGGCCAGGTTGGAGGCTAACCCATTAAATGGTACTGCGCTCGGAAGCAAGGCATCGAGGCCGTGGAATATTATAAAAGATCAAACTGAAATTGAATTACTTGAATTGCCCATCGACTCTAGAGAGCGTGGTTTCGACAGACTGTCGAAATGGCGGCACTCGAATCCAAAGCCAAAAAAAGAAAGGGAAAGAAAAATGGGTCAACAAAAGGTAGGGAAGTGAAAGGGATAAAAAGGGCAAGCATTTATTTGCGGTATCTATGTTGCTGCTCTGTTCGGTTAAGACTCGAAACTTTTGCTTTCCTTTGCATGCGTATACTGTAGCCTTGTGATCCTGTTCAGAGATCGTCATAGCTTGTGTGGGGTAGTAAGGCGCATATATCCATCTGGGTCTTACATTTCCCAAGCACATATATAGGCTGAATGAACTGGGCCGTAGAAATGGTTTGGAACAGAAAGATTCGTGGGTGGGTGCTTGAGTTGCTCCATGACTTCACAGGACCTCCCTGTCCGAGATTTTGTGAAATCGAAAGATGATGGTGTCTGGTCCATTGTAGGCGACAAGAGAATCGAGAGAAGAACAGAATCTGTGTCAGTATGGGTTGGATGCTTGCTTGTGTTCTCGAAGAAGTTGGCTAGAGGAAGTAACGACAGGTCTTTCGCATATGCTTTCTCGTTCACGGCATCAACCCTCGCTCCAAAAAATTCGTTTCTTCCATTTCGTTTGAACCTTTTTGGTTTGCTTATCAAAGTCCGCATGCAGCAGTCAAGATATTTTGCGGTGGTCCGACTGTCGAATACCCATCACCCGCGTTCCCCGGGAGAATGGCACTATATCCCGCGTTTCCCGTGAATTTGCAAGGTCCATATCCTGTGACAATACCGATTTTATCAATAGTGATGTCGTTGCAATCGCCAATGGCATAGGCTGGTAATCCGAGACACTCGATGTTCCCCAAGTCGTACGTGGTACCATCCGGCGGAACCCACATGCCATAGGTTTGAGATGCTCCGACCATGACAACATTGGTGGGCCAGTCATCTGAGAAGGCTTCATTGCTGACAGGAGACCGAACTCTCAACATTTTGGGATTGGGTGATTTCCGAACGATTGGATTTGCTGGGACAATAGCAAAAAATGAGACGAGCCAGATAGAAAATAAGGTGATGTAGTACATTTTGAGGGCTGTACCGTGCATTAGCTTGGATGAATTGAATTAAATTCACGTGAGGAAGAACTTACGCTGATGAAAAGGAAAACTTTTACGACCTTTACTACCAAATTCCAAGGTCTCAGTCACCAGATTGATCTTCGCGATTTCAGATTTTGTTGTCTCACACCAGGATGACCAAATTAACCCTGAATAGCCGGTGACGCGCTGGTTTACTTCACAAACGGGAGAACCCTGGGAGATTATACGGGCTAATATGGTGCTTGCACCGTGAAAGATTTCCGTTGTTTGTGTAACAGCTCTGCCTTCCCCCAGTAGTCGTGAACCGTTGTTGGAGACCCCACAAATGAATAACAGGTTGAGACAAGTAGAACGCCAGGGATTTTGACGGATTGAAGTCTCAACGAGTCTGAGAATCAATCATGCTGGTGTCTGGGGGGGTTGGAGTAACGATCGTGAGGATAGTAGAACAAGGAAAGCGGAAGGCAAAGCGGCCAAAGCCAGACTGATATTCAAGGCGTCTGAAGGGCCGAGAGAAAACCAAGTCCAAAGGTTGAAGTTTGAACGGGCTAAAAACGAAGCCAATGACCGGTGGCGTCGAGGGGTCGAGGGTACTAACAGGATGACGAATGGTGCGAAGAAGATGGTAGTATCGAGCAACGGGTTCAGGGAATAGTTCATGCGGGCTCACCCGGCCATACATATCCAAAGATTGGGGACTTGTACATGATAATCGGGATGCGGTTTGTTGCTGGTCAACGAAGATCTTAGATATGAGACATGGAGGATGACGAAGGTCGGTAACGGTTTGCTCGGCGTAGGGGCAGCAGCCGATTTGCATTGGGTCCTGAAACCCCTGCAGAAGTATGGATATGAATCCTTGATCTGGAACGTGATGGGTTCATCATGCCCGACTAGACAAAATCCTTGAGAAACGTGGCGCGGAAGAAGCCCAGGCCCATCGAGGTGGGCTGGGGGGGGGCGCGGGGGCTGGGAATTTGACCAGTTGGCTCGCAGGATTCATTCAGAGGACGGTGAGTACTGAAGCTTGCCCAAATAAAAAAAGCGACATGACCAAGAAGCGAACAAGACTGTTCAAGTCAGGCCGTAATTGTAATGGAGGATGGTCCATGTTGGATGTGCCGAAGCAGAGAAAAAAAATAAATCAGAAGATTCAGGAGGAACTGCCGCCCTCTGCCAGGTGGGGGACTAGAATAGGTACCAGATTGTACCTGTCCCACCGAAAATGTACGGTATGGTACGAGCTTTTCTGGATCGCGCTATGTGACAGCTGAGACCGCATGCTTCCTTGGAACACATCGGCTCAACTATTGATCTTCCGCAAAGCATCCGGACCTAGCTGGCGTTTATTCTATCATGGGTTGAAATGCAGCCTACAACATGTGCTCCCGAGGATCCCAGCTCAACACGATCCTCATCATCATCCTCGGTACTCAGGTCGTTGTCGTTGAGATACTGCTTCCGTGACGATGACCTTTTTCCAAGGCCTTACCTCAACCGTGTGCCTAATCGATTGGCACAGCCGCTCCTGGCGCAATTGTTTCTCCGCAAAGCCCGAGCCGGAGTTCGCCAAAGAAAGCCAAGGTCGTCTGGCGCAAACCCAAAAAACCCAGTTTCTGCATCCTAAGCGGTGAAAGTTGTCTATTTTCTCCGACGCCTGTGCTACGGATAACCAGTCCGAAAGAGATGGGATTGCTAGGAGAGATAGCGACTGTTCCTCACTCCCTCTCCAGGCCTCCTGAGGTAGAGCTGCTCATAACTCATCGACTTTTGTCGGGAGAACTTGCACAATGGGCCTAGTCTCACGTCGGACTACAAGGCCGTTACTAGTAGCTGACTACTGCTTATCGACCGACCACGCTTAGGGTGTCTGGGAGTCCTATGCATTAGAATCCACGCCATTTCAAACCCAGTGTCGCGTCCAGAGAAACGATTATCATCTGAGCGAAAAGGCTCCGTGCTCAATTGAAGCTGTCTTGTAACTAGCTAGCTACCTGTGTTTGTCCCCGTCGGGTTTGACAGCTGACAGGCTGCCTTGGATGATCAATCACCGTTCGCCATGGAGTACGCCATGGGGCTATTTCTGCGACATGTGCACTTCCCAGTCCCCTCTTCGAGCCTCCTTCCGCAATACATATGTGTGCTACACCTCTTCCCATTAGGACAGCACATGCACCTCGTAGAAATTGTTGTGCTTGGTGCACCACAACAGAATGCTGCATGACGGGATCCATGGTCGAGCACCACCTATTCCCCCGTTGGATGATCCCGAAGTACTTTCCGAGGTGTACGGCATGGTCTTGAACGGTGGTATTTCCATATATCTTTCAATTCCAGTCTTGATTTGGTTCGGCTCTGGGTGGGTCTCACGGTAGTGTCGAGAATGTGGAGGAGCCTGCCAGACATTGTTGCTGTTTTGTGTAATGAAGTATCTCGTGGACATGCTCTGGTATGTACTGTATAGAATCATTGAACATTGCGAGACTTCTTCATCAAGAGCCATTCCATTGCCCTCATCGTCATCGTGGTCCAGTGGTGGCGTGGTAGTGGTCATCGGATCGCCCGGAAGGATACTCGTTGGAATGTTCCATTGTTGTTGTTTGAGACGGCCGTGAGATGGTGAGAACATATCATTATGGAGCACTCTGGTGGTCACTTCGACAATGTGTGATACTTCACATTTCGGAAAAGTATATTCGGCGTCATCGGCGCATTCGAGGAATGATCGCAATTGGTTGTTCATCAAATGACGACCTGGATTGACGAAGCATCGTGGCAAGTGAGCCGGATTCCTTTCGGCGACAGGACAGCAGAAGAGTTTGGGTCGGCAAGCTAATGGTGGAGCGGCGAACGTATTGCGAGATTTGACCATGCGATGACTCTTATTGTTTCCACTGGAGGGCGACCCGACACCTGGAGGAGCCATATTTGGGATGCGAGGTGATGGAGGTGGAGAGGGACCCGGTCAGGTTGTCGAAATGCTGAGGTTCTGGTGAGAGATGTACTGTCCAAACGAAACCTCGAGTACCCGGTCCCCTTGGAATAAGTATTTCACGATCGGATTGCGGTGCATCTGTCAGTGCATCTAAAGTCTCCAATCAGTTGAATGTTTCTCAAATATGAGCCTGCTGATGAACAAATACCATGGGGATCAGCTCTTGCAAGGTGATCTGCAGGAAGTTGACGAACTGACATACACAGGTTGAACCTGCCGCGCACGACCACTCACAAGTGTTGCCACTGGCCCAAACGACCAAAACCCAAGGACAGATGAGCCAATATTGTGGTCATTTTCAGTGGGAGAGGATTCTGCTTCACACTCGATCTTTTGCCAGGGACACGCTCAGTCTTACGTAGTCGAGCCTTTTCCTATTATTTTCACGGCCTCTCGAAGACCAGACTCACCCATTGACACTACAACATTGAATCACGATGTGCTCCGCCACCACACGCCATTCATCACTGATTCTGGACCACTTGGATATTATTCTTCTTCTGCATTTTGGGTATTAGTGCATCCACAGCAAGATTGAGAAATTCTGCCCACCTTCCACTTGTCCATCTCATCCTGTTTGCTCTTGTATTGTTTCACCAACTCATCCAACACTTGTTTCAATCCATCCGAATTGGTCTTGAGAGCAGGGAGAACATCCTTCACGGTTCTCTCAACGAGCACGCCGTTGATGAGTCGAAAGCATTTACGATCTTCGGGGAGTGGCTGTAATGTCTCCGTCACCAGTCTGGCATTATGTGTCAGCTGAGTACTCATCATGATCCAAAGAGCTCAGCTCAACGCTCACTTGTGTTCTTCGATTTCTTGCTCGATCTCGCCGACCTTCTGCGCGAGGGATTGCAGAGTGTTCTTGTAGTTGGTGTATTGCGATTGCAGATCTGACGACGCATTAGCGATATCACACCGTGTGGGAACCTTCATGTACCTTGCTGTTTTCGGAGAGCGGCTTCCTGACCTGATGCCATCTTGTCGTCGAATGTTTCAAAGATTTACAAGACGACGCACGTCGAAGGGAAATCTGCCGCCGAATTTGGGAGGGCTGCGCCGCCGCTTTTGGCGGCATTATTCCCACGATGCCGAGCCACCACCTCACCATCGCTGGTTCTAGGTTTATAGTTCAGCGTACATCTCGACAACTGCCAGGCTGCGGTCTTTACTGATAAATTCTGTCGCAGAATGTAGCGGGTGGTGCCCGCGATTTCAAGGCGCTATCTAGTTCAGTCATCATGCTGTATGGATGCATGACTTGTGAGATTTTTTGAAAGTCTAACTGATAACCGAGTTCTAGACCATTTCGGACCCCCTTTTGCCACTTTGGGCTCTGTTCTTCTTTTGAGCCTCCTTCACCACCCTGAACTCCGGTCATGACTCTGTGCTCCTTCAGCATTTGGGGCTCCCTTCATCGTTTCGATTTCCTTTGAGATTCTATGGCCGACACTCTCATGTTGACGGGAGATTTTGCTCAGAATCTGATGTCCTCTTCACATCCGAAGCCAGCCCACGCCCCAGATGCTATTTTGGACTCAAAGAGGTCCACCATCCAATTTTGTCGCTCCATCGTCAATCCATGACGAACATGTTCCAATTGCTCTAGAGCGAGCCGGGGAGGATGAGCTTTGAGCTTCAGGTGGTATCGATTGAACAAGGAAATCAAGCCCACAGCAGCTAGCTGGTTCACCATGGTTCGCATATCGTCAGTTGTGGCTTTGAATTCAATCGAGAAATAGGGACAGAATGTGCCTTTGCGCTTGCAATGCACGAAAAGACCGGCCTTTGTTCGATAACTGGCATTTAGGATCTTGTGGCAAAGCCAGAATTGACAGCCAGAGTATATGTCGAAGCCTAAGGGTTTGAGAGAAGAGTGGTCCGGAGAGAGTGGAGGTGCAAGCCACTCGCTCTGCTGAGGACTTCGGCAGGGCTTGAGTGACCATTCCGCAGAGCGAATAGCACAAAGCGGTCTTGTTGCGTCATTTGCTAAGAGGGTGTACTCCCCTATGAATAGATTCTGAAAGGCGCATATCTTGAATTCAGATTCTGGGACGTCCGCCTCTCCCAGGCTACGATACACCGTGCACACGTACTCGACAAAGACGCAGTCCATCGACAGGAATATCGAATCGTCGATATCGCGTTCAACTCTTCCTGTAAGGCTCTTCTGGACGACAGATCTGTAAAATTCGCGCGAGTTGACCGAGTCGGGAGGTGTTTCAGAGCCAAAATAGGCATAAGCTCCTGCTACAGAGACATGGTTCTGATTCACCGTTCTGTATATCTCAACTCCGCGCGGAATCAACTGAGTCTCTTCGAAGTCGACGTCTCGGACTGCGGCATTTTTGACGGCCTGCCGTCTGGTGGGTGCTGGCGTAGAGGTGCCTCCTGTGAAAGAGGCTGCCGGACCGTCATCAGTCGGACCGTCTTTCCACTGGAGAACGTGGCTTATTCAAGCGAGCCCCGTTCCTGCGTTGACTGGCTTCCGTCAGGCGTAAGTATGAGGGAGTTGTTGGCGCCATAACTCCTCGCCAAAGGAGCTTGGGATTGTCTACTGACGTGTTGTTCACGTGACTCTACCGCGCTTTCAGACCCACTTGACTTGCACTTACAATTAAGCTCCTGTGATGCGTCACGGAAATTATCAGGATACGTTATAAGGAGATGAACGGTCGCTTACGCATTGTGGAGAGAAACAGGCGGCAGTCAGAGAGTTGATTTGAGACCCGCCCAACCGGAGGCGGATTTTCCGCATAAACTGCGGGTAAACTTTTTCTGGTGATGTTCAACTTTGCACAAATTTCTCTCTCGCAGTCAACTCTCCAAAACAACATCTACTCTCCATGCCTAGGTATTGATATCTGGAGTTTCGCCTATTCCATTATGGAACACAATCACAGTCCGAAAAGACGCAAACTCGCTGGTGGCTTCCATTCTATACAGGATGAATCCACCGAAGACTTGAGACCATCCATGAAGCCGCAGCATCCCTCGAAAGCCCGTTTTGCCAGATCATCCGACCGAAATCATGGCCGTGCTCAGAATGCAAAGCCCCACCAGGAAGAGTTCGACGGACCCGAACCATTCTTCAATGATGAGGATACAGCAGCCCTGGATCGAGATTGGTATGCAGGAGACGAATTTGGGCATACATTCGGTGATGAGACTCACAACCCGTTTGGTGGCGCCGATGTGATGTGGGCCGATACACAACGTGAACAAGCACTGGCTAATAAGAAACTGGGGAAACGCATGACGGCGAAAGCAGCACAGAAACAAAAAGAGGTGGATGCCTGGGAGGCGAACCGAATGCTCACATCAGGAGTGGCTCAAAGACGTGACCAAGTTCAGGACTTTGACGACGAAGACTCTGTCCGAGTTCACTTGTTGGTTCACGATCTCAAGCCCCCATTTTTGGATGGGAAGACTGTCTTTACCAAACAATTAGAGCCAGTGCCCGCGGTTCGGGATTCTCAGAGTGACATGGCCGTCTTCAGCCGCAAAGGAAGCAAGGTCGTGCGAGAAAAAAGGCAACAGAAGGAACGACAGAGGCAAGCACACGAGGCGACCCATGTGGCTGGAACTGCCCTAGGAAATATCATGGGTGTAAAAGAAGATGAAGGGGATAGTGCGGCAGCGGTCCCTGGGGAGGATACGGGCAAGAGCAAATTTGCCACCCATCTCAAGAAACATAGTGGTGGCTCAGCTTTCAGCAAAAGCAAGACTTTGAAAGAGCAACGGGAGTATTTGCCGGCATTCGCAGTCCGAGAAGAGCTCATGCGAGTGATTCGAGACAATCAGGTCGTTATCGTGGTGGGCCAGACCGGTTCAGGAAAAACCACACAGCTTACTCAGTTTCTGTACGAGGAAGGTTACGCCCGCAATGGCTTGATTGGATGTACTCAACCTCGAAGGGTGGCTGCGATGAGCGTCGCTAAGCGAGTGAGTGAGGAGATGGAGGTTGAGTTGGGTGGGCTGGTAGGATATGCTATCCGATTTGAGGATTGTACCAGTGACGAAACAGCCATCAAATGTGAGTCTATTTGCCTCTTTCGCTACGAACCCCGGGACTAATTTGCCCAACAGATATGACTGATGGTGTCTTGCTTAGAGAATCCTTGACTCAACGTGATCTAGACAAATATTCATGCATCATTATGGATGAAGCTCATGAACGTGCCCTCAATACGGATGTCCTCATGGGCCTGATCAAGAAGGTTCTCGCTCGTCGCAGAGACCTGAAATTGATCGTGACCTCTGCAACCATGAATTCGGAACGGTTTTCCCGGTTCTATGGAGGTGCACCAGAATTCATCATACCCGGCCGCACGTTCCCGGTTGATATCCAATATTCTCGCTCGCCCTGTGAGGATTATGTCGATAGTGCCGTCAAGCAAGTCCTTGCCATTCATGTTTCGCAAGGAGCCGGCGACATTCTCGTCTTTATGACGGGTCAAGAAGACATTGAAGTTACCTGCGAATTGATTGAGGAGAGATTACGTCTTTTGGTCAACCCACCGAAATTATTGGTGCTCCCTATTTATTCTCAAATGCCGGCAGATCTCCAGGCAAAGATATTCGACCCCGCGCCTGCAGGCGTCCGGAAAGTCATCGTGGCGACCAACATTGCGGAAACTTCTTTGACGGTGGACGGCATAATGTATGTGGTGGATGCCGGTTTTTCGAAGTTGAAAGTCTATAATCCCAGAATGGGGATGGACACGCTACAAATCACTCCGATCTCACAAGCCAATGCCTCGCAGCGAGCCGGACGAGCCGGACGCACCGGGCCCGGCAAAGCTTTCCATCTGTACACAGAACAGGCTTTCAAGAATGAATTGTACATCCAGACTATTCCGGAGATTCAACGAACGAATCTGGCCAACACGGTTTTGCTACTCAAATCTCTCGGAGTCAAAGACTTACTCGACTTTGACTTTATGGACCCTCCACCGCAAGACACCATCACCACTTCGCTCTTCGATCTTTGGGCTCTCGGTGCACTGGATCATGTTGGAGATTTGACAGCTATTGGTCGAACCATGGCAGCTTTTCCCATGGACCCTTCTCTTGCTAAAATGCTGATCACTTCTGCCACCGAATACGGTTGCAGCGAGGAAATGCTGACGATTGTCAGCATGCTTTCCGTTCCATCGGTGTTCTACAGACCCAAGGAAAGGCAAGAAGAATCCGATGCTGCGAGGGAAAAATTCTTTGTCCATGAATCGGATCATCTCACGCTATTGCACGTCTACACGCAGTGGAAAGGAAATGGCTATGCCGACGGATGGTGTATTCGACACTTTTTGCATCCCAAAGCGTTGCGTCGGGCGAAAGAAATTCGAGAACAATTGCACGATATCCTGGTTGGGCAACAAAAGATGGAGCTCGTGTCGTGCGGAACGGACTGGGACGTCATCAGGAAATGCATCTGCTCAGGCTATTACCACCAAGCCGCCCGCCGCAGAGGAGTGGGTGAATACATCAATCTCCGGACAAGTGTCACCGTCCAGCTTCATCCTACCTCCGCTCTGTATGGGCTCGGAGATCCCCCCGACTACGTTGTCTATCACGAGCTGATCCTGACCAGCAAGGAATACATGAGCTGTGTGACGGCGGTGGATCCGCACTGGCTGGCAGACCTCGGTGGTGTGTTCTATAGTCTGAAGTCAAAAGAGTACAGCGGAAAGGAGAAGCGGGTCATCGAGAGCGAGTTCAACCGCAAAATGGAGATCGAAAGACAAATGGCAGAGGATCGAGCGAGGGAGGAGAGGAGGCGCAAGGAGGACGAGGAGAAGGAGCGGTTGCTGGCTGGAAGGACGAAAAGTAGCGGAGTGGTGATGAAGAAGATGGGAAGCAATGGAGTAGTCAAGAAGCCGATAGTCCCCAGGAGACGCATGGGGTTCTAGATACATGTAGCAATCGATCTGAGGACGTGGTGATGGGATGATCCTTCGATTGGTAGTTCGGCAGCCTTGTGTGTCGCATGGACGTCTGGTTTGACCAGGCGCTAGGACCGGGGAGGCCATTGATAGCGGGCCTGTTGTGCGCTAGTGCAGACCAAGAAGAATGAAAAATGAAGGTGGTTCAGAAGACCGTTTCGGGCGCGCTCCACATATTGACAGGCACAGGAAGTGACCACCAAACGCTATACCCGTTTCACTAAATTTCGAGCGCGCGTGTTCGAAATTTCATCAAAGAGGCATAGCGTGTGAGTGTATCGGGTGAACGTCTGGTTTTTTGTCCTTTCCATTTCTTAGCTTCAGCGATTGAAGCGAGGCTGATATTCTGCGCTAAACCCCTATCAGCATAGACTGATGAAATGCCAAGAAATACTTCTATTTCATCGCGTTCTGTTCTTTCCCCTTTCAGGCTTGTCTATCCGTCACATCTCATCCTCCCTCTTTGCACACATCCTGCACCGATCTATCCTGGTCGCATCATCAGCCTGATCGTCCCACGAAAGATGCTGACAGTCTTCTTGTCCAGACTGAAGGCAAGATCTGTTGATCAGGGCTTCTCTGTGAATGGTGGAGCCCTCAACAGCTACTCGCCCAATATCAATATTGAATTGTTTGTAAACACCATGGCACAGTAATTCGGCTACCTGTCCAGTTGGTCTTTATACCTAGCGCCGCGGACGTGGGTGGCAGGACAAGACCGCTCTGAGTTGAATTGTGTTGATTCTACCCTGCAGAAAAAGGGTGAGCGCTGCAGTTCTTGCGCGCGTCTTAGTACAGTAAGTCTTGTCCTCCAGCGAAGACCGTCGACACAGTGCACGCGTGTGCTGCGACGGCTCACACTGCCTTATACCTTTCTCTCTGCCCCCGCGCCACCACCACCCACACTCTCAGAAACAACTAACCAAAATGTCTCCAGGTGACAGAGAGAGAAAGTCCCTAGAAGGTAGGGCTCCCGAACCCCTTTGTAAGTGATTTCCAGTCTCTTCCCGATGTCGACGAACGACGCCGCCGCTACTGCAAGGCTGTCGACATGACGTCCATCTGACGAATGGACGAACCCATCCATCAAAGGGATAAGTCCTACTGACAGGAGACAGCTCTCCTTTTCCACCAGAAATCCATCGAAGAGCGACATCTCCCATCCCAGATACTGCCTTCTTCCTTCTCACCACCGAGTTCGACATCTGGGAATTATATTCAAAGACTCCAACCAGGCTCCTCCCCTTTCTTTGCTAGCTCTCGGTCAGATTGTCGTCCACGAGGAGCTTCTACCTTTTCCCGTCAAGGCGGTGCAGCAACAACCTCTCCTGAAAAGGTCCCTCCCCCAAGCACACCAGAAGCCCTTACCTCATCTTTTGCCAAGTTTCCCTCTTCACCTCTTGCAAGTAAAGCAGAAGGCAAAAGCAAACACCTCTCTCGACGACCCACACAACCGTTTTCTCCGTCACCTCCCCCCCAGAAGGGTTCGAATCGTTCCCTCTCTCGAGCACCAAGACGTGTAATCCGGCCAGATAATTTCTGGCAAAAGGACCGAAAACAGTCACCCAACGGTCTCGATCATTATCTTCCGCCGCCAGTAGTCCCGAAATCACCTCTACGATTTCTACTATCAGTTTCAACCCCAGCTGGTTCTCCAACTGCAGAGTCACCCACACAAGAGACTCAAGATTCGGAGTCTCTTGAAGACAGAGTTCTTTGGGAAAAGCTCTCGCCGCCTCCCCTTGTCGCCCGGAAGACCAGGGCTGCAACCAGCCCAGGGGCTCAGCCAAAGCCGGCGACCGCTAATCCAGAAGCTCCAAAAACTGATCCACCATTAAGTCCCACTGTTATCGCACAGCGACAAAGGGCACTCGAAATTCTCGAATCATCTCCAGAGGTAGTTGACCCGAACCCCGGACCACAAATATCGAAATTCGAAAGGCAGAGACGTCGAGCTGCGTTCAGTATGGACCATCTTCACCCTGACTCGGCTGCGGCCACTGGCATGACTGCACACCGTCGTGAGGCGGTTCGCCTTGCAGAAGTGCAACAACGTGCCGTGCTGGAGAGATGCAAAAGATCCAAACAACCCGAGCCTGACTATGCGTTTGATGAGCTGATAGGCAAAGGTAGCTTTGGCAGAGTGTACAAAGGGTAGGTAGCCCCTGTGACGGTGCATTTTCTGCCTTGGGGGCTTCCTTGACTCTTTCTGATTTTCCTTATTAGCCGTCAACTATCCACCAACAAGGTTGTTGCCATCAAGGTTCTCGATATTGACGAGGCCGATTTTCGTGCATATGGGGAGCATAAAGATGAACAAATCCGAGATTTCAATCGAGAAATCCGAATATTGCGTCAAGCACAAGAGAGCGGTGCCGAAAACCTTAATCAAATGATCGAGGCGTTGCCAGTCCACAGCCAGCTGTGGCTAATCTGCGAATACTGTCCTGGTGGTAGTGTAAAGACCCTGGTAAGTCCCTGATCTCCCCGGGTGAGAAGGACTGGAAAGACATGCCCCGAACGATCTGTCTGTCGAGCTTTTCCTCCCTTTGTCACAAAGTTGGCTGATTCTCTTTCCTCCGCAGATGAGGGCTACTAACGACCGCCTCTCCGAAAGATATATCGTCGTCGTAGCACGAGAATTGGCAAAGGCTCTCAAAGGTTTACACGAAGCTGGCATCATGCATAGAGATGTGAAAGGTATGTTTTGATCCTGAGATCCGATAGTTTGTCTTTGGATCCACGGACCTGAGACTGACTTTGTCACCGCTGCAGCTGCCAACGTCCTCATTCATCAAGAAGGACATCTCGAACTGTGTGATTTCGGTGTTGCCACTGTTCTTGACACCCGTACAGACAAAAGAAAGACATTCATAGGGACTCTGCACTGGATGCCACCAGAGTTGTGGACTGAAAACCCAGAATACTCAGATGAGGTAAGTTATTTCCTCGTACTGAAAAGAGAGCGTGTGAAGTTCTGGTAGATCTCAGGTCACAAGGAATGAAGCAACGGCGTCGCATCGTCTCGGTGATTGAACTAACCCGTTCTATAGGTTGACGTCTGGGAATACGGCTGTACCCTATACGAATGTGCTGTTGGGCGACCTCCCAACAGTGATCTGCGGGAACGACAACAACTCAAAATGAGAATGAGACGGCTCAAACAATCAATTACTCTACCAGAAAATGAGAACTTCAGCGACGGACTGCGATCCCTGATTTCCTATACCCTCAACCCTGATGTGTCCTCACGACCCTCGATGAAAGATATTTTGCAGCATGACTTCCTCCAAAACACCGAAGAATCCCACCCTACAAACATTCTCACCGAACTCGTTCAAACATATTATGCCTGGTTATTCGGCGGTGGCCAAAGAATCTCCTTATTCATGCCTGGCGGCGCTGCGGCTGCTTCCGAAGATCCTGATGCCGACATCGATCCCGCCGATGAATGGAATTTTAGTATGACTCAAGATTTCGAAAGACGAGTCTCGGCCATTCTCGAAATACCCGACCTTTCGGGTCTCTCAGCAAATGAAACAATGGAAGGAGAAGAAACACCAAAGGGATTGACACGACCCAGTGGAGTCTCACCTTCGAAAGAAATGACCGCTATACAAAAGGCAAATTTCGAAGCTCGAGTTAAACGAGGAGCTGATCTGTCAAACATTTTCGATCAAAGCAAGCCCGCCTATGAATACAAAACCAAAACCGACTTCGTTCCGATTCCTGAACAACGTCGAATTTCAGACCTTCCCTTCAGAGCCATGGCGGAAGACCGACCAAGCTCAATTGCGTCAAATGTCATCGATCTAGGAGATTTTGACGAAGCCGACTACGCAGTCGCCGCCGCACCAAGAACAGATGATAAAATTCAAACCACATACGCGGCAACACCTCTGAGAGAAGAAACTATCAGACTGGCCGACGCATCTACACTTCGTGAAAAACGGGCGAATTCCAAAGGACCCCGAGAACCGATTGCACAATCCCTAACCGCCAGACGGGCCTCATCGGCTGAAGGTGTCCCCCGCAGTACGTCCGTGCATGATTTTGGAATATCTCAGGAGGATTGGACGGTGAAGAGCAGAACCAAAGCACCCGAGTTACAAGAGCCGGCAGAAATCGCATCTCGCCATCCGGGCCATGCGACCATGGACTGGTCATTTGCAAATGCCATGTCAGAAGCAGCGATACCGCCAATCAATAAACCTGAAGAACCGACCAGCACGCTGGCACCATCTGAGAGCGCGGAATTTGAACAGAAAGCCCAAAAACACGCAACGATGGATTGGTCTTTTTCCAGCGCGATGGCCGAAGCCAATGCCCATATGCCTTCTGATCAAGTCATAGATCCATCCCCTCCCACACAATACACACGACCACCACCTACCCGTCCCGCTCCACTCACGCGTCAGATGACTATGCCCGTGACGATTGGTGACTTTGCACAAGCTGAAGAGCGAGAAATCCCACGCCCATCAACGGCACTGTCTGAAGCATACAGCGATATCAGTGCGACATCCACGGACGTTGATCCTTTTGGCCTTGAGCGTGACGAAGACGACCACCCAGGTCCGGCAACACTCGAAGAAGACGTGGCTGGAGGCATGGGGGACTTTTACTCAGGTAGAGGACGGACCATGCTGGGCGACCGCGTCGAAAAACCTTATTACAACTCATTCACCACATCGACCCCGCTCACAGCATCAGGACCGGCACCCTACAGTCTCGATCGACCTGCGCGGATTGACGAAGACGGATTTCCCGGACCTTCGGCGTCGCGAAACCCAAGTCTTGCTGCGTCTTCTTCGAGGATGCGTGCCTCCGGTTCGTCCGTTCTTTCTTGGACTTCCACGGCAACAGCGATACCAAGCCGCTCTGGCTCTGTCGCCGTCGTCGAAGTCCCTTCTGTATCCCCACCCAGTGACCGGGCAATGGGGGCTGGCGCGTCAAACGACGACGTCGAGGCCGAACTCACCCGGTTGCTGGAGGGGATGCAAGGGGCTTTGAACGCGGCGAGGGAGGTCGTGGGCGGTCTGGAGAGGAGGGAGAGGAGGGAGAATGAGTGGATAGATGAGGAGTAGGGTGTGGACCAGTGTTTACTCCTTGCTTGGGAGCCGGGGAAAGCTCCAAGTAGTCCCATAGATAACGAATGGAAACGGAATTCTCCTTGTTTTCAATACTTCAATCTTCATTGTTGTGATCGTATTCGTCTCCTGTTATACTCGTCGATGGCGCCGTTCTTCTACCTCGTCGACGCGCCAGGTGGACGTGATATCTTTTATGTTGATCGCAAGGAGTTTCTCGCCAGTAAAGTTGCGCGCGAAAAACTAGTCCGTGTTGAAAAAGGATAATGAGACCATATGGGTTGTTGATGACTGAGATGGAACTTGCTTGGTTGACACTGTACACTCTTGTCTTCCTCCGTGGTCATGGTACATGGATGGACACGGCTGGATCCCGAACTCCAAGGGCATTACTAGACACTCCCTTACTCTACCCTTCATACCGTACGCATCTTGGATCCTTCAGGGTTCAATTTCTCCTTTCATCGAAGGCGTGCTCTAGTAAGCCATCCAGTATCTATTCAGAAGTCCTGTTCTGGTGTATACGGGTCAGGTCACGTAAGCATCGGACTGTGGCGAGAGATTTGTGATAAGAGAAATTCAAATGTGACTGTGGATGCTGGTGGAAGTGATAGAATAAACACCTAACGGTGTGGGTACAGTTGAACAGAGTGTAGTGTAATGTATATCCGTGTCAATTATGATCGTGTGTAGATATCATATGGAGTTTAACCCCCTTTCCACCACCGGCCTTTCCAGCACTTTCGCAGTCTAAGATACCTTTTTGCCTCGAGGGTTTTTCGTTTGTGTGCACCATTCTTGACTTGAGAACAAACCAATCAAGGGCCCCAAAAGAAAGACTTTCTTTTTTCTCTAACTGCTCTTCCATGCTGTTGATGAATTTGTTGAACCGCTTTCAATATCGTCGAATCATTTCAACAAGTCCCACATCCAATCAACATGGCATTCATTTAAATGCCATTACCATTAGAACCATTCAGACTGTCATGAGGAGGAATCTTCTCATTTTCGGCACCCATAAGGTTAGGAGATTTAGTGGAACGTTTGAAGTATGAGCTGACTTCCGAATGTAAGTCATCTTCAAATTCCTCAGCAGCCTCGCCCTTTTCATCGACCTTATGTTGCATACGCAATTCCCATTCACCACGCATCTCCTCAATGCGTTGCTTGAAGTCAAGTTCGGGATCATAGTACTTGTTCACGCCTCGGAGACGCTCCCACAAGCTGAGGTGCTTGGGGTGAATGGCAATTCCGTGATAATCCTGCTCGCGACCAGCGCGGATATAAGCCCAGCGACGCTCTTGCTCCTTCAGATCGAGGCCGGTGGTATCGGGCATGAAAAGGACGTTAAGAAACAGACCGGCCAAACCGAACCAAGGAACGACATAGAATTTGGTTTGAGTGTCGATGTAGCTGTAAAGGACTGATGCAGTCAAAGCTCCAAGCTTACCAACGGCGGCCGAGAACCCGTGAGCAGTGGCACGGACGGCAACGGGGTACACTTCGGCGGCACAGATGAAGGTGACGCTGTTGGGACCGAATTGGTTGAAGAAAGACGACAGGAAATACATGGTCTGGAATTCCTGGATGTGTTGAATGCTGGTGTAATGCTCGAAGTTGAAGGCGGGAACGATGAACAAAATGAAGTCCATCAAGAAACCGAGGGATTGCATGTGCTTTCGGCCATAGAGTTTGTTGTCGATAAGGAAACTGGCCAAGTAATAACCGCAAAGCGAAACGCCGACGTTGATCAAGTTGTACAACCATCCGGGCATGATGGAGTTGGAGTCAGGCATGATGACTTTGATGAATTCGCTCTGGAACAACTTGTTGCCGTAGAAAAAGACGTCGTTCATGTACCAAGTACCCGCGGTAGCAATAACACGACCGCCAAAGTAGCGAATAGTCAACGACAGAGATTCGACATCGTAGCCAGTGACCCTGGACTTTTTCTTGGCAATTCTCAATTGCTTATTGGCGTTTTGCTTGACCTTGAACGTACGCCAGTAGACCAGCCACAAAGTACCAACGGCGGGAATGGCGAAAGAAATACGGAAGGTCCATTGGACAGCGACTTGCGAGTACGGGGCATTTCCGCTCCCGTGGTGGAAAATAAGCAGCAGCAAGATCAGCAGAACTTGGTTGAAGAATTGACCCCAACCTTGCATCAAGAAAGCGCCGGTGACTTTGCGGCCACGGTGAAGACGATCTTCGCGCGTGGAAACTTTTCCAGAGCCCACAGCGTTCTCCATACCGGAAGTGGCCGTCATGGGGTATTCACCACCGACCCCAATGCCGTAGAAGAACAGGGACCAGGTATAGCAGATAACCCAGCCGTTTTGGGTAACACCCCAGGAAGCAGTAAGCATGATCAGACCGATAAACATGATGGAGGCATCCTGAATCAAACCCCAACGACGGCCAATCCAGTCACCAATGACACCGACGAGAATTTGACCGACGATGATGCCACAGATTTCGAGGTATTCGACCGCGTTGATCCAGGTCTTGCTGCAGATGGTGTGGTCGTCCCAGCATTCAGGGAAACCTTTTTGGAAAAGAGGCTTCAAGTTGCCGATGGAGAAGAGGACATACCCTTCAAGACCGAGACCAGCACCGGGAAGAACCATGTTCCGCAGGTAGAAACCAACGGGAGCAAGAGGGTCTTTCTTAAACATGTTCCAGAAGGCTAGGAATTCGCGCTTGGTCTCGGCGTGGTTGACCTTGTTCACGAACTTGATTCGCTTCATGATGGGAAGGTCGGCCCAGTAGACACCGTTCTCATCGTAGTTGTCATCGGGTTTGAGCAGGTAGTTGAAGACCTCCCTCTCGTTCTGGGTCATTTCGTAGTGAAGGCTCTCCAGAGTATCGTGGGTGCCCGTGACATCTGGACCGTGAGGGTTGGGACCATAGTCGATGACGGGACCAGATTCGGCCATGGTGAAATGTGATTGACTTTAGGAACAGAACAAAGGCAGGACAAAAGAAGAGAAAGGACGGTCTTGATGAAGAGGAGGACAGGAAGAGAGAGAGAGAGAGAGAGCGGAATCAAGGGCCCTTTTAGGGAAGCAATGCATTTTGCCCAAGCAGGGATTGAGATGGGAGAAAAAATAAGACCAATCTTGACGACACCTAAGGCGAACGATTCGATTGGCTGATGCTGAGGTTGAACGGTAGAGCGGCTAAGCACAGACCGAGCAAAAGTATAAAAAGGCTTGATACTCGGAAGTGACGGATGGTTTGCAGGGCTGGAACTTCAACAAAGACTCGGTTGGATCAGCCACGCAGAGTGGTATTTTCTAAAAGATGCCAAACAAAGCTTGGGTGTCGACACGAGTTTGGAGAAGGGGTGCTGATTCGTGATTCAAGCGACGACCAAGACCCCTGGGAAGGATGGAGCGTGCCAGCGTTATTGGTATTCGGACGGATAGGATACCTGAAGCTGCTTCATCGGGAACAAAAGGCGACAGGCTGCGAGGTGCTGATTGACCTGATGACGGTTTGGGGCCTTGCTTATTGATTGTGGTCCGGTAGGGTGACGAGTGGAGAGATGGAACTCGTCAGCTCCTAGGTGTCGCTTAAGCGGGCAAATAGAAGAATGGAGAAAGATGAGATTTAAAGCTAATGGAGGTAGGGGAAGCCGAAGTGCCCTGGAGGGGGGTGAAGAAACAAAGATGCTGAGAATGTAACTGAGAGGTAAAGATGATGAGAGCGGCGGCGACTGCGAGGTCATAATGACGAGGAGGATTATGAGAGACACAGAAAATTGCTTTACTGTGTGCAATAAATCGTGTGATATGGGCTGTCCCCGTTCCCCAAGGTGAATGTAATTTTCGACGCGGAAGGGGGGGGGGTCTGGAAAACTCCAAAAGGTCCCTCCCGTCTCCTTCTGGGTTTGGATGCGAACTTACCAGAAGAATGGCCCCTCGTGCTGTGATATCCTGCAAAGGTGTCGGCCTGGGCTTCTGCACCTGTTCCCTGCTCTTTCTCATGCCGACTCTTCGTGCGTCCTACCCCCGGCTACAGTTACTTGATAGTAAGTAAACTCGGCATCCATCCCATCTCATCTATGGATCCATGATGCTCATGCGAGGTCCACGAGTCGGATGGAACTTTAAGGTCGGATTTAGTGTAGCGTCAAGACTCAAAGCTTATTGTGGCGATCCGGGAATCGCGCGCGAGTCAGCGGCATGGTCAAATCTTCATTGCAACAAGCATCACTGGTCGCGTTCGCGTAAAAAGGTGGAGAATTCTAACGTGCCAGGCGGGAGACTGGGTCAGTGGGAAAACTTTCTTCTGCCGGAGATAGCACAACGATCCAACCGAGTTGGGGCCTGAGCAGGTGGGAGGGAGAGACATAAGCAGGGAATCGCGCGAATCGTGATCTTGGGTCGAAGCTGGTGGTTGGATGCCTACTGGCAAATACTTGAGTGAAGTGCCTATCAGCTCCGTGAACCTCGAGGATAAGTACATGCCTTCCCTAGTGCCCGCTAGTCTCGCTAGGCTGCCGAGTGGACACCGTTATGTCAGTATCCTCCAATGGTTGCTTGCTCCTTCGGAGGATAAGCTTCGGTTTGATCATCTGTGCCCCACCCACGTGCACTCTTCATTGGCTGTGAATCAACGACATTCAAATGGTCAGCCAATGACCGGCGTGGGCACGTGCCTGAAAACGTTCACCACCGCAGAGAGGAATAATATCGCGTCAGAGAAAGGCTTAGATAGCATCTGCCCAGACAGCTTCATAAAGAACAGATATCCGAAGCCCTCCATTTGGATATGAACGCCAGACAGCCAAGCATTATATTAACAGTTATCTCCCAAGTATCAGTGTTAGCCTGACCGGACTTTCGGGGACACCGTGAGCCATATTACACATATATATCCTAAATGATGAGTGTGCTCACGGCCTTGGTCACGACTAGTACGACTAGTACTTGATCCCTCAGACCCTGCCGCCATCATCAGACCATTCTACTGTATCAAACCCACTTCCCAAATGGCTTCAGCACGTTTGCCCAGCATCAAGAGCAGACCTTGTCCACCGTAATGTCTTAGGTATTGACCCCAATTGTCGCGTGACCCGGCCAATGCTATTCGTGTTTCGCCATCAGACTTCGATTCGAAACTTTGTCTCCCGTCTGCCACATCACGGAATCGTCAGAGAATGTCCTCTGGAGTCATCACGTGCGAGGCTGAGCGTGAGGGTATCTGCAGGGTTACGTGACTCTCCTCATTTGCGGTGATCCATAGTTACGGTCTCGACCGGTACGCCTAGGCGAGAGGTAGTGTCCCTTGACATGGTAGCAAGACTCTACTCAGTCATCAGCTATAGTTGATCAACAACAACGTAGCCTGACCGGGAGATGAACTTCCGGCCCTGTCTGGAAACAGGAGATTTCCTTCCTGCCCACGTGTATTTGGTCCACCCACTTTCGTCGTTCCGTGTCCACCACAGAGAGGTCGTAGCAGCATTCCTTCTGCCTGGTTCGCCTCAACGGAGCCAATGTCTCGGGCGCAAGGGGCACGTCCCGCAAAGAATCATGGTATCGCCTTGCTCTATTATTGCCTCTCATCTTGTTTGTTTTCATTTTACTCACAAGTCTCGAGCATTTTCTTGATGAAACTTTGTAAGGTAGGATTCCAGAGAGCGGCAGCAACTCTCTCCTTGTCTGCCAATTGCTTGTTGACCTCGTCCGCCGTTGAATGTGTTCCCTCTTTGATTCTCACGTCCACTCGAAATCTGGGAGGCAATGACTCCTCTAGTCTGACTCGTACCCCCAACCCAATGACCGTGGCCAAACTGCAATGTTGAATGGTGGGAGTAATCAAAACCGTCACGGTCTGGAGATTCAAGTTCGGACGACTCGGAATGGTAGGTTTGATGGATATGTCCGGTAGCGACACGACCGCTAAGGAACCCAGAGTGATGGGATGTTCGGGATCGGACATGGTAGCAATTAGGTCATAAATCTCTTGGGTATCAATTGGTTCCTTGTCTGCATCACTGTCACTCTCCTCTGGTGATGATGGACTCCATGATTGCATGAAAGGATCATTGCTGAAGGAGGGTGCTGGATAGGCGAAGATCGCGTCGCCATGACCGTGTTCCGGTCGCTCTGATGTTCGCCGCCGTCGGGTGGGCAAATCTGAAGGATTGAGGATGAGTGGGTTGGCATTTTTTCCGTCCTCCATGGCCAGCGCCAACTTGTCGAGCTGATGGTTGGGAGCAGAGTCGGCAAATGGATTCTGCATCCAGTATGTGGTGGGGGGAAAAGGTATGAGCTGGTGTTCAATGTCGACAGCCAGTGGCAAAGACGAACTGAGCGACTCAAAAACCAGGGCTTGGCATTTTTATTCCTTGGCAGTTTTGGTCTGTTTGCGGATTCTCCTTTTGCCTCCAGGCCCGACTATAATGAAAAAGTCATTTTGCGTACTAGCGGTAGGTGGCAAGGAAAATTTGACCACATTCGCATGGCATTACGCGGTGTAGTCGACAAATGCCGCTGTGTAAGTTCTTTTGACATATGTCTGGCATCCATACTGGAAACGGCTTCTTGAGTTCATACCTGTGCCTAGGTGATCATATGCCGCGTCTCACTGCTCATCCGTCGGGAATTTTCCCAGTCCTGACATCCAATACGGTCGACAGCTATTCATCGAACCTCATTCATGCGCGCCGACTACATACTTGTCGTCATACCAAAATTCGATGACGATCTCAAAGGTTTCGCTCAAATTGCACCCGACCGAAGGTTTGAGATTCAAGGTTTGAGATCGGCGTGGTCGCTAGTGGATCCCGAGAGAGTCCTTTTGCGGGGAGGCAAAATACAAAATGTCTGAAATTTGCCTCGTTCGGTCCTGACTCCGCGCCATATTCTGGCAACTCTCCTACATATGTAGTAGGGCCCTCAACAGCCCATTAAAAAAAAAAAAAAAACATATCCCTTCGGGAGGTGCCTCCATTTGATCGCCAGAAGTTCCCTGTCTGGCTGAACAAACTCGGTCGATACAACTTTGGATCGGCCTGAATGTCGGCGAGACACTGAGGTTGGTTTATGTCCCCGAACGTTCTGTGGCGGTATCTGACTTTGTCAGCAGCTTCTGAAAGAGATCATCAGTATTGGCAGCGGAGTTGCCGAAGATGAAATCCATCAGGCGGCAAAGTGATACGTCGCACAACACCTGAAAATGCTGGTCTACATCATACTTCACAGTGTGGTCTGGTAGAAGGGATCATCCCCCTGACACCCCCGCAGGGTCCTGTTCAGGCAGCCCAATGACGAGGCATATTGAAGCTTATAGCACCCAAAGATCAGTTAAGACATGCAATAGAAGCCCACAACGAGCCCAAGTACCGAGAAACAGCCCAGGGTGAGGAACGAGGGAACCAAAAAAGCAACATTTGAATGGTGGCGGTCTCCATTATTGTGGGCACTGATTCGAGGCCACTGACACCCAAGGAACAGCCTGGGTGGAGCCTTCAGTGGCACCTAATTCGCGCGTATCTCTAGGTAGAAGCCCCTTGCGCCCCGCCAAAAAGCTCGTTCAGACTTTTGGGAGCCACGAATCTCTGCATCGCAATAGTCTGTGCTTCTATCACGTCGTGACCTGGAGGTGGCCGCTAAGGCGTACGACCTTCCCCCCGATTCGATTAGAATATACCCAACCATGGTGAAGCAGAAGGCAGAGTCACAGCCACGCCTGTCTACCGAACATACTTCTCCCCCTTTTCCGTAGAACCGGTAGAATTGTTCCATAAACTCTCCTTGGAAAGAGGAAAGAAGGAAGTTGCTTGGAAAGCAATCTAGGGACTCGCTGCCAACGGTACATGCAGGCGCAACCCGCTTTTGCTTTTCTCTCAGCTTGTTTTACTACAAACAACTTGGCGTCAAATTTCACCTGGTGGAAACCAGATCGAACTAACCGGAATCTCTTACCGTTGCATTTTACAAGGGGCAGTTCCTTGATCTAGCCATTACTGAGCAACCCTTGTACACCATTGTCCACCGAAAAGCCAGGACGAAAATCAAAAGCACCACTTTTTCCGTGAAACATCCAACCTGAGACTTTTCCATACAACGCCGCGATCCACTCCGATACGACTCCTATTCTGAAGGGACAACATCTCAATCTGCCGTTGAACGCCTCATGTGGGCGTCGCGGTCCTTCTTGGAGACACCCTTTCAACGTTTCTCGCGCTTGTAAATTGACGCGCACCGAACCCATAACAGGAGGGCGTCTGTGCTGCAGAATCTGAGTTGTTCCGTGGTGCTTCGCTCGCATAAGCGGAACGGTCTTGGTGTCTAGCCTTCCCGACCACTTTCTACTGGAACGGTCATCACTGGGCATCGCCGCTTCGTCTGCCTTTGAATCTCTTGAACCTTTATGTGTTCATGACCAGTGTCGGACCAACCGCCCTTGGGATATCTCATTTCCCTTGTTGTTTGGGAGAGTCATCTGCTTGCTTTCACGTGCCGAGGTTGGAGGTTTTGAGATTGCGCCACCACCCAAAAAAAACATTTCTTGATCAGCCACGTACTCCGCGAGAGAGAGAGAGGGTGGACTTTGGCTATCACATCATTCTTGTACTTGAGGGGTGTCGACAATCCATTCGCATCGGCATTCGTCCGTCGTTGTCATCTTCGCAACGCCGATCAAGAATTGGATTGATATTTGGCTCTTCCGACCTCGGACGCGGCTGCTAGATTGAGGCGTCGCCGTCCTGCAATTACCCGATGTGGTGTCATTCCGACTCAGATGAGATGCCACCATGCCAAGTTATTCATTGTCATCCGTGCCTCCCCCAGGCCCCAAGAACTACGTCTTTGTCGATGAACATAACCGACATAAGCGCCTCAAGGTGATGAGAGCATGTGAGGGTTGTCGCCGCCGAAAGATCAAATGTGATAGTGCCACCACCAACACGTGGCCTTGCGCAGCCTGTGTTCGACTCAAACTGCATTGCGTTCCGCCAGCAGGAGGATTAGAAGGAGATGCGGGAGATGGTGGATCTGGAAGCGCTGCGGAAGAGACGGTTGTGTCGCAAGACTATGCGCCAACACCTGTCGTCAACGTCCAGCCAGCGCAAAACTATGCGCCGACGGCTCCGGGATATCAACTCGGTCCAGACTATGCTTTTCCTTATGAAGCCTATGTCGCGAACTACCAAAAGCCGCCCTTTGACCCGGCTATCGACCCGACCGTCATGGATAAACCGTATGGGGCATATTATCCGAGTCCTCATCAGGTTTCCCGAACACTGAGTGATCCATATCAGTCTGTACCCCAAACCTATGAACAAGTCCGCGCTGGTTCCTCACCAACCGACCCACTCACGGCAGAAGATCTCATGGAGCATCTGGGATCGTTGAAGATTGGGGAAAATGGCGTTGCCGATTACCTGAGGTCCGAAAAGGGCAACAGCGCGGACTCTGGGGTGCCTGTACAGGACCCAGAACCGGAACTCAAAGTGGCTGCCGCCTTCAGTACTGAAGCTGGTTCTCAAATCCGAATACCCCCTGCTTTGATGCCATCCGAGGAGGAAGCCATGGAAGCGTTCCAAATTTTCTTCAGAGATGTCCATCCCTATGTACCCGTGCTGAACAGGGACCAATTCTACAGTCAGTGGCGCGACGACAGCAAATCCATTTCTCCTCTTGTCCTAGAAGCTGTTTTCGCTAATGCGGGTCGGTTGTCGGACGATCCTGCTCAAGGCGCACAATGGTTAGCTCTGGCCAACAGTAAGATGAAAGACGTCTCCGGTGACGACAGACTACTAATAAGCGGCAGAGCATGAAGCATATTTTTTGGATAGCCCACGACTGAGCACGTTGCAAGCATTGCTTCTCCTGTTAAAGGCTCGAGAAAGTGCTCCCAAAAGGGGATATTACTATCGATCATGGATGACCTGCAAAACTGCAGTCTCGATGGCCAAGGACTTGGAATTACATGAGCACCATGAAATTCATTCTGCGGGAGAACCCTGTGGTTCCGATCCTATCGAGTGTCTATCCAAAACTCGAGTATGGCAGACCCTTCTTGTATGCGAGACCATGGTTGGAGCGCCACAAGGTGAGTTAGATATATATTGCCTCCGCCTGCTTGGTATGCTGATTTTTTCTTTAGGCCGCACCGACTTGGGCGTAGATCCGAATTCCGTTGACATTAGCATCAATCCCCCATGTTCTGACATTGACGAATTCGAAAATTCCATCTCCCGACAGTTCGCATATTTTCTCCGCAATGTTCGCAACATTCGTCTCATCACCGATGTTTCGCACAGGTTGAAGAAAAAGAAAGACTGGGGGTTAGATCAGGATTTGGTGGCGTACAATACCACATTTAAAAAATGGCCCGAGGACCTGCCAACGGATCTACAAGTCGTCTTACCGTCCGCCGGTGGGATACCATCCCTGAATTCTCATTTCGTGGGGAATATGCACTCCCATTACCATCTCGGAATTGTCATGTTGCATCGCCCACAATTGTCAGCTTCACAGTCTTTTGCGGCCGACAGTCGATGGAAACATCATATGACTGTGTGTTACAATTCGGCCAAAGTTCTCTGTCGCCTCCAAGAAGCAATTCTAACCAATTTTGACTTGACGGGATTGTTATGCATGCAACGGGGTATCAATTTCACCATTTATGCCATCTTGACCTGCATCATGTTACATCTGATCGCGCTCTCCTCTCCCGACCAGGACTTGAATGCCGAAGCGAGGGATTATTTTGTCCGCCACATGAGAATTCTGGAACGCTGTGTTTCAGCCTGGCCCATGCCGGAAACCGAAGAGCAAATCAATTCTCTTCGGGCGGCCTTTTCAGCAGACCTCAACAAGCCTTTTGAACTCAAGGAATCATTTCCGCTGGGATCTCCTTCAGATCACTCCCGGCCATCACCTGTATCTCAAACGTCGTACGAAAAGCAACCACAAAAGCTTGTCGACCCTCAACAACCACAATCACAGCCTCAACCAGGTCTTTACATACCCCAGCACATGACCCAGATCCGAGGTCCGACACCCTACCTTGCCACGCCACCTGTGTCCGCATATTCCAGTGACTCGAAGTCTCAAACTCCCCCATTTGCACAGAACTTCGAGCCTGATCAGGCTCCATACGCCAGCATGCCAACATCTGCCGATGGATATTATCACCAACCAACATCCGCGCCAGAACTTCAATGGAACCCCACCCCAATCATCAACCAATTCGACACCGCTTTTGCCATTCCTCCTTCTGAACTTGCTCCTCCACCGTCATTGTATGCTAGCACCGGTTCTTCACCTCCAGGAAACGTACATCCGAACTTCACCAACACATCTTCGCCTACTTATACCACCACATCTCAAGGTTATTCTCAACAACAACACTATTTCGTGCAGCAATCGCAGCCATTCCACGATGCGTCTCCCCCCGTTGCGGCGAATTCAGCGCCAACCGGTCACGCGACCCAAGGCCCGGGAACTGGCTCGACCATGTTCGTAACCCCACGTCAATGGCAACAGAGTGTGGCGAATGTGATTGACCCAGGTGGCTCGAAGAGAAGATGGGACTACGGTCAATAATAATAACGGCAATCGCAATTGGTCGTGACATTTAAAAGTCGGCCTCAGGAAACCTACAGGCGTGATGGGGACTCAAGCCTATAGGCTTGGGCCGAGGGAGACTCAAAACAGAAAGGCACAAAGTGCGGTCTTGGGAATCTGACAAAAGGAACGCATTTAGTTGTGTATGGTTACACAACGCTGTTGCTCGAATGAATCGGATGAACGAAATCATGGTATTATGGGGATCGACCAATTCAACAAGTTGAATGGAATGGAGAATTGAAGTGTGCAATGCATATAATATGAGAATGTCATGATATGCAATGAAATCAAGATAATGACGGATGATAAAGTGACGGAAACGGGACATTCGATGCGAATCAAATGGGCCTCCAATGCTCCATTGGAACGCCATTGTCATGGAACGAATTGATCAAGGATGAATTCTATGATTTGATGACCAATTACCGAATATTGAAAAAGGTTACAAACATTGAAGCAATGATGTTGACTACAGATCTGCCCACCTTGCTCCTGCTGGTTGACGAGGCTGAATTTAACCAAAGACGTGGTAGTCCCTGTTTCATTTGGCCAGGCCACGATTATGTAAAGCAAAGTAAGCAAGACTGAGCATGTACCTAAAACGGCCCCATTTTTGGTCATGGGAACCGATTTGTTTGACGTAAAATTCCCCAAGTTTGCTTTATACCCGTGCATGTTTACATAAAGGCGAGGAGCGAAGCGTTGTTTGACGTAAGACCCAGCACCGATTTATACATGAGTTTACATGAAAACAATATGAGAGTGTACTCAGATAGATCTTATGTCAAGAAAAATGATCAGGCAGGTAGGATGCAAGGAATGAGAACGAAGCCCATTTTCTTTCTTTCGTTTCCATGAATTCAATCAGGATCAAATGTATGATTCTACTTCCATTCCTCGTAATTTTATCCTCTCTCTCTGAACCCCTCCATGTCATGGTCCACATGAATCCGGCTGATCAATTAGAAAGGACGATGAATGATTATGTTGACCGGATATTAACATTTCTTTTGCACGAAACCAGGTCAAAAGATCGTTAGTTTTGGTGAAAGTGGTGTCGACTTCGAGACTGCTTCGTCATTGGTCTTTCACTCTGCCTCGGAATGAATCTTCCAAGGACGGTCACCGCCGCATCAACCACTGAGTCAAACTTCGTTCCCAAGCATCAATGCGAATGGGCATTTCCATTTGCCAGAACGGATTCTTGCACACAAAATCGGCGTACCGTTCGTAGACTCCTTTCATAAGAACATCCGTGTTCGGCATACTTGGGTCGGTGAACAGTAGAAACTTGGTCCCGCTTAGAGTTTGGAATACTGTCAACCGAAAGAACGACGACTCGAGCGATTCAATACCAGTGGGCGCCACTGATGGGTCGGGGTACGTCCAATTTCGCCCTGATGAGCTCGCCGAAGATGTGGTGGGGATTTTCGGAGTCAGAGATCGGGTAATGGCGTGGACGCCATGAAATGTTCCCGCCAGGACAAGGTAGTCATTCGTGGTCAACGTGCTCGTGCCGGGTAGACCCAGTGTACCAACAGTTTGGCCTTGGGGTTGTGCTGGGTTCGCTGCGGTGGTGCCCGGCGTAGTGGTGGGAAAGGTACGGTGGTATATGAGGGAACCGGCTTTGGAGATGATGAGAAGGGCGAAGACAGGCCTGGACAGAGGAACGGTCAGACCGGGCTGCAACATTTGGTCTAACGCTAGAGAACTCACATTTTGAGGGAGAATGGGAGCCGCAGAGCGGCTGTTGAGAAGGAGGTTAGAGCTCTTTCATGTCGGCCTGGTCAGTACTGGACACCTCCAATGCAGATGCTAACTGCAATCAAGGCGGAGGTTTGATAAAGACGTGAGGGTTCGCAGGCGCTGAAGAAATTACACACTTGCACAGCATTTTTCGAGGCGGAAGAGGCCGCCAAGGCTCCATCGCCGTTGAACGCGTTTGGTTCGAGTGCCTGGAAACTGCAATGAGCTTCTTAACCGATCACTCGACATCGACAAGTCCACCGTTATTTTCCATATTTGAAACTCCCTACCTGGCTCGGAGGTCGCAAATCTCCCCTTTCCCCTTTTTTAATTTCTTTCTAACCGGAACCCTCCCGCCATCATGGTGCTCGAGGCTACGATGATCTTGGTGGACAACAGCGAAACGAGCAGGAATGGCGACTATTTGTAAGGAACTCCTGATAGTCCTACTTCAATTTACTCATTCATACCCAGACCGAACCGATTCTCAGCACAATCTGAAGCTGTATCACTCATCTTCAACGCAAAGACATCCTCAAATCCCGAATCTGCGGTCGGCTTAATGTCCATGGCAGGAACAGGTCCTACCGTCCTCAATACCCCCACCACAAATTTCGGCGCCATCCTAGCAGGTCTACATGAAACCAAAATCAAAGGCCAAGTGAGATTAGGAACGGCCATCAGTGTGGCCATGCTTGCCCTCAAACACAGAGCGAACAAGAGTCAACGACAACGAATCGTGGTCTTGATATGCAGTGAATTGGATCAGAAGTTTGGGGATAAGAACGATACCGAGAAAGAATTGGTCAAATTGGCCAAAAAGTGCAAGAAAAACAATGTGTCGGTCGACTTTGTTGCCTTTGGTGATGCCATCGAATCGACCACCAAGTCGATATTGGAGAAATTTGTCGAAGCGGTGGGTGGATCATCTGGAGAAGGAAACTATCTTGCAGTCATCCCTCCCGGACCGGGCTTGCTCAGTGACAGTCTCATTACCACCCCGATTGTCAACATGGGTGGAGATGTGGGACAAGGAGGAAGCGGTATGGAGGGGGTTGAAAGTGGTGCTGGTGGCTCAGGAACGGGGTTTGAATTTGGAATTGATCCAACGTCGGACCCAGAACTTGTCATGGCTTTGCGAATGAGTATGGAAGAGGAACAGAACCGACTGGAGAGAGAGCGCAGACGGCGGGAGGAGGAAGAAAGACAAAATGCTGAAAGAATGGAGACCATCACTGAAGAAGGCCAGGGACAACAGCCGACCAACGGAGAAGGCCAAGACAGCAATGCTTCACAGCAGCCACGGGTGGAGGATGACAAGCAGGAATGAGATTCGTCTGCTTTATCTGTATCAAAAGTGGATAGGTCTGTAATATGTCCAGCTCAAGGGAAGCACTTAGAAGAAGTTCCATGGGTTTTCCAATCTGATCCTTTGGAATCAAGTCTTCTGCTTATTTTGGTCTCCAGATCCTCGCAAAGCTCTTCCCATATCATTCTCCTCGCTCCTGTATGAGCAGCGGCATCTCTCAATCGTGTTGCCAGTCCGCAGAAAACGCCTCGGTCATTCGACGCGACACGGTGAGGAATCATCTCCATTGTTGTTCTTCGACCATCGGGTCAATATGCAAGGTAGGTACGTTTATCCCTCCGTCCAAGAGTAGATATCAAGTGGACATCACCTCGAGCTTGCAGGCCCCACGATTCTCTCCTCGCGACTCCTCACAATCCTAGCCTTGTCCCCCGGCAGCGGTTTCAACTCGTCATTCGGATCAATAGCACCACCCCCCGTCGCATCTCGGTCGCCTCCCATCTGTGTATCAGGTTGTTCGAGGCTGCCTCCGTTGCGGAAGTATCCCTCTGGGTCCTCGCCAGTCTTGAGGTACTTGGCGTAGGCGAGTTTGCGGAGGTTGGATTCTTCGAACGCCGCGATGTCCTCGCTCGTTATTGTTAGCGCGGTGGGTTTGCGGCGGAGCATTGTTTGGGGTTGTGATGGAGGATGGATTTGAGGGTAGGGAATGGGGGATGTATGTGGGAAGGATGATGAGAGAAGCAGACACAAGAATAATATGGTCGAGTCACTGGCTTTACGTGTTGACGGAGCGGACTTCCACGTGTACAAAGTAACTTTGTCGAATGATACGGAGTTCTTTCTCTAAATCTAATATTTGCTTCCTCCGCTCCTCCCATTCCTTCGAGGGTCATATGTTGCCTTTGGGACCTTATCACTCAGTTGCCAATGCCGCCAATTGAGATGGGACTTCCCTGACTGGCTGCCATAGCTTCAACGACGGCCCTCAGAGGCACTTCGAGTCTTGCTTCGCGTTCCTGAACTTCGTCCGAGGCTGCGAAATAATGTCCTGGCATATCAGGGGACCAACAGCCAAGCAGACCTGATAATTTGGCTCTCCCTCATCGCTTCTCATTAACCCGCCCTAAAATGCTTGATTTTAGACACTTTTCTGGGACAATGGCAAGGTGATGTTAGGCTGGCAAGGCAGTCGTTTGTGAGATAAGGGATCACACCTCGTAGGTATGGACGCGATTGACGGCTAGGCTGAGCCATACAGGGCAGTGAGCGCCACCACAATATCACCCGCATGCTCCGCGTCTACAATTGATGGTGAAAAGCCATTACTAAATCTATCCATTAGCAAATGGACCGCATTCCAATGTGATATGCTCAGCTGATCTGTTCCCTATATAGCCTGCCTTCCCTTCTTCAGCCTTGTTGCGCTGAAGTTCTATCATTTGGCGATTTCCGCCGTCAATGTGTCTTCATTCAAATATTTGTTTGATTCATCAACATGGCAGAGCTACCAAGGCAACCTGTGGGCACCTGGATTGGTATCCTTCGCTCATTCCCAACCTACAGCAGAAGAATCAGCGTATTGCCCTGGAGAATGCCGCTCGCTCTAGTCACCGCGGACGACATCGTGAGGCAGACGAGATTTCCAATCGCAGCTGCCTCCAAACCATACGGTACCGGTACTAGTACTTCAACATGCTGACATACTCATCAATCAACGTCTAGAAACAGAGCCGATCAAATTATTGAAACTGGCCCTTGAGAGTCTTGCTCCTCAGGACAGGACTCTCAATTCTGTGCGCGTATTGCTGAAAGTTATGCTGGCCGACGCCGAATTTTGGCCTTTCGGTAAGAAGGACGCTTTACAGCAATACATATTTGTCACTGCCAAAGCTTTAGCCGCATGGGGAACGAACTTGATTCGACTCATGCTCTGATGGGCTGGTCTCCAGTGGAGTCAGGACTTGTTATCCGCTGAAGGCTGCAAATTGATATTTGAGCCTGGACTAGGCAAAATTCCTCAAACAAATCTTACGGAGTATTTGAGCGACATATAAGTCTGCGGGATAACCCAGACAGAGCGAAATTGGGAGGCCCCTTACCATTGGGTTGCATTTACTTTGAATGGCCTTTGGATGTTTCCGGCCCCGATATTCGATACAGACTACGACTAGTAGATGGGAAAGGGGGAAAGAGATATGAAATGGATGTCAGACGAGTACACGCCGGACAAGTACAGACTGGAACTCATAATCTCATTTGCGTTGTGTGTTGAATCTTGATACATCATGAAAGAGAAGAAAAGGGTAGTGGGCTCAGGTTGGGATATCCCCCATCCACGATGATGCTGATGGACAAATAACTCGTGGATAGGATATTTTTCTCATCCTTCCATTCCCTTTTCCCCCTTTCCTGGGTTCTGTAACCGTCATCGATGACAGACGGACGAAAATGGTGGTGTTGACTAAGCCGAAGACCTGATTTCAAAATGCTGGGCTTGACACCCATTCCATGTTGGCTCAACGTCGAATGATTACGGTTTCGAGCATTGCTCATTGCTATCCCAAACTCGAATGTTCACGTTTACTGGATCTTCCCAAATATTGGGTCACCCAGTGCTAGTAATGCCATGCCATCAAACCTTTTCATTCTTACTCTCACTCGGTCTGTCCGTCGGTTCTGGGTTTGTCGTCTTTATTTCTTCTGCTCAGGAAAACTTCCACCGATTCCCGCAATTCAAACACTCACAGAACGTCGTCATCGGTTCATCCGCACTTCTCGTCTGGGCCTGTGAATAGCTGACTTTCTTCTGATGACACTTGCCGCATTCCAGACTGGTGCTGACCGATTTCTCTTCCTGCGCAACCATGGCGTTGTTCATGTTCTCCTTGGCGATCTTCAAGTCCTCTTCGCGCTGCTGTTTGGATTTCATCTCCTCGTGGGTCATGGTCACGAAGTGCACGGGCGTCACCTCGCCGCTGAGTATTCGTTTGCGGAGACCTGGGTTTGACTTGTTCTTGAGGTTCTGGTACAGGGAGCGGATCTTGTCTTTGTAGACAGGAGAGTTGGAAGACCCTCTGGCCTCGGGCAGGTTGAGGGCGGCGGATTCAATTTGTTTGGACAGATCCAGAATTTGTTTCATGGGCAGTTCGGAGCCGAGGCACAGGCCGTCGTAGATTAGTCCCATACAGTTGTTGCGTGCGGTGTCGTTGGTGAGTTCGTCGCGAGGCACTTTGTCGACTTTCCAATTCCGCTTGTCCGGCGCAATGCCCGGGCTTGCGGCTTTGGGGACGGGCGTCATGGCCTTTGGTGCTGGCGAACTGGTCCCATTGGATCTCATTCCATTCGGTGTAGAAGTGCCACTAGCCAGTTTCTGTTCGTTGACCAAATGTCTCCATCGACTGATAATCTCGGAGGCGAGTTGTGTGACTTGGGAGTCAAGATTTGGGACGCCTTTGACTTTGTTCACAGTTTTGCCAATTCCCGTTGCTCTGAGTAATTCCTCGCTAGGTCGGACATTTGCTTTCAGGTCGCGCAAGATGGTCATTACGTTTTGGGCGGGTTCTTTTGCCGCGATGGCCTTGAGTAAGGCATTGCCTTTGGATTTGATTTCTCGTGCATCCATGCTGGTAAAGGAATCTGGGAGTCCAGTGACTGGCGCGAAGAGCCGCAAGGGCAGAAATGTGAAGATGCAGGACGGTTGGAGGCAAGAGCTATTATTCTGGATCCTTCGAGCATGATTAGCGAGTCAGCCTGATCTGGTCGAATTTCAAGCAGGAATCTCAAACGATAACCACCGCCACACCACCGACAGCACCCTTCACAGAAGCTGCTTTCCTGCCTCCCTGCGCTTGCTGCTGAGACTGGGCATGAATTGATAGACTCCGCATTGTGTTGAGTACACCGATTTGGGAGCTGGAGACACGCCGTTGAGCATGCACGTGGTCGTCGTGGACAATGAGCAGGCAGGGGCAGAATGCAGATTGAGTCCACCTTACCTGTGGAATATGTTGGCGCCGGGTTCGGGTATGGCGTCGCGGCTTCGTGATGGTACAGATGTTCAAGGACACAGGACGTGGAAGACAGTGGCAGGAGGGAGACGAGTCGCATGCGCTGGAGGGATCGTACGCACTTAGAGCCGTCGGTGGAGGGCGAGCAATTCACTGTCATTTGTGTCATTTCAACTATCAACGCGGCCCATCTGCACCAAAGAGCAGGGTGCCACAAGGCTGCTCATTCAAGATATCGGTATGCAATATAATTTTATTTTATCTCCAACAGAGGTAGCTGCTCATGATACAGTAATCCACACCATTCTTTCCGGCTTCTTCCCCAATCATCCATCGCCAGACCACTCTCCGGAGCACGCGACCTAATACTCTAGCCGGACTTCTTGTCCCTTGACACGGCCGATCACAATGTCGGCGGCATATTTGGGAATGACTTCATCATCGTGAAGCATTTCGAATTCTAGAAGACCGTGTGAGCTGAAGGAGTCAATATCGAAGTCAGGATTCAATCTCACCTTCTGTCGCATCCTTGCCCATATGGCTGAATAAGGCTTGAGGACCACCGGGGTGTTCATCGAGCCAGTTGGTAACATCCATGACAACACCCTTCACGGCGATCCACAGATCATCCTTCTTGTTGTGTCGGGCAACCTCCTCCAAGCTGTACTCCTTCTCGGGCACCTTGAAGGAGCTCAAATCACTGGTATCCTTCTTCTTTCCAGAATCCTCGGCCTTCCGGCCGTCCGTCACAGGAGCCGCACTCTTTGGAGACTGTTGAGAGACCGTCTTGCTCTCGCCAGAAGCGCCACTTCCCCATTCAACTGAAATCTTGCCTGGCGTGCTAGGATCGATATGGAGCGAGATTTGACCGAGACGTTGTGCAGCACCACCGGCACCACCGGCTGTGAGTTTCTGGAACAAGTACTGCGATGCGGATGCGCCAGCGACACGACCATACACCACACAACCAAGGAGTGAGGAACCACCAAGTCGGTTTGCACCATGAACACCACCAGCAAGTTCACCACAAGCGAATAGAGCCTCGAATGGCTTCTGTTCGGAGTTCAAGACTTGAGCCTTGTCGTTGATTTCCATCCCACCCATGGTGAAATGCAGGACTGGTTCCATCAATGCAACGTGGAACGTATCGTTGATATCCATGGGCATGTTGTGGAAATACTTCTTGCCCCAGGGATCCTTCTTCTCGCCCTTGGCGATGGCATTGTATTCCTTGAATTGCTTGTCGAGGGCAGCCTCACCACAGCCCATCTCTTTGGCCAACCCTCGACCAGTCATCTTCTTCATCAAACCTCGACCAGAGTAGTGTCGGGTATGGAAGTCCAACACATTAGATGCCTTGGAGTTGAGAACCAGTCGGATGGGCCATTTGCCCTTCTCCTTCTCTTCCCACATCTTGCCCGAAACATAGTCGCGATGGCCTAGATCATCACAGAACCGTTGACCATCGCGGTTGAGCAGGATACCCCCTTCACCTCGAAGAGCTTCGGCGGCCAAGAATTTCCATTTGGAATTGGGATCTTTCGGATCGACCAGACCGGTGGGGTGGACTTGAACTTTGTCCATATCGATGTCATTGGCACCGATGGCCATCAACATCTTATGGCCATCACCAGTAGCGTGGGTACCGTTGGTCGACGATAGATGGAAGGTATCCGGTCTGTGTTTCTTGAGAAGAGAGGTCTCTGTAAAGTCGGCAGCGTAACCGCCGGTGGCCAATATCACAACGCCGTCCGCGGAATGCGTTTCGCCACCGCACTCATATGTGACCCCGGTAATGACATTGCCCTCTTTGTTCAAGGATGTGACTCTGGCCTTCTTGATGACTTGGACTCTTTTGGGATCCGATTCGCAGAGTTCTTCCAATCTTTGCATCAAAGCATATGTAATGGCCATCCCCGGGAATTTAGCATCGTGCCCGCGGTGCGTTCGAGGGAAAGAGTGACCACTATTCGGCTCGTTAGCTTGATTCAAGGAAACGTGCGATCCGAACGTACCCCAGTCGGGAAACGAGTGTGAGATCAAGATTGAACACATCCTGGAGCCATTCGACTGCGGCGGCGGATTGGTATGTCAGAACCCGGATGAGATCCGGTCGCGCCTTATCACGGGCCGACTTGAGGGTATCCTCGTAGAACTGTTTGACGCTGTCGCCAATGCCCAGGTCGACTTGGGTTCGAGTCAGAGCACCATTGATACCAGAGGTGGCCTTGGTGGAGTTGCCACCAAAGAAGTCTGTCGGCGGGTTAGCATCGAGAGTATGGGGAAGGTTGGGACGCATGAACAGACTGTTCTTGTCGAGAACGAGAACATTGCCACCGTTGAGGTAGACAGTATGAGCCGCGCTGAGACCCGACACTGGAATAGATTGTCAGTCAACTGATTCTGCGACGTGGGAAAGGGAGAGATCCTTACGGCCTCCGCCAACGACAATAACACGAGGGGACGTCATCTTGGTAGAGAGGATGGATCAGGATGAGAATGAGAGAAGGAATGAAAACTTGTCGCAGGCGAGAGAAAGAAGAATGGGCTTTTCGGCAGGACCGGACCAAGTATATCGAGGAGGTCGAGGTTTGATGTCCTTGACGATAAAGCAAAGGTCGACCAGCGGAGCACAGGTAAATGGTAATCCCACGGGCACATCGACTCAGCTGAACCTCGGCACCGATGGAAGTTGGTGCAGTGGCCAGGGATTCCTCCGTAGTAAAAAGTTACGAACTGTTTTTTATCCTTCACCTGACTGGTGCCCACACAGTCGCTCTTCCAGCCGCTTCTTTCAACTCGAGAGAAGACGTTCTACCTAGAGTATTATATTCATTTTGTTGTCTCGGCCTATATATTCACCGCTCTACCCAGTGGACCGGTATTCTCTCATTCCTCTGCTTTCCCATCGGGGCAAATTTCCCATTCCAGCTTCCAGAAGAGCCAATGACTTCGCTCTTCTCTCCACCGAGGAGCCAGATCCAAGTCCTCTGCCCCAGTTCGCCCACGAAGGCCCCCCACGCAAAATCCCCCCGAGGGGCGCGCACTTCACATGCTCACTCGATTCTCTCCCCTTCCCCTGTAACAAACGTTACCTTGGGGGGGGGGCCGGGAATACGTTTCTTCTCTGCCTGCCTTTGCCCAATAGCTGTCCGTCAGGCTCAGTCAGTACCGAGTCCAAGGCTTTGACATGTGAAAAAGATGGAATCCATGGTGGTCTCTTCGCCACATGAAACCGTGACAGGAAAAGTAAGATTACTGGTCCAATAACTAGCGATATAAATGATCATGCTGATTTACTAGTCCTCATTTACCCCCCAACACCTGTGCTATGACCCTGACATCTCTAGACATAACTCCCTGATCACTTCACGGTGCTCATCTATCATCATCGTCATGACTGCAACAATGTTGGTTCTTGGAGCATGACTCCTTCGGGAGAGTTGCCGATATTCAGTGTCCGAAAGCCATTCACCTCCGGAGCACCATTCCAAGGGAAGACGATAACTCTCTGCTTCAGCCATTTACCCATACACCCACTTCAGTCCCAGTCTTTCCCTTGAGTGCGCTCCTGACTGGGGCTGCCCAAGGTATACGCACCAGCGATATTGTAGGTACATCCAAAACGCATACGGACTTTCCGACTTTTGAGACATCCGATATATCTCCATGGTGGCAGACCTGTACTTCGACTTCATATGTTGAAGATCGTTTTCATGAGTTTTAAACGTTGAATGGTATCGTATAGGTTCTCATTTGTCGTTTTTATGATGTCCTTCTCATCCCTCCATCGCTTCTTGTCTGCACATCGGACATAGAGGATATGGAGTATCTTGACAGCAGAGAGGCACCCGACGTAGGAGATCGCAGACTCGAGGCTGAAGACGATGAAGCGCTAGAGGATTGCGCATGGTGCAAATACCTCGTCTCATTTTTCGGCTCCTTGTAAAACATGGTAAATCGAAGTGTTTGGTATCTCATGGTTGCGACCACAAGAAGGCTGGCTGCTTACAGCACAAAAAGCACAGCGAGAGATGGTGAAGAAATGAATGACTGGAGTGTGCGACAGGAAAGAACGCGGCGGAAGAAGACGAAGGCTATGCACCCGGAGTCATTAGCGGGTCCCAAGGGGTATTTTTATAGACTTCTCACCAAAGGCCCCGAGGACCACATCCGAATCTACTCTATCCAATCCGGTGATAATGAGGACAAGGAATGACAAGAAATCACTAGGAAGAAATCGGGTTGGTTTCAGAACTGGTGGACTGAGCACATGAGATCACATGATCGGTTCTGCTACCGTAGATTGAGCACGTGCACAAGCTCTCTTACGTCTCTTCCAAGCTCATTCGCAACCTTGCTGGGATCTTTACCGAGATTAGGAATGTTTGCCATAAAGTGGTGATCCGGATACAGCTTCCTGAATATTGCCAGAATATCATTCCAGGTGCATGGATAGGCAAAATCAAACAGCCGTTCACCATTCACATCTGGGTAAATGAGTGCCCCAACATGAACCCGTACAGTATCCTGAACGTTCACAAAATACTGAGGAGGGTTGAAGGCCAGTTTTTCTTGCCCCTTGAACTCATCCCAGAGCGCCTTGACCCTTCCAGCGGTACTTGGCGTTCCTTGATGCTCTGGTGAAAGGACCGCACCCATGTTGGCGTTTGGCAAGACAGTGTTGAAGATAAATCCCGGCTTATTCTCCTGCATCCACTTCCAAGCGGCCTCGACGGCTTCTTCGTTCCAGGTTGATTCATCCATACTGAACTCGACATTCGGTTGTGGACTGGCTGCAGCGGTTGAAGACGATGTCATCACAACCCGCTTGATAGAAGGTTCTTGGGCGGCAGCCTTCAGCGCGTTGATCGCTCCATTGACCACCATGGGAACCGCTTCATTGGGATCATAAGAGACCATGACTGGTGTGGCAGTGTGGACTAGTCCTGACGCCCCCCTTACTGCCTCATCGGCGCCGCCATGTCGGGTACTTCTATGAGGTCGAACTTTTCAGTCCCACATTTGCCGTTGAAAAAGTCAAGCATCCAGGCTGAATTTTTCACGTTGCGGACAGGTCCTCGAACACGATATCCCAGGTGCAGCAGTAAGTTCACTACATGACTTGCGATAAAGCCATTTGCACCCGTGACGACAACGAGGCACCCCCTCTGGGATTGCCAACCCTGTTGTTGATGAGCTCATGGATTGAAAAGATGTGATTTGATTACAAAAGAACTTCTGCCTGCTTTCTCGATCTTGCAAGACTGGTCAATGCGGACATGCTGACGCGGTTTAAATGCATCCTTCAGGCCTTATTTGTGATCTCAAGGGAGTGTATACAGCAGTGTCATAACGCAGATCGCTTATTAATTTTCAACCTCGACGCGACTTCCAACTCCGGTCGAAATGTCGCAGAACTCCAGGCTCATAAGATTATTTGCCTCGACATAGGAGAAAACAACCAATTACGACATGCAGAACTTCTCCGCGAAAGGGTTAGGGGGCCGGGTAACCTCTGATTCGCTGACCAATCCCGAACCAGCAGTCTTATCCGATCGCACGACGGAAGGAAGGGTGGGATTCAAGTTGAGTCCAATGGGTCAGATGTCTCACATCTTCTACAATGACACCAAGTTCATTGGAAGTGTTGCGTCCCTTGTATCGCTTCCTGCTCGATCCCAGCACCGCGGGATCCCTTGCTGTGCCAAAGCGAAATATGCAGAAACACAGTCCGTGATTTGCAGCTACTGGATGAATAAAGTGCAGGTTATATACATACACGCCTCGGCGATTCATTCTGATGCGGCATCCCCGTAACTCATGGGCCAGGGATCATCGGGGACCGTATGTTTAACAGATCAAAACGGGGGCATGATGTTACATGGCATGACTCCTGTGACGTTATTTTGCCAATTGAACTCTTTGTCACCTCGCTTCAAAATTTGTCCCGGAGGAGCCTCAGGGCACCTGAATTTTCTGTGGGCACCTTCGAGTAATTTCTACCCTTATCGTCCTCAAAAGTCCAAAACTGACTCAACTGTGGCGACTAATACCCACGTCGGGTAACATAAAGCGAAGCTGACGTTTATACCATGATTATTGCAGCGGAACGTTGTCTTCTCCGTGAATTTATATGCCCACGGTGGTAATGTCTATGTCGGAATTACTTAAGCCCTGAGTTGCAAGCACAGCCTTATGAGCCTCCTTACAAAGTCCGGTGGGGTTTGCACTGAAGATCGGCGAATTCAATGTGAATCCGAGACTTGACAAGAGTGGGGAATACTCGGCAATGAAGCCTTGTATGAGAAAATATTCCGACCGAGAGAATTATTCATCTTGCTGGAACGATGAAACTTCGCAGCTCACTTCAAAGATTTTGTCCGCATCTTTCAGGCGACTGACGCAAAACGCTTGTTTTGTACACCGATTCCAATAGAGTCTGGATCCTGGACGCCTGCGGTGTTTGATCTAGCGTGGCCTACTCTCTGGGGTCGATGGCTGATGACTCAGCCCCCAATCAAGACTGTTGGGCGAACAGAATAGGCGATCGTCCCCCCTCCCAACCTTAACCTTGTTGTCTTGACATTGCTGATTGAGGCATCGTGCTGGCACTTTTGTCAAGGTTCTTATCAACCACGAGTTCTCATCTACGATCGAGTCTATCTAAACCAGAGTGAGAATTCGTTATATGGATCGGCCAGAGCAAATCCACGTATGCCCGAGGAGAAGAAGGACGATAATCCACCGACCAACATTCCAATCCATGTATTTATCGACCAAAGGCCGGACTCGTTTCAAGTGGACCAGTCCAGAGTGGTCGCCAGTCAGGCACGACGATTTCAAAGTGCGGGGAAACGTCGACAACAAAGAGTCGGCTCGACAAGAGGCAGTTTATGCGCGAAGTCTGGTAGGATGGATGTCGACTTCCTCGACTCCTTCAACAGAAGGCCGGAGGACGGTCTCACCGGCGACCATGACACCTGCGGAACCCGAACAAGAAAGACAGCAAGACCAAGATGAACAGATCGGCTGTACCATCCATTCAGCTCTTTTCCATCTTCGAATTCTCGAACGGTCATGTACATGGTCGATTACCGTGAGTGGCTCTCTATTTCCCACGGGGAAGCATGCTGACAGCGTTCTTAGATATTCGTGTCCGGGGCCCTCACAAGGCTGGCCATTTCGACGAATTCATGGGATACAACACACAATTGGACCTATGTTAGCCTATTGCGGTCAGTCGGGTAGCGTTGGTTCTATCCCAAGGAAATACCCCGTCCGAAGACCAGTTCATGTTATACCATCGAGGTCTAGCCATGACTAGGTTGCGACAGCGTGTCGCTTTGGAAACGCCAGAATCTCAAGAGGCCATCATCTTCACAATTGGAAGAATGATAAGTATTGCTGTCCGTCTTGACTTCAACCATCCTTCTTCAGCTATAATCTTGCTGACACGATCATCATTAGTACATGTCGAGCGAGCCTGCAGCGCTGGTCACACACTTGGAGGCCTTTCGCACAATCGCGGAACGGTACATTTCGGTACATCGTAGAGAATCGACTCAGCAGGCATGTATATCCCACGCATTTATCACACCGGAGCTAACAGATGCATCAGTTGGAAAGCTGTACATGATTATAGGATAGGCTATGACTACCTACGGGCCACCAGCGCCTTTGGATCGATGGACGCTACACAATCCTGTCACCAGCGCCCTTTAGGGCGTCCACACCGACCGTCACCACCTATCCTTTCTGACCCGGCTCTCGCTCCAGAACTGGCCACCTCGCTGGAATTGCTGACTGAAGTTCTCATTCAGCGATGGACCTCGAGAAGGCCGCCTATCCAGCGACAGACTCCTGCGTCTGATCTCGTCGAATGCTGCCGTCAATTCGGTGAGATCCTCGTCTCTCAAGACCTAACACCTACACAATCACAGCTCTGCATGGGCCTCCTTCCCTCAGACCTATCCCGTCCCATCCCATTCCATTTGATATATGTTTCCCAATTTGGTCCTATTTTACATCTCTCCACACTGGGCAATCCTCACATCCAACACGGGCTTCTCCCCCTGCCCTCTCCCTCCGGGCCCCGCCGTCCTCGTATTCTCAATCATGCGCACGACTCCCATACTCTCTGCATCTGCGACCTGGCCAAAAACCACGTGTTTACCGTCTAAAAAAGGGGTCGGGGCACACGTAATGAAGAATTGACATCCATTCGTGTTCGGGCCCGAGTTGGCCATGGACAGGAGTCCAGCACTAGAATGTTTGATGGCGAACGATTCGTCGGCAAAAGGCTGGTTGTGGTAGATACTTGTGCTGCCGGTGCCGTCGGAGTGAAGGAAGTCGCCGCCTTGGATCATGAAGTTTTTTATCTGGATAACACGATGAAAATGAAGTTAGTATTTTGTCAGGCTGATTAGATTTTGCGAATATGATCATCAAACGATCCACGTAACGATCCGTTGAGACGGACAGCAAGCCCGGCAGCTCTGTGTCCAGCCAGGGATCGAGTCAAGCCGTGCGGACAAAGGAGATGTGTGGTCAAACCCACCACTCTATGGAATTTACTCCCCTTATACCCCTGCGGTCGACCGTCGGGACCCTTATGTTCGCCCGTGCAGAATTGGCGGAAATTCTCGGCGGTTTTGGGAACGGTGTTGGAGAATAGGTGCATTTTCATGCGGCCTAGCGGTTCGCCTGAATTTTTCGTACCAGTTAGTATTGTAGCTGGGACTAGAGACGACGTGGATTTGTTCATGGGATATGCTGAGTTCAATGTTGGACTGTACGGCATGGAGAGTGAATGGGAGACGGGGGACAGAGCGGTTGAATGTTTGAGATAAATTGAGTAATGGGGACAAGGCGCGCTCTGGGAGCTGGGAGAGCATCATCGAGATCCTCTCAGCATGGATCTGGACGGGTTTCCAAAGGAATGATTCTCCAAAACGAAAACTTTCACCCTTTCAACCCATTCTCATATGGACAGGGAAGTCGAGCATAACAACATTTCAAAAGCAAAGGCCGGAATTCGAACTCACCACCAAGCGTGATATCAAAGAAGACAATCGGTTCACCTTCGCCCGGCTTGGGTACGGGAATTTTGTCTGTCGCCATTCTCGGTGCCGTCATTTGAAGTTTGGGCACTATAAATTTTTGGTCAGTAGTGTAGTGATGGCGAGGAGGAAAGGTGAAGCGGAAAGGCGAAAGGTAAGGGCGTGAGGTTGTGACGCGTAGAATTAGAATTTTTGATGTTGAACCTCAGCCTGGTGGGGAAGTGTCACGAGGCTGAGCGATCTGAAAACTTCCAAATGGCAAGCCAAAGCAGGTCATGAACTAAAATTATTTCAATTTGGGACGCTACGGGCTGAATTGAATTGTGTCACAGAAGAACATACTCATGACATCGTTACTACAATAATTTCTCCCATCCCATCAGCGCCTACCCTCACGATTTATTCAGAGGTCAAACTCGATCTGGACTGGAGTCCCTAATCCGCCATGACGTCTCGTCTCTTCTCGTCCTTCTTCCAGAATTTAAAGCCTTTCTTCCTCCTTGGTTCCTCCGGTTCCGGGGGAGGTATCGTATATGGCATTCTCTTCGACTCTTCCTCTTCGGCAGATAATATCCTCTCCGGCCATCGGGATTCGGGAATCTCGCCGATCTTGGTGCTGGTCGTCATAAATGTCATGGTAGATGTTGGACGCAGCTGGTTCGTCCTCGGGCTAGGCCGTGAGTGAGGTGGGATCTTTGGAGGTCGGGGAGGGACGCTATCGGTCGGTTCTGCAGGAGCGTCAAAGAAATCCGAGGGAACTAGTAACAGGCTTGGTTGCCTATGAGATTCAGAGTGTTCATTTGACCGATGTCTGTCGGAAAGTTTGGCTGCTTCCGGTCGAGAACTGCCGCTTTTGCCAGTGCAGCTTGAACACTCACTGGTTCCGTTCGACCGTTTCGGTGCGGGTAGGTGGGACTGTGAAGCGGCCTTTTTCCACATGTCTGTGTCGGATTTGCTCCTGTGACGCTTCTCAGAGATGCCTTCTCTCGCTTTTCTTGCAGCAGCCCCTGAGACAACTGAAGAACCACTCTTGGATCGAACCCAGCCGCCCCGAACCAATAATGGCGCGGGAGGTGGTCTTTTGACTTGCTTTGTCGTGGAGGAAAAATTTCTTTTGCGTTTCTTCTGCGGACCATGCTTTTCACTCGGACTTGGATTCTCCTTGGCTCCAGGGTACCGGAGTTGTGAAGAAAGACTGAGACGTGAATTGAGCTGTCCCAATGCGGTCATGGTATCCACGGCTGCAGTTTCGGAGAGATTGAATAAAACATTTCGAGACGTGGACTTGGTTTTGGAATCTCCAGACAGTGCATGATTTATCAGATTGATCAAGCCGGTGTTGAGAACAAGAAGAGTATGTGCCAAACTAGATTGGGCCTCTCCATCACCCACTTCAAATCGACGGCCAAATTGGGCGACATTTTGATCATATTCATTTTTGATCTCCAGTGGTCGGTTCTTCAGTGAATGTCGTAACCATTCTTCTTCTTCTGACGGTCGAGGTAGCCTTGCATGGGACTTTCTTTTTTTCCCTCCCAAACGGCGAAAGACATCCATCCCACTACCGAAGGCTGAAAGGATGGACGCTACCACCGAAGCGACATCGATGCCACCCATCGTGATGCTTGTTCGGCGCCTTGGAGAGCTGTTCTTAGCTCATATGTGACATGGCCTTCTCGACAAGGGGGAAAAATAGAAAAAAAAAAAAAAAAAAAAAAAAAATTGGTGAACGAGATAATGAATGCTCGAACAATCAGTCGAAGAGGTTCGGAGCTTTATCATATGTCAGCGCCCACCAATAAAAGATACACGTCTCGCCCTGTGAGGATCCGAAAAGTGAGGAAGGCGTCATGAAGGGACGTCCTCGGAGCAAGACTAATCATATAGTTGTGCTTTGGAGCAAGGAAACTCTGCATCGTGCTTGACCAAAGCTTCGAATAGGAACTGCAGGATTGTTTCCCAATGTCGAGAAACAAGTGCATACCGTTTTAGGTTCATTGAGGAGGGGAACTGCCGTGAGCTAGGAAAAGTCCACCGGGCCCTGCTACATGACTGGTAGAAGATTACCAGCCAGGCGGCTGGGGCGCAGGTTCCGGGCGCTTGCAGAGTAGGAGTCCTATTGAATATGCTGTAGACGGGGCGAGCGGAAATATGCATACAGTCGGGCGTGGCATTGGGCGTCCTTGAAGAGGATTTGAGAGAATCATCGAATTATCGACCAGTGAGAGGAGAGACGATAAGCAATAGGTTGAGGACGAAGAACAAATAATGAGGCGCAGGCAGAACCCCGCTTCCGGTCTCCAACGTATGGGCCACCAGCCACAAAACACTTTGGCAGTTCGACGCTCTCCGGACTTCTCACAGTTGCACAACGACGCTCAGCCTGGTGACCTGTCAATGCTCCTAATCTCCATACATTTTCCCTTTGCTCAAGCGATCCCGGTTCAACACCACGGCCCCCCGAGAATGTCCCCCGTTGGCCCGCAACTTCCGCCAGAACTCCGAAAGCGCAAGCGAAGTGACAATGAGGACGAAAATGACTCTTCGGATTCCGTCACAAGTCCAAGCCCTGGTCCTTTGCCTGGGGGGAATCCCGAAAAGGAAAAATCTCCTCCCTCTGCCAAAAGAACACGCATAATAGGTCCAACGTTACCACCTGTACCTTTGGACGACCGGCCGCCTTCAAGCCCCCCACAACCTGATCAAGAGGTGGAAGAGAGCAGCAATGAAGACGACTTTGGTCCTAGTCTGCCTTCTGCAGCCGATGCAGCTGCAAATTCTTCGGCTTCAAAGTGTATAGGGCCGCAAATTCCCGGTCCTACACTCCCTGCTGAGCCTGCCAAGCGAGATGAATGGATGACGCTCGCTCCCGCAGGGGGCGACTGGTCACCGCGAGTCGATCCGACCAAATTGAAAAATCGCAAATTCAATACTGGTCGAGGGGCCAAGGGACCTTCTCAGCCCGGTGGAGGACCAGCCGGGGCTTCATGGCACGAGACTCCAGAAGAAAAGCAAGCTAGATTAAAAAGAGAAGTCATGGGCATCAAGGATAAATCCACGTCTGGAAAATCCAATACGGGGTCGGAAGATGATATTCATGACGAGGTTACAGCAAGGCGATTGAAAGAATACAGCGTAAGTCTGGATCCTTCCCAACCGGGCGCTTGATACCTTCCGTCTGTCAGTCTTTCTGGGACCCTGTTGACCTCTTCCCAGGAAAGTCACCGAGGACCGTCTCTCTATGCCTCCCACCAGGCCAGAAGCTCGAATTCGGATTCAAAGGTGGCCCAAGATGATGACCCCAGTGCCCGTGCCTTCGACCGGGAAAAGGATATCGCCGGCGGAGCAACAATTACTGCCACGCAGCGTAGGGACATGGTCAAAAAAGCGGCCGACTTTTCGTCACGATTTGGTGCGGCAAGGTATCTATGATTCTAAATCGTGAGGGATCGGGCTTAGGGATTGCCGCCGAAGTTTGGATGCGCCATTGGCGACCGGCGATCGCACGACGCCAAAGTTAGGGGGAAAAAAGAGTGAAAGATGAAGGATCGAGGACAACAGCAGTCTCTAGTGCCACGCCATGGACACGAAGGCAAATCATGGGAATTCCAAAAACAGATACGCAATGAAGAGAAAAAAGCTCCTCATCCATTCCCTCGTGTGGTGGAATCACGGAAAAGTTAAATTCGACGCCGCAATCGATTCAAAGGTTCTTCCAAGCCCCAATTCTCAAATCCTTTTGTGTTCGTATATCCACAATACGCAATACGCACGTTTGTGAGCACCGACAACCACCAATCCGATTCAATCGATCACACAACTCAGAGGGCCCTAACTCTCCACCAAAACTGACACGCGACCTCCTGCTTATGTTATACGATACCTTTCAGGTCCCCAATCGAGGACCATTGAAGCCCTTCTCTCCGACTTCAAACTTCCTCACCGCTTGTGCCCTCCAAATCAGCAGTCAATCCGTTGTTCTGACAATCCATGAATCTCGCAAACCAAAATCCAAGAAAGTTCCGGGGAGCCCGCAACAGGCAAAGCATTCGACCCGGGTCCACCGGGCACACTCCGCGCGGATCACGGATCAACGACAAAGTCCCCAGTCACTCGAACCTTGGCTGAGCCCGTCGCCAGCTTGAGCTTGAAATTAGAACCACACCATCCGGCGGTGCTCAATTACCACGCTCTACTACACTCCGCCTCGTCATCGCCATCGACTTACCAAACCACTCTACTCAGTACCTCAAACCCCGGCCAAGACCAGACCCCTTTTACTAGTTCACTCCATGTCCTCGTCCCGCTGTGCGCGACAGATGTAAGTCCATACCTTCTACGCCTTCGACGACCGGGCTGATGGATTCGCGACGGGGATCCAATAATGGACCCAGGATGTTCAGACGGCCGCAATTCTGATGCAAGCCAAGGGGGCCCGGGGGTGTCCGGGACGCACGTCTTCAAATGTTTCTGGAACAGAGCTTAGAATCAATGTGTTCCACGCTATTCTCCCCTCCCGTCTTTTCACACCAGTGATTTTCTTCGGTTGAACTAACAATTACCAAACCAGGGGGGGGGGGGGGGGGGGGGGGGGGGGGGGGGGGGGATATACAGAGCATGATTGCCTCATCATCATCCTCCACCTCATCTTGTTCTGCCCTATTCCGCCCTACGAGTCCACCGCCACAATCCTCCAGTACGTAAGAGACTAAGAGTATATGTCAGCCGAAGCTGGGGGCCGATTCGAAGTGACTGAAGCTTTCCTCCATTCAAAACGTCATCTCACTTTCCCCCGGGCGGTGACTCGTCAGTGGTCAGCGGCCACACAGAATCAATCTGCCGACCTGCTGTCTTGGGAGATAGACAATCCAGTGATTAGTCGACCCTTCCAGAACCAGGATATCTCGGTCGGCCATCATTAACTTTTATACCATCAAAGCAAAAGTTAAGTGACGCCCCAAACCAGGAATTTTGACTGGTACTCTCGACTGGGCGCAGTCATCTTCCAACCAAACAGTCCTCGTCCCCCTTTTCCTTGCTGGCGTTCTTGCGCCTCTCTTACTATCAGCCTGTTTTGTTTGCAATAGGTGGATCATGATTTTCTTGCTCTCTTCCTCCCCCCCCCCCCCCCCGCGCGGACCTCGTATTTGTCATGTCCATCACCGACTGCTCTAATTGCCCTGATGTCCGGATCTAAGGCCCTCTGTCCCCCCGACTTCAGGATGGTGGAAAGAGGGGAGGCGGGCCCCCTTCGCCAAAACACAGGTAGGACCGGAAGAGGGGTTGTCCACGTTGTAATGCTGATTGCTGCTCCTTTGTTGATTTCTGATTAGATAATTGTCCGGGCAAATACATTGGCTAAATATCAATACACATATTTCAAGTGCTCTAACGACTGTCGAGCTTTTGAGATAAAAGGACTTTTGCTGTCAAGAAGTTGAAGGAGTCGTCCAAATAAGTCACCACAATCGTTTCAGGAAGTTTGTTGGGGACCTTTTCGACAGATAGCGATTGAAGAGGACCTCCCAAAGCAAGGCAGTTGATTCCTTCTTTCCTCAGATTTGCTACTCCGGTCGTCGGCCGGGCCGTGGTATGCATCGTGGAGTTGGGTTCTCGCTTCGAGGTGGACGTGAGTTCGCCGTCGAGGGTTGTGGTTTGTGTGATGCTGCTTAGACCTCACCTTGGATAACCTGGTCAAAGATGGCCCTTGTCCAGTGTTGCTGGTCATATCTGCGACTTGGGGCGAAGGAGCATTGTTTCGTGTGTCGAGCGGGAGGTGCAATTGCACTTAGTAGGAATGGATTTCACCATTCCGCCTTGATAGCCCCCAATACGGATGATTCGACTGAGTGGCTCCTGGCTGTCAGTATGCAGAATTCAGCAGGGAGAGGGATACCACCAAACGTACCCATTGCCCCGCTGACGCACAAGAAGAAGACTCCCTCAAATCAATAGTCTCGTGAAGTAAAGGCGTCGATTCCCTTGAATATGGAAACGTCGCATAGTCAAGTCCCGCTTGAGCGGTTCGATCGTCGGTGATGAATGCTTCAACCGGTCGGATGAGATTCCGCTCGTCTCCTGATGAAGCACGTTTGTTGTTGAAAGATCTCGTGTTTTCCACCTCGATGATCTTTTGGGCGATCAAGTATGCCGTACAACTGGTCCAGTTGTTCTCGAGCACCTGGAGAGAACCGAGATGTCTCAAAGCGGCCACTCGTGTATCTGGATCGCGGCATTTGATCGCGGTAAAGAACAACGGAGGAATGTATCCCATATTGTAGCCGAGATTTCCAACCCCAGCGATGAACTTTGAAGATTCATCTTGGGCCCAGGCTGCTGAGAAATCGTCGTATTTATCCACCATCCATTTGAATTCCTCCTCATACTGCTCGAAGACCCGTTCGGTGTCACTGGACGAAGCCCGAAGCATGACCGAGAGCATGGTGTAGTAGACTCGCAGCAGTTGCAACGCTTGTGCGAGCCGTTGTTTTCGACTTTCCATCATATTGGCTTGAAGGGATTCAAAGGACATGTGCCATGTTTCCAACAACAGGTGTATCTTGAGCGGTGGTGAAGCCGCCCAGGGCGTTCTTCTCCAATCCATCATCCTGGCAATGTGATGAGCAATACCATCCAAGGCGTGATGTGCTTGGTGAAATTCGGTAAATTGGCCAACACACGGGAGTTCGCAGCTGGGACCGATTAGGGTGGTACATGCACGGTCCCTGATGGTGACGTCTCCCATGCCGTACGTCGGGGCCTTGTCGATATAGGAGAAAAAGATCGGTCCAATGGCCTCTATGATCAATCGTGCGGTCTGAGAGGTCTTTACCGCGGGGTCTCGAGTCGACTTGGACCATTCATCGATGATATTCAAGCCGGAATGGATGTGATGTAAACCACGGGCGATGGTACCCTGCATGAATTCGCAGCAGGCGAATAACAAGCAAGCCGTCAAAACGATCTCTATTTGCGGAGACGAACATGTTGCCTGAATGGCCTTGGTATAGTGCGATTGGTAAACCGCGTTCTCATCCAGAGAAACACCATCGAGGGTCGTGGTTTCGACCAGAGACGATGTCGCAAGGAGCAGGTGCTTGACGGCCGGCTGGACCACGCTAATTTGAGGCAAGAGTTTGGTCCAGAAGGAATGTCCTGTTGCAAAGCGTGAGTCACGAGAAGGAAGCGCGACGCTCGAGACTCGTTGCCAACCTACCGAAGTAGCAAGAGAAAACGGGTGCGGTCTGCTCGATCCAGAGCTGGAATGATCGTTTGTCGCTGGCAGTGCCCATGGGGCCCAGGGGAGAGATGATTTGAATGAGGGTGTTGTGGTCGGATTGGTCGAGACTTCGATGAGGTTTGAACAGCCATGTTTGAGGAGGTTGATAGCCTTCACATTTTCGAAGAGAATCGGTGCATTGTCGACACGCCGGTTTCGCTTCATCACATTTAATGCGCCGTTTTCTGGGGAGTGATGGGTCAGAGGGGCTATTCAGCGGGAAGAACGGCCAGCCAGAAATATCGGATTACCTGCAAGTCATGCAACCAGTCTTGACCTTTTGATGAGGTCTTTTGGCCCGGCCATGGGCCATTTTGCCATAGTAATCCGAAACTCAGCCTGGAAGATGGGATAGGGGTATATGGTGCAGATAACGGGAAGATGGTGAATCGCCAGGGAATGGGGGCTTGAGAGAGTCGTATGTGACAAGAGAAAGGTGTGTGTGGCGTTTTATTAGGTGTTGAATCTACCGCCAGTGCTAGTTTACATACCCTAAGCAGCGAAACTAACCCTAATCGGGTGCGAACTGCAAGTGACGTCTCTATTAGCACTGCTACGACGGCGACGAGCGCAACATTCGATTTCGTCCATTGTTACATCCCCCAGATAATAATGTTGAGCTTGAGCATTTCATCCTCGATCGTCTTCGGCCGTGGCCAAGGATAAGGCCAAGGGTATGGGTATGGGCGCAGACGAGCATGCGGTGTGTCCCAGGTCATGCATGCTTATGCGTACCTCTCTGCAGAGGGGGGGAAGGCCGGAAGGACGGACAAGGGGTATTTTGATTTCTCTTTTTATTTTGCTCGTGTTCATGCTCGTCGCTGACAGGGCTGGGCTGGGCTGAAATCTTAAATTGGATACGAGCCCAGCGAAGGATTCCCACCAGGGAAAAAAACCCCCCCATGACTATCGATTTCCAAGAGCCTGGTAGAGGGCCCTGGGGAGTGGACGAGAACTTTGTCTCCCTGTATCACTGTACCAGAGGACGACCGCTGGGCCGCCCATCGAGGTACCCTTAGACTACCTGCCCTACAGGGCATCCTGATGGTATCTGTTAGGCAGTTCGCTGGTAAGAAATACCTCATTTGTGAAGTATGCAACCGCCTCTCCGTATGCTGCCATAAGCGAGTTCGGCCTAAATCAGAACCAGAGCACGTAACCTCGGTAATGAGCCAGGCAAACCCCAGCGACTTTTAAGGCCGGGGACCGCCTGAGGGAAACTCTACGGCGGGCACTGATCAGGGACCTGGCCGGGTTTTCCCCAGATTCCATCATCCAGCCCTACGACGCACCTTGACTTCGAGACCCTCAGACCGAAACCGCATCATGCCAGAGTGTTCCTTTGGACATTGAACATTCAACTCGCCACTGTGTGACAACCATCGTCCACGTCCTCATCCATGGCACATTCATTCCTCCACCATCATCTTGTACCTTGAAACCCTCTCCTCCACGATCTGTTATCTCGCGTCATCCTCCGAATGGCTCGTTCAATGCTGTGTGCGTTGCTCGTCCTGGCGTTGACGTGTCTGCGCACTTCGGATGCCTTGTACACCAAGAACTCCCCTGTGCTTCAAGTTACGGCAAAGACATATGACTCTCTGATTGCTCAATCCAACCACATCTCGGTATGTCATCTGGGAATTTTGGTGTTCTCCCTGTCGAGACTAATCCCGTTGCCGCAGATAGTCGAGTTCTACGCCCCTTGGTGCGGGCATTGCCAGAACCTCAAACCGGCTTACGAGAAAGCGGCTAAGAACTTGGCCGGCCTGGCCAAAGTCGCCGCCATTAACTGTGACGATGATGCAAACAAACCTTTCTGCGGACAAATGGGTATTCAAGGCTTCCCTACCCTGAAGATTGTCAAACCAGGTCCCAAGCCTGGTCGACCGGTCGTGGAGGACTACAACGGCGCGAGATCGACCAAAGCTATTGTGGACGCTGTCAAGGACAAGATCCCAAATCATGTCAAGAGATTACAGGGTGATGCTTTCGACACGTGGTTGAGCGATCAAGCCGCTCCAGCCAAGGCGATTGTCTTCACGGACAAAGGTACCACCAGTCCCTTAATTAAGAGTCTGGCGATCGACTTCCTCGGTAGCATTGCTTTCGCACAAGTCAGAGACCGCGCGACGGCGGAGAAGTACCAGGTCACCGAGTTTCCCTTGATCCAGCTGATTCCGGCATTCGGGGAATCTCCCATTTCCTACGTGGGAGAAATCAATCGGGACTCCTTGGTGAGCTTCTTCAGTCAGGTGGCACCGCCTAATCCCGACCCAGCCCCCAAGAGTGCGAGACCGTCCAAATCGTCCTCCAAGACAGCCCAACCAGCACCGGCTTCGTCAGCTTCCGCTGCATTTTCCAGCGCTTCTGACGCTCACCAGTCTTCCGATTTCGACGACGATATTGCGGGCTCTGGAACCATAGTTCTGGACGAAGATGCACCTAGCGAATCACCTCTTCCTATTGTGGAACAGGAAGAGAAACCCATGGTCGTCCCCGAGGCCATTCCTCCGATCCCCACGCTTGCCACGCCTGCTGAAGTCGAAGATGCCTGCCTCACGCCCACGAGTGGTAATTGTATCTTAGTCCTGCTTCCCTCCTTGTCTGATTCGGACGCAATGCTTCCGGAAACCGCATTATCAGCATTGGCAGGATTGGCCGAGATTGCCAACAGGTACGGCCGACGTCACGCCAGAATGATCCCGACGTATGCTGTCCCCCGCGAAAATCAAGCTGCGAGTAGAATTTCACAAGATTTGAGCCTGAATTCAGAAGGAAACATGGAAATCATTGCACTCAATATGAAGAGAGGATGGTGGAGACGATACGCGAGTGAATCCTACGATGTTGTCGCCTTGGAAAGCTTCATCGATGCCATCAAGCTCGGCGAAGGTACGAAGTCAAAGTTGCCTGCAGACTTTGGAGCGACGACAGCATCGGAGAGCTCAGAATCTGACACCACCGAAACCGTGGCTAATGATGACGAACCGGATTCTGAGACTACGGTAGCGGTTCCAGAGCATGATGAACTGTGACCAATATCGGCCACTCCGCTTCTTTCCACGGCTAAACCAACAGTCGATCACTACTGTTCCCTGAGAATATTTATTCTTTCAAGTACCATTCCTTCTCACCGATATTTGTCACATTTTTTCTTTTTCGGTTTGTTTCTTTCTCACTTTATAAAGTTTGTTCGTTAATCTCTCTTCACAGCCGCTTCGATGATCTTCTGTAGCCGGGCTTTATCCCTCCTTCTATGCCGATCTTCTATCATCGGATCCTTTACCTGCACCTCAGTTTTGCACGTCATCGCCACAAGTCGCTAGATACGCACGCCTGGACCTCTCCTCCCTCGTCGTTGATCTGGACAGCTCTCTTTGACTTTCGTTGTTGCACCAAGATCGGATCATGGGTTCGCGAAACTCAACCAGGACCCAAAAGTCGGACACATCACATCGGCACGCATAACGTCAAATGTAGGCTCGATGGATGACATCGTACAAGCGTCGCTCTCAGCGCCGCTGAATGACTCACGAGCACTGCACTTTTCCACGAAATCTCCATCGCTGTCGAGTACGGAGCAGGCGGATGCGGACCTCGCTCCCAAGATTCCGCAGCCCTCGGGGATGACTTCTGCCACGCCAACAACAGCTCTAGATGGAATTAGGGCGGGGATCAAACAAGACCGGCGGCCTGGAAAGCTTGACATGCCCGAATATAATGTACAGGACGATGGTGGGGGCGGCCCACCCCGTCCTGGCTCAGATCAAATCTCCTCAGCCATTCCTCGAAATATCCGCCCAAGATATCGAGAACGCTTCGACCGATCTATGCTTCGCCCAGACCGAAATACTCCTTTTAATGCTCAGATTATGGAACATGTCACGGATTGGGCTGAATTAGGCTCGATGATTACGAATGATCAGAGACGGAACGAGGTTCTGGATCGTGTCTTCGAGACTTTGAAGCAGGTTTGGTTCGAAGCTTTACGTCTCGGATATGATTCCGGTGCCGGTGACAAAGAACTGCCCCGTACGAGCAAGCGAGCACCTGCTGATCGTGGGAAAAAGTCAATCACCCCTTCTCGGGTTTATACAATCCCACCGCCAAGACAACGCCACAAGAGAGAAATGAGTCCATCAAGCATGCCGGTCTTGATATCGAAGAGTTACAAAGACTCCCAACGTTGGGCAGTCACGGCGGGAGAACTGCAAGAAGCCAGTGTGTCCGAGAAAAAGATTCGTAAGAGAGCAGAGTCGGGGGGATCTGAGCCGCGGTGAAGAAGTCTTGAACGAAGTTGGGGAAGTTTTGGAGCGAGAGATATCCCGGCGCGATTGGTACCGTGTCATGGACGCCACCAAACTGAATCCCAGAGGGAGAAATCTGTTTCTATACTCTCTATACGAAGTTCAGATGTCACGACAGAGCCTTGCCCATCTAGAGTTTCTATATCGAGGGTTCAATCAAGTAACTCAAAAATTGAATACCCAGAGAAGAATCGATGATGAAAAGGGACGCCACGATTTGTTTATGGCTTTGGCGTTGGAACTCGATGAAATGGATTCCTCCTCAGTGTCTACAAGCAACGACCACCGCGCCGTTTGTGTGGGAAACATTCCTGCTGCGGACCTACAAAACTCAAACCAGCCGAAGAATCTCCTCGGGGAATTTATCCACATGGTGGAAATGTTGCTCAATGAAACAGATCCCGGAAGCTTAGTTGCAGTGTTTGAGGCTTCTGGGTTTCCTAGCGATAACCTGGTCAATAATGACCTCCTGGAAGACCCATCGAATAATTTTGACCGAGGCAAACACGCCCTGAGTGAACTGCTGGTCAAGGCAAGAGAACTACGGATATTAATGCAGAAGACAGATCAGGTCTTGGAGTTCGACCAAAATTGTGTGATCAGATTCGAGACTTTGAAGAGCACGTTCGACAAAAAAAGAAAACACTAAGGGACATTCTGCCCCTTCTGATACCCGAACACGATGCAGGAGACGGGAAGGGAAATGATGTAGCAACGAATGCCATCGATGATGTTGATATGAGGACGATACCTTCGGTGCTTGAGAAAACATCACCGATGAACCCAAACGCTGACGGGACTGGTAATTCCTCAGGATAAGAAACAGAAAGCTCTGTTTCAAGACCAGGTCACAAGGGCGCAGCCTCCCGTAGCTATACACGATGTATTTGACCATGTGGAAAGTCGGTCTATGTCTGCGACTCAAAACCATCCAACATCGCGCCTACAGTCAGCGCCATCGTCATGGGACGAGTCCAGCAATAAGAAAATCCGCTACGCTCAAGGCTACATTCTGCCTAAAGCCAATAGAATGCTCACAGAGGCGAGCATGGCTCCCACGATCAAAACAAACCGGTCAATACAACTAAATGGTCGATCACTCATTGTTGCCCTTCGAGCGTCGCCAACGTTCAATCCTGCCGAACTTTCCAGTGACACTCTCTTTTCCCACCAAAGAGGCTTTAAATACCGATACACCCGCAACTCGACTCTTGCACAGAGACGATCTATGGACGAGCCACTCGACACATACATTCGCGACTGGTCTAAGACGTCGGCTTGGTACGGCAGGTATGAAGTACTCACACATCCCGACGATCCCGAGCGGCCAGGTATCATCCATGGGATCTGGGATCTGGGATCTGAGAGACGGTAGTAGAGTTCCTGGAGCCGAATGGTTCTACGACGGTAATCGAGAGATGAATCAAAATACCGTCATGGAATCGCCGCATAAAAATGAAGGCGTATCGAGTTCACGGAAGCAGTCTCTCGTCCATAAAAACGTTCTTCGGTTATGACGCAACAGCTCCCATTGGACAGTCGACCATAGCACCCAAAAGAGGAACAACGATGACAGGGTGAGAAACGACCAGAAGAAAGTTCGCCGCATACAGATTCCAGCGACCCATCCTGTGCGCGACAATCTCAATGCAGAGACAGGCTTAGCTGGAAGACCGAAACAAAGAGGGGCACAAAAGAGATATCCTGACTTGGACGATGACGACGATGACGAATATTATCCCTCTGATTGATCTCGTATCTTTAAAAACACCTGGTGGATCGTTGGGATGACGGTGATCAGAACAGTGTTGCTGGTCGGCAAGGACATACGACCTGAGGTTCTAGGGGCATGAAAGCAATCAGCTTTTGCTATGGATGGGAGAAAACATCATGAGACAAGATCCCATCATCGAACACGGGGCTGCAGATGTTGATATAATATCTAACGTCCAACTCTCCTCAGTCCGATAACCGTTTCTCAGGACTCTGATTCAACTCCAATGAAGACAATCATGCCAAATACGGCAGCACAGCGCGGTTCCGCGGAAATCAACTGGAAACCCCCTACGTGCTGTCCATGAATTTTTGGTTTATTTTAGCTTTTCGACTCTTTGTTCACCAGCCCGACTTTTTGAAGGCGTGAGCTGGTTTTGCATTGATATTCATTTGATTTGATATCAGGACGGAATGGCAGTGGACACTGAATTGAACTCTTTCGCGGCGTGGTGGGAAGTGCGTATCAAGCAAAGAAAGCAACGGCATGCAACTACGACAAGGGACCACTTCAAGTGGACGAGGCCCGTGCCAGATAGTACATAGCTGGGACGAGCATGTTCCCGGGCTCAGTTTTTGCTCTCTTCAGTCGATCAAAAGTGATTTGTTTGACTTGGGCTAGTTCTCTTGCGGCCCCTCGCTATTATCTGTGGTTATGTTTCCTCTTCTTTCTCTGGTCACCCCTTTCCCGGTCTCGGCCTCTGTTCTTTTTGTCTGTCTTCTCCTTTAATACTCCATCCTCGTCATTTCCATCATCGACATTACCATCGTCATCGACGTTCCGTTTCTTCTGGCTCGGATTCTGTTGATGGCTCTTGACACTGACAACCGTGCTCTTGCCCAAACCTGCCTCGGCCTCGCGGACTTGTCGTTCTGCTTCTTCCCAGGCTTTATCGTCAGCTGTGGAGTTGTGGATTTCGTATCTAGACGCAGGCAGAAAGGTTTGATTAGTCGAACTGATCAAACCCCCGATATATATTTTGAACGGAGAGGAAGAGAGAAGCCAAGGGAGGCTTTGATAAAGGTAAGACAAGGGTTTCACTTACTTGTCAAGCGGCAGCGCGTCAATCAATGCGCGCTGCTTCTCTCTCTGCGCCGGATCGACGTCCTCAGCCTCTTCGTTGTCGTCATCATCCACTGTTCCCGATCGGGGTTGTGCACGGTTGGCGATTCTTGTATCCAAGGCGCCGTTGAGATCCGCGTGCCTCTTCTCCGGCAAACTAGCCTCTACGGCGCCGGAAACCACAGTTCGGAACGCGGTGCTTATTTTCCTCACGATCTTGACAAACATTGCCAGTAGTTGGTTGCTAGGCAGGTTCAACTCTTTCTCCACGTCGCTTAGATCTTTGCGCTGTAGACCTATAGCGAGGAGAATACTTTGCTGCACGCCGGAGAGATTGACGTTACAAGGATGCAGCTTTAGACGGCCTGTGAAATAGAGGTGTGCGATGGAAGGCATCATGTCAAGAATGACGTGGTAGTCGAGCATGTTGTTCGCGTAGGATTCAAGGCGGGCGAGATCGAAGGGTGAGAATAAAGAGTCCAAGTCGGATTTGGTAATGGGACGGAGATGAGTTAGGCTTGTGGGATCTTCCGAAGGCGAAGAGGAGAATTTGGTTGCTCGTGACGCAGATTCGGAAATGGAGAGGGCTTGGACAGATGCGAATGTGCGGAATTGGTAGGATAGAAGTGTGAGGAATCGTTTGTGGAAGTCTTGAGCGTAGGCACTGAGCCAAGAATTATCGGCGGTGGTACTTGTTGATAGGGGTCGGAGCATGACACAGGAATGCTCCCCTGTCAATTCGTTGGCTGTTTGGCGAAGATAGACTGGGGCAAAAGATGCTCGTTTCCAGAATTTGTGAAGTGGTTGTGTCAGACCGAAGGACACGCCGAGATAGTCTAGGTGACCTGGTCGTCGTTCTGAAAGTTTGCTGAAGAGCGGTGGCATTTGTTGGATGTCTCGCACTTTGATGTTGTCGTCAAGAAGGTTTGATTCCTCGAGTTCAGCATCCGTGACACGAGGCATATGTTCCATCTCTTCCATGGTAGACTCACCAGTCTCGGACAGTGAGGTGAATTTTCCTTCGTAGAAATCTATCAAGAGTTGGAGAGCCCGTGAACCGTATCCCATGCTCAAATATTCGGGATTTGTGGCGATTCGTACGATTCGACTGCCGGACAATCCAGCAAATTCCGAGTCTTGGAATTGTTGACTGACGAGCCAAGGAATAAGGTCACCACCAGCTCTCTGGCCACGCGAGAGACTGTTCAAGACAGACTTTTTGCTAATACGTCCTTCGAGCGCGACTTGAATGACACAGAGAGGCTCCGGAAGTTTATTGGCGTCGTCAGGAATCGGTGGGATGAGGACAAAGAGCTGGTGTGCTGGAGCATCAGACATTAATTGGAGGTCATTAGGAGAATTCTTGTAGTGGGAAGCGACGTAAAGTGCCATCATTTGCTGAAGGAATTTTTCTGAAACAGGATGGAATGAGAACAGAGTGTCTCGGTTGACATGGACCAGTTCGCACGTCGACGGGTGTGGTGTTCCCTGGGTATTCATTTTCGATTTCGGCAGTGTCGCATCGAGACATAATAGTCGATTTAACCACCTCTCAACGCCATCTCCGGGGGCATATCGAATAGGCTCCGATAAGGTAATTTCCCGCAGTGATCGTCCTCCCGAGTAGACTTTTGGGCCGTCTTTGGCTGCTCTCCCCGTTGCTTTGTCGGCGATTTCAAGGTCTTCCCCATTCGCCCGGGCACCGCCTCTAGATTGGTCCCGCAGTTGTTGGATGAGTTTTAGCGACAAAGATCGTCCGGTTCCTTCATAGCCATTGATGGTTGAAGCCATGAAGACCAAATACGGACCGATCCACTTGCGCACCAACGGCAACGGAATTGCTGCTGCCTCATCTATCACCACCAATTCGGCCTGACCGAGGACATGTGCATCCTGGGGTTGGACGTATTGGATGGTCTGTCGGTGTTGCCTGTGGACATTTATCCGTACGATAGCTTTATTGTAATCTGGATTGGTTGATTGCAGTATGGTGTAGTCGACATGGTCCATGTATTCGAGTGCATCGAATCCTTTGATCACAAATTCAAATAAGGTTTTCAGGTTTTCAGGACTGGGAGATGTGATGAAAATATTGCTATAACCGTGAGCGATTGCGGCCGCGACAGCAATACCAAGAGCGGCAGATTTTCCTCTTCCTCGAGCAGCTGTTAAGGTGACAGTGCTCCGCAGAGTTTTTTCGGAAATGGCATCGACAAAAGTCAGCAGTGCCTGGGCTTGATCCACGGTCTTTGCCAAAGTGATGAGAGATCCCACTGGCTGGCTGTCAGCTAAGCTAGCTTTGATCTCCTTCAATTCTCTTTTGTTGGGTAATGAACTGTCCGCCTCGGTCGTCGGTGGCGGTAGAGCTTGAACATTCTTTCCCCCAGAGATGGGTAGGACATTAAGCTCGTCATCCACGACCAAACAAGACTCACAGTTCCCCAGCGAGAGAATGAATCGTTCATTGAATCGGGCCACGACATCATCATGTGCCTCGGTTCGATATCTTGAGTGGACATCCATAGACATTGTGTAAAGTTGCTTCAAGCTTTTCATGCCTTTTAGCAGAAGTAGAACCAGTCCTCCACCTTCCACAGTTTCGACGGTTCTGGCAAGCAGATTGGGGGTTATGGCCTCAAAATCCTGCAAGATACACATGCCATATGTGTTACCAAGAATCTTCTCCGTCTCTTTGTAATAGACATAGCGAATGTTGTGCAAGGTCACAAAGAGTTCGAACGGGTCTTCAGTATTGGGATCTCGAATTCCCCGCTTAACCTCTTTCTTGATCTTTGCTTCTCGCTTCTTCCGGTGACTTGTGAATCCGAGGAGATCTTTCTTGTAGGCCCATAGGACGGATTTATTCTGCTTGACATCGACGGAGGACATGATATAGTGCAAATGGACAATGACATCTTTGGCTCTGTCGCCCACAACGACCATGAAACTGCGCTTTTTCTCCTGGATGCCATTCCGAATGAGCGCGGGAATGCGCGAGTCAATGGCTTTCCGAGGCATCTGAGAAATCCCCGGCCACCCTCCGCCCCAGGCAACAACCAATAATGGAGAGATGTATTGTGAAAATGAATATTTGCCCGAAAAGTGAGAAACATTCTCCCAAAAATTCGCTCGGCGCAGTTTCCTCGCCGGGACGAGGGTGGAGAATTTTTCCCCAGCCTCGTGGCAGCGAGGGGAGTCGGATCGATGGCCCACTGCCCGCTATCTCCATGTTCCACAAACCTTGAGAACGATTGTGCATGCGACAACCGGTCAACCTTTGCGCATCTTTGATGGAGCACTTTATTCAATGAAAGGTCCCGCATCCTGACATTCGTGATGCCTCCCAATCGAAGGAAGCTGGACATGCGACATTCAATCCTGGTCTACACGCGTCACTCCTCTTCCTGACGAAACTGCCCCGGTCGCACGAACTTTGTGACAATGGCGAAATTTGACACGCTCTGCTCCTGGTGAGTCATATGTGTGAGTCTGTTTCTCAATGCGCAGGCACTGACCCTGTCAGGATTTCAATGGTGACGGCGGCATGCCTTGCACACCTGTTCCCCATATCGACTGCTCATGGTAAGTAAAAGGAAAGTCTCTTTGCGAGTCTCGCTGACTTCGTCTAGACCGGCCTGTCCATCTCGTCGTCCTCGCGTTACTGGCATGCTCGTTTGCGCTACCTAGCGCCAGCAGGGTTCTACCGAGACTATTCCAAACCCCCGACACCAAGCAAGGACTCTACACCGCATTGCCTCTGGAGGATCTTGGACAGGCAACTGGAGGAGTGGAACATGCAAGTCCATCTTCGACGCAGCCTCACCAGAATGGCAAGGTTCGCATTTCAATACTGGCGGTAGCAGTATGCGCTTTGTCGCTGCGCATTGAGCTCTACCGACGAATATCAAATGCCACCGAGTGCACGATCGACAGCGTTGAAGTATTCCTGCCATTTATGCTAGCTTTCTATGACGCAGTCCGATCGCAACGCGCGCTCGCTCTCAAGAACGAAGAAAGGCCCGACAGCAGTGTATACGATTCGTTACGAGTAGCAGTGGCTTCATACATCCTAAGGCCACGCACACGATTTCTATTGTCGACGTTCCTGGTATGCTACGGTTGTTATCTGACCCAGGGCCTCTGGAGCTCCTCGAACTCGACATACATCTGCCCTCTCGTTGTTGGGGAGTCGAAGACAATACCAGCCATGCAAGTTTTAGCCCTTTTCTTGGATCTTGGTCTTGCTCTCATCATCTACGAGACATCACCAAAGAGTGATGGTCGGGGCCTGTCCGGGCGAAGATGCGTGATACTATGGAGCTCTGTGATGATTGCCACATCAGTGGTATGGTCGATGGTGGGACTGATTGTCTACATTTTCCGACCCGAGGATAGAGCCTGGCTGTTGTTCTTCCAACCCTCTTTGGAAGTGGGCACTTTATTTGCGATAGCGGGGCATGTTGTACTGTTCTGCTTTCTGTGCATATCAACTTTACATTGGGTAAGTCTCGTTGTAACTTCAACCAAACTGCTGGTGCTAAGGAGTATAGACCATGATTGGTGGCACCCTGGACATGTCCACGTACCTTACAGCTTTAGTGACCATGATACCCGGATTCGAGTTTATTTGGTCACATAAAAATCCATTTCCTCCTGCACCGACATCTGCAACAACCGTCTCCTTCCTTCTCATCATCGTGGGGGTGTGGACGTATCGTCGAATTCAACAAGCATTAGGCACGAAGGGTCCGATGCGCCTTTCTCGTTCGGCAATGCTGTTCACGTTGTTATGCATTCTCATATCCCCAACCTGGTTGAAGAAAGATTACGTGCATTTCCACCCCATCGACATGCTAATTTATGATGCCAAAGTTCATCACGACAACTACCTTGACACGATAGGCAGTGTATCCTCACTTGAGGAGACGGTTGCCCGGTACCAGCAAAGGTACAACCGCAATCCCCCTCCTGGGTTTGATATTTGGTTCGAATATGCCAAAAATAGATCTGCGCTGATCGTGGATGAATTCGATCAAATTTATGAAGATTTGCTTCCCTTTCGCACGATCCCGCCGGCGGTCCTCAGGAAACAGACCTGGGAAATGGTTTCTAATCCATGGAACGAAATATCTGGAATCACCATCCGGGATGGAAACGCGGCGGTGCAGGAAAATGTTCTTCCAACCCATCGATGGATGCTGGAGGGCGTCGCCGTTCTCATCAACAGTTTTGCGCGGTACTTGCCCGACATGGATTTGGCTTTCAATTTGAACGACGAGTCCAGAGTCGCCGTACCATACGACAGCATCGAGTTCCTGAGGGAACAAGGCCGGGTGCAAGACAAGTCGGGTAGCGCGAGCTGGTCCGGCGGCCGTGCTGCAGGCTGGCTACCCATTCCCGAACAACCCATCACAGAGACGATCTTCCGCGACATGTCCTTCCGTAATACCTTTCGAAAATACGGCTCAGTAGGCTGTGAGCCTTCTTCTCTCGCACGACGCTTTCCTCATATCTCATCTCAATCACATATATGTGGTAGCTGTGTGGCGCCCCATTCTCTAGGACAGTTTGTGTCCAGCTGGTCCGAGGCGGCAGATATATGCCATCAACCCGATGTGGCCTACCTCCATGGATTCTACTTATCACCAGCCGCCTTCAAAACGTCGTATCAATTGATGCCAGTCTTCTCGCAGTCCAAACCTCACGGATACAACGACATTCTCTACCCTTCCGCCTGGAACTACATGGACAAGGTCATCTACGCACCCACCAAGGAGAGAGGCACACCGGGTCAAGACGACTACCACCCGGGCTTTCCTGACCTTCCTTTCGAGCAAAAAGAAAACGTCCTATTCTGGCGAGGTGCCACTTCGGAAGGCGTATCCTCAGGAGACCATGCCTGGCGTGGAATGACACGTCAGCGTCTCGTCCACATGGCCAATAACCTGACCACCGCGCAACACGACTCCTTCGCCATCCTCCTCCCGAATCCTGCCGACCACTCGAAATACAAGTACCAGATTCTTCCCGGCCCGGCAGCCAAGGAATTAGGTTTAAACACCGACATTGCCATCGTTGACCGCATCGCCCGCTGTGGCGGGATCGGACTGCAAGACTGTTCCGACCAAGAAGCCGAATTCAGCCTGGTCGGCCCCTCTGATTTCCAAGCCCACTGGCGCTATCGGTTCCTATTCGACTTGGACGGCGCAGGGTTTTCAGGCCGTTTCTTACCATTCCTCCAATCTCGCTCGCTGCCGTTCAAAACCGCCTTATTCCGTGAGTGGTACGACTCCCGCCTCACCGCCTGGCTGCATTTCGTACCCCAAGACGTCCGTCTGCACGGTGTATGGAGCACGCTCGCGTACTTCGCCGGCATCAACGGGACCATGTTTGGCAAGAATATTTGGTGGGAACCGCATCTCAAGGAGGGCGAGATGATTGCCGAGGCTGGCCGTGAGTGGGCCGGGGAAGTCCTTCGGAAAGAAGACATGGAGTTGTACTTCTTCCGGCTGTTGCTGGAGTGGGCACGTCTGACGGATGATAGAAGGGATGAGTTGGGTTTCGTGCTCGGAGTTTGACGCGCGAGAGAATGGCCACTCGCTTCCGCCGGTACATAGTTATCTTTACCGTACATAAATCGCAATAATATCTTTCAAAGCCTTTTTATGGGCGGACAGGATCCAATGCATTCACATTCGTATATTACCGACGTCATGAAGATGGTTGGTCAAACATTGTGGGCATCATTTGCTTCGTACATGAAATCCATCGGTCAATATAAAATCCACTATCGTGCCGATACGCCCTGACTTTGTGCAGACTCCATTGCAGGTCCGCCCGTCAAATTCGCCACAAATTCCTGATATCGGAATACATCACCGCTTTTCTTTGGAACGGGATTGTTCAAGCCTCGCACACCTGCGATGCCAATTACATTCTTCCCTAGGATTCTTCGGCCGGTGAAGCCTTCCATTGCGCGGTCAATGTCTTTCTGCGTCAGCGGCCGCTCACCCGGATTGGGTGCCGTGTTAAGGAGCGCACTGCGCAGTTCTGCAATATCTATTTGGCCGCTATCATCATCGTCGAACGCTGAGAAGGCGTTGAGCAGCTCCTGTTGTGGAGATAGGCCCACCAGAATATTGGCCAGTTGTCCGAGGTATTGTGGGAGAGATAGTTGCTGGGGTTGTCCCAGGGGGAAGAATTGACCTAGGTTACTCTCATGGAGACCCAGGGACTGAAGTGTCTCCGCAACGGATGCGGCGTCGATCGTACCGTTGGAGTTCGAGTCGAGGACTGAGAAAGACTCGCGCATATTATGCAGGAGCTGTGGCGGGAGTTTGGATAGATTGTCGTTTTGGGAGAGGCCGTTGGACACAAGTCTACGAGGTCCTCTGGAGGTGTTGGAGACTGATAGAGAGCTATTGTCATATTGGGATTGGAAAGGCTGACGGTGGGTTGTTGGTGATGGTGGTGGTTCTGTTTGTGCTCTCTTGAAAGGCGGCTCTGAGGTGGGCTTTGATGGAGTAGATATCACAACTTCCTCCTCCTCCTCCTCCTCCTCCTCTTCTGACACTGTATATGCGTGTTTGAGCTTAGAAGGAGAGGTCATCGGTGATGTACCGCTTCTGTTTGTTGGAGGAGTGGCAGGTCTCCCGCTGACGAGGGTGGGAGAACTCGGTGAGGCAGGACGACGGAAGGGGGATGAGCGCGGTGAATTGAAAGAGGACCTGTATGATGTCTGTGGGAGATGTATTAGCTCCCCGACCAAGTAACAATATATGCTGTGCCAACGGCGGTACTCGCCATTATTGCTGTCGCGGTCTGATCAATGAACGCAGGTAGATCTGTGCCCTTTAATTGCAATCAAGTGGACGACTGAGCAGTCCGTCAAAGGAGGCGAGGACGTCCAGCTTAGACACAGTTTCGTTTTACTGAGAGTCGCAGAGGAGGCCGATATTCAATTGATTGAAGCAGCAATCGGGTCAAAGTGCACTTATTCAGTTGCTTTTTGTGGTTGTTAGCCATGGACGGAATGGCACATGCCTGCGACATGATTTGTGGGGCTTGTCACGGGCGTAAACAAAAGCCCGCCGGTTGGCAGGGATACCTGCTTCACCAATCTCCGGATGGAAGGTATACCGACCACGAAGGTTTTACACTACAAATCCAGGGGTCAATGGCAGGGGTTTTTGCTGGCTGCCGCAGGCAAATTTGGGCACCTGTGTGTCGGGTGACATCGACGCCTTGGAATGTCAGTCCGGGCATCCTGCAATACCTCAGGCTTCAGAGGCCTGGTAACATCTTGATTGCTCACATACAACTCTTTATGACTTAAAACCTCTATCGATATTATTCGACTGCCTTGACGAAACCGATGGCTGAGACGATTGCCTATCGACCTCATCCTGGCAATGCCCATCATGGGCGACCGAGGTCTCTCTCCTCCAATTCGGGTTCCCATCAATCCTCCCTCTCCCACACTCCTTCGCACTATAAAGTCTCCTCGCAAAGCTCTTTAGTTCCCCCGTCCCCTAGAGGGTCTCATCGATCTTCGCAGAGGATATCTACTGTCCCAGAGGATGGACCCTATCGTCCCACGAAACGTCTCAAATCCCAGTACCCTCTGCACTCGACTGAACCACATGTGGAATACATTCTTGTCGCCTCCTTTGACATTGATCGAGGCCCTATTATGGAGCATCAATTCCCTGGTGCAATCAGTCCTGACGAAAATATGTTGGCTGAATTGATGCTTCCCGATCAAACACATGTGCGGCAACAGGATTGGACAATATTTTTCCTCCACAAGGATGCCGGCAACAGTGAGGAAGAAGCAGCAGCAGAACGAGAGGCCCGAAGAGAACGTCGAGCCGCTCGACGTCGCGCGAGAGAAGCCGGCGACGCTGCCGGCGTTGAAATGGATGAGTACGGTGAAGAAACCAGCAGTGATGAAAGCGATGCAGCTGGCTTGGAGAGTCCACCTTTGATGTATGTCTTGAATCTGGTCAACACCAAGCAAGACAGCACCGTCAAAAGAGGAGCTGTTGTTAAAGCCATGGCCATATGTACGAGGCATTCATTTCTGCACATATACAAGCCGCTATTGCTGCTCGCTCTTGAAGATTACTTTAAATCCCCCACCCCGGATACCCTAGAGTTGTTATACAGCGCTCTTAACGCGATGGACTTGTCGCTTATGCCGCGACTCTCGCATCTCGAGCGACATATACTACAGGCAAGCGACTCAAAGGACTTATTTGTTGAGAAGTTTGAACAAATGATTTCACAACGATTGGCGGACGAGGCTCTCGGGAAAGCGCCGGAGGCTCCAGAATCCCCGATCAAGTCGGAACCCAAATACACAGTTCCTCGTGACACTCACGAATTTGAGTCCAAGATTGTATACAATGGGATCCCGATCCCGGTCAAAATCCCCACGGCTCTGTCCCCCGAAACAGTGGGTGACTTCTCCCTCATCAAACTGGTTCAAACCTTTGGCAATCCACATACGTCACAGCCCCAGCCGTTTGCATTACATCCCCATCTCACAACCTCAGGAGCTTTTACTCATCCGATCATTGTTCTCATCAATGCCATGCTCACGCAGAAACGAGTGATCTTCCTCGGACACAACCGACCTTCGGGAGAAGTGGCGGAAGCGGTCCTTGCGGCATGTGCATTGGCATCTGGCGGTGTCCTTCGTGGATTCACGCGGCACGCATTTCCCTATACCGATCTCACCAAGATTGATGAACTACTGAAAGTCCCGGGTTTCATCGCGGGAGTCACTAATCCGGCATTCTCATACCACCCAGAATGGTGGGATTTGTTGTGTGACTTGCCATCTGGAAGAATGAAAGTGTCGTCCTGCATTGAGCCCGCTCAAGTCACCGAGGGGACCACGTATTTCCAACAACATGGCCATGCAGTGCTCAATCAGAAGGATTCGGGCCACGCGGACGCTACAGGGGATGTTCATTTCATGGAGGACATCAGCCGAAGTATCGCATCACGCCATGGGGAATCCATTATTCGGGCCAAATTTCGAGCATATATCACGAAATTCACCCGCATCGCAGCCGCTTTCGAGGAAACCGTGTATGGAGCCAGCAGCCTCACCGTGATTCCTCCAACAGAGGTGGATGAGGTTGAGACACCAGCGGCCACCACCATTCCGCCTCGACCAATGTCTTTGAAAACTTCAAGCAGGAATTTGAAAGGTCATGGGTATGTCTGGCCAAGCGACGAGGCTAAAACTCGTGAACTAGCAGCTTCAGCGGCCAGAATTGAAGGCTGGAGAAACACTCGATCCTACTATGCATTCATCTCGGATTTGGCGGCACACTCTCAGGACCCCACTTCACCGACTTCGCCCGTCAGCATGACCAACATGCTTTCACGAGCACCAAGCAAACCCTATGTTGATCTCTATCATTCGTTGTCCAAGCTCAGAACCCTGCGGCTGACCTCGACGGAAGCCGGGGCAATTTACCTCGCTCTCGAAGCGTACTGTACGGATTATGACAGTATTCTTGAGCTGTTGGAAATGGCGCCAATGTCGGAATCGGGACTCTTTTACGTCGGTCTCGGACTTTGGCACGAAGACTCGAGAGTTCGGGGAGCGGTGGCTACTTTGCTGGACCGGGTTCGGGCCCATCCAGCTGGACGAGTCTTCTTTAGCCGACTGGGAGGGTGGGCAAAGATGGGCTTTATCAGATGTTCACAAGAAAAAGAAGTAAAACTACGTGGGCAGCAACAGGATCTGGATGATTTACTCGCTCCACTCACCTTTGACGGAGACAGTCGACGCAGTTGATGAGCAATCATTTCTGATTTGCACAGGATTTCAAAAGTGGCGGTGTTTTTGGCGGTCTTGGGAGAATCAATTTTCCCTATGAGCAGTGAGCAGATTTCTATGAAGAATCCTCTTTTCGACGTCCTCACAGTCCTCGTTTGTGAATCTCTAATGCGGAGTCCACGCCGGGCCGGACTAGTCGTCGATTCTGACAGTAGGTGGAGTTAGTCTGTCTCTTGCCCGTCGCATTTCTCCCTTTTTGGGGACCATCGACGGGAGATCACCCACATCGGGGTCCTAAAGAGCGTGGCAACAGACGAAAGATTGTTCTAGACAATGTCAAAGCGTCGGCGAGGGTAGGTAATTCCAATCTTCCATCGTGAACGAATGGAGGACTTGGGTAGAGAATAATCGTCGAGCGAGGGAAATGGTCAATCAAGGTAGATGACCAATGGGAGGACGAAGGAATATTACCCTGGATGGAAGGGAAAGGTCGACTTCGACAAATTTTGATTTTGTGGAGTCCGTGGGCACCGTTGTTATTCCTGTAACGGTCAGCATTCATCACAAACTGAGGCGCAGGAGGGAAGGATAGAGGCAACTGTTTCAGGTCTAGAACGAGAAGGCTCCTTCCCCTGATTCTGAGTTTATCTTTGGCTCCCGGCGCTATTGAATCTTGGCGTCCTTTTTGGCACCTCAAAGCCATTCGTCGTCTGTAAAAACCAGCTTGACTCCATCCCCCCGACAAGCCCCCATTCGACTCAGGCCATTCTACGCGAGATCATCTCTCAATGGGCAGCCATCCCGGCACCTTTATCGTTGCCTTTTCGAGGCTGCATCTTTGATTGTTGCGAGGAACATGGCCGTTTTCAGCCTAGCACCAACGGCCTCCCGCCAGCCCTACCTTCCGGCCAAGGATGTCCTTCTCAGACGCACGCATTCCTATCGAAGCGAGTCCTTAGGTGTCGTTCTTTCATCTTCATTGTTGAAGCTCGAGCTTTTTGACAGCTTAATGTCGGCTGAATAAAGCCGGCGATCGGCAATTTGGCATGTACCAAATTGGCAACTCTGGGGTGACGATCTGGGGCATGAGACTCCCCATTTGACAGCTCGTGGTTTGAACTTCTTGGAACAGAACGCTACAAGAGCGCCGCCAAAGTGCCGCAAGCGGCACCGAGTTCGCCAGATTACCAGGAGTCTTTCGGATTTATCCCCTTGATGAATTCGACGCCCTGTGGAGCATCTTGTTGAGAACTAAGAACCGCCCACATTCCTTTGTCTGCTTCGCCTAACGCTGACTGGTATAGCTGCCGCTCAAATATTTCGGTAGTCTGGCATTTAGCGTTCGCTGACAATGGTTCACTTACACTTGCACCGAGACGGATGCATCTCTTCAACGGCGCTGTCTACCTGGAAGAACTCAATCCTCGTCAAGAAATTGTATACAAAATACCCAATCTCTAACTCTGTCAGCAGAACTAATAAAGAATGAAGCACTCTCGAACAAATTGTTCACTGTGAAACGTCCATCCCGGAAAAGAACCCTCGTGCGCGGCAGATCAACAGGATCAACAACCGGGGTTCGACACGTGCCGTATCTACATCGGGGGGTCCCAATTCGAGTAGGATCGACTGCAAATCATTCAAAAAGCCTTCTCGACAACACTCTGACATCAAGTGGTCTCCAAAGTGTGTGGTTGTGACGACGGGGGGAGCCTCATACTGGCTACTACCATTGACCACAGGCGTCGATGTGAACGAATACCATCAACTTCGACGACACCTGCCCTTGGTGCCAGCCCTGAGAGCAACTCGTGGGCGTCCATTCGTTACAAACCCCCAACATAAAGTCCACCAAGTCCTCCTACGTCCAGAGCAGGTCATTCACGCCGACTATGCCTCCTCCCAATTCACAGAGACCACGTACCGGTAGACGGTGGAATACTAGTACCCTCGGGACATTACGACCTCTGATGCTTTCATTAATGATAATCTTGACATCCATGGTGGCCACAACCTATGCTCACGATATGGAGTTTGATGCTCTAATTTATGAATCATCCTTTTTCAGGGAACTGGCTGAACGAGGAGAAATACATGTCGATGCTCGACCACCACCATCGCCGCCCACCCGACGGGACGTATATTTCGAGCGGCGGCAAGAAGATAACAGTGCTGTGCCTACGATTGTCGCTGAACCAACCTCCATATCCTCCACTTCCATAGACTCCCCATCCTCGTCTACCATCGAAACAGAAGCACCTCAACCTGCCACAGCAGTCTCTACCGCAACCACACCTTCTGTTACGGTGGTTACGACACCTCTTCCTTCACCTTTTGATACGTCCTTGGGCAGCAACTTTACCAGTCCATCTTGCCCTCAATACTTCTCAACGTTTCTCGGCAACTCAACATTTCAATCCTGTGTCCCTATTTCTCTAATGCTACAAAACTCCAACTCGTTCTTTCGAGCAGAACGATCAACGACTCTACTTGCTCAAACTTTTGATGCGGCTTGCAATGCACCTCTGGCGATTTGCTCTCCTCTTCTCGCTAGTATCGCCTCGGATCTGATCGATGACTCAAACTGTGGAGAAGATTTTAGACAGCAGAATCCTCTTGTAACACAGGCATATGCAGGACTGACTGCTTATGAACCGATATACCGAGCAACATGTTTAAGAGATGCAGATACGGGCAGCTATTGCTTTATTGAGGCAATCACCAATACATCGAATCCCGCAGATCCCTATCCTTATTATACGGCTTTGGGGATGCAGATGCCTACAGCAGCGCACCCCACATGCAGTCAGTGCCTCAAAGATACGATGGACATATTTGCCGGATATGCAGAGATTTCTGGCCAGCCTCTGGCAAAGACGTACATACCCTGTGCAAGTCAGGTCGATGCCACATGTGGGACGAACTTTGCTGCAACCAACGTCGAAGTGGGATCAATAAGCTCACCCAATGTTGGAGCATCATTATTCCCGAGTGCTTCATCAGTCATTGTGTTGCTGGTAGGACTATGGTTAGCATTTTATTAAGATATTCGGATATTTGACGCGTGCAGCATTTGAAGGGCGACTACGCGCACTGTACTGTATGGACAAAACGATGATACCAAGCGTGGAAATTAGCGTGGCGTCTCAGAGGTAGATCAATGACTTGAAATAGAAACATTTCTAGCTGATATAATCTGGCATTTGGACAACTCAGTGCGTGTCTTGTAACATTCGAGGCTTTACTGTCCCTTCCTCTCAAGTTTCAGGTCCACTACCAGTCCAACTATCGTTGAACTGTCGTGGCAAACATATTATTTCTTCATCCATCATACGTACAAGAGGATGACAATGACAGCGAGACATCTACGACCACCTTATCCGTGTCTATTAAAGCCGACCTAGTAGCCCGATAGGAATGCTGGCTCGAGCGTGTGGATAACTCATTCGGCTGTCAAGCAAAGCATGACTCAAATATTCATCCAGAACCATCTGTTCACTGTTATAAAGATGAGCTTTCTTGCTTTCGGCCGAATGTTTGGCTCTCCTACACCCCAACGGACGACATTCTGACTCTCTTGTCTCCCCAGAACCAGCACCTCCCCCCCCGCGCGCGACAATACATCAGGCTGGAAAAATCCAGGGGCCTTGCCCGGGCCCATCCGCACTTGGTTGTCCCTCGATCCGATATACTCTATATCTATGCATCTTTCCAGCCCCATCTTCGAAACAAGGTGTTATTTTGTATTTGTCTCTCGTGTTCGATGAGAAGTAAGAAAGCCGTGCGAGCCCAGAGAGCTGGGGTGTTGTCTTATTGCTCTTCATCTATTTCAGAGACTATTGCCCCTATTTTCCACGTTGCGCTTAAGATTATATTCTAGGCTTTGGTAACACCTTTCACAACCATTCGGCCACGCCCATTGCCATGCCTGACATCCGACTGAATTGTGCGAAATGTCCTAATCGATTCGAAATGACAAAGGCTCGGGCTTAGGGCTTGATGCGCCATCTTTCTCATCAAAACCACAGTCTCTCATGGTCAAAGAACTACGGGAGGTCAAAGAAATTGCCCGACGAGTACCTGAAGACGTCTCTCAAGCCGCCCCTCAAACAGCAAACCCTTTGGACTTTTCTCCTTCAATTCTTCGGCCCGGTTGTAGGATCTTTGTTTGGTGTCTTCACCGTTTAGGAAGGAAGATGAGGGAGCAGGCCAACACCATGGTTGTAGATGAAAATGACCTGGTATCTTGGCCAAATGACATTGCCGCCAGAGCGCACCTTTTGGCGGTGTCGGCCGATTCCATTGCTTCAAACGGTTATGACACCGGGACATCAACTGTGTCTTTCGCATTCGCCGCCAATATTTTGGCCTCGCAGGGCATCATTTACGCTTCTCATGGCATGGGATATGCCTCTTGCACGTATGGAAATGTAGTCTGGGTGCAAATATTCTGGCCTTGGTAGCGTATTGTGGCTCTGTGCTTCGGCCTATTTGGCCTAGCACACATGGAAATGTTCGTATGGGACGAAGTCAAGGGATGGCGCAAGGGATTTCGAGGATCGGGAGGCAGGGAAAGAGATATTGATGTACTCTACCTTGAGATGCGGGAAGCAAATGGAAATCTCTTGTTGCTATGTTTGGCAGCGGAAGAGCGATTGCGACCGGTTGGAAAGAGCCGAGTGATAAGTTATGCGCTGTAAGCATCCGAAAGGTTTTTTTGTGACAATGGCACGATCCACCAACCAATCACCCTAGCCGGAAATTCATATAGGGAGGACCACAGGTATACCGTCCTGATCATTGTCTTGCACGGGGTGACTCAGAGGTGGGATGAAAAGGAGACGAACAACATGCCTTTACCACTTGAACCGTTGGCATCCGCCCGGGGAGCCTGTTGAAAATTTTTATTCAACTTGGATAGATGAACAATATGGATGAGTGAATGGAGCAGATCTATCTCGAAAAGACAATGCCTCTCTCCATATTCATTGGTTTCTATTGATATCCCACCCAATCCCATATCAAACCAACTGGAAGGCAGATTAGCTACCTCGGAGTTACCATACATATTTGCCATTGCAAGGCCCAGAGAGGACATGGATGGAAGCAAAGCTAAGCCTCAATGTCAATGTCAGTGTCGGAACGGGATACAGGATAATGGGGAATTGAAAACGGCCGTGTCCAGATATCTATCTCTTTTGCGAAGACAGCCCCTCGTCCTAGCAATATACAACGATGGCACCCAACTCAAATTCAAACTCCCGCTCTAAGTATCGTGCATGTCAAAAAGGAGGGACGGGGTGTGAAATGTCGTGTCGTGACTACTCAAAAGCCATGGACACCTCTGTTCCGTGCTGCAAGCTGCTCGAGGCCTCCTTCCTCCAACAGGTAACTCAATCCTCTGCAACACAAAGCGCTGGCGATAGTCTTTGGAGGAAGTTTTTTTCTTTTGCTTTTCTTTCCCCTTCAATCTGAACTCGTTCCTTACAAGCTTCCTCTCCTGGGAAATGCCACGCCCTCTACTGCCGCGTTATCGGTGAACCAACTGACCTTCTCCCCCCCGGCTTCATTGACAAGCCCACAAGGCAGACTGCGCCCTTCATCGTCCGCCTCGAGGATTTTCTTCAGAATTTCCTTCTTACCTCCGCCCGTGGCCACGAATACGATCTTATGCGCATGTGTCACAACCGGCAGCGTCAGCGTGATCCGTCGCGGTGGAGGTTTCGGACTGTCTTCAATGCTGGCCACCCAAGCATCTGCCTCACGTAGTAATTCGTGGCCTGGGAATAAACTGCAGGTGTGCCCATCGGGTCCGCAGCCGAGGAGGATCAAATCGAAAATGGGCATTCGGACAGAATCCTTGTTTGCGAAACTCGACATAAGAACATCTTGATATTGGTCGGCGAGCTCTTGAGTATCTTCGAGATATTGGACGTCAATCGGGTGGACGGTCGGTGTTCCTTGCTCCGCGGGGATTTTATCCAACAGTTCTTTCTTCAAGAGTCCGTAGTTACTGTCTTCATGGTCGAAGGGCACGGCGCGCTCGTCAGCGAAGAAGATTTGCCATTTGGAAAATTGCGGTACGGAGGCAGGGTCTTCATCCGCGCCCGCGACGAGTAGGGCTTTGGCCAATGTCCCGGGGAGGCTGCCGCCTGAAACGGCGATTTTGAAGGCACCGTGACGTTGGAGGGCGGACTTTTGGCACAAGAGAATGTAGGTTCGCAGATGGGCTGCAACTTCGTCGACGGTGGGGTAACTGAACAGATTCGGTTGCCTGCCCATTTTGGCGGGTGGGATGGAGGGGGTATGCCCGTATTGTCTTTTTCTTCCTTCCTCTTCTGCTGTTTGAATAGGATCTAGCCGCTGTCGGAAGGGGTAGTTCTCGAGTCGATAGATATGGGAGTTAGAAAAGAGGGAAACTTGGGAATGGATAAATTCGTATCGCGGAATACTAGAAGAAAAGCCGCGGAGCCTATCTTCGGGCCGGGCAATTGATGACGTGCGTCAAGCACGGATATGGGATGACCACAGGATGATAGGAGGGAATTGAAATCGGTAATAGTATGACGGAATCAAGGAGTGTAGCAGGGAAAAGATGAATGAAGGAGGGAAGGAATAATCGATTGTGAGAGATGTGATTTGATTCCCGTGTCTTCTGGTTGCAGACACAGTCGATCAAACGTACCAGACTTTTAGTGAGGGGCTAAAGTGGATATCTACACATGCTTTCCTATCTCGGTTGGTCCGATCAGGAATCCCCGCCGCTCTTAACTCTGTGGGAATTCTACGTATAAGCCCCAGACTCATAGTCTACCCAAGTCTTCCTTTCTGGAAGATTCTTGTCCCTCTTCATCCTCCATCGCACTCTCGTCATGTACCATGGAAACCTCAGTGAATCGTTTTGGGTTGGCAGAGTGGTATCGTCCCAAGACACATCCGTTGTTGAGTGAGTGGTTTCCGACACTTCAACTCTTGTCCTTCCTGCGTAGCTGATAATTCCTATCGGTCAAACTGATGGACCAAATGAATGGCACCATCTCAAGGACCAGGCTCGATTGATCAAGAAGTCTTCTTGTCCCTGACCGATCAATTTCGGGAGGTTAGTCCCAACGACCTCCTCGCGGCCCAAACCAACCGAGTGTGAAGAGCTCGCTATCCATTAGACTTGCCCCTTGCCTTTGTCCGTCAAGCTCTTGTCAACCGCTCGTACTTACGCAGATCACAGTATAGTCTTCGTACATGGCCTCTTCGGCCATCCTTAGAACACAGGGACTCATATGGGCGTTGATGGCACCGAGACCTATCGGCCTCGTGACCTCCCACTCCTCAAGGGCAAACAAATCGAGAAGATCCCTCTGATATTGGTGGCGCACAGCCTGGACGGGATCGTTGTCAAAGATGCCTTGAATCTGTCCAGGTTCGAAACGAGCCATCTCCATAAGATCTTGCCAGCTACGATCGGAGCTCTGTTCATGAGGACCCCGCATCGAGGATCGAAGACTGCCTCCATATGAAAAAGACCGGCAATCTTTATCAAATCTGAACATGCCGGAATCGAGAGCTCGCATGTCTCAAGTGGGAGCTCATTTAGGCGACACCTACAACTGGTTATTCACCGCTCCTATCGGGTTCCAAGACTGAAATCTACTGGATTCGAGGGAATCCCGCTTCGGGATAATCGACCATGATGAAGTACGCAATGAATTCCGAGAGAGCGAAAAAGTTTCTACGAGAATGTCGGCCGTCGACGTGGGTCATCGCCGGTTTCTTCTTTCACGACCGCGGTTCCTCTATTCAAAAGTTAGTCCAAGGATTTCTTTGTGAGGTTCTCTGTCAGATTTTGAAACAGGACAAATCTGCTGTCGAATTGGTCCCTCCCAATATCAGAACTCAACTTGTGAAAGAGGACGGCAAAATGGGTATCCAATCTTCCGTCTACGCCTCTGTCTGACGGGCCGCATGCGTTTTCTGGTTGCCCAGGGTTCGCTATCCATCATTATTGCGACAGTGACATCCGAGCATTCACGGCGGATCGGCTGAGGCCGGAAATAGGCCAAGACCTAGCCGAGCAGAGTCCGATGCTGGATGTCCTCATCACCGACGTTGTTGAGAAGGCACAAGAGGTGTTTCTATGGGCTCGACTCGTAGAAGAGTTGCTCGCCGGGATATCTGACGGTTACCTGCTAGAGGAGCTCCGAGATCTCCTTGCCACCATGCCCTCGGAACCGGAAGATCTGTACGTGAGAACTCTGAATCAAACCAGGAGCGGTTCAACTCAGATGCTTGCGAAACAAAAATATGGGACGTATGTGATGCTACCACGTCATCCGTCAACAACCCTCTCGAACTTCCCCGGTTCCTCCAAGCAGCTCTGTTCCTCGCTGGGGATCGGAGATCTCTGGTACCTCGGCTTTCCAGGGCACGGATGAATCAACGCATCAATAGCAGATCCTGTGGTCTTCTGGAGACCGTGACCCTGGGCCATCGTACCGTTAAGGCTCAATTTGCTCATCAAACAATGAAAGAGTTTGCCACAAGTGAGCGTTGCCAGTCGATTCTTCGCAGTCCATCCGATCTCGGATTCTCATAGAGTGGCCATTTTCTTATGCTTCGCTATCTCCTAGATTTCCTTCACCTCGAGGACAATGGAGATATCAGCGAAGGACGCGTTCTTCTTTTGCGCCGATCATTTTGGTTACCATGCACAAAGACAATGTTGGCAACCATACCGCTGCCCAGATGTTGAGGGAAGCATGTCCCGAAGACGAGAGTCAGAGATTATTGACCGGGAAGATCCATGAGGTCCTGTATGCATTCAACTCCCGAATCGGCATGGCGATGGTAAGGATGCTCCAATATTCAACGCTCTTGAACTCTTCCCCCCCAGTATTCCGTCCTTTTGCTATGCATGGTTGAGCGCTTGCACATATCGTTTCGGGACGAGTTTTCGCTTGAGATGAAGCGCTACACGGATATTTGAACGGTTGTGTCGTTGTGTTTAGCGGTCTGTGGCAACCCTGTCACCCCCCTTTGGGTATCTCATACCTCATCCCTCCTTGGACAGAAGCTCAGCGGCACCATAAGCTGTGGCGAAGCTACTCTCGACATACTCGGACTTGTCGATCCGAGCGTAGGATCATGCAACCGCGGCTCCAGACTGCTTACTCAAGGTTCAAGATCAAATAGCAGGGACTCAGATCTGGAAACAGAAATGGATTTTGGAGAAGTCAAAGATTCGGGGATGAGTCCCCCAGATCATAGACTCCCGAATCGTAAATAACTTACCCATAATCTTGTGAGTGTGTCTGGGTGATTTGGACATTGATATATCTCATGTCTACCAAGCGATTGATTCTTTACGGCATACCCCCCCAAAATTACGCATCGTTATGGAAATTTGGAGGTCGGTGCTCAGCACATAGAAAATGGGAATCGCGTGATTCAAAGGTCAACACAAATGAGGCACCCGAATGGAGACTGTTACCGAGTGGTGATCTGGCACCAACAGGAATCAAAAGACATTCCATCCTGCGAGGTCTGCCATGCATGGAAATCTCGTTTCCCTCCTTGTTACGATTCACGACCCATCTGTTGTGGCACAAATTCAGCTTTCAAATCGGTCCCTGAGCAAAGCTTTGTAGTCTTCTAGATGTTCCATGTCAATGGTCAGATCAGACGTGTTAGCTGATAAAGTCCCATATAATATAGGTCCGGGACCCCTTGGACCGAACCTGCACAGCACCTGTTGGCCTATATCCTTCTCGGCACCTTCACAAGCCTTGGAGCTCCACATCCATTGCCCTGTGTTATAGAAAACAACCAGACCGAGGAAGTAAGGGTGGGATCGGTGCTTCGGAAATCACCGGCAACACGGACTTTAGGATGTACGACAAAAAACTTTGCTCAATCTCATACTTTATTCGTATTCATTTCCGCACTCCCCGAGGGAACACCAAGTCTTTTTGGGCCAAGCGATTAGTCCTTCCGCTAAGATCCGTGAAGGGCGTCAATGCGTAGAAGATACAATAGAAGGAGCCATTTTAGAGGACAGCAGAACGTGACCAGCTGACTCAGAATGTCAGGAAATCCCGTGTGTCATATGCCAGGGCCGTTGTCTGGACCCTGTTCAATCGCCACTGTGGACCACTTGGTTGTTTTCGTCAGGGCGAGCTCCAGCGTCGGTAGAAATTGCATTGTGATCGGCTCTGGGTCAATATGGCAGTTCTATCGGCTCGTTGGCACTGACGGGTGGAAGGGAGGGTGGCCTGGAGCAAGGAACAGAGAGCATCTTAGATCGGAACGAGATGACGAAAGGGCTCGAAAGGATCAAATGAGGACCGTCCAGTAGGATATGGCGCACTCCCAGTGGAACGCTGGGGGGAGAAGCCCTGTGAAAATGGGGAACCAAACTACAAGAGGGTAAGAGGCGCGAAGATTTGCAATGATTGGAGGGAGTATTGAAGACGAAATCCGGGAAGTGTTGCGAGTAAGACGTGGAGTTGGAGATCGAAGGATGCAGTTGGGTCATTTGAAGCAAAAAAGGCCATGAGGCACTTGAAGGAATACCATCTTTTTTCCGCCAATTGTCGTCGTACTCCATTTTCTCCCCCCGGTCTGCTTTCTGTTGCAACATTCCATAACATAGCGCCGCCGAAACTTCCAGCAAAAACCCTCATCAGCTGCTCTTGTATGCATCCTCCTACGCGTATTTTTTCCTGGCACCGGATCATACCTCCGGACAACCAAGGCACTGCACCGCGTTCCCGGTTTCTGGCCCCTGCTGTTATATTCCCCCTTACGGCGCCCTTTCCCTTCCTTCCCTTCCTCATCTCTCCCAGCCATCCTGGGTACGGACACACTCAAATAACATACACAATGTCTTCCTCGCCCTCCATTCTTCAACTACAAACGCAGGGTACTACTGGATCCAAACCAATCAAAATAACTCAGTCCTCTGGACCCAGTCGAAGCCACGATAGCATCAGCACCACATCATCCATCGCTTCCGCATCCCCCAAGACCTCCCTAGACATTGTGCGCTGCTCTCGATGTCAACGATCCTTGAGCATTGACACCACCCTTCCTGCGAGCCGGAGCGGCGCAGTCAGATTCGGCATGAACTCATACTACTGCACGAGATGTGCCAACGTGGTCGGTTTCGTCAAATAAGCTTCGTCATATCGGCGTCATTCAGCAACACGCCTTGGTCCAGATTACAATCACTCCTGTTGGAAATAGAAGCTTGGGGACCAAACAATTGCACGGTCCGGGATCTACGATTGGCGAGCCAGAGAAGCAGATTACACAAAAGTGCAAAGGACAATCGTTGTACAACACCGATGACTCAGAAAGCAGTTTTATTGGCCATGATTCAGGAAGATGCGAATGAATTTATGACTTTGACGGTGGGAATGGTACACGAACAGCACAACGAGGCACCACGAGAATGGATGAGAGGACCAGAGAGCGCCTGTCAGGACGACAATCTCTCCGAACTACACTAATATGGTCTTCAACTTCGCAAATGGGCTATGGGGAATATTTTACACTTTGTTCCGATTGGGGATTGACAAGATGAGGAGTAGCACAATATGTACGTTTGATTGCATATTTTCTCAACTTGCGGTGCAGACACATGGATGTATATTGGAAAAGGGGGCATGGATATTATCTTTCCACTGGTATACTCGGTAGTCCTCTCTGGAGGCTCTCACAATGATACCAATCACTTCGAAACTCAACGCTGCGTCCCTCTCAAGACCACGTTAGCGCCCACGCGTCAGATGTTCTCAACCAACCTATTTGTTACAATCGGAGAATATCTTTCTTGGAAGGTGGAAGACAAATCATCCTTCTTCCTCATAAGTTGACCCCACCTCTTGCAAGCCAGACTGTATGGTTAGCTCGGCAACGAGATCGACGATCTTGAGAGGCGACCTGGACGAATGATTAGGCGGCGATACTGGGACGACTTTTCGGCTGGGGTCTGGCTGCCAGAGACAAAAGGTATTGGAAACTAGTGCAGGGCGACCGATCGGTAACCGAACACTTAGCCTCTCGCGGCCTCACAAAGGCCACCTCCTCCCTCCTTGTTATGCGACAGCAACATTGCAACCAAGGACTCCCATCCCATCCCGCCTAGATCCTACGACCATCTCTGTTCTCGTCAAGACCTCGAGTATCCCCGAACAAATCGTATCTCTATGCGAAGTTTTACTCCTCCGAGATCCGTTATTATGCTGGCTCCCGCAAGGGACGACGGGTGTCACCATCCTCCGGTGCGCGTGAACATGGGATCTCTCTTCTGGCGCCTATGGCCCTTCACACATTTAAAGACTTTTGCTCAAGAGCCTGAAGTCCTGCCAGTTATGAAGTATCCCCGACTTCAGAGTTCCAAGAGTTACCTCCCCTCTTCCGCCTGGTGGACTCATTGCAGGCCGGCGTTCAGGTCTAGTCGTGTCTAGCATCAAACTCGGTTGCCATAAGTCTGACCCGAAGTTGGAAAGCCCTAGCATAGCAGGGAGCTGAACAAAGTCCCTTTTCAGCCGGCCTCCTGGCCCCCCTTTGTGGAAAGCCACCTTAATCCCAGTTGGGACAGATCATTTTCTCCTGGAGATGCGTCTGACGCCCAAGCACGAGGTACCATGGCTTCACTCTGTCATCTCCAGAAGCTTCCGATCTTGTTGCTTTGTTCTGAAGTCTGTGTCTTGCCATGGTGTGAGCTTAGCCGTCGCACTCGCCCCGAGGAGAAATGCTGAATCAACGACAGCAACCCGACTATTTCTCCGCAGAGTCTGGAAAGTCGGTTCGGACCACAGTGGTAGATCTGGGATTTCCGGGCCCATGGATTTGGGATTGTGGCCATCGTTCCACTTTCAGCGTCTTGCAGATCATGTTGCTGGTATCAAGCTCCTTGTCCACGTCGAACCAAAGAATTCTCCCCCTGCGCCATGCAGCTGGTCGAGCCTCTCAAATTCGCCAAATCCTACTAGGTGTGACTCGGAACCGTTCTGCTCCCCTGGAACTTTTCCCAATCCAATGAGGCTTCAATCGACCCATCCAAAGGCTGGCAAACCCATTCACTTATTGACTCGATGCATAGGTCTAACCAAATCAGCCTATCTCACATGCCGACCCTATGGAGTACCTCCAGGTTTTCGAGCAAACGCTTCATATGACTTGATGCAGCGTAGGACAAGGGTCTATCCTAGGCATGGCCCGGAGTTGACGCTTCTCCTTCGTGATCAAAAGTGACTACGAAGCCGCATTTAACGATACGGCTTCATCTCAGCAATACCTACGAATCACAATCGAAGGTATAGGCATCTTCAATATGCGAGTGACATCAGATTCTCTCGATTGATCTCATGTGCGTCGCGACCCTCTCAATGCTTTGGGGAACGAGTACTATCGGGGAAACCCCTCAGACGAAGTCTTCACGATGGCAAATCTGAAAATCACATCTTACCATGGGACTCTCATTTACTGCAGAGATCTACGGCATCATATTCAACACCATTGTGTATCGTATTAATGGGGGAGGAAGATGAGAAGGAGGAGGTAGGTCATATCTATAAATCAATTCACTCCAGCATTCATTTTATCCCGGTGGGGGGGGGGGGCGGAAACCCCCGATCTCTTGGTCAAGATCTTTCAAGGGCTCTCGAATTCGGCTCTTTCAAAACTACCAACTTGGACCCCGGACTTAGCAGACTGCAGCATTACCGAGTGGTTTAATGGATCGGTTATTCCGATTCTCAATCCCTGTCTCTCTGCAAGAGGACCTCGCTTTTCACCTTGATAGCCTTGCCTGCAGGATGGTTGATGCAAGTCAAGATCACTCCCGCTTTCCCGTGAGTAAGAGATCTCCTGTTCCGCCAGAACTGCTCCCCTATGCATCAAATAAAGGCAGACCTCCACGTTTTATCTTCCACATCATTGCGGTAAAGGAGGTTGCCAGCAGGAGTGGTGTCAAATTCTATGGCCTCTTTCTAGCCACGTGGTTGAAAGAGAGACGATTGACCGAGGCTCGCACTAGCTTCTATCGTACTCAAATTCTACGTTCGTTGACTCGAAAATGCCTTCAGATCGCCATCGAGCTCGTGAATCGAGCAAAGACGAAGATCAGTATATTATTCTTGTCAAGGATGTATGGTCAAAAAGGTCTTCTTCTGGCAGAGTCTAGACCTCGAGATTAACTATCTCGTGGCAGATCCCTCGTCATTGCCGTTGGCAAGAACTCAAGGATATGACTCGAAATCTGGGAGGTGAACAAAGTCTGAAGGCTGAAGTTTTCGAACTTTGCGATGGAAGTCAAATGGGACATTGTACCATCAAGGGAAGAAATGCTGCAAATCAAGTCTATGGTATGTCATACAAAGCCTGTGGTGGTATGGACTTGACGACAAATAGAAAAGTTCTGCAAGCAGGGTTGGAACGGTCAGCGCGTTTGTGTCTCTCTGGTGGCCCTTGAGAAACCAGGGGTTTTGAGAACTCTCGAAGGTCCTAGGGATAGTCTCGGTACCGGAACGTCTGCTTATGCCTGTGCTCAAACACCCTCCACTCATCCCGGTCCAACACAGTGTGTCTGAGCCTTTTGACCCTTCAATAGAAGGAAAAGTTGACACTAACGTGCTCAAGCCATCTACATCCACTGTATACCACCCATCACCCGTCAGACACAGCGAGTTACCATCCCCATTTCAATCCGATGGCTTCGTGCCCTACACGTCCTGGATTGCCTTCACCCACTTCGGCCAGAAGTGTGCCTCCATTGTATCCTCCCGATGCCTGTGGTATTCCACCTCCATATCAGACTTCAACATACCCTGCACCGACCGTGGCTGCAACATACGCATCTTCGACTTCAATTCCATGTCAATCCAGCAACAGATGGCCATCCAAAACCCGGCAAAGTACAATCAACTCCGGTCTAACCGAACTCAGCTCTACTACGACATTGACGAAGCCCCCTTCTGTTTCAAATGAGACCAAGAGACAAATCTATGAATCTAAAGCAGCAGCCGCTCTAAAACAAAAGAAGGTAACCATAACCAAAGAACCGAAGGATCCTGCTCTCACTCGTAGTTCTACACGTCCACCATCATCGGCAACGGCAGCACCGGCAGCAACAAGCAAACAACTTGCAAAGGACCACGATCGAGTCAACAAAAATGGCAGGACTAGCGCCACGACCAGTACGGGCGGCGCGAGATCGTCCACAAGCCGACCTCTCGTCGTCAACGGCGCGACAGGTAGTAGAAGCCGTCGAGGAAATAGAAGTCGAGATGAGAGAAAGTGCGCTGCCGGCCATAACGACGGGGACAGTTCTCAGGACGAGACAAAGGAGTCTTCTTCCGATGAGAGCTCGTCGGATGAAGATGATAGTGGGGACCAAAATGAGCATGGACGAGGTACGTTTTCTGGCTCTTTCTCTGCCTTGTGCATTTTTCCGTTAACCTCATGTTGAGTCGAAAAGTAAGTTGCTGACGTTGTCATGTTATATTCTGTACGTGCAGCCACCCGGATCTTCGCCCCGGGTCGACGAGGAAGACCATGAAGCGACCGAGCTTGCTATACATCTTTTTCTTCGCCTGGAGGTACGCCATGTCGAGCCTTTCCCCCTCTCTACCAAGAATGGCGGCTTTACGTACTTTCGGCTTGAAGTTTCACACATCCGACCACTCGACTCGGACAACTCTTGCTCTCAACATCACTCCAAAATGGGACTTTCCATTGTTTCGGTTTCGATTGCGTGGAAGTGAGATAGAATCTGGACCATGGAGCAGAACAAATCACACGATAAAAAGGCTCTACATGACACCACAATACAGATTGCAATTTGCAGAATGGAATAAAGCAGAGAAGGAGGATGGAAAAGAAAAGGACAGGCTGAAGGGCAGAATGCTAGTAGGAAAGAACATTCTTTTCCCTTTGGGTTCTCGGAATCATTCTTTGCAAGTCGAGTTATTAATGCAGGAAGAAGCACTTAGCATCCGATTATAGGTAATGGTATAGAGACAGGTACCTGATTGAGGTTGTCATGGCGTCTCATTGCTTTTGGCTCCTCTCGCCTGCCTCGCATGTCCATCCAACGGGCCATCTTTAGCATTTATTTCGATTTCCTGCGTATGCCAACAGTTCAGTCAGACAGGTCAGGCGGAGAATGGTATGGTCATGGTTTGCCTGCCAGGCAGACCCGGAAACTAGACTTTGACCGTCAGCCCACAGCTACAAGGTCTTATAGCATGGCAATCCCGTCTGTGCAGTGATCACATCCGACCCCGACTCAAAGCCATCATGCTATTTACAACATAGCACGAGACCTAGTTCAAGTCAAATCCACTCGGCCCAAGTCGACCTGGCGCTTAGATGAAACTGCCAGCCTAAAGAAGCCTTCTCCCGCTTCGTAGCTTCACTTGAAAAAGCAAAATATCGCTCGATTGACTTAGAATATGTACGCAGCTCAACAGAGAGACATCCCATTAGCCAGAGAAAGCCATAAATCAAGAATAGAAAGCACTCTTCTGGAAACTCTCGGCCGAAATGTCACCCGGTTTCCCTTTCACTTCGGGAGCCTTGACAGGGACAGCAACAGGATTTGGAGCGGTGGCATTGACATTGCCGTGCATGCCGTGCATGCCGCTCGTGCCGCCATAAATAGCATTCAAGCTCTTCGTCCGATCGCCTTCTTCGAGCAGTTTTCTCGCCGTGGTCGCGGGTTCGGCGCCTTTCATGGTTGCGCTACGACTTCCTGGTGCCGACGCAGCTGCTCCTTCGGTGATCTGAGGGGCAGGTCGTTGGGCCGGTCGCTGAATCGGTTCGAGGTACGGACTGGGTAGATAGCCTTGTTTGCCATCCCGGGCACGGCAACGCCACCACTCGGACGCATTGCCCATAGGATCGGTCTTGGAAAGGACGGCGACGAAATCACCCGTTTTCACTTCCAGATCCATTCCTCCAGAGTTGGGTGCCGGAGTGTAATCGTACATAACGCGGCAGAAGTCAAGTTTGCGCGGATCAATGGGGACTCGCTCGCCGTTCTGATTTGTATAGGTCAGGGACATCTGCTCTTGTTGGCGTCGGTGTTCTTCTTCCTGCGATTTGGCCATTGCGCGGATGATTTTGCCCATTAGATAAGGCAGACCGAAAACGGCCAGTGCGAACATTATGAATGGCTTTTTGGAAGGTCGGGGAGGGGCTGGGCTACCGTCGGGGAGAGTAGCAGGGGTCCGACCACCCGAAAGGAATGAAGAGAAGTTTGCTGGTGTGAGCGAGGTGGCATCCGCAGGGGGCGGGCGACCTGTTAATTTCGCTAACAATGTGCGCAACCATCGCATGAGGGTGTAGATTCCCAGTACGGAACCGAGAGTTTGACGGAGGTTGCCCAGTTGTTCGGCCATCGAGACCATAGCTTGTATCGATGTGAGTCACAATATTGTCAATAATCGATTCAGTCTTTCGGGCGCACTCACCGAAAAAGGAAGAATGAGTCGTCATATACGCGCTCTCAAGCATCTGAGCAAATCCACCAAATGCGCCTACAATGCTTTCCATGATTTGGAATGTCGCGGCAGTGCTCTGATTCCATGTCTGGGTCAAACTTTGATTGTTCGGATCGCCAGGCATGCCCGGATAATTTCCATATCCTCCTCCATACATGCCGCTGCCATACATGCCACCTCCATACCCGTATCCGGTGCCGTACATGCCTCCGCCATACATGCCTCCGCCGAAACGAGAATATGGAGATGAATAGGATGAGTATGGAGAAGAGTAAGGTGTTGTGCCAACACCGAATCGATTCTGATTTGTGTAATTTGAAGCAGTTTGGTTTACGACATTGTTGAGAGTGGAAGGTCTGTCGGGAAGGGCTGGAGCAGAGGTGGAGGCGTTTGTCGATGAGGTGGTGGTTTGGGGGGGGGTCACGGCAGTAGATGTTATGGGAGTGGCTGTTCCTGAGGGAGCTGGAGATAGGATGTCAGTATGATGTTTTTCATTGAAGACATTGGATTAAGTTACCGGTTGGACCAGCGCGCTCCCAAGGTTTAGGCGGCGAAACTGTCGTCATGTTTATCTGCACATTTCTCTATCGTGGCTGTGAGGTGCGAGGATGGCGAGAATACCGTGTATATCGATGAGGTGATTAAGGTATCGTGGTTGACTTGGGCGAGAGGCGATGGAAAGGGCTGTATAGAGCAGAGATATTGGGAATCGGCCGTAGAGAATGGGCTGACATACAGAGAGAGGCTGGTGTTGAGTGTCGAAAAAAAGATGCCGAGGATGTTGAGGAGAAAATGAAAATCCCGAGAAATCCCGATTCGGACGATGGCGATGCCGCCTTAGCCAACCCCCCACCGAGGGCCACACAATGACCACGAAATCCATGGCCGCTTTTACGTCACGAAAAGTAATTCCCCGGACTCATTCCTTGTCGGCCTTTTGGTCTTATGTATCGATTGACTTGATGAATCTAATATCTGACGTCTTTGATCTAAGGCACTCCTTCACGGTATGCTGGGCCGAAATTCCTTGGTAACCCGCTTGGGTTCATAATACGGGGAACCCAGCGGGATGAAGTCCAAATCCTCGTACCCAAACTCCTTAGGCCCCCCTGTCGCGATACCTTGAGGAGTGTACCTATGGAAGTTTGAGCAAATATGCCACGTTTTAAGGTGTTTTGTTGATGACTCACCAATGTGGATGCGCGACAAATGCCACAACACTGACCCTGACCCCATATCTCAAATCCTGCGTCCCCAACGCATACCCGTCTGTTCCAACCAGGGATATCAAGTCAGGAACGGTGCAGAGGATCTCTCCCTTACTTCCCTTCTCGGCATTGGGGTCCACCAGCTCGGCGTATAGATACTCGTTCTGGAAAGGGAGTATCATGTCTCTGGTTTCAGTCATTGCAATGTCGCCATACTCCTGCTCATCGCTGCCAATCGGCTTGAGGCGTACCATGCCCTCAGTATAGCCACCAGCTGAGATGTAGCGCGTTACAGAGACGATTTTGCCTGTGTATAGCACGCGACCTGAAGGATTTGCTTCCACCTGGAGAAATCATATTACCAACAGCAATTTTTTTGCACCCATAAAGAACCACTTACGATGGCTTTCATAATGTCTGTCTTCTCTTGCTTGGCCAAGTACACGGCTCGCCCAATATACCATGCAAGGGAAGTGGTTCCCAAAGTGCCAATTCGCTTAGTTTCCTTGATGGATATGGGAGGGAGGACCATCTCACTGAACAGGCCCAGCTCTTGACCAGCCTTGCGATGAATCTTTTCAAGTTTACGTGGGTCTGAAGCCTTATGGACTGTTACCACATTCCCGTTGCCATCACTTTGGGTACATGGAGTGAGAGGGACGCCAAAAACTGTTCCAAACCAGTCAATACTTTTCATGATGCGGTACTGGAGTACTCACGAGATGGGGTCATGATATAAATTCTCGGATAGGCTCTGCCCATGAAGTCTCCGTCGATTGTTGGTACATTGTAACTGTTTCCTACTAACAGAGGTCGGATTCCATTCATTCCTCCAATTTCAATCTATACACGCCGTCAGCGTTTCTTGCTGCTTTTAGGCCAGAAACTTAGTCATACCGCTATCTGCGCGGCCATCTTGACTCCTGGATGACACGACAAGAGAGCATCCGTGGCGTCAACAGACTCTGTGCCACTTGGAATCCGCTCCAGGGTGACCGTTGGTGCGCTGCCGTTTTCGTTTGGTTAGGTCAAACTCGGAAGAGAAACATGGACAAATCGGCTTACCCGTAAGAGATACTACCAAGCACGTAACCATCTTCAGGAAGAGTCTCGATGTCGACAATCGGCAGTCGATGTCCGGCTTTGATGGCAGCCCTTGCGGCCATATAGCACATATAACCAGGTCCACCGCCACCACAAGCGAGGATACTGCAGCCAGTGGCCATGAATTCACAATCAATTTCTGATACCCACCATGTGCCATTTCCGTCCACTTCGGGTTTGTAGACCCGAATATCAACTAGTGCCGAGGGACTGACAAGGAAATCTCGTGGATCTTTCTCTGCGTTGGTCGTTTTCGGCACCCGTTCCTCGGCTTCCTGGATCGCTTCTAGCTCCTCAGTGCTCTCCGAAGGGGTATGATGTAGAAGTGCTTTTTGATTCAGAGTCCCAGCCTGTCGGGCCACCCGTTAGAAACCTCCGGTGGATGGGGATGAAAAGCTCCAAGTTACCGCTCTGATTATGAGCCGAGTGGCACGCATCTGAACATATTGTAGAGGCATATTCTCGATCGTAACGATCTTGACGGACTCTGGATCGGCACCAGCATCAATTGCCAGCTTTTTGGCCTCAGAGCACACGTCTTCAACCACCTTCTCCTCATCAAGACCTTCAAGGACCTTGACGACGTCTATCTGTCCAGAAATCTTTGCGATTGCTGCACCAACGGCATTGGCGCAGTCATGATGTCTGTCAACGGTTGGTGAGAGGCAAGCATGACACAGTTTCGTTATACGTACGGTGGGCGGATTATTTGTCCAACTCCCTCCAGGTCATCCATATGCACAATGCTGCCCCCACCCACGAGAATCACGACAGCATCATCTGCACTTAATTTCATGGCGTCGACAGCATTCTCTAACATTCTCTTTATTCGATGTCGTGCCTTTGTAACGATGTCTTTCGGAACATCCTTGACCTTTGCAGCTTCGCCCACGGTTGCGTGACCGCTGGCGACGACGATGTCTAAGAACAAAAGAGAAGCATTCCTCAGTAGCCAACCTCAATATTGGATGCCGTGCGAACAAGGCTTACCAGTGGTAGTCAGAGTGTTGCCGCCAAAAACAAGTCCCTCCGTGATGAGCCGATGCCCCACTGACTCGGGGCCAACAGTCACTTTTCCACCTCGTTCCTCGACCTTTGTGCCACCCCCGAGGGCGATAGAGAGAACTTCAGGCATAGGGAATGCACTGCGAACACCTCCAATGTCTACCCACGTCCCTGCTTGACGCGGGAATCCTGATGGTAAGCTGAGAGAGGTAAGTATCAGCGTAGAAATCCAAAGTATTTCCTTTACTGAGGCTCACAGCGCACAAACATCTGTTGTTGTACCACCCACATCTGCCACAATAACCTGAGCGTTTTCTATTCGTCCTTTCTGAGTATCAAGGCCAGCGAGGTAAGCAGCCCCGGACATGGAATTGGTCGGGCCGCTTGAAAATGTCTTGATGGGACATTTCTCGGCTGAGTCGGCGTCAATGATGGTTCCGTCGTTCTGTGTTAGAAACAATGGGCACGAAAGGCCGAGTGATCGCGTAGCCAATTTAAACCCTCTGATGGTTCTCCGCGCAAACTTCAGAATAGAGGTGTTGAGAATAGTCGCGTTTTCTCTTTCGAGATATCCCAGTTGGCCAACTGTGAAAAGGAGGCGTCAACATTTGATCTTCATTTGTACCATTTGCAGAAGACTTACTCTCTCGCGATAAAACAACATCAGCACCGGGGATTTCCTCCAGGATGATTTGTTTGACTCTCGCTTCCTGCTTCCCAGCAATGTCGAGAGGGGAGAATACACCCACGACAGCAATGTCGGTGATACCTTTCTCCTTGACAATCTGGCACTCCTTTCGGATTTGTCCTTCGTTCAAGGGCATGATTTCTCGGGTATCAACTAGTTCTGGTTAACCGTATTCCCCACCCTTCCTCAATACATGATCAAGGGAGAGAGAAGATTCTCACATTCGAGCCCGCCGTCCACATAGGCGACATGACCATTCATGATCCGGGCAAGGATTGGTGGGAAATCTAAAAATGCAGGATTTTCCTTTGTATAGGGTCCACAAACCCTAAATACGGCAACCTTTCTCAAATTGCGATCATCTGCTTGAACGACAGCGTTGATAAAGTGCTGAAAAGTTCAGAGTCGGATCTGTTTTGATTCTACATGGTCTTGGGAGACTCACAGTCGTTCCGATCATCACCGCCGACACAGCAGCCAGAGAGACTCCACATTTTGAGATCGCTCCCTCAATGGCTTTGGAAATACCTTCCGTCACATTTGTTGTCGTCGGTGTTTTGCAAGCGCTACGAATGCCTCTTTCTGGTGTGTCGGCTTCACCAGGATCTGTGTGGTATTCTGCTTAGCTTCGTGGCCCAGTATTCAAGCCTCCGTACGAGACATAGAAGGTGAGCAAGGGTCATACGTAGAATTACACAATCAGTGTTGGTCCCCCCTGATGGTAGTTAGCTCAGCTGTTGTAAAACTCTCTGATTGGTATTTGAGTTATCGATATACATACCAACGTCAACGCCAATTCTGTAAGCTTTTTGAATAGCCATTCTCGGTCCGAACTGTGTCTATAGTAAGAGGAGCAAGCGTACGTGTACGAATCAATCCCAATAAAGATGTCATGGTTTTATTTGAAGCCTCAACAGACATGAAGTCTGCTTTTCCATCTGAACATGAAATTGGTCGATCTTCACCCGCGGCAGATAGCGATAAACCATGATCAGCAGATAATTGACCCACACCCAAGATCCGCATCGGCGACGCCTTCTGGACTCGACCCGGGGGCCATCATTTACGATAATGGAGAAGCGCGATGTCTAACCCAGGAACCTAACAACAAAGAGATGTGGATACCTTGTGTCCCGTCGGCGAGGGATTCCTATTCCCAGGCTATCTGTCAGACGACTTGCCGTGGTCGCTAGATATCGGCTGATATTTCGAGACCAGTCTTCTCAACTTATCTAGGCTTCTGTTATCAGCCACATCCCAGGCATAAGAGCGTTCATAAAGACAATGCACTCTGAAGGAATATCTTCAACAAAGACCTCACTGAAGTCAGGGACCAAATTTGAACTTCCAAGACTCTGTGTCTGCACCCAGGAACCATGACATCTGTTGTCAAAAGAGCGTTGCACAAGATCGAACTTCCAGAGAACGAACAAGGTAATCGTTGGAGCAATGAGGACATTCAACCTGTTCCTCCGGAGCGCCAAACATGGGGTAAGTTGGCTCTCATGAAATCATTTATTTCCCCCCCTGGCGAGAAGTCAGAACTGAAAAACGGACCATGCGATACAGGTCCAATTCAATTTGTGGAACTCTGGTTTCTCATCAACCTGAACGTGAGCAGTTATCAAACTGGTTCATCTCTGTTGGCTTCGGGGATGACATATTGGCAAGCCATTATTGTCATCCTCGTCGGTAACGCTCTTGCGAGTGGCTTCGCCGTGCTCAACTCAGTATCCGGGGCCCAAAGTCATCTGGGCTTTCCGATCGTTTGCCGAAGTGTTTGGGGTGAGTGATCATTCTTTTCCACCCGAAGCTAACATGCTTGTACTGAAGCCTTTCAACATCTCATAGGCATGTGGGGTGCGTATTTCCCGATCCTGAACCGAATCTTGACGTCAATTGTCTGGTACGGTGTGCAGGCAGTCATTGGGGGTAAGATGATCTATATCTGCCTTCGCTCAATCTGGATGGATTTAGACGAGCGCATTCCCAACACCCTGCCCGAAGGCATTGGGATCACCACTGCGCAATTCATGGGATATGTGCTCTTCAACTTCCTCTGCTGCATCTTCATATGGTTCAGGCCTCAACAGCTCCGTCCTTACTTTCACGGTGCATCTGTGGTCGTCGGGATCACTTTAATCTGCCTTTTGGGTTGGGCCGTGGGGACTAGCGACGGGTATGGATCGGTCTTCAATGCCAAAACCACCATTCCCTCATCGGAACTGGGTTGGCAAATGAGCGCAGGCATCATGTCTGTCATCGGGAGCATCGCCTCTGGCATATTGAATCAAAACGACTTTACAAGATTTGCAAAGCGCCCGAGCCATGTCACCTGGACGCAAGGAATTTCCTTCTTCACGTCCAGTTCCATGAATGCTATCGTCGGCGTTGTGGTCACTGCCGCCACCCAAGAACGTAAGTTACAATAGACTGCTCTTGCATTTCCCCATTAACATGACGGTCCGCCAGAATACGGCCACGGCACTGCACTATGGGACCCCAGTACCTTGTTCATGGCCATCCAGGACCAGGATGGCTCCGGGGGTCGAGCGGCGACATTCTTTCTAGGAATCGTCTTCATCGTTTCGCAGTTGTCAATTAATGTTGTCGGAAACGTGCTGGCTGGTGGACTCGATGTTGCCAGCGTCTTTCCCAAGTACATCAACCTCCGACGCGGAGCATATGTCCTTGCAGCTCTCTCAGTAACACCAAATCCATGGCAGCAACTCTCCTCAGGATCAACGTGAGTGACCATGTTCCCCTTTCATTCTGGTATCGACTCATCGTCTTTCTTCGCCTAGATTTCTCTCCGTTCTTTCGGCTTATGCCGTTTTCTTGGGACCTATGATCGGTTTGCTCTGCGTCCACTTCTATATCATCCAAAAGAGACGTTTCCACGTGCCCGACTTATACATTGGTTCCAAAAAGTCGCTCTACTGGTACTACTACGGCACCAATTGGCGGACCGTCGTCGCTTGGGTGTGCGCCGTCATTCCCAGCATGCCTGGTTTCGTTCATTCGGTGAACCCTTCACTCCACGTCGGGATTGGTGCCAGCCGCATCTTCAGCCTAAGTTTCGTCCTGGGATTTGTTCTTTGTAAGTCCTGACCAGATATCATGTTTGGTTTTGACTGCATAAAAGTCTCTTTCCTTCATTTGCTAACTTTTCCCCAAAATTATAGCGGCCATCATCGCCTGGCTTCTGCACCAGATCTTTCCGTTCCAATATCCCGAGATATCGGCTATCGTGGCTGAAATGGATAGCGCAAGCTCCCACGGTGAACCCGTCGAGGCTGTTATTGAGGAGACAAAGATGGCGTCTAAAGGAGTACGAAACGTTTAAAGGCTGCTTGGAATATAGGATGGCCGCAATCTAAAAGTTCACTTTCACAATTCTTGATATAGGGGCGGGTGACATTAACAAACAAATCTCGACAAAAGAACCTATCTCTTCAAATTGTTTCTTCCGAATACAATACCTACAGCACGTGTTACCTTCAATCAGATATGTTCAAGAAATCTGGATCTTCGATGGTCTGAGCATCAACAAATGCTCTGCACTTGTTGATTAAGAAAGCTACTGTGGCGCCACGTTCTCGAGAATTCTTTTGTACCTGAGCCTTGTGCCCTCGATCGCCATAGTTGGAGGGCCCCTTGACTAGATGCTGAGACCGGGAAAGGCCAGATACCTGGGCATTTCAGGCCAATCATTGGGGATGCTATACGAACATGGTGTGAGCTCCATGCAAGGTGGGGGAATCCAAAACTCTTCGAAGGCTTCATATCCAAGAGATATACTCCAAGTCTCTCAGGCGTTGATCTCCGCTGATATTCTGCAGTTCGTGCTGAGCCAACCAGTCACGTTACATGGATGGCCAGATAAGGCCACCAAGGCTCGACGGTTATCATACCCGAGGTTTTGCCTCTATCAACTACCCGACAGTTACAACGATTGACACACTGATAGGCCTAATCTGGAGGCACAAATTCGATGCGGCCAGCCGAGCAAAATACTAAGAGCAAATGGGAGAAGTGTTATGGGTCCTCAATCTCATAGAATGCTATAATTCAACTAACAGACGTAACAGGCCCCGGTTACAAGAATGGGGGATTCATAGTTGCCGATTCACTTTCTGATCAGTGCCAACGACAGCAGTCGCGCCACCGACATCTTTATGGTCTAAAGAAGTTGTCTGCTGAATCCCGATAACAATACATAAAATTTATGATTCAATAGTATATATCTGTGTTGATCCATTTTTTTTCCCTTTTCCGTCTCATTGAAGCTCAACTCATTTCACGTCAGGTTAGGAGCAAAATTGTCCCAGGGCTCAATTCCCTCAGGACATTGGCCCACGAGACATACACATCGCCAGCGTCGCGTCTTTTCCAGACCTCTTTTGCGACCATTTCGGCGGGCTCTGCATTCTTGAATCCCGTCCATGCAGCATGTCTCATGCATTCGAGGGCGCGGCGGCGCAAGTTGTCGCCCAGCGCTTCGCAAGCCGCAATGAAGCTGGGCCATACAATCGTCCCGATGCGGGCCCCGGGATAGAATTGGGCCTTGATGTCTCGATGCCCTTCGAGGTTGCTAAGCACGCTTTCAACGTAGTGTTGTAGAATGACGGGGTTGGTAAAGCGCAGAAAACGAAAGAAATATATCAAAAGAGCATGGTGAATGGCGGTTGCGATGTTGGATCTCATGACTTGTTCGGGATTCTGAGTCTCGCTGATAATACCGCCGCTGCTATTGCGGTTAGCTTCAAGGTCAAACGGTCCCGGAGCTATGGCTGTCGTGTTGGTGTTGTTTGTTCCTTGGAACTTCCATTTGCAGATATCCTTTTCAAGTTCTGCAGCATCTGCTACTAGCGCCGTCGGCAAGATAGGTAGGCATGTCCCTATCTCATCGAGTTCTGCGACCATCTGGTTTGTTCGTGAAATGAGCGTCAGTAACGAGCTAGGGATGGCATAGAGGTCGAAAAATATTTCTTCTTCTGCTGGCCCGGTCAACCCAAGGTCTGACATTGTCTGGTATTGGGAATTCTTCGATGGGAGCCCAATGGACCGTAGATGCGGGAGACTTTCTTGTTCCGGAATATTCTTCACTTGTTCGAGTAGTTCTTCCGTAATCGCATCCTTATCTTGGTTTTTATCCAGGGCATCAAGATATTGATCTCTTGTCTGACAGTACGTGGTTTGTGCGATGATTCTGATATATGAAAATATCCGGTGAAGTTGCAAAGCCTTATCAGAGAAACGTCGTTTAGTGCGGCCTATCTTATTGATAATTTCTTCGCATTGGAGAATGAAAAGCCGAGAATCCCATGCATCCCCACTGATAATCTGCATCAGCGTCAGTAAAACATGTTCAACTGCCGGCATGGGGTAAGACATACACCGGCGCATATCAGACTCATCGCGCTCACAAAAAGCTCTTTATATTTTACTTTATCTGCCGACCTGGTTGGTATCGATCGCAGTGATTTGCGAAATGCAGTCCGAGCGATGCCTCTGAATTTCTGAGCTTGACTTTTCCAGTAATGCGCATTCGAACCTTTCTCTTGCGGCGGCACGACATCATCGATGGTACTGAAACTCAAGGATGTCGTTTCGTGAAGGGAGCCCAGATGATAGCAAGTCAGAGAAAGGAGGCTGTACAAAAGGGACACTCTGCTGAAACATGACTGCCTAACAATGTCCAATTCCCCATATGCGATTAAAGCGCATGGCAAATGTATACCTCGCCATGGTGCCTTGATTTGAGGCAGTGGTGAGAGTGAATCAATGACGTGACCAGTGTAATGCGACAATAAGAATCGTACGTTGGAAGGCAAGTAGGGGGACCCATTTGGTAAAGAGCATGCTGAGGGGTGGCCGTAGCTGAAGTTGGAGGGGGACTGTGATTGTCGGGCTTTCGTTTGACCACATGTTTGGCCAATTGTCGACAATTCTGCTCCTAAACCATCTTCAGTATAGAGAGCTTCACAGGTTTCGTGAATGGTCTGATCGTCCCCGACAATGGAAGCACCATCCGCATGCAGGAAAGACATACCTCCATCTTTGGCAGGAGAGCTGAGCAAATACGTTTGGTTCTCGCTGGAGCCGTTTGAAAGAGTCAAAGGAAATGCCGTTCTGTGAGTTCCTCCCCATGAAAGATCAAACTTTGGTGAGTATGAGGTGGTCGGAGAAGACATAGGGGGCTCTGAACCATTCAATCTTCCCTCGCTTTCGAGTGGGAAGACTGCAAATGGACCCCGTGCTACATGCCAATTTTTCACATCCGCCGTGTCGCCTCTGGAATCAAGAACCTGTTCGTCGAGTTGTTTCAGGAGCTCTTCAATCTCCAGCGTTGATCCAGCCGATGAAAGTTGGTGAACTAGATCTTTCGAAAATTCAGACCTCGACCGGGCTATTCATCCGCTTAGCATTATTATGGGCAAGAGTCAAAAGTCCAATAACCAGATAGACGCACCCGAAAATATTTCTGTTCGCGCGCGACGTCCGTCATGATCCTGGCATGGAGATTCTCTGGTTACACTGCCATCAGGATGGTCTGGTTCCCAAAGAGGCAGCCACTGCAGCTGAATCTGATATCCTTGGCACTGAAGACTCAGTCGAACACAATTGTTGCAAGATGGCTTGGAAAGGTCGCATTTGACCTTCCGAGACCGGCAAGTAAGACATCCGGTAAATGTCCTTGACCTTGCTTTCCTTGTAGATTGTCGACTCTCAATCATAGATTCCGGATTGTGCTAGAGGCGCGTTCTGGATGTGGGTGATGTTTGACGATAGGAATGACGAAGTGGTAACATGGAAGGCCTTGGCGACGGGCGAATGAAATGTCGTAATTATATGCGCCCGAACTACGGTATAGCTGTGGACTCGGCTTGCTTATCAGGAAGCCAATCCAAAGTGGATTCTCGCGGGTCCCACGTCGAACGACGGGCGGCAGACCATCCCCAAAGTTTTCCACCACGATCAGAAAACCAGAGCGTGTCCCAGCATCTCAGGCATCGTTGCTCTTCCCGTGGCCAGATAGGTTACAGAAATCGAATGGGCAAGAACTCTATTATTACTCCTATATTGAGGCACGGCGTTCCGAATACTCGAGTAGTGTCTACTAAAGGACTCACGAGTAATCACTCGGTATTCCCGATTAGGTATCCCACCTAACGCAGAGCATTAGGATAAATTGCGACGGTGTCCAGTCGCACAATCACGTGATAATGCCAAGCCATAAACCCCCGTGATTGGCCAATCACGCGGGTCTCGGTAAATCTTGGCGTCCCCAAGAATTCGACGAGTAGAGGTCGGTTCCAAAGCTTACACCGAGGCGAAGCGCGTTTCTCCTTGCTGAGGCTTAGTAAATTTTGATTCTATTCGCTTCCAGGATGGGCTGTGTTATGCCTCACAGACCACGTGCTAGCCTCATCCGCCGTATGATGTGAAAAGGGGTCTGTACACCACCTTTTGTTATTCTGTACACTATTTTCGCAACTTTGAATCGCCAAAATCTCAGCAATGAGTGTTCTGAGAATACTGTAACTCTTAACATAGCTACTACATATCCTCTGAAATCGGATCAACCCTAAAACTTCGAGTTATTCTACGCCGTTAGAGGGTAAAAGAAGTAGTTGGGAAAAGTAGCGTTTCGTGCACTAAAGGTACGACGTACCACTTTCAAAAGGTGGATCACTACGTCAGAATAGCACTTATTTTACCGCCATTATGCAGGCGTATTCGAGCGATTTGAAAGCTGAAAAGGCGTATGTTTACTAGCTTTGTATGTCTGCACGCGATCCAGCAAAAGTTTTAGTCCTTTACGGGGTGGTGGTGGCGTTCTGGGGGGTATTGCACCCGGCGTACAGAATAACAGCCGCCATGTGAAAATAGGCCTTTCTGTGAGTTCTGGCTGCCTTCCTCCGCTTTGACGGGAATATAAACACTTTGCAAATTCAGAGTGATACGCGTTTTCTAATCTCGCAACTGCAAGCCAAAATTCTTTAATCACACTCTTGGCAACAGCAACCGTTCTTCGATGACAATTCGACCTATAAGCAAGTGTTTCTCTCGTGTCCAGGTACCACTAATCCGCTCTAGAACAGGCTGCTCTTTCGATGGATGATGAACGCAGGCATCTCCGGCCCCGAACGGCAAAAGGGAAAGCTATCGACTCGACCGACACCGGCAGCGTCGTGAACTCGGGTACCAAAAAGGCGAAGAGCATCAGCTCACGAACCCTCCAGCACCGCGAAGAAAGCCCGCAAGAGGAAACCCTCGCCACAAGGTAAGGATGCTGAAAATGTTAGCCCATTATTCAACACGACACCCATCACTGAGCGCATGGCCTCTCATGCCAGCATGATAACCAAGGGACCATGGTATACGCTACTGACATGAAAGCAGAAATTGCAGCTGAAGCTCTTGGAGTAATGAGGGAGAATATTCCATGGGACATATTCCGTTCGACATATCTTTCTGATTTCGGTGCAAAACCTCAACAGGAGCTAGCTGTCAATTCCGTGCGGAAGGTTGGCAAAGGTAATTGGGAAAAGCAACTGTTCTGGGGTCGACTGCGCCAGTTGCTTTCCGACGAGGTTCGTTATTCTGGGTGCGCTATTCTAGGTGCACTTTCATACGTCTCTCAGTCCTCCGCTGACTTAGTGACCAGACTCTTTGTGACCTCAAGCTATTTTATGGCGGTACGAAGACTCTACCTGATGCTAACAAGGGTAAGGAGGTGCCTTCTAAACCCGACTTCGTCCTCCACGTTGGTGAAGACTCTCCTACATGGGCGGATGTCGATCTTCTGTTCGAGCATACACGAAGCCAAGAAGCGGTCACCAAGAAATTCTCGCAGTGGCTGCGTGGTGCCTGGAGTGTTTTCCACCATCAACCTTTCCGCCGTCACCTCTATGGGATCATGTTTATACGACCTCGTGCCTATGTCTGCTACGCTGATCACGGCTGCGCCGTGTACTCCGAACCTCTCTATTTCGCGACGAACATTCAATTTCTGGTGGACTTTCTTACATGGTTCATAGCAAATCCGAGGTGCCGTGGAAGGGATCCGACAGTCGAAAAAGAAGAGGATTGGACTTATATTCGTCATGCAGGGACAACATGCGCACTCGCGGCCCGAAATCACTCATGCGAATCATACGCGATGCCATGATCACATATTATGAGGCTTACAAACTTCCAAAGTTTGGTTTCATCCACGGCGGTGAGCACTGTATGAATGTTTGTGTGCCAAGTGCTAATCAATTAAATAGATATCTCCATTGAGAACATCTTAGTTCTCATAGAAGGTTGTGTACTCACCGGTGGCCTTACGTGTGAGGATCGGTGCGGCACACTAATTGACTGGAACTTATGCTTTAACGCTCACGGAGCATCATCTAACAGAGCTTTTGAAAGCGGTACTCCTGCCTTCATGGCGCCAGTTCTCCTAAATGACAAGCAAATCCCTCGACGAACCTTGGGCCACGATATGGAATCATTCTTTGCAGTCATAATCTGGATAGCAACGTTCAATTTTCTCAATGAGGCCGCTTTTCGGGCCAAGCCTCTGGCTGTTGTGATGCTCGACAACAAGAAAACTCCGATGGATATTGTAAATGCTAAGGGAAATTGGTTCAAGCGTCGGGAAGACTTTATGGAGTGGGTAACTGATTACTTTGAACGCCCATATCGCGAAGATATGGAGTTTCTCACGTGCGTACTTAAGCTACGCGAAATCCTGTACCCGAGTGACACGTCTGACTTCAACACATTCCTGTTTAACAGGCTCAAAGGAAAGGACAACAAAGCGACGAAAGATGCTGATCCGATGAAGGAGACTCTGTTCCGGGAATGCATGAAGGAGATCGATGATTACCTACAGGAAACAAAGGGCTGTGATGAGATGCGATGGATCGATTCTAACGCACTAGCGCGACACACTCCGGAGAGTCTTATGCCAGAGGAGAACAGAGTTGACTAACTTGACACTGGCGACTTGATACAACTTTGTATGTGAGGAAATTAGGTCTCAGAATCATGCTGCCACAGACTGGGCCGGCCTCTATGGACGGGGACGCAACGACTTCATCGTTGGTGTTACCTCCAACATCACTCGCGTCTCCCTTACCTTTCACGGCTCCATTTTTGCACGAGAGCCGCCTCGGAGCAGCGTCATCGTGGGAAGGGGTTCGTGGCCCGGTAGATAGACAAGATCATTTTCTGGTTCGCAAAGCGTGTGATTGATCTTGGTGTCGGACTGGGTAGCTGTGCTTACAAAACTCCCATCAGTCCCCATAGTAAGATTCTCCTCCCAAATCTCTGGAACTGCTACAGCATCCCCCTCCCGTCATTATTCCTTCCAAGGCATCCTCGCCACCCACTTTCTGGTCTCCAAGTGCTTTGTGTTACACACGCCATCATGGGCCCTTCTGCAGGTCGCATTCTCGTGGAGCACGGTACTTTGGTGCTGCAAATCATGTTCATACACCGGCTTCGAGCGCTCTTTCGTGTACACGTACACGAACTTCAGCGCTGCCTCTAGTAGATTGAACCCGCATAAAAACGGCAGATTGCGAGAGACTGCATACTCTGTTCAAGGACGCCCCTCAGCAACCGCCGAGAATGGTCAATAATAAACGATCACACAGCAGATATTCCGCTACTTTGGCGATCCAATCAACTATTATGAAGAGAGGAAGTAGCCAAGTGGATTCCAGGTAGGTGGGCTAGCTACCGTAGTCCGAACTCGACAAGCACCAACACAGAGTATCCTCGAGTTACGTACCAAGGCTAAACACCAATTGGTCGATAGAATCGTTGGCTTCGACGAGTTCTATCCTGCTCAAGGCCGACCTGAGGCTATTCGTGATGCTGGAATGCAAGGCCTTCGCGAATTTATTGAGGAATGGCCGACCGCGCGTTTAAACGAATGCTGTGATTTTCTTTGCGAGGAGTTTCACGTCAATGTCTGTGTGTCTACAGCTTATCGAGCGTTGAAAGCACTTAACTTGATGCACAAACGGCTCACTAGAATTAATGCCAGACAGGATAAAGACGAAGAGGCACTAGTCTATGGCCGGGGGGGCCAAACGACAACCCCGTATGGCTCTGTTTTGGGCTTCCATCTGTGCGATATCCCTGCTGGGAATGCGTTAGGGATGTTGTTGAACGAATGAAGCCCGTACGCACCTTCTCCAAACGATTAGATGGTGCGGGATGGCCCCTACAGCGACGATATCGTCTGCCCTATCTCTAGATGGGCCATGGACTGGATCCGATCAGGCTGGGGAGGCGGCGCCGTACACGCTGCCGAAGGAACGAGACCACTTGCCCCCGGTCCTACTCGGCCACATGGTCCACGGATTGGATCCGATGACGGTGGCCTTTCATGGGATCCGATCAATGGACCATCTCGATATCGAGGCCGGCGCCGTACACGCTGCCGAAAGAACGAGACCACTGGTCCCCAGTCCCACCTGGCCATATGGTCCACGGACTGGATCCGATGGCGGTGGTATATCGAGGCTGGCGCTGTAAAGGGAGGACTCTCATGACGATGGCAAGGGAGAGTGTCCCCGTCCTCACGATCCAATGCCAAGTCATTTTATCACGTGATTCATAACAGGACCGTCTTGGCGTCGCCACACAACGCCAAGCCACAACCTGAAAAATTAAGGTTTATACCTTATTCTGCCAGAAACTGCTTCAAAATTGACACCAAATCGTGGTTGACCTATCAAGGACGTAACCGAGTGGTAAAACACCCGGGTTGCAGTCGAACTGATAGAATTGAGGGGCCTCACTAGTGTTTGATCATAGGTGTAGGTAAGAGGGTTGTCCGGCCTAGACTCCACTGAGCTTTCTAGGTGCCCGATGGGTAAACGTAATGCTCCAGCCAGTGATTGTTGATGTCAAACTGAGTAATCACTGGGAGGTCACTGATTCAAACTCTCCTTCAGTTGAACTTGTATGACCGAAAACTTTCACTGGTTGTGGCGCCTCATCTATGAGTTCGTCAGAGATGGACTATAGGAGGGGGCCTTTCTTTTTTGGTAGGGAATTTTGTTGCTCTAGGCAACGTCCTCGGCGTAGTCTTGAACCCAGCCGGGCCACCTGCCCGGAATCCAGCACTGGACAGTCCATCATTAGGGGCCCCCCTGGGTAAAAATCGGCTGCCCCCCCATAATGATGATGCGCGAATTTTTGGGACGTTCTTTGCATAACTTTTGTATTGGCGTCGAAGTATCATTTCATTACACCTAATGAGAGCCACATCCCAAGTCTCTCAAGATTCCATTGCGTTGTGGTTGAGATATTCAGATCCAAAAAAGCAAGTTTTTTGGCGTGTTTGGGGTGGCCCGACCGGGAGGCTGGCTCGGTGCAAGTTGCAATATGCCAAGCTAACGGCCTCACGTGATAATGCCAAGCAATATGTCACGTGACTAGACAGCAAACCTCCGCCCCGCTACTGCACCAGGCCCCGGAGAGAAAGGGGGCCCGAATGGCGACTGGCGTATGGACGAACTGGTAAGGCCATGGAATAAAGCAAAAAACTCAACCCTCGACCATCCAAAATCTTTCCCAAGCTTCTTTCCATTTATTATTCTTCAAGTCCTCTAACCAATCCTTAAACTTCACTGGCTCCTGGTTATCTATCTTCATAACCCCATTCTTGATTCCCTTCCACCCCTCAATCGGACCCTTGATATACTGGTGATCGCGACCACAATACGTGCGACCAATTTCACAGTGAGCACCTTTGTTGTACGCTTGTCGCTTCTGGTAGCAAGGCTCGCAGAGAATGGTATTGCCGCATCGGTACATCGGCCTGCCCTTCCAAGCGCGCCATGAGACAATAGGATCGCATTCGCCGCTGCACAAACACAAAACCTCGACGAGGTCTCCCTCGTCGTCTGGTAGCGGGTCCCAGTCGTTGATATCACCATCCTCTTCTGACAGCGAGTCCACGTCATTACTGTTATCGTCATCCTCTTCAGACTCTTCGTCCGTGCCATTGTAGTCCTTTTCACTCTCTTCTTGGCCGCCAGTAACAGCAAGAGCGAGCCGCGAGAACTGCGCGGAGACCAAGATGCGAGCTTCCCTATCGAGACCACTCATATTAGAGAGAACCGCGGAAAGATTCGTCAGGTTGAGCCAGTCATTCCATTCCACGTCGTCCGTAAGTGATTCATAACAAACACTGAATGCGTTCTCCAACGCAGCCTGGAAATCCTGTGCTGGCCCCATCTTGCGAGCCATCTTCGCAACGGTGATTGTGTGATGCACTAGGCTTGATTTCAGAGTTGAAATCGACTGTGCCAGATTTCTGTTGGTCAGGCCCTTTATCTCTGCGAACAGCTGCATCTTCCTCACGGGATCTCCAGTGGAGCGAAATTGTTCATAGATGAGATCGGTCATGAGGATGACCGTACGGACCAGTGTCATCGCTGGATCCTCATTTGTAAACCTGTATGGTTCCCCAGTCGAACTGGCGTCAAGATTCTCATCCATAAGAGCTTTGGCCGCATCGATGTCACCACGGATGTACCGGTGTACCAGAGCAAGTTGAAACCGGATCGGTGGGGCCGCGTTAAGACGATCAAGAAGGGTGATGGCTTCCTCGTATGCCTCAACCAGAAATTGATGTTCTCCTGCTTTACCCGCAGCTCTTTGAAATTGGGGGTGATAAATGTCCCTTTCATAATCCTCTTCGTATCTCCAGGTCATCCAGTCAAGTCTCTCGGTTTTCTTCCACTCTTTGACCAGCCCGATCAACTTGGCGTCGGCGTGTTTGTCAACGTATAACTTGAACTCGGCTTGGAGGATATCGCCCGGCATCGGTTCTTGGTCAGAGTATCTTGCCTCTGCGTACGATGCCATGGCGTCATCAACCTTCCCAAGGGCTACTTCTGTCTTTGCACGTGTCACAAGACCGTTACGGAGGAGCTTGGGAGATACCTCTCTGTTAGACAAAGCATCGTTGATAGCCTTATTTGCCGCGTTGTAGTCTTTTTTGCGGAGGTAGATGTTAGCCACCAAGTCCAAAATTTGAAAGTGTCTGATGGGTTCTTTGCATTCACTAAGTGCATCTTGTGCGTAAGAGAGTGCTGCGTCATGATGTCGCGAGTGCTCAAGCAGCAAAGCGACCGCCCAGGGTGTGTTGCTTCCTCTGACAATGTTTTCGAAAGACTGGGAGATGGCAATAATTTCCTCCTCTCTGTACCACGACATTTCACCTTCATCGTCTTCGACGCTAGAAGAGTCCGTATCGTCCTCCTCCCCTTGAACTATGGGATTCCGATGCCCTGTCTGCAAGCCATCGTTAGTCAATTTCCAAAGAAGATATTCAATAGAAGCTTGGAAGTGTAAGAGCGTGGACGATGAATTTATCCGCGACGATAGTTGTCATCCTGCAAATGACCTCAATCCAACCGACGAGAAAATGAAACGGATGTACGGACCAATTTGATGGCGCTTCGGGCAAATTTGTATGAGCGCAGGGCAGATTTCAGGTCCGCAGTCTGGAGCCAGTTTTCAAGGTGGCCTTTCGCGAGAGGCACAAAAGCTGCCATCTCGTCTGATACCACACTCTTCACCCAGACCGACGTAGATGCAGTCACTTTGTCGTCCAGAGAATCTGCCATCTGTGCAAAGCTAGCCACATGGCTAAGCAAAGGAAATTTGGGAAAGTTCTTGTTGATTTTATCATAATCCACTCCAAGAGATTCGAGCCTCATTGCAGCATTAGCCTCGTTTGTCATAATAGCCCCCAGAGCTTCTACGCCTGTAATCCTGTCGGTTTCTGAACCTTGGGCCATCCTGGTCTCGCTGAGGTGCACCGCCCACTTCTCAGCAGCATACTTGCGTAACCCATGAGGGACGTTAATCGCTGGGTCGCAAAGGATCTTTGAACAAATGACAAATATCTCACGGTGCGCTTCTGCCGCCGATGTTCTCAATCCTGAATCTCCGGACTGTCCATGGCGGAAGAAGTCTCTCATGGCCCGTTCCTGGAATTTTAGCGGCAAGTCGCCGTCATGGTAAGCTGCGTCGGGATTGTTCTTGATCAGTGTCAACGGCATTGACGGCTGGGGCGAGGCGGCTCCCACACGTTCCTCAGGGTCTCCGATCTTCAGAAATCTTGCCAGTTGTCTCCCCTGGAGTTCTCGTTCGAGGTCAAAGGAGTTTCCCGGGGTCAGCTCGAGTAGAGCGAGGCATTCATCGAGCGAAAGAGGTTGGTATGAGAACGCGAGCCACCATAGGAGACTTTTCATTGCTCGCAGCTCATTAGATCTGACATGATGCTGCAGGTCCTCGAGCATAGAATCGTATAGCCCCTGCAAACTTTCTGGAAGCTGGTCCAGTTTGCTTGAGGACGAGGTGCTCCCGCCCAAGGATGCTCAATTGGCGGAGTATATGCTCGACATAGAGCATCCCTAATGGATATTAATACGAGCCACCTTCACTTGCGACAAGCTCGCTTACCGTCCGCTTTCTCCTCAATCGTGCTGGATATTCTCTGCTTCACGTATCTGCTAAACTTGCGGAGCCCGCTGTCGTTGTTCAGGTGGCTCCAAATTAGCAACTTCATATCAGAGAGCTGCTTTTCTTTCGTGACAGCAATGGATTCGGAGCCGATCTTCTTCAACTGTAGGCTTAAATCGGGTCTGGTCGTGCATAGGAAAGTAATGTTTAGATCTGTCGTATCTTTAAATTCCGAGAAGAATTGCAATAACTTTTCTCGTTCTTCGCCCTGCAATTCGTCTAGGCCGTCCCAGACAATCTGCAGCCGAGCCTGAGACGAGCCGCTGAACAAGGGCTTAACAAGGTCAGTCCAGATATCCTCCCAAACCCACGTATCCAAATCCAGGTCTTCCCGCCCAATTTCGATATTGATCTTCTCACACAAAACAGCATTTTGCTCCGCAATTTGGATGACAACCCAATTGATGGCGTTGCAAAATTGGCCGAGATCCTTAGGACTCTCGCGGAAGTAGAATTTCGTAACACAAGTGTTGCTGTCTGCCAACTTAATAAGTTGATCATAAGCGGACACCGCAAGATAACTTTTCCCGGCACCAGGTGGTCCCTCGATGGTGAGAATCCGCGGTGCAGCTTTGCCTTTCCCTTGGACAAGCCAGGGATCCCAAATCGGCTCGTCAAAGATCCAGGTACATGTCTCGTCAATAAAGTTGTCTTTAATGCTATTGTATTCGTGTGCCGGGTTCATGGTGTCGCCAAAGAAGCTGCGGACCCGGTTCGAGGTTGGACGCTTATTCTGGCCAGCAGCTTTACCACTCCCCTGCGTGGATGGATCCTGTCGTCGACGCTCTTCCAATGTCATCAGAAGTTTCTAGATATTCTTCAGGTCGCTATGGACGCTATCCTGACTCTCGAGGACTGTCTCCAGTAACTTGGTCTGCATATTCTGATTCTGCTGAAGGTCGGAGTTCATCCGTTGCAGCTCTTCGGTGTTACCAAGGATCGCGTACTCGGTGGCCGAATGGAGGCGGGACAACGATGTATCCATTTTCTTCCGGGCTCCTCCAAGATCGCTGTCCTCACCCCGAATCATATTCAAGATCTATTTTTCTGTGTAAAGGTTAGGGAATGATTTACCTGCAGGTGGTATCCGCGTTTGGAGAATGAAACACGCACTAAAACGACCCAGCTCAATATACTTAGTAGCAAAGCCACACATCTCCAAGACGGAAGTGAAGACATCCATCAGGCAGTTGCGGTAAGCTGGATACTTGGGCAACCGCGATTCGAGGATGGTAATGCGCTGGAGGAAAGCATTCATATCCTCAAAGAACGCCGTGATCACATCATAGTCTGCCGACACTTGTTTGCAAGCCTATCTTCTCCGTTAGATGGCTACAAACGCTGAGCATATAGGTCAACGCTGTCCCAATCGCCGCTGCCGGTGGGAAAGCCGGCGTGGCAGCAGCGATAAGTTGCTGCGCGCCTTGCTGGATGTACCCTAAATTGGCTATGAACAGGCCACGCAGCTTATCGACCTTCTTCTGATTGTGGCGGAATTGGTGGAAGTTGTTCATCTGGTTGGTGCCGAACGCGATCATCGCGTCGACACTTGTGAAGTTGGGTGAGAGGTCTACGCCCGTGATGCCCTTGTACTTGCGGAGGGCATCGTTCCAGAGATCGGCAACATCGCGGCTGTCTTTTGCCAGCGACTCCTTGATTTGTGTGATGATGACCTCGTCCCTCATGACGGAGAACTATCAGAGAGGAGGATGATGAATGTGTCGATTGGGGCTGACGGAAGCATACTTAAGAACTGCAACACATTGGAGGGGGTTGGTCGGTCGATCATACCGTCTGCCTTTACGGAGGCGTCCACCTGTGAAAGGTGTGTTGAGGAACTAACTAAAATGTACGTAAAAACAGGCCGTTTTGTTGGAGGCCTTTAGCGTGCCAAGGCCCTAATCACATCCGCCCAACACACTGATGGGTCTCACCAATCCCCTCTAACACGAGTACTTTCTGAGGAGAAGAGTCTGAGAATCCCCTCTATCTGCTGGATTTCTACGATGCGGCCGATGAAGAGACGGTCCGCCATGTCCGGAGCATTGAAAAGGTTGACATCGTTCATATTCTCGTAAAACAATTAGCCGCGCTTAAGTGACGAAAGAATCACGCGTGAATATCGCCGTAAATGGCTTCAGCGATCATTAGCACACGAATTTAAGGCTGCTCGGTGAGCACTTGGAATCTGCACCACACCAGCAGCCGGCGACACCTTAGCCACATCCTCAGGCGGGATGACCGACATTCATGTATGCCGCTGCCGTCGCAGCCGCCACACATGACTCTGCTCGCCAATTAGTTCTTTTCCCCGAACCATTTTAGTGAAACGTACTCGGCGAAAGCTTGACATCCCGGTAAAGGTAATACATTATCCTAGACCAGGACTTTATTATGACCTATCTTTAAATTCGGTAGCTACTCGCCTGAAAGTAATCAGCATGAAATGCACGGCGAGTGCATTAGAGAGCTCAAACCGATCCTGCAGCAGTCGTTAGTTATCTAACATCTCTTCGCCCATGTCTCCGGAGAACCACTCACAATGCGTTTGCCTTCCTTATACTCCTCGGCCAGTAACTCTTTGATCTTCTCGATGCTCAAAAGGCTCCTCAACTAATCCCATTCGTCAGCATGCCGAACCCAGAAACCAACATTAGCATCGCTAGCTTTGTCCCCGCTGCGAGCATGAACGATCCATCCTTGTGGACCTCTCACAGTGCCGCCCAATTGCGCCATGTCGATTGGATTGCTTGTCACGGCCTGTGAAGGTGGGTCTTTAGGGTAGACCTTCATCCCCGATGGGGGAGGGATGTCCAGCTCACTCCCTGCGTGAAGATGAACTTTATGAGAGGTCACCGATTGAGGGAGCAGTGCTACCCAGTACTCGAACACCTCCTTCGGAAAACCTTGACGGAAGTCCATATGCGGCTGTGCACCTGGGTGGATCTCCATGATGGATCGATGCATGCTTGGAGGAAGATAGCTGGAGCTATGTCAGCGGCTGGCGACGATGGGACGGAGACCCTGACATCGACCGTTGCGCTGTTCTGATTTGTCGGGTTCTCTGGCGAGCTGCCGTTCTTCGTGAACTCTAGTTTGGAGGAACTTACTCCTGTGTAGAGCGAGCTCATTGCGGATCTGTGCTTCTAGCATTCGTGCTATGGCATTGATGTCCAAGCCGACCATGAACCAGTGGACCTCAACTTGATAGCCGCCGTGCGCCGTAATACCGACTTTCGTCGTTGGAGGAGGGAGATCGGCCTTGACGCCCGTGACCAAAACCCGATCGGTGTCCAACTGTTCGAAGTGAATCCCGTTTAAGATGGCTGTAACGTTGGAGTTGAAGTACTAGGCCCCCCTGAATCTCGTAGACTAGTGGGGATGTACGAGTGCCCGCGCTCACTTCGCCGGCCAAGCTTCTTTGTCTTCGTGACCACAATTTCACCACTGTATGCAATTTCGGCGATTGGCCAACCTAAAGCGTTCCACCCCCAACCTCTTGCTCTCGAGGCTCTTGAAGCCGCTATAGTTGCCACCCGTGACGTACATCGAGTACTCGATGAGACGATCCGCGACGAGGGCGTTGGCGAGTTTCTCCAGGTCAGACCGCTCCCAGGGGGTGGAACCAGTATGCACTGCCGATCACCATCGATGCGTCGAACACTCGCCCGCAGACGACGATATCTGCCCCTCTGTCCAACGCTGTTGCGGCTTGGGCGTAAATGGGCTTGGACTTCCAGCCGTGCGGTGCTTCACCTGTAATAAGGTTCCCAAAGCCGACGAACCCGATGTCAGCGCCCCTTGAACCGCAGGGGAAACTTCATCGCCGGAGATTCAAGCTACATTTGGATCCAACCTGTTCTTTTGGACCATACCGACGACCGCATCATATAGCGCTTTTGTGTTGGTTACGCCGGCATTGACGGCGACGCGGAATTTGTAGCGCGCAATATCTGAAATGGCAGGCTCAAGCGCTTCGAGAAATGACGGCTCGTAGGTACCACCAGCCCCTAATAGAATGATTAGCTATCCCGTTTTTGAACCATCTCAACCCTGCAATCGTAGCGGTACCATTGACTTCTGGGCTGCAAGGGTTGTCATGTTCCCTTCCGACATCCAGTCCCCTATTGTGACATGCACGGGATCATGTGAATAACCTGCTGCGATATCCTTCATCGCGTAGCGGCGGTCTGCCACCGATCCTGGGCAGCCTGCATCACGGTGTTAGCAGATAAATCTTTTCGACTGTAGATAAAAGTTGCCAGTTACCGGCGATACGAAGTGTCGCGAGTGACCGCTCCGCGTTGGGAACAGCCATTGTGCCCGAACACTTAAGAAGATCATAGGAACTCTGGTGATGGCAGGACTAGTAGTCCTGTTAGTCCTGAATCCGGAAAATCTATAATCCGACAATTCCCAAATCCTTTGCTCTCATTGGCTGAAATCCCGTACAGCTCATCGGATCCAGTCTACGGACCATCCAGGGATGGTAGAAATGCCGCCTTTGTCTGCCAGACCCCCTGATCGGATCCAGTTTATGGACCCATCCAGAGAGACACGGGGGTTGGATGGACGACATTGGAGCAAATTGAGGCTTGCAAGACCAAGACTTTCTATATCAAGAAGGCGGCGACAAGGTGAGCAACGACAAGGTCAACGGATTCTTCTATGGCAAGTTCTTTCTGCAATTTATGGCCAGCACTAACAAAATCTTGGAATCTTACATAATATCCGAAGCTGGTGCCCCTTTAATTTGGTGCCGAGTTTGATGCCCGCGTACATCCTGTGACCTATCGTTCACGAATGACTGGGTTATTTTGCAGCACTCGCTCACTCGGCTGTATCACTATTGACAGGCAACAACGATGACGTACTCTCCTTGGATAGATATACGGATAGGCTCTACGCCACCCTCTGACCGAATCCAGTCAGAGCGCTCTCTCAATGAAAGAATACCTCGCTTACGACGACGGATATGATGCGAAGATGGTCATCTAGTCCGAAAAAGGGGGGGGTGGCCCATGAATTGGGTATAACACCGTCAAGCGGCTTGAAGGGTTGACGGCGTTGGAAGGGAAACTGGGGATCAAGAGGGACGGAATGAGCGTGAAATGATAAGGATAGATGCTCAACGATGTCTTCGAGGTAATTATTTTACATTTTAGCTTGCCACTCTGACCTAGTACGTAGGATCGAGGCTATATCAATCAAGAACCCAGCGTTCAATTTTTATTTGTTCCTCAACAACAAATGCTAGGAAGCAAGTCATATTTAGCCTTGTTCAATATTGCAAGCTGCTTGCGCGGAAGATTTAGCTGCTATATCGACAATGACATTTGCCAGAACCCCCGGAGCTGTAACGTTAGGACCGTGCCCCGTACTCAGTGTGTGAACATCAACATCCTTTCCACTCTCTCTTTTGATCCGTTCGATATACTCTCGTTGTTTATCTGGGGGAATGATAAAGTCGTTCTCGCAGAAAATATATGAAGCCGGAATGTATTTGTAAGCCGGGTAGGTCAACTGCCCTTCGAAACTGAGCGCTGAATGTTTGGGCATCATTTTCACAATTTCAACGGCCTTGTCGAGCTCCAGGTCCGGAAATGTTCCTTGGGCGACAGCCTCTACGCCCACAATCTTCATGAAGCCGTCCTGTACGAAAAAACGAAAACTCATTTGATATGTTGCAAGAATACGGGGCATACAGAGCACATACCTTGCCCATTTCTACCAATTCGGGCGGAGGATCTCCACGTTCAGTCTTTGTTGAGGCCCCTTCTGCTAGCACGGAGGAAGTCAGGTATACAAGTCGGACGACCCCTCCATCGTGTCCTTTTGCCTGCCTCTCAGCCTTGCCGACTCCCTTGACTGCTTCTGTCCCTACCAATCCTCCGTACGAGTGCGTCATCACGAGAACATCTTTGCCTTGATTTGCAAGATTCTCAATAATGCCTCGGAAGAAGACGGCATCATCGTTCATACTGGCCGGTTCTTCGGGTGGATTGCGGCTGGCTGATGGCAGGTTGTTCACGAATACTTCGTAGCCATGTTCTTGGATCTTGTTGACCAAGCCATAATACATTGAAGCAAAGGAAAAAGAACCAGGAACGATGACGATTGAAGGCTGGGGTGCCATATTTAGAGAATGACCAACACGCTCTCGCAGGATCGGGCACAAGTCACGGTCTTTTAAGAACCAAACGTATAGGAAAAGCGTTCCACGCGAGCATGAACATCCAGGTTCACATGTCTACTGACAATAAATAGGTAATCCAATACGACCGTCAGATTAGGCGTTCCATCCGCAAGACTCAAAATGCCAAGGTGCTAGGCGGCCTCAACCGGAGAATTAAATCAGTGTACTGCAGGCAGTAACGGCCACCGTCCATCACGCCAACTGCACAAAGAGCTTTCAACACCGCAACTCCGTCAATTGGCAAGCTAAAAATACAGGGCAAATACAATTCTACTCGTCGTCTTCTTCCGAGTGTAGATCTTGATCTAGATACGTTGCGAGGGCCGTTTTGCCCTCGTTGACTGGCACTGTGCAGGTTCCTCCTCACTCTCATCCTCCTCTTCTTCTGCTACTACTATACAACTGCCCTCTCGAACTGTACGCTGTTCCGGCGTTTGGTTACGTTGTAGAGCCACTTCCGCAAGGCTCACGAATCTTTCAATCGGATCTTGGCGTTCTGGGCCACTATCCGGCCGTTTGACAGCGCTTTTAACCGGTTCTTCGGATATAGACCAGTTGCTTTTTATCCAGACTAAATGTTCGCCTTGCAAAAAGCAATTTCATGAGCTTCTGCATAAATTCGAGGAATCTTGCCTTGACAAGCTTAGTTTCATCGGTCAGAGCCACATAAACGTCGATATGTTGCCTTTAAGCTCGAAAAGTAACCTAAATCCAAAGGCTGTGTGACATGGGAAGTATGCGCCGGTAAGAAGAGCAAATAGACATTGTTGAGAAGGCATTCTGTCATAAATTCGTCGGTAGTATGAGAACCGTGGCCGTCGACGATTAACAACCGTGGCTGGGATAGATCTTGAGGTTCTATCTCGAGCAAGAAGATTTTTTTTTTTTCTGGCCACTTAAGAGCTATATCGTTACTTGTCTAGCCATTTTCTGAGAAGGCTACTTGCCAGGTAGGGTGCTTTTCTGAGAATTCGGTCTTTGAATACTTTTCGCCTTGAAGATAACGAGCGGGCTGAGGGCGACCCCAGTGGCTGAAAAGAGGTCCAAGACCGTGAAAGATTCGTTTTAATAGGCACCTGGTCTGGCCAAACCTGCGAGCTACCGACAACCAAGCCGTCGACGCCCTGGCCCTTCACAATTCCCCCCTCATCGGCGTTAAACCGTCGGCTTGGAGGGATCCAGTTCATGGTCTCGTAGAGGTCGAAAAGCTTGATATTCGCTGGGCTCGTTGCATTAACTCGCTGCCAGTCGGTTCGACGGCCAAGCTTGGTTTTGATCGATGGGTGGCGTTGTACGAAGGCAGTAGACCGCCTCTTTCCAAGTGGACGGTGGTCGCTTTGCGATCTGGGGATCTTCAACGCGATGGAACGGATTTGAGCGTGTGTTGGAATATATTCAGGGCCCTCTTGTCGCAGAATCCATGTAACAAGAGCTTCTTCTTGCACTGCTGAGAGTCTCTGTTGGTTTCGTGGGCTGCATTAGCTGGCTGCGCTCCAAGAGACCGTCGTCGAAGAGTAGTGCGTGGTATGCCATGGATCCGGAACGCGGCCTTGAAAGACTGGCCATGTAGGACACCTTGCGGTGTGTCTTCTATGTCGTCTTCAGTATAGCCAGCCATAATAGCCGTAGGAGAGCATGATAGAAAAGATCCCAGTTCAATTGAACAAGAAAGTGGTGTTTCGTGATGGATGGAAGGTAGTAACGCGCCAGACACGTGTGGGTAGTACCCACACTGACTTACTCATGAAGCCCAATCAGGGCCCGTCAAGCGAGTACCAATAAGATTGTGGTGTGCGCGCTCTCCCCAGAGAGCGCCTGATATTGCAAAGTCCGTCCCAATCCGAAAGTCAAATCTCAAATTCCGTCCCGATTAAGTCAATTTGAGTGCGTCTCTCTCAGCATGTTTGGAATTTTCCTTCATCTTTCGTCTCGCATGAAGTCTCGCGCCAGTGATGAATGGACAATGTCAGAGCTTAATGCATGCCAGTCCCCGTATCGCATTTGCCATGACTGCCTTCTGATATCCCAAAAATTACACACCTCATTGTCACAGTCGATTTGCGGAGAGGGGGCCTTGTGAAGACATGTCGCCTCTCTGACTCCTCATGAGGCTTCTCTCCAAGGCTGCAAAACACGGGACCGGATCCACACAGACCGAACTCTGGTTTGTTGGAAATGGATGTCTTGCGCGGACCGGCTATAAGTTCGGCATTGAGTAGAGTATGCAATCAGATCATCAGGTGTCCTTAAGAGTTTGGACGATTCCGTCGCCATGGCGAATGTCTTCCCACTAGACTACTTCGAAGGGAGCTCGAGCGGAGAGATCGGGCGACGTTAAAGGCTTCTGAGTCGTAGACAGTGGATGAGATACACTCTGAAGTGCTGAGCCGACTGATATCGCCGAGACTATCAATCTCGCCTGGGTCATTGACTTGTACTGATTGCGGGATTAATGCTGCCGCCTGACATCTGGGTAGCCGGAGGGGCTTAGTTTGAACAGATCAATATCGGTCAACATCCGGCAGAGAGTAAATGGTCGCCTCTTAGCTGATTTCCGTACGTAGGTTTGTGCCTGATCATGCATTGGAGACCTGCTCTGCTTCACGGTGCACAAGGAAGTGGTGATAACATTGTTTTCTTGTACGCCAGCAGCGTTGACAAGCTTTAGAGGAGGGAGGCCAGAGGATTTATGGTTCATATCGGGAATTTGAACGACGTACCCTAACCTAGGTACGCCGTCTCGGCTCGGAAAAAATTTATTCCACATCTGGAGTCACATGATTGCATAGGCCGTTTTTATGCAGCAGTGCCGGTCGAGTTGCTACTGCAAGCCAGGCAACTCAGTGCACGAAATTCGTTCAAATATCAACACATCCTCGCCTTGTGCTGGACTCAGAACGGGTCATCAATCCCGTGCTACCTGTTTCTTGCTCTGCACCCTTGCCTCATATTCCCTGTAATTTTCCCATAGCCACCCTGCGTAACTTCGCTGCTCCACAACCGCTACCATCACCATCTGAACAATTACCAGCCTACCACACCCAATACACCCCACCAACAAGCCGCACATCACAATTCCATCGGCGCTTCTCATCGGGTATGTTGAGGGTTTAAGAAGCAATGATCGCGTCCAAGATACCTCGATGAACTCGACCCCGGATGAGGGCGAGAACTTTCTTCGCGATGGGAGTGAAGATGGGCGAAGAGACGATTTCGAACAAGAGTTTGCCAACGAGAATGATAGAGATGTGCTTGAGATAGTATCATCCCCGCAAAAACATTCAGAAGCTACGGTCGCAGACATCTCGGGTGCACTGAATGCTGAACAGGATGACAATGACTTGATTGGGAGTGAAACAGAATCTCTCCTCCCGGGAACCAATGGAGTCAGCAATGCTGTGTCCCTGAATCGAGAAGAGAATGCCCATAGCTTGGATGATTCTGCGTCGATACCAGATGATACGCCCTCTGTCCAGGACTCCGTTCTCTCGTCCCCTCGGAGTGAAACCGAGTCCCTCCGCGGTCCAGCTCGCAGAGGGAGTCCTTCCACCGTCCACCGACCCTTTGATGCCCGATTTCAATCCCGTCTATCAAGCGCGCAATTTTCTCCTCTACGATCAAGCTCGCCGGCATACCTTGTGGGCCATTCTCGTCACTCCTCCGTTGCCAGCCTGGGACTACAGACCCCATCAGAGCCGGATGAATTCACCAGTCCGTGGGACGTCATAAGGTGGAACAAGTTCAAAAAGATCACTGCTCAAGTTTTTTCAGAAATTGGGAGAAGGAATTTTGGAAGTCCAACATGTCTGGCTGTCGCGGATCACCTGGCCGTGGGGACGTCCAAAGGGGTGGTGCTGGTGTTTGACCACCAACAAACCCACAAGGCTATCGTCGGCAGTGGCACGAAAGCGGCAGAAAGTGGTGCCGTAACCTCGCTCGCCATTTCTGCCGACCACACTACCATGGCCGTGGGACATGCAACCGGCCATGTCTTCACATGGGAGTTGCCTAGACCTACGCGGCCATTTCTGCACATTCAGCCCGTTGATAACTCTCAACCTCAAGCCAGACATGGAGATGGGCACATTGTTGGTAGCGCCGTTCTTCATGTCGGATTTCTTGGTTACCGCCATACCGCCCTCGTCTCGGCTGATGACAAAGGCATGGCATTCTCTCATCTGGCTACTCGAGGGATGGGCGCTGTCGGTCGTGTTGTCCGCACCACTCGAATTCTAGGCAGATACCCGGAAGTCGTTTCACGCTCGACGAAGCCATTGAAGAAAAGCTCTGTTCTTGCCTTTTCGCCCTTACCATTAGGCAACATAGAGCAGCGGACTGATGGCATGGGACTGGTGGCAATGTTGACGCCGTATCTCCTGGTCATAGTCTCAACGACCCCGGTGGCACAGACACAGCATAAGGCTGCTCGACCAAAGGAGGTTGCGGCGCATAGTGCCATGACCGCAGCACTGGCTTGGTTCCCGGCCATCAAGCTGAAGTCACACGATTCAGAAGTTTCCAAGACCAAGCTTGTCTATGCCTGGTCAAACATCCTCACTGTCTTGGAAGTGCATGAAGCGCAGGTCGAAGATGAAGCCGAGAAAGACAAGCCTCCGGAGTTGCAATTTCTAGCGCGAAGTCGGTACCAGGCAGAGGAGGCGATCGTTGCAGTTCAATGGCTGAACAAGTCGGTCCTGGCTGTTTTGACCATTACTCAACAGCTTCTCATCATTGAAGACCTTACGATGCATGTGACTGATTCTTTTGACCTGTTGAAGAAGAATATCTACCATGCAGATCTTTATTCCCAGCAACTGCGCGCAATTATCGAGCAGCTTGATGAAGAAGACACCTCCATGCATGGTATAGTCGCCGACGCATTTCATATGAGTTTTCGAGCCTATAAAGGCAGGTTGTTCCTGCTTAGTTTCAACGACATCTGGACAGGCGCGTTGACAAACTGGGCCGATCGTCTTTTGGCGTTGATCAACGTCGGCGATTTTATCGGCGCTATTCGACTAGCCACCAAATATTACAAAGGAGAAGGCGAAAAGGCCACCATTGGTCTACCAGAAGATGACAGCATTCGAGCCGGCCTTGTTCGAGAGAAACTGTTTGAAATGATGAGCGCTTCTCTGAAATATGCATTTGGAAAAAATCAACAAGCAGGCAACGAACCGATTGAGAAGCCACAAATGGTCGAACTAGCAGATGCTTGTATCCAGGCTTGTCTCGTAATGGAAGATCAAGATTTTCTGTTTGAGGAAGTGTTCGCCTGGTACGATGATCACGAAAATGGCCCTTTGTTTGTGGATGTCCTTGAACCATATATCTTGGACCAAAGGATAGTCTCTCTACCTCCGCCGGCTTTGAAGACCTTGATCAATCATTTTGCCATGACTCACGCTCCATCAACACTTGAAGAAATCATCTGCATGTTGGACACTTCTACCATGGATATCGATCAAGTAACGACTTTATGCAAGCGATACAACTTGTATGATGCCTACATTTATGTCTGGACGATGGCGCTACGCGACTTTACGGCACCGTTGACGCTGCTTCTTGACCTTGCTGATAATGAGGAGCCAACCCCGCAGCAGATTGCCAACATCTCCGATAAATTTAGCATTGCGCAAAAGATGTTTCCGTACATGTCATTCATCCTGACGAGCCGAATATATCCGACTGGAAAGCCTATGGATGACGACGATTCCATTCCAGCAAAGGGTCAAATCTATGATTTTCTCTTTTCCGGCACTTCACCGTCAAATGAAAAGTCGAACAAGGACGCTCCTGCAAGTGGGAACACGAAATCAGCAGGCTCATTTGAAGGACTTTCTCGAATCCTACATTTTGACCCCGCCAGCTTCATCTCAGCCTTGAATGAGGCATTCGAGGACAATTTTCTCAACGCGAGCGACGACGACCCTCTTAACATCCCAGGAACGACCCAAACGATGACGCGAACCTACACGCGTCAATACATTGTGCGCGTCATGCTGGAAGTCATGTCATCCGGTTTTGACCCGGAAGACACAATCTATCTAGACATGTTCATTGCGAGAAATCTGGCTAAATATCCTCAATATATGGTCCTTTCGGGTTCAATCTTGCAGGAAATTTTTCGCCGTCTCTGCCGATACCCCGACAACGAAATGCGGGAAGACGCCCAGTTGAGTATCGAATACCTGTTATCCATCTATCAGCCACCCAACATACTCGACTTTGTCCCTGCGCTCCGAGAAGCAAAGTTCTACCGGGTTCTCAAGTCCGTCTTTAAACAGGAAAACCACTATCCCGAGATGATAGACACGTATTTCCTTGACGATGAAGATCAAGAAGGCGTGTTTTCTTCAATTATTGAATGTCTCCGTCCAGAATCACCTCTCATCAGCCAACAGAAGACTGAGGTCAGAAAAACCGTACAAGAACATGCCTCGGGCCTTGTGGGCCTGGACATTCAGAGGACTGCAAGCACAATTGACACAGTTGCCCCAGATATGCATCATATATTCTTACAGGTGTTGAGAGATGACGAATTTGGTCAGTATGAGTACCTCAAAACACTGCTAGAACCCGAAGACGATCATCATCCCGGAGGCAACTATGACCACCAGATTATGGAATCTTATGTTCGACTCTTATGTCAATTCAACCCCTCCCATGTGAGAGACTATGTCGAAAATGTGAAAGAAAGCGACTTACGACTTGGGGAAGTCTTGCCGACAATGGAAGACAGTGGGATAATCGACGCCATTGTGATCTTGCAAGTCCGTCAAGGACAAGTCAAGGAGGCCATGGATCGGTTGACCAAACATCTTTCCTTCCTCGGATCGACCTTGAAGGGGTTGAACGCGGAGATTCCAATGCACTCCAATGACGCGTCTGTCAAATGTCCCCGCGAACCGGTGCTTGAATCGGTAGATAAGTACGCAAGAGTGGGCATTTGGTTATGTCAAGGACAGATGAAGAATGGCCCCAAATCAACCACAGTCTCCAAATCACCAAGAAGGTCGGCCAGTGCAACTCGGGCTTTATCCTTTGAAGAGACACTGTGGCTCGATCTCATTCTCTGCGTCGTGTCAATTGCCCGAGAGATCTCCCTGGGGTCATCAACCTCTGCCAATGAACCCGGAAATGAATCACAGGTCGAGATTACCACATCCTTGCGATATACCATCCAACAAGTATTTTCTGCTCTATTGGCTAGTACCACATCGATGCGGGAAGGCTCTGGTGGCCAGGACATGGCATTCCTCCGCATCTTACGAGCGTTTCTCACGCATGCTGCTGAAGCTAGTCCTTCGTTGACCGAACTACGCAACGTAATTGCTTCCATATTTTCGGCATACACATATGAGGAGTCACTTCTTTCCCTGTCAAATGCAATGCTAGACAAGGATGTGTTTGTCCACCTTGATGAAGTGACGGCTCTTAGACAACGAGGTTGGAGGCCTCGAGGGCAAGTATGCGAAGCCTGCCGACGTCGCGTATGGGGGCCCGGGATCGGAGATAAAGTGTGGGAAGAGTGGCAAAAGAGGGAAGAAGCTAGACTCGCCCGTCAGCGTCGTGTTCAGTACGTTGAGCCGATAGAGGAAGATGATGGCACGAGAGGTAAGGGGAAAGCCACCATAGGCGCAAGCTCGCACGAGCCACTTGAAGATGATGGCTCGAGTGGAGCAGCGCCAGTGGGAGAGAACCCTGGACCGATTGTGGTCTTTTCTTGTCGGCACTTATACCATCAGAAATGCCTGGGGGAGGGACGTGTTGGGGATGGATCACCCCAGATGGTCTGTTCGGCTTGTGTATAGCTGGAGAAAATAATGATGAATTTTCCTCTGGTAGAGTTCTCTACTCCCATGACCCCCTCTGTAACCCGAAACACTTTGGGCTCAGAGGAGATGACCTAGCCTTGCACGTGACTTGGAAGCTGTCACCTCTCATTGGCTACGAACCTACCTTGCAGCCCCCCCTTGGCGCCCCTCTTTTTTCCCCTTTCTTTACGTTTTCTCGAATTCCAAGGCCAATGCAGTCAACCTGTCAAGGTTATCAGTCCCTCCCGCGTTTCATATATGTGGAGTACGCGCAATGGCACACCAGCTACCATCGTTTCATGTCAGCTAACTATCACATCGATGCTTTTACGTTTGCTTGCCACGACTTCTACCCACCAAGAAAATGACGGAAGATGTGCTTTTGTGTCCTTAATCAAGTCTTCTGCAACCACTCAGGGCATGCAAAATACTACTCTTCTGAATGCCCAATTCTCCAAGGACCTTGAGCCCCATCACCAAGGCCTTTTCCACGTCAACTTGAACAAGCTCACCCCTTACTCCTTCACTGCAGTGCCATTGAACATACCAATGCATGAAGTTTATTCTACGAACTAGTTGTACATCTCACATGAATAGACATTCAGTCGAGGCCTGCCTCACGAAGCCTAGATTGGATCTGGGCCATGGCGGGCCCCTATCCTACGGACGCGGTAACCATTTCTATATACATATTTCCGGCTCTCGCTCAACCTGTTCTTTTTTTTTTCTTCCTTGATTAGATGTCGATCCTACTCACATCGATACCCAGCATATTTGCATCCGCTCCTTTATTCTGGCGTTTTGCAATTGTCGCTCCTTTTCGTCACTCCTTTCTATACCCCCTACTGTAACACGCAGGCAAATATGCTGGTTTCTATTCTACTCGCTTTGGCAGGGATTGTATCCCTCAGCACAGCTGGATATGTGCTCGAAGATGACTATAGCGTGGATAAATTCTTTTCCATGTTTGACTTCTTCACGGTATGCCTTTAGTTTCATTCTGGATCGCCACAAGGATGTTAATCGTGTAAAAATAGGCTGCCGACCCTACGAACGGCTATGTGAAGTATGTGGATCAAAATACCGCGCAGAATGGCGGCCTCATCAGCACCAACAACGGCGCCGTATACATGGGAGTCGACCACACAAATATCGCCACCGGTTCGGGTCGGCAGAGTGTCCGCCTAACGAGTAAAAAATCTTACACCCACGGCCTCATAATTCTCGATCTCTCACACATGCCCGGAGGAATTTGCGGAACATGGCCTGCTTTCTGGACAGTCGGTCCGAACTGGCCAAACTCAGGAGAGATCGATATCATTGAAGGAGTGAATTCGCAGGTTTCAAACTCCATGGCTCTTCATACCAGCGCCGGATGCAGTATCGCGAATAACGGACTGTTCTCGGGCTCGATAACCACACCGAACTGCTTCGTCAATGCCCCCGACCAATCGACCAACGCAGGTTGTCAAATCGTCACTCCGAACGAGGCCAGCTACGGCACAGGTTTTAATCAGGGACAGGGCGGCGCATACGCGACCGAATGGACTAGCGAGGCCATCAGCATTTGGTTCTTCCCACGCTCTGCAATTCCCTCTGATATCTCGTCCGGCAATCCAGACCCTTCAAATTGGGGAAGTCCAACCGCTTCCTTCTCCGGAGGCTGCGAGATCGATCAATATTTCAACAACCACCAGATCGTTTTCGACACGACTTTCTGTGGCGACTGGGCGGGTAATGTGTGGAACACTGATTCCACATGCTCCTCGAAGGCCGCAACATGTCAGAGCTTTGTGCAGAACAACCCCTCTGCCTTTGCTGATGCTTATTGGACTGTCAATTTTTTGAAAGTGTACCAGAGCACCGACAGCGGAAGTGGTACCTATTCCGTCGCTTCGCAGGGTCCTACCTCGTCTGTATCACAAGGAATTCCTCCTCCGTCAACGCCCGCAGCGAGTCACATCCGCACGACAGGATTCAGTCGCGAAGGCAATGGCCGACAAACCAAGTCATGGGGCGCAGCAGCGAACTTCGTCGCTTTGCCCAGTGACTCCTCCGTGGCCGCGAGCGCAACTGATTCGCCTGCTGCTGCCATGGCTGTTGAGTCCGACGGCTCGGTAACGGAGGCAGTACCATCCATCCCCTCCGCCTCCGCCTCGCCTCCTGATATCACCCCTGCGGCCGCTGCCGATGAGCCTGTGGAATCGACAAATGCAGACCCGAATTTCAAATATGTGACAGTCAGCGCACTTAGCTTTGACGACTTTCCCAAGAAAAAACGCGAGCTTGCACTGGATGAGGCAATCCATCTTCCCACTCACCGACACGCGCATGTACATCGGCATTTATTCAAGCATGGCGTCGGTATGAAGAAGGAATGAAACAAGACCTACCTATTCCCAGCCTTGCCGAAACAACACCTGTGCCCAAAAAAAGTGAACTCATCGCCCGCTTTGCGGACGGCCTTGGATTTTGCTCCCTTCTCCCCCCTCCCCCTTTTAGTTCTTGAGTGTCTCAAAAAAACAAAATGAAGTCTCTTTATGCCTTACCTCCTCTCCCATATGTCTTGATCGATTTAAAACACGCAAGATAGGTCTGACAGGTTCAGGATCTGATGTTTGCGATTGAATCGGTTGCAGACAGAAGCCTTCTGAAGGGACTAAAGGAGTGGAATATGGGAGTGGTGCCCATTGAGCACGGAAATGGAAGTGTATGGACATAGGAGCTCCGGAACATGTCTTGCGCAAGGCAAGAACAAGGCAACGGCACGGCGATTGGATTTATGCTCAAATTTACGGTTTCGAAACCGTTAGATAAATAGATAGACAAAATTCCGATGCCACGATGGAAACGATAAATGGAAAGGAATGAGAATCAGATACTTCTGCCGGCCATGATACCTTTCGCGCTATATAGAGCGTAACCCGCTGTTATTATTTGCCATGGACATCAAGTCTGAATGGGCCTGTCTGGATCTTCAGACAATGTTTACCAGGTGCTCGGTCATAGGTTTCCCCTCCACGTCGACCTTAGCCTCATGATCGCCCTGATGTGCGAATTCTATTCGTTTGGGGTTAGCCCTTTCCATCTTTCCAATCACAAGATATTGATTAACACTTACGGTCAACCTTGGTATGCTTGAATTTTCGTGCTGGAATATGATGGTCAAAAAGTAGATCGATTTCGCCAAACGTCCTGTCTTTGGTCTCTGGGAGACGGAACCAGCACCAAATATTGCAGAGAAGATTGGTTCCGGCGTAGAAGAGACCAGCTTTAGCTCCCCAGTTCCATGCTTGCATTCTATCAGCTTAGGCCTTCAATTTTGCGTGGGATTGTCAAAAAGCTAGAACGGGAGAGGATACTCACAGAGAGAAGAAAGCATGCGAGGCGTCACAGAATTCGAAAATATTCCGGTAAGATTGTACACAAATCTCCCGATGACGATGGTCTTGTACCTTAATCTGCCCGACGGTGTCTCTGCGACAATAGGGTAACAGGCTGGTCCGATGGTGATCATATTACACAGCGTCGATATGACCAACAAAATCCCAATGGCCATCTGGGCGCCCTTCCCGTGCGCCCAACCAAGGCCACCTATCACCACCAGGCAGACGAACATGAACGTCAAGCCTCCCATGTAGATGGTCACTCGGCCGACATGGGGGAACAAAAACCAACAAATGATGCCGCCAATAATGTAGCAAGCCGAAAGGGAGATGTTGACGTCAAACGCTTGAAGTTCCGAGAAGCCCGCTGCTTCGAGAAAGACAACGGAGTACCCAAGAATGGCGTTGCCGCAGAGGATTTGAGCGGCCCAGACAACGCAGTTCTATGTCGACAGGGGTTAAAAAGGAGCACAACAATGGGTATTATATACTCACGATCTCGGTCCGTCGCAAATTCGTCCCGCGAAAACACTCGAAAAAACTTGCATTAGCTGTCTCAGCCTTTTCAAGCTCGGTGGTATACCTGATATACGCGAGGCTTGCATCCACTTCTCTCTCCTTGTCCGAGGTGTCTTGATGCAGGCGGATTAAACTCTTTCTCGCTTGTTCAAACTTGTTCCGCCTGACGGCATTCCAGGGTGATTCAGGGGCGAAGTAAGCACCGATGAAGAGAGGAACCGGCCAGACCCATTGCAGAACAAAGGGCAGTCGCCAGCCAAGATCCCCATCAAGACCTGCCACGGCTCGGACTACACCAGAGGAAAGGAGAATCCCGGCACCCCAACACATGCAGACATAGGCGGTGACATATGGCCTGAGGACGGTAGGGACGACTTCAGAAGCGTAGGTCGTCGAGAGAGTCTAGCGTTAGAGAAAGATAGGTCCATCAGCATGGATACCGTACCGCAATGGATGTTAGAGGGGATGCTGCGTACTTGAAAAACGCCCCAGGAGATACCACACATTGCCTCTCCCCACGCCAAAACAGACAAGGATGGGGCAAAAACCGGGATGAAAATCGTGACCGCCATCCAAGTCATGAAAAACATCATGGTCGGTCGACAACCAAATCGATCCTGTGCGTATGCATTGACCAGAAGCCCTGCCAACTGCCCGACCAATGCCGAATTGGACAAGCCAGATTGCCACGACGGAGGAATGAGTTTATGTCCTGACGCTTGGTCGTAGACTCCAAATCTGTTTTGAAATTGCGTTTGGCCGTAGAAAGAGGTGATCTATGGATGGCCCAGGACCAAGTTGTCAGCAAGAGCCATGCCCTCCGCAAGAGTGGTGGAATAAGCGCTGACAATGACCAAATCATAGCCTTCCATGATGAGACTAGTGGACAAAAACATGGCCCAAAAGACGGCCTTTTTGTATTTTTTCAAAGCTTGACCAATTGTCAACAATCGGTCTGCAGCGTCGCTCTCTTGTGCATAGCGGATGAGCTCAATTGTTTCTAGGTTGCTCAGTTCGATGCTCTTGAGCTCACGCTCGGTCGGAACGATTTTTTCTGTCGTTGTTGTCGCCATTTTGGATTGAAGTGTAGTTGATTTCGGGTATAGAAAACGGATCGGGATATCAACTAGGGAAGGAGATTAAAGAAATAAACCAAACGATGCGTGGGCTGATGGAAAGAAGCACTGAAGAGTGCTGGGTGCGAGCAATTATTGACATATAGATGATTGCACGTTACGAACAAGAACGGTCTGGTCTCAGGACCAAGCCCCATGGGGTATCTCTCAATACCCACCAGACCAAACCCTTCCTCTTCGCCTCGCTACTAGTGGTTAATGACCACCGGGAATTGCCAATAGAGAGCCACTGGTGAATATATCTTGAATTTATATGGGCTGTGGTGGTCACTTCCGAGCGACAGAATGTGCCGCGTATCAACACAACGAGGGAGCGCGGTCATGCCTCCAACCCCGCATTTGCTCAGTCGGAAAGTGGATTCAGCCTTGCGTTATCTTTACGTATGTTGGGCGCCATATGCCCAGGCGAACCCCCACAGGGTGGAGAAACACCCATTAGCTGTTCCAATGGCAAAATTGACCACCGGGTCTTATTCAAACAAGTGAATATACCGAGTGTGTATCGGGGGCCTTTGCCCCATTCCCCCTCCCGTCGGCATCTTTTGATTCATTTCCAGAATTGCCGAGGATCAAACATCGTAAGTGATCTGCATCGCAAGGATTGTTGCGCGCTTGGAGTCCGATCCTGGCCGTGTTCTAGGAGGGATAACACAAAGAGTCGTCGAGATGGGAGGAACCGGGCCATAAACGTCGATTCCAGGTCAACTTGAGGGCACGTTTGCTATTCACTACTCATAGGGCACACAATGTCGTACCCTCAAGAAACATTCTTTCGAACTTCACTAATATCAGGGTCTCTGCTGGCTCGAAGACGCGAGGTTGTCTCATCAAACACCCTGCTCTATCAGCTTGACGTATTGAAAAAGACAGGCAGATATGACGCGTTCAAATTGCAATGGCATCCTTCATATTCTGATCCTCCAGATGTCTGGCCCATTCCGAATCATCTCTTCTGGTATGTTGATTTTCTGGGAACAAGAACCTGCCCCGCTTATGTCCTCTCTATGTAGGGACTCGGACGTTGCCAAATGGATCGAAGGAGCATGCTATTTCTTACGTGAACAACCGGACCCCAAGATCCACGTGGCGGTAAAAGAGTTGGTTCAAATGATACAGTCTGCCCAGCAACCAGATGGATATATTAACATCCACTATACAGTGGTCGAACCCGGCAAACGTTTCACCAACCTTCGAGATTTCCACGAACTGTACAATGCCGGACACTTGATCGAAGCCGCTCTGGCTCACAACCACCTCTACCATAATGATGATCTGCTTGGCCCGATGTTGAAATACGTGGATCTCCTGTGTCGAATATTCGGACCCGGCGAGAACCAAGTCCATGGATACCCCGGCCATCCTGAGATTGAGCTGGCTCTTCTCCGACTGTATCACCGGACGAAGGACCGCAAACATCTAGATCTGGCGACGTATTTCATCACAGAGAGAGGCAATCCCTCTGGCGACCACGGGAAACATTACTATGTGGCGGAGGCGGAGCGGCGAAATGAATCCCCATATACAAGACCAAGATACTGGGCCGATTCGGACGCTCTGTGGTACTACCAGTCTCAGGAGCCGCTGGTGGAACAGCAGACCATCCAAGGCCACTCGGTACGAGCAATGTACCTGCTCACCGCCGCCGCGGATCTAGTTAGATCTGGCAAGTCTCCTGATGCACGCTTAAAGAGCGGGGTATCCCGACTCTGGGACAACATGGTAGACTGCAAAATGTATCTGACAGGAGGAATTGGGGCCATGAAGCAGTGGGAAGGGTTTGGCTTGGATTATTTTCTGCCCCAAGGAACGGATGAAGGAGGTTGTTATGCAGAGACCTGTGCGGCCATCGGCGTCATGATGTTAGCCGAGAGAATCCTACAGTACGACCTCGACCGACGATTTAGCGATGTCATGGAATTGTGTCTATATAACGCCGTGTTGACAGCCATGTCGCACAACGGCACGAAATTCACCTACGTCAATCAACTCGCGTCCAGCGATTCGGACCTTTCTAAGCGTGAGGAATGGTTCACTTGCGCTTGCTGTCCGCCGAATATGCTGAGATTGCTGGGTCAGGTGGGAGGGTATATATGCACGCAGCAAAAGTCCGGTCCAGAAGGGCCACCATCAACGCAGGTCAATGTGCACCTATACGTCTCCAGTCGATGCGAATTTGAGACTGGTCATGGTCAGCAGGTGGTCTTGACCCAGAAGACCAATTGGCCATGGAGCGGACAAGTCGAGTTCAATCTCTGTACGAAGTCAGATCAGGTCAGTCTGGCACTTCGCATACCTGGATGGACTACATCGTGGAAAGTAAGCTCCCCCTATTCAACAAATATATCCTCTTCTCTCCTTACCTTTGCCAGATGACCCCATCACCGCCCACCACCACCTTACGGAACGGCTACCTGATTCTACCACCGACATACCTCTCGTCCCACCCGTCATTTACGCTCGATATCCCCATCGCTCCTCGCCTTGTCTCGCCGCATCCATACACTAACCAACCCATCCTGGCCCTCAGCCGTGGCCCGATCATATATTGCGTTGAAGACACCGACAACACCTGGGTTCAAGATCACTTTAAAAGCGTCCAACTCGACCCTCACTGCCAAGTAGTTGAGAAAACCGTCACAGATCCAAAAACAGGAGATACTTATGTTTCTCTCACGGTCATCAATGGTGGCGCCAGCGTGATGAAACCGCAAGATGTTCACGCATCTCCGAGCGTAGAGGTGACAGGACTGGATGAAAAGCTGCAACGCGATGTGAGAACTATTGAGGAATTGAATTTTGTGCCGTATTATTTTAGAGCGAACAGAGGAGGGAGTGGGCAGATGAGAGTGGGGTTACGACGGTGGAATAAGGCATCGATGGGACGGATAGACAGATAGATAAGTAGAAATAGGCCAAGATGACAGACGCAGAAAAGGAATGGGCGAGGGAAGTAGTCCCGGCATTTCGCGTCTGACCTTCCACGAGGACAAAAATTGGATGTTGTTGGTTCCGTATCAATATCCGGATCATTCAAGTCATGCTCAAGAGCGAGGGTTTCCATCATCGGCAAATTGTGCAGGCCAGATGGAATCGAATACCCGTTGGATTAGGACGTACCAAGCTTCGTGTTTTCTGCTCCCCAGACATCAAACACATGCTTGGTTGACCCCTGTTCTACTCCTATTCTTCCCCTATAAGGGGTACTGCTCATTGTTCGACACCAGAGTCCATCATCAATAAAACCTGAAGACGGTCAGTTTTTCCAACAGTGGTCTTACTGTAAGAACTCTACCTGCGACTAGTGCCATTATCTTCCTTTCCAGCCCTGTCCCGGTACCCAGAACGCTACCCTTCTATTCTTTCTCCCTCTTCGTTCATTAACGCTATCTCTCGCGCCGCAGCAAGTGGATTCTCGTCCCATCGCCATTTTCTTCATCATCATTCGAATGTGCCTCGATATAAGTCATGAAACCATAATGAGAACTCTCCGGTTCCTCGTTATCATCATTGTCCCGCTTGAATTTCGATGCGCGAATTAAATCCTTCGTATCATCATAATAATAATCATAATAGTCATCATCCCAATCCACCTTGTCGCTGGTGGGACAAGGTGTCGTCTGATTCTGGTTGTCCATTGATTCATCTAGAACGTCTGAAGAATTTTCTTCAGTACTATCCTGCTAGGTCTGGCTTCCCAGACATAGGAAACTCCGAAGCAACTACCGAACGCGGGCACTCTTCCATTTGCCTTTGGGAGTCCAGAACTGCGAACTTCTCCGGTAGAGTGTTGCGCAAAGGACAGGCCAACTCTTCGCATTCATCTTGCCTTTCTTCGTACGGGCGGTCATCTGGGCCGTCGTGAGACTTACGTGAGAGTCTCGGATATGTCGGATATGAAGATCAAAGTGCGACTTACTCTCTGAAAGTAGTCGCTGATCATGATAGATTTCAAAAAACCAGGGAACATGCGCAATGATTGATTCCATTGAGCGGTGTCCGCGGTACTCATGTGCTCAAGCCAGTCCCGAAAATGTGCAAAGAATTGAAAAAGTTCCCAGCAAACTCGTCTGATATGCAAAAGTATGGTTCGACATTTCGATGGATATGATCTATTCACAGGCAATCAGCCAGTGATTCTTACATCGACGGTAGACTTGACACTAACCTCCAAAAGCCGAGGTTACCTCTTTTCCCTATTTTGAGTTTATCTGTCGACAGGAGCCCCATACTGTATGGCATGAATGAAACTTCTCCTCTGCTAAAAGTATTGGGGGATCTGGACAATGAACACTTCACCTTGGACAGATAATCCAGTATTGGTTATCGATAAAGCTCGGGGGGAAGAATTCATGAATTGCAGTGACAGGGCTGGCTGCGGTATCCTTGACCTGACAAGCATGGATCAAATGAATCAATGCCGAAAAGGGAGCCAACCCAGAAACTCAGAGATGCGACCCCCCCAAAAGAACCAAAGCCAGATTTGCAGATATCCCTAGCTGTACGAATACAGAGCTGGAATATAAGTATCGTGGGCTTTCTGAAAGCCATATCAGGGCAACGAGGATCGCGAGAGCGAAAATAATCTGAAATGCTGACCATGCATTAGAATTGGTCCAAACTAATGGGGAAGGGAAAAAGGATGCCAATCGGGAATCGCCAGACAATTTGTCCCGTGAGGTGGAAGAAACCATAACTGGGGTCGATCAGCATTAGCAATGGAGCGTTCCAAGGCCGGAAGTCAAAAGTGAGCTAAACGATGAGGAACTCACTTCATCCGGTACGCGATGACTATCCCGAAAGCCGCGATGGGCAATTGAGTAGCGACCAATTGACTTCGATGTTCTGCTCCCGAGGTTTGGGAGACCCAGGTAGGTACTGCTCCAGTATTCATCCCATTGCCTATACCCGAGACGACTCTTCCAACGACCATCTGAGCCACACAATAAGGATGCGGTTTGCAGCACGGCCCCTGAGTCAAGGTCAATTGCGATCAGTTGTCCTCACTGGGTTGGCTTACCGGCAATCATGATGATCATCTCCATGGCAATTGTGCGTTTACGACCGAGTAAAGAACCCCAGATCGCCGCAACGAGACATCCGACCATACAGCCCACGTCGTATATCGCCACGACTGTGGAGATAGTATCTGCATTGCTTGCCTTGATGTGCTTGTCAGAGCCCAAAAATAACACACCAAACAACGTCTGGATGATCGCCTACCTTCACATTGATTGCTTCGAGGAAGCAGGGAGTTGAGATAATACTGCCCATGATTCCTTGATCGTAGCCTGGATAATTCTCAGTCTACGACGCTCTTGCTCTCTCATTTTTGATACTTACCGAATAGGAGGAAAGCGCGAGCAGAGCACAAACTGATCGCCCATGAGAGTGTAGTGCCTTTTAAGCCCCAAAACGGTTTTCCTGGAGGAGACATAGTTAGATTTGGCTGATTGTGAAAATGCCGATCGGCTTTGCTGCTCGACTTTGATGGACTGGACCATGTAATATATCCCCACCGTCATAAAGGTCTCTGTGGGTCGCTAATCACTGGTGCTTTGGGGGGTACATTGCGGAGGGCCGGAGCGGCTCCCCTGCAATGCGGGAGTTGGTAGCCATAGAAAACAGTCTTTACGACCAATCCTTCCACCGGCGAGTAGATTGTGGGGAGAAGGACAAATCTTGGAAGATAACTTCCGCCCAATAGGACTGTAAGGGACGATGGCTGCCTCTCTTTTCGACTGTGGGGAGGAGCCCTGAACACTCTGAAATAAATTGACCCCGTTACCGATAAGATGTGTTGAACATATCCGGAAAACGGTCTCGCACTGTTAACGTCTGCTTCAGACATCGCCATCATTCCTGTGCCTCCAAATCAGCGTGTTGGACGATCTCTTAGTACCATGGCCGACACGGAAACCTTGATGGCAGAAATTGCCTCCGTGCCATGGTCCAGTCTCTGCAGAAATCACTCTCCGAAGTCAAAGACATTCAAGCCGTTCAATAGCTCTTCAACCGTTACACCGCTCTTCATGACGACGCTTGTTTTGGCCCGGAAAAAAGCCAGGAGTGGGAGAATTTTGTTTGCGGAAGACGGTATCGCCATCTACCCGTATGGTCAACACCATGGTCGACAAGGGAAAGGAGCCGGGGCATTTGGAGGAGTGTCATATTTCGAACGCTGTCAGCTTCTCAGCAGCAATTTCGACATTGAGTTCAGTCCAAATCGGAAGAGGGCATACGTCAGGACGAACTGCATCGCGCAGTGGATGAAGCGCAGAGAGATCTAGGATGGCCACTTTGACGAGGGAGGATTTTATAACTGGATCTTGCGGAAGGAGCCAGATGGCCGATGGAAGATCGAAAGAGTCCATCTGACCATCACATGGACGGTGGCGGATGATCCAACGGGTGTTGGACCAAAGACACCAAAACTGTAGGAACTCTAATTAGCGAGGGAACATTCCTGAAGGGAGGGAAAATTAGTATGGAAGCATTATGCGGTAAGAATGAACTCTGGGAGATGAGGATATAAAGAACATGATTTTGGTGTGAATGATTTTTATCTTCATCTTGACACCTCGGTGCTTTCAGGCCGTCTCGACATATCTTGCTTTCTGATTCAGCCATCCAATTTTGCAGTTTCTCCCTGCTCTTCATTCTCATCGTTCGAATTACCTGCATTCTCCTTCCCCTCTTGACATTCTACACATATATTTTAATACTGGTTGCTTTCAACCTGCTTTTGCAGCATATTTCAGCATGGGTATCATCCAAGTGTGCTCGCATAGCATCGGCCCATAATTTGGCCTTGATGCCAGCATGCATCGACAAACAAAAGCAAACAATGAGAAAAACAAATGGTTAGCATAAGTCATGTAACGGCTGATAAAAGTGCAAACACGATATAGTGAGCGTCAGCATGGTCTTCCGTGGAGACCGAGCCATCACTACCAACGTTCATGAGTCCCGACACTTCCAAAAGGACTTCCTCTCTCGCTAGCCGGATTATTTTGCGAGGCGAAATAGTTCAATGATCCACCTGCAGCACTGCCACCTCGACTACCAGCATCGGTGCTGAAGTCAAAGCGTTCAAATTCATTCAGACTGCTAACGTCTGACTTGGCGGCGATGTCTTCGTATTCGTCGGGCTCTGACACAATGCTGACTCGTTCTGCGTTCCCGTGGTAGTCATCTCGGGATGAGGCCGCGCGGCTTTGTGGTAAAGAGTTGCCATTTCCGCTTCCTGAAAAGAAATGGTCCTGCTGATCCTTGGGACTCTCGAGAGGTATTAATTGTGAACGAGTGGCAGGAGGAGGTAATTTGGGTGATGGGCTCGGCTCTCCAGGGGTATAGCCGAGACGAGAAGAATTGGCCAATCGGGCAATTCGAAGATTCTCCTCGGTTAAAATATTGCCTCGTGGGCTGGCGGAGTTAGGTGGCTTGGGCCGAGACTCTGACATATTCGAGGTATTCAGCGGTGGGAGTGGATTTCGTTTTGCGCCGGGGCCTTTTGGTATATTAGGAGTCTCTTTGACTATGGGCGAATATTGAGAGATTGATGAAGCGCCATTGTAAGCACCTGGTGGGGGAGCCTCAAGTCGTGATGGCGCTTGTGCCCGTACGTTGTGATTCATACTCGGAGAAGGATCTCGTAGACGGAAAGCCGCGGATGGTGTAGTCGCATTTGGCCGCGGGTTCCCTGGTAATCCTTGGGGAGATTTAATGGGACCCAAACGAGGTGGTCCAGGGCTTGGTCCATTCCGAAGGACAGGACTTGGAGTTGTTCTCGGTGTTGGACTGGGGCCCGATCTTGACGATGGTGGTCCTCTCTGGCCGGGGGTGCTGTTGTTTCTGTTTCGATGCTGTCCCTGGTCTCTGCTTGATGGTGGTCCAGGTCGTCCAGATGTAGCAGGTCTGGGTCCTGGCCCGGCTCCTGGTCCGCTGAAATTCCTGTATGGCTTGGGTTCTGAATTTGCAGTTCCAAGCCTTGGTGGGTCAAATGGTCGATGTTGCCCAGCAGACTCCGATTCTTGCGGTGTTAGTGGTCGAGCAACACCAATCTGTGGAGATGGCCATTCGGACGTGGTTGTCGGAGGAGATTTCGTCGATGTCAATTCTGTTTGGTTCACCGCAGGTGACTTCCTCTCCGCAGTCCATGTGTCTGATGTGGCTGATCTGCTACTGTTCGAGCGGCTGCTCAGTTTTTCTCCTTTACCAGCCATGACAAACTCCGGCTGCCTCTCCAACTCTCTCTTATGTCTTCGTCGCATAAAGAACCAAAAGAGGCCCAGCGATGCCAAGAGGACGACAGCTATGGGGACGACAATCGCCGGGATGAGGGTACTGAGGTTCGAAGACGATTTTTGGGCGGCAGCACTGCTCGTGGCAGCAGCGGAGATCTTGGAACTGGTAGACTGTGCCGTCGTCGAGGAAGATAGTGCTGCTGCTGCTGTGAGGGAGGAGTATTCGGCCGGGTCGGTAATCGTTTTGACTCTTTCGCTGGTCACGGTTGACATAATGTTGAGACTTGTTATGCTTTCCACCAACGTCTGAGTGTCTGTGATGGTTGTGAGCCCGGACAATTGTTGGGCCGTGGCGATTTGAGCCGTTGCAGAAGGGTCTGCGGTGACATCGGTTGGAACGATTGATTGTGGTAAAGTGGCCGTGGGGTTCGGAATGCTCGAAGGCAGATTATCGGTTCCATCTTGCCTTTGAGGCTCTCGTTTGTGTAGTCTGAGAGCGTGAAGGAACATCTTGCCTCATTACAGTTGGGCAAAAATGTACAGTCGTGACGTGAAGTTGAGGGTGAAGGACACAACGATGAGGTGGTGCGCTCGCAGCTGGCCGTCGCAGCAAGAGCTCCTTTTTGCTAGCGGGTACGATCCAACTATAGCGTCGGTGGCCTCGATAGGAAATGAGAGATCATCGGGGCAAAAAGGTTAGCGTGAGACCATCGGTCTGGGGTGGGAAATTGGATATGGGAAGAGCGGCAGCGTGCAGGTCAGTATTCTGTCCGCATTAATAGTGACTCCCAAGAATATTGAAGGATTTAGGAATATGAAAAACCGTTTGGTTTTCATGAGTCTGCGACCAGCACAGAATCCCAAAAGATCTTTGCGAGCGAGTGGGCAGGCGTCTGGGGAGAGGAAGAGAAAGGGAGGCTCGCGGGCGCGTTGAGTGTGGCACAAGGAGCGAGGCGTTTCGGATGACCCAAAGAGGAAAAACTCGGTCCTGGGTAAAACACCAGGCTGGGGGCAAGATGGGGGTGCGTCAGGGCTTGATCCTGGCTTTGATGCCAGTCTGGAGCACAAACTCTGGTCCAAGTGTCTCGCAGCCGTCCAGGCTTTCCGGTTGCCGATCGCAAAAAGTGTTGAAACCTTGACAGAGAGCCATTCAGCTTTGGAACCTTGAGACGGTTCGCTTGTCAGAATTTGACATTATGACTTGCATATTTGTCGTCACAAGATGTCTGGAGAAACAATGTGATACTCTTCTCACACAGCAAGACGATAGCAGACATTACAATGCGCAGGTTGGAGGACGAGAGTGATCGACGACGACGAGCTGGTGATGCTTTCGAAAAGGAAAAAGAGGGGGCCAGATCAGGAGAAGGTCACGTGCAACAAATAGCACATGACTTTCAGCAGGGGACTTCGGAAAATCCGATCTTCCATGATTTACAAGCAATCGGTCAGGTATGGGAATCACTGTCAGTGAGCTTTAAATGCTGTTGAATCATCCACTAGTTCTACCTAGTCGATCGATGGAAGGATTCATGTTTCTGAAAAAGCAAATATCGCCAGGCACGCCAAATCCCTGCTTAATCCATTCTCCTCACCACACTTGTGAGCTGCGCTAACGACATTCTCCCATAAGTTGTGAATTGACTATGCTTGCAGGAGTTACCATTGCAGTGTCAGTGGCCATAACATTCCATATTACGCGAATACCTTCTGAGAACTAGCATCTTCAACGGCCGGGGACTTGTCGAGCCACTTCCCACATCTGGCGCCAATCGTGAAGGGAAATGAAGATGACAACGGGCTAGCGTCATGAAGATCCATCTGATGGTTCTCCTGTCTGGATACCTTTCAAGAACGATACAAACGTACAACTCATGAAAATTCGGCGGCATTTTATCCTCTTCCTCTCACCTCTTTGCGGGGTCTCCCGGACCCTTCCTCGCCAGAACCACCCGACTATAGGAGTTGTACGCAGCGAGGAGAAAAGGAGAAAGGGGGGTACTATTGTAACATGATTCGTTTGCACGAGAAACATGGTCAGCTCGAATAAACAAATTTGAGATCTTGCTTCGGACTTGATATTTACTTCTTTCCTCGTCACAGGCCCAGTCATACGTCTTGCACCCAATAAATACGACTTCGATTCAGTAGAAGCTATGAAGATCATTTATTCGATGACCTGAGTATTTCCAAATCTGGTTATTACCACGCATTTGCTGACCGACTCCAAAGGCGCTTTCCAACAGCGGAGACCCCAAGAACACGCTAGGCTGCGTAGAACACAAGCTTCTCTGTACTCGACGAGCACAATGATATTGTACGAACCTTCTGTTGATGGTATCGCTGCCTGATTTCCCGCAATATTATGCTTTTGACGTTATCGGCGAGATCATAGTAGGTGCCTAAAGCATGGTGTTGAGCTGCTCAGAGTTCCCCGGTGATAGATTTGTTCTGTTGACAGGTCGTTTCTAGTTTAGCAAATCTTTTCACTTCATGGAAAATGACATGGACCAATCTGGAGGGGTTGGATTGATTGCCCCAGGCAAGTATGATTTTATCTTTCGGCTAGATATTCTTCCAGAACCTTAGCACCGGCTGGTAGCCATTCCTGAAGCTTTCTCCGGGGATCCTGTACAAAATCGCAAATCGCTACGTCAGCCGATATCAAAGTGGTGATCATAGGGTCGGCCACGACGATCCAAGTTAAGACATTAACCATCAAAATGCTCGAGCTTGAGAGGCAACGAAAGAAAAGCAGCTGGGACACGCAGAGTGTGTACGTGAATGGTGTTTATTGCAGGATCAGACACGGCAGCGGTCGGTCTAAATTCTGCGCTGTAACACATCTATATCAACCCAAAGGTCTTGGAACAACTCCGCGATGACATTGATAGTTCTGCATGGGAAGGTAAAATGTCAGATCCAACCAATTCCAAGAAGCGCAGAAAATGTCTTAAAGGAAGCTCTGCGTATCCATCCAGCCGTGGGAGTCTCGCTGGCTCATGTCATTCCAGAGGGTGGTGCTCAGATCCAATTTTTTTTTTTCCACAAGGGGTATGCGGCTCCCGATGTGTGACTCATTCCATTCTGTTATCTTGTGCAGGTACCATCAACCCGTTACCTGCTCCAAGCAAATAGTAAGTTGCAAACGTGCAAACCAAGGCGAGCATCAACGCCCAAGGACCTCAACTGCAATACGGATGTATATGAAACCGATATATAGAGTGAACTTGATCGGAACGGCTACCAGCGCCATCAATCAATTTGCGGTGAAGTCAAATGCCGAAGTTCAAAAAAAAAAAAAAAAAAAGCAAAACCGAAGTCATGACTTGGTGGTTCTGAGTTTGGAAGGGGTTCCCCAAGCACGTATTGGCAAAACTAATCGGTCTATTGAAAATCATACCCCAGATCGTGCGGAATTTTGACATCAACATGCATTCGAAACGACTTCTTGGAAACACGACGAACTGGTTCGTCAAGCGATATTATGCCCGCCTCGTAGACAACTCTGTAGGTCTCTCCTGTTCCAACTTGTACATACATAAGAATTCCTTTCCTTGTCATTCAGATCCACACCCTCGTTACGTTCTCCAGCGATCTTACCGGGATATCTCTCAACGTCTTCCTTGTAATGCCCTTAGACCCGGCTAGTGCATGGATGTAGATTCATCAATCACGTCATGAAGTGCGTGAGCACCTGACGATCATCCTATCGTAGACTATTTGGGTAGTTTGATCGTCCAACTTCCCTTCACTTCTTCGATGTCTTTGGAGGAGGAGGGAAATATAGGTTAGGTGGATTCGTGCTGGGGCTGGGATCGGTCGCGACCGCTTTTCCATTTTGAGGTTCCGTGCCCGCTCGTTCAATGAAACCCGGACTCATTGGACTTCGGGGTAAGTCGGGGCTTCTGATGGCATAGGAGGGTGATGTCGGAGCATTTGGTGAGCTGAAATGATTTCGGAGCGGCAAATCCTTGGTACCTCCAAGTGTGTTGAACGCAAGCGTTCGAGGAGTCATGGGATTCAATCCCGCCTGGAGACCCGGAGTTTCAGGGGTAGGGTATGCCACCCTCTCCTCGCCAGTAGCAGGATCTTCAATGGCCTCGAATTTAGCCCATCTCTCAGCCTCGAGTCTCTTTTTCTCCGCGTATTCCTCCCGTTGTTGCTTCGAGGGAAAGCACGACCAGACTGCAAAGCCAAAATAGATGGCAAAAATCCCCAGCATGGTGCAAGTGCAAGCAAAGCTGGCTTTGGCTTGTGTGCAATAACCAACCAAGCTCTTATCATGAGCCACACTGCAGGATTTGGTGATATACCAAGGAGGGCCATTTTGAGGATGGTCGGGATCAGTGGTGTCGCTGCCGGCTTGATAATCGACAGAAACGGTGTACAGGGCAATGAGGACGGCGTGGACGAAAGCGGAGAGAACAGGAGGAAAGACATGAAGCATATACATAACGGATTTGACCAGCATAACGAACATGGAGAAGACCGAAATCACAACATTGTAGTCGGTTATACTATCGTCTGGAATCAGTCTTGATCGTCCAACAGACAGGATCTTCCCCTTACAATTGCGACCAAACTCTGGGAGTTGTATATGGTCTATAGTTCGCCGCAGCATACAATCCCGTGGTCGGGCTTGAATTGAAGCCATTATCGGCGCCATCCTGCCACAGCTTGGTCCGATATGTATTGGGGGAAGCGATGCCGAACAATGCCAACAGGGCAATGGTCAGTGGCAATTCCAGAGCCAACAGAACGTAGAAGGGCCACTTGTTGGGCTTCCAGCGTCGGGAGAGGAAGAACATGGTGAACGTCGTCGGCAATTCAGTCAGTGGTATCGCAGCATGTTCAATCTGGAGGTCGCTGTGTTGCGATGTCTGCCCTGGAGACCTGCAAAGGACTCGGGGCGATCAAGTCATGGCATGAGAAGGGAGGAGAAGATTGCGAAAATGGGACAGCTTTAGGGTGGCAGCACCAGCAGTTGGGCGCATTTGTGCTTACTTCTCGCAGGGCGCTTACAAAAACTGAGAGCGAATGAGAACACCACCAATGAGCAGGGTACTCACAGGGTGAGGAACAAGAGACCGTCAAGCAAGGGACGACGGCGCAAACGGATTGGCTGGAGGGGAGTGTGATAGAGTTGATAAGCATTCGTATCGCCGCTACTGCTCTACCACGGCGCTCAATGAAAAAGCGCTCCTCCAACTGCCCAGCCGGCTCCACAAATCATACCTGATTTTCCGTCTTCGCGGCCTTAGGCCTCCCCCGAGGCCCTCCCCATTGACTGATCACCCTGTTAAGAACCCATATTGACCAATAACGAGGAGGCGAGATTCCTTTCCCAAAGAGGGGTGCATGATTTGGAGAGACAGGTGCTACTGACTTCAACGTCTCTTTAGTATCGGTAACGAAATCTCCTGCCATCGGCCTCTGTCCTACGAATCCTTCAATAGGATGAACTCTAAAGTTCTATTGGTACATCTCATATCTCCCTCTTCAGGAGGCTGCAAAAAGTCTGGAGGCCCATTTTTCAGACAGCTGTTGTACACCCCCCCGCAGACGAAGAGATTCATGATTCCGCCATCTATGCTGCGTGTTCAAATTCACAAATGCCGAAGGAAAATTTGTGTTGTACCAGACTTGTCCTTGAGATCCCAAGGCTGGCTTGTACATTAATCGCGGTCGGAGGATATCCACACAATGTGACCAGTCGGAAACCTACCGTTTCTGCGGTGAATTGTACACTTACACACCTGCAATTGAACAATGTGATCCCCGTTCTTGAATACACCTTTCCCCAGTGCATGGTGATACTCAAAGTTATGCCATAATCCTCGATGGAGCAAATTCTGTGGGTGTTTGTCAGCAATATCTTCTCCGTCCTGGACACAGATAAACCAGGCCAGCGATGAAGGGGATATGCTCAGCGAAATTGTCACCGCCACTCGCAGTGTTTACTTGCTCACAATTTACCCCCGTGCTTCCCATGCTGCGTCCAGTTCTGGACTTGACAAGTTGACGATTGATATTCACCTTCATGAAGGATTCCATTGAATGTGATGAGCTCTAGGAGAGATCAATCTGTCTGTGAAGTGGAGTTTCTCAAGCTCAACCCACAAATTCCGTTCGAGAATGCGTTACTGATAAATGCGATACAGGTCATCATCACGAAGAAAAGGATCGCCGACGATCCCCCAGCTCCCCGGGCTCTCGGATCTCTTTGCACATGATCTTTCCCCACGTTGAGAGGTAAGGGCGCTCGCTGCCTTCGCTGTCTGAATCTGGGATTGAAGTATCTTTCTCATCTTTGCAATCTGATGCTTCTTGAAAGCAGTCGGGAAAACTAGAAATATTTCGGAATGAGTCTGCAGTACGGGGGACTGTCCTTTTCGACAAACCCAGGCCCAAGTCTTTAGTAACCGGAAAGGAACCGTGAGCAATAGACAATTTGACTACAGACGAGATAAATTCGAAGACGACCAAATCCTCAAAATTTCTGTGACGCGTCAGAATTTTTTTGAAGTTCTTTGCCGCTTTCACGCTCTGTGACCTATAGGTGTAGACAGCAGAGAAACACAGTTGAATCTAACAACGATTATGCGCTCAGAATCTTGGGATATGTCCCAACTGTTCCTCAGACATGGACATATCGCGCTGGAGGAAATCAATTCTGTTGATTTAGCATGCAGAACCAAATATAGTGTATATTGAACAGTTGTTGATGACGTGGTATCCAGCCACCTTCTCTCGCTTAGCTAATTCTTTTTGTGTTCTCTCATCAACACATCCCATATAGGCCCAGCTCCATTGATGCCCAGTGATTTTCGCCCTTTCCTCCGGTCCCTATGGAGAAAATGACTGCTGGTGCTGTCCCATAATTAGCTTTTTGGTTCTAACACGATGGTGATATTGAACTTACACCTTTCGGTAACAATTTCTCAATTGCAGCCGAACGTGATGACCAACTACACCATCAGAGGCTTTGAACACTGTCATCAATGTTCCGATGGACTCATTGTTCCTCAATATTTGGTGGATTCAATATATTATTGTGATTAAAGAGCCACGTGGGGACAACAGTGAGGCTTGGTGTTGGACGGCAAGTTATCCGGCCGTCAGGACGTTATCCGCACTCTGTTCAAGCAACCTCTCTCCGAAAGCACCGAGCTCTGTAAGTCGATCGTATTATTTCTTGCGGCTGTCTTTTCTGGTGTCCCGCGTTTATGGACACACTACGCATCCGTGCGAAGAAGGCGTGAAAGTGATGCATCAAGAGCCTGGTGGCCTTGTTGCGCGAGGTTTGCCGACCTTCACTCCGCGCGTGCTACCGATTCTAACATCGACAGACTTCGATGACGGGATCCTCGGTCGGCTGCCGCTCGACCTCTTACACGCCGAAATCCAGCGACGACAAGATGCTCCTGCCAAACCCCCCTGCGGCACGGAGGGAAGACAGGGATCCTACAATATGGGAGTCCATGTCTTTGCCGTCTTCCTCATCCTGTCACTAAGCACATTCGGTACGAATGGAAGATTCTCTGAACGGTGCAATATTGACTTGGGTCCAGCATGCTCTTTACCTATCATCGCCCGACGATTCCCCCAACTCCCGATCCCTCATCGATTTCTCTTCCTCTCGAGACATTTTGGAACGGGCGTCCTGATTGCAACCGCGTTCGTTCATCTACTTCCGACCGCATTTATATCCATGACCGATCCATGTTTACCGGATTTCTGGAATCAGCAATACCCGGCGATGCCGGGATTGATTGCCATGATCTCGGTATTCGTGGTGGTGTCAATTGAAATGTTTTTTGCGGGCAAGGGCGCAGGACATTCTCACGGCGAATGGGATACAATAGCAGACGGACAAGGTGAATCCGGTTTCGGCAATGGGCATATCGCTTTGAATCAATTAGATATCCCAGTGACACCAGAACCCTACACCGACGGCACACCCAAGCCACGACATTCCGCATCGAGCGACTCGACCGACGATCTTGATGCCTTGGATCCAATGGCAGAGGAATCGGCTACTCTAAGTCATCCGCACCGACGGAAAATATCACAACACGACCGTCAAGACCACGGTCCCCACTCCAACGAACGAAATCCTCAAAGACTATTCCTCCAATGTCTCCTCCTGGAAGCCGGTATTCTGTTCCATAGCATATTCATCGGCATGGCCGTCTCCGTCGCTACGGGAACACCATTCGCCGTCTTACTCATTGCCATCTGCTTTCACCAGACTTTTGAAGGATTCGCGTTAGGCTCACGAATCGCAACATTGATTCCGGCGCTGTTTGAAGCTAGCAGCCCCAAACCCTGGCTCATGGCCTTCGCATACGGCGCCACAACTCCCATCGGCCAAGCGATTGGAATCTGGATGCACGCGCTCTATGACCCGGCTTCGAAGGTGGGACTGCTGATGGTTGGAATCACCAATGCGATCAGCAGTGGATTACTATTATTTGCCGGACTGGTGCAATTGGTTGCGGAAGATTTTCTCAGTCATAGAAGTTATGCGACGTTGAAAGGACGAAGGAGAATTGAGGCCTGTTTGGCAGTGGGACTAGGTGGGCTTCTCATGGCTATTGTGGGTGCCTTTGCATGAGATTGGAAAAGGGATGAAAGATTTAATTATCTCTTTCCCTGGAGAATTCTTGTTCCATCCACTCCTTTCTTCTCTCCGCGCATTCGATTTTGGCCCTTGATGCCGAAATCGGAGTCCTAGCGTTGATACGAATGGCAAGTTACACACCATATCATGCGAAAGGTATTGCCTTGACGATAATATGGCTTTTAATGGCACTCTCCTTAAGGCCCGCTGGATTCTGGAGAGATTTAGACCCCAATATTCGGATGGACAAGATTCTCTTCAAAATACCAAATGAATAGAACCAGAACCAGAACCAGAACCAGAGTCAGAGTACACACCAGATACCCCTCAAGAATCAGATCAGATTTACTGCTCTTACTGTTGAAACCACGAAAGCCGTGAGCAGTGCAGAGAAATGGGTACCATTCCACGCACAGCAAAACATTATTGGATCCAAGGCACGAATAAAGACGGTCAGCGATGGACACGAAATCTAGAACAATCTGCCAAATGCAAGGGGACATCGTCGGTGTAGAACCTTCTCTGATGCCTTCTTAGTCTTGGATAGAACTCCTCTAAGCTGCCAGCACCATATGACATTATTGAACTGCAAACCGTCTCAGCATCAATGCCGTATCAGCCAACTGCCGGGCGCCTGGTCCAGGGACCTGCTATGATTCAAGTGATTGCTGCCAGGTATGTATCTTCAAGTCAAAGAAAGACGGATTTCCGTCACCTCAATGTCGCATTCGCGACCTCCATCACACCATTAAAACGATAATACGTTGGAAGTCGAAGCTGACGAACCATGTTGTGCCAGATCGATTCCTGTTGCTGGACCCCCTGTCACGTTGACAAATCCTCTCAATACCGGTGGACTCTGCGGGAGGGAGTACGACGGTCGTGAAGGATAGCGGAACATCAAGTTCTCTTCATCCCTGGGAAGAAGGAGAAATCAGAGGAGAAATCAGACATTCATTCCTTCCTCCGGGCATTAATACATTTGTCTCCAGAGGAGAAGATTATCTTCCATCAACCTTTGGGATTGTTCCGCGTTGACGCACATCATGTTCGATTTTCATGGAGCTTAGGAGTGAAAAGTACTTCTGATGATCCCCCAATTTGATCCAGAGTTCGTATTCCGGCTGGGCCCCCCGTTCTTCACCAGCCGCTGATTCCGGATTGGTTTCGTCCAGAAAATCTATGCTCTCAAAAAATCCAGAGGTGTATGAATTGACTGACATGTGACGTGCGGAGGCGAAAAATTGGTAGAAGACGACAAGGAGGACAGGTACCAAATCTGGTAGACGTCGGCCTCAAGATTAACGGTAGGATCCATTATAGTCAAGGTAGTAGTCGCATTGCACATCTAACCCTAATTTCAGAAGGAATACAAGCTTTAGGACCATCCCGCATCGGAGAGCAGAATCTCTAATTATATACCCGGACAACCGCTTGTCAACTGCTACACGCGAGGGACTTTTAGCTCAAAAGCTGACAAATCGTAACGGCGGAAGATATTCTATCGAATCATATATGATAGAAATGGCCGTGAGGAACTATAATTTACTTCTCGGCCATGGACCACTCATCTCACTTTCCCCAATCGACTTCATGATCCTCTTCAGTGCCTCCTCCAAGAGGGGTTTCGGGTGGCTGAAAACAATTCTGAAAAGGCCAGGAGTTTCTGCACCAAAGTAGATCCCACTTGCTAAAAACACCTTGTTCTTGAGTAATAATTGCATGATTTCCGCCGTCAGGGCCGTGTCGGGTTTCCCCGATGTTTTCCATTCTGGATTTCTTTCCACGTACGCCATGCCGAGATCGACCCAGAGGAAAAACGCCGCATTCCCCCCTGGCCAAAAGGGAATATGATGCTGTTCGAGGAAATTCACGACGAAGTTGTACGAGTCGGCCAGTCGAGCTTGGTTCGTCTTCATGTAACGGTCCACCCATACGTCGTCTTCGAGAATGTTGGCCGCGATATGTTCCGATACGGAAGAGGCGTAGGAGTAGATGGCGACGTCGAGTAAGGCTCGCCGGAAGGCTTGATTGTGCTGGGAGATGATATATCCCACTCGGAGACCGTTGGCGCCAAAATCTTTGCTCATGCCCCATAATACGTGGACGAGCGCCGGATCGATAATCCCGTCCAAGGGGACAGATAACACCGAAGTGAATTCAACGGGCACGGGGTGGGTATGGTGACGATTTTTCCAGGTGGAAAAGGCGTAGATCTCATCGCTAACAAGGTGGATCTGGTATTTCTGACAGAGACGCATGTATGCCACAAGAGCTTCGCGGGAGTAGCATCTGCCTAAAGGATTGTGTGGCGAACACAGCATCAATCCCCGGGTTCGAACTCCGCGCTCTTTGGCAGCCAAGAGCGCCGACTCGTACTGTTCCACGGCCTCCACGCTCATGGGATCGATAGTGCCGAATTGCACCTTGACAACCTCCACCCCGGGTCGCAAGGCGATATCGGGGACAAAGGCACCGTAATGCGGCTGGCCGAGTAAAAACGCATCCCCCGGATTGCAACATGCCCACGATGTGTGTTCGATGCCGGAGGAGACGCCGTTGGTGACAATAATATGTTCCATCTCAAGCGGTACCACGGGATGGAGCCGTCGATTGAGGAATCGGGCCACAGCCCTCCTCAATCGCGTGGATCCCAGAGGACCGTCGCCGTACGTAAACGCGCGCTGGGGTATTTTGACGTTGTTCATAACATGCTCTTGCAGTTCGGCATGCATGAGGGTATTCTCGGCCACGCCGACACTGACGAAACCGTCTGGATTTTCTTCGGGATGCCATAAATTGAGGATGATGTCCCAGATGGGATTGTCGAACTTGTCGGGATTGGCGCATGCTTGGGCTCTGGCGGACAAAGTGGACAATTCGTGTTTATCTCTGGAATCCATGATGTTTAATCAATCCCTCTTGTCATTCCGGAGGGGAGAGGGAGCAAGATGCAGTCGAGAATGTGTGATATAGACCAGGCTTGGAAGAATCGGCATCAATTATATATCAGGTCTTGTTGGTACCACATACTATATCTCCGAATCGAAAAGGTCCCTTCACCGAGTACGCCGTGCTTTTCTGGCCATTCAGAGTGACGGCCTATCACGGCGGGATGCAAAAAGCTTTACGTCATCTTTGGTTGCATTTCGCGCCTTTCGGGTGACCGAGATCGTGTTCATCTGTACGGCGTTTTCCGGCGACATTGTCATTGACACCCAGGTTGTCTGATGATGATGGCGATGGTGCCAACCCATGCCGAGAACGATGGACGAGGTCGACCAGATCGAGAAGGGTCTTCATGCAAGAGAATAACGAGCTTATTTAATCAGATTCAGCGAGGCTACCACTTCACCGTCAGCTTGCCGTTCATTGGCCCCATCGCCGCCAAGACATTAGTCCGATTCATTTGTTTATCCAACGTCCATTTTCATCCACCCGAGAACCACCCCCTCTAGTACTTCATACACCCTCTATTCCAGCATCTGCAACGCTTCGTTGATCGAATTCACTCAAGTGATTGACCTCTTCTCACATCTCTTGAGCTTTATCACTCACTATGGCCCCGGCAAACCCCCGCAAACGCAAATCAGACGAAATGGAGGACCCTCCTCGCGCCACCACGCCTACGGGGCGTTCTGCACCGAAGAAGATGAGAATCACAAACTCGCAAAAGCAGGCCTTGATCGATAATCTGCAACTCGAAAGTGAGAGAGAGGCCGCTCCCGTTTTGAATCATACTACTGACACGCTGCAGTAACGGAACGTGCCCGTCAACTGCGCGCAGGATATGCGCTTCAATGCGCCGACCTTCGAGCCAGAATCGAAAGACGGGTCAATCGCATCCCCATCTCAATTCGAAAAATGACCATGGGGGAATTGATGGAACAACACGAGGCCGCCAAATGGACCCAGGCCACTCCTCGACAATCACCCTCCAAACAAGCCGTCCCGGTTGACGTTGCCGTGTCCAAGGAAAGACCGCTGCCACCGCTGCCTCAACAAGAAACAACCCATCCATCGTCGCCCGCCCGACCGCGGTCTCAACCCACAGCCACGAGAAGCCGGAAACGCCAGAGTCCGAGGATACGAATTGCCGCGGATCAAGAGAATGAAACAGCCGAAGCTCCAGACACCCTTCCCATAGCAAAAAACAACAACAAACGCGGCAAAGCCGCACCCGCCCGAGCAGCTCCAAGAACCGCAAAACAGACATCGGTCTTATCTCCGAGATCCCACAACTCCAGAACTCTGCCACGTTCTCCTGTCAAAGACCGCGCAGCGGGCTCTACCTCTCCTGCGAAGAGCGTGATTACCCGACCCGTCTCTCCGCTGAAACCAGCCTCACCGCTCAAGACCGCTGCAACCGCAGCTACCTCCGCCATCTCAGCTTCCGTCCATGGCATGATCGAGCATGCCAAGCGGGGCACCGCATCGAAAATGACTCGCACGGCGTCCAAGGAGAAACCAACCACAACCACGACGCAGGGCCCAATGCTCCCACCACCACGGCCGTTACCCAGCGCACCATCTTCGCCACAACGCGCCTTCAGCCAAGCCAGCACCCACAGCGCCTCGACGGACGCGTCCACGGCGTCGGGTCGTACCACGGTGGTGAAGCCAAAGCGCGGTCGCGCCGCAGCAGCATCCGCTGCACCGAAGATCGCGGAGCAAAAGAGCCCCAAGACCGCCAAGAGAGGTGTGGCGAAAGCTGCGAATGCAGCGAAGACCACCTTGACGAGGAATACAACCACGGCCAACAAGAAGGTGGTAGTTGCTGAACCCGCTGCCGGACGGAGGGTTCTAAGGAAGAGAACTTGAACAAATGGAGCTGGCCTGGCGAGGAATTCATGGTACAGACTGGTCAGGAAATGTCGACTGTCGAGTGTGCTGTAGTGGCAAGACACTGTACATTCTTGGTGTACACGTCCTGATAACAGTGTCGTTGGATACGGAACCTAGCATTGTCCAGTGTGATTTTCCAAGTTTATGTGAGAGAAGAGAGAACAGCATAGCAAGGGGCATTTCTAACAATCGTCTGCCAATAGACCAGATTAAAAAATGAAGAAAACTCATATAAAAATGCAGCCTACGTTCTCGAAGTTAGTCTGGTTATCTTGCAGCCCTGGTTCTTCTCGCCTGACCGTCGTTAAACCAATTTACTTTTCTGGGCCACTGCGATCATGCAAGGGCACGTACGAAATCACGATCAGGTTCTGTGTTCATTTCAACTCTTTCCCATTTCATTTTCCCATCGATATATCTACATACATACTTCAAGGAGGGTATTGTAGTCGCCCTTTTCAACTCCACCCTCTGATGGGACTGATATGCTGTGTTGAGTTTTATGGCGTCGGGTTTCAAGGGATCTGTCAGGGGGTCACTGATCAGCTCAGCCATCCCGTTCTTTCAGCCCCTATCCATTCGACTTTTCAGAAGCAAATGGCAGTCCATTTTGTTCGACATCGAATACCAGGAGATTCTCCCACGGACACAATCTTGTGTCCATGGGATGCGAGATCAATAGTCCAGCTCGGCCCCCCCACCTGTGTCTGCCGCAGCACGAGCACCAGAACCACCTCCACCACCATTCGGTTGAGCATCAAGGTCTTCATAGCTCTTGATACTTCTTCCCTGAACAGCCTCTCGAGGTCCCACGGCGTTCAAACCACCTCCTCCACCATCACCCCATTTTCCTCCACCTCCGCCTCCGCCTTGAGCGATGAACCCGGGATTGAGCCCCGGCACCAGACTTCCTCGGAACATGCCTCCCATGTTATTGTACCCTCGTTGACTGCCGCGTTGATTTCGATCATATGGTCCTGATCGATTTCCATATCTGCCTCCACCACGCCGAATGGGACCGACACCGTGACTTCCACCGCCATTCATCCCGTCGGTGTTGAAGTTGACACCGGGGACAAATGTGGACTGCACGTTTTGCATGCCCATCATGGTATTCTGACCAAAGTTCATCATGTTCATACCCATATTCTGCAAACTGAAGCCACGCGGAGTTCCGGTGCTGAGGTGGTGATTGCTGGGAAGAGGGAAATGCCCATTCGAGTTGGCATCGGATCGTGAAGGTGCGATATGCGAGGGATCCAGAACATATCGGTTTACCAGTTGAAGCTGAGAGGGTTAGCAAAGAGTCCCGGACCACCGAAAGCGAACTCACATCATTTTTGAGCGCCACAAACCATTCCTCGTGTCTTTTTTCCACATGCTTTCTCCAAAAATGTTCTGCTTTGAACAATTTGGTACATTCCGGCACCTTGCACCGGAACTTGGCTTCATCTTCCTGCTTGACGAACTTGGCCATTTCTTCATCCAATGCCTCTTCGACTGGTTTGCCGCCAATCTTCCTCAAGTCCACATATTCGGGTTCAAGAAGCTGCAATACTTTCTCTTCAAACGTTTTGACCCAATTGAAGGCCCGCAGCAGTTGTTGATCATTCTTGCTAAATTTGGGCGCCCGTTTCTCTTGGACTGGACTGAGTGGCTCATCGTCGAATCCATTTTCGCCTCGGCCATCTTTCTTTTTGCCGGGGAAGGGTTCTCCCAACGCGCTTGCTCGTGCCGCTGCTTTGGCCGCACTGCTCAATCCGGCTCGTGGCCGTCGAAGGTGACCACCAGGACATTTCCGAACGAGCTCATGAACAGAATCAGATTCAAAGACACAGAAAAGACAAAAGTTGAACACGCGACGAAGATATTCGACCATCAAGTCCAGCTTCTTCTTAATCACCAACAACTCTTCGTCATCCTGATCATCTTCATCTTCTTCACCCTCCTCGCCCTCGTCTTCAAACTTGATTTCGTCGTCATTGTCTTCGAAGTTGGGTTTCCGAGGTTTGGGTGGAGGTTGCAACAGTCCTTGGTTCCTCATCTGTTCCACCCGGGCATCGATCTTGGCCAGACCTCCGGACATGTCGTCTTTGCCCAATTCCGCATCGAGCTTGGCGACGAGTCGTCGAGCCAGTTCATAATCTCGTTCGATCCGTTCCGGCGCCGAAAACAAATCCCAGAGAGCTTTTTTCCTCGGTGCACTGGGTGCGTTGTGAACACCCACATGACAGGTAAAATCGCCCCTGACCGGATCGGTGATCGTCTTTCCATTGATCAGGTCCAGAGCTTTCTGAGACGGACTGATTGACTCGGGCGGTGGCTTGGCTCCTCCTTCTTCGCCATCGCCATCTCGTTCATCCCCTCGTTCCACCTCAACCTCTTGCATGGCGTCACCATCCTCGGAAGCAGCCGGATGCAGCATGATCCAACCGATGCGGTGAAACTTTTTGGCCGGATTAGGGTCACTCAAGGACAAACCCTTGAAATCTTCACCCAGATGTTCCTGGCAAAACTCTTCAATCCGTTCTCGGCCAACGTTGGGCGCGAGTGTCTTGATGAGCAATGCCGGTTGGTGAACAGATTCGTCGTGGAGGTCGCCGCCTTTGGCCGGAACCAAATCCAACACCCCCAGAACCTCGCCGCCACCAACGGCTTCGCCCTCTTCTTTCTCGACCATCCCACCAGCCCCATCACTGTCGTTCTTGTAGATCCCCTCCAGGGTGAACTCGTCAAAAACTCCCGCCTCCATGTCTTTGGTCCATTGTTCGAAAGCACCTTCACGAGATTCCATGATGCGCTTTCGAATCGGGTCTCGGACCTCGGGAACATATCGCTCCTTGAACCATTCTTCACCTTTGTGTTGTTGAACAAATTGTCTGGCCATCTTCACCTGAAATTCTTGCTTGTACTCGTCATAAGCCTGCTGGATCTGAGCTCGTTCCTTTTCACGATCTTCCTTCGCCTCTCGTTCACCTTTGACGCGATCCGAAGGTCTCCTGCCGCCATGTTTGGCTCTCTCCTTTTCTTCCTTTATTTTTTGTTCACATCTCCACCAATCAGCAAAGAAGCTAAATCCGGCCTGGGTGTCCAGTGACAGTGGGTTTGCCAGAGGATTGACGCGGACCACCGGTTTGTTAGGTTCTTGACCAGGAACGTAACGATCAATGTTGGCCGCGGTGGGTGAAGGAGCCCTTCTGCGGTCTTCTCGTTCTCTTGCAGCGGCTCTTGAGGGCTCATAGTAATCCTCCCGATTGGCCCGTTCCCTCTCCGGTTGGTAGCGATCGATGCCCACCGGTGAACGCGATCGATTTCGAGGAGCTGGACGGCGTCTATCGTTGACTAGTTGCCATATTGTCAGTCGGGGACCGGCGTGGCCTTGGGAGTCTGGCTTACCAGGCGACCGCCGTCGGTATGAGTCGTTGCGGTCATACGGCTCATCATCTCGCGCGCGATATCTGGATGGCGACCTCTCATTGGGAGGGGACCCATAAGCTTCGTAGGGATTCATTGTGACCCAGCTCTTCAAACTGGGAACGTCCCAACCGTTTTCCGTGTCAAAGGACCGTGTGGCATCCAGTCGGCGCCCTACGTCATCTGGAGGTTGTCAGCCAGACGTGGAGGGCAGAAGATTCTGTCAGGAAATGCCGTCTTCAAGGACTCGGTCGGTTGAGGGCTGGGAGCTAAGAGTAAACATGGCAAAGGTTAGACTTGAGTTCAAGATGGAGTAATTCAACGAGAGCATCGTAATAAGAATCGGTTCGGAGTTCAAAGAAGGAAAAAGCTCGCGGGCATCGATGCCACTATCTAGGGGAAATTGATGGTAAACAAGAACAAGAAGATGTAGGTGGAAGTGGAGGAGGGCTCTGGTAATGAGTCCGACAAGGCAATCGCGACGGTAGAAGATCAGGTGAAAGGCCGCAGGATGGTGGCGAGCCAAGTGATGATAGCACCAAGACAGGAAGAATTCAGGTAATGAACCTACAAGATAAGAGATGAGAGCGCTCTGAATGAGGGAGAGAGCGAGCGAGCTGGTATGGCGATGCAAAAGCCAGCCGGTTGATATGAGAGAAGGAGACGGATGAAGAGAGCGGCCGGCGTGGATGGGGAGCACCAAGAAGCGAGGCGTGCCGATGTGCAGGGCAAGGCGCGATGCGCGGTCGGGGGTCCAGGCCCCGGTAGGAGATGCAACGGGTGGTACAGGAGGCCATGGAGTCGGGAAGCGCAGTTTTTGATCACCTGACAGGTTGTATTCATCCCCTGGGCTTATCCTACTCCCAGTCGTAGCGCATCAACTTCATCCCTGCTTTATCGTTGAACACATTCCCCCGTGGGCATTCCCTTCACCATCCATTCGCTCAGAATATGACGTTGTTATTGATGGAGAACTGGTGTGAATTTCTGAGGGGACAGTCTCGAATTCGGGGACTAATGCGAAGATCAAGACGGCCGCCCAGTATGCACGAGGTGTGAAGGAAATCTATACGGGTTACCTGTTACTTTGGGTCTGTTTGTTGTCACCAGGAGAAACCAGCATCCACCAATCACGAACCATTTGCGCCCTGGCCCACGTGCAGGGTACCGATCAGGCCGCTAGCCATCGAAAGAAGTTAGTCCGCAGGGGACAGCCTTTTCATCATCAGACAAGGTGTGTCACCGACCACTTGTGGTTTGCCTCAATTGTGGTTACTCTTACCATTGAGTCCTCAGTCGTCGCTCGACGGGGGAGTCTGCTCCTGCATTGAAACAACTCGCCGAGGATAAACCACCCCCTCCCAACTCGATTTGATTCCAATAGGAATGCTGATATTTCCTTTTTGTCTGAGATTTCCGTTCGCAGTGTAAAGACATAACCACCGTGTATGTGACCCGTCGACTTGAGAGTCGCCAAGAGTTTGGACGACTTTAATTACTCTTCCGGGAACAATGTCTGAAGACGACCCGCTCCCGAAGGACCATATCAGACTCTTTGTCCTTCTCCCAGGAGAAAACTCGAGTCCATTGAGCGGCTACATCGTACCTGTCGACCTCTCCGAACCTTACACTGGACAAGAATACAAGGCACTCTCTTACACTTGGGAAGACGTCACCGATACTGAGAAGCAACTCAGGCCAATTCGATAGCCAGATTGAAATCACAGGCAGTCTTGCGATTGCCTTGGAGCATCTTCGATCGACAGAAATTCCTTTAACTTTGTGGATCGACCAACTATGCATTGACCAATCCAGCACAGACGACAAGGAGCGGCAAGTGTCCATGATGTCCCAAATATATGAGCGATCGCAGGAAGTTTTTGCGTGGTTAGGAGAAGAGGCGGATGGAAGCGCTCATGCTATGAAGTATATAGCTTCCCATGACTGGACCGCCGTGGTCGACAGTTTGGTTGCAGAAATGCGGAATTTGACCTTGGAGCCCGAGGTAAAGATTGAGAAGCGCGATCTCGACTCGGTTAAGAAGCTTGGAAAGAGGACATGGTGGACCCGTACTTGGATTATGCAAGAAGCGACGGCAAAGCCACCGACCCATGTATGGATCATGTGTGGGAATGAAAAGATATCACTGGATACCATCTTGTCCTTTCGGTTGGCCTGCTATACTGTTTACCGAAGCTCGAACGAGGTCCATCCCCAAGTTCGACAACTGAACACCATCACCAGATTCCTGCATCCGCTGTGGCTTTTTGGGCGGCTGCGTAAAAGCCAAAACTATTTCGTCTTTTGGAACACTTGACGAGAACGTATACGACCGATCCTCGTGATAGGATATATAGCATGATTGCGTTTGGTCGCGAGTCGGACAGACCGGAGCATGAATTACGTACCGATTACTCCAACTCGCCCTTCAAGACTTATGTTGACTGCACATTGTGGTATATGAAGGGATACAAGAAGCTGGATCTTCTTGGGTTCTCCAACGGTGATAGGATTTCACTCAGGACGGAAGCTCCAGCCGCCGGCAAGTCAATGGCTGTCATTGGCGGTCGAGCAAGAGATGAAGCACGGAATTCCACCAAAGAGAATCTCAAGGTCTTACCCAGCTGGGTGCCCACATGGACGTTTATGAATGGCAAGCGCCAGATCTTGAACAGTTTATCCAAAATGTCGGATGTCGGCATATCAAAGCGGAATCATGTCTATAGAGCTTGTGGACGTCACCATCATGTCACGTGTCATTTTGAAAATGGGTCGAAGAGACTTGTCGTTCACCTCTCTGTGCCTGTGGTCAGGGTGTCGACAATTGATCCTATCCAAGGTCTTGAAAAACTCGTGGATCGAAAACAACGAAAGCGAGAAACGAACCTTGGACTGGACAAAATTTGGGAAACCATTGATAAAGAAAGCCAATGTCCCTTGACGGGAAGAGACATGAAGTCTGTTCTAGACCGAACAACTCGAGCGGATGTTCACGTCTGGTTCAATAAAGAAGGGGTCATGAAATTCAGCCGAATTGACGAAAGCAATTTGGATGATGAAGAAGCTGCAAGGTCGCATCCTCTTCTTGGTCGATCGGGCTATCGACCGGCCGTGGATCCCTCTGGTGACCTGGCCGTCTACTGGATGAGTACTGGCCGCACTCTTTTTCTCACTGAATCCACACCTGATGGATCCCCCGGTCTTATAGGTCTTGGACCGTGGAATGCAAAAGCAGGTGATGAGGTATGGTTACTCCAAGGATTCCGGGTCCTCGCCATCCTGCGCCCGCTCCAAATTACAGAGGATTGCACCTATGGCTCTATGGATCTGGAGACCGGCGACGCCAAAGACAAATTTCTCCCAGCTGGAGAGACGGTGTATGAATATGTCGGTGAAGCCTTCATACTCGGTCTCATGGACGGCGAGATCATCGATATGCTTGGCTCACCGCCAAAAAGGCCTCGTCCACCAACCCTCGTTCAAATGGATAAAGATTTTCGTAAAATCGGTCTGGTGTAAACACACTCGAGTCAGAAGTTGTTAGGGTTCAGCTCTGTATATGTGTTCTGGTGGCTGTTGATAGCCAGAGGTTATGACGGTAATGATTTGAACGATCGAATGCGATATAACAAGAACACCCCGAACACCAAATGTGCCGATTAATACGACAGTAAAATTTTGAGGCTCCTCAAAGTTCCCAATTAAATTGTGCCGTCCTTGGGAAAAAATGCTACTTACCATTCATAGTCATAGCCTCGTCGTGCTCGCTTTCGTCCAAAGGACAATTCAGAAATCCGTGAGAAATTAAAGACAGAGATACAACTGATCCTCCCTCACCGGCGCAATCTGCTCGTCATCAATCTCCGAACTCGTCCATGCCATATATACCACCGCCTCTTTCGGTCTCGCATCCCCAAACTCCACAGCATATTCATAACTTCGCGCGCAGACTTGTGGCCATCGAGCGCTGACCAACCTAGAATCGTAAACGACGCCAAGGTTAGAACCCTCTGTGGTTGGTCTTGCGTAGATTGATAGTCTTGTTATCAGGCTGTGCCATGTTTACTCACTGCAGCCTTGACCAATACGTATTTGTATGTAGTATCAATTTTAATTGATGCGAATCGGCCCGTAAAGCAGGTCGAAGAAGATCTCTTAATCTTACTCTTCCCAACATCTCCGACCTGACTCTGTTAGCAACCCACTGACCATCTCCAGAAGGGCCGATATGGGTTTTACATGATCGCTTCCCGTGGGGCGTTTCGACTATGCGAACCATGGTTTCGGCAACTTCTGTTGGGTCAAGCATCCTGTGGAAGCACCCTTTCTGTATGGATCTTCCGTGTACTCCGTGGCAATGCCTTCGTCAGCCGGTTTGCCCATATTCGCAAAGAAGTTGGCTCCACTCAAGAAAGGCGCGGGAACAAATGATGGCAGTCTCTATGCCCCACCTTGCCGGCTTGCCCACATACGAGACTGCTAAAGGACCCATGAAACGAGGTGTACCGCCTTTGGTGCTCGAGGGATGATGTCCACGTGACGACTCCGCCAGCCTTACGCATATGCGGCAGGACAGCACGATTGAGCCTCCGTACGCCAATGGCACCAACGTCAAGGTATTTCATCATCTGATCCTCTGTGAAAGTCTCTGCTGGGTCCATAACACCCAGTTCAGCGTTGTGTATGACCATGTCGATCCGTCCTCACTCCCCCATGACCTTTTCGACAGCCGCATTGACAGGGCCTGTGCCGGTAATATCGAGAAGCACCGTACGAAGCTCGACCCGGTTCTCTTGGGCAAAGTTTCGAGCAGCGGCCAGCTGTTGGGTATCGAATTGGCGTACGTCCGTGTAGACGTATGACCATTTTGTGCTAACAAACGTGCTGCTATAGAGTCAAAACCGGCCAATGCGCTAATGATGATAATCGCTTCTCCGCCCACGAAGATGAAATTTCAGGTGAGTGAATAGTATTATCCAAGGACGCGATTCGTCACAATGAGATGGAAATAGATAATGAGAACGGGCTTGTTGTTCCATATATTTCATTGTCCCTTCATCACAAGAATATCGTAATATTCAAAGGGAGAGGTAAAGATTGTGGGCAACATCGGACCATAGCTGCCCTCCTCCCACCGGGGGGTTTGGAGGGGGTTTGGAGGGGTTTATGTGAAAACTCAGCGGTCGGCAATACCGTTAAGCCCGTACCGGGCTTGGAGGATGATAATCTATGAGACCACCAGGATTGTACAAGGGCAAAGACTCTCCGAATCACTCACAAAGAGACAGAAGGGGAGAATGTTGAGAAATTGTCTGCCGTGGGCCCACGGTGGGAACAAGATGCTCTGTAAATGCGTAGCTATTTCATACTAGTAACTAGCAGCTAGGGAGAAGTCATCTTGGTATGATAGTGGGGGACTCCATGCAAGGCTGTTGGCTTGCTGATAATAAGTCGCTGATCGAGCATTCCGCGAGTGGTTGTGGTCGGAGGGGCTTCTGTGTTGTAGAGGGCATTGCGCATAATTTCGAGGGAGTCACGGGTGCATCTCCCTAAGAGATAAAGGTCTTCTCTTGAAGTCTCGATGGTCCTGATAACCACGATTGAAACCTGCAGACAAGCTTGGATTGTGTCCTGTTCTTTTTCCACTGATAGTAATATATCGTCGAGAAATTTGAACAGGAGGAACCATCGACTGGCCTAGTGCCTTGTAACCGAGGATGCAAGAGTGACGAAATCGACGCCCTTGTTGAACAGGTGCCAGGCTCTTCGTCATGATTCTTTCTTTTCGGAGCCCTCTTCGTTTTCTTCTTTATTCTTTCTCGTCCAGCCGTTTAGATAACCCGTTCCAGCGGTCAAGTATGTCGCAAAACCCAACCAGGCGAGATATGGTGCCATAAAGTAGGAGGCCTTTGTGTCAACTTTATTCCAGATATAAGTCAGATAGCCGACTAGCCCAGTCAAAGTGACAATATCTAACATAGCTTCAATGGGCCTACCCAAACCGAAGAAGAGAGGCATCCAAATGACGTTCAAACCAAGTTGGATAGTGTATAGGGTAGCACCTCTTCGCGTGTTCTCGACCGTCTGAGGATTCATGCTGGACATCCCCATTGTCCAAGCTCGGTGAGCGGTATATCCCATCATCGAGTACAAAGTTGCCCAAGCTGGGGCGAAGACCCAAGGCGGAGGTCTGAAAGGTGGGTGCTTCAAAACCATGTACTGTTCTTGTGCGGTCCTGAACTTTCCTCGCTCTTTCGCAGCAGGATCCGAGAAATTCTTTAGGGTCATCTTTCCAGGTTGTGATACAAGGCCGGATCCAAGGCCTAGTCCGAGGGGAAGAAGGATCGAAACGGGAGCACTTGAAAAGATGGAGGCCGGGAGAGTGAGGCCTGGTACGTAGGCCATTTTAAATGCCTTGGGAGGGTCGCGCTCGAGCTAGTCAGATGGTCACAAATACGGTTGGAAGTCTAGGATTATTGCGTCTTCGATACTCCTAGCCCAATAGACCGATCAGTTACTCGAGCTTTGAAATTATTGAAAGTACAGACAACCAGGTTTGAGGATACTTATAGATGTCGGACGGAAGTTCCCTGTACCGATGACAACAATCGTCTGACAAGAGAGCAATCTTTGAACTAGGCGCAGATTAGCCGTTCGGTCGCTGTCAGACTGGGGTTTCTGCATTTGCAGTGAAAATGGCAGTGCTGAGCGTCGCTTTTGGCCTCCTTTTTCCACCGCACGTGATTGTCTACCTAGAGGTACGTAGGAAGAGGACGATCTCGGGTCTAGGCTCCTGGCAGCCAGCAGACAAACCCTATCTACCCGTATCCATTGAGTCGGATCCCTTTGAGTCACATGGTGGGGGATGTTCAAGCTTGAGGCATCGAACTCTGGACCCGCCTATCATGTACTACATACTGGTACACAAGACCAACAATGAGGTATTCCTCTACGCCGTCCGCTTATCTCCTCTGCACAAGTACCGACTTAGGAAACTTACACCAAGGGACAGGCCTAAATGACCCACTGCGTGCCACCCATTGCTCGCTTCGATTATCACGGGTACAACGGTTATGTCGTGTCCCGGACCTCAATTTACGATAACGAACTCTCATCGCCATCATCCTCGATTGGTTCCAACACCGATGTCAAGTTCACCAAAGACCCAAAATCTCCGTCAGACGCCATTCCCATGGGGGTACAGTGCTCCTAGACAAAATAGATGGACTCACGTTGCAATATTTTGGTAACATGGAACATTCTAATGGTAACTCAACTCTTTCTCCTTCTGGGACGATTTGAGAGTCTCTCTGATCGCCTGAGAACAGGAAATATTAAGCCACGCGCATGTATGACATGTCATCTGCGAAAGATTCGATGCGACGCCAGCATCAAGGGAATTCCATGCTCCCAATGTCGGAAATCCGACATGCAATGTCGCGAGTTGCACCGTAAAAAGCGGCGAATTAATGCCCTGGAGCAGGCGGAGACATCGACCTCAATATCGTAAGCCCTTTTGACGTCCGCGAAAAGGAAAGGATCGTAATGATTTCATGAGTTAACGCCGTTTTTCTTGCACAGGGCAACCGTTGTACAAACTCCCATGCATGCACCCATGAACAAATACCAAACCCTTGGAGAGGGAGACTGCGAACCTCGTCAGGTGGAGGTCATCGGCACTGGCGACATTTCAAAGGTTGGCTCCATCCTGCTGGAGTTTTTGTCCCAAGACTTTGACGAAGGCTCCATTGGAGATTATCAAGCAACCTTTGTCGACGACTATGCTTGCGTGGTCCGGATGCTGGGGCCGACCTTTGGCAAAGGTTTCCAACCTCAAGTGTACCATTTCCGAGACGCACCTTTCATCAAACGCGAAAACGGTAGCATCCCCCGTGTCCTCAACGACGGAGAACATGCGGTCCTGAGACAGTACGGCTCCTTCGTCATTCCCAGCTCCAAGATTGCGGACGGCTTCATCGCCGCGTTCTTCGATCGAGTGCATCCCACTATGCCGGTCTTAAACCGAGCCGAGTTCTACAGAACATATTTGGAAACCTCGTCCTCTCAACCCGTCAAGCTGCCGTTGTTGCTGTTACAGGCCGTGATTCTATCTGGCTCTACCGTCTGGAAGCATCCCGACCTCAACCTTCCCCCCGATGAGGTCTCGTGGCGATTGTTCGTAAGGGCCAAAGCACTCGTCGAGCAACGATTCGAGCAGGACAGACTAGCCCTGGTCATTGCACACTTGCTCTTCAGCACCTTCACCTGTGACAGCTGCGACGATACCAACCAAAACATGTGGCTTTCACTGGGAACAGCCATCCGTCTGGCTTTTGGTCTCGGCATGCATCGGGATCTCGGCAACGCAAATGCCTTGCCGGAGCACCGACGACAGTGGAAGATTACATGGTGGACGTTATTCCTACACGATGTACTATGTTCGTTCGAATGGGGCCGACCCCGAGCAGTCAACCTGGACGACAGCGATGTACCTGAGCTTGTCGAGCGAGACCTTCAGCCCGTGGAGCCCGGAGCCCTCTCGTGCGTCGAGCACACCGAGTTTTTCCTTCAAAGCATCGATCTGTGTTTCATCATCAGCACCTGGCTGGACTCGTTGCGCCCGGGAGGTCCCGCCAAGCGACGCGCCTCGCGCAATGGACGGCCAAACCGAGAAGAGCAGACCCGCCGTTGCTGCGCCGAATTGTCAAATTGGTACACCAACCTGTCGCCCGCGATGAGACCACCTCACTCTCGCCGGTCACACTATTCTCTCTGGTCTGGAATGCTCAACATGTGTTACCACGCCGCCACGCTGAGATTCTATTCCCGCGACCCGGATGCCAAAGGCAAGCTCCACGATGCCGCAGTCTCGATCAGCCAGATCTGCGTCGACCTCTGCGAACAAGACTTGATCGACTCGATCTGGGTGTACGGGATCCATCAACTGGACTTGGCTATGTGCCAGCACGCCCGGGAATCCCGAGACGACGACCCCGATGTGGCCGAGCAGGGTCTACAGAATCTGCGGACCTCCTTACCCATCCTCGAGCGACTCAGCACTCGTAGCTCCACCGCAAAACAAGGCTTCATCTTCCTGAAGGAAGTGGCCGAGGGCAACGTCATGCGAGAGAATCTTGCCACTCCGATGCATCATCACGAGTCAACCTGGGACGCGGACATGTCACGGTGGCACCTCCAGAACATGGAGTACCCAGGATTTGAAGGATACGACGGGCTGTCAGCGGACCTCTGGACTTTTCACTCATTCGACTTGTCAGATGATACCTAGGTGTTTTTTGGAACTCATTTGTCTACCTTCTATCAGTCTATGCATTTCTCGCAGCATGTACCAATATAAGGAAGGCGGTATCATTTTGCACATCAATTTCCTCCCTAGGTATAGTCCACTTGCTCTTACGGCACTCTAGACCGTTCCCTCATGATCTATGCTCCCGGGTTTGCTTTGCAAGCTGCAGGTTGAAGGCGGCATCGATTCCCACCTCCATCTTCTACGACATTATTAGTGAAATTCACACATGTCATCGTCCAGAGAAATGAATGACGTACAGGGCCCTTGTATCTGTCATGTCCTTTCCACAGCCAATATGCACTGGAGAATAGCACAACAGCACCGATTATAACGGAAGAATAGTCTGTGAGATCACCAGTATACCAGCATGTCAGCAAGGCATCCATAGTTGGAAACAGTTAGGATTCCTTTTTTTTTTTAAATTGTGCTTACTCATGTTATCGGCGTGGACTGGCATCGTGAAGGGAAAGTCAAAGAAGATGACCATAAAAACAATCCAAGCAAGAGCGATGGCATTGACCGCCGGCCCTATCTTATTGCCGAGCGAAAACGTGGCATGTTCCAGATACTTTCGACGACCGAAGAGCAGAAGACCGATAGGGAACGCGAAGGAAATATTGGCTAGCAGTACGTTGCAGCCGACAAGGGCGTTGAACGCGGTAGAACTCCCCAGATAAACGCACCCAAGAACGGCGACAATCGCCCAGCACAAGATTGTAGAGTTCACAGGCACCTTTTGGCGGGTATCGATCGTGCTCAGCCTGGTGGCGCAAGTTAGTGGGCTAAGAAGACAAGCCAGGAGGGGGGAAAAATTCCAACAAATCGCTTCCACGTTAAAGAACGAGAAGAAGAAAAATTGTTGACGTACTGTTTGCTGAAGGGCAGAGCCTCATCGCGCGCAAAAGCCCATATCAGACGGCTTGCCGTTTGCTGCGAGCCCAGGATGGCAGCAGTCGTCAAATAGAACAGGACGGACAGTAAGAAGATTGAAGCGCCTTTACTCTCAGTAGCTTGGTAGAAGATCTCAAGGATGGGCACACCAGTACTGGTGGCGAGGATCTTATCCAGATCAATCATGCAGAAGCAGATTGTGATGGCGGTGACGATCAAGGTGACGAAACCAATACAGACGGTGCTGATGAGGACAAAGGGCAGATTTTTTCTTGCATCTGGATAGACAATAATGTTAGGCTTTTCCGTCTTTCTCCTTCATTTTATCCTGTGCAACAGAAGATTGTTCTGTTGGGAGATTAGAATGCTAACCTTTCATCTCCTCGGCCATGTGAACGGCACTATCCAAGCCCCCGTATGAAAAGGCAGGATTCGTGAGGCCAACAATAAAGGCAATTCCGTTGGACTTCCAGCCCGTGTTGTTGGTGAAGGTTCCAAACACGAATTTGGCCGAGTTTTTCGGGAACGCGGTCCCGAGCATGGTCATGTTGACAAGGAAGAAAGCCGTCAAACAGATATAGAATCCGGTTCCGTGGATGTAGGGGAGAGCCTTTCGTCCATACGCGTTGACCACGGAGCACAGCAGGTTGAAGGCCTGGTAAACGACGAACCCTTGCCATCGATGGTACGTGATGTCAGGGTGCGTCAGAATGATCATGGCCATGAAAAACTGGCCTAGGATAACTGTGATCGAAGCACATACGACACACCACCCCACCGCATTGAAATAGCCACAGAACCAACTGAGGATGGCGCTGTACTTCTTGGGTGAGAGCACGGCCGTCCACTATGACTAGTGTCAGTACAAGAACCCAAAAAGAAAAGAAAGAAGAGAGCCACGTCAGAGGCAGGCTGCCACTTACATGATATTGGCCACCCGATGTGGGATACGCGCTGGCGATTTCGGCCAGCGAAAGAGCCACTGCCATGGTGAATATGGTCACCGCAATCGAGCCGTAGATGAGCATCACCTGTAAAACGTCATTAGTTATTTATTCTCTCATCATAAGAAGGGAGGACGACTGACTGTTCCACCGCTAGAAATCCCAGTTGCAAGAGATCCAATGATACCTGACCAGGAGTCCACAATCATGAAGGAAAAGGCTAGCAGGGCGAAACGACTGTAGTTCCGCTGCAGAACAGGCTTGTGGCCTGTAAGCTCCATCAAGTCCAAGTCGTCGTCCTGAATAACATCGTGTTGATCTGCGACGCCTGAGGGGGGCCCTGGCTCACTGACCACATCCTCTGACGCTGGTACCTTGATGTCGATGGGAGTCTGTTGAACATTCATCGTAAGATCTTTTCGGGGTCGATGTGGTAACCGTTTGGGGGTGGGCTCCTTTTCTCCCTTCGTCTTTGGTAAAGACTCTGCTGAACTCTTATATTCTAACTGAATAGCCTCGACCGGTGTGTGTATGGACCCAGAACTCGCGAATTTGTGGAGACTTCCTCGGCGACATCGCGGCGTCGGAGCGGTGATGGGCGCACGATAGATCTTTTCCTCAAGATAGACCTATCCGCATACGGAACACTGAGTGGCATCGCAGTCCCCACTCCGGACCTTCAACGGCGATATCAAGGAGAGACAAGCAAAATGCAAGGCAAGCTGGGGGGCTATTTGATGAATATGCCTCCGGCTCCTCGTCAAGAGTGCTTGGCTCGATATTGATATTCGGACCAGGTCAACTACTCTCCCTTTCCCGCGCCCAACTTTAGTATATCAAGGTTCACCGGTTCTTATCTACGCGCTGAATTTCCTCAGACTCGCCCGCAGCTGGTAGCTGAATTTGATTTACGGCTGAGAACATGAGTCCTAGCGCCAATACCGTCACCACGACTCGGAAGGTAGCCCCCCCGGCTAATAAAAATCATGTGATGAAGCCGCCTACCGTCAAACACAATGATGTTTACATATCCTATGAGAAGATTATAGATTCCCACACCAAGAACTGGCCCCCTCGCCGGCGCTACGAGGTACCAGAGTACAGCACAGAAGCCAATCCTAATGATGTTGTGGAAGGATTGAAGCGCGTGGGGGGTGTTATTGTGCGCGGCATCGTCTCGCAGGAGGCCATCGCCCAGATGGAGAAGGACATGAGACCTTACCTGGAGGCCGACACTCCATGGGAAGCCAGCAATGATTTCTTCCCGCCGTCAACTCGACGTGCTTTTGGATTGATCGGCAAATCGAGGACTGCCGCCCTCGAGCTCATCGGCAACGAGCTTTACCAGAGCGTCTGCGACAAATTCCTTACCACCAAGGCGTACCCGCAGTATGGAGACCGCGATAAACTGACCGTCTCCCCGCCTCAAGTCAATAATACCATCGTCTTCTCTGTCCGCCCGGGAAACAGCTTCGACCAGCCTCTCCACCGAGATGATGACATCCACTACCCGAACCGGTCTCGGATCGAGTCGTATCCTGAGCCGCCCAACTCGCGCGAATATGGCATTGGATTCTTTGTCGCCGGTACCAAAACGACACGCGCCAACGGAGCGACAAGATTCATTCCTGGAAGCCACCTGGAGGACACCACGCAGCCTCCCAATGAGGCAGACGCCGTCTATGCCGAGTTGAACCCCGGAGATGGCTTCATCATGTTGTCTAGCTGCTACCACGGCGGCAGCAAGAACACAACCAAAGACGAAGAACGCCTTGTCTTCAGCTGTTTCATGACCAGAGGATGGTTGCGTCAAGAGGAAAATCAGTACCTGGCCGTCCCGCTCCAAGTGGCTAAGACACTGCCGTTGAGGATTCAAAAATTGATGGGCTACGCCATTAGTGATGTGAGTATTGGATTTACTTTCCCAATCCGTGGTCGTGACCTGTTGCTTACGTGGGAAATGCAGCCGATGCTGGGATGGGTGGATTTCAAAGACCCTCGCGTTGTCCTTGATCCTAAGGCTGACAGAGTGGCTCACTATTAAGGAGGGGACTCCAAGTTGTTCGTGTCATTCTTAGGACATCCAGTCCGTGCTCTCGCTCAGTGGATAAAAAATTTGGAATGAGACTTTGACAGGGTCAAAAGCACAGGACACAGAAATACCGTTGTCTATGTCACGGTCAGCAAGCAGATAGGGAATAAGTTGCTAGTATTGACCAGGTAATATATTCTCTACGCGTATGTATAGAGCAGGTTATAAACATCGCTGAATACGAAGTTACTATCGATGGAAGTGGTAAAGGAGTGTGACGTATAGACGTATCTGGTAGGTTGAACACCTTATACATGCTGTCAAAACTTCTTATGCAACCTGAATTGAAAGAGTGCTCTAATGAATGCAGGATAGAGCCCATCTACATACCTATCTAAGTAGTGTCTGTCAACGTTGTTGTCTGTGCTGCAGCCTGTCAATGGTGTTGTAGCCTAGAATACAACCACCCTACAGCATACGTGGCAGCCTGGCGAGAAGCTTTGCTGAAACTCTGTCTAGCCCAGCGGTGAGCTCGGCTTTCGCATGAATACCATGGCTGGCCCAATTCTACAGCGTAACGACAGGCAGAATGATGCGTGGGAAGAAATATTGGCGATTGCTGGGCATCTACTGGATCTTGATAGTGAAAAGAGTGAACCATGGCCAGAATTTGAACACATCGAGTACCTCACCAAGGTCCAAGTCGTTCCTCGGCTTCTCATACGATTGCGCTTCGTTATTGAGTTTTCTGAACAGGTGACGTTGGCTTATTCGACAGTCCACGATTGCATCAGAGACGTCCATTGAAGTATCACCTGAGAGCTGGATCACTACTCGCCCAATAGGCACTTGTCTAAGACTTTCGATTGAGAATTCATTGCCGGATGTCTGGAAGTCTTCAGCATGTCTTTACAGGAAGTTGACCACGACGACGGTGATACGGAGGCGCTCTTGATGATGACATCGGATCCATCACACAACATCGACCATATTCGCAAGCACGCAATTAACTCCTTGTGCTCGGTAAGCCCTGGAAGCAATGATTCAACTCCATTAGTTAAGCACAGGACCGGGCTTGTTTCCACTCAGCGAGCATATTTCCATACATTTACCACATGGTCGAATCATTCACTTCCCATCCTCATCCAGTTCTGATTCATCGGCACCGAGAAAAACGACCGACGCAAATACGACAATACACGCCGGTCTCATGGTCTCCGTCTTCACATTTGGAGAATTCATCATGGCGCATCATTGGGCGCACACAAGTGATCGAATTGGAAGAAAGCTGACTCTTCTTATCGGATCGCCAAGTGCCATCATTTCTGCGACTGCCATTGGCTTTTCAAACTCCTTGTCCCTGTAGCTGCGAGGTCATTGGCAGGTCTGGTAAATCCTAATTTGGGTGTTGTGCAGATATTCGTGGGAGCTAGTAGAGAAGGAGCACCAAAGTAAAGTGTCCGAGATATTCATGATATCAAAAATTACCCGGGGACCAGTGAAATGTTTCTCTGTCATTCCTTTCCTACGAGGGCTCGGGTAAGTACTTCTCCCTTTTGAAAACAAGCCAGTAATGGGTTGACGCCTTCTGGGTTACAGAAAAGTTGGGGGCCCGATCATTGGGGGATACCTTACAGAATAAGTCAAAACCTACCCTTTTCTGTTCCGTCCGAATTTAGGATGGGATAGGTTCTCGCGTCTGTCGTTAAATTTCGTGGTGGTCATGTTTCTCACGACCAGCCGTATTCTCTGCTTTTTGCTCCTGGAGGAAGTGCACGTCGAACTACGAAGTCGGACTGATATAGGCCGTCGGATATCGATGGGCATTGGAAACCTCCTGAAAGACAAAGCATGGGGCGGCAGGAAGAACCAAGACAAAGGGACGTACGTGTTGATCAACACGCCTGAAATACCACCGAACTTGACGACATCGTCACCGACGCGGACGAGAGCGAGTGGGATATCGGCCAAAAGACGAACCGCACCACGCTAGCCGGCATATCTTCACCAGTTAGGACTGTCTACAGATTCTTTTCATCACCAATACAGGGATACGTCAAAATCGCCACTCTCACGACTGTGCCTATCTTCCTAGGAATGCCATCGAACCCATTGGTAGGCAGATAGTCCACCCGTTCTCTCCAGATGGCCGGTGGACTCGGCCTCAGACCCAAGGCACCAGCAACATGCTCCTCTCGCAAGCCGTTGCAGCTATCGCTGCCCAAATACTCGTCGTCCCCAATATCATTGAGCAATGGGCCCTTCTGCAAAGTTTCCGCATGGCACTATTGGCTACGATCTACGTTTATATTCTCATACCATTCGCTACTGCGTTACCTTCTCCTTATTTAAGCATCGCTGCTGTGTCTTGGATCTCTAGATTTGCGCACTTGTCAACGGACCAAGGACGACTTGCTCGGCAATAGTGTGAGGCGTCCTCCCCAACAACCGCTTCGAACTAGACTTGATGCTGTTCTAATTTCTTTTTTCTCACAGGATAACAAATACATCGCCCTCGCCGACGTATCTGGCCACCGTCAATGGCGCAGCATCTTCATTGGGCTGTCTCGCTCGGATCTGGGTCCCATAGTCTCAGGCCCACTCTTCCGTGACCAGTCCCTATCTATAAACGCCTGCTTGCATCAGGAGACAAAATAAAAAACAGTGTAATTGCCTGTTTGCGTCCTCCAAAAGCGTCGCATCTGTGGATCATGAGTCCCTTCGTTGTTCCGGTTGCTCCTCCCCTTCTTCCGTTTTCCCTTGCTCAATTGGAATACTCAAGGACGAAGAGCCCGAAGACCCTGATTCCACAGAATTCGAGGGTGTGGCATCCTCAACGGACCTCGAGACGGCGAATTGACTCTTCCTCCTGATAATGTAGCCGTATCTGTAGAACACATACGGAATTGGTGCCAGCAGAGCGCTTATGCATGCCAGAATTGTGAGCGTCCAATGGTGACCAATATTCTGGTAGAATGGAATTCCAACAACGGTCATGCCGCCGGCACAGCAGTATCGGACGAGTGTTGCGAAAGTGAGGGCACTCGCAGCGTATGTCTCGTAGCTGTCGATCAGATACATGTATGAGCTGATGAAGATGGTGATCACGCCATAACCGAACAACACGGACGCCAGGATGGGCGACCAGATGGACACGTTTGGATATGCAGTCCAACCCATCCACAGGAGGGAAATGGGGATGGCAGGGGCGCCACCCAGCATGGCAAACCACAGTCGGACTTCAGGATCGAATTGCTTTTTGCCCTGGGCTTCCGCCCTTTGCTGTGCTCGCAATGTTCTTTGGTAGATCCACGGGATCACTACGCTTCCCAAACAAACACCGACGGCGATGCCGACAAAGATTGTGTTGGACAAGCCCTGTGAGAGATTGTATGTCCGGCGGAAGATGTACTCGTAACCATCAAAGAAGGTGAATAGAACGACGTAGAGGACGGACATGTAAAGAGTGATCAAGAAGATGACAGGTTCGTAAAAGGCCATGATGAAGGGACGAGGCAGGGCGATCCTCAAACGTGTCGATAGCGGGATGCGCTCAATCTCGTGTTCGGCGTAGTATCGATCGTCTCCGGTGATCTTCCGCAATTGTGTTGCCTTCCAGCTTAACAGCAAGGGTGAATATGTCTCTGGCTGGAAGAAGAACGTCAAGAAGAATACGACGCCAGCAGTCAGAAGAGCAACCCATTCCGCCCAGCGCCAGGTATGGAGATATGGTGATTCTGGAATCCACGCTCCCATCACCGGGCCCAAGGCAGGGCCCAGAAAGCCCGGAAACGAGAAGAGCGGAAACATGTATGTTTTCTCGAGAGGTGTAAACATGTCAGAAATGGAACCTCCGGCACAGACGAGAGGGGAAGCACCGCTGAAGCCGGCAAGGAATCGAAAGACCAGTTGAGCACCGATATTTGGGGCCAGAGCCGACGCCATCAACCAGATGCACATGAAGGCAAGAGACCCTATATATGTCATGTTTCTCCCGATGACCTCGCTGAACGGGCCGCAAATCAATGCTCCGAATCCAAAGCCGACCAAGAATATTCCAACTGCCAGTGTTTCGACAATGTCGCTGACCCCCAGATCTTTGGCGGCTTGAGGTAGCACCGCACTATCGATGGGTGCGGCGGCGCCCACCATAAATGCAATGAGTGATATGATTATTGTCGCGTAAAAACGTTTGAAGAACGGCCAATTGCGCGGGTTCAAATCATCGTCGGGTCCGTCCCATTCGACGACAAGGATTGGCCGCCCATTGACGACACGGGTCTCTTGGCGAGATAGGCATGGCAGTTTTCGAACAGCCACAACGTCGGATTCAAGTTGTCTTTGAAGTTCACGCCCTATCCGGCGGTATTGGAGGTAAGTTTCCATTTTGGTTCTTGAGTTCGAGTTGACCGCTTGATACTGACAACTGAGACGAAGAACTTTGAGAGCAGCTGGACATTGGGAAATATATCCATGTCGTTGTACGAGGTGCGTAGCTACGATCTAGGGAATTTCCATACGTGGGTCGACACCCCCCCACTTTCCCCGCATGTCGAAGCTGACTTAACATGTTAAACCGGCAAGGGAAATTACATATTCGCTCCCCATAGAAATCGCGGGAATATTTCTGCAAAGAGCAACCCGCGGAGTTGACGAGTTAAAGCGGCGCAACCGCTCTGTCATATCATCCTCAAAGGAGTCGCGCGGTGACGGCGGGGGCATTCAGTTGGTGATTACGAATGTTGGTTTTGATTGTTGTGACATGAGAGCCTGGCTGATAAATCAATCATGGAAATATTCTGTTGCTTGGTAATTAGATGGAATCGAAAGTATATGCATCTCGTCTCTGCCCTTAGAATAGATGAATCAAAAAAAAAAAAAAAAAACACACACTTCCACTGCTCTATTTTACAACTTTGATGAGGGTGGTATCGAACTGGGGGCTTGGATGGGTGGATGGAATTCATAGACTGTCCCAGCCGCTTCCTTATGGCTCCTGCATTTATAGATCTTATGTCTTTTCTGTATCTGTGCACTTGTCAGGCCTTTCCTGGCCCTCCTCTGCTTCTGTATACCAATATGCATCCTCAAATACATGAAATATCTGTCCTGTGACTCTTGTCTGTGCAAGTATTTGTTAGGCCGTTCCGAGCCCTTCTCTGGTTCTGTATGTCTGCATAGGATTCGAGGCACCGATGTGACCATATCCTTCCCTTCTCTTTCGCCTCTCCATCGCGTACTTGTCAATTTCCAATACCGTAAACTGTTGTCGGGCAAGAAAACGGAGCACCCAAATCCGTTTTCCATCGTGGGGCGTATATGAGATGGCGCAACTCCCTCTCACGTACTGTGGCTGTGATATTTGGTGTTTCGTGAGGTTCCGAGGTTGATTTTCGACGCGTCGACGCGATGTTGATAGAAGATGGTCGCGTTGTGAACTGTTCGGATGCTTCGCCGACATGACATTGGGACTAACTAATTAGCGTAAAACTCTAATGGATCTAACCACCCGGAAGCCAAGAATACCCTATCCTGACGCCACACCAGTTTGTTTGTTTGCTCAACTGTCCGATCCAACTGCAAATGCTCATCTTGGAACAGGATTTCGACTCTATCGACGGTGGAGCGCTTGATTTGTCCTCGAAGTTCGATGATTGGAGAGTCTTATCTAGTTGCTACGCTGAACTGAAACGTTTCCTTCACAAAGTACGTGGCCCACTGTCGAGACGAAGTTACAGCCGTATCAGAGACGTCCGGATGAACCCTGCCAGATGCTCTACCCAGGATTCATCAAGATCAGTAGAGTCTTCGAACGTTGGGTACGCTCCACTAATTATTCACTCATCTAAGATACATTCTCTGGATCAAAGAAGAACTGGAGATTAATCATCTTGGTTAAAATCAACCCGGCAAATGATAGAATACCTGTCCCACGTTGCTAAAGACCTCTTCCCAAGTCCTTCAAAATGACACCGCCTACTCTCACACCATCCCGGTCCTCATCCTCTCAAAATCCCCAGCTCATCTCACCTGGGCCCCTGACACCGTCATCTTTCTCCGCCTTCGGCACCGCCATCTCCGCCCCATTCTCCGCCTCATTGAACAACGTACCCAAGTCGATTCCGCAGCCAATACACTCACCACATCAACCCACCGCGGTTTTCGCGAACCAAAATTCCGCCCTGAAAACCTCGCCGATCTCGCAGTTCGCCAACAATTACCCGCCGGCCAAACCAGGTGATCATGCGGCCTCAACCCCCCAGATGAGCATGTTTTCTTGCTTTCCCCGGAATATCAGCGGCGTGGGGATCGAGAGGACCGACACCGGAAAGATGGTGTTCAAGGTCTCAATTCTCGAACGGCACCCGTATACCACGCAGACATTTAGTCCGCTGGGCCTCTCCGCCTCAGATAGGTCGACGGCATTTCTCATCATCGTGGCCCCGTCACTCTCCTCCCCGGCCACAGCGACAACGGCTACGGGCCGGACCGTTGGGATATCCAATCCCCCAGATCTCTCGCAATTAAAGGCATTTGTGGCGCGAGGCGATCAGGCAGTCACGTATGGACCGGGCATGTGGCATGCACCGATGGTCGTAGTGGGTCAGCGGAGGGTGGATTTTGTGGTGACGCAGTTTGCCAATGGCGTGCCGGACGATGATTGTCAAGAAGTGTTGCTGGGTGACAACGCGTTGGGCGTGGATATAGGGACGCTTGGTTGGGAATTAAAAGCGAAGTTGTAAAGATCAATCTGCGTAAAAGGTCCGGAGCAAACACATGGTGGTCGGTTGACATGAGAATCAAATGACATTCCGTCGTCTGTTCTCGAGCCGAATCCCATGTTTAGGTTCGCAACACTTTTCGGGGAGGGGGCAAACGCCTGGTCCACGCCCATATGCGGAAGGGGGTATCATATTCAAAGCGCAAATGGCCAACGACAAGCCAAATCAAGACTAGCTCATACAGAGGTTCATGCCCCTGAGTCAGCCCAAAGGGAAATCGACTCAACCTACGATTTTCCACCTTCAAGTTTAGTGACCAGTCTCTTCATGGCCACCCACTCATCCATACCTGCCTCACCATTACCACACTGTAATCCCTTTCCGACATCAAAGACGGTGACCACGCCGTCCAATCCGCCCACAGCAATATGACTGCCACGTCTTTCTTCCCAGGCCAGCTTATTCAAACCTTTGAATGGAACGATTCCATTCCGGCCTCTTGTCGGACTGGCTTTGGTGATGGGCACCTCCAAATCATAACTCAAGTCAAACACCTCCAGGTCACCAGAACCTGTGACACAGGCGAATACTGATGGTTTATGAGGCGCCCACTTTGCGTCATAGACGAGATCTTCGCGAGCAAGATTGAGAACGGGACTGACAACTGTCGGCGCTGGCCCAGTTGCCGAGGTCGTCATTGCGACGGCTGAGCCGGAGCTTGCCGCTGGCCGGATGCGCCATAACTTTACCGACCAGTCGGAGCTAGAGCTGAGAAGGAGATCGCCTAGATCCACTGGGCCTCGGGCGGGATGAAATTGAGAGCTCATGACCGGTGCGGTATGACCACGATATGCGAGGCGAGTGTCGACTCCCGCTTGCGCACCGGCACGGTCGTATCGATGGCAAGGATAGATACTGCCTTCTTCGGTACCGACCAGGAAAAATGTCGGATCGGATGCCGGGAAACTCATGCTCGTAGGGGCTAGGTCATCTATCTTGGCTGGAGCTGGAGTGTTGAGAACCAAATACTCCTGTGCTTGAGTAAGCATATCGACAGACCAGGAACAGACAACGCCGTCCATGGAAGCGGTGAGAATGTTGTGCGCATTCGGTGTGCCTACCACACTGATGCTGTAGACGGGATGAGTATGACCGAGATGAGACCCAGACTGTGGTGTTTTCTGGACTGGTTGACCGGTCCGTCCGGAAGTTCGTGTGTCCCAGAGACAGACCTGCCCGGAGTAGCAGCCACCGATTACAAGATTGGGATGGAACGGAGAGAACCGGGCGGAAAGGACGTCTGACGACGCCATAAAAGTGTATTCCGGCCGGGATGGGGCATGAGAGTTCCAGAGAAGGACCAGCCCGGCGGGTTCATGAGGGGCGGAGGGATTTTTGGTGTAGGAAGACAAAAGCAGTTCATTAAAGTGCGGTGAGAATTGAATGTCGGAGACAATACGTCTTCTGGTATATCGATCAGAAAACAATTGAAGAGACTCGCGTAAAGAATGGGACTTTTTGCTGGTCCGTGGATAAGGCGTGTCGTCGTCGTCGTCGTCGAATGTGGAAGCTCGAGTATAATCTGCAAGCAGGTCGTAATTATCGTCCATGTCGAGGGCACGCTCAATGACCTTGGAAGATCGCTCAACAAAAGACACAAATTCAGAAGAAGCGACAACAGCATTCAGCTCATTGGCGGTGAGGGTCCTTAAAGGAAAGCGCTGTTGGGAATTTGTGGACATTGATGCAATTGAGTCCCGATTCAGGGTGGCCCTGACCTCCTCTTCGATCTCTTTTCGGAGACTCTGTCGAATCTCTTCATCTCTTTCTTGATCGCGCCTGGAAAGCCGTCGTCTCGAGCCCAATGATAATTCATCGTCAGAATGGTCTTGTGTGGGGGTGGCCTCTTCGGTGTATGGCTCGGTTTGTACGCCTTTGCTGTATGTGATGTACTCCTTTTTGTGCGCTGCCGGTTCGTGAGCAACAGCGCCTTCGTAAACGGGGAGCGACGTAGCGGCAATCTCAGTCTGCGTCGACGTCGATTGCATGAGCCTTTTCGGAGATGGTTCAGCGTCATTTTGAGGAGTGATTTGTCCGGTGCCTTGAATTGAATTCGGTCTGCTTCCTCTTCTGCTCGGGGACGCCGTGGAGTCTCTCTGGCGATCGATTAGGCTGGAAACGAGGTTGTCAATTTCAGATCTTCGCTCCTCCGCTGTCTTCCCCGGCGAAGGGGTCTTGCCAAAGTCAGCATGACTTCTCGTTGGACAAAATGCTGACGGTCCTACCTCTCCAATACTCTGTCTGCTGGAGGCGTACTGCTCCTGGCGTAGTACTCTCTGTCGCTTAAGCTCCTCAAGGCGAGCCTTTTTGGCCAAAAGCTCGTCTTTCCGTGACGACATGATCGGAACTGCCAATGGTGATTGGCCTGGAAAATTGAATGCATCTGAGAAAAACACGACGGCCTCGCAAGTCGGTTCGCGAAATGTGACGGTGGAATTCGCGAGGTCACGTGGTTGGCTGGGGGGGGGGCAGGGATGAGCTCCGGAAAGAAACCAAAAATGTTCTCGTTTCGAGCTTTTACAACGACCAGCCTCTCACAACAGCCTCTTCCCCTCGCGTGCGAACATCTGCCCTTCGCGTGCGCCGTTCATTCACAATGTCCACGTCTCAGGGTGTCAATGTATGAACGCCGTCACCTCGGTCCCTTTCCGATGTTTTGCAGTTTAACATCTGAAGCTTGGAATTGACTATTGGCAGGTACTCCGGTATTCAGCTCTTATCGCTGGCATATTTTACGGATTCACACACCAAAGGGCGATCACGGCAAGTAACGCAGCTGCCCATGCCCAAGCGGAATACCAACACAAGCTTGATTTAATACAAAAGGCCAAACTGGAATGGGCTAAGAAGACGTTACCCCCCCAGTCGAAGACAGCAAGTGGTGACAGTATGTGATGCGACGGCATTCGCTGCGAAAATGCTCAAGGCACAAGACTGACATGGATGGTAGTCATAACGGATCCTGAAGATAAAAATTTCGATCTCGAGGCATACCTGACAAAGCTTTCGGCTGAGAGTTGAAGAATGAGCCAGCGAAGATAATTCCGAATCTTATCGAGAAAGCGCAGGACACAGCATCAACGGAGATGGATACAGTAGACATGGCATTCATCTGAATTGATACCCAGCGGTTTGGTCTCAATGATGGCGCTGTGCTGTGATTGAGCGAAAAGAGGGAAAAAAAAAAAAAAAAAAAAGAGAAATGGACAACCCATAACCAGCTTGTACATACACCTATGTGGCAGATTGTGCCTGTAAAATCATGATCAATTTGACATGCAATGCGAGGATGGGATATTCTCGTTTCGATTCTGATTGACTGTACCAGTGTCGGATCTACAGCGAACAGATAGAGGCGAGAGATAGATTGATCGGAGAATCAGGTGTCTTTCATTCACAGCTCCGAGTGTTCAATAAAGGCTCTTGCATTGACGACCGGCGACGAGTGCCATCGTGGTTCTCCCAGCTGGATATCTTTTGGAGAACCCGGAGTTTGTCAAGACTCACGCATTTTTTCCCGTATATTCTTTCCCCATGGACAAATTTCATATGAAGGAATTAATTGTGCCCTCGAACCTTCTTACGGAAAGATCGTTAGAGCACAATCATGAGTAGCAAAAATCCATGTCATCCCCACGGGAATAACGGCCAGGATTTGTGAGGCATCTTCGCAAAAGAATTGTTCCGAAAACCGTCGTCGTCAACTAGTGAACGATATCGGCACATACCTTTCTGGCTTTGAATTATGACTGGGTTGCATTAGTTTGCAAATGCTGGACAGCTGTGCAAGGGCATTTGGTGGATCGCAGTCTGAAAACCAATCACGTGAGGTCCACGTATTCTCCGGCGCTATTTAGGAAACGGACAGCTCCAGGTACCAATTCCCGACCCTGGGCCAGCGGAACCGCAATTCCCATCTGTCCGGTCGCTTCTAGCCATCGCCCCAAGAATTCTCACCTATCGACCGCCCTGATGCTCAACAGAATGCTACAAAATGGGATATATCAGATACCACAAGGTTAGGTCACCTCCACATTCCTCCCTGCTTGTCCCTGGGGATCTTATCGACCAAACAAACCGGGGTTCCGGAAAATCAACGCCTAGGGTTGTGACAAAGGCGTAGAAATTCCAGCTTCTACTTGGACCACTGGTGGCACTTGTCGATGACGATGGCCACCTAGGAATGCAGATCAATCAATACTATTCGTCCTCAAAGCATCGCTTCTAAGTCACTGTTGCAGGCCGCAAACCCCCGTTCGAGCATCAAAGACTCCAGCACCCTTCAGGCTTTTGGATCGCTCCCCCCTCCAAAGCAATGCTGGTCACTAATGAGAACAAACGACAGTCCCCCCGGACAAAATCCGGGCCAAGCTGCCCAAAGTAGGATCCAAAAAGGAACAACCCAAAGTCACAAGGGGTGGTGATTGATCGTTTGCCGTCTGCCTCCTCCCAATACTGGTAACATGCTCTGCATCTCCCCTGGCCTCGATGGGACGTAAATGGGTCGATCGGCATACCCAACAACCGGACATCGTGAGTGCCAATGTAAAGACTCATGTCCCGAGATCGAGTCAGCAAATTGTATTGGCGCCAACCCCGCAAACATAGCCCTTCCGAGAAGGCCGCAACCAAAAAGTGTTTGCGTATGCCAAACCCAAGTTGAGGAATCGTCAAGACCGCCAGGTCCTGGAGATCGAGACTTGGACACATTTCCCCAGTCTAGTGTCAACGACAGAAGATTCAGATCTCTGGGGATGAGGACATTGGAAAAGCATGATATTGCAAAACCAGTGTCAATGAGTTGGCCCCAAAGATCATATTGCAAGTTTCGCTCGAAACGAGAGGATATCACCACAATTAACCTCTCTGACTTTTTCGTACCCCAGTATTTCCCCGCAGCCAGATTGTAATGTGTGCTTTTTAGTTCCCATGTTAGCTTGGAGCTTGAGCCCACGTCGCCACTGACCATTGGTCAGAAGACCGATCGCTTGAGATGCATTTTGAGCTTTGACTGAATCAATGGATGAAGGGCTCTCCTGCCGTGGTGGACTCTGTCTGCAGCCTCAACTGGCCAATTTCCATCCCTGGACCCAAACCTTTCCCCTGCTGTCCAACAATCAACCAATTTTGCGGCTTGCTTGGGTCTCCACCCAGAATAGCCGGGTATGGTCATTCGGCTGAGCGGGTTAGGGGGTCTCCCCTCCACCGAGAGGAGAAAATCAGTCGATCTGCCCATGAAAAGCTGCTGTCGAATATATTTATTTTACGTTGTCTCCCCAGTCATCCCTTAGTGAGTTGGCTGTGCTTGTGTTTTGGTGTTCCTCACCTCGTTCTTCCAAGCCCCGGTGTTCATTGTCACCTTGCCTCACGTTTTTGGGTTTGCATATTGCTTTCTCTTGGTAACCTGATACTTTGTTCTATACCTTGAAAGACTTGCCATCAACACCTCTGCAACTGCAAAGATGTCGAATGTGCCCGATGTTGAGAAGGACCATGCCGGCAGCGATTCGGTCAATGGTCGATATGACCTTCATCATGATCATCACGACAATGACACTGCCCTCAAGAGAATCCGGACGGCCGGAAGCATCTCTATCACTCCGGAGCTCTTTGAGAAGATTTACCTTTCCCCCAAGAATCAGGTTTCCAACAACATTCGATCCACCTTTGGGAATCCCACTCCTCTGTATGTCGACCCCAAGCATCCCCAGGTTTCTTCTACTGATCCAAAACAGTGCGCTTGTCGGTTTTCTACTCTCTTTGACTCCTCTTTCCAATATCCTGCTCGGATGGCGAGGTGCTGGAGGCCTCGGTGCAGCCGAAGTGTGAGTGAAATCAAGACAACCTACCGACGAGTTCGACGCTGATGCCTTTCTCTAGTGGTGTTTACTACTTTTTCGGCGGTCTTCTCATGGTGCTGGGCGGGCTTCTCGAATTCATTTTAGGCAACACTTTCCCATTCGTTGTGTTTGGCTCATTCGGTGCCTTCTGGCTGTCGTTTGGAGCGACCTTGACTCCTTATTTCAACGCATCGATCGCCTATGATCCCGCGCATCCCGCTCAGTCATCATCAGATCCCGTCTTCGCCGCTACATTTGCCTACTTCCATGTCTACATGGCCGTGTTGTGCTTCATCTACATGGTGGTGGCGATCCGCACCAACATCATTTTCGTCCTCATTTTCGCCACTCTGGTCGCTGCTTTTGGTGTTCTCGCTGCATTCTTCTTCCAAGTCGGTGAAGGCGTTGCCAATACCGGACTTCAGCACGCTGCCGGAGGCATCACCTTTGTGACTTGTCTGTTGGGATGGTATCTCTTCTTTGTGCAATTGCTGGCAGCAGTGGACTTCCCTCTCAACCTTCCTGTTGGTGATTTGAGCCGATTCATCAAGGGTGCCAGTGAGAGAGCCAAGGGCGAATAAGTGGCAAGAGGTTTCGGTGGTCAAGGCGGCGTGGGAGAGATGAGATGGTGGGATTTGCTTGCGAAGTTTGTAAGACAACGAAACGAGATCAAAAGTGTTATGTGAGAGGATGAGGATGGAGTGGAATGGACAAAAGAGTTGCGGATATTAGGAGCACCTCACAGCGCAGCCGCCGGTGCGGGTGTTATTCCAGCATTGCCATAGTCATGCTTGGCTAGCTGTTGTTTGTCACAATTGCTCTTGGAAAAATATCCCTCTAATCATCGAATGCGACAATTGTTTCTCTTGACTGTGCGACCACGGACAGAATTCTTTCTCGAGGCATGATTTTCCGTCAGACTAGCTTTGCAGGGGATCAACGGGGGCCCGGGAATAGCTCCAATCCCGAAGTTGTCGGACAAGGCTGTGCAACTGGCACGTAAAAGACGGTGAGAAGCGACACCGGAAAAATCAGGGACGTTTTGACTTTGTTCTAGCCTTCTGTAGGTCAATAGTATGTTGTATAGCCTTCTTAACTATTAACGACCAGTGGTGACGGTGACACGACTCTGTCCTTTTTTGGGTCTTCGAGCATCCTAGTCACAACAGACAACCCCAATGGGTCGTGGAGTCCCCCAGAGCAGGTAAGGTTTGGGCTCCCAAATTTCCCCTCGTCCGAAAGCTCAGGGGGCCCCGACGGAGTGCCCACTGGGCTTTGGCTCAACTTACCACAGATGAAACAGGGCCCCTTAACTTAACTCAAAAGATCCCAACGAGCTGACTCGGTAGTGGCGTGCTCGTTGTTTGTTACTGGGGTTGGACGGTGGGCCGAGAACAGGGTCTACCCTTCTAGCCGACCTCCCATGGAAATAGTTCCGAAGGGCAGATACAAGGGTTGATACAAGCCGTCTCGATCTTGGAAGATCTGTCTAGGCTCGCAATGGAATCTTCAGTAGAGGAGGTTCCTTCACTGAAGACTGGAAGTATGATGGTTGGATGTCGAAGGTCACCATCAGATGCCTGGTGCCGGTACCGGTGGAAAGTAATTCCGGTACCGATGCCAAGACGTGTTCTTCACCGCACTGGGACCTCAACCGTCGATATCGACATTTGACAACGACAACGGACGGCTAGACGTTCAAGTTCCTCCTGTCATTCATTGAGTCGTCACACCTGATCATATCAGGTCAATATATATTCGAAAGCAAACAAGGGGGTGGGAAAAGGAAGATCATCGATCACCCCACAGCTGCATGGTGAACAGCCCGGTCTTTTCTGTTATCTCAACTACCCGAGAAGCATTCAGAGCTTTATCGTCTCCGGCATCCCATCGGAGCTCCAACATATTTTTCGGAAGGCTATCTTGTGGTACCTATTTCCGCACCATGGCCACCAAGATCAACACCCCTCGTGACCCTAACACTCTTGCAAACTATAACTATTGGCGCACAGTTCATACCTTCACCAAGTTTGAGATCGTGTTTGACCAGCAGAAGCTACAAGGCAGTGTCATCCACAGCATTAAATCAATCACGGGTGGCGAAACTGACGAGATTCTACTTGATTCAAGCCATGTACAAATCCACAACGTCAAAGCTGATGGCAAAGCAGTCAAATGGGAATTCCTCCCTCGAGCAGAACCATATGGTAGTCCGTTGAAAATTCAACTCAACCGAAAAGTCGGACTGGACGAGAGAGTCAACATTGAAATCGATCTGGAAACAACTCCCTCCTGTACTGCTCTACAATGGCTGACACCAGCTCAGACTTCGAACAAGAAACACCCATACATGTTTTCCCAATGTGAAGCCATTCACGCCCGATCCATTTTCCCCTGTCAAGACACACCAGATGTCAAAGCAACATTCGACTTTGAAATCAGATCCCCCCTCCCCGTCATCGCGTCTGGTGTTGGCGCCAAAGACAACCCAACCTCGCCTTCGTCAGACGGTTCAGCACAACTGTTCAAATTCCATCAAGGAGTCCCCATTCCCTCGTATCTCTTCGCCCTTGCCAGCGGCGACATCGCCACCGCCAAAATCGGCCCTCGAAGCATCGTCGCCACTGGGCCCGAAGAACTTCACGACTGCCAATGGGAACTCGAAAAAGACACGGAGAAATTTCTGAAAGCCGCAGAATCCCTCGTCTTTCCCTACGTATGGGGCGAATATGACGTGCTTGTCCTCCCTCCCTCCTTCCCCTATGGCGGCATGGAAAACCCGATCTACACCTTCGCCACGCCGACCATGATCTCCGGCGACCGGCAAAACGTCGACGTGATCGCACATGAACTCTCGCATTCCTGGTCCGGCAACCTCGTCACTAATGCCTCCTGGGAACACTTCTGGCTCAATGAAGGCTGGACCACATACCTCGAACGGCGCATCCAATCCATCGTGCATGGCGGCGATCGATGGCGCGATTTCTCCGCCATCATCGGCTGGAAAGCCATGTCGGACTCGATCGAGCAATACGGGCCCGACCACGAATTTACCAAACTCGTTATCGACCTCAAAGGCAAAGATCCCGACGACGCATTCTCCAGCATCCCGTACGAAAAGGGGTTTAATTTCCTCTATTACATCGAGAAACTCATTTCCAAAGAAGAATTCGACAAGTTCATCCCCCATTACTTCGAGACATGGCGTGGAAAATCCCTCGATAGCTACGAATTCAAAGCGACTCTTCTGAATTTCTTCAAGGACGACGACAAAGTTTCAACCAAGTTGGCCGAAATTGACTGGGACACGTGGTTCTACAAGCCTGGACACCCGCCCAAGCCAGACTTTGACACCAGCCTGGTCGACGTCGCGTACAAACTCGCTGAACAATGGGAGAAATTCACGCGAAATCCAAATCCGGACTTTGGGCCTTCCAAATTCGACGTGGATGGCTGGACCGCGAATCAACTGGTCGTATTTCTCGAGTGTTTGCTCGCGTTCGAGAGACCCCTCCCCGTCCCGCATGTGAATTACATGGGTTTTATTTATGACCTGAAAGAAACGCGGAACGTCGAAGTCTCGTCGCGCTACTACCAGGTCGCGATGCAGAGTGGGGACTTCTCCATCAAGGGCTTCGTGACCAAGTTGCTAGGCGAGGTGGGGAGGATGAAGTTCGTACGGCCACTGTTTAGGGGGTTGATGAAACTTGACTATGAACTGGCTGTGCAGACGTTTGAGAAGAATAAAGACTTTTATCATCCGATTTGTCGGGCTTTGGTGGCAAAGGATTTGTTTGGAACGAAGTAAATCAGAAGGTGGTGAGGGCTGAGGTGAAACTTGAGATCAAAATTGGTCCGGTTGACGTCTTTGTTAACTTTGAACTCGACTTGCTCGGATCGCAGGGGCATTCCCTGGGAGACGGAGCAGAGAACATTTGGCGCTCGATGATTCCAAAAATCCACAGTTGCGATGTGATTAGTCGCCCAATAAAAGCGAGTTCCAGATATTGCACTCGCCCATTTCGGTAGTCTTCCGCGCTAGAATGCGTGATGACTAGATTGGTCAACATCCTAATCGAGGCCCTGGCTGAAGTTGCTTCGCTGACTATGCTGACTCGTGTAGCGCTCAGGGGGTATCAATGATCAATCCACATTACGTCGTGGAGGGTTATTAGCTTTCGCGATGTGCTTCCGCGCCAGCGTCGCATGGGCGTTGTATAGTTCGTGATAAGCGTCGAGGTATCCGCCTCTCACGGCATGCTCGAGGTGAGACATGGCTTCGAGAATTCTCTCTTCTATTCCGTATTGATTAGCATCACCTTGAGTCTTCGTAGGTCTCCTCAGTGCCGGAGGGGATCTCATACATATATATCTCTAGGTTGCACTCACCTTCATCATCGCAGAGGAGACCTCTGTGTTTGGGCTGAGCTGTGCCTCCGCCTCCGGCGCTGCTCACATCCATGAGATTCCAGAGTAACACGCCACCAAGGAAGAATGAGTCAACGGGATTGAAATTTGCGTCTCGATCCGGAAGGGTCTTGAAGTCGCCGTCCCCAAGGCGTCTGGATGACTGCTTATTGAAGGCGGATATCCTGTTTAATCTCCGTACCTCTTAGACAGTGCTGACGGTGGCATCTTTAATACTTGCCAAGCTCGATAATTGTGGATTCGAAGTATCAGGTGGAAACCCGGCGTCCGTATTCTGTTGGATTCGCACGATGAACTTGACGGAGCAGCTGAGGAGTTTCTCTGCAATGGCTGTAGCGGTCGGTTGTAACATTGGATCTTGACTCCAGCAGTCGGCTGTGATGCTAGCAACTTCGGGGCAGGCGGGAAGATCTTGAATGGGTCCTGGAAGATCACTGGAGGTCAGCTTCAGGCAGACGGCCTCAAGCAGGCTGCCTCCTTGTAGGACGGATTCAGAGAGACCAAAGGGCATCTAACCAAAGACCCATTGTCATATTACGACTCCCAGGATAGAGCTCGATCAGCTCCTTATGTTCTTTCAACAGCTGATATTCCGGCGCCTCGTAGCGGCTATTGTACACGATTCCCTGTGGTCCGTTCAGTGACCTAATCAAGGACATCAGAGCCAATGGACCTGAATGGAACATTGGATCCATTGGGAAGTTGTCGTAAGATAATGGTATGTTCTGTGACCGACTTGAGCAAGACCTCTGCCCTGTGATATCATGCCATTGTCTTTGCGACGTTGGACGCCAACGATTATCCGGCGGTCATGATTTAGACAAGAAACTGACAAACTTTGGCTCTCATCCAAAGCCTCTAGGATAGCGGAGAGGGATCCGCGCGTGGAACAAACGGGCCCATACTGGATGCCCTGATAGATTTCCAAGTTCTTCTTATTGGATTGAGCAGCTGTGAGTTTGTAGCACGGACGGGGCTCAGATGTAGATGTGTTAAAGCGTCCGACCAATTTCTCGGGGTTATCCCAATGTACAACGTTTCCATCCATGTGGAGATCCGACTGGAGGGAAGAGCCGCCACTAGGCAGGTCACCGGTGCCGTTAGTGTCGAGCCTGCTTGCGACCATTCGAAGCATGGAGCTTGATGAGTTTGGGATCCCTTGGTAAACAAGCCTTTGAGATCAAGTAGCAATGAGTCAAAGGCTATCCACCCCGCCCCATTCCAAATGGATGGGGGATAACATGATTGATACTAATCCCTGCTTGTGAAAGAATTGCGAAAGAATTGTAGTGTGAGTCGTATGTCCTATCATGGCCGTTTGTCCAATCGCGAGGCTTGAAGTGCAAGTAGCAGACCCAGCCAAACCAGTCACACATGCACGAACGCCGAATTGATGGATGAAGAGGAGAAAACATAAGATACAAGCTTATCCATCCCTTAATCTCTCCATGAGAATTCTCAGCACCTCGTCCTCCCAATCACTCAGCTGCAACCACTCCGGGACGACAATACTGTGTCTGGAAATGATGATTTTCTCCTCTGTATGTGCCTCCACCGGGCCCGTTTGTGTTTGTATTTGGTGGCCACCGCGCGTCGGTGTAGTGGTAGTGCCGCGTAACGTTTCGTGTAGACTCAACTGGTTTTGCAGCTCGGCTTCCTCCGCTGGAGGCAAGGGGTGGGGAATTCTGCTAGCTGACGAGTACGAGACAGATCGCGCGAGACGGAGGGATCGAGCAAGGGACGTGCGAAGGTCGGGGAATTGTGAGTCGGTCTCCGCTTCGTCGTCGGAGATGATATCGGCGTCTTTTTCTTTTTGTGTTTCGTCAGGAATCGTACCCTCCCCCACGCCTGCGCCGCCGCGTCTGGCTTTCCTCTTCCTTCGTCTTTCTTCCCTGAGGGCCTTTAAATCGACGGGTGTCCACCAATAGACAGGGAAGCGGCGGCCCGCAATGTTATTCAACAACAAGGCGCTGGCGAGCATGAGCATTGATGCAAGCAAGACCAGAGGCAAGAGCCACCAGCCGAGCAGCTGGATCTCGAGGGCCGTTGCTGCTAACAAAGCCGTGGCACCGGCGGGAGGATGGACGCTTTTGGTGAAGCTCATGATGACGCTTGCGGCGCCGACAGAGAGAGCTCCCGCGAGCCATTGCAGATCGTTGAAGCGGTCGGGTGGGAGACGTTCGAAGAGCTTGGTGATGCCTACACCGACGGCAGCTGAGAGAAAGTGACCACAGATAAGATTTCTCGGTTGTGCGAGGGGTGATTCAATGGCGTTGTATTCGAGGATGGCAGCGGCACCAAAGGAAGCAATGACGAGAGGCACCTTCTGACCTGACAGAGTGGGTAGAGCGCGGAAGACATTTTCAATGATGGCGACGCCGCAGAAAGAGCCGATCAGGACGGAGATGTAGATTGTTAATGTGTGAAATCGATGGTAAGGATGGGGTGATGAAAAGAGTTTGCGTGGTGGACGATAGCCGAAGAAGTGTGATATCCATAAGGGCAGGTGTTGCATAGGATTGTGGGGGATGAAAGGATTGAGATAGATGTCGATATCAAAAGGTGGTTTGGGTAGGGGTTGAGCTTCAAGTTTAGTACCATGATTGGGTGGTTGTGGTGACATGAGGCGAGGCTGACTTGGTAAAATTCGACTTGGTTGAGCTTGGAAGGACACCACCACATCCAAACGGCTGAATGAAGAAATCAAAATTATAGAAGTCCAGGACGAATAAAGTATTCAACTCAAACGGATTCGGTTAAGTGATTTGGCCATTTGACCTGTGCGGTTGCCAGTTTGAAAATAAGAGAAAAAGATGTGAAACTGCGGCAAGAAAAGTACAAGTAAAGTTTCGATCGGGACGTCTAGGTTGAAGCCCAGTCATAGTCCAATTCAGAGGTCAGGGATCGAGAACGTAAATCAAGGGCAAGGTAGCAGCCGTTGAGAAACTATGCCGTAATATTGTACTGAGGCATCCAGACATCTCCGCTGCATCTCGAATCTGCCATAGAAAAAGTCATGGAAAAGCAGCAAGGCAGACGCGTACCCACCTTGCTAGACGAAGCACGAGTTTGGTGACAGAATTCTCCGGACCGAGGCCATCGTTTTGTGCAAATAACAAGCAGACGAGTTACGCGAGAGAAATGCAGTGAGTGGCCAGCGGGGAATAGATGTAGCAAAGAAAAATGGTCCGATCCAGGTACCATGCCTTTTCCGAAAAGAAGCTATAGGCAAATCCGGGGGGAGAGGACAGAAACGGCATAGAGACTATTTGTGAGATCATTGGACTGGGGGCTCGGAGTGAAAAAGCGGCGCGGGTGGAGACTCAAATCCGTGGTACAAGAAGACTCGGTGTTGAACAATAGTTGGTGTTTCTCTTTTGGTCCGGTCGAGACTTCTAGTGTTGGCCAGTCACGTGACGCGTTGCCTTGGCAACATCACGTGAGGATGTTTGGCTTGGCAACTTGAACCCTTCCTTCTTTTCGTCTTGCTCTCTACAACACATTCCTTCTCTAGACTCCACAGTCTATCACCTAGGTATAAAAGGGTTCAAGCTGCTGAATAACAAGGCACGTTATAGGCAGGAATTGGACGTTGAGGCCGGTGCGATTCTGGTCGTCATTAGGAGAAGCAGTGGGCGACGGATTCCGGATTTGGTCGATGAGGCCCTGACGGTGGCGTTCTGTGAGTAAGAAAAACGATACGATAGGATACGATATTCATACACCCTGTACGGGCTAAGCCCATAGGGGACTAGGTAATTGCTACGCGCTACCTCCGTTATCCACCGGTTCATTTTAAGCCCCGGCTGTTAGACTGTTGCCCCTTTCGAGCCATCAACCCGGTCATCAAGAGCGCTTTCCTGAGTGTTACTGGTCATTCAACGGTGCAGCAATTACCGGTGCCGGCTCTCGCTCTCTCCTTTGGGGCAGCCATCTCTTTCATGAGTTTCGTTTGCAGTCGTCCGGTGGCTTTTGCAAATTCGAATAAGAAAAACGTGCCATAGTGAAAACAAATATTTCCACATCACATGCACCAAATGCACGTGACATAAACCACGTGATCTTCTGTACACTCTTTTCGCAACATTTGAATCGCCAAAATCTCCACAACGAGTGCTCCAAGAATACTGTAACTCTTAATATAGCTGCTATGAGCCTTTAAAATTGGATCAACCAAAAAACTTCGAGCTTTTCTACGTCTTCGTATGTGTAAGTAGAGTGTTGGAGAAAAGTTGCGTTTCGTGAGCTAAATGGTACGACGTACAAATTCCAAAAGGGTGGACCATTACGCCAGAATAGCACTTATTTTACCTCCACTCTGCAAGCATATATGAGCGATTTTGAAAGCTGAAAAGAGGTTGGCTTACTAGATGAGCATTTATACACACGATAGAGCAAAAATACGAGTCTTTTACGCAGTGTTCGTGGCGTTCTGTGGGGTGTTGTAGCCGGTGTACAGAATGTGGTGATGTGCATCGAGCACGTGACTACTGTAATTCGGTTCGTTTGTCTGTGATTGGTCCGGATTTCGAGATTTTCCGGCCGAGGCGCCTCTGATTTTCTCATCCTCTTCGGTTCGTCGCCAGTTATGAAATCTTCGTTACCGGGAAGAACCCTCGTCGGTCTCATTCATCGTTGTCTCGGTGATTCCCAGAGCCTTGCTCCTTCATTATCTCGACTTCACTCTCGCCAATTCACTTCTCACTGGAATATTATGCTCTGTCTGCGGCTCAGGAAATCCTTCCATTTCCACTCCTTTTCTGAACATGAGACAATGAGTTGAACCGCCGAAATGGAACATCCCAATCTCATCGCCTTTCCTGACATGCTGGCCTTCCTTCACCGTGATCTCGCAAGTTGACACTTCACACATCCCAATGCCCAAGAACGCCATGAGTCCAATCGCGGGATGGTCTGCGTGGAAGAACATAATAGCTCTCGTCGATGTGGCCGTCAAGTAGCCCTGGCTGTTGACCGGGCCCGCCGGATCCGCCGCATGTTGGGCCGTGAACTCCTCAAATGGAGGTTCCGAATAATACGATCCATCCACCACGTACGCTTTAACCAGTGTTCCTGACACGGGCGCGTGCCATCTGTGATAACTGAGTGCGTTCAAAAATGCCTGGTATACAGTCCCTCCTACAAATGGCTCTGCGAACGCATCTTGAGCCAACATGTCAATCACCGAGTACGGCTGGCCCTTGAGCCAGAAATGATCTCGCGCGTTGACGTTGTGGGCGACCTTGAAGGTCTTGGACTCGCATGCATTGGCGATCACGGAATCATCATCCGGACTTGCCACAGGTCTGACGCCTTCTTTGAACAGACGCGTGAAGAAATCATCCCATGACTTGTACCCGTAATGCGGGGCCGAAGGATCACATTGGTACATCTCCTCGAAGGTGTAATTCGACCTCCCCACATTTGCCGTGAAGGTGAGCTCGTCACGACCATGAGGACTGAACCAGCTTCCGTGGGCATTCTTTTCCAGCACCCTGGCCGACTCGGGAGAGCGAAGGAAATCACCCCACGCGTTGAGAACTTTTTTCAACATGGCGTTCACGTCGGGATCGAGAAACACGGCAAACCCGCTCTGCGTCCCCATCGGCCAGTCAAAGAGGGCATTGAAGGGCAACCCTACCAATCCAACACGCTCCGACTTATCGTTCCAGGACGGAGCGGTGGTCAACAAATGGTTGATGACTTGAAGCATGTGGACATGATTGCGAACTTGGGGGTGCCCGCTACCTCGAGGGTCGGTTTTGTATTTGTCCGGGATCTGCTGAAACATGGACTCGAAGAGCAGCCATATTCGAGTATTCTGCTCGATGAGGTCCTGAAACTCTCTTAGCACCGGGTGGAGATCTTTGCGATTTTGGTCGACGTGATTGATGACACCGACCAGCCAGTCTTGGTGAGCTCGGTGGTCGTGTGGCAGCCATTCGCCGATTCTGTCGTCTCAAAGTCAGCCGGATATTTGTAGTTGGAACCAACCGAGGTGGAGGACCGACCTATGGAAATGGTGATCGGCCGGAATGTTGGCCTCGTGTTTCATCCTGGGGAGATGTCTTACGAGCAAAGGAGTAGCTAGTCGAACCATCAAGTGGAGGAATGTCGGATATGTGAACTTTTTATGGGGGCTTTGCGTAATGGTCGGATATACGTAGTCGCTATGTCACTTGAAAACTCTGGCGACATACCTACGTCACGAACAAACCTCGTCAGTTTCACGGGCAAGTGGTGGGCCTTGATTCTTGTTACAAGCGAAATATCAATATGCATTCAATTTCAACTCCCTTCTTGAAGATCCGACCCTAAATGCTCCATAACGCAAATAACTTGTACTTTGGGTCGGCCTGCAAATCCCGTTATCAATTCCAATTTTGCCATGCACACTCGCAGCCCCCAGTGCCGCCGTCAATTCCTCCAGCATCTTGCTCAAAACTGTCACTGCCACTGTCGAAAGATCCATTCACCAACGGAGGCGCAGGATTTATCAATTGTCCACCCAATCCCCGAGCCTCGGGGACAATACTTTTCACGTCTTCTTGAATCACTTGCAAATCATCCACCCCATAACAGTACACTGCCTTCTTGTTGATGTTCCCACCATGTCGATCCAGGCTAAGTGTAGTAGGATATGGGAATGATCCCGGTCGGTTGAAGTCTGTTGCCGAATTGGGATCTGAACTCGTGCTGTTGACATCACCGGTGGGAGCGAGAAGCGTCGCTCCAAATGCCGAATTCGTCCACATTCTCACCAGAAACCGGGTTTGACTGAAAGTGCATCGCAATCTGGACTCGTCTCGGGTCGATCCACCGTTCTCGTCTTCTGGATCTATTCCGGCATTGTTGGAGAACTCCGACGTATTGATGGGCGCCGTCGAATGAAGGAAGATAGCCTTATCGTAATACATGTAGAACCCATAATGTTCATCTACCTGACCTCGGTTGTACAGCTTGATGGGCTGTGAGGTCGGGTACGGCGCCGTTGGCAGAAGATTCGCTGGAGCAGCGCTGCCATCGGCGAGAACGTCTGGGGCAGGTATCACGTCCGAAGAGTTCGTGGCTTGTCGCCTGACCAGAGCTGAAGCGTTTGACTCGGACTCGGTGATACTTGAAGGATCAACCGGGAAGACAGGGATGAAGGTGATGAAGAAAGGGGTTTGCTCTCCCTCAAATGGTTGCGTGATATTGTCGGTGGTGTTTCCCATGAATATCTGATCTCCTCGGCTGGGAGGGTCCGGGTTGGGCTCGAAGAGATCATTGGTAAATGGGTCATTCGCGCGCTCCTTGAGAATTGTTGACCTTCTGGACAACGTGTCTACCGGTATCGTCATGTTTGCCGGCACGGTACCATTTCGAAACGTGATTTCAAACCGGAAGTTTGGTTGGTTTGGATTGTTGGGTGCAATTTCGGCCTGACTTTCTTTGGGGAGTGCACAACTCCAGAGAGTAGTAGGCGCCACACATTGGGATTCTTGTTTGACAGCATCTGGCCTTGCAATCGTGGAAATTCCTGTAGGAATGGGAGGGTAGCCAGTCAGATTGAGCCACTGGCTTTGAACCGGTGTTCCATCTCCGGTGCGAGTAATCAGAGTCGCCAGCAGAATGCATGCGATCACCATTAGGAGCAAGACCATGCTGATAATGAACGTCCATCGACGGGTTATGGTTTGGGGTTCTTCATTTTTCTTGGATTTGATCTTGCTGAGAAGGCCTTTCACTTTTGAAAGGAACCCCTGCTTCTTTCCGTCTTCGAGATCCTTTCCTTTGGCCATCTCCTCTCTTGATGATGGTGCTTGACTGGCATCTCGGGTGCTATTCATGGGTTGGGACTGGGATTGCACAGTCTCCTTCCGTGCTTCTTTCGTCACAGGAACGCTACCAAACGCGGCACTGCCGGAGTATAGCGGTTGATTATGTACTGTGATCGAGGACGGCTGCGCTTGATACCGGGCTGGTAACTGACTCTGCATATGTGTTTGGTCTAACGAACGAACTTGACTCGGTGGCTGGCTCATTTCGGCCATGGGAACGGCACCCTGGGATGTCATTACTCGTTGCATTGCTGGCGAAACAGGACCTGGTGAGAGTACGGCCGGCTGAACACGATGCGATGGGACTCCCGTCGCAATATTAGGATGTTGACGATCGGCAGGAGGGGGCTCTACTTTAGAGGAGAGCTGATCTAAATTAGTTTGAGATGTTGCTGGCACTTCGACTGTCGCTCCTCGCCGTGTCTCTTCCGCTGGTTCTGGGGTATCAATCGATCTCGCCTTCACCACCGTTGCGGTGTCCGCCTGTCGAACATTCGGGGAAAGTTCTTCTGGTTCAGATTGGATCGTGACACCACTTTGGACTTGCCGGCCCGGTGGTCGAAGGATATTACTCTCGCGAAGAACCGTCTCGACAGGTCGGTTGACGTTCCTCGGCTCTGCGAAAGGCTCGGTCAATGACTTAGAGTCAAAAATAGAATGTAACTGTGGTAGTCTTTCGGCGCAAGAATGGTTCTGGCACTCAAAATATTTGCTGCCCCTCAGTTGTTCCACGGCGCAGGCATGATAGTATTCTGCTGCGAGACCATTCCCGAGATGACTGTCTGAAGAGGCAAACGACGTTCCGTTCGAATCCTTGAAGGCTTTCTCTTCCTCTTTCGGATCGGGAGAAGAGTCATCCCTCTGGTTTGGTGGAGAATTCTCGTCCCGGTCCTTTTCCCATAAAGTCCATCGAGACCAAACGCTAGCTCTAGCACTAGCTAAACCAAATCGCCGTAAGGTTCCCGGAGACTTTCCCAGTTCTGGGGAAGTTAATTTGGTCATTGAAGGATCCGCCACTGGTGGAACTGACGGTAGAAGAGGTGTTTCCGTGCTCTTGGTACCGGATTTGTCTGCCAGAGTGCCCTTTCTTGACAACGTAGGCGAGAGCACAAGATTCCACCAGCCTTGAGATTTGTGTCGACGGGTCTCAGTTTCCGATGTTAAGATTTGTTCCTGACTCTCGGACGATGCTCTCCGTGCGTTTTCCGCATCATCAATTTCATTCCCGTCGTCAATTTCCAGATCCTTCGCGTATAGTCGGGGATCATCTGGACTTTCTCGAATAATGCTCGCACCCACAGCTGGCGCACCACTTCTCTCGTGACCGGTATGGGCCGGTGGAATCTTCGGCACCGGTGGAGTGTCATTGTGCTGAAACTGCTTCTCATTCCATGGAAGTGCAGAATAGATGCTCGACACAGGTCGTGCTCTGCCAGAGAATGGAGGCTCCCAGGAACCTGTTTCTTCAGCTGGTGTCACCACGATCGCCGGTGTGTCGGGTGTATGCAACGACAACGCACTGTCTCCTCCACTAGTCGGTCTGTGGGCTTCTGCTTCATTTTCGGGCACACTGAGTCCAATGACGATTGACCGATCACCGGGAGAATATCCATTTGTCCTAGCAGACTTGTTATGAGGCCGGGACTGATTGGTGAAAGTATGACTTTGTCCAGGAGGATTCATGTTTTCTTGTCTGTTATCAGAATCCCCTGCTTTCATTCGAGCAGCCCGTAACTCCTGGAGCCTCGACAATACTTCTCGACCGATCCTCCTCTTTGATCTTTCCACGCTCTGTAATCCGTCGCCAGCGATTGCATATTTTTGGCCATGGCCAAAGGCGGATTGATCTTCTGAGATCCCATATGCCAGGGAGGGGACCACATGTTCAGCCCTTGCAGACGCGATCGACGTGGCGTGTCTTTGGCCTAATCGAGGTTTTCGTGACTGCACTTGCTCAATCACTAGGTCATCAGTTTGGGATCGTTTTGTTTGTTTGGAGAAGTCGGTAACAATGTTCAAACCGGGTCGTGACTTTTTTTCAGGTTTAGGCATCGATGTATTCTGCTGAGGTCGCCGAACAGCTTTGTTGCGGTTCGATTTCGAGATCTGGGCCATTCCGTCTGTGTCCTGGCTGTATCTTTCTAGATGAAACTCATCTTGCCCGCTGGATGATCCACTGTCATCATCAGAAGGGCTGGAGGTGAATGGATCTGAAGACAAAAAGGGATTATTCGTGGCGAGCGCTGCCGTGCCATTACCAGGCTTGAAGCTCGTGAGAGTTTCAGCCGGAGGAGATGACAATGGAAAAGCAGGAGCTCGATTTGCTTGGCCATGTTGCAGGTCCAGCTCTCTTGGTGTAAGAGCCCTAATCCCCGAGGGCTCAAAACTGGTGACCATTATTTCGAGGTGGAAACAGTGGATCGTCCCTTGTAGGCTGAGGCTGGCTTCACAGAGAGTGGCATAGCCGTGTATGCTGTGGTTGCAAATTGACTGGCTGCGATGGGATCAGATGTGACGGAGAGTATTCAATATCTGCAATTAAATCAGAGGCGTATATGAGGGACGTCCAGGCAGTTGTGAGCCTGCCGAAACGTAATGTTTTTCCAAACTGTCTTTTGATGAATTAGGTACCAATAACAATAACTCGAGAACAGAAGGATTGGGATCGAACGAGGAAACAATAGGAAATAGTGAGAATTTCTGCTCATTCATTAGTCAAGGAATATCATTGCCATGGATAGAGAGAGTGCGGTAGAAATATTGCGGCAACCCGGGAGCTGATAACATTTGAGAAACATGGTTTGACCAAGCCATGGAGTTGTTCCAGCAGTCTCAGACAAGGTCTGTCCACCTACACCAGAGTCCTGGCGTTTGTTGTTTGAAGCTGCAGCGCGCTTCTGTGAGCTCAACATTGCGGCTGGGAAGGATTTCCAAACATAGCTTGCACGCCAGAGCCTCGCGCGTATCCGGGCCAGCGGTAATGCTAGTCCTCAAAGACGACCTTTCAGCTGGAGAACGAAGAAAACGATTGGAGGAAACAAGAAAGGTAGCGAAGATACGCGCGGAGGGTGTTTTAACGTTGGAAAGCTCGCCGCCAACGAGAGTCAGGTCACGTGAGATTATCCGACAAGTTGTTTCACAAGGCTGGGGAAAGCAGTTCTCCATAATTAATTTAGAGATTCCATGTACAATTCGGAGCCATCGTGACTTGGGCATGGTCCATCTTCTCCTAATTTCAGAAGCAGACTCTAGCTTCAACGGCTTTCCCGCAATCATCAAACAGAACGAGGATGCTCCGATACTGTTCACTCCCGTCCTGCTCATAAATCCATCCACCCGTGTGACCATGGTATCATGAAAAAAAAAAAAAAAAAAGATGATCACCCCACCCAAACTTCCACGCCTGGAAGCCATTCACTGTGCCTGGCTTTTTGGACCGACAAAAGGGAGATCCAAAACCAAAGACGACAATATGTCAGCCTTGAAGTTCAAATGATAACAAAGCAACTCAGAAAATATTACCAGACACGGGACACACAGTTCTCCTCCTTCGAGGAATTCGACATTACCGCCGGTCTTCTGAGGAATATTGTATCCCTTGCATAGACCCGCTGTTCATTATCGGCGGAAGTGTCCTTGCTGGCTCAGTTGGGCCATCTATGTGGTTATTGAAATGCGATCCATACCCGAGTGGACTCTGTGGCATGGCTGTGGGTGGAGGAGGAAATGAACCTTGGGGCTGCTGTAAGGCCCGCATCTGTTGGCTCATTTCGTGTAGTTTTGCTTCTAGTTCAGCCATTTTAAGGCGTTGGCTTTCGAATTCAACCCGTTGTGCCTTGTTTTGATTTTCGAGCTGCGAGATATAATCGATGGCTAGAAGTTATCAGCCAGTGCTCTTGCAATGCCTCATCGCAGATGGAACGTTGCAAGGTGAACGTACCTCGTGACAAGGTTTCCCATTTGCTGGATTTATTATTTTGACTTGCCGGCAACCTGGTTCGCAGCTGTTCGAAACAATCTTTCATCTCGCTTCGTCTCTTGCGTTCAGCGAGCTTGTGTGTTATTCGGAGTTCCGGTGTGCGGCTATAGGGTGTGGTTCCGTTGGGTGAGTCCGGGTCACTCCGAAGGCTATCGATTTGTTTATGTTGTAGACTGTGGTGATGAGCTTCCGGAAGTTCTATAGCTGTCAGATTGGTCAAGACCAAAAACAGGGACTTCTTAAACTGACCTTGTTGGCCTAATGGCAACCGGGAGGATTCCGTCGTCAGGATGCTGCTGGTGAATGACTCGGCAAAGCTGTTTCTTCGCGAAAACGTCGAGTGTGGTGCGCCTTGTGGTCGAGGGGCATCGGGATCGGGAAAGGCGTAGGCTTGACCTCGAGTGGGAGCTTCGGCGCTGTAGACTTCTTGTTTGGGGTTTTCCAATATTGGAGGAGCTACTCGTCCAGCAGCAAATCCTCCTCGTCCACCACGGTTGGACCCGAAGGACGAGATGGGTCCACTCATGGTTGAGTATCGACTTCCTGAGTAGCCATTTGTCTGGATTCCTCTTTCCCTTTGGAGACCGGACACCAGCGAGGTTTGGGAGGCATTGTTGCTGGTATACGGGGAGGTAGGCCCCAAACCGAGATTATTCATGCCGGAGTGAATGCTGTTTGACACACTGCTCCTCCTGGAATCATCAAAATCGCCACTTCCTCTGTTCGGATTCGGGTCGGACGTGGGCGCAGGCAAACCGTTGGGGGTGTGCTGCAATCCACCATTGAAGGGCGCCGGGGGGGCAGAGGTGTTTTCAGGAGTGTAAGGCGACGGTCCCGGTCCAGTCGGAGAATGAGCAGAATTCAAATATGGCATAGAATTGGCCGAATGGGCGGAAGAACCTGAGACTTGGTTAGCGACGGTCAGCAGTCATGACCTGCCGGGGGGCGCAGAGGACTCACGAGCTCCAGGAGTCATCCAGCTTCCGGAGTCCCTCTGAGGTGGGTGAATGGAAAGATCTGAAGGAGCCCTATCAATGGGCTGAGCTGGGAGCTTCGCCGTCAAAGAAGCTATCGAAGGTAAAGTCTGCGTCGTTTGCGGGAGAGACGGTGGAGGGTTGGTCTCCCAGGGGCGGTGGCTTGTCGTCTCCATCTTGTAAATATACCTGTCGACTTGTGGTCGCTGGCCCTGTCGAATATGACTAGCTCAGACAGCGACCAGAGTTGTCGTTGTTGCGCATACGGCTCTCCAACAAGCTTTGTAATGTCCCTGGCTCGTCGCTTGACGAGCCCGCAATGTCCAAATGTATTGGCCAGCACGAACTAGGAAAATGATACGTAAAGAGAAAGAGGTGATCCAAGGAGGCTGGCACAGCAGCGATCAGTGATACAATCTCTTGGAAGGAGAGGTACGGAGTCCGAACGCAGAGTGAGGGATGTTCAGCGCAATGCCCTGCCGCGGTCAAGGAAAAATAAAACCAAGCCGAGAAGTGTCTGATTTTGCCCTTCCAAGGATATCCTTAATGGAGCAGCAATGGGGCAAGATGTCAAAGGTTCTCCGTCCAACATTCAAAAAGTAGCCAGGAAGAATGTTCCAATGCGGAGGGGCTACTTTCCAAGCAGATCTTAGGGTCGCTTCGTTCTCTTTCCACAGCTGCTGGGATGACCCTGGAAAACGTGGCGCGGGAGATGCTGTGGACCAAAGATCGAGGCAATGCAGCTTGCCAGGGCGTCGAGCAAATTTTTCGAGGATTTGAAGGGTACGAGTCAGTTGTCATACGCAGGTGCGGTAGAACGCAGGGAAAGGATTTGACCTAGCCACGGTCAGGTCCGTCTCAACGAGGTCTGGAAAATGCGCGAAAGAGGTTGGGCGACTCTGTCGTTGCCCAACGGGTTGCAGTGATTGAGAGAAAGTTGGTTCGGTATGGGGTGTTCGAGCCAGGGCGGCGCGGCGGGAAAAGGTTGAGTATATCGATTTGAGAGTAAGGGATGGAGAAAACGTGAAGCGCAGGGGAGAAGGACGTAAGAGGGTGGGACCCCAGGAAAGTTCTCGAGTTATTGGGATCTTGTTTTTCAAAGGACCTTTCCAGCAAAGGATGCACTCTGGAAAAAGAAAAGGTAGATCGCAGGGGGGGGAAGAAAGGAACGACGAACGACGAAAGACAAAATAAAAAATGGTTTGACAAAAGAGAAAAGAGGAGGGGATTGAGACTCGCTCAAGCTGTCAGTCAATCAATCAATCCGACCGAGACGAGGATGAAAGATGGAGAACGAAGATGGAGATGTATGCAGATGGGGAGTGCGCAAGTGAATGGATGAACGGATGGGATGGCTGGGTGGCTGGATTGGCCAGTGCGAATGGATATAGCTTCACCAGCTCAAATCGAATTGAAAAAGAAGGTTTTTCAGTTCAAAGGGCAGATAGGCAAGTCCATTGAGGCCTCAAAGTCTCCAGAGTCCAGGGGCTTATAGGGGATGACCGTCTCCAGTTTTGGCCTTTCCACAAGCCTCAAGCCTCAAATCCAGCCCCAGGCGCACGCCAGCGAGATCCCCGGCAGATGATGGACTGTGATTGAAAGAGAAGCATCCCCATCAACTTCCAAGGTTCAAGGACCAGAGCAGGGGAGCTTCCGGTGGCAGACTAGGGATACCTGGCGATTCAATTGACTTCCCAACTGGATGTATGTACGTAAATTTGCCAGTCACCGGCCACGACTCCGAATTGATACTTGTACAACAGCAGAGAGGAGAGCGTGAAATACGGAGGGATGAGTCCCGAGCCCAGAGAACTTATTGGACATCTGGTGTTGATGCTGGTGGCCCGTATCAACAACTGTGCCATACATACCGGAGCACCTTTTACCTACATTCACGGTTTTCGGCATCCTCAACCATCTTCTCTGACAACCTGCCATCTCGTCCGTATGTCGTGACTGAGCATCCGAAGAAACACTAGTTACTGCAGTGCCGTGCCACCCACGTGCGCGTATTGCATTGCGGCGGGCCGTGATAGTCAATGAATCAAACACCCTGCTGATCCTCGACCCTCAACTCGATTTGACTCGTGGCAACCTCGTGTGCGATTTGCCATCGGTTGATCATTCTGCTTCCTGTAGAACATCCCGAGGAACTTTACGGCAAATTCAGCCATTCTCGTTTCTCAGAAGGGATCAGAACATACCTAGGATGCATCTCTTCTGGTATTCCCTACACATCTGGGTGGTGACCCATCTCAGACTTTGAACGGCCACCCCCTGAACGGCCAAGGACCAAAGCTCGTTAGGCCGGCCTAGCCATGTGCTAGGGAATCCTGGTTCTTTGTCTGCCCAAGATTTGCTAGGCTGTGCCCGCGGCGAAGCTATTGATGGCGTCGTCCAAGAGTTCCCTGCGACTCTGTACGACCGCGCCTGATTTCTCTCCCTGACGATGATCTTTGCCTTTTACAAACCCAAGGTTTCTCTGTATGTGGCAACTATCAACATCACTTGCTTTTGCTAGGAAGGGAGAGGACCAGACCTGGCGCATTGTTAAATGCCCTCCACGGTCGACACCTGACCGACCTGAGAGATTGCAGAGAAAGATATCTTTCCAAAATCTCGTTCACAACAATTGGTTTTCAGTTCTGATCAATTCAACCCCAACTTTGCTTGGGTGGGCACCATGGGACCGTGCGCCATCAATGACGTCGAAAACACGAGCACCAAGACAATTTTCCCTCGTCGTGGCCTGTGCCTCAAAGTTCATAGCGTCCATCACCATCAAACCAGAGCTAGCCATTGCCCGCAAGGTTGGTCGAAACGTGGCAGCGGCAGCTTTGTCGTGCTTTTTAAGGGTCACCGTCATCTACAGGAATAATGTCTCTAGGCACGGTTGGAACGCCATATCGCTGTACTGTTCAATTCTTACTCAAACTGACACATCCACCAAGTCGACGTTCAACACAAAGTGAATCAAGATCAACAGGGCGACTTCTCCCCACAGCCAAACACTTTTGGCTTGACATCTCCCGGCATCCGTCAACCCACCAGCCTATCCGAACATGCTCGGATAACTTTGCTCCAACATCCCCACGCTCTTGGGGGTTTCCATGACGCCCAAACACGAGCAGCACAGCATCTGAATCGTGTCCACCAACATGTCCTGACCAATACGTAGAATTGGACGGCTCGATATCCCGAGATAGGCATTGTCCTACGTATATAATTTGGTCTGGTACTATGAAACGACATCGAGGAAGGATGCTCTCTATCATCGGCCTGGATTGGCCGTTTCATCAATTTGGCCGCGCAAACAATAGAGCATTTACTTCTGATCTCTCCGTGACTTAATAGTTTCACCACCACGAAACTTTGGAAGAGATCGAAGCACGTCATGCACAGATCACCCTTGGATCCTCGTTTTGCAGTTAGCCATGGGTTCAGAACTTCGCCTAAAAGGACAAAATACGTGGTCTCGACCCTTTTTTTTGTGGGAGTTCCTCACGTCTCCCTATACTTTCAATATCTTCTCTGCCATCAGAAGATCCGCGACGGTGTCCTTGAGGGTCGTATTGAGTGGCGTATATTCAATACCCAAGACCTTGCGCGCCTTGCTACCGTTCACCTCATACATCGGTGTCTTCAACCCAAGCCCTGGAGTACCTTCGGGAATGCGATCCAGGATTTCGGGGAAATCAACTCTGAGCAAATCGACAGCGGTCTGATAGTCAAAGTGATTACCCACCAGGAATCTTTGTCCGCCAGCTTCCTCGCTCTCGTATGCTCTTAAGTGAGCCAGCGCGACATCCCTCACATCTGCAAAGCCTCCAAATTCCACCGGGGGGACCTCTTTCCTCGACCCATCAACCAGGGGCCAGATTGTTTCGGTGGACTCGTTTAGATGATCAAGAGACTTGATTCCGTTGATGGATGGGCCAAAAATCCAAGGCGGACAGATGCTGGTCAAATTAAAGGATGGTTTATGGGACTCCATCCATTCCCATGCAGCCTTCTCGGCGAGAGCTTTTGCTGCACAGTAAGAAAAGGCGCCATTCGACGAATTTTTGGCTTCTTCATACGTGGCCGGGTTCCAATCGGCTTCCGTATAGGTGTACCCGGGGCGGAGGTCTTTACGCTGTCAGCACAACACGGCGGATCTCCGAACCCTGAGCTGCAGCGGCTTCAAGTGCGTTCAAGACACCTCCAATAGAAGGCTTCAAGAGCTCACTCTCATTGTCTTTTGGCTGGAGGATGAAGGGATTCGCTGTGTGGATAACGCCCGTGACACCTTGTGCCGCATCATGGAGAGCCTGGGGAGCCGCCATGTCGGGTACAACGACAAACGAAAGTTGATCGACATGCGGCGCATGGGCTTTCTGGATCCCGGGAATTGATTTTTCCGATCGAACAGTTCCCCGGATTTTGTAGCCTGCCTCCAGAAAAGCGCGAGTAATGTGTGAAGCCACGAAGCCAGAGACACCGGTGAGGAGGAGGGTTTGTTCCGTTGGAGGTGGTAGTCCCATGTTGAAAGAAAATACCAATTTGGCAATTGATCAAGAGCTGAACGAGAAGAGGGACTTTCTCTGCAATTATCCAGTAAGTTTTGATGTTTGATCGAACGGCTGATGAGATGCAATAGGAAGATGGAAGACTTATATTGCAACCGGACTCCACAAGAAGAAACAGCTTTTCGCAGCTCGCAAGTTCTTGCAGAAGCGTTGTGTATTCAATCTGCCCATCAAGCTAGGGGATGTCCAACATTGATCCCCCAGATAATTTATATACAACCATTTCTAAAAGGGGTTAGAAAGAGCAAAAATCCAGGAACTGGCGCCTCACCAGAAATCCTCACGGAGCCAAGGCCCGTATTCATCTCCAAAATTTTCGATGACTAACGCCCAGACACGGCTATCATGGCCGCAACCATTCTGCAATTATATAACCGTTACCTGTTGTCAGCGTGCATGAAAACAGCCTTCGCCCATTCCCCGACATGAGCGACGGCGGAATAGAATAAAAGTCAAACTTGCGGCTTACTCAGGAATACGAATCAGTGTATCGGATGACTCTACCATCGGTGATGAGACACGATCACCTTACATCAAACAACTCATTCTCGATGCCAACGTTGAACAAAACTCCACGGCTCAGAATCCATCAGTTCTAAAGCCCACGACTCGTATATGCCATGTGCCGGCGATGGGGCTAAGAAACATGTAAAGGTTCCCACAATGTCGTCGACTCTTCACCAGACTGAACAGAGAGCTGCAAACCCAGCTAAGCAACGGCCGCTCAAATGACCAATCATGCTTGTGCGCCACGTCTCAGACTATGAGCCATTACACACTCCCGCTGTCCTGACCTTTTTTCACGCCATCGTAAAAACTCCGATCGCGGACTGTACAGTACCATCACGGCCTCTTGCAGAAATTGGCTCCATAGTACCAAATACGAAAAATCACAAATCACAACATATCTCTGGTCAATACGTGATTTCAAAGAGTGTTGACTGCACTGCTAATTGGCAGGCGCTGCTGTGGCATATGGTAAACAATAATTGAGACGGTGCAGCACAAGCTCAAGACACCGAGTATGATCCTGCCCTCTCCACGCTGCTGCTTCCTCCATACCACTCTCTCGCATGATTTATTTGGCGACCTTGCAGCAGCGATTAGTGTCCAAGTTGAAATGTTGCAATACTCATTGAGTTCCTTGGTAAAAGCCATGCATCTGTCATGTTGCGTAGTTTCGTCTCTCCGGCTCAACGCAAGTTGCAGGGAAATTTCCCGCTGAATTTGGCGCCCGATGCCGCCGCTTTTGGAGGCGTTTTTCCCGAGATGCCAAGAACGCTAACCGTCTGCCATTCCAGATTATGGTGTTACCGACCACCATCGTAGCATTCGCATTGAAATTGAGCAAGTCTTTCGTGAGTCCTTCTACGTTGTTGGTATATTGCTCGAATTGAGAAGGGTCTCTGTTAAGGTATAGGGTGGCACCGTAAGAGAAGTACTCTCGTGACGCGGCAAGGGAATGTAACACCGTAGCTTTTGTATTTTGGGGCAAGTCCCCAGGCTCGCTGCACTCGAGACATCACGTGATTGAGCCGGCCACGGTGGTCTTGGCGATTCTTGGCGGCGCACACATGCGGCCCTACCACGATTCATGTGATTGGCGCCTCGCGGGATCCGGAAAATCTATAATACGAGTATTACGTAATCCTGCGCTCTGATTGGCCGGCACCATCCAGGAGGGGGTGGGATGCCGCCGTAGTCCGGAAAATCTATAATCCGACATCCAATCACGTGCTCTAGCTGGCTGCCCCCATCGGATCCAATCCACGGCCACCTAGGAATGGGGGCCTTTGTCTGCCAGACCCCCTGATCGGATCCAGTCCATGGATCATATATAGACGATATTGATCACGGTGTCCTGTGCCGTACGACATCCTCCATCGGATCCAGTCCATGGACCATGAAGTAGACGTCGGTATACCCAATTAGCCGACAACGATATCGGCGATATATCTAGCAAATATCGATACATGGGGCTTAGACATCGGCGATGAGATCGGTATCTGCTATAAAGACTGATTCGTTCTCCATATATAGTCTAAGTCTCGGTCTTGGGACATAACAGTATTTGCCCTCTTGAAGTGATCCAAATCAAAAGGCCCCTCAAACAACAACCTGTCTAAGGTCTTCACCCGTGATACCGCTACATACGACAGGCCCAGGCAGTGCTCTGTTTGACTTAAGTCTAGAACTACCCTCGGTAGGGTTAGGCCCTGGCTTTTATGAACCGTCATCGCATAGGATAACCAGACGGGAAGCTGAGTACGGGAGCATGGTATCCCGCGTGATGCTCACGACAAATCTCTGGACCGAATTAGGACTGGTGAATGGATCGATGGGTTGCATCCAAGATATTGCCTGGCAGGAAGGCCAGGATCTTTCTTCGATCCCATTCTTACTCGTCAAGTTTGACAGTTATACCGGCACCAATTTCCCCCAATGTGACCCAGGAGTCGTCCCGATCTTTCCTATTAATCGTCAGTTTGATTTCCAAGGGCCTGAATACAAAGCTGAAGTTCCGGGCAGAGGTTGTCGGCCCTCCCCTCCGATGCCTTGGCGGCATTTCGGCCCTTATGCCAGGCTAGAACCTTCTTCACGGGCTGACCGACACCGGACAGCTTCTTCCCATTCATCTCCTTCACCTCCGTGGGGGACAGGTCATTTGCAATCTGTGTTCGTAAGAGTTCCAGAGGGAGAGGGCGTATAGATGATTCCGGGCGGATTTCGGGCCGTACATATAGAGGAGGGCTCGAAGGAGCCTCCGTAAGCTTGGGACGGCTAATTGGAGGTCGAGGAGCGCGAGAGCCCTCCTCTTCTTCCTCCTCGCACTATCTCTAGTGCGGCATTTAATACAGCTCGAAAGAGTTCTGCTCGCTAGATGAGAGGGATCTGTAAGGAAGGAAGAGAGAGGAAATGTACGAGCGCACCTCGAGCAACATTTCGAGGCCATTCTAGGTCAAAACAACGCGCGCGGGGGCCAACGCGTCGTCCGAGGTTCTACCAGGAAAGCACGTGATTTATTTTTCGCCCACGGAGGGGACACGTGCAGGGGGATCGGGATTTAAATATCGACATCGATATCGGGTAAAAATTCCAACGGCAACTGAACCTCAGTTTCCAGCCGTTGCCCTCTTGAGTAATCTCCTCCCGCTCTCATTGGCCCATCAACCCCTTCGATGGGTTTTCCGCCTCGGCTTGACCTCCCATTCAGAGACCTTTCCACTCCCACCTGTTTTATTTCCAACTCCTCCTCCCGTCTTTCTCGCACCGCTTAATCGAGACCCCCTTCACACGCTCCCCAGGTCCGTCTCCATTCCACTCCCACCTGCCGCGACTCCTCTCTCCCCTCATCACCGCCCGCGGCCATCGACCATCCTACACCTTCGATCTGCTAGGCATATGTACGAGACGAGGCTCGGCAGCCAAGTTTCCATCCTTGTCCATATCCCACAACAAGATATGACGTGACCCGACAACGATGACAAGGTGTGCCTGCAACTCAAGGCTTTCTTCATTCACCCGTCGCCGCACGTCAGCGCTCTTAATATAACCCCTTAGCTGCGGGCCGTCCTTTTCCGTAACCTGAGACTTAGTCGTTCCGTGGTGGTGCTTGTCCCAATGCATGAATTCAAGCGCAAGGATTCTGTTGAGCTTGTACTGGCGAAGCTCTTTTGCTTTAGCGATGCTGTCGCAACCTGTTACATTCAGGTAGTTGATTCGATAGAATTTCCATTCGGTAACTATCAGCCGTCCGGGAACCTGAACGAGAAGATCGATACGGCCGTTTGTTCCGTCTTGCTACACGAGACGTTAGATATTGTCTAGCTAGGAGTGAGTAATGAATTTACCTTTGTCACTTTGAACTCTGGCCATGGAACAAGAAAACGGTTTCTTAGGAGGCAGAAGTAGATGCTATCCCGATGGTGTTCTTCAGTCTTTTTGGTAAGATCATCGGCGGTGATGTTCCGTTGCATCATCAACTCTCGATAACAACCCAACGTTGGTTCAAGTTCTCCGTGTTCAACGAGGTGCAGCAGTGCTTCTTCGAGAGAGTTGCGCAGATCATACTTTTCGAGAATCGCGAGAGCGATACGATCCGCCGCGACTCTATTCGGTATCTTGAGCTGCGTTGTCGGATTTTCAGGGTGAAACGTAAGGCCGCCGAAATAGACAAGTAGTGAACGCCATGAGGAACCATCTCCAACCTCACTCTAAAAGAGATGTAAGTTAGTATAAAGGAAAACTGGGCTAAGATATTGGCTTACCAAGTTTCGAAGCGTGAATTCGAGTTTGAAATTGAGGTATTTGAGAGGCGTAAAGTTCCCTTCTTCGTCACATTTTAGCGCGTTTTGCAAATCTTTTATCACTGACGCTGAGCCAGCGGATAACCTAAGAAACTGTTCAGATATTTCGGAGTTTTGCGGGTCTCGAGTTCTGGGTGTCTCTCCTTCGATACGACTCTGAAGATATGACAAACACGTCTCCGTGTTGTAAACGGTTTCGACCTCTTTATCCTGACAGAAATGATATCCGTTGAAAAATTCGGTCATTTCCGAAAGAAAACCGCTGTGATCTTCACGGTCTTTGTAGATTTCCCCTAGTGCGTCTTTCAAGTCCGAAGATGTCAAACCACAAAGCCCGGCCAGGTTCTTATTGAATGACACATTATTTGTCACATTGAACGCACTGCCCAGACTGGATAAGGAGAGCGGTGAGATCCCTGTGATGAAAATCCTTCGGATGTCCCCCTCTGCGCACAATGACTTCATCGTAGACCAGAAAGATTTGAAAGTATGTCCGACTTTTGTATCATCCCAATCGACCCCGGGTTCTCGGACGGTCTTGGGTGGTTTGATGTAGTTGTTGGGAAAAGCATCGTACTCATCAACGAGCACGTAGATCCTTTCAATACCGGCAAGTCGGTCGTCCTGCTCAATCGCATCTCCAACTACCTTGGCACATCTCACAAGACTGGTGTTAGGTGCTTCACTGTTAATATGTTGACACAGAGCAGTAAAGTTTCCGCCCAAGTATGCAGCATATCGTCTATAGAAGTTCTCGATAGCATCGTTCAAGAAGTTTACGAGTGCCTTATTCGCCTCCGTAAGGTCCGGGCTGGCGTTAATTCTGGAAAAGTCGAATGTCAAGACGAAGTACTTTCCGGGGCTCACTTTTCTTTCATCGATGTCTTTTTGCACATCGAGACCCTAGAATGATTGGAAAAAGATGTAATTTCTCACATCAAGGTAATTAAGGATACAGTTGCGTACCTTGTACATCCATCGATGTTCATCTGCATACTGAAGGCCGTGGAAATGTTCCAGCATCCTTATTGTTAGTGTTTTGCCGAACCGACGTGGGCGGCAGAAAAGCATGAACTCGTCGAGTTTGCCCAACTTGGAGATGTAGCCGGTACGATCGAAGTAAGCCTGGCCCTCTCTCTGTAGAAGATTGGGAAAATCCTTTGCTCCGGATCGGAAGTACTCTAGTTCGCCGTTGATTATTAGGCTACCATTGTCAACTCGGGTTCTCTTTGGCGAAGGAGCCATCTCGGGCGTATGCTTTCTCTTCCTCGTCTCGGGGCCTGCAATGAGATGGGAGATGGATTAGTGTAAAGAGAACGGTAAAGAGGCGTGGTCAGTGGACATACCAGTAGTCTTCCCTTTCGCGACCTCGCTCGCCAGCATCGCGAGACTCTTGCTAATCCCAACTGACAGCTCGCATTCATTTCTAAAGAACCCCATGTCGCCAGCAGAATTAACAAAGATATTCTTGTTGATATTTGCGGTTTTAAATCTCTCAAGACCTTCGCCTTTGAGCAGTCCCGGTCGCTCTTGGTCGATCCATTTGAGTAGGTCGTCTGCATCCCATTCGTTTATCTCGTCGATTGCGAGCTTGCTGTGGCTGGCTTGCTTGGGGTCGTCCATGGCGGTTGGTAGGACGGCGTATCAAGCGGAGTGAAACGAGCAGCCGCAGGCTTAGGAAGGAGGCGTAGGAGTGGAGGCAGAAAGATAAAAGATTCAACGGCCAACAAATGGACGATATTAGGGTCACGACTTCGAGGTGTGGAGAGAAGAAAAGCTTTGTTAGGCAAGACTGAATAAAATGGAAAAGGGTGCAAGTTGCGACATTGCCAAGCCAACTTCCTCACGTGATAACCGGGCCGCAGATATGTGATTTCACGGAGGACTTAGTTGGCATTCGAAGAGGTCCGAGGGACCGTCTGACTATATAGTATCTGAGGGTTACTAGCGTGCTTCGAAGACCCCTGGTCATTACAAACCTTGGCAGACCTTCGAAAGGGTCACGTGGGCCACCTATAGTCACAGCCTCCCCTATCTAGATTCGAAGGCCCTCCTTCGATCCACAAGTTCAGGCCTTCAGAAACCCTTCGAATGCCTTCAGAGGAAGTAGAGTAGACAGACTGATGTTGGAGAGGGCTCCCGGACGTTGTCCGCGAGAGCCAGACGACCTCGTTGCCGCCTCACTTGAACGTCGAGAGAGAGCGTGACGTAACGGCGAGGGTATTCACCGCACGCATGGGATTTTTGTCGTGATCGATCCGCGTGACGTCGCTGTCGGGAGAATCGGGTGAACGTCGGCGGAGTGACAGATGGCAGTGAAGTCTCTCATCAACAAAAGAAGGCCTTGTTTACCTCTTCGCGTCTGTTCTCTCTCTCATTCCAACAATCACTTCTCCCCGCACCTCTTGCCTTCGCTTCGAAACTTGTTTAACAACTTCAACACGCTTCCGAAGTCTTTCTTCAACCGTCTCTACTTCTCTCTCCTTCTTCCTTGTTGTCAGGATGTCAAAGGGACGCGGTGCTGCGACGATGGGAACCTTTCAACCTGTCCCGCCTGGAGCAATGACCGGCTCGGGCATGGGTGGGAAGCCTCCGAATGATCCCAACGATCCACGCAACCCTTGGAATCCGCCCAACGAGCACTATGTGCCCACGACCACTCTTCACCAGAAGTTGCTGGAGAAGATGAAAGAATTGACCCAGTCGAAGCCTGGCAAGCCATGTTCGACAGTGAGTTGAAGCCCATATGGACTTCGTGTTGATATGAAACTGACACTTCGAAGACTCGTTGGTCACACACTCCTCAGCAGAGTGATCCTCCCCTCTCGGCCAAACAATGGCGTAGATTGTATCGAGAGACACCAACCTCGTATCGTGACCGTCAAGTCCGATCTCTCCTCAGCCGTCCAATTGCTCGCGAACTCGAGTATTGGGGTGATCGAAACTTCAAAAACAATCACAATCATCTCGGGGGCGCGATGGGATACACCACTGGCTACATCGAGGACAAGCCGTGTGACCATTGTCGCGATTCGGCCAACATGACTTCGCAGAAGGAACCGGTGTTTCCCGAGTGTGTTTCTGCCCTTCGATATCCTGATCGAGATGAGCCGAATCCTGAATTCTTGCTTCGAGGTGGTTGTGCCACTTGTTACTTGAAGGGCACAACATGCAGTCTTTCAGCTGGTCGTCGAGGGTATGATGAGCCGATCTCGTCACCCAATCCTAATGTCCAGCCTGCTTCGGCTCCCACACCACAGCGTCGCTCGCAGAGAAAGCGTGTCATGTCGCCGGCTGTGTCGCCCGATGATGATGCTCGAGGTGCCATCCAGATTCGTCGAACCGTCCAGGGTGAAGACACCTCTGCCTTGTTCACACCTGACCGTCAAGGTCAAACATCAGGTCCTGGCGTGTTGGCTTTTGCCGGTGATGTGGAGGGGGAGCGGCTCGAATTTCGTGCCCCAGCCTTTCGAACCAACGATGAGCGCACCCAATTCTATGCGCGTGTGGTTGCGGAGGCTGCTCGAGCGCTCAATGATCCTGACTACACGCCCGGCCAGATCCAGTACCGTCGAATCAGTCCACCTCGATCGCGTTCCGCAGCGGCTCCTCACGCTTCGCGTGTCAGGCACGAAGTTCCACCATCGACTCCTTCGCGTGCACCCCAATCTGTCTCCGACCCTCGTGGGGTCTTTCGCCAAGGTGCCGCTCGTCCACAGCAGGCGATCCGAGCGCAAGAGCTTGCTCTGCAGGCTGGGTATACCGTCTGGCATGATCCTAACTACGAGCCGACTCCTGCGACGCCCACGGCGTATCCGTACGATGTGCCACCGCCTCGAAGCCAGTCCGGCCGTGTTCCACCGGCGGCGCAGATGCCTCGGTCGGTTTCGAATGTCAGCATGAAGGGCGTCGAGCACGAGGGTAGTCCCGGGGGCTCGAGCACTGGCCTACCTCCCTCGGTGTCAGGGAATCGACATCGGTCTTTGGTTCGTCGTTCCGCGTCTCGAGAGTCCAGCGCAGGGCTTCCACCGCAGCTCGGAGGATTCGGGCAAACCAGTCGACGTGGTTCGCAGGGTGGACGTGGCGCGTTGCAGTCTATCGAGGATGAATTCGCAGATGATGGACTCGACCTCGGCATAGACGTTGGTGACGATGTTGCGAGGGAAGATGATGAGGACGAGAACTTGCAATCCTCACAGCACACTCAGCATTCTTCGAGGTCTCGTCGGTCGGCGCCTTCGCGTAAATCGGGCGCGTCGAAGCGGTCGAAAGGTGGTCGTTAATGGGTGGATGGTTTCGATGGTCTTTCTTCTGCTCTCGGGATGATGGTTGGAGGATTTGGGGACTCGACGAGATATGGGAGGACATGGGATGACTTGTGCTTCTGGAATTTGGCGTTTTGGCGTTCACACGAACCGCAGCACGCGGAACAGGACACCTCGATGAAGCTTGGAGTTGAGGGGTGAGCCTCCCAACGCGTCTCGAAGGTGACTTTTGCGCACGAAATCTCCCAAAACAGATCGGGTAGATAGAAAATCCACAAAGCTGTTAGATTACCATTGATTCCTCTTTGGCCTAGGATTTGGCCTCAGTGAACGTCCTCCTGCCTGTCGATCCCTTGCGATGGGTCTCGCAAGCTCTTCCTCAGGCGATTGCGAAGGTGCTGGACCATGATTCAGAGTCTGCGCAGCCCGCGGTTTAGGCCTTGCGGCCCGCTTGGTCGGTCCCCGCACCTTTATCTCGGGGTTTTGCTCACCTGGTTGGCCTTTGGTGGCTGCGTACTGTGGTGTCTGCAGCTCCGCCGCATCCTTCTCGATTTCCCTAGTGTGGTCGGGCCTAAGCAAGGGCACCGTTCCCTTCTCTGCGGTTTCGTAGGAAACAGGAGGGAGCAGAGCGGGAGCCATAAAGGTCTTCGAGGAAACGCGAGGGGATCGCAGGGGGTTCGAGATGCTCTCAGTGCGGTGGGGAAGCATCTCGGAGGGGCCAATCAGGGGCGATTGCGGATAAGGTTCATTAACGCGAACCTTATCCTCACTAGCGCGAACCCTATTCGAGGGGCTTCTTACAGTTCCGTTAGCCTTCGATGTTGGTCCGTTGCCCTCATATGCAGGTTTATGGTGTGCTGTTGATGGTTCGCACGCCATCGATGGTCCTTCGATGGGCGCTGGGGAACCTGGGTATGCATTCTGGAAACCCTCAAAAGCCGTATTCATGGTGGTTGGGTTTCCTGCAGTTAGGGCCTCCTGCCGTGGTCTAGGTTCCGCCTTCTCTCGGATACCGTCTTCCATTGCAGTGGGCGGAGCTTCTTGTCGCTCCTGAAGGGGTGGATGGGCGTCAGCAGCCGGCCTCGCGGCCGCTCGTGGCTCGCCTTCCGTCTTATTCCCCTTTCTTGCGCGTTGTCGCCGCTTCGAAAGCGTTTTCTGCGCACCTAGCCCCTCCCCTATCTTGACTGAACGATCCCCGGATCGCTCTCGCTGAAGCCATTCCTGCTTCGTCAACATAGAGAGTTCGTGGTAGGTTGGAGGTGCTTCTTCCTTTTCCAGCACCTCGAGGATTTCTGCCGAAGGGTTGAGCATGCTTTCCTTGGCCTTCCTCATCTGAGCTTGCCACGCTTGTGTCATTATCGTGTGCAGCTCCTCATTGGTGTCTGCTGAGACGTATTTCTGCAGCCTGGAGCCATTCACAGGCTTTCGAAGCACTCGCTCTCCGCTTGCTTCGAGGATATAAGCTCCAAACCAGAGCTTTTTCAAGATTCGAAACGGTCCGAAGTACGTTGCTTCGAACTTTTGACGTGTTTCATTCCTCAGGAGTACTAAATCTCCTTCCTTCAGCGTCATGTCGGACTGGGATAGCCTCGTGGACCGTAAGTGTTTGGCATATACCCCACGTTCGACAAGAAGCTTATTGGCCTCGTGGCGGGCCGTGTGTAGGTTCTCCATTCGGATGGCAAAGTCGGCATCGAAGTTTTTCAGGTCGAAATCCTTTTGATCACCCGTCAGCCTTGGTTCGATACCGTAGACAAGTTTGTAGGGGCTCATTCCGGTGACTGAATGGGCTCGAACACGGCAAGCGAAGAGGGCCGAGGTGAGATATTCGTCCCAAAGGATGATGTGTTCGTTGATCAACTGCTTGGTAAGGATCTCCCCGAGCATTCCGTTGAACCTTTCGACCTTCCCATTAGTCTGTGGGTGATAGGGGGTAGTGGTTCGATGCTTGACTTTGACCCGGCGCAGATAGTATTCGACGATCTTCGAGTTCAGGTTGGCGCCGTTATCCGAAAGGAGCTCGTGGAAAGCCCCATATTGACAATAGATCTCGAAGAGGAAGTCTGCGACAATCTCATCTGTCGCTTCCGGAACGGCTTTCGCGATGGGCCATCCCGTTGAGAAGTCGATGGCCGTAAGGATCCACTGGTTACCGTTCGGGGTCATTGGCAAGGGCCCAACGAAGTCGATGGCCCATTTCTCGAACGGCCTCGAGGCCAGTCGAACCTGCGTGTACGGCTCTTCTCTGCGAGTTTTGGGGCGTTGAGAGAGTTGGCATTGCGAGCACTGCTTTGCAAAAGCCATCATATCGCGGTGCATATTTGGCCACCAACCTCTCATCTTGACGACTCCATCGAGCGCCGGAGCACTATAGTGTCCATAGTGGCGGTGATAGTACTCGATGAAATCCTTTCGAAAGGGAGCGGCGATGAAGGGGACGTAGTACTGATCGATTCGGCGGTACAAACGCCCATCTTCAGCCATGAATTTGTCTAGGTCGGGCACTGACTTTAGGATCTCGATTTGTTCCTCAGTTAAGTTCGTGCCTGCGGGACTTGAGAGGCGGTCGATGAGGGTTTGCTCCCATTTGTGCCCCTCATCGAGCATCTGTGGGCTTTCTTCGGCACTGGCGTGAACATTCAGGGCGACCAAAGCCTCGTCTGGGGTTGGAACCCAAGCCTGGTTGGCTGCGCCCGTTCCGAGGAAGTCTGGGCGGCGCGAGATGGCATCTGGAACCACCGCCTCCGACCCTCTACGGTATCGAATGTCCAGCTTGAATTCCGAGAATTCATCGATCCACCGAGCCAACCTCTTCGAGGGTGTTCGGGTGGTTGAGAGATACTTTAGGCTCTCGTGGTCGGTGACGACCGTGGTTCGATGGCCGTTCTGGATGTATGCGATCCAAGTTCGAAGAGCATGCTTGATGGCTAGGAGCTCCTTTTCATGTATCGGATAGTTGAGCTCTGCCCCTCGAAGCTTGCGTCCATCATAGGCCACGGGATGCCATTTCCCATCCTTCCCCAGCTGCAGCAACACGGCCCCTAATGCCCATTCCGAGCAGTCCGTTTCAACTCGAAAGGGTTGAGCTTCGTCCACTTGCTGCAGCACTGGCTCCGACGCAAGGGCTTGCTTCAGCATTCGGAACGCATGTTCGCATCGAGCATTCCACCGAATTGGTCGGAACTTCTTCCTTCGAAGGTCTTCATCAGCTTCGATAAGTAGGTCCGAGAGAGGAGCAGCGATCTTCGCGAAGTCCCGTACATATCGCCGATAGTACGAGGTAAGTCCCAAAAACTGGCGAACTTCGTGGACATTTCGAGGCTGAGGCCATTCAGTGATAGCTTGGACCTTGGCAGGGGTAGGCTTGCACTGTCCACTGCCGACAATATGCCCACAAAACTCCAGTTCTGGCATTCCGATAGTGCACTTGGACGGTTTCGCATACAGTTCATTCCTCTTCAAGGTCTCAAGGACCTGTTGCAGGTGTCCTTCGTGCTCCTCCTCCGAGTTCGAGAAGATGACAATATCATCGAGGTACACGATGACGAACTTGCCAATGAATTCCCTCAAAGCGTCATTCATGATGCGTTGGAATGTCGAAGGAGCATTAGTCAACCCGAAGGGCATCGCAATGAATTCATACTTGCCAGATCGAGTGTTAAAGGCTGTCTTGGGAATGGATAATTCTCCCATCTCGATTTGGTAGTAGCCCGAAGTCAGGTCGACCTTCGAAAGGCATCGAGCATCTCCGATGGTGTCTAAGCAGTCTTGGATCCGAGGCAGAGGGTATGCATCCTTCTTAGTAACGTTGTTCAGAAGGCGATAGTCAATGCACATCCTCCACTTCCCCCCCGGCTTAGGTACAAAGAGGACAGGGAAGCCCCAAGGACTCGAGGACGGTCTGATGAGGTCCTTCTCAAGGAGCTCACGGATTTGCCTATCTTGTTCGTCTCGATGTTCTTTCGAAAGAGGATAATACGGAAGGTTGATGGGTTTAGCGTCGCCAGTGTCGATGTCGTGCTTGATGTCTCTTTTGCGCGGCTCCTTGGGTACGATCTCATCTCGAAAGACCGAAGCATTCCGTTGGAGAATAGGTAGGAACCGTTTGTTGGTACAGGGAGGCATAGGGGAAGAAGTTCGAGCCTCGGGGTCTTTGTCACGAAGGATCATAAGTGTTGGTCGAATGTCGTCTTTGTCGTGCGTTCGGGACTTTTGGATATCTTTCGCAGCCTTGCGGTATCCAAGGAGGTTCAACCCAGCTTCCTGAATTCCACTATGATCGATAGTTCGAAAGGGTCTGATGGCTATTGGCGAGGTCTTGCCACTCCCATTCCTGACTACCAACCGGGCTAGTCGGAAGTCCCAGCGGGCTTCATGACGCTCTAGCCAATCCATCCCGAGGATCACATCATATGCATCCCAATCGAGGATGCGCAAGACCGAGCGTGCTCGAAACTCTCCCAGCGTCAAACCTGTCACCAATTGTTGCGTAGTGCGAGATACGTCGCCATTTGCGAGGCGTACCCGCACGGGGTTGGTCTCTTGAACCTTTGAATCCCCTTGAAGACGTCCAAACGCCTTCCTGGATACATAGGAGAGGTCGGATCCGGTGTCGATAAGGACCGTGATAGGGAGGGGATTTTGGGTCCACCCTATCGTTCCGTTGGTGAGATTGTATCCACCGGATGGTTGGAACTCCTCGCTTGAAGTCGAAGTGGCATTGAGCGATACGTCGAAGGGATGTGGCGGTATCGCTGGAGCGGGGCCTGGCTCTTCGTCTTCCTTCGAGGCCTCTTCTATGTCTTCGTCGCTAGACTCCTCGACGTCTAGCGACGGTTCCCTTTTCCCCGCCAGCCTCGCCTCTCGGGCTGCTTTAGGTTGGGACAATCTCGCTTATGATGGCCTTCCTTGCCGCATCCATAACAGAGATTCTTTTCCTTTGCATTGGCCATAAACCCCTTTCGGTCGGAGGGAGGCTTGGAAGAAGGATCGAAGGGTCGTCCTTCTCCTCGGCCCTTCCGCTTCGCGTCGAAGGCAAACAAACCCATCTCGACGTCCCCATCGGCATCCTTCTTAGGTTTGCTTTGGCTAGGGCGAGAAGCGGGGGTGAAAGCCGAAGGAGTAATCTTGGTTCGATGGCGGCCAGCGAAGAAATCCTTGCGGTTCCGGGTGCTGTTAAGCTCTCGTTCGCATTTGTCGGCGAAGAGGACATACGCCTCATAGGTGTTCGGGATGAGGGCGTCCGGTACCAGCTCGACTCTTTGCCGGATATGTCCTTTCAGACCTCGCTTGAACGTGAGGAGACAATCGGCATCAGACGGAAGCGGGTCGAGGTAGAGGCGTCGGGCGTCGATGGCCTGGCGAAAGGCTTGGACCGTGTCGGTTTGCCTGAGCGAGTCGAATTCGTCCCGACGTTGCTCTTGGGTTCTCACGTCGCCGAACTGGGCAAGGAGGGCGGCCTTCCATAGTTTCCAATGCTTGTCGATGCGGACCTCTTCGGATTGGAGGTAGAGGGACTGGTACGTGAGGTTCCACCAGCTTCCGGCTGCCTTTTCCAGATACGAAGTGGCCAGGACGATCCGTTCTTCGTCCGTGACGGTTCGATGGACTAGGACAGCCTTGGCTGTCAACCAGCGCTCCATTTGGATGAGCCAGACACGGGCCGCATCGCCTTCGCGCTGCCCACCATAGCGAGGGGGGTCCTTGAGACCACCAAGGGGGTATTCCTTGAGTCCAAAGGGTAAAGTACTGGCAGTAGAAGGGTCCCCGGTACTGTAGGAAGGGGTCGAAGCAGTTTCCTGGGCACGCGCCTCCAAAACTTGGGTCCGTTGGAGGAGGTCGGTAATGGCTCTTTCGACTTCCTCGCCGGTAGCCCGACGGTGCGGGCTGGCACCTCGCTGTGGGCTGGTGGTGCGATGGTGGCTGCCCTCGGGGGCAGGAAGATGCGGTACGTTGTCTGACATTATACATGGGGTAAAGCAAGATGAACGAAGTTCTTTTGGTTGGTTTCGAAGTACAAACACGATAGAGAATAGGATAAAAGAAACGATTTGGAGAGGGAAAGGACGACCTCGAGGGTAATGTCTTCTTATAGGAGCTGTCTACCTCGTCCAGCGAGGGCGCTTCTTGGACAGTCCACCCCTTCGTACGCTCAGGGGGACCCCACTAATTCGAACAGAACCTTACTGAGTGGCCATGCCATCTTTTCCGACCCTCCTCGACTCCTTTTCCTTCCTCCATCAACACCTCCTGAGAATTCCTCGGACGCCGAAATGCATCCTTCGATGGTTCGAAATCGCCTCAGGGGCCCAATAAAGGGGTCTGTTGCGTTCTAGACGGGTCGACGACGGCCTCCTGAACCTCCTTGAAACCGTGGGAGGTGATAGACTCTTGCTCGTAAGACTTTCATCCCGTGGTGATGGCGTTCAATCACGCAGGATACGAAAGTTTGCGACTCACGAAGGTCTTGGCTAGGCTTCGGGGTTCAGGGGTATGTGGCGTCGACACGAGGGAATTTCTCAAAGGGGGTCTTCTTTGCCACGCACCGTTCAGATGGCTCGCCTGCCTTCGTAGACCTCCGAAGAGAGATAGGAGACTCTCTCATCGTAGAAGGTGAGGTCGTCTTGCAGGGGAAGACTCTCTTTGTCGTTGTCGAGATGTTGTAGAGAGGTTTCTCGTAGTGCGTACTTCGAATTGATTGTCGAGGGTCAATCAGTTGGATCGAGGACTGTCTGCTCCTCCTTTGAGGCCAGACAGAGGCCTTTGCAGGCCTCAGCCCACGGTAGAGGGCTGTCCAGAGCGTTGCTACCAGATGTGATTTCACGGAGGACTTAGTTGGCATTCGAAGAGGTCCGAGGGACCGTCTGACTATATAGTATCTGAGGGTTACTAGCGTGCTTCGAAGACCCCTGGTCATTACAAACCTTGGCAGACCTTCGAAAGGGTCACGTGGGCCACCTATAGTCACAGATACGACATTCCACGGAGGGGTAAAAATGTAGCTTTTTGTATTAGACGAGAGGTTTCCACAGACGACGACGTTACAGATGGTTGCTCTGTGCAACGATGTAGCATTCGCATGCCTATAAAAGGAGCCTCAGGACCTCGACAAGTAGATAAGTAATCAGAGCGCTCCTTCATCTCAAGTTGCACAAGAAGTTTGACATTACGTTGATTGTTCCATTGATTCCTCTGTCTCCTCGTAAGAGTCTGCTAACTGGTATCTATATATGCTTGTTCATGGAGTCATAGATATTAGGCAGTAGTTCGACAGCCACCTTCTCCTATTCCATTCCATTATTGGCCACAAGTCCCCTTGAGGTTAAAGATTGTTCCATAAGAGTTTTCACGCATTCGTTACGATCACTTCAAAGCTCTTCCACGTCCTTACGCGGCTAGATCGTCGCATTACATCTTCTTCCCTTCATCGATTCATTTGACACTTCGCCTGCCAGCCGCGATGCCCATCTCACCGAAATTTCGGCGAACTAGGCCGAGGACTCAGGTCCTACCTGAAATCCCCATTGTCGAGGAGATGAAAATGTGGGATAGGCAAACGGTGCTTCAGTGGATCCAGCAAAGAAATTCCCTCATCTTCCAAGGTGACGACCTGAATAGCTTCGACGGCGCGGGGATCTGCGGTGAAGTCTTTTTGGACACCAGTTACGATTTCTTCCGTAAAGAGTGTGGCATCCTCCCCGGACCCAGTCTAACGCTTACGCGTTATCGGGACGAAGTCCTGAGGACGGCCACTCTATCTCCAAAGGACAAGAGGAAGAGGGATGATGAATCTGTCGCACCGGAATCACCCACTAGCAAGCCGTCGAAAAGAAGATATCAGGCACAAAAACAAAAAGACCGCGCTGATGACGACGATAAAGAAGAGAACGATTACGACCACGACTATGACACCGACAGCGCTGCTAGCTACAACGATCCATCCTTTGTTCCGCCAGCAAAAAGACCAGAGCATACCCGTCAGAGAAGGAAGCTTATTGAAAAGATAATAAAAGATCTTCGTATTGAGTATTGCAGCCGGTATTCTGGGAAACGATTATCAACAACGTGGACGGCCTGCACACAAAGAGTGTGTTGTCAATTTTGGTGATCTCAACAGGGAACTCTGGGCCAAGTACCAGGAAGCCCAAGAGAAGGCAGAGAAGGAGAAAGCAGACAAGAACGCGCAAAGGGGAATTACAGAAGAGAGCGCAACAGAATACAGAACAGGAAGCAACCGAGGCGGGAAAGACAGGATAGGGGCAGAAACGACGGGGATACGCACAAAGGGCCACTGAATCGGTTCCCGATAGGCAGCATCAGATCGACTGGATGGGAAAGCCCCCTTCCGATGTTATTTCACGGCGCGTCTTCGGCCGTCCGTGGTCGTAGATCTCCCTCCAGCATATTCCGCATAAATAATGCGGCGATTCTAGCTTGAAAGCTATGAAACCTCCAATGCACGACATGATTTCGGTTCGTGAAGATTCTTCCGGCCCCAGAATGCCGCGTTGGCTTGAAGGATGGAGTCATCCTGAGAGGTTGTTGGCGGCCAGTGAGCCTCATGGACCAGTTGAACTTTGTATGCCACTATCCAAGGCAAGGGAGGAACCATTCCGTAGAGTCATATGGCCACGAATCATCCGCACGAAGACGCTGGCAGCTTCTACTGTCTTCATCGTGCCCGAGCTCTTTGGTAATGATCTCGTTTAGGGTCTGAAACATCCATTCGTTGGTAGACTCGTTGATCATGACAGGTTCAAGTGGGGTAGATCTGCGAGGAAATTGGTCGTCGCGACGTTCGATATCGAGTGGGATTGACTGTTTAGCTGGACGAGTATAAAATACCTTGCCGGTGTCGAGGCATGTCCTCTGTCGAGGCAGTATCTTCGCAGCGGCGTCGTGAAACGTCTCGTGTATCGCGGAGAAGGTGTAGAAGCGCCATAGCTAGTGGGTATGTTAATATCCGTCCTGGCTATCGGGCTTTGCAGATCCTTCGTATGTGGATCTGTGAAATCGAGTGGGAGAGAGGGATCTATATTTGCATGAGGCCGCCCACCGGCATGTCGATGCCATAGCTTATCAAGTCTGTCGCCGCGGAGATATGGGATTTATGGTCGCCCATTCTTTCGTCGTTCACACCGTCTGCCATATCACAGTTATCGATGGTGATATTAAGGGTTGGATCGTCCTTTCAATTACGAATCTCTGCCCGTGTTCGACGCATTTGGGCCTTGCGTGCCTTCCACACTCGTTGATACGAGCAGGTGACCCAAACCGACTCAAGATGTCTATCCCCTTGCGGGATAACCCATTGGCCTGGAGAAAGCAGCCCATTGCTACCGCGGCAGTCTCACAGGCCCCGTTTTGTTGTAATTGACAGATGTGTGCGAGAGTATATGATATTCGAAGAAGCGGGACCGATCTTCTTCGTTGCGGACGTTCCTTCGGCTAGCAAATCTCACGTAGTAATTGTACCGTCTGTGGCGCCCGTTCTTGAATGGCACTCGTCGGGATAACCGGGTCGCTCAGCGTCGAATTCGTATTATCTGTCACCTCAACATCACCCGAGAGCTCATCAAGTTTGGCAATCCGAAGAATCTCCTGGTGTAGAAGTATATGTGCCGCCTTCCACAAACCAGATTCAAATATGGTCTTCCACTCCTTGGTTGTTAAAAGCTCCTGATCCAGCTCGAGCTCTTGGTTCGTACATCGGCTCGCGAGCCTAGCAATAAATTTCTCGAGTTGACCAAACTGTCCCATTACTGCCTCCTCTTTGCGGTGATCGAGGATGTATTCCAAGAATGTTGATAATGTGATTTCATGTGCCCGGGTCATATTGTGTAGGATCGCTGCGCATTTCTCCTCAACCGTGCGCGGTTTTCATCTCCCGGGTTTAGTATTGTCAGAATTCTCCAGGATGTCTTCGTGTAAATCCACATCTTCTTGCAGGTTCGAGTCCATCTCGTTGTCCTCTTCGTCTAAATCCATGTCCTCTTGTATGTCCGAATTTACCTCGCCCTCATTCTCTTCATCGGACCAACCGTCCCAGGAGTCGCGACCCGATCTTTCTCTTCTTGAAAATCTCTCTTCTTGTCCATACTACATGGTATTGCCAATCGGTGGAGACGAGATTCGAAGCAGGGGTAGGGAGGACTTCACGTTCAGGCCGTGATGGGAAGCAAGGCAAGCCCGTTGACGAGGGGGTTAACTGTGAGAACCGCGGGATACTAATGGAGGAGTGGCGGACCGCACGACTTGGCGCAAAAGCTTGGCTTGGCGCATTAAGTGTGTGATTTGGACTTGGCAAAAATCCAAAAAACAAAAAGAAACGCAACACCCCTCCTATAGCCAGTGTATAACTCACTTATAGATGGGGCGCCACAGCCAGCGAAAGTTTTCAGTCAGAGCAGTTCAACCAGAAGAGAATCACCTCCCACAGAGATCAAGTGCGACATCGACAATCACTGGCTGGAGCATTACGTTTACCCATCTCGGGCACCTAGAAACTAGGCCGGACAACCCTCTTGCCTCACCTATGATCGAACACTAATGAGGTCCCTCAATTCTATCGGTTCGACTGAAACATGGACTGTTCCCTAGTTTCGTCCTTGATAGGTCAACCACGATTTGGTGTCAAAGTTGAGGGGAAATTTGGCCGAATAAAGAATAAACCTTAATTTTCGGTGGCTAATCACGTGATTAGAGCTTGTGTAATCACGTGGTTAAGGCATATGTGGGCCAATAATATTGCAGGAAGTGGGCCGAGCTGTTTACCTATGAGATGGCTGCCTGCTAGGCCGCAAGCACAGGCAACAACACTAAGGTATATAGATGGGCTCTATCCTGCACTCATTGGAAGAGCCAGAGCCTTCGCCGTCTCCGGCCCCTGTACGTGTACCGGAGATGAATGAAACAGGCAAGTTAGCCGATCTGCTGTATCGGTACAGGAGGTTCAGCCACGTGACAGCGCCTGACAAAGCGAGCGGCCACATTTAGGTTTGGCACCCAATAAATGCCTCTGACATCGTCGCCGTGGTATTTGTCGATATAAATGCCCTCCTGGCGTCTTCTGGTGTCATAATTGCCACGTAAACGTGCCTGGAATGCCTCCTCTTCTTGCGCCTGTTGTAGAGCTCTTCCACCTCTTCCTGCGCCTGTTGTGCCCCTTGTAGAGCCTGGCCCTTCTCTTACTGGCGAAGCAGAACGCTGTCGCTGTTGCCTCAGATCTCTCAGACTCTGTCTCTGCGGAGGACGTTGCCACTGAAGCCTAGGTAAGCGGGGAAGAGGTCTTGCGCGCGCAGGAAGGCAAATGAGAAGGAGGAATTCATCTGACCGGGCCTGGCCAGAACTTTCATAATACGTGTGTCTACGGTCCGTCTTCTTCTCTTTGTTGACTCTTGGGGTCGCCCAGAGCCCTCTCTACCTTTGATGGATTCGTCGACGAAACTATGAAGTTGACGGGTCTGCTAAAGAGGCGGAGAGGGAAGACTAGGAAAGAGAACAGCCCTACTGTCAGCGCCGCAATCTCCCCCTCTCTCCAAGTAAGTACACTAACAAACTCGAAAGTGCTTCTTCTCAGAACATAGTCGCAGAATGATCCCTCGAGACAAGCCCAGCAGAGTGTGGGTGCTGTTGCCTCTAGCCAGAGTGGCAGAACACCAAAAGCCGATCCTCCTGCACCCATCCCCTCTACATCGACTGCTGCTCCTTCGTCGAGTCCTTCTGCTCCTCCTTGGTCGCCGCAGGCTTTGTGGAACAACACATACGAGAAATTAAAACAGAAAGAGCCTGATTTAGTACAATCATTTGAAATCGTCTCAGGCGCCAGCTTTATCTCACAAGAACAGATAAAGTCTCTGGTGAAAGCACGACTAGACATGCGAGATGAACGTCAGTGGATTATCACACTTGCTGCCCAACCTGTCAAGATTCGGGAAAGTGGAGAACGTCTGATCAAATTTGTATTGTGGAGCAAGGATCTTGTGTCAAGTGCCCTCAGTAGCCAGCCGCATATGGTGCTGGCATGGTCGGGTATCACAATGCAATTACCGGTAAGTGGTGTGCCATTATTGTGCCTCACTAACTTGTATAGTTGGCCTTGAACCCTAGTCAAGAGAGTGATGCCATGATACAAGGCCTTGATCATATCGCTGCATTATTAAGATTGTACGACATTCGAACTACACTATGCCATGGCAACACGAGTGATGGATATCGCAGCGCTATTGTCGAGCTTTATTCTCACGTTCTCGAATATCAAGCGCGGATGGCTTGTCATCTCTCTGACAATTCGGTGATACGTGGTATCCACAGTATTAGTCGATCTGGCCAGTGGAAAACCATGGTACAGACGATTGACGAGGCGGATCAATATTGCCAGGAGCATGAAGCACTAATAGACAAACAGGCAGAACAAGAGCAGTGGGAGCGGCAAACGAAGCAAATAGAGCAAGCTAATGAGACCCAGGAACAAATCCTCGACGCTCTACGCCATGTTCTTACCACTCGCGCCGCTGACAGAGAAGACGATCTTCGAACAGAAATTCTTCAGTGTCTTGCTGCTGATTATTCCGGACAGAAAAACTTTAACCCCAAACGTGTACCGAATACCTGTCGATGGTTCCTTGATGATGACCGGTTCCATAAGTGGCGAGATTCTACGACATCTGGCGTGCTGTGGCTCTCAACTGGCCCTGGTTGTGGCAAGTCGGTCTTGTCCCGGACCTTGATTGATGAAAGACTTCTCAGCTCCCGAATGATGACAGCGAACGTTTGCTATTTCTTTTTCAAGGATGGCCTCGAGCGACGACAGCGAGGGGAGGATGCCCTCAGCGCTATTCTTCATCAGATATATTCTCGGAATTTGGCTTCTAACTTGATTTCCCATGCGTATCAACCTTTCAAGACTAATGGGCAAAGTCTCCGCTCTATGTTCTATCCGCTCTGGGAGCTACTCATGACAACTTCACGACATCAAGCTGCGGGAGAGATTATCTGTCTTCTGGACGCATTGGACGAATGTCAGCCCGATGCCAGAGAGCAGCTATTGGATCAGCTCGCAGAGTTTTATAGTAATGCAAATGTGGTTGGCCCTGCAGGGCCACGTATCAAATTTCTCATCACAAGTCGTCCTAACGACGATATCGACAGCAAGTTCCGTCGTTTGGATGCTACCGTCAACTTTATTGAATTTGCTGGTGACGATAGCTCCCCTCTTATCAGCCAGGAGATCAACCTTGTCATTGACTAGCGGATACCAGAAGTGGTCCCCAGACTTGACAAAGCATCTCATTCACTCATCGCAGGATATTTGAAACCGATGGAACATCGGACTTATCTGTGGCTGTATCTTGTGCTACAGGAGATTCAGCGCAAATTCCCAAGTCATGCAACAGTGAGGAAAATTGAGACTTTGATTGGGCAGTTGCCAACCTCTGTCACTAAAGCATACGAAACTATTCTCAATCAGAGCTCTGATCAGCAGGTCGCCCGCACTATTTTGAAGATCATCATCGCCGCGAAGCGTGATCTAACGGTCGAAGAGATGACCGTTGCGATAGCCATAACAAGGACGAAGGAGCCACGATCATACCAAGAACTTGATCTCGAGCCCGAGAAGGTTCGCGAATCTAGCCTTCGAAATATCTGCGGATTCTTTATCAGCATCAATAAATCAAAGGTATCCCTGATACACCAGACAGCACGCGAATTTCTTCTCCGATCGACGGGAGACAAAGACAAGGATGGCGCGGCACTGGGTTCCAGCATGAGGTGGTATCATTCATTAGATATCGTGGACGCCGAGCACACGGTAGCCCAGGTCTGCATTACACTGCTCCTGTTCCACTTTTTTAAGGGTAATGCGCCCTGGGCAGATTTTTATGGAACACGATTCGACTGGGAAAGGGGGTATGGACGTCTCATATCCAAATATCCTTTTTTGCAATATGCATCCACAAGGTGGGCCGAACATTATCAAATGTCACAGCATCTGAGTAAGGATGAAGAAATCGGCCTTGTGTTGTCGATTTGTGATGTCCAACGGACCTATTGCCAGACATGGTTTCCTATTTATTGGTATTCGGAAATGTGGCACGAGCGACCCCCGGCGACATGTTTGGTTATTGCAAGTACGTTCGGTCTCGTTCGAGTTGTGGAACAAGTACTTGAGTCTCTCAGTTCTGGCCATAGCAATCAATTGACCGCTTGTAGGGAGTCAAACCTCTATACTGGAATCAATGAGCCAGTTGAATACTTTGGGAATGCCCTACAGGCAGCATCATCCAGAGGTCACCCGGAGGTGGTGAAGATGCTGCTAGACAGAGGAGCGGATGTGAATGCTGAGGGTGGAGGGTTTGACAATGCCCTACAGGTAGCATCAGTCGAAGGACACTCGGAGGTGGTGGAGATGCTACTAGATAGGGGAGCGGATATGAATGCTCAGGGCGGACACTATGGCAATGCCCTGCAGGCAGCATCGTTTGATGGCCACTCGGAGGTGGTGCAGATGCTGCTAGACAGAGGAGCGGATGTGAATATACAAGGTGGGAAATATGGCACTGCTCTTCTAGCGGCATCCAGGTATGGCCATGAGAAGATAGAGCACATCTTACTGCGTAAGATGTGAATACACAACGTGGAAAATATGGTACATTCCTGCAAGTGGCATGTCTCAGGAAACGGTACACCATTGCCCAGGCATTGCTCCAACATATTGCAGTTCCCAATGCGCTACCAGCGTCACGGTAAGGTTTGAAAAAGATAACGCAACTGTTGCGTGAGACGGATACCAACCCAAATGCTAAAGGCACGGCTGATGAGATGATCTTACCAGTGTGATCAATTCTATGGCCTGAGGCGATGTTGTAGACGCTATTCGAGAGAATGCGGTCAACAATCGCGCCTCCTCTATGCCAATCAAGGGAAGCTGGACAAGGCGGAGAGATGTATCGGCGGGCTCTACAAGGCTGTGGGAATGCTCTTGGGCCGAACCTGATGAGCGCGTATGTTCCAATACTCAACACCGGTGAGAATCTTGGTCGGCTGCAGATTCTTTTGGACGGACTAGAAGAAGCGATGAAGATGTGCCAACGAGCGTTGGTTGGACTCCAGAAAGTTCTTTGTTCGTCTCACGAACGTTGTGAACGGCTCGAGGGTGCCATCAAATCATCCTATCAAACCGAAGGCACGGAACTTCTCCTCTGTCAGCTTTCAAGCAGGAACAGCTAATTTCTTGTGATAATGCGCCTGCAGTGGACCGCGCCTGCGCATGAAACGAAGTTTTGGCATTGACTGCCGCAAGTCGTGGGCTGCGCTCGAAAGTCGGGAGATCCAATGTATGTTTTTCAGCAGAATTATATGCCCTGGCCTGACTGGCGACTTCTTAGGCTTCGGAAAAATTCTGCCTTCGCAATCGCACTCACACGACGGATGCGTTGCAGTCATAGGGACATATTACAGTACAAACTGCCCAAATCTCTGCAAGGGAAGGTTTTGTCAGGACAAGCAAGGCTTGCAACCTTGGCCGCGACCTGACCAGACTTGATTCGATTTTGGTGAGAAGTGGATCCGGCGGTGCTCCTCTCCAGGACAGAGAAATTTTGTAAATGTCTTTGGGGAGGAAGCTGGTTTGCAAGTCTTTGTAGTTAGCACATCTCTCTTCCCTCTAAATGCTCTTCAAGTTGGCTCCTCTCAACCAACGGGACCGAAGTTCTGGCCCCCCATCTGTGGGGCAGGAAATTATCAACCCGATCAGGCTGACACACTGGGCGTCAATTTCCGTTCGCTAGTCATGGCATTTTCAAGGCAGACAGGAAGCTCGAAGGCTCATAATTCACCCTTCTCAGCAAGGAAATGGGAGCATTACCGAACTCTAGATTCCGCCTTCGCTGCTATTGTTTACATCAACGCCTCCAACCAAGCCCGCTCTATGACTGCCTCAGGCGTCTTGACAACACTGTGCCGAAAAGGATTTTCAGAGAAATACTGTCACTGCCTGGAAGGGCATCTTCTGGAGCAATGGGGTATAAGGCTGTGAGCAGGGAAATCACAGGGACCTAGTTACTTCGCCAAAGTGGGCAGAGTAGCCTTTATGCATTTGTGCATTGGGCCAATACTCCATCTGAAGGGGAGGTCGGGATCTTCCCAGCTCGAATCTTCTGCGAACAGGCAGACACGACGAAAGAGTCATTGCCGAAAGAGTCACTGCAGAAAGAGTCACTGCCTCATTAGCGGACTATTTGAAGATGAGTGCTTCCCGATCAAATCTAACATCTTCTCGCACGTGGTGACATTCATTTTCGAATTCCCCTTCTTTGTGCCCACACGATACTAAATTTCTCTTCCCAAATAGCAATCAAACACGTCCCAATAGCGACAATATACTAGCCTAGGAGGTAGTCAACGTACGGAGCAACAAGAGGAAGAGATCTATCTCTGGAGGAGAAATACAAAAGCATAGAGTCCAAATTCCTCTCGGCAGGTGCTTGATACAAAGACGGTGCCATACAAACGGTCCCGCGCTTTCCATTTCAATTATTCGCCGCTCTAAACACCCTGCTCCTCCATCACCATGGCCGATAGCGGAACCACTCGGTTCGATACCTCGCCAGAAGACTTCGTCATGGTGGATGGATCTCACGATCTTCCCCTGCGGCCGCGCTCAACAAATCCCGAGAAACAACACCTACGTGTCGAGCTTCATCCGCTTCAAAATGACGATGCTTTCATTGTCTCGGTTCGACCGCCCAAAGTTCCGGAAGATGGCCTCAAGCGAGCCTCGTGTGACATTGTGCTGGTGATTGATGTTTCTGGAAGCATGAACGCGGCTGCACCACTCCCCGATGTGGAAGATTGTAATGACAAGGAGGCCGCTGGTCTCAGTGTTCTTGACCTGACGAAACATGCGGCCCGAACCATACTCGAGACCCTCGGTGAAAATGACCGACTTGGAATTGTCACCTTCTCAGATGATGCCAAGGTAAGATGGTGGGCAGATCCGGGAGACATTGGATCGTGCACTAACGGGTTGTACGGCAGGTCGTGCAAAAGCTCACCCGCATGACTAATGAAGAGAAGAAAGCAACGTGGCAGCGAGTGGACCAACTCCGCACGGAGTCCTGCACGAATCTCTGGGCGGGTATCCGATCCGGCTTAAATCTGTTCGAGGAAGCCCGTCTGATCGGCAACGTGGCAGGCATGTATATTTTGACGGACGGGATGCCCAATCACATGTGTCCGCAACAAGGATACGTCGCCAAACTCAGGCCCATGCTCGTGGAGGCAGCGCACCCACGAGCTTCTCTCCCCACGATTCATACGTTTGGGTTCGGTTACCACATCCGATCGGAATTGATGCAGTCCATCGCGGAGGTGGGTAACGGCAACTACTCCTTTATCCCGGACGCTGGCATGATCGGGACGGTGTTCGTCCACGCGGTCGCCAATTTGTATACCACGATGGGGACATCGGCGATCCTCGAACTGAGCGATTCGAAGGGGACTACAATGAATCTCAGCGCAGGAATGATGTGCGCTAACGAGAGTGGAAAACGGCTCAGTCTGAATTTGGGCAATATTCTATTTGGTCAATCTCGGGATATTCTTGTCAAGTGTCCAGGCATGCCGCCCAATGCCGTAATTACGGCGATTCTCAAATACCGATTGGCGAATGGCGAATCACAAGGCTCTCAGGGCCGCATGGTGTATTCGGAGAAAACAACGTGGAGCCCTGCCATAGCTGAATATCACCAATACCGTGCGGCGATATGTGATTTCCTGTCATCCCTCTTCCCCACGAAGGACAACGGTGAACACGCTGCGATCTCCGACAAAGCCGCTGTGGATCAGGCACGAACACGTCTGGATGCTGTCATCACGGCCATCCAATCCTCCCCCTGCAAGGACGCCGCGTATGTGAAGTCACTCGCTGAAGACTTGGCCGGGGAAGAACCGGCAGGGCAAATCTCCAAGGCATTGCTTTGGTCCGAGAAGCAAAATTATTGGTTGAAATGGGGTCGCCACTACCTCCCCAGCCTGCTTCATGCTCATCAACGTCAAATGTGTAACACGTTTAAGGATCCTGGGCCGTTGTTGTACGGCAAAGAGAGTCCTCTTTTCATCAAATGCCGAGACGAACTGGATGCAGCATTCGACAATCTTCCAGCGCCCAAGCCCAGTCTTCCTCCCAAGGTGGTGACTACCTATGGCTCAAAGGGAGAAGTGACTGGCACCCGAGTGATTTCGCCGCCCCGAGTGCGGATGAGCCGTTACAACTCATCCAGCGCCCCGTGCTTTGGGGGAAATTCCAAGATCACCATGGCTGACGGATCTAGAATCCCCATCAAGGCGCTCAAGGCCGGTGTGTCGATTTGGACTCCCGTGGGACCTCGCCCCGTGGTAGCAGTGGTGAAGACCCGGATGATGGGTCACACGGGGCAACTTTGTCGTGTCGGGAAGCTTTGGGTGACGCCGTGGCATCCCATTAAGCACCAAGGATGTTGGGTTTTCCCGAGGCACATTGCAGAAGACATCGCGGACTTCGAAGGCCCCGTCTACTCCGTCATGCTGGGGCCTTACCGACATCCCGACGGGCACGCGATTGAAATTGGCGGACAGACTGCTGTGACTTTGGGCCATGGAGTGATCGGAGACCAAAACGATGTTCGAATGCATGCATTTTTCGGCAACTACTGGCGAGTAGTACAGAGTCTCAGTCAATTGCCAGCGGACAGAAACGGACATTTGAGATGTGGGAGCCTGCAGAGAGATCCACGGACTGGTCTTGCCAGTGGTTTCATGAGGCCCATGACTAATATCAAGAGCATACCGAGGACAATGAAGGCGGCAGTCAGAGTCCGAGTGAGACGTCAATCTGGAATTTGATCGTTACCGGAGAACTAACAAACGAGACACGCAAAGGCGTAAGCACAACCTCGTTAATAGTTCAAGCCCAAGGTGAATCTCAGCCTTGCAAAATAGGGGGTGCCATTATTTGGTTTTGGGGCCTGGGGGTTTTGTTAGTATCGCAAGAGAGGGGCAGTATTATTTGTACCCTCCACAATCGTTGTTATCTTATTCGGCAGTGATTTTTTTGGACCCGGAAGTGTCAATTCCCAAAATATCCCAAAAATACCCCCGAGATGGTGTGCGGGCTGCTGCTGATCCAGGGAGTCAGACCCCCCGCGCATCGCGTATCCCGCTTTAGCGCCCGTGTCTTTGCATGTCGCTAAGGAACCGGACCAGGTACTAGTTTCAATGTGCATACTCCGCGAATAGTAGGACGCTGTGCCAATGCCATAGTACGGAGGGACCCTTTGGATAGAAACCAGATGGCGGTGTGCCACAAACACGGCGTCGAATTATTTAGATTGACTGCTCTTCCCCCTCTTTTTTCTTCATATCTTCCTCTTTTCTTTCTCTTGCTATTTCACTTGCTGTACTGTCTCTGTCTTCCGTGATGGCGTCCACGGACAAGTTGATTTCTTGGGAAGGTGAGTCCCTCCCCCCCCCCTTCCTTTCTTCTTCCCCCGGGGGCTTACCCCTCAATTGACCGGACAATTGAACTGACTGCATATCCACCATTGAATAGACTACCAAGGCTGCCTCACTGCCTACTTTGAATGGGCCGAAAGCTATGATTCCAAGGTTTTGCTCAGCTGTTCTCGCTTTCGAAATACATGCTGACTCCCTTCTCTCTCCAGGACTGGGCTCGTCTGCGCAAAATCGTCGCTCCCACCGTCCGCATTGACTACCGCTCCTTTTTGAACAAGCTCTGGGAAGCCATGCCAGCCGACGATTTCATTGCCATGATCTCCGACCCCAAAGTCCTCGGTGACCCCCTCCTTATGACCCAACACTTCTGTGGCGCTTCCAAGTGGGAGAAGGTCTCTGATACCGAGATTATTGGCCACCACCAACTGCGTGTGCCTCACCAGAGGTACGCGGACGCCACCCGCACCAAAATCCTGGTCAAGGGACACGCCCACAGCTACAACATGCACTGGTACAAGAAGGTCGATGGGGTGTGGAAATTTGCCGGCCTCAACCCTGACATCAGATGGGGCGAGTACGACTTCGACAAAGTCTTTGCCGACGGCCGTGAAGAGCTGGGCGAAAAGGAGGAGGCTGAGAAGCTTGCTAAGGAGGCCCAGGGCATTCCTCCTGCATAGACTGGAATTCTTGGTCTTATTCTACATTTCTACAGATTCGAGGTGATGGGACACATGGTGGCGGGAGCCCACTGGACAGGAACGGACTGAGAGAACATGAAAATGTTCTGGCTATATTCAGCATGGAGACAGACGATGAATACAAGAACTGACAATACTCGCACACTCTGGATTTGCGTCTTTCATGCCTCAACACTCGTTCTGCTAAATTTATCAATGCCAGAGAGGGGGCCGGGACAGAGGCGGCCACACAAGACTTGCACGGTGCAGCTCCATGGTCTCCCGTCGCGCCGAAACCAGTACAGCAGGAAATCTCATGAAAATGTTCGGCATCAAGACCTGGCCGATTCTGCCGAAAAGTCGGTTGCATGTGAACGTGCGCGATTCAACCATTGCATCGATTTGAATATGGCCTGCCAGTCCACAGCCTGGTTTCCGAACACTTGCTGCATTTCAAGACTAGTCGGCCCCATGGCTTTCTGGCCCATTCATGACCCACCCTTCAAAGAACCTCAGGATAGCTATTCTGCCAGTAATTACAGCAGCTCTCGTTCCGCCTTTCACTCCAGAAGAATGTTGTTATAATGTACCGCACTTCGTTCCAGTTATGAAGGTCTAGAAACGAAGTTCCCAGCAGTCCAACGGGATCCAACCTGCTGGTCTTAACTTTCTACTCTTCGGTCGCCAGGAGTCCATAATGAGAACCCATATTCAGACGACACAGTCCATCTCTTCCGAACTCGCCAAGTGCCGTGCCAACTCTCTAGTCAAGATCTTCCTAGATGCAATATACGCTTGCATATCTTCCAATCAGAGGCGAGGAGGGGAAAGAGAGCGACGATGTAGTAAAAAGGAGTGTGAGACTCAAGAGCTTCTCAAAGATCAGGTGCGGGTCGGCCACGCATGACCAGGCTTCTGGGAACTTTCTGAATCGAGGAGACGTCTGGCTCGGCTGCTTCTGCATCTCTTGACCGTTGACCCCCTCTCAAGAAGTTTGATGGTGTCGAGACCAATTTCGATGAGTATATGAGAGCCCAAACCCCCTCCGGAAGGCGGGCAACCATTTCCCTCGAAGAATCTGGAAGTATCGAAGGGTATATCAGACGATCATTCGACGTGGATACACGCCAAACCGGTCCTTCATCCTCCAGTGCCCAGAATCCCGTCTCCCTATCGTCAGTTCATGCAGGAAGAATGGCCAGCAAATCTCAGTTGAAGAATTCGATACAGCCAGACGCCAGATCCGTCAGCACTGAATCGTCTTTGAAGTGGTTCAAGTCATCGCCGCGTATTCCAGTGATGAGAGTCGAGACTTTCGATCTCGTCATAAGATATCTATATGAATGTCAGTCTTCCCATAGCACATTCTCAAGGGTACTCCTTTACTACCATCGACGCCGGAATCAAATCGCATTTGATCAGGACAAACCAGCATGGCAATTTGGTTGAGACAAGTACTGACTCAACGTGGAAATGGCGGTCCCCAAAATGTTTGTGCGCATCCTGCCCGGCAGTCATCCTAGGTGCTATCATAGCGATGTTGAGGTGCATGGCGGCAAGCTAGGCATGAAGTAAATGGTCGCTTTCGGCAATCCCCACGTTATACTTCTAGATCTGAGAGAGCCTTTGTGTTATGATGGGTCCCACCATTTATCGTGGTGAACAAATTCTGCTCACCGAACCAAAGATGTTGAAGACATGGAAGATTTTGTCCACAATCTGGTTCCGGGGCACGACCACACTGAACACCAGACTCCGGCTTTCGGCCTGGGTCAGTTGCAGAGAGAGAAGCTCGAAAAACATCCCTCTGGAATTCTATAATGTGGATCCACCAGTCGACACGATTCCTTGACCACAAAGACCCCACGCCGCAGGAAATTCCATAAGTTGTCAACGCCACGTGAGAGCACTGCACCGGCATTACCCAGTTCATTTGACAAGAAACATTTGCGTACAGTATTATCAACAGCCCAACCAACGCGAATTAACCAAAATGACTCTATTGAAATTGAAAGAAGTTGAGAAAGAATTAGTGGACGTCGATGATATTGACAATCTGGTCACCAAAAGCTTCAAAGACAACGATCAAAATTCTGTTGGACTCCGTTAAGCTTCCACCAGCTTGCCGCGATGTATTTTCCGAAGCTTACGCCCTTCTGTCCCCAGATGTGGTGGCCACCTGCCTACGAGAACTGTAATATATTGTCACGTATCTGTCACGCATCACACCCCAGGCCGAGTCCAACACTCTGAGTCGCTCACAATAGAGCCACAGTCAGAGTCGGAAGAATTGGTCGTTCGTCAGCAATCAACCACACACTCCTAATCTACGTGCTTTTCGTTCGGCAAACCGTGGAGCCGGTCGGTCACGTGTCAGGCTGTGTCCCCATTTAGCTCCTTTCTATCAATTTTTCTCACATATGGCATGCTTCCACTGAGGTAAATGCCGACAACGACATCATTAAACTCTATTCTTGTAGCAGGACAGCTAATTTGCCAAGGCGGCTACTTTTGAGGCCCATACCGATTCCACACGCGGTGACGTCCGTGTCATACCATACCCCTCGACTTCCGTCCAAATGCTATACACCGGTACTGGCACCATAACACTCCAGATGAATAAGGCGATGGTACGATAGCACAATTAGGGTTGATGATGGTTACCAAACAAAAGATCCAAGAGCATACCTCCCGTGTGATATTCCATTCCATGCCGTGCCGTGACTTGCCACCATTCCCAGTTCCATCAGTTAACAAACCTATCCACACTTATACAGCACGATAGCTCCCAGTGTAATTTGAATCCCGCATCCCGTAATGCTAGGCATATTCCCTTCCCCCCTCCCCCCTCCTTCTTTTCTTTTTTTTTTTTTTTTTTTATTTTTATTTTTTTTCGGAAAAGAGCAAAAATCAATGCAACATTATTGTCTAGTATGATGTCGTCAGGCGTGAACAAGAAACATTTCTTCAATCAAAATCAATAGTCATGATATGGATCGAAGTTTTGGGTCGAAGCATAACCACTCGGAGGTCTGGTGAAATGTTGTGCCCAACTACTTCCATTGGCTTGCGCTCGTCGCTCTGTTTAGATATGAGTAAGCACTCGTTGAGGAATATGCCGAAGCCATGAATCATGCTTACCTCTTTCAAAATCACCCCACCGTTTCATGGTGATCTTAGTGCTGTCAAATTCTCCTTCATATTCGAGACCAGCCTTCTTGGTCTTTTCGCCAGCCGTTTTCCTGGTCTCACCCCAACTGAAATCGTCGAACTTCCAATATGCATATGTTGGTAGGACGAAATTCCAAATGGGCAATGAAAGGAGGTAGATCAACATCCACAGGATATATGACAAACGGTGAGCGGTCAAGACGATAAGGACCCCAGGGAGACCTAGAATGAGAGCCAAGAGAATGAGCGGAATGACTGGAACTGGCTTCTTCACAATTGAGATGATGATCAGGTAAAAGGTGAAAGCAATAGCGGCCGGGAGGACGAGTGTACCGATAAGTTCGATAAAAACCACAAACTGCATACTGAAGCAGAATGTGCCACAAAGATCTCGAACTAGGACCAGTTCCATAAGATTGTGGACGGTACTGTTAATCCATCGTCGACGTTGTGAGAGCAAGACTTTGAATTCATCGGGTACCGTAGTTTTGCAAACGGCCTGGGGCACAAAGACTTGCTTTCGTTTCGGAAAGGTTTTCAACATCAGTGTCGATAGATATCGGTCCTCACCAAGCAGCAAGAGGTTTTTCTTGTGAAGAGTGTCCACCACATTTTCGGAGTAATGTTCGACAATGTCCGGATTGGCCAAGATCGGGACCCAGTAGTTTTGACTACCTTTAGGTGATTTGATCCGGTACATGCAGAAACATCCCGGAAGACAAGTCACACCGCCAAAGACCGATTCGAAAGACTTGGACAGATGGTGGGAGATGAAGTATTCGAACACTTGAATCCGTGACACCCAAGATTGATTCTTGTTTGCGATCTTGGTTTCACCGCAAAGACCCATGATTTCGGGATCTTTCACCATGGCCGAAATCATATGCGTCAAGCTGTCCGGGAAGACTTTGGTATCGGCGTCCACCATGAGAACCATTTCGTAAAAGTCGGGGGACATGCCGGTGACTTTCCACAGGCCGTTGAACATTTCATATTCCAGTTCGGTCATTCTTTCGTCGAACATGACCTTTTGCAGGAAGGACATGAGAACGATCTGACTGTCACGTTTGCCTCGATTTCCAGGTTTGGCCTTGGTGGCTTCATCCGGCGTTCCGCATTTGACCACCACCATCATTGGGACTCGCTGTTGCTTGGTCGGATCAATTCTCGACTTGGGGCCATAATCATAGAAACCGGCATAGACTTTGGCCATGTTGTGTCGCTTGGAGCCGCTGGATACAGCCACATAAGAAAAGGCCTGAACATCTTCGGGAAGGACGACAAAATCTCCCATCATCCCGAGAACGATGTCGGGAGTGGACATATTCTCGCCTTTTCCTTTGATCAATCCATCACAAATGACAAGAATTGCCTTGTGACTGTTGGGGTAGTCGGTTGTAGCGATCGAGTCCAACGTCGTACGAATACCATCTTCGCCTTCGGAGTAGGCCGTAACCAAGCAAATAACATGTGCGAGGGGGTATCCGAATGGTTGCCATTCAGGCGGTGGTTGAGGAACAACATTTTCGTGAATGAACCCGACAGGGCCATTAGGTTCCATACCATCTAGGACCGCTGAGTAGCGCGTGTCCTGACCAGAAAGGAGGAGACTGGCCCTGCTCGCACCAACGCTCATGCGGGAGGGGAGGTCCAAGGTATTCTGACTGCCATTGTAACCGGTCTTGTATAAGCCACTTCCTGGTTGGATCAGCTTGGCGCTGGATGATTGACTGGTCATCGTGGTCGGTGGAGCTCGATTACCCTTGGGCACACGTTCGACCGCGTAGGGACTGGTAAAACGAGACGTTTGTGGGAACAACATGCTTCCCCGCTTGCTGGTACGTCCATCCGAGCCTGAGACGGTGCTCGCGGGATCTGTTATCTTTGGAGCCGGCTTGTAAATATCGTCGGTCCAATCTTCAATCTGTTTGGCCCTCTTCTTTGGATCCGAGGTTTGGGAAGTTGTGGCAGCGGCGAATTTGCGTGCCAGAAACCATTGGAAAGCCAATGCGAGGAAAAATTTGGCAAACACGATGGCGAGAATGAAGGCCAACGAGACGTATAGGACGACCTTGGAGGCGATGCACCCGACAGTCTCGGTATCAATGGAGCCGACTTTGGCGATTTGGGTGAGACATTGGCCAACCTTCTTGTCGGTGGATGACTGCAGCACATGTGTGATGTCCATGCCCCGAATTTGATCATTCGTCCGTAAATCGTCAAATTGCTTGGGCCACGCGACTTGACTGTCATTGAACCATCTCAAAAGATCCAAATCGACCACCGAACCTGAGTAGACAACCAGGTTTCGACTTTGGTTTTTGACGTCGTCCCAGGTGAAAAAGACTTCTCCGGCCTTTCTCAAATTGTAGAAGGTGTTTCGCGCTTTGGCCGTGGTATGGCACGCATACCCCAAATAATACGGCACGGTAAGGTTGACGGGCGAGGAACCATCCTGGTTGAAAGCTGTACAAGGGAAGTACCAGGCCAGATCTCCCTCGTCATTTGTAGGGACATCAGAACCGTTGGCCAGAGTAATGAGTCCTTTGCAATCCCCATTCACCTTCTGGAACATGAAGCTTCCATCCTGACCGCCATACTTGTGAGGAAGATCGTAGAGAACGTTGCTGTCGAGCGGAACACCCAGAGCAGCTGGATGCAGGGACCCGTCCAGATTGTATGCATCCCCATGGAAAATCATGTAACCCCGATCGACATGGTTGATCTTGAGACGAAGTCCGGGGGCCGGACAGACGGCTTGCGTGAAGCCAAAGGTCAAGAACCCCACAAAGGCGGCAATAGCGATGATAATACTGATGAGACCAATTTTTTCCCTCCACGCCCGTCGTTGGGCTCGGGCTGGCATACCGAAGCATTGAAGCACGAAGTCCGGCGCCCAGAACGTCACAATGGCACAGTATACATTCCATATGCTCGGAGGTCTGATCTTGTCAAGTTCTTTCTGCCGCCTTTTTTCATCCTCGGTCACGTTGCGGGTATCCTTTCTGACCAACTTTTTCGGAGCTCGCCTTTCACCAACTAGCTCTATTTTCCCCGGCACATGCGCCCTTGGCCGTTGGGTCGAGAATTCGTCGCCGGCTGGAGGGATGAGATTACTGCTGTCGGAGCTCACGGTTCGCGCCTCGGCCAACTCTTCAACCGCTGGATCATTCCCCGTGGTGGAGGGGAAGACTTCCATATTCTGAGCATGTTTACGATAGTGGTAGTTGGGATGATCTCGATCAATTCGACTCCGTTCGGGACGGATCAGGGATTTCTTGCGATTGAGCTCGCTCTGGGTCATCGGATTGGACATGATCGGTTCCCAGTCCGCGGTTCTCGAGCTCGGAGAGGAAGGCGCATTGCGGGACGGGTGGTATCCGGTTTCGATGTCTCTCAGCCGTCGAGAAGGCGAGTCTCTGTATGGGGAATGGGATTTGTCGCGAGTCGGGGACGTAGCAGGCCGTGGCCTCCACGGTTCAGACATGATGCTGCCAAAAAGGAATGTCAGAAGAGGGAAGGGGGTAAACATTCACATCAACAAATAGCGTTGTTCAATTTCGACATACATATCCTAGACGGAAAGGCGTTTCAACATAGAAACAGGTAGGATGTGTACCAACGAGTGTGGATTGGAGGCCAGCGCCTGCGCTGTTTCTGAGCCAAACACTTGGAGAACGTCGAGGCGATGAGGTCCTGCGATCCTTCTGCGAGATGGTCCCCGGGCTCAAGTCGGGAAAACGAGGCCAATGGTTTGAATGGGTGACTCGACTACTGCGTGACAAAGTCTGTCAAGTGACGAAACGAACAGTGGGATTTGTTTATTGGAAGGAAAACTGCGCCCTTCGAGTTTGGCTTGAGCGAACGAGCGATGGACGAGGTCTATGGACAGACGCGAGGAGAGGGAGAGACCGTGTCGATACAGATAAGTGAGAGTGATTGAGAGAGTGTGGAAGTGAGAACAGAGACAGAAACAGGATGAGATGAGGCAGTGGTGGATTGGTGATGGTTGGTTGGATACTTTGACTGAGCCTGAGCAGTGTCTCACCGAGCGCGGCGGTGGTCCAACGGGCGGCAGTGGATCGTCAGAGAAACAAGATACTCCTGAATCTCGACCATGTTCTACTCGCGACAGAATACGATCATTACTAGGTGACATACATCAACATGCGAATGACAGCGTAATTGATTGACGGCCAGTACCACATGTATGCATAGTATTCTGTCTTCTCCGGCGTCTCAAGATGGGGACTCCCAGGCTGTTTGAAGTTGTGTTTTCGTACGCCTGTTCGGGTGTGGCTGAGTCGCCCGCAAAAGAAAAGGTATTTTTATCTCCGACTTGTTGCCCTGACAGCCATGGGCCATTGAACCAGCCAATCATCCATCTCGACTTTGGTTGGCCATAACGTGATACAGTTCTGTCATAGGAATACCTTAAAGCCACGTGCGGCGTTTGTGCACAATTGTCTGATATGTGTCAGGCTGACCTCCAAGTATATCTAGTCCAGAGGCTTTTTCATCTTACTCAACATTGGATGCGGCCATCCCACGATTCCGTACCATTATGAATATTGGCCTTGGAGCACCACTCCGCTTGCGCCATCTGAAACCTCCCTGGTGGTGTGTGTGCCTTTTTGGACAAACTAAAAGCATGGGTTGCCGCCTCTTTCCGGGCGAGCGTTTCCCTAAAAAGTCTCCTTCCGGGTAGCATTAAGATCTTTGGGCCCAGACCCCCAGCTTAGACTTTACGTCGGAGTCAAGTCCCCTGGTCCTTAGCAAGGCTATCGATCCCCTAAAACGCCACCGTCGCAGCACTTTAACTGGGATAAAATCTTCGTGGTTCGTCCCCACGGCTCGGATGTCCATAGTCACACAAATTCCCTGTCGACCTAGTATTGAACCCTCACAGGCCTTTGTCCGAAGGAAAAAAGAAAGGGCATCTATAGACCCGACTGCACAGCGTGAAGGGTGTGGGGCGTCTAACACGACCCCTTGGCTCCCCGAACCTTGGTTCCCCTTCAGCATCGTCCACTTGCGTGGCCTCGCCTTGTCACCTACCCTGTCACTCAAATTCCATCCTCATTCTATCACTTCACCAATTGACTGCATGCCAGGTGCCATTGACGATTTGGTCAGTTCTTGGTCCTAGCATCCTCCATCATTTCACGGTTAAAGGCCACTTTCGTTTGATACCTCGTCAACCACGCCAGTATACCCCCTCCTCTGCTGGCCAGCCGCGACGACACAGCATTCCTTCAAGCAAAATACACAGGAGAGCCGGGCCCGGGAGGGTTGCATTCCATTCGTATTTGCCGTTCCTCAAGGCCTTCCGCGACCTCTACTACTTCTACTCTTCGTCAACAAGCCTATTTCCAATTCATATACCCGGGCGCAGTGTATCAAATGTCTGTCTCCTAAGGTGCTCTCCATCGCTTCGACATGGCGGAGACCACAAGCCATCCTCTTCCACCCACTCCTCCGCCGCCCATCTACTCCCCTCCTCTGCGAACCGACAGCCCACAGATGGTAGAACCAACGGAAGAGCGTGGAGCCCGGCATACATCCTCGGCCAAACCCAACAATGGCCCCTCAATATCCATGTCCCCGGTGGATGGGAGATCGTTGGAGGAATCCTACACCGCAGGAGGCGTTCAGATCCATCCTCCCGAGACTGCAATGTCAAGAACATCCGACCCGGTTGGGCCGAACCGGACTTTGACTCCTCAGCCTTCTCTACAGCAGGATCCCAATAGATTGTCCCCCACTCCCCAGGCGATGATGCAACGAAGACCCGGCGAGGGCCCATCTTCCACCAACGTGGCCGCGGACCATCGAAGAGTCTCGTCGGAGAACTTCAACCCCAAAGATGGAGTTGAATTAATGCCCGTTCAAAAACGATCGATGCGACATGCTTCCACTTCGGCCGTCGATTCCAATGCGTCCTCGGAGAATTTTGAGCCATTACGCTACCACCATCTGTTGTTGGAAGATACGGAAGTGAGCGCCCTTGACAAGCGAGCCTCAAAGATGACGATTGGTACCGATGGTTCCGGGGCAGGAGACAGTGCGCGCAATAGTACCTATGGCCGCAACATGCCGCGGCCGGCCTCGGGATTTTCGAGCACTTCTGATTTCCGAGGTCGTACACTTTCTCCTTCGGTATCTCCTGGTCGACCCGTTTCCAGAGGTTCTCGATCGCCAGACACGCGACCGCTATCATACGTCGACCTGTTGAATGTCCCATACCCACAAGCAGCTCCCAGCGGCGCCGAATATCTGGTCAATTCTGGACTTCGTACTGTTGTTGGCACCAATGCCTCGTTGTTATCCACGCGAAAAACCCTGGAAATGTATCGGGCCAACGTCAAGAAAACCAACGATCCCGCCGTTCAATATGAATTCGCAGTGTTCATGATCAGCGCCGCGCAAGAGGAAGGATTGGGGGCAGACACCGTTTCTGAGTCGGCCGTATCGGAGAAATCACATGCATCATCCGTGAGGGACGATCTCCTGAAAGAGGCCAAACATATTCTTCAGCGATTATCAGATCGGTCATATCCTTTTGCCCAGTATTATCTCGCAGACGGTTACGCTTCGGGTTTATTCAACAAAGGCAGGGAGGATTGGGATCGGGCCTTTCCCCTTTTCCTGGCGGCTTCGAAACATGGCCATGCGGAGGCGGGGTACCGTACCGCGTTGTGTTACGAGTTTGGCTGGGGTTGCCGGGTGGACGCAGCCAAGGCTGTCCAGTTCTACCAACACGCAGCTAGCAAGAATCATCCCGGTGCGATGCTTCGACTTGGGCGAGCTTGTCTAACTGGCGACATGGGACTCACAAAACGGTACCGTGAGGGTATCAGATGGCTCAAGCGAGCCGCGGAATCTGCCGATTCCCAGTACAACCAAGCACCGTTTGATCTAGGCTGTCTTCATGAATCAGGTTTCGGCCCCGATGTTTTCAAAGACGAATCCTACGCCGCACAATTATACACGAAGGCGGCCGACCTAGGACACGTGGAAGCCAATTACCGACTTGGTGAGGCATACGAGTTTGGGCATTTGAACTGCCCCAAAGATCCAGCCCTAAGCATCCATTTTTACACAGGAGCCGGGGAACGTGGACACGCACTGTCACAAATGGCCCTTTGTGCATGGTACATGGTGGGAGTTCCGAATGTGTTAGAGAAGGACGAGGGCGAAGCATATGAGTGGGCGAAAAGAGCGGCAGAACAAGGATTGGCGAAAGCTCAATACACCGTGGGTTATTTTACCGAAATGGGGATTGGATGTCGCCGTGATCCGTTAGAAGCAAACGTCTGGTACGTTCGAGCTGCGGATCAGGGTGAAGAGAGGGCCAAACATCGCATTGCCGCTATAAGAGCAGCGGGGGCTGGTGCTGATCCAATTACTGCCGCGGCAGGGAAGAAAGGAACCCTGACGAGCAGCACAAGTTCGGGCAATATCGGGCCTCAGGGTGAGCTTTGTTCCTTTATTATCTAGGAGGACACATCATTACTAACTGAGCACCAGAAGGCGAAAAGAAGAAGAAATTCGGAATCTTCTGAGGTGGATTCTTTTTGATGCATCATCCAACGGCCCAACAACAGCTTTTCAGGGTCAGGCCCGGATGCTACAACTTGAGTTGCCTTGTACCGTCATTCCAATTACGCAGCTACATCTCGGTTCCGATGCATAAGAATCTAACGAAATCAAACGTGATGGAAACGCACACAGAGAGTGTGTGTGTGAGAGAAGAAAAAAGAATCTCTTGAAGGCCTTGTATCAACAATTCAGCATTGACACGGGGTGAAGGAGGCATGATTCAAAGGCATAGCGAGGTGAGGAAAAAGACAAGTACAACTACATGGTAATTCTGGAACTGGAATCCTTTCAGGATGGATATTGTAATCCGCAAGACTTATCAAAGGGAACTAGATGATGAGAAGCCTGTTCGTGAACGATAAGACTTAAGATCTTCGAATTCATCCTTACTCATATCCAAGGATATCGCCTCTGTTGCCTTCATGCTCATCAGACCCCAGCCAAGAAAGACCCGTGGAAGCAGCTCGTTGGGCGTTTCGCCTCAAGATGTCTCAATCCATGTCCTTTGTGGCTGTTGTGTAACCGTGAAACCCATCACCGCCTCGGACCTCAACCAGCATTCACAATACCATTTGGCATCATCATGTGCTCGCCTCTCTTGCCTCGCAGGAGAGTCTCATTACGTGCATACTGGCGGAGCGCATGGCTCTGCTGCTCAGGATGATTCGCAGACTCCTGCACACATCCTACAGATACACCATGTTGTCCCCCAAAGACGTTGTCGAGATCATTGGTCCAGTTCCTCACCCGGAGTCCAGCAACGGCCATGAGCTGGACCAGACTACTTCGAGACACGGTTTCTGGAGTCGTGACAGGTGAAAAGCGCTGTACAACAGCCGGCCGTAACGGACAAATGACCAACGTGGGACGCAGTCGTTCATTTTTGGCTAACAATATTCAATTCCTTTAGGTACTCTGGCGCCATTCTCTACAACTTCGCCGCCTTTGTCCTACCTGCGCTATACGGTACACTGTCCAAACTGTGGATAGCCAACATCGACACGTCTCTGGTCGTCACCGTCGACTCATACACGTATATCGGCGTCGTGGCTGGGCTTTCACAGGCATTGATCCTATTTCAGTCTGTCCTGGGCTTGCTCGTCAGCTTCATCATCTTAGGCGCCACGAAGAAATTCGCCGCCAGCTTTGTACCCGTCGAAGTTCGCCACACAAGTCTGACGTACGTGTGCATCAGTTCATTCTCGGTCTTCAGCGCCGCGCTGGAAGTGGCTATGACAAATGCCACGAGGGCGCTCGATCAGCCGGACGTGCCGTATCTTATCAGTATATCGTCAATATCTTGCTGGTCATCCCGCGCTTCCATGTCGTGAGCTTCGTGCCCTCGGTCAACACGCAGGCTGGCATTCGACTTGGGTGTGAATTTGCCGCCGCGTTTTCCGAACTGGGGTATTTTCTCTTCATCTCCATGAGGCTGCGGCGGAAGAATCGACCGGGAGAAGAAGATGGACCGAGATTGAGATCGAGACCGAATGTCAAGGCACTGCTGATCCTTCTGAGGCCTGGCATCCTCCCTTATTGAATCTGCTGTGCGCAATACGCTTTATCTTTGGCTGGCCTCCACGCATGGGGATAAAGGTGCAAGGAAGTCGGTGGAGAACTTCGCAAGGCCCAAGCGAGCTGGGAGCAGATCTGAGGGACGTTCAGTATCAAATCATTCGGTTTGGCAACGAAGTGAGTGCCCATACCCATCAGGAACTAATAATTTTTTTTTTTTTTTTTTTTTTTTTTCTCTTCAGGCATAGCAACCCCTGCTTTTATCTCAGCCGCCGCGGCGCTGACGATCGAAGTTGCCCTATGCGTGTTCCTTCCGTTGTTCGGATGTATGCCTTTCGCACACTACGTCTCTGGCTCAGAGAACGTCGGCGGCATCAGCGCACACATGTGGCGGACCATTGACTGGTGCTATATCTTTTATGCACTCTCGACTTAACTGGCGACGATCGTCTTCGCAACCGTCCCGCGCTGGTACCGTTATCCGTCACTCGTGGCGAATATCTGCTATATGCTTCCTTAGGCCATTGTCTGTATTTTTCGTGGCGCTGTGGGCGTGGAAGCTCGGTCGGGACAGTCTCAACTTTGACAAAGTCAGATTTGTCCAGTGACCCTACATAGATGAGATGCGATGAGAGGATGAGACGAACAACGTTCGTTCGATTAGCATGAACCGAGACGAGACTCGGCCGCTCTACTCCTGCATTTGCATCTTTTACTATTGATTCTACCTGTCCAGGCACCCAGAATGCTTGCTCTCTATCTTCGTTAGCCACTGGACAATATACACACGCAATCTGACTTCAGTTGATCTGTCGTGTCCCGCCTTCGCATTTTCATCACTGACCGATTCAGTTTACTTGTTCCCCGCCCATCTTCATATTCTGTCTCTTCAACTATCACGCGCTCTTCCTCTGGGATAGGTACAATCTGAAAATCATTCAACGCTTGCATCTTTTCGCAGCATGGTTGCACATTGGCTGTAGGCTTCCTCTTCTCGATTATTTTGGTGACCTTTGGGTAGGTAGGGGTTGTACTGTTATCAGGGCTGCTGCCATCGGTGCTGCTGGACTTGTTTTCAGTCAGATAAATCCAGAACTCGCTGATTGTGCTATTCCACCAGCAAAACCACAGCTGGTCGCCGACATTGATGTATGTTCCTATCGCAGTCCCGTTGGCATCGGGCCCAGAGCTCGATTGAAATCAGGTGGTTGTGGGCCATACCGCCAAAACGCCGGCCTTACAGAGTAATCGTCAAAGATTATCCTTGCAGCCGAAGTTGTCGAGTCGAATAGATCAATGCCTTGTTTCATGAAGCCAATGCACTCCCACGTGGCGCTCAGCGTATCATTTGTTACGCAAGTATTGATCTGCTGCGTCTGATTTAATGGCATTACGAAATGGCTAGTTGGTAACGTTGGCATGTCTGGGCTTGGAGTTGTTGGAGAAGCGTCCAACCGTCCTTTTTGGGTTCTATTCAAAGAGTTAGCTAGGATGAGGTTCTCCTGTTTGAAAAGGGCGTACGGTGCTGGCGACGCATCCGAATCGTGCTGTTCATCTTGCTGACTGCGACTGATGAAAACCGCGACAACAAGCCATATTCTTCGTTTTGTCGACCCAAGGAGCTTACCCCTCGCTTCCTTCTCGGAGCCTGATTTGACCTTTTGTCCACAGGAATAGGGCCATCGTTCTCGCTCGATAATGAAACTCCTGGATGGTAAGGCAGAAGGCCCCATCTGGCGCTACCGTGCGGCACATTTGGGTGATAAGGCTGTAAATTTTCTGTTGCCAGACTCTCAGCTTTCCCATGCGAAGGAGCTGCTTCTAATCCAGCCTCGTTGGAATGATCGACTTCTAATTCCGCATCGTTTGTGTGAACAACTTCGAGATCTGAACACTGGTGGTCCATTGACGTTCTAGGATCCAAGTTAAGCCCGGAGTTATCCAGATTGTTTTGCTGGATGTCCGTTTGAATGGAGCCAGCCATGAGCGAGCTCTAGCTTTGAAATAGCAAAGACGCCACTTGTCGGTAATGCCTGAGATTGCGGTCGGCCAGCTTCGACTTCTTCGCACGATCAACCGGCCTGACGATGTCCCACGAGACTGTGATCATACTCTCCCTAGGCGATGTTTGTGTATAATACTTTCTCCGCGCAAGACAGAGCTTGGTAATGACGTTCTGAGCGAGTTTCATAGCGAGCACAATTGGGGGTTCATCGGCAACAGCGGCTGAGCGGCAGGACCCTGTCCGGTACTAGATTATGACTCGTAGATCGCTAATGTCCCAAAAAAATGGTCGCTGGTTGGATGGCAAGGCGCATCCTGGAACAGATAACGGGACGAATACCTGGTCAGCTCGGGGCCAAAGGACGAAATGTTCCCCCTTGCTATCCCAAGGTTGTACACCCAGCCTACTGCCAATCCGGCCCAATAGATGTACAGATTGTGATTGATCTCGATCTCAACTAGTGAGATGGCCGCTTGCTAACGCGAAACCGGTAATGTATGTTGATATTCTCATGTCGTAGTCGGTGGACGGTTCAAACATGCTGTCAAAGGAACATTTGATATTGCACTGGCCTTATGTGCATTAGCGCATCACGTGAATCAAAATATCACGTGACGCACTCTTCCATCCAACAATCTTGCATTCCCGTACCTTACGCACTGGGCTTTGGCGGCGGCCAGGGGGTGGTGACCTCGTCTCAAACGAGAGTGTATCGAGGGATCGAGTTTATTGGTTGACAGTATCTTCTGATTGGTCAGCTCTGGCGGTGTGGAAGATGGCCGCGATGGCGTGCGGCCCTTCATCACTAATGGCGCAACCGACATCGCCAGCGACAACTTGGCTGCAACAGCATGACCAATCGTCCGTCCACCTCACCAACTTCCTGCATCTCTAGCTACACCGCCCGACATATTCTCAGTCTACCGCCGCCGTCATCTCCTTAAATTTCCTCCATCACATGGTCTTGAAGTTGCTGCAAATGACCAAAATCAATACCAAATGTCGGAGTATCGATGCCGATATCCGCTGAGGCGTCTGCGACGATCCTGGCGCTTCTTCCTTCTACCACCCATGACTGTCCCGCAGAGCGCATCTCATCCAATCTCTCTTGCAGACGCCCGCATCAAGTCCCCGGACTGCTCCTTTCTAGTCCCAACATGTCCAGATGAGTATTTCCTAAAATGTTTTCACTCGCTCAAGATGACCTCCTGTCACTTCACCTCTGAAACTTTGTTCCGTACGGAGTCCTCCATCCCTCGAAACTCTGTTTCAACGTGCATCAGGGCCTAGAGAATGATGCGAGTTGTTAACTAACACATGACATATATTCGTTATGTGTAAAGCTTGCAGTGGTTTTTCACTCACTCTCTCTCTCTCTCTCTATATACGAGCTCCAGTGATAGGAGTTTTCGGTGATTGTCTGTTCAATCGGTTTAGTGTTTCTGTTGAGCCAAGGTTTTTATTTTCCTTGGTTGAATCTCAACGTTGCAGATCCAGAATTCAGTCCCAAGTTACTCATTTTCTGTGACAACAAACCTCTGCTGATCGCGCAGGGAGGGTCATGATTCCAGACCAGAAATGACGAACCAACTAACGACGATACGAATCATGAATTACGACATCAACATGAAGACGTCAACTACCACGGATGTCCCTCTGGAGGACTCCGACTCTGAATCATTTCACTCGGCCATCTCGAGAGTGCCAAAACGAAGCTCCGAACGTCGGATCAGCCAGAAGCAACCGAAAACCAGCCGATATGTGATAGAGTATCAAGCTGGGCTGAATGAGACACAGCCGAGACCGAGCTCCCAAAGTAGTGGCGACACCGGAAAACTTAAGTCTCGACCGTCCTCGAGACGATCCCGGAAGGGCTCCATCACAATACCCAAGCGGAGAAGTAGTTTGGCGAGGAGGCCTTCCCGGAAAGATCCCGTAACGTTGCACCGGCAGAGCTGCGAGCTTTTCTCTTCCCTCGACGAGATGCTAGCGTTGAGTCGAGACATTACTCCTCTGCCCAGTGTGTCGAGTTCACGCACGACAACAGGACATGCGTCCACCATCGGGGAAGAAATCCCTCGTCCAGACGCCGTACAGCGAATGTATGTGCGAATAGATGCAAACTTGGCAGACTCTCGGCCTCGAAGTCAATCCCAAAATCATTTTTCCGCACCTCGGAGCTCCTGCTCGCACTCGCTTCCCACGGATCCGGTCCTCAGAAACAGCCTGGAAGCAATTTCATACACTGGCTCGACTCCTCGCGACAGCACCAGCAGTAGACCAAACGGGAACAGGCCTGCACCTCGGCCGGTATATAACACGGTGATATCGTGGACCTCTGACGCAACGCGACGCCGGGAGTACGCGAAGATCGATGCTGCTCACAGTGGAGTGCGTGGCTTGCTGCGGCGCGTGCTACCTCGGTGTCTACACTCTGAGACTGCCAGGAGAGGATTCTTCACGGGCACTTGTGACGGTGATAGTGTGAGGCGGTTCCGAATGGACGTCCCGGACGAATTGGATGATGATGTGAGTGAGAAGTTCCCATTTGACGAGGCAGAGAAGGTCGGTGATGGCGATGTGGTGGAGGGAATCGAGCAAAGGCGAGAGCGGGAACAGAAAGAGAAGCGAACAAAGTCAAGATGGCGGATGTGTTTTTCAATGATCGTGATCTCCAACAGTGAATTGAGCAAGCGAGCGTTTTGAGGGACTCTTATCCGCATTTTCTTTGCTGTGCAAATGGGCTTTCAAGATAATCGAATCCTTACTTAGCCGGCCAGGAACCACAGCTACTGGAAGGGTGGGCTGGGTATTCAGATTAGTATTTGGGCCATTGTGGACTCTATGTAGATCCTACAATACCAAACACAAGTCCACGGTGACGCATCTAGCGGGATATCATACCCGATAATGCATTGAACAAAACAGTTTCGTTCCCTGCTGGCCTTACTTAACCCCCTTTCTCTCACTCGATGTGTGTTAATTGGGTTCCGTGGGACAATGTTTGTGCGTCGTTCAGTCGCAGCAGGCCGGGGAGCCTGGGAATTTTGAATCAGAAATTGTGATTTCTGCTCTGAATTCTCTGGTGATCTCTTGGTGGGCCCTTTCTTTGTGCTTCGAGAGCCCGCGGTTCAGCCTTCTTCAACCATCGAGCTGAGTGGCTTTCTTTCTTGAACCAGTGGAGCTTGACGGCCTCTCCTTAGTCAGTTCGAAGCCGGGACGACCGTCTCTTGAGACTTTGGTGAAATATCAGTCACCTCCCTTCTGGCCGTGGTGACGATGCGGGTAATGAAGGGCTTCGAATGTAGCTACTCTGCATTTGGCCGTCCACAGGACCCTCTTGTTGATCACAGGTCGGTGCAGGGAAGATCAATATCTGATTTCCTTCTCTCGTCATCGTCCCCTTTTTGGCCGCTTCGTATTCTTCTGAGCAAGACAAGTCCCAATTCAGAGCAAATCGAAATCATCCAACTTCTCACGGTACTGCAAGACCTGTCTCTTGACCTTGCTGCTATCGACCCAGGTGACGAAATCTTCCATGCCTCTTGACACTAAGAATGCCGGGTCCGTCACTACTTCTGTACCGACGCGAACATGCCCTTGTTCCACGAACTTGTGCGCCGTGCTGATGTGTTCGACCATACCAATCCGAACCATCACTACGCCTAGCCTGCGTCTACAGAAAGCGGAGACCGTGACATCGTTCTCGACGCTGCTGAGTCCAGCACCCTGTCCGCGATTTTGCTTCAGGAGGCCGATCTGGTGCAGTTTCTCCAGCATGACCGTTTCCATCTCGACGCGGTAGGGGTCTGTAGGGTCCAAATTGGACAGGAGGTGTGCGAGTTGCCGTAATCGTCCACATAGAACGTTGTACTTGGAGTAGTCAAGCGGGTGAGTGAGATGGTAGCGACGGCGGACTGCAGCTTCGCGGTGAGAGGGCCCGTCAGACTTGTAGGTTATCAGGTCAACTTTTCGCAGGAGTCGGGATTCATGGTGCTTGAGTTTGCGGACCATGATGGGAATTGGGATTTACTTTGACAACCGAGGCAGCGCGGGCGGAGAGGGATCGTGATGAAGATTCTTACAAAAACTTGGGAAGTTAGAACCGCCCAGATCGTAGCGCGGGGATCTTTGACGGAAAATGGCCAACCAAGCGTCGACATGGTCTGTCGCCCAGAAACATCTTCTTCGAGCCCGCAGCCTCATTTGTCAGACATCGACCCCAACGGCCCTCGTCCCCTCTTTTCCCCGTCAAGGGCTTTGATATCAAGATGTTCGATTTTATTTTTGTAGGCTGCTACCCTGAATATATCGTGGGACACACAAATCCCATGCATTGGCTTGTTAGAAAAAGTTATCAGCTATTTTTCCGTGGAGGAGCAAGATGGTTGATTGTGACTTGCTTCAAGCGGGTCGAGTTCGCGACTCTTTCCAGTACCCGGGCGGCTTTCCCTAACGATTTCAAATCCCAAGACGACTTGTAGAGGTTAATTGGATGGCTCATCTCGCTCCACTCTCTAGCCTTTGTTCACAAGTTTGATTTGGCACTCGTAAACAGATACGAGAGTGAAATCACAATCGCATAAGTGGTCCGGAAGGCAACTTCATTTAGTCAGCAGACTGTAGACGAGGGGGGAAAGTCCGCGTTCGCCTTGTTTATATGTACTAATATCGAATGGGCTAACCCTGGGAGCCAGCCCCTCTGAAATTGAGCCCCGAACTTCTTGCTTCATACTTTTTCAGATCTCATCTCATCTGGTCATCAAGTTGATACCCTGCAGTTTCCTCCGCTGTTCCATCCTGCCCAATATCGCAATCATGAAGGCAATTGTGATGCATGGTGAGCCGGGAAGGGCATCCCTCGTGACCGATCGGCCGTTCCCCAAGCCCCGACCGGGCTACGTCTTGGTCGATGTCAAGGCTGTCGCCCTGAATCCAACTGACTGGAAACATATTGACCGAATCAACACCAAAGGTTGCTTGTCAGGTTGCGACTATGCCGGTGTCGTCGCCGAGACCGGCTCTGGCTACTCCAAGCCATGGACCAGGGGAGACCGAATCTGTGGATTTGTTCACGGAGGCAATATGTTGCAATCCGAAGATGGGGCCTTCGCTGAGAGGATTGCCGTCAAGGCCGACATCCAAATGCGAATCCCAGATTCCATGTCTTTCGAAGATGCCGCCACCCTGGGAGTTGGCGTTGTCACTTGTGGGCAGGGACTCTTTCAACAGATGGGTCTGAATATGCCCAGTCAACCTACCACCGAGGGCGAGATCATACTCATTTACGGCGGAAGCTCCGCCACCGGTACTCTGGGGATTCAATTTGCAAAGCTGTGAGTTTCCATGCCGACTTGATCCGTGCTGTCTGAAACCGACTGCAATCATAGAGCGGGGTATACGCCCATTACCACATGTTCCTCGTATAACTTCGATCTCGTCAAATCTCTGGGGGCCGCCGCTGCGTTCGATTATAAAGACCCTGGTTGTGTGGCTCAGATCAAGACGTTCACCAACGGTGAGCTGAAATATATTTGGGACACCATCTCGTTGCCCGCCACGGCCGAGTTCTGCGCCGAGGTCATTGCACCCGGAGGAACTTACGGTAGTATTCTGGGGGTGAAGTTTCCCCGGGATGACGTGAAATGTACTTTTTCCTTAGGATATACCGCCGTGGGGGAGCCTGTTAAGAAGCCCACCACCGAGAAACTGGACAATTCAGCCGACTTCGAGTTTATGAAGAAATGGATCGAGGCTGTCGAGCCGTTGTTACAACAAGGTCGGTTGAAGGTTCATCCACCCAAAGTGGGCCGTGGTCTGGAAAATGTCCTTGAGGGATGTGATCTTCTTCGAAAGGACAAGATTAGCGGACAGAAATTGGTGTATACTGTGTGAAGTCCAGCCCATGGTTGCCTAGCGCGAGGGATTCGAGAAGTAATCAAACAAAAATTATTCCAACAGAGGACAATATTGAGTCGTCGTCAGCATGTGCTAGCAGCTCGGAGTCCCGGCCTCCTAAAATTGAAATTGGTACAGTGCTGAATTCAACGGACTAGTTATAGACAAGACAATCAAGTATTGAACTGAACTCTGTTTGCTGTTCGATACGGCCAGACTTCCCCACCACTTCCTTCCAGGCGATTGGAGATGGCCCAACTAGGTGCCAACCACTCCCCCCTGGGCTTCGTCGGTAATAATATGTCACAGCCCAATGCACTATCAACCTTTTTTTCGCTGCTTGTCATCAGCTCCATGACGTTGACATTCCGCCACGGCACCATTCCCAACTTCGCCGCGTGGCGCTCTACTTGGTTGTGGTACTGTAGGTTCATTGTTGATGTCAGGCCCCAATGATCCTCGGGCAAAGGAATCTCGTTAAACCCATGACATCCTAGCAGGGAACAAGGTTGTGTGCCTGTTCTCGTCATTCCTCCTAGCCACGCAACAAACGAAACTTTGGGGAATGAATACTTGACCTCTCCTCTCTTGTCCATCCTCCCTCAAACTCCTCCATTCCACCCACCAACATGTCGACTCAAATTGCCACCCCGGAGACGCCTGCAACAGCCCCCGCGCCGGTGGCCAATGGAGATGTCAAAGTGCCCGAGATCAAGATTGAGACTACTGCCTCGAGCCCCCAGTCGATTCCACTGGCCGGACAATTATTGACGGGCAAGCAAGAACACTATCTCAAGCGAGAACTCATCTCTAGGCAGGTCTATAGCGAAATCCAAGAGTTAAACAGTCCGACCGCCCTCCAACGGTTCGGGGCCCCCTTCCGTTCAGAATATGGCGAAGTCTCTCCGATGGACTCGGAATTGCCTATCTTGCGTTACATCTTCGTCAACCATGTCCGCAACTTTCCTTTCCTCAACCAGGCCAAAGAGAAGGAGTTCTGGCAGGACAAGTTACAGGTCTTTCTCGAGTCATTCGCCAGCAAATATATCTCGTCCTCAGAAGACCGGTTAGAAGAGACGAAAAGGCGGAAGCTTGCAAAGAAATGTGAGAAGCTGGTCGAATTGATGATGGTGTCGGGTGTACCGACTGCCTCCGGATATGAGGAAAGAATACGCTTTTCCGAGATGGAGGTCGTAGAACGGGGTGCCAATGAGCAAGGTCTCGTGGTGAACATTCCCGAGGGCAAGTACATCAATGACTGGGATGTCAATGTGGCCGGTGTCCGGATCACTTCGGTGAAACGCACTGTTCGCTACCACCAGCATGCAGAATTCTTGATTCGAGTCAAGAGGCCCAACCAGCCTGAAGTATACGTTGGAAGACGATATGGCGAGTTTGCACGACTGCACAAAAGACTCCGAACTGAGATGCCCGGCAAAGTGCTCCCACCACTACCGAGAAAGAACAAATCGTCCACGCTTTCATCCGTCTTGCCGGGGGGTGATGACGACACTTCTTCGCTCTCTTCTGTCTCTACCCAAGCCAGCGTTTCAGACGACACGGCCAGAAACGTGATGGCAACGCATCGACGTTTCAAGTCCAGCAATTCATTGAGTGCCAGTCCGGGTGTTGGGACACCGGCGGGGCGGTCGTCGCCACGACCTAGTCTATCCAGGGACCGAAGCCCCAGTCCGCAACCTATTCGATTGCATCGAGAAGACCAACGAGTCTCATTGAGGGCCTTTTTGAGAACAATCCTTCAGAATCCCCAGATTGCCGAGTCCCGGTCGATCGCTGACTTCCTGAGTCTTCAACCCATCCACCTGAACGAGGAGGAGCTGGAAGACATTGATCGACGCAAAGAAATGGATGCTCGGCGTCTGGAGGAACAAGAGAAATTCTACAACATTGCTCGACAACGAGCCGCGGAGCTCGACGTGTATATGGAGAAATTCCGAAAGGACATCGTCGAGAGTAACGGTCTGACCAAGCTCTTTGCCGAAATTCGAACCAAGGAGAAGCTGGAGGACTTGAGTCCCGAATACAAAAAGTTTGCGGAATGGTTGAGGATAGAAGTGGCGGCCACGGTTTATCATTTGTTCCTCGCCGAAGACAATTCTCCCGAACTGTTCGCCCAGGCGAGACGGATACACTCTCTGGTGCCATATACGGTGTTGAAAAACGTCATTCGCATTGCGAATCCCGCAGCAGTCATGGCGGGTGTGTTGGATCTCTTCTTGGCCCAGCCATTCGGCGCGAGATCGCTTCTGCAACGAATCTTTGCGCAGACTCTCGCCGATGGCATCCGACAATTCCAGAAATCAATCGACGACCTGATAGCGAAGATTGGAGACCCGGGATTGACGAGTAAACTCAAAGCATTTGTGGACAGCCCCGAAGAGATCAAAAATCTCGTGCGAGAGGAGGCACGCGTGGAAGCCGTCGATATGGTGGTGGCAATCCTCCGATCCGAATCAATCGAGCCCGAATTGACTGTCCCACAAATCCAGCGGGTGTTTAATGCTTGGGTGGCATGGAACAGCGCCGTGGAAAATGACGACGAAGAACTGAAGCAGGGAGCTGAGACATTTTCTCAACTCAAACAACTTCTGAAATTGATGACTCGTCAACGGGATAAAGCGATGATGGCTGCGATGATCGAAGAGCCCACTACTTTGCAGCTCTTCCGCGACTTGTTCACCATCTTCTACGAACCTCTGATTCGGGTTTACAAGTCTGCCAACGTGTATAGTAGCATCACCGACTTTGCCCAGTTTGCCGACGATGCCATCAAGACGGTGGAGGTTGCTCAGCGGCAGGACGTATCGGCAGATCCAAACCAAACCGTGCAAAGCTTTATTGACCTGTGTGCGCGACACGAGCACAACCTGTACAAATTCATCCACGAAGTGCATATTCATGACAACGGTCTTTTCACTGCATTGATGGGCTGGATAGAAGGGATCTTGGAGTTTCTGCGAAAAGGCCCGAAAGGAGGGAAACTCGACATGAACGCCATCTTCCGAGGAGCCTTGGACATGGGCATGGTTGACAAAGAAAAGTGTATCATCGAGATCAACGCATTGATCAGGTGGCAGCAGGCTCGGAAGAAATGGCACAGCGACAAGACGAGGCAGAAGATGGCCGCGGAAGGGACCACCCCGGCAGAAGGCATACCAGGAATGCCGTCGTTTAGGAGCAGTGACTTTGGACTGCACGAGGTACGTCTCTCCGGAATTGTCGCAGGCCCCGGGGAAGTGTTATCTAACGATACTGGTTCTTGCAGGCAGATCTCATGGATCTTCGAATCTCGGACGAAGAGGACGACGAAGAGAGCGAGGATGAAGAAATCGAGGATGATCTCGATCCCATCCACGCTGAGCGGCGGAGACGGCGAAAAGCCCAAGATCGCCTGCGACGCAGCGCGGGTGAGCCGGTCAAACCTGAAGTCACGGAAGTGTTGAAGTTGAAGGAATCTTTCCTGGCAATGTTGCGAGCCGTATTGAGCGAGTGAATAATAAGATACCGCCAACACAATGGGCCCTGATCTTGGACCGTGCCATTGGCTGACTAACACTGGCACTTGACGGGGTCCTAAATAGACGAACGAGCCCGCATGTGATGATTACGAATGATGAGCATTTTATGTAGACACCCCAAGGTACAGGTTACTTGTCGACAAGGAAAGGTTTACTTGCATGGCCTGCCGCACAGATTGCTGGCAGCCTCAAGGCGACCACCTCTTTTATTTTTTTCTCCCTGAACGTACGGCATGTGATACGGAGATTTCCCAGCCTCATGAACACTACCCTCTGCAGATACAATACGGAGTACGTGATTGGCACTAGTAGTACTGTGCGCAGTGTCTCGAGAAGCCAGGCAGACAATTGCCGTGCGTCATCAGTTTTCATTCGAGAGTGGTCTCATGATTTTCCAGGCTGATCAACGAATCAAAAAAAATTTCGCGGGAAAATGTGGCTGCTTTACATCGTGATTGGTAGGGCTAGGAAATAGGCGGGCGCGTAGGACTGATTTTCAGCGTGATGTGCTTGATTATTGGCTCCCTGGGGTGATTTGACATACCACGCAAGGAAGACTGAGGATGGAAATGAGCAAACGGCGAGCTGGCTAGGGAGGAAAACGCTCCAAGAGTGAGGCAGTTGGTGTTTTGTGTCCGAGTCCCGTCTGCCGGTGCAGTTCGAGGTGAGGAGAGCAAGCTGAGAAGTGGGTTGAACGATCATGGGCACTAAGTCGGAGAGGATGGCCTGTTTGAGCGAGGAGCGGAGGGTGAGCACCAGCCCGAAACCCCTACGCCGTCAATCCATGCGTCATCTCATAAGTCCTGCTCAAGGCCCCCGTCTCGTAGTTTCGTCTGTGAGTGTCTTCTGCATGCAACGCTGTTGCTTACACATGAACGAGGGTGTTGCACATCTGCCATGGGCACCCGAAGACAAGGATTCGATGTAAAAAGGAGATCCGATGGTAGAGGAAAACTTCGGAAGAGGGGACGAAACAGGCGGGAGAACGGTGGGAGGGTCACATGACACGGGAATCCGTAGGTGAGTGAGTTGGATCTTTTTTTGACTTTCCTTCTGCCGGCGGGGGCTCTTGACCGAAGTCACGGTGTCAGTCAGTATCCTTCGGTAGCCAGCCCAGCCCCTGTCAATGCTTGGGGTCCCTTCCTGCGCATTCCACAGCACGAGCACCGGGAGAGCTCTCGGTCGTATTCGCATCTCTCTCTTCTTGATGTGATTCCGATCGTCATTACAGAGTATGGATGATACTATGCAATGTCCAGTATTGTAGATACCAACATGGACGAGAGGGTTGTCAGCGCAGGTCACGAGGCAAGACGATGGTTGGTCTGGAGGAGGGAGCAAGCGAGGGAGCGAAAGGTGGGAGACGAGAAGTCAGAATCACGCAAGTTTTTTTAGGCACCCGCGGTAAGTTTTGGACAAGCGACTGCTCTCCACTTTTTGTGAAGTGATTTGCCATTGGGAGGTGCTACAACCGGTTAAGGCAGGTCATACAGCGCCCCTCTCGGTGGCTGCCCGGTTGGGTGTTCGGCTAGCGATGCCCGTATGTGAGTAGTCGGCCCTCCCACAGCCAAAGTCTCATTCTTCCACTCTTTTTTCTTCCTTTTCACTGCCCTTCTTCTATCCGCCCAATCGCTCATCGTTTCAACTTTCTCTTTCCCTTGTTGGACCCAATCATCTCCCCCATTCGCAAATCCTCTTCACTGTTCTACCATCCACTCATCATTCACCTTTGGCCCTCTCCAACCCTCACCATACTCGCTGCGCATACGGACGCCTACGCAAGACATTTCTCGCGTGGGTCTCGTCTCATCACTGACTGCCCACAACCCAACTGGTAGGGCGCCCAGAATCAGCCAAACCCCCAGCCTCATCTCATACGCTCACTGCTTACTCGCCCACCGAATCACCTCACCGATCCTCCTTGCTCTCCGCCCGGTACCTGTTCCTGATCGCTCTTTGATTCGACTGCTTCCCTTTGCACGATCCACGTTCCTGGTAAACCATCACCACCTATCAACGGCCTTGCTGTCTTCAATACACGCGCGACCATTGATATCATCAGGAAAGTAGAGCCTCGCCGCGTCAAATACCATCTACAGCATCATAGCCTCGACGTCGGAAACTACCCAGCTCCCGGGTTTTTGTGCATAATAGTAAAATCGGGCCCGGCTACGCGCGTTGTCGCTGTGATCTGTGATCTCATCAGCCGAACAAGCCCATCATCCAACCACCACGTCAAGGCCAGCACAAAAAAGCCAACAAAACACACAAAGCCGGCGAACGCAGCAGCCATCATCCCAGCCCAATTCCTGCAGTCCACCATCCGCGGCAAACCTCCCGCCCTCACCGCTGGCAATCACTGCTCTACACCCATCGCCGACAAACCCCGACAGCCCGACCGCAACTCCAACTTCCATCTCCATCTTTTCCCGGAACCACGCTACCACGGCGCTTCCAACTACCGCACATTACCACTCCGTGTCTTTTGTCACTTGTCGCATTCCATCTTGATAAATCACTGACGGTCAATTGATCAGACAAGCACATCACCTTTTCGACAAACACGCGTCGGTATCACTGTCGCTGTCGCAGAAATCAATCGCGACTGCGGCGGCGTGCATTGTAGATAAACCCCGACAGCTTCGTTTAGTGCGCAGGAAGAATTTTCCGCAGCTTCACACCTTGGGCACGAACTGCGACAAACTTCAAAACAGCAATTCTACGCCTGCTTATTCCGCCGCCCCAAACACCAAAAAAAAAAATAAATAAAAAAAAAAAGGCCAAAGCCAGCCCAAATCTGATTATTACAAGAATAGATCCCAGCTCGCTTTTCGCCTTCCTTGTGGGACGGACTAAGGGTGAGTTGCATGACAAAGTTGCCAACACATCAGTGCATATGCCTCCAATGGTTGCTACTCAATCATTCCCACTCGACCTCCTCCCCCCAATAATCGTCTCGATCGTCTGTCAGAGCCAATACTGATTCACTCTCTCCTCCGACGTAGTCTAGCAATCGAATCGCAGCTTACCTTCCTTTCCGCCCCTCGAATCAATCCCTCTCTGTCGCCGCAATTTAGCAAAACCAAAACCCCATCCAAACTGCGCGCGCATCAAGCTTCTGGGAAACGAGAGAATAGCCGGAAAAAAGGGAAACCATCGACAAGAAAATCAGGCTCAAAAGAGCTGGAAAAAAGAGTCTCTCAGAAAGTGACGTTTGGGTCAGGCATCTTCATCTCGCGCGCCACCACTCTACAGTAAGAGAGAAAGTGACAACTCATCAAAGGCGCTACGCGAAGCCCAACCCCAGCTTTTTGCTGCAAAGAAGCCCAATCTGAGGCGAGTTCAACCGGGTGCCAACGGCTGTACTCGACATCTCGCCTCATTTGTTGAACTTTTTTTTGTCGATATAGTGGACCGCTGGTTCTATTGTTCAACTCTCCAGAGCAAGACTTGTCGCATAATCTGCTCCTCTGGCGATCAAGGTCAGTATTGGTGCTTTGCTTTTGATCCAGTGACCGGTGATTGCTGCACTAGCTACTAACGCGACGAACCAGGCTCCCACCTACAGCCATTAGACCCTCCTATCAGAGTGTCCAGGCGCCTCTTTCGCAACATTTCAAGGCACAAGCAGCCCCGAAAAGACCGCCTCTCAGCTATCACACATTACGCCTGGTGAGACTTCTTAACATAACCTCCCCAGCTTAGCCTCCGGAGTCCTGCGTCTTCCCGTACGCGCGACGGCTTGAGGCGACCAACAAGTAACCCTACCGGCCGCGAACTTCTTTCCTTTTCTGCAGCCCTAACATCCATCATATCAGAGAGAACGATTGCAGACCGTAATTCGTACCCCATGATGGAATATCCTCCACAATATCAGCAACATACTCAACATCCTCATATGCAAGGCGGTTATCAAACGTCGCCTCAGAGTGCCGGTCCCGGTTCTCTCCAATCTCCTTCCGGCCCTCAATCGCATATGCAACATAACAACCCCAATCAAGCCTCTCCCATTCTCCCTTCCCAAACCCAAAACCATTATCAACCTCAATCGGCCGGTGGCGTTCATCAATCAATGGCCTATCCACAATATGGGGTGGGAACTGGGATGACACAAGGTTATGGGATATCGCCCACTCAGGCTGCGGCGATGGCTACTGCGGCGGCATCAGGTTAGTTCACATCTCTCGCAAGAGATTGTCGTAGAAGTACACTGGCTCATCGGAGATCTACAGGACAAATGCCGCCATTGCCTTCCACAGTTTCCATGCCGCAGGCGTCTCAAATGGGTCAACAGAGGCGTATGAGCCAACAGATCACCAGCCCTCATGGTCAAGTCTCTCAGCCGGTCATGAATCATAACATGCCTAGACAATCTGTTCCTCCCGCCATGCCTCCTCCTCAACAACCTGTTCAGGCTCCCCAAGAGGAAATTGTCGCTGGAGGCGCTGAAGAATCTCCTCTATACGTCAATGCAAAGCAATTCCACCGCATTCTCAAACGACGGGTGGCTCGACAGAAACTGGAAGAGCAGTTAAGACTTACCTCCAAGGGTCGGAAGCCTTATCTGCATGAATCCAGACATAATCATGCTATGCGACGACCTCGTGGACCTGGAGGTCGATTCTTGACGGCTGATGAAGTTGCTGCCTTGGAAAAGGGTGAAGGTGGTCAAGGTGGCGAGAATGGTACCCCGGCTACCAAAAAGACCGAGAATGCAACTTCCGGCACCAAGAGAAAAGCGGGAGCTGTGGATAATGAGACACCCGTGAAAAAATCCAAGGTTGCTAGCGAGAGTGCAGAGGAAGAAGATGACGAGGATGGCGAGGAAGATCTGGGCTGAGCTTGATCCCCCCTTCCTTCCCACCCATCTCGACCAATTTTTCGGTTTTTCTTCCTCGTTCATTTCTCCTTTGTCTTGCATATCCGGGGGTCTGCCACTTTAGCAAGCGTTGACTTTGATTGATGATGGGAAATCATGGTCCACTGGCTAGGAGGTCTTTTTGATTCGAAGCAAGCTTGCTGGTCTCGCTGGAAGTAATCATTTTTATCACCTTTCCTTTGTTCATTGACATTACAGAGAGATACGGGCTCACGCCAGGACACGCAAACATCATCGTCACATTGACGAATCGACTTTCCTTCCGCCACCCTCTTTTGATGAATGGCGGGTTCCTCTCATCTCAGCAACCCTCGAAATTGCGACCAAGTCCAAATCAAGATACCCGCACCATCATCCTCTCTCGCCCCCCTCTCCCCATCCAACTGTCCTTCCCAGATTGCAGACTGGTTTGAAACCAAATTGTCGAAAGTTTTAGCATTTTGTGCCATAAAAGATATGGACAGATTCCGCCGCCGGAAATAATCCACAGGACAGGGACTCTACCACTCAGACATGACATTGATGCTAGCATCGATCATGATCATGAATGGAGAAGCCGGTCAGGAGGGTTCAAGACTGAGATTGAAAATCCTAGAACAGGGAATCACCTCACCGTGAAGGAAATAAGGGAATGGAATAAATGGCACAACATTCTTGGAATAGGAGGGAATTTGACATTATCGCAAGGCGAGAAAAATGGTACACCAGGCAAACACACCACCACGAGTGCACGCGCACCACCCGCACTTTTCTTTTTCTTTCCCCTTCAATTCAAACATATTGGTTCATCGACTGAACCCCTATTTGGTCAACTGCTACGGCAACTTTATTCACATCCATCCTCAACTCCACGATCGTTGAACGCCCTTAACGAATTTCCTTCACCGTCTGTCTGATCTGTTTGAACAAATTGTTTGCATGCTGTGGAGGAATGGAACAAACGGAATATTATTACGTCTCGGAGCAGGAAATACCGAACTCGGTTTAGGTAGTTTATCTCAAGAGAGCCAAGAGAACCAAGGGCCTTCTGCCAGGTGCAGTTTGGGTCTCTTTTCTTTTCTATGATGACTACCGACTACCTTATTTCTTCATTTCTCATCCCCAAGAATCGAAATATTTCTCTTAATTTTCAATTGCGTTATGAGTCATGACGGTGGACGCATGGGGGGTGGAGAAAGGAGAAAGAGGGCAGGGCCTGAAGCATCCATGGACATAGGAAGGGACTTGAGCATTGAATTGGGTCAGGGATAATGTGGTAGGGGCACGGGGTGTATGGAAAGAGCATGGCCACAATGGGATAGGGATAGGGATTCGGAACTGGAGAATGATCTACTACTACTCTTCCACTCCTACAAATTGGTTTTTCCTTTCTCAGAGGAGAGGGGTGTGTGCAGGACACTTTGGGGGAAGAAAGAAGATGAGATATGAGAGATTCTTTGTACAGATTGGCAGATTGGAGCATGGAGCTCGAGATAGCCTCGCCTTTTTTTTCTATTAGCTTTCTTGCTGCGTTTATATTTCTTTTAATTGGATGCTTTTGCAAAGTTATTCCTTCTAAAGCACGATGTCGACCTCCTTTCTCTGCGGCTGTGTTGAAAACCGGGAGTTTTCAAACTAAGGGAGGAGATACCTGAACAAGGAATCCTTTGTAGCCTGATCTCTGGTGATTGGCTCGAGGCTGAGTTCCAAGATTACCCATGTTCCTCTCTCTCATATTTGAGCGCTTGAGCGATGAGATCCGAATATTCAGCTTACTGAGAAGATGTGTGATCAGATATGAATAATCACTTTTGAGCAGGCAGGTCCTCTGACTCGGACATTGATATTTTTTCTTGGGTTTTTGAATCTTTGTCCAAGACATATGATGTGTTGGAGATCTGGGTATCATCTCCTGTGTCTTCGCTGATGAGCCAGAGACCATGTCAAATCTTCCGCTAAATCATTTGCCTGGGAGCCGGCATCTTTGAGCAGTCAAATTCTTCCTGATCAAGTCCTGGAGTCAGGAAACAACACAGACCTACCCGTCCACCGGTGGCTAAGACGTATATCCATTCTTTCTTACCGCTCTCATAACCTCTCGTCCTTGTCAGTTGCTTAATCCCAGTCATCATCGCCCTCAACGGCAGCCTTCTTTCCTATCTGCCTAACATCGTCCCCTTCACTATCTTCATCTCCATCCTCATCTCCTTCTTTGGCAATTAACCGAACGTCCCCCTCCTTCATAGCGCCCACATTCATCAACAACCCCTGAACATCCTTCAGACTAGTCTTCGTCCCATTCAACTCTCTCAACGTAACAACCTGCCTCATAATATCCCCGTCCCGATACACCAGGATCGTCGGCGTGTTTCTCTCCGGATACCCCTCAATACACAGCTCAGCCTTGATCTCGCAGAACTTGACATCGCCAAACTTCCTGGCCGCTTCTCTGAATACTTCACCCAACACCCTGGATTCGACGTTACTTGACGACAAATGAACAAGGATGAACGCCTTGGAAGACTCCTCCGTGACCTCACGCGCATACTCAGGCTTTGAGATAGGGTAGACGTGCCCGTACACACTGGATTTCTGTAGTGACGACAATTCAGCGAGGCGCTTTGCACGGTATTGTTGCAGAAAGGACTCGTCTTCTTCGTCTTCGAGCGCGGCGAGGTCGTCGAGGGTTTTATCTTCGAGACGATTTTCGTGCGCGCGCTGTTGTGCTTCGAAAAGTGCTTCTTGGATTAGAGGTTCGGGATCCTGGGGTTTGGGGGGAATGATGCCGTGTTTTCGAAGGATGTCGTTCCTGCAATCAATCAATCAATCAATCAAAGTTTGATAACGGTATGCCGTGATTGGAGGGAAATTTTGTATGAGAATCTCCTCGGCTCTGGCATGAGAAGGAGATGGAGACAAACCACTCTGTATCAGCATTTGGATCGTCCACGGGGACATTGACCGGCATATCCATTTTGATTTTTGATTTTGGCTTTTTTCTTTCAAAATTTAACCATCAAATTCTTTTCGAAGTCTTTGCCCGTATGGCATGGCCTATGAAGAGAATAGCCCTCGTGTGAACAGGAGACTTGGAATATTGGTCGGAAATTTCCAAGAGAAGGACAGGAATCAGTGAGAGGGAGAATACATAGGAAATGATACTAATCAAAGGGATAGTGAGTGGTTGACATGACGAGGCCAGACGAAGAGGCTCTCAAGATTAGAAAATGTGATTGGCAGATGGTCGCCCCACTGAATCTTGCTGCCTTTGCTCTTTGCAATTCAGGTCAAAGTCGGCGAGCTCGTAGATTCTGAATTCGCATCCTTTACCCGACGAATTCGTAAGCTACCAATCGAATCACAGGGTGGTAACATCATACCTACAGCACCGTCTGCCCTGAGTGAAGAAGACGCCACATCTTTCGTTCAGTTCACCAGAAGATGCGAAGTAGAAGTTTCCAGCTCATGATCAGGTGTGCATTCGAACAGTCGACCAGGAAAGAGTGTTGAACTCATACACATGTATTGCTTATGGAGATGCTATGCTATGGAAAGAGTACCTGTTCTATCTACTAAAGACCAAGGCCTGAGCCGTATGGTGTTGTTATCAAAGTGAATAACAAAGCCGGCCTTCTCGCATAAAACAATAGCCCTCCTCCGTAAACAAAGCCAGATTGAATCGCTCAAAATGTGATTGTCTTTGATTCAGCCAGATGTGTATTGTGTTGGGGGATCGGGGGGATGCTGAGGTCTTGAATCATCTCGTCGTGCCCATCATCGGTGGAAGCCTCCAAGGCCAAACCTTGATCCAGGTCTAAAATGCCCAATTCTCATTCACGGACTTGATCGCCCACTCGAATTTCTCGCGGAGAGTCTTGGAGAAGAATTTCTCTATCGGCACATTGAATTTCTTACTGAACACCACCGTCAATCGAGGATCGATGTAGTTCTGTACACATGGGGTCAGTTATTTGGTCACCGTCAAATGGCGGGAACTTACAATCTTGGACGTCCCCAGTGCCACCTCTTTATTGTTCTCCTTGTCCTCCGCTTGGACGGACATGGTGGCAATTCTAGTATCGAGCTTCTTGACATTCTCTTCCAACTTTTCAATGGTTGGAGACTTGCCCTCGGCCTCGACCTTCTTCGTTTGGTTCTCCTTCTTGAATTTCTTTTCCAGCTCTTTGGCCACCTCTAGGCGCTCTTCGAGCTCTTTGTGTTTCATCTCCTTTTGGCCTTCTGCTTGGAGTTTTTCGTTCTCCTTTTCGAATTTCTTGGTGATTTTGGCCTTTTGTTCTTCGACCAGAAAGGCTTGATGCTCCAAGATCCAGGCCTCATCCAAGTCATCCGGCAATTCGAAATAGTCGGCTCCCTTCTTCTTTTTGATCTTCGGATCAATATCCAGCATCATTTGCTTGAGTCGCCATTGCTGGTACTTGACACCCTTCAGTCGGTCACCCAATTTCTCCATTTGACCTGCATGGCTGGCAGCCACTGTTCGCTTGTGATTGCAAAGGATTGCGACCTTCCGATTGGCGTCATTGTAATCCTTGATCTTTTCATGAATGGTACCCTCAGATTTCATTTCACTCAATAGTTGTGACATGGTGAAAGAAGCATTGTAGGTACGGAAGACTTTGGCGGTCAACCCGGGCATATAATTCTTGAGGTGGTTGTTGAGTTGAGTTGTGGTCAGACGGTCGAAGACATCATCCCCTTCCTTCTTCGGCGGTTTCTTGAAGATTTTCAGGTTCTTGAAGACTTGAGGGTCCACTTCAAATTCCTCATGGAATCGAATACTGTCTTTACCCAAGAAATCAAAGATGACGGTCGACGGAGCCCTCAACGTGATATGCTCATATTTGAGTGAACAACAACCCACGGTATCTGCTTCGTCGTCACCTTTCTCATTGCCGGCACGGAGGGCAAACTGATCGATCAGGTACATGGCAGTGGCTTTTTGCCGATCGGCCATCAATTCGGATTTGAGATCTTTTCGGTAGTCTCTTCGGATTCGATCAATGTGCTTCTTGAGTTCACGAGCCTTTTCGAATTTCTTGTAATCACTTTGACCCTTGACATCGGAATTGGCGGCAAGCATCACATATTTGTAGTTGCCGTTGATATTTTCTTGCCACATGGCCAACCAAGTGCCTTGCTTGTCATGCTTGATTTCTTTCCATCTGTGACCTTCCGGTGGAGGAGGTACCTTGGCATCTTCACCGATGTTGATCGTGATCTGCTCCGGCATGACTCTGGTTTTGACCTTGCCGGTTTTGGGATGTTCACCTCGACCCCGGAACAGCGCCGGAGGTTCGACCCGGAAGTTACCAACTTTCTGCTTCTTGCCATCCCAGATACAGTACATGTAGGGGGCTTCGGCAGCATCTTTGGCAGCCTTGATCGCCTTCTTTTCGGCGGGTGGCAAGGCCCTCTTGGCTTCTCTTTGCGCATCGTAGTATTCGAAAATCGGTCTGAAGTCGCACTTGGCAAACTCCTTGATGGCGACTTTCTCCCCCTTCTCGTCGGTGGCACCTCCCGTCTTTTTGAGCATGTCTTTGAAGTCCTCGAAGAAGTTTTTCTGGAACGTCGGATTTTCCACGTTGTGAGTCGAGTTGAGCATTGAGCCAAAAAAACCCGCCACTTCCTCGGCATCGGGATGCAAGGTAACGGGAACACCATCGTATTTCATCTTGACATTTGGGGGAAGCGGTTCGTAAGGAGGGGGGAAGACAACACCATTGTGCTCTAAAGTTTCCCACTTATTGGTTCCGTCACCTTTTGTTGGGTCTTCCCACCATCTCACTTCTTCCTCTTCCTCTTCTTCGTCCTCGGGTTCCTGAGTCTCCTCCTTCTTGACAGCTTTCGGCGTCGATTTCTTCACGGGTATAGAGGACTCGGCTTTGACCTTTGGGGATGAAGAGGCAGGGGCTCGCTTGGCCAAGGGTTTGTCATCATCACTCAATTCCTCCTTTTTGACCTTGGTGGTGACTGGAGTGGCCTTCTTTGCCGGTTTCCCGGCCTCCTTCTTTCCTTCTCGGCGAATTTCCTGGGCTTGTTTCTCAGCGACCTTCTCAATTTTCTGTTTCTGCTTGGCCAATTTTTTCTGAAGGGGTACATCCGAATCCGACGACTCGCCAATCTGAGCTGCAGAAGCACGTGGAGGCTTGGTGACTACCTTGCCGTTGGTCTTTGCCTTGGAAACAAGAGGAGCGTCGTCGGAATCTGATTCGTTCGTCACCGTCGTGGTAGTCTTTCTCTTTTTGCTCTGCATCTTTATCAGCCAAATTGACCTTCAAACTGAAGCGGGAAGATGTGCATACTAGTGGTTGATCGTCATCACTGCTTTCTGCCTCGGCATAGGATGGTCGCGTGAGAGACTCTCGGACCTTGCGCTTGGCCATAGCAGCACCGTTGGTAAGATTGTCTTTGGGATCTGTCATCGGTGTGTCTTCCAATTTCACATCACCATTCGCCATCGATATGCCAGGCAGCACCTCTCCATTCGTAGGAATTTGCCGATCCATTGTAGCGTCGACCGAGGAGGGGATCTTCGAAGAGGAGAGAGGAGAAGTGACTGTGAGAGACATTGTCAGTAATGCTCGTATTTGTGTCTGAAATCAACTAGGATGTTCAAACGAATTCAGCTCGGTGGATTAATTGTGCAGGATAGATCGTACCTCCGTTTGTGCCATGAGGCCTTCTTGACCGAGCGAGGGGCATATCGTCGTCCGAAGAAGCCATGGTGCGCGTGTAGAAGGAAACGCCACGGAGAGAATGACTTGATCTCAATTGAAGGGGTGGAGGAATCGAAACTGGAGGAGGGAGAGGACACGTCCAAGAGGTGAGGTATTGAATGGACCTCTCAAACGTGCCTCGGAGCCTCGGAATGATGGTCGAATTTCGAGGACGACGAGGGCGATAACGGGCGTCAAGGGAGAACGGAAGAGAACCGAAGGTGTTGTGGTTTGATTGAGTAACCGAGGGAACGGACACAAGAAAAGAAAAGAAAGACAGAAGGCAAAAAAGAGGGAGAAGTTAAAAAGAAATGGGATGGGTGAGGCCGAGAAAGACGTGGAAGCCAGTCGCCGACCCTCTTTTGAAGGGGAGGGAATTGCTCACAGACGACAGACGATCAGTGTCGCCAGAGTCAGCGCCAGTGCCTTTCTGCCTTTGCTGCGGCCTGTGGCCCACCGGGTGAAGTTTAGTTGACTGGTAGAGTCGCAAGGAGCACGATCCTTAACCACTGACTGAAGAAAATGGCAGCGGCACTATTCCTTGTCAGTTAAGAAACGGTCTCTCTCCAGGCAAAAGAATAACGCTTCACCCATTTAGGACTAGTGCAGCCCCAAGCTCGCCAGCTTCAATCGGACCTCTGCAAAGTTCACTTGGCCCCCTGCGAATCTCCTCTCTCCCCATCCATCACCCTCACAGTCCTGCTCATTCACGGCGTCGTGGTCGGCCAGTCTACTCATGATGCTGTCCAGAGCTGTGAGACCTGCCCTCTGCGCCGGCAATGCCGCCTTCGCCAGGTGAGCTCCCTCCGACTTACGAAATCCCCTCAAGTGCTCGACGAGCAGACAATTCCCCCCCGTGAATCCGATGCTAACTCATCTCTAGAGCGGCTGTGCCTCAAGTTGCCGGCTATGCCACGTTGCGAGAAATCGAGAGTACGATCATCAGCCGTATTTTCCCCATCCTGGCACTGATCATCTTCAGGTCGTCTCAAGTCGATTCGAAATATCGAAAAAATCACCAAGACCATGAAAATCGTCGCCTCCACAAAGCTCACTCGTGCCCAAAGGGCCATGTCTGAATCCCGAACTTACGGCCAGACATCAAACCAAGTTTTTGAGGAAGCCGAGACCAAGCCTTTGGAAGAGAAGAAAACACTCTTGGTTGTTGGAAGTTCTGACAAGGGTCTCTGCGGTGGCATTCATTCCGGCTTGACGCGGACCGTTCGGCGAATGCTAGAGACGGATCCCAATATGGACCTTGCGGTGATTGGTGAAAAGTGCAAGTCTCAACTTGGTCGTTCCAACGCAAAGAATATGGTCTTGAGCTTTGCTGGTATCGGAAGAGACGTTCCCACCTTTGCTGATGCACAAGCCATTGCGGATCAATTGATCATGCTACCGGAAGACTACGCAAGCATCAAGATTATCTACAACAGGTTCATCAACGCTCAGAGCTATGAACCGGTCACGATTGAGGCATTTTCCGAGGAAGCAATTACTCAGTCTCCTAACTATGCGGCATTCGAAATCGACGATGAGGTTCTTGCCAACCTTCGAGAATATGCTCTGGCCAATGCACTTTACTGGGCACTCGCTGAAGGACATGCTTGCGAACAATCCGCCAGAAGAAATGCTATGGATGTGAGTTTCGCTTTTCATTCTGGAGATTCTACACGCGCACTAACTAGCTCCCACCAGAATGCCTCCAACAACGCCGCAGACATGATCGGCAAATTCACCATCTTGTACAACAGAACTCGACAAGCCGTCATTACTGGAGAATTGGTGGAGATTATTACTGGTGCCACTGCCTCAGAAGATATGTAGGCGCGGTTTTGGAGAGAAGTTGTACATAACAACACACCTCTTTTCTTTTAGCCAATGGTGATGGAAAACTTGAACCAAATGTCATTTCATATGATTTCCCCCTCTCTTCCTATTCTTCGGCGGCTTGCTCACTTTACACAAGCTCCGTTTGAAGGCAGTCCTCGTGGGACTTTGCCTACGTGTTGCTTCGAATGGTTACCTTCTCGTTTGACACTTCAAGCGTACAGAAATATATAGAGCCGATTCATCGGTTTGAGGATCCTTGATTTCGAGGAAGCAATTCCCTCGACACGTCACATCGTTGCAACACAAATCATTCCAATGTCTTGAAACATCTCATGAATGGCCGGATTCGATGTGTCACATTTCGCCACCCCGAATTCAGAAAAGCCAAAGCAGACTCCTGGATTGACCACCCTCCGAAACCAAGCGCTATGAGCCGCAATGCATCATGTCTGGAAGCATCAAACGCCAGCGATATCAATCTATTGCACGGGCTTGGAAGCCGGCCTGATCTAGAACCGGGGACAGCCAATACTGATACTGTATACCAGTGTCTGGTCCATGACCTGATGAATCCGTCGAATTGCTCTCTCAAATTGACAGCCTATCAGATCTAAGTCTTGTCAATACCGATGCTGAGGCGGCTGAACCAGCAAACAGCGAAAATGTCGTCACAATGTCCCAGTTCGACAATGTTTCTGATCGCGAACCGGATCCATGTACCAGTCATCTACTGGCTACTGGGTCAGAGAGTGATGAAGGCCGATGAACGGTCCTCGCTGGACAATGATTGCCATCCAGGGCCGAGTGCAACGAACGCTTACCCTGCGCAATTTGGGATTGCTCGTCGAGTCAGAATAACCCGGCTACATGCCTCTACCAACCCGGGGCCAACCACCTCAAATAATCACCTCGCGGAATGAAAAAGTGACAGTCATGTCAAAGTACTTGTCCGCTCGATATCCTCCCGATCCAGAAATGTACGCCACTGCCCATGAGGAACGACTTGGGACCAATACCCTGATCAGAGATAACGGTGTCACTGACCATGCCGAACAATTGTCATTCAAGCCCCTTGCCTACGCTGGCACTGCTGCAATGGCTTTTCTATTTGTGACTCAACCTCGGTTGCTGAGTAACACATCCTTTGTCTATTGCTCTTCGCGCCATATCCACATATCGCTCGCTCCTCAAGATGGTGTATATCCCTGCCATTTTTGGTGCGCAATACCACGAAATAAAAAGTGGGAAAGCGTTCTCATTGTCAGCCTGCTGACCATGATGACACGTGTCGATTGGGTATATGCTTTCGAAGTCCTGGGCCATGGCGGTGAAGGGACATTCTATGGTCCCGTCTCCAAACGGCCGTTCACGCCCATATCCGTCGTCCTGCTGAGACCCGTCATCACTGCCGCCACTACAAGTATTGCGACTGGTAATGCTCTCGCTTGTTGATCTGTGTCTGCGAGGCATCTTCGCCTGCGTTCTCCTTTTTCTCTTTTGCTCTTCGCAAGGGTCCCGGTCATTTTCTGGGTCTCGCTCATATCGACCTCCATGCCGTGTGTTGTCGTTGTGACCAATTCTCTCGCCCCATGCATCGCACGAGCAACTCATGCTGCAGCTTCTGGATTGACGCCCATGTCGTCTGTGTTTATCTCTTCGGTCGCTGCCATCTCGCTGTTGTTCACTATTCGAGAACGATTGAATTTATAATCGATTTGGGTCACCATGCCGAGACGAATGGCAAGTTATTGTCAAAACGTGATCTTGGATCGTGTATGCAGCGGTACAGCCGATGTTGACAACAAGGCTGGCTGCCCCCTTTTCCTGCTCAGCCTCGCAGCATTCCTTCGGTATGTTCCCCTTCGCTTATAACCAAAGCCTTTGTACACACAGATCTCCTGGTCATCTTGGCATAATACGAGCATCAGTTCTAGCATTCATTTTCAAGAGAAAATAAGTGTGTCTTTCACAGAAACAAGGGTGGCTTTGACTATAATTACTTCAAGAAAAGCCCCTTGGTACGTGCGGAGCAATCTGATCATCTGTATTGATATTGATGTTGGACGACCCTTGAATGCCAGAGGCCGGCCTAAACGCCCTGGAGGTGTCATTGCCTATACTTAGAGAAGTCTGGTATGTGGAGGTCCCGGGGGGGGGGAAATGCAGGATGTTGCTTTCATGCCTAAGTAACTTTCCATTTTGGGTATCGGGGAATTCCCGACTCGAGAGAACTGTCTATTCGCAACAAAGGCGGTCCTTTGATTTGCTTAAATGTAAAGGCCATCCGCACCCAGGAGTCCAATTGGTGCAGACCCGTTCAAGTCATGTCTCTCATAGCATGCAAAGAGGACATAACACCTTTGCAAACTTTATCACGTCGACTCCCAGCAAGGCGAACCGACACAGGATCCAGTTACTCACATCTAGCCACAGGCTCCGTTCCCAGGACCGAAAGTCCTTTGAACTCGCTTTGAATCCAATGGGGGCGAGCCATGGAGAAGAGCCATGGATAAGATTCCCAGCGGACATCCGATTCCAAGATCCCTGCCAGGAAAAGTACAACAGAAAGCCGTGCAATAGGAGTTCCATCAGTGATTCTGGGAGCATAAGTCATGAACTAGCTCACACTGGGGAATTTGGTTGTATTGTTCTCAGCAGGTGCACCACCTGTCGGAGCGAAATAAAAGTTCAAGAAACTTAGATCATTGCCGGTCATTAAATCACCAACATTTCTGCTCGATACTCCATTCCCAGATGTAGACGCCGGAGAGAACATCAAGTCTGGGGTCGACAGAAACGCGTTAGACCCAGCACCGGTGGGAGAAAGGTGTCTAAATTCTGAAGCAGGGAGCTCAGGGGGTTTGAATGCTAGATATTGTCAGCCGCGTTCTATGTCGAACTTTGAGACAATCTCACTCAATGTTTCAATTGCTCCTATGAGGCGTTGCAGATAATCGTGACATCTCGCTATGATCCTATTTCCTGCGTCGAGATGAGCCAAAGCAATGGCTGCTCTTTCGAGACATTCTTTGCACGCGAATTTTGATGGCGCATCCGGAATGGTCAAGTTCGAGTCCTGACAAGCTAACATGATTCCGGCGATCACCAATCCTGCATTGAATGCTGAAAACCAAGTGAGATGACACCCAAATCAATCATGCAGAAGTTTCATCAAGGGGGTAGCTTACTATAATACAAGGTGAACCACCACGCGTTCAGCAGTCCCCGTGAAGGGCCAGCGTTTTGTACCAAGGTGCTTACAATAAAGATGATTTCTTTGGAGCACCTGAAACAAACATCGATGCTGTTGCGTCCGAGTCTATTGAGAAGAGACATCTCGGATGGGTCAGTGGTCGAGGAACTGGCGAGTTCAAAGTATTTGACTAACACCGGACGGTGAAGGAGGATTGTCAAGTTCAGGTATCGAAGTGTGAGAACGACTTGGAATCGTTTGGCTTTTGCTGTCGGTCCGGCAGGGTCATATGAAGCCAGAAGGTCCCATAACTCTGAAGACGTGATGGTTCTCAACTCCAACGGCAATTCTCGGTCCCATTCCCGGAGTTCATTGTCAATACGTGAAAGAGGAGAAATAACATCCACCACACTGGGAGGCGAATCAAAACCCAGGTTCTGGCCATATTGCTGGTCGATGACCTTCCACATTATTTGATATAGTTTGCTGAGCAGGAATCAGCTTGAATCATCTGCATAGGATCGGCTGGACCTACATGGTGGCGGTGAATACGCCAACGCTATATTCAGTATTTTGGTCGTGGAATAATCCCGATTGCTGAGCTGATTCAATGTTCCGGGGAAGATCGAGTTTGACATAGTTAAAAGGTATGATTGCCGGGCGACCAAGTGTCATACTTAGCACCCTGGAGTAACAACAGGATCAGCTACAAGCCCTAAAGCTGCTCGAAATTGGGTCTGTTATACCGGTCGAGAATGATGCATACAAACCAGGTCCTGTTGCGTAACTCTTGCTCCAAAGGAGAAAATGTCTGAGCTGCCTGGCGCGTATGCAGTCCAAGGCGAATCGCAGCACTTACTGCCAAACTGAGGGCATTGCTTGTCCGTACGGAGGTCTGAGTTGCTTGAAGATAATGTGTTACAAGGATAAGGTACTGCACTGTTTTTGGAGTGTGAGCACGATACGATCAGGAGCTGCAGATTGTGAATCACGTACCCACTTCCAGACTTGTTCCACTGAGGACGGTCACATCACACAATGCAGCAGCGCGTTCATAGTATTTCTGAGCCTCGGCAGCTCTGGTTTCAGCTGCAGCATCATCACGATCAATGGTTATGGTGGCCAAAGCAAGGACCATATTAAGCATGGCTAGCCACGTCCTTCGCATACTGGTTGGTCCATGTTCCTTCATCTGGACATAAGATTCGAGAAATGAAGGCCTGTGTAGATTTGGAAAAAGCAGCCCAGTGTCCGAAAAGTAGTGTCCTATTAGTTGCTCCATCTGATGCTGGGAGGGAAGCGCGAAGGGATCGAGGACTTCTCGACCTTGGCCCTTCCGCAAATCATACACATTAAGTGGTGAATGTGGTATGTTCAGGAAAGTTAAACTCGGATTATCAACAACAGAGGAAGTCCAGGGGTTGGCAAGGTGCCCAAGCCGGGCTACCATTTGCGTTATGTGGCGGGTGAAAGTGATATTTGATGACGGCCCTGCAGATGAGAATTTGTGAGATTAACCCCAATTCAACAAAGCAAACCTCACCAAAGAAGGTCAGTATCTCTTCGTTCTCAAGAATCACAGCTCCCATTCCGTCCACAGGCTGCGAAGCGGCCACAGTATTGGGTGACTCGCCAGTGAGGGACCGTGCAAAACCTCCTGGTTCATGACTATTGACGAGGCTGATTTGATGGACTGATGTTCGAGGCAGTCCCCGGCCGGGGACTGGAGCTGCTACCGTCAAGAGACTTTCTAGTGATGCCGATGTCGCGGTTGAAGATGCAACGAGGGTTTCAAGAGCTCGCAGTCGCTCCTTGAGTTCCTCAATCTGACTGCGCGGCACTCATGGTCAGAAGGTCCCTGCCAATGTTAGGAGTGATGAGATGCGGCAAAATACCTGCTGTCCTCAGAGACAGGGTGGATCGGCGTTCTCAGATAGGTGCATTCAATACCATGATCTCTACACATAGCACAGCTCGGTTGGTCTCCATCGCACTGTTTTATCTACGTCAGCTCGAACACGGTAGTCATCTGTTCTGTTTAAGTGCTCACACGTGATTTTTTGGCCCGGCATGAGTTGCACGCAATGGGGACACGTCTCCTTTTGGGAGGAAGGTCTTCGGATATTTGACGGCGGCTATTCCTGTCAGTGAGTGTCGAATCCGGCATTCTTTGACGGATATCTTATGTTTGAATCCGCAAAAGAGAGAGAAAGCAGATAAAATTATAGGCCGAGGATTCATTGAAATGCGGAAGTGGAGTCAGATCCTACTACCGAGTTTCTAGTTTGCGATATATACGCGCATGCTAGGGTCGATGCCTCAGCAGCATATTGCCGGGAGGGTGTGGGTTTGCAGACATTGCGGGGACAAATCGGGTCGTGAAACTAACCTCATGGGCCTCCTGTACTGGGACTAGCGTGACCACGTGCATTCGCGCATACTGACCAATAACGATTGAGAACGAATGCAGCGTTTTGCGTCTTTCCTCCTCTCAGTACTTACTTTATCAAAGGCTATGATGTTTTCACCTTTAAAAGGTCACGAACACCTAACTGGGTAAGATACAGTTCTCTAATCCCATCATGTGCCCCAGCAGAGAGAGCCATTCAGCCGTTGTTAAATTTAGCATAAGTTCTGAATAGTCGCAATGCCGTGCTTCGTATTGACACCTTGCATGACCGCATCCACGACAGCTTGAGGTCTGCGTCCGGAGTCGTTGCATTCTGGTAGCCTTCCTCGAGAATTTTATCTCGACTTGCCAGCGGACTTGCCCCCCTCCAAATTTCTAGTGCTCTCTCAGCATTAGGCGGGAGATGAGGGCTGTGGCGAAATGTCTGGCATCGGCAAAGTAATCGAGTTCGTACGGCATAGGACATAGTAATCAACATCGTCTATTGTTGGATAGAGGGGTATTGTGTTTATGCTCCACCATAGAAATATTGACGAGAGCTTTCTATAGACGACGACGTTACAGATGGTTGCTCTGTACAACGATGTAGCATTCGCATGTCTAATAAAGAAGCCTGGACAAGTACTATCCCCCCTTGAATAAATGTCCTGTGGGGCCTTGTTGGCGTCATAATACTAACTAATTCCAGTACAGCCACATTACCAATCAAATCGCTCAGAAACTTCTTGATTTACCGCTTCTTTACAATTTATTACGATTTTACCGGCAGAATATCCCAACTATCATTTTCCCAATGGACTCGCAGCAGATTACTCCTCGCACCCCTATAGCACCGAGGCATCGGAACCTCGAAACCTCGCGTGATACACGTATCATGATTCAAACCTTATTCCAAGTTCCATACGAACAAGTCCGTGAGAAGTTGGAAGGCGGTGAAAGGGGCGGAACGTAATGGAAAATACAGCTAAAAATGAACCCACAGGACATTTATTCCGGGGGGGATAGGAGATAGAGAACAGAGCGCTCCTTCATCTTAAGTTTCACAAGAAGTTTGACATCTATATATGATTCCATGGACTGGATCCGATGGAATTAGCCAATCAGAGCAAAGGATTTGGTAGTTGCCGGATTACAGATTTTCCGGATCACGAGGAGTTGGGCTAATCACGTGAATCATCCTCGGGGGTTGAGGGAGCTAGCCCCCAAAATACAGAAGCTACGCTTTTACCCCCTCTGGAATATCCATATCCTGTCCGCGGCCCCTAGTGAATTCTCATGGCGTAACCGCGTGGTAGAGACCATCGAGGGATATCGAAGAGGGTCATGTCGGCAAATCACGTGGCAAATTTCTTGGCAACGCCACGTGAAGAAGTTGTCTTGGCAGTATTGCACCCTTCCCCCTTTTCAGAGTTGCTCTCTTGTTAGAAAACCAATCAATCTTCTCTCGGCCCAATAGGTCAAAGGCGTACGTTGTAGGACCCGAGAGAGGATTGATTGATTGATTGAATCTGTCAAGAGGCGCACCGACGCCGATCCCCTCAGGACTCTAGTCGAGTAGGCGACGGAGGGGTCAGCTAAGCCTGCACGGTGCACGACCGGTAAAGCCAAATATGCCAGGGAGGAACTAGAGACATAAAGGGGGCCGAAACGGGCTGCGTCGAGGGCGCAGAGGCCGTAAGGATCGAGGATTGGGAGAGTGATTGCAGTGCTCTGGAAGGAGCCGGTGGAGAATCGAGAGGGGGCCTGATGCGGCAGGGGGGAATCAGGCGGTGCTGTGTGACGCACGATGAGTGCATCAGCGCGACTAAGGTGAGAAAGAAAACAGGTTGAAAGGGAAGAAGAGAGGGACTGGATGGGGAGACGGGGTTCTTATAGACGTCAAAAGCGGCGGCGCGCCAAGCCTGCGACCATACCCGCGACGGCGACGACTTTACAATCAGCTAACACCAAAAATTCAGATTCTCAGCTTTTGCCTCCAAGAGATTGCAATTTCTAGGAAGAGTCAGTTCAAGTCATCAAGACAAGGAAAATAGGACCTCCGCTTGCCCCGGCGTGTCCGCTCAACTGCACATACCAGAGTTTTCGGAATCGAGTTGAAGGAATAGTATCACTGTGGAGACCAATTCTCAACAGCAACGCAATTGAATCTGTCGAATCAAACTTCAGGAACGGTGAGTAATTCTACTGAATTAAGGCGATCACGCAGATCGACTCTTTGGTTCAATGGCCTTCATTAAGCACTGTACATATTTCTTAGTGTATCTCACCGATACGTTGGTCAGGGTCATTTCCATTGTCCTCTAAATTCTTCTCAAGACAAGAACAGAACCCTGCCTCAGGCTAATTGTGTAATGTCACAGGCGAACCCACTGTTCGAGAACCCATGACCCAAATCATGGCCAATGACGCCCAGCGGCCGGCAGATCTGGAAGCTAAGGTGCATAGAGTCTTGCTCTCCATCAGCACCTACGAGGTACCTCCTTCAACAAGCTGCAATCCGAAAGTGCAATTGTCCTTCTGTAGCAGTGCAAGACGAAGCAACGAGCAGATGCCGACATTTGCAGTAAATTGGCGGACAACCTCGGCATCTCCGTACTGATCTCGGAAAAGCCGTCCGAATGGTTGCAAGGCCAAGCCTGCATTTTTCTTGTCCGCCGGCTGAAATCATGACGGCAACCAAGTTCTCGTGCAACTGGCATGTGTACGAATTCGGGGCACTCACGGGGTATGATTTCCACCTCGAATGCCTTAAGCCTCGAGCCAAATCCTGGACGATAGCCTCGTGTTGTACGAGCTTAGTCCGGGGAACATTCCTATCTCCCCCCGGCTAGTGATCCCATGTGGGGACCCCAGACTTTTACTGAATCGAGGAGATGTCCTTGAACAAGCCCCATTGATGAGATAACAAATGATAACAGATCCTTGAAATGTCGGGGTTGCAAGACAAGACTCGTTCAGCGCTGGCTTGGACCAAGGTTGGCTGCCAAAGATGTCTTTCACCGCGGGAAACTTGGTTCTGATCAGAGAGAACCTGGACCAAGTCAATCTGAAACTGCTGTACATCCTCACAGTGTTAATTTGCCTCTTATTGGGCATCTTTCGCGCAGTGTACCTACTGTACTTTCATCCTCTGAGCAAAATACCTGGACCAACGCTCGCAGCGCTGAGTACTTGGTGGCAGAAGTACTATGCAGCAAAGCTTCTCAAAGCAGATCAAATTCAAGGTACATGATTCAAATGAGGGGAAAGAATCCATTGAAAAGGCTGAGACCCATTTTCAGCGGCCCATTTGAAATACGGCGACATCGTCAGAATTGGTCCCAATGAGCTCTCTTTCTCGAATCCAAGGCATCTCAAAGCCATTTACGGGCACAATGTCCCTGTTCTGAAGACGGAATTCTATGCTGGTGGCAAGTTCACCAGCGAAGACAATGTTTTCTCGATGAGGTAAGGCTCGTTCACTGCGATCGCGAGGTATCCAGCACTGACAAAGACGGGCAGAAATCGAGACCAACATGCCGCTCGCAGAAAGCTGATGAGTAGAAATTTTGCACAGGCACCCCTGATGGAGCTGGCCCCTGATTTGATGCGTAAGGCGCAGGCTCTATGCTCCAAGTTGGAAGAGCTTGGATCCGGGACAATCAACGTTTATCCGTGGCTTCATCGTCTGGGGCTAGAATTCATCTGTCTGGCTTTGTCCCCTTCTTCCCTATGCGCAAGTCGTTCTCGGTGAAGTCGTTGGCTGATGCATTCTCTCCCTATAGTCATGTTGACTCTAGGTCGTGATTTCAAATTGACAGAAACCGACACGCATCACCACGCTTTAAGAAATCTTGAGGTTTTCCCTGAGAACTTCGCTATCACGGCGATATTTCCATTTCTAAAGAAACACGGTGTCGATGTTCCTATCAAATCGATCAGGACTCCTTTCGAGATTCAAGCTGGGTGGGAAAAGGTGTGTTTGCTCGAAGCGGTCACCGTCATGTCCTCAGCTTGTTGACGCCGGAATAGTACTGTCTTGAAATTGTGGCAGAAGAACGGGCGAAAATGCCGGAAGAAAGATCATCATGGATAAAGAGGCTGATGGATAGGGATGACGACTTTCTGGGAAGACCTCTGCGAGATCTTGAGATTGCAGAGGAGATTGTAGGTGTGTTGTAAGTTTATCAGATTTTATCTGTCTGCGAGAGAATTCCCACCCCACGGCTGTGATGCTGACACTACTCTGCTTAAGATTTGCAGGATCTGGGACAGCATCATCAACGCTCGCGTTCCTCATTTATTCCGTTGTGGCAGATCAGAAGATATACGCGAAGCTCAAGAGAGAGCTCCATGACGAGCTGCCAGACTGGCCTGTCCATGGTGACGTGTTGCCTGATATCAATGCTATTCAACACCTGCCATATCTCAATGCCGTGGTCAATGAGACCTTGCGTCGATTCCCTACCATTCCGGGCTCCATGCCTCGTAGGATCGTCTCTGATAACGTCAAGATTGACAAGTTGGAGTTGAGAAAAGACGTATGCTATCTCCCTGACGGGCAACCACACCGATCACTAAGTTTTGAAATCAACTAGACTATCGTTAGCGCACAGAACTACAGTCTCCACATGCATGAGGAATACTATCCCTCTCCCGAGATGTTCGATCCAGAAAGATTTCTTGGGCCGGACCAGAAGAAGGCGAGGGATGGGCTGAATGCATTCTCAGAGGGACCGAGAGCCTGTCTCGGTCGAAAGTAAGCACCTGCTTCTCCCCACCATTGACTACCGCATGGGATTGAGTGCTGATATGTTATCTTTCCCAAAGCTTAGCAGTCTTGGAACTGCAGATTGTAACATCATTGTTCTTCCGATATTTCGACGTGAAGATGGACCCGTCGATGAAAGCGGATGACATGGCGATGAAGGTTGTCTTCAGTGGCAGTCCCAGTGGAGAGAAAGTTTTACTCAACCTGCGGAAGGTGACATCTTAGGCCGGAGAGGCAATTGAACTGGTATAGAATAATCATCTTCATCGAAATTCCCGCACACGTTCTCGCTCTATAGATCCATTTTTCTTGTGTCGAGTCTGGCATTACCATAGCTGCCGGCACCAGTAGAGTGCAGTCAATGGAGCCGCTATAGTTGTTACCGTGGCAATTGCATTCTTGAGAATACACATCATGGAAAGGCTACCGAGTTGTGGGATCGAAATTCTTGGAGACGTAATAAACTGTGCATAGGCAGCAATCCTACGTTTGTATTCATTGTGCGGCGTGACGGTAAGACATCTGGTTGGATTCATCGTCGTGCGGTATGAGAGTCCCCCAGTGGCGCCATGATAGAGTCCATTCGTAACATTCTGCGGAAGATGGATGGTGTCCCACCATGGATCCAGCGGGACCTGCATGCCTTTGATGATCTAATTGAACAGGGACATGGAAACGCCATCGCCCTTCCACACTTCGGTCGCTCATCACAGTGCAAGTTGTACGTGACAAACTTTGGATAGGAAACGAAGCCAGTCCCGACCAGCTCAATTCAGTTCCGCTTGCTTCTAGTCATCGGACCACTTTTACTTCAATCAATGGAATCCTGTAGAGACCTCGATCTCCATTTCTCCAGCCAACCTCGGCTTTTCCACTCATTCACAGCACATGGAAACAAGTCAACTATTTCCAAGAGCCATTTGTCGTGGGCAAGTCCCATTAAATCCCTCGGGTCGTTGTCAAACGCCGCGATCTTTCCCACCATCTCCTGCATCTTCTCCTCGTCAAGGTTAAAGCCACCTAGCTTAAGGCTTGTAGAAAAGCAAGTCCGACCGCTGACAAGGTTCGGTTAGGCAAGGATTCTGAGTAGGATTTGTACTTATCCTTGAGCTTAACATATTGAGGGATCTCTATCGGCAGAGGCTGGGATGTAAAAGGGTCGGAGCTCACCGGCATGGTGACAGACGTCGTCTGCAAGGAGAATGAAGCTGTCCGATGGCAATTTGGGAAATGGGCCACCAAGGCTTGTGCGAGCACACCAATATGTCAAATCACGTGGCCCGGGGTAGAAACTGCCGTCACCGAACCAGGCTATAGTAGGGCAAAGAGCCAATCCTCAAGTTTGTATCGGTGAGGTCGAGTTCTTGAACCGTTCTACCCCGGAATGCGTCCTGGCATATTGAAGATTGAGGCTCAGTTGGCCATCCTGGTAGACAATTCTCTTTAAACCCTGGGTCCACGGTGGTGGTAGCCGTATTTGGCGGGGGAGGAAACGTGTAGCATCTTGGACACGGTCAAAATGCCAGTGCGACAAGATGACGTTATCTGGTGAGGTTAAACCAACGCCATGAGCAGTCAGGTTATTGGCAACGTCTGCGGTAGAGAAGACCTTGATATTCATTGATTTTATCGCTGCAACTGCTGAGAACTTGATCACCCCAGCAGAGATGGGGCAGGTTCTCCAGTCTGCTCTGTCGCCAAGCCCGTTCCTCAGACTTCAAGTTGTCTTTCTGCAGAACAAGCCAGTGTGTTCAGAACAATGGAATTGAGGAGTTGCAAATAACGAATTGCAGGTGAAAACGGTCAACTTGTCCCACGCAATGATTCGGTAACCTATTTACGATCCTCAGACCTTTTCTCACGTTTGAATCTGCAAACATGTCCCCTCCACAGAAAGTCTCTTTGTATTCGGCCAACGGTGCGAATGCCCATCCCCACGCGCTTTGAGGACCTTCATCTGCTGACAGACTAATATTGCAGATCTGAAGAATGCCACTGATGATGCCCTAGCTCCTTATCTGACGACGCTCCCGAAGCCCTACACATTCACACAACAACACTACCTCACCAACATTCGGCTAGCACTGGGTTACACCGCAGTCATCATCGCGGGTGGCTTATTCTACGCGGACTACAAACTCGGCTGGGACGCGACTAAGGCCTACACTGCTCCAGCTTGCGTGGCATATTTCATTTTGAATGGGGCCTTGACGTTCTGGACCTGGGCGGTCGAGGGGGGCACGATATTTGTGGGCATCAGAGAAGGAGGTCAGAAGGTCAGGAGTGTTCTCCACCCCGACTACTTTGACAAGGGCTAATGGTCAATTATAGTTGACAATCAAATCCTCAATGCAGAAATACAAACCAACATATAAACTCAAAGTTACGTACGAGGCGCCCTCAGGCATAAAGTGGGAGGACAAAGAGTTTGAGGGCGCGTTCACACAGTGGTTCAATACGCAGGGTTATCTACAGACGAAAGAGCTGCGGGCGTGGCTGGCACAAAATATCGAGGTCCTGGGCCTTGCTGAGAAAGAGACCAGGGGTAACAGCTTGAACAATCAACCCGCCTCAATCCCCATGAGAGCGGATGAGACAATGGAGCACCCATCAGCCACTCCGTCTTTCCCCACAGGAATCGAGACTTCAGCCATCCCGGCCAGTGCTAAGAAAGGACGCAAGAAGAAGAAGGCGTGAACGAATTTGGTGGAGGAAACATGTCTTTTGCTTAGCAATGTTTTGGGAATTGGACTCGGGAACTCCAGTACACTTGTTCCCAGGAACTCGACAGGTCAGTTTCTCTGTGCCGGTTTCCCGGTTCGCTGTTGGTATAGAATGAATGTCAGGAGATTAAACCGTTCGGCGTCTCAATTTATCCTACGGCAAATTATCGGAAACCCCCATCACGCCAGAAGAGGTGACTGATGGAAGGTCACCGACGTCGAAGAAATTATCTGGAGTCTTCTCAAGGAAGAGACATCAGACGTTGCCACTCCGTTTCCCTGAATATCTGGATCCACTGCATGCAGACTACGATCTTCTACACGCTCTCCTATCTAGGTACCCTACTCTGGTTCGCTCTGTTCGAGTGTGGTCACCGAGAAATCCGCTCGGCAAAACCCCATTAACTACGAACGGACTCGACGGAGGGCTCAACAGCGGCAAGAAACTGCTGCAACCCCAAGCCGGGACTTTTATTTGGCAGAGGTCCACGATTTTGTCGGTGAGAGTACCTAATCATACTGGGACAAAAGAAGAGGCTCAATACAAATCACCAAGTCGTTTCTATTCCGTTTCAATTGCTGGTATTCCTCGCTCGAAAAGGACAATCTTATCGATTGTCAAATTTTAAATGTTTACCTTTGCAGTTTCAATTCGATTCCCTTCAATTTGTCTGACTCGATTCGGCTCAGTTCAATTCAGTTCCATTCGCGTCCTGAAGGAGAAGGTCACGACACTTAAAGCTCAGCCTTGTCCTGGTATCAAATCAATCAACAATAGGCGAAATTTATTTGTCCCCGATTCCCGGTTCAGTTGCCACACTCCAACAGAGAACGACGTCAACCGCCCATTCTACGACAATACTGAGATTATAGCTCCAGCTAACCCTCTCTCATCCGTCCGTACCGAGACCTTGACCGTGACGCCCGATTTGGCAGAGAAGGCCATCTTCACCAACGCCGCAACGCGGCCGCCCGTGACCGACTTGCCATATAATTTCAAGGTATGTGTCGTATTGGAGATGACCACGTCCGTGCCTTCCAAAGGCTGCAAGGAGAGGGTTTGGGCAAGTTGCTCCATTGCATCTGTCGCGTTGACACGGTTAGAAGAAAATGAACGCCCAACAACCTACACACCTGCTCGGGATCCGCAATGAAACTTACCTGATAAGGTCTTGATGGTAGCCAATTGTAATGTCTCGCTTGCTTCCTCGCCATTGGCTCCCGTTCCTTCCCAGATGTGATCAAAACTTCCAGCGAATGCGGGAGAGACGAAGTCTGCACCTGTCAGGTCGAGGTTCTCGACCTCATATTCATCCTCATAGCCCCCTTCTTCGGCCTCCCCCGTTGTCGGGTCAATTTCCTTGCTGGTGAATTTGAGGACGTTGGAAAATGTGGTGGTCGGGAAAGATTGTTCTCCTGCCAATTTCTTGAAGGCCACGTACACCACGCCGGGCTCGTCTGTCTTCAGTGCTGTGGCGGGAATGATGAATTCTTCCTCTAGTGTTGGTTCCTCGTCTTCGGATGGGGTGGTCAGAACAGTCACATTTTCCAGAACAGTTTGATCTAATGTATTCTTGATGTCGTACCGAACCACGACATGTTCTTTGAATATGTGCTTAGTGGCAGAAACGACATATTCGGTCTCGCTTTCCGTGAGCTCGACAGGGCTGCTGGACTTGAGTACCGGCCCATAAGCAGCGAGCTCTGGTATTCTGGAGAAGATTTGTGTGTACCTCTGGGCAGCTACTGCCGCTGAAGGTCTTTCTGCAAGCCCATTCGCCTTGGGTTTCGCTGGTCCTGTACTAGGAGCCTTGAGTGTGGGGGTTGCCGTGGTGAGCTTCTTCGTTCGTTCTTCAGCCAGAGCCTGCTCTTGCGACACCACCGGGATGGAATTGATGTCGAACGCCTTGCTGAAAACCGATTTGTCATCGGCCGTGACGTACATGACAAGCTTGTGCTCAAATGTCGACAAAGAAAACGTCGAATCGTTTTTAATGAATCGTTCAGCGAGGTCATCTTCCTCTTGCATCAACCGCAAATTCAAAGCAGCTCTATCCCGGACCTCGTCGTCAGCGTCGTCCAAGCATCTGGTCAACAGAACTTGTACGCTCTTCTTGACCTCGGGGTCTTTCTGCCCCACGCCAAACTTGGCTAGCGCCGTCACAGCTGCTGCTCGGACCAGGGCATTTTCCAACACGACTCGGTTGTAGATGTAGCGGATGTATTTCGTAGGTTGTGGCGTCTTTGGTCCTTCCACTCCAATCAGATGCAAGATACGCACGGCCAATTTGGTGAATTCACAATCCTCAATGAATTCGCACAAATGAGAAAGAGTCTCTTCTTTACTACCTGGCACAAATTTGATGAGGTCAAACATGCTCTCCACCACCGCACGTTTGAACTCGTAACCACCTTCGTCGCGAAGAATACCACTCAAGAACGTCAGCATGCCGGCCTGTTTGCTCGGAAACTTCATACACAAAGTCCGAATGGCCTCGACGATGGTGATCTTGAATTCATCGGTAATTTCGGTCATGAAACCAGATATTTGCTTCATGAGGCGGTCGACGCTGGCCTCATTACCGGTTTTGAGAAGAGTGGTGATGGCGAAGGTGGCGATGGAACGGTTACTATTCGAGATCAGGGCCTCGATATCTGGATTGGCCGAATGGACAGCTTGTGGCTTGAAGGAAGCAAAGGAATGAAGAATGCGTATGGCAGCAAACTTGGTCACCGCTCGTGGGGACGTCAAAAATGACTGAAGAACGTGGACCGCTTGTGCCACCTCGGCATCAGTCACGTCTGGCATATTGCAAATGGCTTTGGCGGCTTCGAAATTGACCATCTCACTCTTATGCCGAAGCCAAGTATCCAGCATTTGCATCATGGGTTTTCTGAGACTGGGGTCTTCCTCGGCAAGCCTCGCAGCGAGTCGAACCAACATCATGACGCCTGCGGGGCTCTTCACAGCCCCGGCAGCACCATATTGTTGAACCATCTTGACCAACGCCATTCGGTCGTGCGATCGCATCTGATAGAGGAGGCCAATTGCATGGTACTGGTTCATGTAGTTCGTGTTTGCAGCCGCCAGGGAGTGCTGAGAGCTTGCGGAAAAGCTGAGGAATCCACCACCAGACTTGGACGAAGATGCCGCCTCTTGAGTCTCACTCTGCCACCTCCTGACGACATCTCTGGCGATGGGAAGCAGATGATATGAAGAAACAAGTGCCGCTGACGACACTGCAGGGGATTTGTCGACTATGGCGGTTTTGATCAGTCGCTCGATTCCTTGAACAGTCGTCGCGTCGATGATCCTGCACAAAGCCCGAATGGAATTGGCCTTGTACACAATCTCACTCCCGACAGTCATATCCTTCATGATTATACTTGTGGACATTATGACATCTTCGGCCGTGTGGGCTAGTTCTTTGAGGATCAAATACACCATCTGACGCAGGGAAGGATCCTTGTTCTGGAACAACTTGGAAATGCCAAAGAACAGAGTTGTGGCTTCGTTGGTAGGAAACTTTTCCCCAGTGAAGAGGAGCACGGCAATCTTCGTAAGTAGCGTCCGACATTTTCGAGGAGATATGGGAGACGAGTTGAACAATCGAGCTGAGGAACGGTTAGTTGAGAGGTGCGACCGACCAATCTTGAGGAGAGGCCGAATACCATCTTGAAATACAGAAGTCCGATCCAGCTTGAAGCCGGAATGGTCGGCATCCTCGTCTTTCTTTGCGTAACTCATTGTCAAGGTAATCCCACTCGAGAACTCAATTGACAATTGGGGTCAGGGCGACGAGGATGCCCTGGAGTTTTGGAGGAAGAATTTTGGCGACGTTAGAACGGAACTACCGCTGCACCATTTCGCGTAGGCCGAAAGACGAACGAACGGTCGAATGAACGGAAAGCCAGCGTGAGAATACACTGGAGACCAGGGAGAGGGGTGGAAGGGATGACGATTATTGTCGAGGCCGTTAAATCGACTGGAGTGGTCGAAGGTGTCAATAAATTGTGTGGAGTGTATTGTCCATTGAACGAAAATCACGTGCCGTGAAGACCGAGTGACAATATGCATCCAGCAGCGTAAAAAGATCACTTCGGGCTCGGAGAGGGAAGGCCATGTCGATTCTCTTGATTGATGGAGTATTTATGAAGATTTACTCATGAGCTAGCAACAGTACAGATCCGTGAACCAGAAGCTAATTAGACACACCCTTTGCCATCTTTAACAAAGCGCGCTCGCTCGCATCTTGTTCGTGAGAGCGCAGCCTGACCAAACACCCCCCCAAATTCATTTATCAGGACACTGCATTTTCACTCCGTGGAAGAGTCAGTATCGAGTCCAACCGCATCATTCCTCGATGCAGGGGACTGTGACCCTCCGTAGTAGGCGATTCCGCCGGTGGTAGTATGATTGCTCTTTTTGCTCTGGAAGAGACAAGAATTTTCCAACGGGAGGACCAGTTTCAAGAGGACTTGGGGAAGGATGCGTCGTCAGGAGAGATTTGTTAGTGCAGTACATGTACAGTAGAGAGGGTGGGCACAAGCAACATGATGCAGATTTCCTCCAATGCTTTCAAAAAAAAAAAAAAAAAAAAGATCCAAGTTCACATGGTGACCAATACCACTTGAACGCCAACGCTTGATTCCCTTGGGATTTGGAAAATGTTTGAGTAATCATGAAAGTATCGTCGAGACTTGACGCTAGGCTTGGGATAGGACACAAAATTCAGCAGCGTCATATTAACTCATCTCGACCACCAGCGACGGCGCTCTCAGCAATTGCTTGACGCACGTCACTTTCCAAAAATATAGGCCCCTGGCCATCGCATCTTGCCATCTTCTTCAGACGTTCGCAGACATCGCCAACATCCACCAGACCTTTCCGAAAAAGTTCGTGAGCCTGAATGTAGTCCCAGGTGGCTCCCGCGCCGAGCAATGGCTCACCGGTGTCGCAATCGACAGTGATGGTTCTCAATGTCCCAAAATGGGCATACTTGGAGCCGATCTCCAATCCTGAAGCCACGCTGCTAGCCCTAGAACGATCCTTTGAAGGATGATCCGTGGGAACGAACCCCAGAGGGCCGACCAACTCATCAGGTTCTTCCATAAAGGGCGTTGGGCCATTGGAAGCCGCACCTGATGTGGCACGAAGGATTTCGTTCTCCGTTGCGATCTTCGCGAGCTCGCGCCGTAAACGCTCATTTTCTCCATTCAATGTGACAGATTGATGTTGGAGACTTTTGAGCTTGGCCTCGAGATCTTTGACATGTTTCTCCTTTCGCTCTCGAAATGCTCTTTGGCTAAGAGGATCGTTAGTGGGTTTACTTTTTTCAAGGCAAGGACAATTGGTCCTCTTACGCTGCGCGATTTTGCGCCTTTCTTCGACTCTGTTGTGGTGTTAACGTGTCTTTTTCTTCGCTGCTGCTCCTGGCTACCACAGGTTCATCGGGTGTCGATTCAGCAACCGGAGCAGGAATGCTGTTCATTTCCATCTCTGGTATTGAGATCATCGAGTCGTGACGAACTTGGCTTGTAGGAGACTGGGATGAGGGTTGATGGGGCTCTGCTAGGAATGTTGTCGGGTCATAGTGAAAGCTTTGTTGGAACGCAGCAAAAGCAGCGTCATATTGATCCTGCGTCACTGTCAGATCCATGATTGGTAAATTCGTGCGCGACTCACAGTTGATGGAGCAGTTCTGAACTCGTCTAGGCTAGAGGTCTGAGTAGTGGCAGGCGTATGGGGTAGCCCAAAGAATTGATATGGCTGAGGGGCAGATGTAAAATATGAGTAGTCCATGATGGTATTCGTAAGAAGTCAAAAAAATGATCGTTTTAGGTCGATTTTGGGAACAAGCGGCCCCCCCCTTCAATAGCACAGGGCGGTACGGTGGTTTATCACAACAATGCTCGCTGAATGTGAATGTGATTGTGGCGACTGCCACCCAAATCGCTTTACTTCCCAACTGTCCAGGTCAACTTGGTGGTAGCATGTGACAAGCTTATGCGTTATTGCTATCGTAGCGGTGGTGATTACGGCGTACGAAAGGTGAAGGGGAAATAAGGCTTCAGCAGGTATAATTGTCAACGCGTTGTTGCTTTCGAGAGCATCTTTTGAGATTCAAGCGAGACTGACAATGGTGAGGGAGGTAGAGAGAAACAGCCTGCCTTCGAGGATTCGATTTGGAGGTCTCGCCGGAAGCGTGAAGGCTCAGGAGTTGGAATGGAGGCTTGAAGGAAATTTGTTGTGAAACCGACGACGAGATGGGAAGGATTCAAAAGCGATCAGCGAGATTCGGCAGGGTATCCTTTTCGGCGCAAGATGATGGCCCTGTGGAGGGGCAGCATTTTATCGGGGGCACGCTGTAACTGGTTCAAACGCGACGGCCTGAGGATTGAAGCCGCAAAAGAACCGTGGACCAATCTGCTGGCTGGACACTGGCAGGCTCGCTCGCCAGTGAAATGATGCACGGAGTACAAGACGTAATCGAACAAGGGCTGGATGGGGGGGTGAGAGGGCAGGAGATGGCGAGTCGGATGGTTGGAACAGATACGTAGCAACGGCTTACAACAACCGTGACGGGGGAGTAATAGAGCACTTGCAGAGTGACTCTTACGCATGGAAGACGTCAACTTAGGTTAGAGGATGATAGGCTTTTGGGCCGCGAGAAAACCCCCTCGACCTGCTAGACGGACGACGGGCGAGTCACGGCTGCGCGAGTAGATGCACACGCCACTTCAGCTAATACCGCAGCGTCTGCCGCCCGACCAAGGATGACAGGCCCTCGCGACCCATCGTATGACATGGGTTTGAGAGACTGACTCAGCAGCCTAGAGCCCTGGGGAAGTTGGAACCTACCCGCAAAGCTCATTCCAAGGCCGCAAGCATATTGGGAGTTGGACAATAGACTTGTTTCTTCGCTCGCTCCACCAGACCAAAAGGAAAAAACATCCCAATTTTTGACAATTCTCCGCCATTATGCCTAGCCTGGTATGTCCTTTCGAGTGTTCCGTGCTCAGTGCTCACGTTAAACAGTTCGCGCTCGGGCATTGATCTTTGCGGTGAATCTGTGCCATCTCTTGGTCCACTAAGCAAGGAGCAGCATATCAATCAGTGCTCCACGCCTGATGTTAGCCTTGTATGGACGCAGTTCGGGACATGTCGCAGGTCAAACAACAGCAGTTGGAGATTATCCTTCCTACAGGAAGTGAGCACACTCGCTTCCTTGCTAATGAGACCACTTGTGATCTGTGCTTCACCCGGGTTGATGATGGCCGAGATGAAGATGTCTGACAAGCAGAGTGGGTAAGATCCTGGGGCCGAACAACGTGGAATCTCGAATTGCCAGTAAAACCGCCAAAGTAAAGCCACCAAAAAAAATGGCGAGCTCCCCCACTTAGAAGGGGTTGATCTCTGAGCTTGGTGACTCGTCAAGCTCTATCAGCCCTGGGTCTTCAGCTGAAATCCGGTCTCGAGTCTTGTAGTGACCACAGCGTTCGAGCTTGTCCGGGCCTGGTACTGTATATCCGTGGGTCCGCTGATCATTTCGGGCCATGGGGATTCATGCTCGCCCCATTTACAAGTGAGCCACTTGAACATCTCGTACCTTAGCACCCATAGTGTGTATGTCGCTGCCTGTAAACCCTCTCTACGCGATGGTATCCCACTGTCACCCATTGGTTTCCTTTTTTTTAATGCGTGCCTTAAAACCCCTTCACCTAGTCAAAAGGATTGATGACAACTGGTTTAGAGGCAGATCATTCGATCCTGGAGGGATTCGGGCCTCGTTTTCAATGCCCGACGGAAGATTCAGTAGCCTCGGTAGTACAACAATCGTACAGTATCCCTAGGGTTCGGCAACCTTGGTCATCGGCAGACAGGGTGCTAATCTGTATCAACTGGGTCCCAATCAGTCACCAAGTATTCGTCGAGACTGTCCATTTCCTGCATGTCCTCGTGGGAAATCTCAAAATGACCGATGTCACCATTTGCCTTGATTCGTTCTTGCGATACGCTCTTGGGCAGTGGGATGTATCCGTGTTGGAGGCTCCATCTGATCATCAGCTGAGCCGGTGTGCAGTTGTATTTATTTGCCAGCGATACAATAGTAGGGTGCTTCATGCGAAGAGCCCTCGCCAGCGGCGCATATGCTTCCACCAGTATACCATATTTTTGACAAGCTTCAGTGATGTTTGTCCTGGTATTAAACGGATGAACTTCAATTTGGTTGACTGCGGGCATGATCCGTGGTTGGGACGCAATAAGTTCATCCAAGTGCTTGACACCATAATTACTCACTCCCCCTATCTTGACCTCTCCGTCCGCGATAGCGTCCTCAATAGCTCTCCAACTAGAAAGTCGAGCACTCTTGCCTCCGTAGGGACTGTGAATCAGGAACAAATCGATGTAGCCCAGACCACTTGTTTTTACCGATTGTCTGATAGAGCGGCGAGCTGCATCATAGCTCGTATTGGAGGCGAGTTTGGAGGTGAAGAAGATATCTTCCCGAGTTAATCCAGATGTGTTGCTGGCTGTGTCATTCAGGAAGGATCGGATAGCCTGACCGCATTCTTGTTCGTTCCGGTACATCTGCGCGCTGTCAATTCCTCGGTAGCCTGCTTGGAGTGCCCATTTGACGGCGGACGTGGCCTCTCGACCGGACATCAAGTACACTCCCAAGTGTATTTGAGGTATTGAGAGGCCGTTCGCGAGGTGAATTCGAGTGGACAAAGAGAAGCTGTTTGGGGCCATGTTGTCGGACACCGCTTTGGCTGTGATAAGTGATTCCTTTCCGCTGCGCAAATGGTTTGCAAGGGCTTCGTCTGGCTCGCGACTATCCACTCCCGCGAGGACTGGTGAAATGGCAATGCAGTACTGGGAGTGGAATGGAGTGCATCTAGGTAAGCACGACTACATAAGCAAATCATGCGTCAAATCTTGGGAATGACGTCGATAGGCATGGCAAGGGGCGAGATGATCGGATGATGTGTCAATCCCCGGGGGGATCCACAGCAGCAAAAGTGGCAGAGTAGATAGGCCGGGAATTTGTTTTTCTCTCCAATATTCATATACACGTCTCCTGTTTACCATCAGCTTTCCTGTCAAACGAAAGGGCAACTTTATCGTGACCTACGTATCCTCTCGTGCATCATTTAGCTACCTTTTTGGACCCGGAAATGTCAACACCATCCCAAACAAAACACGCTTCTGGCCCGGTCCATCAGTCTTCATGATGTCTCCACCGCTATCATTCTTCCTCGAGCAGTCAACTCGGGGACCTCGCTCCGTATATAGCTAGTAGAAAGGACCTCCTGGAACTATCACGCGCACAAATCTGTGCGCTCCCAGTCTTCCTCGCCTCTTCACCACTTCGGGGATGCTGCAAATGGTGCAAGGAAGATAAAGACGCCCGACATCTATCGCTCCTAGTCATGGTCTGCCAGTAATGCTCCATGTCTCGTTATGCTCTCATTGGACAATCATAGTCCCATCCAGATACTCTTTCTCTCGTCAGTTAAGAGTGGGGGATGGGCATCTGTAAACGAGACTATGACATGCTCCCCTTAGAAACAGTTCCCTTTACGCAGCTACAGTACGAGCCAACTGATGGGTGAGCCTCGAAGCGGCAGAACGGACTTGGAGCGAACGGGTAGCACTTGAGCATTGGATGGTTGGTTCTCGCACCTGGAGAGAGCTTGATTCTTTGGGACGATTTCTCGAACTTAGGGACGTAGGTATGCATTGAAAAGGGGGTATCTTGGCAAGGATCTGACCTGCTATGACGAACGCAGACTAATGATGTTGCGGAAGTCTTGGAATCACCAACAGTTGCCCAATTCGACGGACCCGAGATGAGGATGTTCATAGTGGTGTTCTATTCGAGGCTCGCTCTCAGCCTCGGAGTGGAGCTTGGCGCAAGGCTGCGGCGGCTAGCGCCGCCTTCATCCGACTTGCGGTGGAAAAAGTTCCCATCACTCGCACAACCCATCAAGCACAAACCTTCACTTCATTTCGACCCTTTTAGGATTCGGAGCCACCATCTATATGAGACAATCGCTTCTTGGTTGTAGTCGAGTCAGAGTTCCACGGCAACCTGCGACGGCCACTTGAGCCGTACGGCGACATGATTCGCCACCACTTCGCTTCAGCGAGTGCTTCAGTCACTTGTGCATAACGCTTCTCTTGAGTCAGAGAGGATCTTTCTTGTATCAAAACCCGTCATGGCCACCAACGCACGCTTGCTTCTTGATCCCAAGGCCATCAAAAAGGCCGCAAAGTCAACAGGTAAGGACCTTTGCTTCACTCCTCATATCTGGGACACTCGCAAATCAAAGCATCGGGAACAAGTATCTTCCTTTGGCCTAATCACCTCTCTGACCTCTGTTCTCATTTCAGACAAACCTCGATCGAATGGTCTTGGGCCTTCAGAGAATTCTTCCAATGCCGGTCACACGGATTCCCTGCCTTCCTCTAGAGCAGCTTCACCTTCAACTTCATCCTCACAACTTGGTCGAAGTCCATCAAGACCGGCACCATACTATGATCATAGAACTCTCCTAAGCCCTCGAGCATCATTGAAAACGTCTGCAGCGTCCAGTTTGAAGTCTAATCCCTCCGGTAGTATGGTTCAGGTCAAGCCTCCGTCTACAAATATGGATCCCACTTCATCATCTGAGAAAGCACTTCTTGAGAGAAACGGCTCCAGATATATGCTTGAGGGTATCTACGGGGTCGAGTCTCGTGGTGAAAATCCCCGGAAAAAGGTCAAATTGAGCACTGAAAATGATCCGCTACGCCCTCACCAAAAGGGTGCCTCCGCGCACCACACCAGCAATGGAATAGTTGGGGAGTATATGCGACCAGATCCAGAAAAGGCTGCCGAAGCTACCAGGAGCAACATGGTCGATCTCACCAACGATGACGATGAACCGGATGACGAACTCCAGATCGTTTCATCACGCACAGTCGGCGATCAAGAGGTCTGCTATGGCCAATTTGTCACCAATGCTTACGCTTATCTAGTCCCAAAGCCCAAGTCCGAATCGGTGTTCCATCGACAAAATGAATGGCCGGTGATCAAATGCAATCTCGTCCGAAAGCCTTCCAAAGATACTGTCATCGAGGTGGTAGATCCCTGGGACCAGGCCTTTGCTAAAGTGAACCCGGATTTGGCAGCCGCATTAGCTCCAGCCCTAGATGGATTGAAGGGCCTGAGAAGTCAGGCAAGACTGCTGAATCGTCGCAAGAAGCCAGATGAATGGCCACATCAACCGTGCTCTGACCAGCTCAAAATGATTGTGAATCTCTACGGCCGCCGAGGTGACGTTGAAAAAATAGGAAAGCATTTTGGGCAGCATAACTTTTGGTTTCGTCCGCCAATGGTATCCGAGCCTGGTATACCAATTGTCAACCCGCATGCGCAGAGGCACATCCTCCCTCAGTTTCCACGCGATCCCGCTCAAGGACGGGTTCTTTCCGACAGTCGAACCCTAGAAGAGGCTACAGAAGCGGTGTCCAAAATCTTTGACTCTTTCGCAAACTCAGCCCTAGCTCTTCATGAGACGGACTCACCGTCGGCCATTATAACTACACCACTCTTGACTCATCAAAAGCAAGCGCTGACTTTTCTCCTCAAACATGAACAGCCAAGAACTTTCGGAACGGCAGAGTCAGAGAACTCTTCCCTGTGGCGACGCAAGCGACGAACGACTGGAGAAGTGATTTATCGCGAGGTTGTCGCCGGTATTTCGGTGAAAGAGGAGCCAGAACAGGTCCTTGGTGGGCTTCTTGCCGACGTCATGGGTTTGGGGAAGACTCTCGAAGCGCTTTCATTAGTGGCGAACACGATGGAAGAATCTGAAAAGTTCTCCCAGGCCCAAGTTGACCGTCACGACCAAACAACGGTTGTGGCCAATAGCAAGGCAACATTGATCGTCTGCCCCACCAGCACTGTGAAGAACTGGGAGGACCAGATCGCGCAGCATGTCAAACCTGGGACTATGACTTATCATGTCTATCACGGGCCGAGTCGAGAGAAAAACCCTTACAGCTTACTGAACTACGATATGGTCATTGCCACATACGGTGTCGTTGCCTCCGAATTTTCCGGCAGAAGTTCCGTGAAAGTCAGTCCTCTGAAGCAACTGAAATGGTTTCGAGTCATTCTCGACGAAGCCCACACAATTCGAGAACACAGAGCTCTCCAGTCTCAAGCAATGTACAGCCTTGAGGCGGAGCGTAGATGGTGCCTGACCGGTACACCTATCCAGAATCGATTAGACGATCTCGGATCACTGACCAGATTTCTTCGACTCTATCCTTACGACACTCCGGCACGATTCAATCAATACATAAGAGGGCCAGCTCAAGCGGGCGATTCGAGCTTTCTGAAGCTCTTGCGAGTCTTTGTTGACTCATTCACATTACGTCGACTAAGAGACCAGATCGATCTACCCAAGAAGGTGGATCTGGTCGACCACCTGACATTCTCGCCCGCCGAGAAAAAACTACATGACTTTTTCAAAGATCTGGCCCATGTCAAAATTCAAGAGCTGGCAAGCACCAAAGAGAAGAACAGCGGGGTCCAACATCATGTTCTTCGCGGGATTATGACGTTGAGGTTGATTTCTGCTCATGGACGAGAATTGCTGAATGACAAAGATTTAGAAAAACTCAAGGGGATCAGCGCAACTGACGCCATTGACCTTGATGAAGAGAATGACCTTCCGACCATTTCAAAAGCTGCTGCATATGAGTCGTTGAGCCTCCTGACTGAAGCTGGGCTGGATATGTGCCGAAACTGTGCGAAGAAGATCAACACCGACAGTGCCCACGCTGAATCGGAATGCGAAGAGCACCGTTGCTATGTCCTCCCGTGTTTCGACCTTGTCTGTGCTGACTGTTTCGAGCAGGCGAAGGTCCTATTTGATAGTACGACAGACAAAGAGCCGATTCAGTGTCCGTTTTGTTCGGCACAGATCGCTGCGCAGTATGTTGGATTTACTGGATCCACTGCTCAAGAGATTTACGAAGCCCCGGACGACAACATTGCACGGAGAGAAGGGAGCAAAGAAGCTCGAGTTTACGGAGGACCCCATACGAAAACAAAAGCTCTACTTCAAGACATTGCAGAGATGAACAAGGAGAGCGAGGCGTTGGAAGCGGCCGGGGAACCACCGCTGAAGGGCGTCATCTTTTCTGAGTTCACCTCCCATCTCGATCTCATCGAAAGAGCACTCAACGATAACGGCCACTCGTTTGTGCGAATTGATGGTACCATGTCCCTTAACAACCGCAAGAAATCACTGGATGCACTTGCCACGGATGACAGTGTCAAGATCCTCCTGGCATCAATCAAAGCAGCCGGTCAAGGGCTCAATCTTACAGCGGCTTCCCGGGCCTTTATCATGGAACCAATGTGGAACCCTGCAGCAGAGATACAGGCAGTAGACCGAATCTACCGTATCGGCCAGAAGCGTCCTGTACTTGTCAAGCGATATCAAATGATTGACAGCATTGAGAAGAAGATTGTGGAACTCCAGAAGCGGAAGCAACAGCTTGCAGATGTCTCCATGAACCAAAATCACAAGCAATTGAGCAAGCAAGAAATTCGAGAGCAACATATGAAGGAGATTCAGGCGCTATTCAAATGAAAATCCTGGAGGGTGGTGGAAATTCAAGAATTTGGCCCTTACGACTATATTTTTTGGATTTGCGCCCACAGCGGAGGGAGCTGGACGTCGGTGCAGGACAAGGAGCATGGTGACGAGCCTTGTCTGCAGCATTTCTCATTTTGAGAGACTAGGTACGAAACATTAACTGAAGTTACAAGATGGCAAACATCAGCACATGACACGCGGAGGAAGCTTTGGGTATTATAGAGCAACCCTCTAGAACTCGTTCCGTAATGAGCAGGCAAGTCTGCATGGCTCCACGGCCCAATGGTCCCTCTTAGGTGCAGCTGTGGGGGCCGTTGAGGCCGGCAAAATGGCCATAAAACGGTTGGGAGCCAGATGGGAATTTCGCCATGGAACTTTGATTTCCAGTCCTATCGTCCCCACGCCACTGACGCTGGTCGCTTGTTCGGAACGTTGGGAATACAGTATGCAAGAAAACCGAAACTTGCGGCCTATGACACGATTTCGGCGAGAGCCAGCATCGATTGCTTGGGACACGATTGTTTTGTCACTTCCAGTTCTTGGACCTGTTCCCATCGCATCCTCCATTGTCTCTCTCCTTTGATCCACGGAATGTTGTAGTCCAGCATTCGTCTACGCCGCACCAGCATCGAGCCTGATGTTCTCCTATCCTTATCCTGTTTTAAGATGGTCGTCGTTGACCACCACGAGTACCTCTGCGAGGAAGAAAAACGCCTGAAAGAAGACCGGGAACGCAAGAAATACTGGAAGAAATGGGGTCCCTACGTTGCTGAAAGGCAATGGGCAACAGTCCGGGAGGATTACTCCGACAATGGCGATGCCTGGAGTCATTTCTCGCACGACCAGGCGAGGTCCAGAGCTTATCGTTGGGGCGAAGACGGTATCGCTGGGGTCTCGGACACCCATGGCCTCCAGAACGTGGCATTTGCTTTTTGGAACGAGAAGGACGACTTCTTGAAGGAAAGACTCTTTGGTCTAAGCAATCCCCAGGGAAATCATGGCGAAAGCATCAAGGAGGCGCACTTCCATCTAGACAACACTCCCACACATTGTGAGTTTGGCAGGGCCGTTTTGCTCGGGTCCAGCTAATCTCTGCACAGCGTATATGAAATATCTCTACAAGCTCCCTCAGAGACGATTCCCTTACGAGCAACTGATCCAAGAAAACGCTAAGCGGGGCAAACATGAGCGCGAGTTCAACATCATTGACTCCGATGCTTTCAAGGGCAATCGCTATTTTGACATTTTCATCGAAACCGCAAAAGAGACGGACGATCCAGAAGAACTGTTGTTTCGCGTGACGGCTTACAATCGTGGCCTAGAGCCTGCTCCTTTGCATATCATCCCTCATATGTGGTTCAGAAACACCTGGACGTGGGGTCATGAAGCCGAGAAGCTGAAACCCAACATTCGCATGGTCGGCCCCATGACCGCTCAGTCAAAGCACTACAAACTGGGCACTCGTTTCTTTCAACTGTCTCCATCTCCAGGCTGCGGTCCGGACGCCGACGACGTCCATCCACAGCTCATGTTCACGGAAAATGACACCAACCATGAGAAGCTCTATGGAGTAAAAAACAAGCAACCATACGTCAAGGATGCGTTTCACCGATGGATTGTTGACGAAGAGAAAGGTGCTATTAATCCTCGCTGTTCCGGGACAAAATGTGCGGCCTGGTTCGACTTTGGCCAAGGCGACGGCGTTCCTCCGGGAGAATGTGCAGTGGTCAGATTCCGTCTGTCACGCAAATATGACGGGTACCTCAATGAAGAGCTTCTGGATGATATCGTAGAGCAGAGGCGCCAGGAAGCTGATGAGTTCTATTATCGCATCAGCCCTCTTCCCATGGCTGACGATCTGAGGAATATCCAGCGTCAAGCATTTTCAGGCATGCTGTGGTGCAAACAGCATTATTATTTCATCTGGGATCAATGGGCCAACGGCGACCCAACGATGCCGCCTCCCCCGCCCAACCGCAAATCTGTCCGAAATCTCCATTGGAAACACATGTACCTGGACGACATCCTGTCGATGCCCGACTCCTGGGAGTATCCGTTCTTCGCAGCGTGGGACTCGGCGTTTCATTGTATTCCACTGGCAATGGTCGACCCGGAGTTTGCGAAGAAACAGCTTGATTTATTCACACGAGAATGGTACATGCACCCCAATGGACAACTACCGGCTTATGAATGGAATTTTGGCGATGTCAATCCTCCGGTGCACGCCTGGGCTGTCTTCAGGACATTTAAAATCGAGCGGAAGATGTATGGTCGACAAGATCTCGACTTCCTCGAACGTGTCTTTCAGAAACTTCTCCTCAACTTCACCTGGTGGGTGAATCGCAAAGACTTTGACGGCAAAAATGTCTTTGAGGGCGGTTTTCTCGGACTGGACAACATTGGTTTGTTCAACCGTTCCGAGCCATTGCCGACCGGGGGTGTGCTGGAACAAGCTGACAGTACTGGATGGATGGCATTCTACTGCCTCTGCATGCTGAACATCTCGCTTGAACTTGCCAAACATCGGCGAACATACGAAGACATTGCCTCCAAATTTTTTGAGCATTTCATCTTGATCTCAGATGCCATGACATTCCGCGCCGGTGGCGCCGAGAAGAGTCTGTGGAATGATGAAGATGGATTCTACTACGACGCAATCTCTTGGGGAGGGCCATGGACGCAGCAAATGCCTGTCCGTTCGCTTGTTGGTCTCATTCCTCTGTATGCGGTGCTTACCCTGGAACCGGAACTGATCAACAAGTTCCCCAACTTCAAGCGAAGAATGGATTGGTTTATTGAAAACCGTCATGACGTTGCAGAACGCAATATCGCCTCGATGCGAAAACGAGGCAAAGACGAGCGTCTCCTGCTGTCCCTCGTCAGCAAGGACAGACTCGAGAAAATTCTCACGAGAATGCTGGACGAGACCGAATTCTTATCCGAGCACGGTATCCGAAGCTTATCCAAATACCATGAAGACCACCCCTATAGCATGGACGTCAATGGCCAACGGTTCAAAGTCAGCTACGTTCCAGGAGATTCAGATTCGGGCCTGTTCGGCGGCAACTCGAACTGGAGAGGTCCGATTTGGATCGCCGTGAATTTCCTCCTGGTCGAATCACTGCTTCGATTTTACATGTTCTACGGCACCAATCTGCAAATTGAATGTCCTACCGGCTCTGGTGATTACATGCACTTGGGTCATGTAGCCGAAGAACTTCAACATCGTCTACAGCATCTTATGGTTCGAGATCATAAGGGCCGTCGCGCTATCAACGCGGGGAATGATACTTTGGACTTCGACCCTCACTGGAAAGACTACCTATGGTTCTTCGAGTTTTTCGACGGGGATACTGGTCGTGGCCTCGGCGCTTGTCATCAATGTGGCTGGACTGGCTTGATGGCCAAGATGATCCATGATACGGGGATCAATTGCCGCCTCCCTCAAACTCCACGTACGCCATCCACCGCTGCAGCCCATTATTTCGATGACACCCTCAGTCGGGGACTGCCGAGAAAGAATACATATGTCGGTACACCTGGACCCGACGGCCTCAAGCCTCCCGGAAGACGGCGATCATCGACGTCTCGTTCCATCGGCAACCGGACCAGTCTAGTCTCCAGTGCCAATGGTGACCGTAAATCCACCATCGCGGTTAGTGATGCTGACGAAAATGGCGACATATCTTATTTTGATATGAAGCCACAATCTCAGGTTTCTGAATCCGACGCATTTGGACAAGAAGATGTACTGGAGAAAGCACGCCGCAAAAGTGTCGCCGACACCCATTACGACAAATACGTCAGCGAGCAACTCAGCCGAATCAAGACAGAAGAAAGTATCGCTGTCTATGAAGACGAATTTGAGGCTCAGCTGGACTAAGTGTGATCATGGACACCAGGATGTTTCTTGCGTATTGGCCCAAGAGTCAGAGCGTTGGTGAGAGCATAGCGAGGAGAGCAGGAACTAGAGCTATCATTACACGGTTGGTTTAGAACGTAGATCAAAAGACGAATGGTATTTATAGAAAAGGGGGGGGACACCAGATGAGGTAATCACAGCACAGAACACGAGCAGGTGATGAGCTCAGAAGACTGGAACGGGAAGTTGGTAGATTCAGATCAGAGAAACAGGGGAGGCGGGGTTAATAAGATATCCTTACATACATGTGTTTGAATGATTCCGTTGGTTGAGAGGAATGTGCTCATTTCTATGGCGACTTGCTTGCGCTCTCTCTTCCTCGTCTTGGTTTCAGCATGTCAGACGTAAGTCGTGCAGGATAAATGAATTATTCAGAACGGATGGGATTGGTTTAGATCGAGGGAATCAATCGGGATATGTACATAAGAATTTTTCTTTCTTGTACTCTCGCTTGTTCTGAATGCTGATATTCAATTCAAGCCTGCAAGCTTCCACCATTTTGCTCTTCGGCGCTCTTCAAAATCCCCTCTCAAAACGATCATTCATTTCCTTTCCGCTCCTGATGTTGATAAGTTTACACCGTGTCAGTCAGCATCTTGTTCAACTTGGCGATTTTGCTGGACACGCTGAGGTCGATGGTCCGCTCGCCGATCTCGACCACGAGTCCGCCCAGGATATCCGGGTTCACTTTCGTGGTCACCTTGAGCTTCTTGCCTTGGCTGTATTCGGACTTGGCGATGGCGGTTTCTAAGCGGCGGAGGAGTTTTTCGTCGAGTTTCTGTTTAGCCCGTCATGTCAGTTTCAGATGGATTTCGTGTCATTCCGAAAAAGTGACAGATGGATTTGGAAAGAAAAATCCTCGCGGGGTTGATTTGCATACCGCAGCGCTGGTCACAACCAATTCCATCTCCCCTCTCGCGGCACTCATCAATGTGCCAAACTTCTCACAGACACCCTCGAGCAAGTTCAGACGGTTGTTCTCTGCGAGTGCTGACATCAAATTTTTGACCATGCCGGACTTGTCGGCGCCACCGGTGTGTTTTTCCAGTTCTGCGACGATCTGTGATTTGTCTGCGTCCGTCAGGGTCGGGGCCGCAATGATCGTGGACAATTTCGGATCGCTTTTCAGGATCTGTTGTAAGCTGGTGAGCGCTTTGGAAGTTGGGTCCAATGCATTGGTTTTGGCAGCTGCGGTGTACTGTTGAGAAGGTCCTTGGTTAGCATTGACATCCCAAGTCCCAGCTCCTGATTTTATTCCACTCTCTCTTCACCACTTCTACCTAATTAAGGTGATTTCGCGTACCAGAGCATTTGCATAAGTTCCATCAAGTCCAAACAAAGGTACAGGTGGCTTCGTATCTGGGGCCGCGGGCGTCGCATAGGTTCGGAGAGCGGTTTGAGGAGCTGTTCGCCGGGTAGCGGCAAAGGCGAGCCGCGGGAGCTTGGAGGACATCATCTCGAGACCGATTTGTCGATGATGGAGTTCTCGAAATAGCTGCGGGAGCTTGGGAGAGGACAGTCACGTTTTTCAATGAATCAACTTTCGAGCTTCAGGATTGAAAGTCCCACGTCGAGGGTGGTTCCCAAGCTGCGATTTAAAGCTAGTCCCGATTGGGACATTTGTGTCAGACAATAGACCTTTTCCGTCCGCGAGCTCGTAAAACTTCATCAGGCATCACAACCCAGAGTTAAAGCCGAAGTAATGGGTATCAATGATAGTTCCACTCAATGATCTGTATCACAACTATGGTATCCGCATTTCCTGCCGCTCCCCGCAAGCCTACCCGTATGTCACATCACATCAAGGCCCCGTCTTTTCGTGACTCTCCGGCTCTCTCCTCATCTCCGAATGAGATCGATCTCTCCCGTCGTCCTGGGTTGCGATCAGCCGTAAGGATCAAAGCTCCAGCCTCGCACATTGTCTTCGATAATGAGACAGAGACCCCTGACGTCGATTTCCTCGTACATTTGAGAGATGGCTGCACGTGCCTGTCTGTGCCATGGTCCTCGACTTCCCTTGACGGCATCCTCCTTGTTTCGCCACAAACCTTGACAACCGTCAGAAAATCAAACAAGACGGAATGAGAGTGGAAACTCTGTGTTGGACTCACATGTTGCGAGGTTTCTCCGATCCGCATCGGGAACACCATACCAATACTTCAAGAGACCACCACTCTTGGTAGCCTCAATGTGAGATTCCTTATCAAGCTTAAACAGAAGGTCGACATCAATATTCTGTTTCAGTTTGGACCTGAATTCGACAACATAGAATTCTTGCCGCGTCCACGTGTATCCCTCGCTGGCTGCGAGCGCCTTTAAGTTGGCCATGAAGCCTTTCCAATCAAAAGCATCTTCATATCTGACGGTAGCGTAGGCGTTTGTCGCTGCCTCAAGCTGGATTGCTGTAAGCGCAAGAAGTCGATTTGGAGTATCGACACTCTGCAGGTCCAAGAGATGGTTGGAATCGAGATATGGTGAAACGGTCAGCCACCGAGATGAAGCTTCGTTGTCCTCAATGCTGATCTGCGGGACGTGGTCTTCGGTTCGCAACACTTCTGCAGAAGACCCGTCGGTCTTTGTGACATTTTGAGCATCGAGTGCCCTTACATGAGTTCCCTCCTCCACCCTCTGCTCGCCTGAAGACCATGCCGTTGTCATTTGGCTTGCCGAATCACTTCCTTCAATCACTGCGCCTCCAGACTCTCACCGAAGGGTCGATAACCGGCGACGGCGACAGTTTCGACTATGGTGATATTTTGGCTGGGATGGAATATGTCGCAGCGGAGATTGCAAAGACAGGTAGAATACGGTCGTGTCCGAAGCCAGATTGTGTAAAAGGGGCATAAGATCACGCAATAGAAGCTTATAGTAAGGAAAGGTGCGACCCCCCGAAATTGCAGGCCAAAAATGAGAATGACAGTGAGAATGAAAGAAAATTCAGGCCGTAGAGGGCGAATATAGCGGTCAAGGAGTACGGCAAAAGGGTGTGGCCGTCACTCACCTCTGGGGTCCATAGTGGGTATGTCTCACTGCTGAGGCACCGCGTGTCGAACGCCGAGTGGCACTGGTCGGTAGACAACCACGTGAGCTGGATGCACCGCATTAAATATCGCAGGAGTTGCCTTTCGTGACCCATCTGCTCTGGGCCTGCATGCGTGGAAGAGCGGACCGAGTTCCCTCTGCTTTTGCGAACCGGACGGCAGGGAGAAGGCATGAAATTGCCGAATCGGGGCAAAATATCACGCAGAGGAGCTTATCCATGAGAAATGCCAACCAGCGGGAGAGAGGCAACACTAGCCATGACCGTTGCTTTGCCAATATCGGTTGATCTGTAACGCTGATAAAGGAGGCAAAATCGGCGGATCTGCTGAGGTGGAAGTTGGCGTGAGATAGATATAGACGGAGTTCTGGCAGACAATAGAGCACTATTAAAGACGATGGAATACTAATCCGAAAGGAACCCCATTATCTCTGACAAGCGAGCTTCAAGTCTCTTTTCATTCTGCTGAAGAGAAAACCCCACGATGGGCCGTGTCCCACCTCGCGATTGGCGGGCTAGACGCCCTCCCCTTTTTCGGTTGGGAGCAGCTCCTCCGCCCCCGGGCCACCGCTTTTGAAGAAAAAGTCACCGACATCTTTCCTCAGTCCTCATTTTTTCATTCTGATCTCCCTGAACATACTCATCACATCCCCTTGATACATCACTCTTTTACGCCTAACTCCCAATCCACATTCCCGCTTCCACCACAACCATGAATGGTGCTCCAGCCCAAAAGTTCAAGGTTGCTGACATCTCGCTGGCCGCCTTTGGCCGCCGCGAGATCGAACTGGCCGAGATCGAAATGCCCGGCCTGATGGCCATCCGCAAGAAATATGCGCAAGATCAGCCTCTTGCCGGTGCCAGAATTGCAGGCTGCCTTCACATGACCATCCAAACCGCCGTCCTCATCGAAACCCTCAAAGCCTTGGGTGCCGAAGTCACCTGGTCCAGCTGCAACATCTTCTCTACCCAAGATCACGCTGCGGCCGCCATTGCCGCCGGTGGAACGCCGGTCTTTGCATGGAAGGGAGAGACCGAAGAAGAATACAACTGGTGTCTGGAACAACAGCTGCTGGCTTTCCCCTCCGGAAAGAGCCTCAACCTCATCCTCGACGATGGTGGGGACTTGACGGCCCTGGTGCACCACAAATACCCGGAGATGCTGAAAGATTGCTATGGCGTATCGGAAGAGACCACCACTGGTGTCCACCACCTCTACCGAATGCTGAAGGCCAAGAAGCTATTGGTTCCTGCCGTCAATGTCAACGACAGTGTCACCAAATCCAAGTTCGACAACCTCTACGGCTGCCGAGAATCCCTGGTGGACGGAATCAAGCGTGCCACGGATGTCATGATCGCTGGCAAGATTGCTGTTGTGGCAGGCTATGGCGATGTCGGCAAGGGATGTGCTCAAGCGCTTCACGGTATGGGTGCGCGTGTGATGGTCACCGAAGTCGATCCTATCAACGCCCTCCAAGCGGCCGTGTCTGGCTACCAGGTTGTCACCATGGATGATGCGGCCTCACAGGGCCAGATCTTCGTTACCACCACCGGCTGCCGGGATATCATTGTCAGCCGACACTTTGAAGTCATGCGAAACGATGCCATCGTTTGCAACATCGGTCACTTTGACATCGAAATTGACGTCGCCTGGCTGAAGAAGAATGCCAAGAGCGTCCAGAACATCAAACCCCAAGTCGATCGCTACACTATGTCCAGTGGTCGCCACATCATCCTTCTCGCCGAGGGCCGTCTCGTCAACCTTGGCTGTGCCACCGGCCACTCTTCTTTCGTCATGTCCTGCTCCTTCTCCAACCAAGTCCTGGCTCAAATCATGCTGTACAAAGCTGAGGACGAGGCGTTTGGCAAGAAATACATTGAATTCGGCAAGTCTGGCAAGAAGGAAATTGGTGTCTATGTTCTTCCCAAGATCTTGGACGAGCAGGTTGCTCTTCTACATCTGGAACATGTCAACGCCAAGTTGACCAAGTTGACGCCTGTCCAGGCCGAATACTTGGGTCTTGAAGTCGAAGGTCCCTACAAGTCCGACATCTACCGATACTAGGTGGTCTCGTTCTTGCCCATAATGATTGCTTTTTTTTTTTTTTTTTTTTTTGATGTGTACAAGTATCGGCGTCCAGGGTCATTCCGGGGGATTCATTTCTAATGCTCAACGCATAGAATGGGGGGATTCTTGGCGAGAATCCATGAAACTTGCCAGTCAGTTTTCAGGGTGAAACAAAAGAATTTATGGCTCTCAACGATTTGAACGAGAAGAGAAGAAAAGTACGGAAGGTATGGAATGAGACCTTAAGACATGACAAAAGTCGGATCTTTCGAAAGAGGTCATTCTTGCAAGACAGGAAGAAAGAATTGAGCGAGATTGCCACAGACCACGACAAAAGATCACAAATGAAGAGATATTTCGTCCTTCAACGGGCGATACCTTGGGAAGCTTCATCAGCTTTTCAATGACCCGATACCCCAAATAGATAGCACGTTGAATGCTAATGAAAGATATTGTGGATGATGAGAAGTTGGTTCCTGACCGTATTAATTGGCCTGATTGTACACCTGATAGGTACAGTCCCTTCCCGTTCAATTATCGTTCCTTCAGAAGTCATCATCTCACCATGAATCGTAAAGGATTCGACTTAGTTGGAAGGTAATCTTGCTCCAAATCTGCCGGCAAAGAGTCTACCCCCAAACGCCTTCCCGCAATGGCTAAGACTTGTTTGGAACTGGCCTTGAATAAACCTTGGAGTCTTCGTGTCTTCATCGCGAGGAATCCATGTGGAACGGGGCTTGACGCAACCGGACTTTCCGCAGAATTTCCTAGGAATGACTTATTCTGCCAGTTCTTATTCGGAGGATGAATTGATGATCTCTCGTAGTTCGGTTAGACAAAGGAGGGCTGGCCTGTCCTCAACCTCACTGACAAATTGCCCTCAACTGACAATTATTGGCCTTGATCTAGAAGGGCTCTGGTTGCCCTTTGCAGTGTCTTACCCCGCGGCGAACAGAAGACTCGACTGAGCTAACAACGCTTCTGGTGCAGCTGAAGGTTTTTGAGAGGATATCCATCATTCAATCCTTCGCCGTCCTCCACACCACCGAGCGGAAAGTTCCGCAAGGGGAACATCCATTAGGCATTCTGGGTGGTTCTCAGAGCAGAAACCTGCGAAGCGTGCTCTCTTCGACTAAGCCATCTAGGCAAAGACATAACAGAAGGAAAGAGAAAATTTGGGAAGGCAAATGTCAACTGCAGCCGACGCGGGAACAATTCGAAATGGGGAACGTCTAGAGAGAGGGACACTGCTATACTCCAGCTCTACATCGACCTCCTCCAGGACGAAAGCTTCAAGTTGTGGGAGTTTGTGCTCGAGCCGTCCTTCAGCGAAGCCAACCCCTGAATAGACACAAGGACCACCCTCGACCTCTGTGAGCCCTCTCTTATAACACTGAAACCTCACTCGCGCAAGTACCTCCAGGGAAAGTCAAACACACAACATGTGGGCTGTGAGGTACAGGTCCAGCCTGAAGTAGAGGCTCTTGGGCCAGGGTTAGAGGGCGTCGGAGTTAAATCCACAAAAGACAAAGACGTCGAATGTGTCTGGCACTTTCAAAGCCACGGGGCTAACAGTGATCTTGGTGAGAAGATACCGCTTGGGGAACGACGACAACCGACCGTATTTGTTAGCTACGTTCACCCTAAGACGTCGGAAGAAAAGGGCACCGGCGCACTGGAACCAGAGATCGTTAATCTCATTGCCCGTTCAACAGCAAGAACGTACTTGTCCACATTCATTCTAAAAGGGCCGTCACATCAAAAGCAAAAAAGCGATTCTCTTAGCCTTGAAGACGCCTCTTGCTCAGATTGGCCCCGAATTATCGACAATCTCGTTTTTACCCTTTCGCTGGCTGTTCTACAAGCTGACACTCGACAGCAGTTCTTATTGCCGAATTGATTGGCTCCAGTGCCCCCAAAATGGGACAGGACCATTGAGACAGTTAGCAATATTGTGAAAGCATATCACTGCAACTTTGTAGATTTTCGGTCCTCACCAGACAAGACCTCGGACAGCTTCGGCCCCCACGCCCATCCCATTAGCAACGGCATTTGACCATCTAGTCAACTTCTTACTTTGGTCAGATATTTGTGAGCATTCTGACCCAGAATCCACAAGAATGTAAATATCCGGTGATTGTCGGGGTAGATGCGACCGAAGCGTCTGGAGAATAACAAAAGACGACTGCATCAGTCATCAGATTAGGCTGCTGACGGTATACGCAGTCTCAACGCCAGGATTTATATCATTGAAGTTTGCGGTTCTAACATCTGGATGACAAGCACATCCCTTCTACATCAGGCCTTGACTGATACATACTTCAACCGACGTCCTGTCCTGCCATGTACTATTGCAACGCCACTTATGTCACAACAGAGAAGCAACACAAAGAAATACAAGAATTCTCAATCTTCTCAATGTCAGTAGATTGACACATGTCAAAACCAAAACGTCATCCAGCTGAAGGCAATCTCGGGCGGCGGTGGCGGGGTGCATTGACCTGTAAGCCAATAAAGGGGCATTACTTATGAACTCAGAACTTCAGCTCTGAGCAAACCCCCCTTCCCGGCAGCACGGACGATTTACCACAAGGATGATAAATAAGGACTGAGTCCTCGTTCAAGAGTATCAACACCGATTTGAGATGACGAGCCGCCCTAACCTTGAGGGCGTCGAAGACGGCACACTATCGGCCTCTATATTTCCAAACTCACGTCGTCAAAATGCGTCATAAACACTCCCCTGAAAATGACTTCCTGATGGGTCTAGTTGATATGGGAAGGTGCGTATTTGGCCGCCCGTGGACCTATAGTCAAGGCCTGTGTCCTGGATAGAATCGGTCTAACGATTACTCTACTCTGAAGCAATGGAATCCGCTTTTCCATTTCAGATCTTTCGCCGCCGACGACGCGAATTCTGCCAGTGGTGTATCTTGATCGAGTTGGGATCTCGCTTTATGATGCCCAATATGACCCAGAAACGGGGAAGAAAATCCCAATACCGTCTGAAGTGATCAGAGACGTGATCGCGGAGCTCCAACGCTTCAACCTTGTTTGTCGAGAGTTTGGCGTTCGTCGAGATCGCGTTCGAATTATTGCCACTGAGGCGACACGGACAGCGACAAACTCTCACGAGTTCCGAGATCGTATTAAACAGAGAACGGGACTGGTGGTTGAAATGCTCACCAAAGAAGAAGAAGGCAACGTGGGCGCCATGGGCATTGTCAGCAGCTTCTCTGACGTTCGGGGCCTTGTAATGGATCTCGGTGGAGGGAGTACCCAAGTGACCTGGATCATTTCCCACGACGGGATGGTACGGACGAGTCCCAAGGTGGCGATATCCTTTCCGTACGGTGCGGCGGCGATGACGCGAAGATTAGCCGAGTGTCGAAATGCCCCAGATCCGGAGAAGGCAAAGGAAGAATTGAGACAAGAAATCCGTGCCAATTTCCATGAGGCATTTCAACAACTAGAAATCCCCCAAGAGCTGATCGATCAAGCTCAGAGAGAAGGTGGTTGGCATGTGTATCTGTCCGGTGGAGGGTTTCGTGGATGGGGCTATCTGCTCCTAAGTCAGGCACAGAAGAACGGCCAGCATTACCCGATCTCAATCATCAATGGATTCAAGGCGTACAGGGATGAGCTCACGGACACAGAAAAGTTGAAGGAAGTCGCACGCAACGCCGAAAAGATCTTCCGCGTATCAGATCGCCGCAGGTATCAAGTTCCCGCAGTGGCCTTCTTGGTGAATGCCCTGGCCAATACTTTACCCATTGGTCCTCTCGTGGCTCGGTTCTGTCAGGGTGGTGTGCGCGAAGGTCTTCTCTTTCGTGATCTACCACGTGCCATTCGAGCTCAGGACCCCATTGCCGTGGCATCGGCACCGTTTGCCCGTCCTTCGGCCTTGCATTTCAAAACTCTTCTCCTCAATGGTTTGCCTCCTCCATCACATGGAAAGTCGGTACCACCATCCATTAATCCCCATATCATTGAGGGGCTTGCCAACCTCTTTTTCGAACATGCGTCATTGAGCAAGGAGACTGCCTCCGTGGCTGCTCTTTACAGCACCAGCACCGGTGTTCTCACCTCCGCTCATGGATTGTCTCATTCAGCCCGGGCTCGCATGGCGCTCATGCTCGAGAATCGTTATGACGGTGAACTTCCTCCTCGCGAAGCGTCCTTCAAATCCCGACTGTGTGATCTTCTCACTCCGGAAGAAATTTGGTGGTGCAATTATGAGGGCATTTTGGCCTGGCTGGTGGGAGAGATTTACCCCACTGGCGTTGTAGGTCCCCGGCCTCGGCTATGGCTTTCTGCACGGTTTGCCAACCATCTGGGCAAAAGGGGAGACAAGGAGGGCATTGAACTGACCTTGTCCGTCCCGAGAACCCCGGAAGATGGTATCTCAAGTCTGAATGAGGACGAAAACCTTTACATCGGGAAAAGGCGCATACATGAATATGCGAAACGAGTAGCCAAGGTGGGAAAGAAAAAGAATTGGATTGGTGGAAAGGATGGCTGGGGAATGACGGTGAAGGTGCTGGTCGCCGAACATTTATTATTGGAGTAAACTTGATGGCACCGAGCCTGGAATGGATGTGTGCCACTGCCGATCCGTGAGGACTATTCAAATGCCAGCGCGAAACCATTTTGCATATTTGGGGTGGAAGCGTGATAGCCAATAAGTACATGGGGGGTGGCAAGGCTTAGCGAGCAGGATCCCAATCGTAGCGCGACGCCCAAACTACTAAGCGACGATTTCAAGTCGGTGGAAGATCACTCCATCATCGAGCTGGGATAATTTGTTCGATCAAAACCGACTCAAGGTGACAGCAGGGGGATTTCAGTAGTCAAGAAGGCCTGAAAAGTTGGCTGATGACCAAACGTTTGCCCAACGATGTTTAGAATCAAATGCTCCTTCAACGAATTGTCCGCCCGCGGGATATTCGAATCTTGAGCTCCAATCTACCATTTGTATCAAAGTCCTCAAGAGCTTCCGACACCATATCTGCTCCAGCGAGATTGTGGTTCCGGTCCGTTCCTGCTGAGACAATGCCTCCGAGATCAAAACAACAAAATAAACGGCCCACACACTTTGTTTGCCTCCCTTTGGTCACGGATGAATCTATACCGCAATTATCCCAGTCGTTGGCTTATTTCAGATCTATCACGACGCCTTTGAATGACGATGCCGTGGATACTGAATCAGATAGCCAGACACCTCAACCCCCAGCGATTTCAGACTCGGGAGAGGCAGCGCGGGTTCAAGAAAAGCCGGCCGCGCCGGGAGATGATGAAGCTAGAAGATCAGATTCAACAAAAGCAGAATCATTTCGGAATCTCCGATTAGTCCCACCCGCTGCACATCGGCCTCCAGGGACGTTCCACCTCACGCTGGGAGTCATGGACCTTTCTGATGCAGAGGACTTCAACAAGGCAATCCGACTGCTTCAGGAGATTGATTATGAGGAGTTGCTTCGAGAAGCGGGGCGGGGTCCGCGAGAGAGACGGGATGAAAGTGGAAGAAGAAATAATGGGCAAAAGGCAGAGACCAAGGTCGCGAAGAATGTCCGTGAAGAACGGGGAGACGAGTCGGAGAGTGAACGTTCTGAAACGGAAACGAAAGGCACGCTCAAAGACATCGCGGAAGCCGTGCTCAGTCGTCCTCTCAAATCTCTCACTCGAGCGATCTCACCACCAGACGGCAGCCGCAACGGCGATGCACAATCTGGCTCTGAAAATCAAAAACGACCCTCCGAGCCGCGGGAGCCACTATCTCTTACTCTCCATGGCCTCGGCACATTTCCTCGTCCCAGCAGCAGTCGCGTCTTCTACGCCAGCCCATATGAACCGACGTCTCGGCTTCAGGACTTCGCGGTAGCGATACACAAACGCTTCCGAGATGCAGGTCTGATCCGGGACGCGCGGCAGCCGCTGGTGCTGCATGCGACGGTGGCCAATTTGATCTACGTAAAAGGACGCGGCGGGGTGAAGGGGACACGGTATGGAGGCAAAGGGAAAGTCCATGAAGAGAAGCTAGAAGGACACGTGGACGCGCGAGAGATCTTGAGGTTTTTCAATCAGGGGTACGCCACCAGTCCCATTCCCGTCCTGGATCCGGTCGACGAGAATGAGTCACGGCAAGAAGACATCGAACTTGCCGCTGAAATGAAGACCCCGATACGGAAGGACGCCTTTATCTGGGCGCGCAATATCCCCGTCGACAGGATCCGGATTTGCAAGATGGGCGCGGAAATATGTGACATCGAAGGCTGGGGTTTGGAGTACCCGGCTGTGGCGGAGAAAGTCTTTGGGCGTTGAGTAGAAATGGATGGGAGAGCACGGCTTGGCCTGGAAAACTGAGGAGAGAGGAGGAAGCGGTTGAAAAATGTGTGAAATTTCGGTGTTTGCATTTGGTAGACAATAATAATTTGACATCCTTGAACGTCTGCGGGGTGCCACCGACATAGCAAGGACTGGGTGTGTCTGTCAATATTACACCATTATATCCCATCCATCATTGTTAAATTCTTGTCTGCTTCCGAAGACTCAGCCAAAGCTGCTGTCTTCGAAGGCAAACCCCGTCCAAGATGTGTGGCCTCCCAACGCGTGCGATGGTAGGGATGGAAAAATTTCCCAGCTCTCGTCGGTCGACGATAGGGCGATCGAAGCCAGTGGTCGGGATTTCCTTCCTTCTCCCTATCCTCTTACGTGGCCCATATTTGTGCTCAACCAGCGGCTTGCTTCACAACTTTGTAAGACCGTAGTGCTCTCACTCTGAAGCTCCTGTCCTAAGAGCCGCGCATTTCAGAGATCGGCGAGTGAGATGGAGGGGTCCGTGTTTTTGCCCAAGAAGGGTGCAGTCGCCTGTCGATGTATTCTGAAACACCAAAGATAATGGATCTCGAAGATTTTCCTCGTGGCATTTGATGGATGTCCATTGCCTCATCGGTTTTCCATCTTTGCACCACCCCCAGACGACATAGGACGATGACGCTTTTGCCGTCTCACTGGCCAGGTCATTCTCTCTCCCACTCAGGTCGGAAGGGTATCATGGGGTCTTCCACGCGAGTCTCGACGCGGAGCCACTAGAAGTCGGATCTCTCAAAAGTGACGCTCGTCTTCTAACCCACCAGCTTGTCACACCTTTCCTCCTTCTTCTGCTTACTCTTGTTGCCGTCCTCTGGCAGATCCTCCGGTTCAAATATGACACGGATCATGAGGCTACAACTCGGACAAACTGCGACATCCTCTCCAGCTCTGAGATCTGCAATAGCAATTTCAAAGCGATCACCACAGGGACACGGGTAGTGGTAGATTTCTAAGACGGAGTCATATGTCATGTCTTCAATCTCGATCTCGTCGTAGATGTCAAGATCCTCGGTTGCGTTGGCCGAAGAAGATGATGCCGTGAGGTTCATCATGGTGGATGTCGCTGCGGCGGTGGTAGTTGTTGAGGGCATGGCGGGCGTGTAAAATTCGACGATAAGTAGGAACAGAGGTATGTACTGTCCGCTCGTTGGTGTGAGAAAATAAAATTCTTTGACGAACTGCCAATTCAAGGTCACGTGCGGCGAGTTCTCCGTATCCAGCCCAACCCCATCGGTGCTCCTCACCGGACGGTTCATTCATTTGTCGTACTAGCCTCCCTACGCGATATGGCTGGAAACCATTCGTGATACAGCGAGAGGGACTGTTGGACTAGATACGATGTTGTATGGGAACCCTTTGGAATCTCTTCTAAGAACATGTAAAGAGGAGATATATCATTTCCCCCTTCTCTGTCGTTCTTAATCACACGGGTTTTCACCTCATATTTCGCTTCCCACAGGAATCCTCCCCGCTGAACACATCATGGCAATGGCATCAAGTCACGCTCCGCTGGTCGAGGACACAATCGAGTCGATTGGCCTATCAGCAGTACAACGACCTCCTCCTATTGCTACCTCGAGAAGAAGTAACGAGCAAAAGGGATTTGAGACACTGCCTCCAGTCCTGTCGGAGCCTGTCCGGCGACGGAGCTCATTTAGGATGTTTACAGTTATGATCGCTCTTTTTGTGAGTAATTGCTTCATTCTGCTGATCGATACCGCACGATCTTGCCTCGTGTGCGCTTGTCTTTCTTTTTGAATTTCCCAAGGCCCCCAGGTAAGTCCGACAAGGTGGCCGAAGGCATGCTTCACCTCAGAGACTGACTGGAAAAATCCTGATTCACATGCTGACTCTGACTGTTCTAGTCCACTCTCTTCATCGCCGCTCTGAACACCACCATCGTAGCCACGGCCATACCCACGATATGCTCCGATCTCCATTCGGCATCCGGCTACTCCTGGATCGGTGCCTCCTATGTCATTGCCACGACCGCTGTCGTCCCGATCTGGGCGAAACTCTCCGACATATGGGGCCGGAAGCCAATCCTGCTGATGGCCGTCGCTCTGTACTTCGCCAGCTCCATCATATGCGCGGTCTCAAGCAGCATGGGCATGCTCATCGTGAGTCGTACTCTCCAGGGCGTATCCGGCGGCGGTTTGAGTTCCCTTATCAACATTGTCATTTCGGATTTGTTTAGCATGAGGTTCGCCATGACATACCCGTGCGCTGATCTCGCATCATTGATGTTTCTCGCAGGACTCGACCTCTCTTTCTCGGCCTTCTTCATGTAATCTGGGCTGTTGCCGGGGGGGTGGGACCGGTGCTCGGTGGTGCCTTCACACAGCTTCTGTCGTGGCGGTGGATTTTCTGGATCAACCTTCCCATCTCTGGGGCCGCGTTCTGCCTATTATTCCTTTGTCTAGACGTGCACAACCCGAAGACCGAGTTCGCCGAAGGTATCAAAGCCATCGACTGGGCTGGGAGCCTTTCGATTGTCGGCCTCATGGTGATGGTGCTGCTTGGTCTTAACTTTGGAGGTACCGCGTACCCCTGGGACTCTCCACAGGTCATCTGCCTGGTCGTGGTGGGTGCTTTGATGGCTGTCTTGTTTCTCTTCAGTGAAAGTCGACTCGCACGCTATCCAATAATGCCCCTGGGCCTGTTTCGCCATAGGTCCAATGCGGCATGCCTGGCTATTGGCTTTACGCATCATTTCGTATGTGCTGGAATTGCGTGGCCCAATGATTGGCCTGGTACTGATACAGGTCGATATAGGCCATCAATGCCGCCGAGTACTACTTCCCACTCTATTTTCAATCCGCCAAAGAGGCGTCCCCACTCCATTCGGGTGTCCTCCTCCTTCCCCTAATGATCACCGAAGCACTCATGGGCGTTGCGGCGGGTATCTTCATTCGCCAAATCGGCCGATATGTCGAGCTCATCCGGGCCGGCGTGACTTTGCTCACCATTGGTAACGGACTCTATGTCCATTTCAACGCGACATCATCCATCGGTTCCATTATCGCCGTCGAAATCGTGGCCGGCCTGGGAGCAGGTCTTCTCTTCGACCCCCCTCTCATTGCCCTTCAGGCTCTCGTATCCCAAGACGACACCGCAACAGCCACCGCTACTCTTGGATTTATGCGCAACGTCGGTCTATCTCTTTCGATTGTTAGCGGTAGCGTCATCTTCCAGAATGGAATGCAACTTCAGAGGTCGAACTTACGAGACCACGGACTGCCGACAGACCTAGTGACGAACCTCTCGGGCCCTGATGCGGCAGCTAATGTCAATCTCATTGCGACGATCTCCAATCCGGCTCAGAAGCTAGCGGTCAAGCAGGCCTTCGCGTGGAGCTTGAGGAATGTTTGGATTATGTGCACTTGTATGGCCGCATGTGGTCTTCTTGCCAGTGCGCTTATTATAAGGAAAGAGCTGGCCCAAGAGCACACGGAGACTCAGACGGGGATTAGAAAGAAGATAGCGATCGTTGCGGATGTGCATGACAGCCAGGAAAGTGCACGCGCTGCTGCGAATAGGGAAGATGTCTCCGCTTAAAGACTTGATGCTGGGTAAGAAAGCCCTCTATGAGCCGGTGCTCGGGAAAGCTGGATCGCGCCAATCATTTTGATACTATCATTCTGGAAAGCGCCCCGCCGAAGCGGGAATAAGAATAAAAGCATCTCATGGTTCCTCTCAATTCCACACCTGACAATCAACGACAACTACAGCAACATCATCAAGGGGTCTCCGTCCCAGGCTTCTACTTTGTAGCCTGAACAACAACAACAGCAGCAGCAACCCAAATCTTCTGTACTATACTCTAATATACTCCATAGCATATATACGATCTTATTCTTGTCTTTTACTCTCGTCCAGATTCATTTCCTATCTCCACTGCGCATTCCAGGCTTCCCACCAATTCTTCGCGGGCGGAAGTCTCTTTAATCCCCAACGCTGAAGTTCTTTCGTTTCGTCTTGTTCTGATATCGACTCCTCCGTCGAACGCCATAGTTCAAAGTCAATGATTGTACTATCCAATCCATCCGAATAGGCTCATGTCAGAGGCCAAACCAAAGCTCGAGGGGAGAGAAGAAGAATGAAAGGGCAAAATCATGAGGGAGGGAGGAGGATCTTAGGACCTACCATCTTTTCGTCTCGCGTTCCCACAGAACATTCCTCAACGCGCAGTCGACGGGTTCAATGTGCAGGGCGTGGATTGCACTGCGAACAAATTGTACAGAGTCAATATGCATTCCAATCCAAGCCACAATCAGGAATATAACGTAAAAACCAACGCAGGTTTTCCTTCTGGGTTCACCCTTGTCCTTTTTTTTTGTCTTCTCACATCTCTACTCTCAAACACAGCAGCAGGAGGAGGGAAAATTAAGGGAAAAGGAGGCACATACCGCAACGCCACCATGAACTCCCTCACAATCTCCTCGCGCTCTTCGTCCTTCATCCCCCAGAAATTCAAATCGTACAACGACTCCCCCGGCATTTTGGTCATGACTGTGAAACTGAGGTATCCGCCAGGCAACGGTCCGGTGGCATCTTGAGTCGATTGCCTGTAAGATACCAGCGATGGAGCATAGGGGCGAAGCCACGCGGCGGCGCGAAAAGTTTCGAGAGCTTTCAATTCGGAGGAGGTCGTGGTGCTGGGCCCAGAAACGGGGGTTTTGCTGGGTTTCGTGTCTGTGCCGGGGACTCTATAAAGCATTCATTTGGTTAGAGGATAGATGTCAGATGGTCGAGAATTTTGGTTTTGTCTGGTTTGGTTTGCCTTGACTTTTGATTTTGGGATGGACTAAGAGGAACGGGGAATGGACATGTAGAAAGACTGACTGGACTTTAATTTTCATTACGAATTCTTCATCCTGTCCTTTGTCTTCTCCTGAGTCTGACGATGTTCGTCTACAAGTAAATATAATCCGTGCCTCGGCGGGCGAGCCATCTTGACAATGTCGGAGCGTAGTGAGTGGGCGAAGGAGTTCATAGGATGCATTTCCTTCTTCGTCTTTCGCCCCGGGGAAGTATACCGGGTTCGTGATATATGAGGGTATCGAGCGAGATGCTGATTGGGGTTGAGGTTGAGAGTCTGACATTATCGGAACCAGCGAGGTCACAGATCTAGGAAGAAACCGGTGCTATTGAGAGCATGCCGAACTGGAATATGTGCAGAAACCAAAGCAAAAAGGAAGATGTGTCCAAGGGAAATTTCGGCCCGTCTTAGAAGAACCGTCGATATTGGACGCCGGATACAGTCTCATTGCATGGCCTTGATACTATATTCCTCCCATCTTGGTGCATTGTACGTTTCCTCACATCGGACTCGTACCGTGGAAATTCTATTTGGGAGAGACAAAAGTATGGGAAGGTTTGCCGGGAACGAGGCTCGGTCAGGTCTCAATGTAGAGAAAGTTGAGAGGAAAAAATATGAGAAACACACACACATATGAGATCATTCCAATTCCGATGCAAGAAAAGGTCTTTTCGCTTGCTGTTCATTTTGATATCATCCAATCTCTCAAATCGGTCAACAGTCAGAACCACAACCACGGTCGGAGTCAGAGAATTAATATTGTATTGCGCTGATCATTCGCCAATCATTCGCCAGCTCTCTGACAACGACTTGCCATTTCCTCGATATTCGTCTCGCCATATCAGAACAAGAGAATGCCAATGTCGATATCAGCGCTGCAGCATTTCCCACCCCGGGCCCTATCATCATGATCTCCCATCTCCGTTTCATATTCCATCGCCACCCAAGATTGCAAGTCGTCAATCTTTCGTTCTTCAGCGGTATCTCCACAGGGACAAGGTGTTGTGTCTCTTCCAGGTCTTTCTCCTCCCCGCGGTGGTCTTGTTGAAGACGTGCCCTTTGCCCAAGCCACGAGATTTCTTGCCTGTTGCGGTGAGACCACGGGATTCGCGGTGCTAAAAAAAAAAAATGCGTTAGTTCTGAAAACTCGATCCACCGATAGGGGAATAAGGGCAGGATTTCTTCTCACCTTGTGGACAGGGTTGACGATCCAGTTGATGCGAGGATCGCGGCGGATCGCCTTGTGTTGGGGGTCAACGAGAATGACTTCGTAGTACTTGTAGGTTGAATCTTGGTTGATCCAGTATGAGTTGAGGACGCGCAGGTTGGCACAACGACGACCAACTCGTTCTTCGGCAGTGGAGCGGAGAGAACGTTGGTATTTGAGTTGGTTCACACCCTGGTTGGTGGGTTTGCCTGGAGATGGGCGTCAATTTTGGTCGCACACAATGCATCTCGGACTTTCTCTCAACTCACCATAGGTAGCACCCTTGGGCACCGGTCGCTTACGACCACCACGTCGAACACGGACACGATAAATGACATAGCCTTGTTTGGCCTTGTATCCCAAACGACGGGCTTTGTCTGGTCGAGAAGGACGAGAAGCGCGATGGATGACATTCAGTTGTCGGAGCTATATTAATGCACTCTCAGCAACGTTCAACGAGTGTATAGCAAGACACAATCATGTGCCACAAGACGTAAAGATGAGGTTGTATTTGAATATCCTCCATCTTTCATCATGTTTTCAAGGGAAGCTCACCTCCCAGCAGCGGACACGGAGAAGGAATCGAAGAACATCGGATTGTTTCTTCTTTTGAAGTTCTTCGACGTATTTGAGCGCACCCATCTGAAAGAAAATCAGCTTGATACTTTGAGGACGAAGAGAAGTCGTGAACAAGTTTACCGTGACCGTTGTGCCTCGTGGAGTCTGGGGTTGACACACAGAAAGTCACCGGGTTGAAAGTTGGATTGGAGGACGAAAAGCCATCCAGATTTTCGCGGAGGCGAAAAGGTTGTGCGCAGGCTTGGCATTTGGAAATCTTGGCACTTCCCATGGCGCGTCCATCATCCCTTGTCTGCCCTGCCAGTCAGAGTTTTCTCAATTGCCCTCTCTGCGTCCCGCGCCGCATTTCCCTGCCTCAGAGACTTCGTCCGTGTCTCAGTGTCTGTTGCCTTTTGATTAAAGCAATCTGCCTTTGTGTATTTCCTCATCCGTGAGATCATCAGGGTCTCGAACCTCGTGAAATCTGTCTGCAAGAAGGTTGTCGACGTCCCTTCCAGCAACGAGTCTTCCTGCCTCGATCGTGGCCTTCGCAACTTCCTTATCCCTTTTGAAAGTCGTGCTGATCTCTTGAAGACGTGATGTTTGCGTCTCCTGGCTTGCGAGTTGATCGTAGGCGAAGAGCAGAGCGTGCGACTGTTTCATGAGGTTGACCATACTGTCACAGAAACTCTGCCCTTCCGCTCCGAGAGACTTTACGTGTATGGGGAGGTTGTTCGAGCTGCTGGCACCGTCATCATCCGCTAGAGCTCCCAGGGTCGATTGCATAAGAGGCAAGAATTCTGTTTCAAACCTTCGTTTGTCTGAATCGCTGCTGTCATCCATAAGGGAAAGCCTCATTGGGGATCGTGCATCTCACTTCTTGTCCTTGATTTCAGCCAATTTTTTCCATTACTCTCCCTTGTCGCGCTTGAATCGTCTTTGAAAATTGTTGGGGCCACGGGTCAGGCTCCTTGAGTCTCTCGCAGATCTGTCCCATCTGCTCTGGATCGATTCTGATGATAATGAGCTGGGCTGGTCACCGTCACCATGGATGCTTGTTTCAGGTTGAGGGAATCCGTCTGAGGTCAAAATTGTTTCGTCAACGAATTCGACTCTTTTACCAGCTGATTTTGATCTATTTCGCGTGTTTGGGGCTGGTCGATCTGCTTGGTGTTAGGATCGCGCCATAGAAGAGATAGGAATTGGAGGTCCATCACTCGTCATTGCTTCGGCAGCTTGCATGACTATTGCTACTAGATGCAACGGGCAGCTGAAGGAGACGAGGAAGTCTTTGGAGATCAGCCAGCCAATTCGACCATTCGGTAGATTCCCTGTCGACAGGTCGTTTGGGAGAGATGGACACCGAGAAGGAGGTGAGGGGGAGCGCGCAGGAGAAAGAGAGAATATTCCCCTATAAACTTGAGAAATATTGGGTCCTCACCAAACCTTCTACCGCAGGAGGGCATAATTTATGAGCTCCATTATGTTTCATTGAAGTCAGACTCCTTGTTGTCAATATGATACACAAGACCGATCGATCAAGCACACCATCATGAATCTCAAGTTCTCCAACACTCTCGTTGGTCAACCTGGCCCAATTTCGGTTATGTGTCATCAGCAACTGTACCTCAGTCCATTATCATTTTCTGTATCCTCCTGCATAAACAATCTGATCTGAGTGTCTTTCCAAATCCACAAACAACCTTCGATTTCAAAACTCTTTGAAGTGCTTCGAAAGATAAAGAATGGGGGGTTCCCCATGGGAAACCAATCATCAGCCATTTTGATTGAAATCTTTTGTCTTTTGTTTTTTGAGTTCAGCGCAATCTAATCCAGTTCTCATGTCGAACACAGCTCTACCAATTTCTTTTCTTTTCTTTTTTCCCTCCCCCCTTCTCCGGTGTCTGTCCACCGTATGTAATAATAGTCGAATAAAGAAGTTCTTTCAAGAATGGTCGTGTCCATTGCCGATGCGTGAAGAAACAACCTTAAGAACCGAGGGAGAGACCTTGGAACCGACCCATCCAATTGACATCACCTGGTTGATTAGGACCTCTCCCTCGAAACTCCGGTCGGTTATTGGCAAAATTTGGGGCATTAGGGTTAAGTGCCGGATACGGTTGGCCGTAAAAAGGCATGAAGGGATCCATTTGGCCGGGCATATTTGCATATGGTGCCATACCAGGTTGAGGACCAGCCCCAACGTCTTGGAATTGGTTGTAATAGGAATTTCGCGGTCCCTGATTTTGGTTGTTGAAGGTTCGATCTGCGTCGAATGTGTCTCCAAATGGGGTTGTAATAGCCTGTGGACTGAGACTATGAGGCTGTTGTGGTTGCCCTTGTACTTGTTGTTGTTGTTGTTGTTGTTGTCTTCGGCGATGACGTTCGTCACCGGGAGCAGCACTATAAACCGGCGTTATCCCAAGTGAAGCTGTCGGGGTCTGGAAAGAGGCGGGGTTGATTGCAGACATCCAGATTCGAGTCTTGTAAATTTTGAAGAGGTCGGTGACGAGATGGTTAAAGTTGATGTAGTTGTCGGCGAAGTAGTAGAAGGTGAGCTTCTTGCTGTCCCTGGGCACATTGGTGAGCACACGAATGCGGGGGTATCTATCATGGCATACATACATTTGGAATTCTGCATCGAGAATCTCCATATTCAACCGATGCTCGATGACCTTCTGTTGACAGACGCGTTTAGCCTTGGCTTCATTGCCTTCCTTGTCTTTCAAGGCTTGGATTTCGTGATTCTGAGCCAGTCGTTTGATCAACTTTGGTTTGAGATCTGGATGAGATGCATCATGTGGACCATGGTGTCCTTGCGGACCCATTCCACCGACAGCACTCCCTTGTCTTCCGGGAACTCCATTAGGATTGACAACATTGGGTCCACCATTCCGACTTTGCAGCGAAAACATCATCAACCACTTGTAATGCTCTTCAGCGTAGTATTCTTTGTATCGACGAGCATCTTCCCATGTGACATTCGTATGTTGAACGGTACCAAGATCGGTACCTCGATCAGCTTCGACAATAACGAGGTCACCGACACTGACGTGGAGCCCTGTCCCTTCTTGAATATAGAAGACATCTGAGCGACAACATTTGAAGTTGACAATGAAAAGGGGTTGGCTGCCGGAATCGAGGAAACTCGTCATACCCAAATGTGATCCATAATTCTGAGGGTCTCGATGAGATTGGTGCACCCGGGCATCCGCAGCACGCCGAGTGGATTCGGTGGTATTGAAATAGACTGCTGCATAACGACGAGCACGTCAGTACATGACATTCATTCGGTTCTCATTGGGATTTGGCAAGGATAGGGTCGACTCACGATCTTCTCCTTGGGAAACAGCCTGAGATCCGGTCTCGTATGTTGTCATGTCATCTTCACGTTCACACGTATTAGTTCCGGAGCGACTCGAACGAATTTTCTCGATTTTTTCTTACCATTTGAACTAAAAGATCCATGTCGGGTTGGCACGTCTGCAAAAGAATGTCGCCGACTTTGAGGGGCTTCGGGGATGGGACCGAAGCCGAGGGAAGTTTGCCAATGTGGTTTCTTCACCCCTTCTACATTGCGATTCTCGAGGGAAGAGAGGGTTTGTCTTTCGGAGAATCCGATGGGTTGTTCGCTCATGCGACGGGCATTGTTTTCGCGGCCACCAAACCCGCCGAGGGCTGCAAGGTCTTCTCGATCATCGATGGCCGTCTCTGCTTCCTCGGGTACCGCACTTCTCAGTCGAGTATTTCGGAACCCTGATGATGGCGGCGGTTGGGTGGTCGCAGATGTAGCGGAGAAAGTTCGGTCGCGATTTTGGGCCGCATGACGAAGCTGAGCATTCTCTTTCTCCAAAATTTCAATCATGCGTGCTTGTTCAGTAGCAATAGCATCGGAGACCATGCTCCCTCGCACATCTTCTTCATCGTCCTCGACTTCTCGCAACCGACCAAGACCACTTGAGTCCATAGTACCGAGACCACTCGTTCTAGAAGTCCGTCTTTGAAGAGACGGGTACTGTCCGGCTAATCTGTTCCGAGGCGCGTCAGTTGAGGTGGAGACGGCGTTCGTCGCGGTCGGAGCAGAGGTGGTATCGAGCTGGCCAACGGAGTAGGACTGCGATCGGTATGTTTTGGGCGTCGGCTGTAAGGGGATTGAAAAGGGAATTCCACCGTCGCCATTCGAAGGCAAGACTTCTTGAAGCCGGGCGGGGGGTTCTTTTCGACCGTCCTGCTGAGTCCAGATGTTGGGCCATGGATAAGCAGTTGCCGGGTTATGCCATGCAGCAGCGCCTGACGTGCTGATACTGGTCCATGGGGATTGCTCTGAACCTGGAGTTCCCGGAAGTGAAGTCGAAGGACTGTACGGCACCGTGATGGAGGATTTTCGATTGGCATTCGACAACGAGACGTCATTGAGCCAGGACGTCCTCCGCACAGGTCTGTTTGTCTTGACATTAGTTGTGGCGGTGGTCTTTGCATGTTCGGCCTCATCGTCGGAGGAAGCCAGTGCTTCAGAGTCGGGAGTCGATCTGCGTAAGCCCGGATTCGATTTCTCGAGGAGGAGAGAAGCCGATGCTTGGGGGGTACCAAAGGTACCAAAGGCGGGCATGGGAGCGCGAGTCGTCAGACCCGACTTGGTAGGAGTGTTACTCATGACAGCGACGATGCCAGAGCAGGAAGTGGAAATGATTCTGTTATGAAAGGGAGTCAGCGAATATGGTTGCGCGAGAATGGGATTGTCCATTTGATAGACAGTGTTTGAGTGGCATTTGGGCCCATATGCACAAGGGCTGCATCTCTGGACCTCGAGTATCGGGGATGAAAAGACCAGGAAATGACCGGCGCCGCCAGCGCATCAATGTCGCGCAAAAAATTTGACATGATAGTTTGAAACAAACTGAAAGGGCGCCTATCAGAATGAAAAATTGTTCACTCACCTCGAGATTACCAAATGGTCATCGACACCTGCTTCACCATGTCGGATCTCGGTTTATGTTGGAGAATTGGTATACCCGCGCTCTCGCAGCACTGAGCCCATGCAATTACTGAACGAGGACAAGGTAACTGGAGTTTGAATCGTGATGAGATTGAGGAGGGTTTGTGGTCTCGGGCGCGGCGTGAAAGAAAGAATTCGACGTGAACTGATCGCCGAGGGGGGGGCAATGCTGCGACCAATGGAGACACCGATCAGGTGATGGCAAACCGCTCTAGACACGTGGCGGTTGGCAGTAGAGACAATAAGGGTGTACGCCAGGCAAAACAAGAGGCGTCGAGGAAGGTGGAAGAATGAGGTTTGTAGAGAAGCCGATGTGAAGAGGTTGGAGATGGAGATGAAGATCGAGTCCAAGTGTGGGTGTCCAGTATCCAGTGTCAAGGTGCGAAATGCAGGTGAGCTTTTACGGCGGAGGTATCCGAGGATGGTTTGAAAAAAATGTGCCGCCTTCCCCGGATTATTGCGAATAAGAGGCTTTCCTTGGCTCTCACGCGACCGCCTGATGCGTTTGGAGCCCTAAACGTCGGCTTGTGCTGGAAAGGAAATGATGGATGGGAGGAGTCGAGAACAATGGTCTGGGCGGCGGGGTGGCGAGCAAGGGGAGTGTGTGTCTAGGGTGGTCTGTGTCGTTGGATGATCGTCGAATCGACCAGACTAGACAGAGGAAGGTTTGCTCAGAGGAGGAGAGACAACAGAGAAAACAGACATGGGCCTGCACAGGCTGCTCAAACAATGAACAACAAGAAGTCCTAAACAGTGTGAGATGAGATGTGCAAAGACAGCGTGACACCAGGAAAAGAAAGGCAGACAAGACAAAAAATCAGACCATGGTTAGAGAACAGGTCAGTTTAGCTAGGGGCCCGGTTTGGTTCTCTCGAGTGTTTAGCTCTGGGTGGATGGAGGGGGAGGGGTGGATCGGTGGACTAGTTAGGATGGCTGATGGTGGTGGAGGTGATGCCTCGAGATTGTGAGTGGTGGTGGCTGGAAGAGAGGATAGAACAGAGAGGGGTTAATGGTCCATCTAGCTGTCAGTTGTACAGGCGGGGTTGGACAAATCAACTGCCCAGACGGCATTTGTTGGAATTTGCGGGGGAAAAGACCAGGGGAAGGAGGCCATCACAACTCTGTTAATAAACATGTTGTGCTCTATTCCTCAGTAGAGACATGTTAGATACCCCCAATGTCCATCGATTTTATATGCACTCTCAAGGTATCTCATATCTTCTGTCTATTCCGGCCCCCCCGTCATCATGCTCTCAGTGGCCATGGGCATCTTCGGGCCCCTCTCTCGTGACCACCTGACGTCCTTTCTCGCGTTCCCATTCGAAATTCAGACCCTCCTCTTCCGCCCGGTAACTTACGTCTATTCTCGCCGATTCCCAAAACCCTGGTACAATAAACTCCGTGGAGAACGCTGCGGAAGCATCTTATCATCTTCCCCGTCAACTTCTCGCCGAGCGATCACGTGTTGATACGAGCCAGTCCTGCCAAAGAGAATCCAAAAGATGTCGTCATTCCGCAAAATCTAGACTACCTTTGCCCACGGTCGATGGCGCCGCATCCGGTCCCTTCTGCTGTCGTAGTTTCTCCTCGAACCTGGCAAACTCTTTCATGGCGATTTCTTCCTCTTCATCCAGCACCTGATTGACGCCTTTGACTTCCTCAATCTTTCCTGTTAGTTAGCAATCTGTCCTCCGTCGGAAATTTACTTTGAAAAACTCACATAGTGCATCAACATGGACTCAATCCCATTCTTCAATGTCACGGTGCTCGAATCACAAGTTCGACAGGCACCACGCAACTTCAATGACACCATGCCATTCTCAAATCCGCGGTATTCAATATCTCCTCCATCTTCTTGTATCGCCGGCCGAATTCGCGTTTCTAATAATTCTTTGATCATGGCCACGACTTCATCGTCCTCGTCATTGGCCGCCAGGGTGTCTTCCCCGGCCCCTTCTTGTCCCTCCGCTGTTGTCTTGTCCACAGTATTTACAATTGGTTCTCCGGACGTGATTGCTTCTGTGATGAGACTGAAAACTTCGGGCTTGACGTGGGCCCAACCGACGTCCTCCGCTTTGGTGACCGTAATAAAGTCAGGCCCGTAGAAGACAGACGAAACACCGTCGACGTCTAGCAACCTTGCTGCCAGCGGCGACGGGTGTGGTGCGGCCAGGGTCGATCGAGGAGAGGTATATTCCAAGAATGTGGATGGGAAACCTTCTGGTAGGACAGCATGGTTAGGGAGGAATTTCAGGGCAGACGGATTGGGAGTCGACTGCGTCTGTATGTATATCGTCCGGCGGGGAGATTCAACTGAGGGCGATCTTCGGTGACTAGGCTGGAGAACGGGTCGGTAACGGGCTGGTGATGTGCTGATGGCGGGAATTCGGAGTGATTGATGCACGTTACGGGTGGCAGCAACTCGACAGACATGGTTCAGTGAGTGGATTTGGCCGGAGTGGGCCAGAACTCGCAGAGGTTGACCATGAAACATGCCACGCATGTTGTACAGATAGTAAATGTGCTCGAGTTAGGGCATCGAGGAACGTAGAGAACGGAAGGATTAAAATTGGAAAAGCTCTTTGGCCGTCAACTGCGAAATGACGCAACAAGGGCCGATGCAGTCACGTGGATGCATCTCCAAAAGTTCTGCCAATTCTCATTTTGATTGTACACATCTGGGACATCATTCAAACCCGCGGTTACTGACATAGGCAGATATCCTGCGGAAAGGCGGAGCTCTTCATCACCATAGAGGACGACACTAGCCACATGTCATCACTACCTTGCGCGATCTGCCATAATTCGACGTCCAAATATCGCTGTGCCACCTGTCGGCACCGAAGGTTTGCATTTATTCTTTTTACACATTCATTCTCATCATTAATCGTTCTGTGGCAGCTGCTCCCTCCGGTGTTTTAAGATTCATAAAAGCCAATGTGACCAGAACATTTCGGACAATCCATCAAAACCCCCTGCGGAGGCGACGTCCTTGTCCAATACAGACGAAACTCCGAATCTCTCTATCGACCCGAGACTGGAGAGGCTCTTTGAGCAATATCCCAGCCTCCGGTCAAAGCTGAAAGTGATTTTTGAAGTCGCCGTAGCTGACGCCCATGAAGACGGTGCATCGACCCGCAATCAAAGAAGTCACATATCCCAAAATTCGCACGGACAACAAATGGCCCGTGCCATGAGCCTTTTGGAGCGAGAAATGAACTCGAATACTGCCAGTGACCTGGGACTCAAAGCGTTTGCCGACTTGGTGACCGAATTAAGCTCCGGGGAGCCTGATCCATGTTGAAGTCACAAATTGGCCTTGGCTTATCAAAGCGATGCCCACTTTCTGGTATGACTGACTGCTGGCAAGGGCGGAATCGGAGGACCATTTGGCATGTCTGCCACAGCTGGCGATGCCTTCATTTGGTTGATCATCTACTAGGAACAATCGTTTGTTCCTGGTCGTCGTCGAATCACCTGTCAATCCTTTTCTCTCCTTGCGAACTCCTTTGGACGATGCTGACTTCTTTCACAGGTAGCCTTCTCCTCTGGTCCATCTGAGGAGAGTAGGGCCGCAAGGGAGTGTTTGGTGGACTCGGATTTCAACGTTGCTGTTGATGCTGACTGAGACAAGGCCGGGATTGGTGGAAATCTTTTCTTGATCAAACAATGATGCAACTTGGATCGACCCAAAATCCGCCACTTCTCACGGTCAACTTCCGTTCCTACGGTTGTGGAGGCGTATTTGTCGATGAATTTGCCTCATTTCGACATGATTCCTCCGGTGCTCTTCTACCTGAAGCCCGAGGAGGCAGCATCCATGGCACTGGGGCTGGTTGCTGTTGTTCGTCATCACTAAGGAAATCCATCTGATCATGGTCAAGTCCATCCCTTTCACCATTGGCCTTGGACGACACAACGTCGATGATTTGAATCGAGGGGAGGCTCTTTTGGAGGTGAGGCGGCATCTGTTGCTTGCTGATTAGAAAGAGAGCGCTGTCGACTCCCTTGTGAATATTTGCTGCTACGCTCCGAGGCCAGTGTGGGTGCCGAAAGTTGTTCTTCCGCCCGATCTCTCCGGATTTCAGACTCGACCTTTTCATGATCCAGTGGCAGACTGGGCTTTTCCTCCGATTTGGCTGCTGGTTCGGTCGTCCGTGTCTCGGTCGGGGACGCTGAAGTCAGACCACTTGCTGATACGAGTTCTTACCACCCTTTCGGATAGCCTGAATTTTTACTCCCCCAAGCTCTTGGTGGCGGCAGTTTGTCCGCCTTTAGTTGGTCTTCGATCTCTCCACCAATTAGCTGGTTGAATCGGCTTGAATCGTCATAGGCGGGCTTCGATCCCCGTGTTAGGGCATGCTCTAACCTCTTCTATCTTAGTGGCATATCTGTCCAGCTGCTCGAAAAGAGAATCCAAACCCAGGTCATCATTCCTTTGGCTAGGAGAAGGTGAAGCCGATGTGGAGTTGGATACATACGTGATCTAACTTTGACTTTCCTTCACCCATTGGCGGGTCCGCCATACGGACTGAGAATGACAGCATCTCGATGATCACCAGAATACATAGACGACATCCAAACCCCCCGAGGACGATCCGGGAACACGTTACGACGCACGGTGCGTGGGACGTTGAGTGGCAACCAAGTGACAGTGGCTTCTATATCAGAATGATGTGGACGCGTGATGGGGGTCCGCGTCATCAACTGCCACTATCTCCGGTGTCTCCACGCTCGAAGAAGCGAGGCTCGACGATTCAATGTATGGCCCAGGGTAAACCAGAAGGCCAGATAGGAGAATAAAAAGCCGAATATGGCATGGTGGGGACAATGAAACGGGCGGGAAGCTGAAGATGATGTCCAAAACGGGAGACGGGTGGCTTGAAAAATTGGTGATTGACGTTTTCGTGGTTGCGGGCCAAGGCGAGAACGATTCAGTTTAGGGAGAGAAGTCAAAATCAAAGCCAGTCTGGGATCTATAAGAGTATTTCAAACAGACGCCATCCATAGCATTTGAGGTCGTGTGATATTTCCATGTCCCAGTTGCGGGTTGACCGTACAGGAATCACCGTATAGAGGGGAGTAATAGGAAATATTGGAGTGGGACATGAAATCGTTGATGACAGGTGAACACCCGGATGTCAGTAAATGCGCAAGTACGTGACGGCATGGTATAAACGAGACATGTGAGAAGGAGATTGCAAAACAAGGGGGCCAAACAACGCCCCCGGCAGAACAGGTAGAAAAATTGAGTTTGGTCGAGGTTTGAGGCCACAAGGTTACTAATGAGATCGGTCTGCACTGTATAGACATCAGAAGCTACGACATGTGATGTAATGGACAACAGAATCATACGCAGGACTACGAAATATACCTTCTGAAAAGAGTGAATACCCGCCGTACACACTGCAGTAGTGCTATCTCTCTAGGTACGGTACCGGGAAACTTCCCCCAGATCACAAAAGGGGCACTGCTGCGTCTAGTAGAGCTGATCACATCAAATCCCTGCCCCGGCACATCTTTTCCCTGCACACGATATGCCTAATACACAGTACACGCATCACCAACATCCTTCTCATCATACGAGCTCTCATCGGCTACTTCAGCCCAATGTGACGACATCGACCTGCATGTCCTCCTGCACATTGATGATTGCACGAGCACCAGTGATTTCTGTGTCCTGAATTCTGAGCGAGCGAGAATTGATACGATTCGACACGAGTACGGTTTGGTGGGGATTCAGTTTAGCACTGCTCAGCCATCGCCCATTGGGGAGTAGTCTACGGGCGGAAGACTCGCAGCTTGCATCTGCAGCGGAGGATGGCGCTGGTTCTTCATGGGCTTTGCATGGGCGCTGCATGCAGACTTGCAGGCGACTTTTGCTTCCACTTTCTGCCAAATTCACACCAAAATCCAAGCCGAATTATACCCAACCCTAGTTCGTCCTCGGAGGCTTGTGCTCTCAGATCGTGCCGGCTGTTTCTCCAAGGCGAATCAGCCGGGATTGGCCTCGTCGCTCGTCGCCTCGATGGGGTACCTGACAGCAGTTGCTCGAAGTCAACGATAGGGATACAAACTTTCCCATGCGTCCATCCCGCATCCATTCGAAATGGGGCTTGAACCATTGAACCCACCGTCACACTGCTAACTGATTACTCCGTACCTGACCCTCTGCTAAAAGCCCCATTGTCCTGAGGTCTTGGACTGTCCAAAATCCAAAATCCAATCCCTCTACGCCCTCCATTTCTCTTTTTCTTCAAGCCTCAACCTCCCTCATCCTCTCTGACTCTATGGTCCCTCCCGGGGTGCCGTCATCTTGGCCGGTGATAGCTCTTTTGCTCCTCGCCTGCGCTCGGACAATTGTCTCCTCCCAACTCCACATCTACCCAGCACACTACTAGTTTTGATCGACGCTCTCTCTCCCGGTTTCATATCCCTTCCGCGCTCTTCGACTTCGCCAAATCTGGTGTAGGATACCTCGTTCACCTTTCGCCCCATCACCTCCCACTACGATCCTGAGACCCGCCCAATTCGTCCACCTTCTCCCTCAGTTGTCCGATCTGGCACGGAGCTCTGGTAGCTTGCTAACCTATTTCATTCTCTTCCGACCAAGAAAACCCCCCCCCTTTCCGGAGACCCCATTAACTTGGTGTCTTTTGATGTCCCAAACACCCATGACTGATCTCCCAACTATCTGGCTGTCGCGCCCCTCAAAAAGGATCCAACCCAGGATATGTCAATCACCTGCTATGAATTGTGAATGAACCGCTCCGCCCCCGGCGCCATCCCATATTGCTGCCCAGCCATGGATAGCCGATCCACCAGGTACCGTTCCTTCGACTCCAAGGCTGCTGTGCCACCTCCTAGAACCCGGGACCGTCACAACTCTGCTCCTTCTGTTGATCGACGAAAAGACCAGCATTCCCGACGACAGTCAGCCACTTCCAAACCCTTTGATATCAGTCAAAGAAGCTCCAAGTCCAATCCTCGTGATGATTCCTTGACCTCACCCGACAGAAGAACGGCCACGCGACCCTCGGATCGACACCCTTCCCCGGGTAACTCTCGAGAGGCCAAGCTCGCTTGCAAGGTACGTGTTCATCTTTGTGCTCGAGATTCTCTAGGAGGGAAAAGTTGCCAGCCCCGTCACCTTTTAGTCGCAACCTTTCGCAACCGTATTCATATTAACCCAGCTTTTCCCATTAGACCAGTGATTCAGATTTGGACTCGTCTTTCAAATTTTTGGTTTTGGGATCTCAAAAGTGCGGCAAAACAACCTTTATCCGATACGCTGTGGATCGGCAGGTCTCGACCACGTCCACCTCCGTGACTCTCCAAGACCAACCCTATCGTATTCAATTCGTCGAACTCTTGCTCGATCATGTCGATTTCAGTAGTGAACGAAGGATCGAATGGCCTTCCCACGTAAATGGTGCTCCTTTTCCAGAAATTGACGGGGTCTTCTGCCTCTACGACGTGTCTGATAAGGAGAGCGTCGCCGACGTCCCTGCGGCATTGAGTAAGCTACCACCCATCCAGCAATCGTCAGTCGTCACGTCCCATCGCTGACGAGATATGGACAGCTTCCATGACCAACACCGGTCTACCTTGTGTGCTCGTTGCTTCCAAATGCGATGTAAAGCCGGAATCTCGTCAAATAAGTTCCCGGTTTCAGGAACAAGTCCGCCGCAATCTCGCCAATGTTGCTATTGCCGAAGTTTCCATCCAGTCTCCTGAAAATATAAAGCGTTGTATTTTGGGCATGCTCCAAAGAGTGATTGTCTCTCCACGAGGTGAGTCCACCAGTCACCTTTCCAGTTGGTTCATCACCAATCCCTCTTTTTTTTAAATTCGTAACACTTCTGGCCTCTCCTCCAATTCTCGCGTATCTGCAGATCTGGATGTGCAACAATCACCATGTTGCGACCAATGGCTATGATTGTTCTCTGCACCCGTTCCGCTTGTGATCACATGGCTGACACCGTCGCGCAGCATCGGTTCGGGCTGGCAAATCGTCACATACCTCCACACAGTCTTCGGGGAGTCATCCCGTCGTGTCGAGAGAAGCTTCACCCAAGACAAGTCGAAGTCGAAGTCGATCCAATAGTCGACTACAGGTGTCGAAATCCAAAGAATTGCTGCTAAATCTCTCGGTACGACCGGCCGTGATCGAATCAGCGGACGAAGAAAGCGAGGAGTCTTCTGAAGATGTAACCCGCGCTGGACACAAAACCAAACTGCGGTTGGACACTTCTACTGCTTCAAAATCTCAACGACGACCAGCAGGGCCCCAGACACCAGTATCGTCGGGTGATTACACCGGCAAAGGTCCTTTGGAGAACGCGGCGGCCGCGATACCCGAAACACCCGATTCATACTATGTGAAATCAATGCTCCGTCCAGCTTCCACAGATACCGCCGACAGTCGAGCCTACCAGACCTTTCTCAACATGGATGAAGACCCGAATGAACTCTCTCCATGGACCGAGGTCGAACCTCTGGGTCCGGCGCTGAGTAATCTCACGGTTGATGACAACTCCAAGCCCGAGGCCGGGGTCCCTTTCAAGGAACTTGTGGAAAGACTGCTGCTGTTGCCGGCTAACAAAACTGACTCCAAGTTCGTCCCGTCCTTTCTCTGTCTGTACCGTTCATTTGCCACACCCAGACAGCTGCTGGTGGCCATCATTGATCGATTCATGAAGGTCGAACAAAGCAAAATGGTCCACTTTACCAAGGTCGCCGAAATGTTACGATACCTTCAGGTTTTGGCCCAATGGACCGCCACATACCCGGGAGATTTTGCCCCGGGACCGGCTCGTGACATTGCGGTCCCCTTTGTGCAAAGTATCGAAAAGAGCAAGGTATTCGCCCCTGCCGCTCGAGAGATCAGCAACAATTTGGATACCATCCTTCCCGACGAAGATTTGGATTGGGCATTTGATGATTCGCCGACCCCGGCCAGTGCCAAAGGTGCGAAGAAAACACCCATTACTTCGTCGTCAACGTCGTTACCGTCATTGAACAACGACGCGTTGAAATCGAGTAACCCCGCCCAACGAGACCATGACGACAGCGAAGAAGACGGCGACGGAACAAACTCATCGGCGCGTGATTCTAATGCGCCGTCGGCCTCGTCCAGTATGATGAAGACTTTCAACTCTCCCAGTCAATCGTACACGAACTTTTTACAGTTGGAAAATGCCAAACATCAAGCCGAGAAATACAAGCCGATTCCTCATATTCGTCTCAGCAAGTTCCAGTGGCATCAATTCATGGAAGCACCGATTGAAGATCTGGCGCGTGAGATTACTCGAATCGATTGGACCATGTATTCCGCAATCCGACCGCGAGATTTCGTCCGACATGTCTGTCTCTCCACCGAGCAAAAGAGAAGATCTCGTGCTGTCGATAACATCAGTGCCATGGTGAAACATTTCAACCATCTGGCATTGTTTGTTTCAGGGATGATCCTCCTTCGGGACAAACCCAAGCATCGGGCAAGAGCTCTTGAAAGATTTATGGCTTTGGCTTGGAAAGTGCGGCAACTGAACAATTACAACTCGCTCGGCGCCATTGTCGCTGGAATCACGGGCCACGAAATTGCTCGATTGACGGCGACCCGAGATTTAGTACCACAGGAAGTTCAGAAACAATTCCTCCGGTTGACTATCCTGATGGGAATCTCGAGATCTCATGCGGCATATCGAATGGCATGGGAGAATTCGTTTGCGGAACGCATTCCATTCCTCCCCCTGGTCCGACAAGATCTGACGATGGCGGCCTCGGCAAATCCCACATTTATTGGAACCAACGTCAACTGGAAGAAATTCGAAATTATGGGGGATGTTATTGTGGGACTGCAACGAAGTTTGGAAAACCCATATTCATTCCCCCCCAAATCACATCGAACCGAGGAGATAACCAAATTGATTCTGGAGACTAAGATTCTTGAAGAATCAGAGGTGAGTTCGCTTATCGGAGCCAAATTTTTTACCGAGACGGATGCTGATGTGTCCATGCAGGATTCTGCTGATCCACGGAGTGAATTGTACGATCGAAGCGTGCAGGTTGAACCACAGGTTGGGGTTGACCCGAGGAAAAAATTCGATTGGCTACGGCGTTAACGAGACCAAAGTCACGATCTTGACTGGAACAATTCGACTTGGACACCCCCAATTAACAAACACCGGGGGAGTCCGCCCACTAGAAGAATACCTAGGAGAAATTCACGATGGCTCCTGAAAAAGAAGCCGGGAAAAGGGTGAACGAGTATGAACACCCCTGGTGGGGTTCGGCATACTCTGGGATTATGAATTAATGACAATCCAAGACTCATGGAATTTGAATTGGGACTTGCAGGAAATGCTGTCTTGTTTGAGAGACTTTCAGCGGTGGATATCTGGATGGGATCACGCGGCGTTTGGAGGAGTTTGGTCAAAGAGGATGCCTTCATTTCGACTCAGGAAGATTTCTTCGTTTGGCCGCTAGAAGCCCAAGAGACTTGGTTTTCGGTCAAGCGGCAGAAGAAAAATCGATCATCTCGACGACCCGGCAATTCATATGAGGATTGAGCCTGCGAGGTGATGACCTGCCTACAAAATGGAATGGGTGAAGAAAAAATATGTACAGCATTTGACCTGTCTCTGCTCATCAAGGCGATGAGCACCGGAGGATAAACTTTGGCCCCGCGATCCCGGGTGCCAGAAAAGGATAGGCATCTTCAGGACGGACATCCCAGTGCCCTGGGACCCAAGCCACGGGCGCAAGCAAAATTGGGGTGCTTTCATTTCCAACTCGGCTGTTCGATATGGGAATCCAGGGAAAGACCAAAAAATTGGATGGGCGGGATTGTGATTGTAGTTTGGGAAGAGAAAATGAGCCCGAGTTTCGACTTTGCGATACCGGGTTTTCGAGCGTGGCCAGTACATAAAACAAGATCTGTGTGGGAGTCCGGAGGGATTTGATATAAACTTTGGTCGAAAGATGAAAATCAATATATGGGTTCTCTTCCATTACTTTCATTCCTGCTGATTGCTTGAACGGTCAATGCCGCTGGCGATACCGGTTCGACTGAATCATTTCATATTATCAAAAACAAATCTCCCGATTCATCAGACGGGTCGGGTATACCAATACAGGACTAATTCCAGCTAGGTGGCTTTAAACAAAACGTATCCCGATTCCGATGCCCCGTCCCGTACAATCAACAAATGAAAATATTCCCGAAGAACGACGGACGGTGATTTCCTCTTCCCTTCACGCTTCTCATATCACTCACACCATCCCGGCAGACATCAGCATAAAAGAGTGTCACTCACCTGAGTGACTCACTTCGACCCGCCGGTCACCTTGTCAAGCATCATCTTCCTCTTCTCCTCTGTATTTGCGTTGCCATTCACGCCATTGTTGTTCTGGTTGGGGCCTGGAGGCATCTGCACCATCCAATTCGGTGGCACAATCCCCGTCTGTTCCTGAATCGTACTCAACAACGGCGGCAGACTCTGCATGATATTCCTGATGGGCATGATTCCTTCTCCCCCCACACCGCTGGCGGCATTGTCACCGGTATTCCACACGGTAATCTTCGGTTGCAAGCCCTGGACGGCCTTCGCGTTGGCCAGCGCCAATTTCTCATGCGTGTTCTCCTTCAACATCATATACGTCAACAAACCTTGCGGGCCGCCAAAGGCCTCGGCGAGAGTCTTGTACGCTTCGGCCTGCGCGCGTGTGGCTTCGGCCTCGCGCATCTTCGCATGGTACATGGCGTCGGCTTCTTTCATTTGGCGCTCGACGTTGGCTTGAATCTGACGCTGCTGCTTGAACAGCTGGGCGTCAGCATCTTGTTTTTCCGCGTACGCCCGCGCGTCGGCGGTCTTGGACTCGCGGTAAAAGCTGGCGTCGGCGTCTTGTTGCGCCGTTTCACGCGCTATTTGGGCGCGGACCAGGTCTTTGGCACGCAGTCGTTCGAGTTCCGTGCCGGCCTTTTTGGTTTCGACTTGCTTTTGCAATTCGGCGTCGCGGGCCTCAGCGGCGCGACGTGCCTGGATCTGCGCCATCTGGATGCCCATGTCCAGCTCGGTTTGGCGATTCGTCAGTTCGGCGTCGGCTTGGGCCTTGTCGGCTCTGCGCTTGGTTTCGAGAACCGCGGTTTCAGCTTCGATCTTGGAGATTTCTTGCTTGGTGTGGCCGCGCTTGCTGGCTTCGCCGATTTCTCCGCGCATGCGTGCCTCGGCGACGTCGATCCGCGCTTGGTTGGAGGCGCCTTCATGGGCTTTACGCGAGAGGAAGGCGAAGTATTCGGATCCCGGGGTGTCTTGGAGTTCTTTGACGTTGGCGTTGTAGATGCAGAGGCCGAATTGGTCGAGTTCTTTTTGGACGTTTTCAATGACCTTTTGTCACCCCCCGGGGGTTAGGGACCGTCGGACGTGAGCTTCAATGATGATGGGGTTACCTTTTGCTTGAAAACTTGTCGCTCCTTGAAAATTTCCTCCATGGTCATACTCGACACAATCACCCGGGTCTCACCTTCGATGATCCCTTTGACGATATCCTGAACATGGCCTCTCTGCGTCGGCACGATGGCCTGGCCGGGTTTCTTGGAGCTGGCTGAAGCGGTGCCGTCGGGATTCCCACTCAGAAGGAGAGCATATTTCTTTAGGGCGTCGGGTTTGTTGTCGGGTCCGATGGTGAAGACGGCGGGCAAAGCGAATTGCAGTTTCTCGATGGTCATGGCCTGCAGATTCAGGGAGAAGTCAAAGGGGGACACGGAGATACGGGCCACGCGCTGCCATGGGTAGACAAAGGCCTTTTTGACGATACGGACATCGTCAATGCCGGCACCCGTGACCACGAGGTATTCGTTCGCGTCGGAGATGTGGTACCACATGTTGGCAGAGACTCGGGGTGCCTAAGGAAGTGGGTGTAGGGGGGAGGGAGGATGTCAATGATATGCAATGTCCGAGAGAGTGCACTGCAGCGGTGATTTGGCAATGAGGAAGAAGAGGGACCAGGTACCGACCGAAGGGTATTGAAGTATTAAATATCTCACCTTTTCGCCTGAGCCATCTACGGGATGAAGTCGAGTCAATCGTGGACAAAACCTTAGGTACCCGCCGATGCTCTGCCGTGAGCCTTGCCATGTATCCGGCGATGCTGAACTTGGCGGATGGAACGAGGCTCATCCTAAAGATGGCGGGGGCTACTAGGATAAGAATGCACCTTACACCCGTTTCTCGTTGGGTCAGTTAGGTTGATTCCATAAGGGTGAGGCATGAAGTCCTGTACAGCAGCCCGCAAGGTTCAGGGGTTGGGGTCCATGATACAGAACGATCGCCAAGGCAGACCTTCTCTGGGGGTTCTCGAAGCCTTTTCCGTTATAATGGGCCCAGTCACGAGATTGACATGCCAAAGGTCATATGGATACTTTGATTGTACGATATTGGGATGAGGTGTGGGTAGGCAAGCGGTGGCTGTGCAAAAGTCAGGCAGCATCTTTTTTCTCTCCGGTCTGCCTTGTGATGGGTCAATTTGGCGCGATTCTTCTTGGTGTGGAGTTTGATGGTAGCTCGGCCAAGTCTATGATGGAATTTTCTTTGCTCGAGCTCAGCGGGTAAACGGCATGACTTGGAAGCCGGGGAGAAAGGGAAGATGAATCAGATGACCAGAAAATGGATGGGATCTGCTCTGGGAGATGCCTCTGCAAAGATAGTAACACGAAATGTGAGAGGTGACACATGGTTTGTCGACTCGCGAAGCTCTAGGATAGGGTGATTTGTGAATATGCCTGACCGGGATGTTACGCATCTTCCAACTCCTCTCTCTGCTGATGTCTATAGTCTGGCCTATACAAAAGGGGCTCAGGAGATTCCAAAGGAATGTCTCCATTAGAATGGTGCTGGCAAATGTCTACGTGGCTGTGGTCTTTGTAGTGGAGTTGGGTAATTAAAAGCGGCATCTGCCAATCAGCCTGACCAGCCGACCAGCCGACCAACCGTGGATCCCTTCATCCCTCCTCGCTCGTGTGTGCCTGGGCTCATTCCTTTAGCCCTGCTTGGGTCAACCGACCATTCCTCTGGCGGGATATCCCTCCCTTTGCTTCTATCTATATTCTTGCCTCCTCATTCTTCCATCCTTCTCGAAGCCTAGGTCAGACCCTCAATTGAGTCCTCCGGCCGTATCCGATCTGCCAACTTCCAGTACGACTCCATTCCCTTGTGCCTTGAGCCGTCTCGATTTCCTGCAGATACTGTCTTTGAGGATGGCGGAGAAACATTGGCAACCGACCACCGACTAGCTTTTTACACCGGTTTGCGCGGTTTGCGGCACAGCGAAGCCGCATGGTTTGCTGGATGGGCTTCCTCGCACAATGATACACTACCAGCACCGGTGACCACGGAGTCTTGGTGGCCGAATTGCCCGGTCTTGATATTGATCAACGGACTGCGGACTTTGACTACTCGGTACCGATCGTGGGTGTCGACACCAGGCTGAAACGACATCTTCCCCTTTCTCTTCTACCAGTTTACCACCTCCATTGTACACAGTACCGTTTCACAAGCAACCATAACAATTTGAGAGGAAAATCTCCCCAACAATGTCGAAATCACCAACGGACTCATCCGACCGGATCCCCACCTATGAAGAGTCCATCGCTGGCTCTTACTCTCACACTCGACCACCACTTCCTCCCCATACTTCCTCATCGTCATCGCGGGAGAAATTCAGCTCCGCTCCATCCTCCATGACCTCGAGGATCCGACAAGAACGGTCACGACGGATCCAGCATCTCGTCACCGACACTATCATCCCATGCTTCAGCACGCATCTATCCCATGTATGCACCAAGCTGACCCTGGTCGTGGTTCCCTCAGACTCCCTAGAGAGTTGTTCGGCTCCAGTAAGCGCACAAAATGTCGTGACACCCACAATTCAGCCGCATGAAACCTCCGCGACCGTCCTGTCTCTTTCCGGACCAGAGAATTCTGCTTCGTTCTGGACGCAACAAGCTGTCGTGACCGAACTCGACGGCGTATTGCAGAGGGAACTCGCTGGGTCTGCAGATACAGAGCCATACCCGGGTGGAACCGTGGTCGATACCCAAGGTACGACCACTGTTCAACCTCGACCTCGGTCGTCAGAATCAGCACCCCTCCCTCCCCGGTCGCCTAAGAAATCCTGGCTGAAACGCACTTTCGTCCTGCCAGGCCCAGACCACGATCCGACAGGCGACACAGGAAAATGGGATCTAGGCTGGCGAAGTGTTGAACCGTCATCTGAGCCCGAAACTCAAGCCAGGACGAGGACCAGGACGAGAACGCTCAAGGCCGGCGATGTCGCAGTGCACGCGAGATGGCAGGACGTGAGTTTCCGGACGGAGAGCCAAATGGGTCTGTTAGAGACGAGTACGGTGAAGTGTATTTGGGTGGAAATTGAGATTGGAGTTTGAAGATCTGTGAGACCGTCGTTAAATGGGTCGGTCGGGAAAATTGATATCGATATCGATTCTGAAATATCATTTTTGATTCTTGAACTGCCATTGATCATAAAAATCATGCCGATCGTTCTTTCGGTCTGAACCGTCCCAAGTACCCGCCCCGCCATCATTCCCCCCGAGAGTCGCCATGACGATAAGTTGTCACGGAACAAAAACCGTTCTCTCTCTCTTCGCCGCCCATGCGCTCTCGACATCCTCCAACTTTCGCACCTTGAGATCCATATTCGGCAACGTCGCCACCGCCGCCAGTAAACCCGGCAATTCCTTTGCGAAATGCGGCATGGACCAAGCTCCAGGCCCCGCCCCGCGCATTGTGATGTCCTTGGACCGCAACAGCGCCCCAGGCAATGTGATGTCGTTCCCGGCTACGGCGCCGATCTGCACGAACTGCACCGGCACACTGGATTTCAGTGCCGTCAGCAAGGACACGACGGCAGGACCATACAGGTAGTCGAGGATCAAGTCGACGTCGCCCAGGCTCGAAAAGTCGGTTTCCGCCGGGTTATCTGCGAGCACGATGCTTTGGTTGAGGCCCTCGATCGAGGCCATTTCTTTGGCGTTTCGCGCCACACCGATGATTTTACCCGCGCCGAGGGCACGGGCGAAATGCACGGCCACTTTGCCAGAGATAGCTGTGACGCCAGTAATGACGACGGTGAACTTGGGAGGGAGGTTGGAGACGCGTGCTTTAAAGGCCATCCACGAACTCATGCCCGGGTTGGTCAGGCCGGCGATTTGGACGGGGTCGGCGCCGTGGGGGATGGGGGTGATGTTGGTTTTGGGCACCGTAATGGATTCGGCGAAGGCGCCGCCCGTGGCGATGCTGTTGAAGTAGACGGTTTGGCCATCCGGCGTGACGCCCACCCCATCCGCGCCGGGGATATAGGGCATGACGCTGGTTTTGGTGCTGTAGTGCGTGCCGGTTGCTTGGGCGCGGACGAGTTGATGGAAGCCGCTGGCGAGGACTCTGAGGGTTACGAGATTGGGGTCCGAGGCGGTAGGGGCGGGATGAGAGGACGTGAATGTGGGAGCGGCGCCCCAGGAGGAGATGGTGACGGCGCGCATGGTGTCGAAAGGGGAAAATGGGGGAAAGGAAGGGTGATGGGTCGATGGATGAGTGGGAAGTGCTGGAGAGGGAAAAGGAGACAGTTATATACCTTGTCTGTTGGTTTCTTCCTTCGATATTAGGAGAGATTTGGTCATCACAGGTGTATCTTGTACCGTCTGTTGAAGATCTCTTCCAATTCATGTGAATGGCTGGATGATGTCGGCCGACTGGGGCGCAAGCCGCAATAGGAATACTCCTTGCACGTGCATACTGGCTCAATTTGATGGAGGGGAGGGCTTCTTTGTCATCAATTCTCCGGATTCCTCGCCACGGAATATGCTGCTGGAGAGTGGTGAGCGAGAGGGTGTGTCGATTAGGTAAGAAGATGGCTGTTAGGTCGGCCTCGTACGATCCCCTGCCAAGTCCGTCGACAATGCACGTCATTCGTACTCAACATCCAACTCTCAGCAGAATCACACTCCTTGTAAACCAGATCACGGTCTATCCACACCAGATCTCGCAATGGCGCCCTCTCAACTCCAAATTGCTACCTCATCCCTCCAACGCCTCATCAAGGAAGAGGCGTCCTATTACAAAGAACAAGCACAGCAGGAAGCCCGCATCGCCACACTAGAGAAAAAATCCCCCGCCGCCGACGAGGCTGATAATCATGAATACCAGCTAAAGCAGGAGGTAATACCATGGTCAGCCGATCAAATACAATGAGACATATGTACTAAGCGACACAGCGCAAAGCATTGGAAGAAACCATAGCAGTCATCCCCACACTTCGAGAGCAAATCACCAGCGCCAGAGAAAAATTGGAAAGCTTCTTGGTCCGTTATTCCAATCCCTGTTCTGGTCCCCTGCACTCAAGTTTTACACGTGATCCAGGATTCGGCCACGAATGACGAGGAACGCAACAAGGCCATTGAAGTCCTCAAATCGGCCAAGGAAACGCAGAAGGATGATCCTGTGGCTGGACAGGACGTGTCATGACTGATGGAAAGGAAAGGAAGGGAATTGAGTAGATGTAAACGTGATTCGCCTTGACTTCATTCATGACTTTTTATGATGATGTGATGCTAGTTTTTACGTGGCTCTCTGCTGGTTCATCCGGCGAGAAATATCAGCGCTGGCGGCTGGAACCATCGGGTCCGCATACCGTCGGTCTTGTATACCCGATACCCAAACATATCAATGACGAAAAAAATGAACAAAATATTCTCTTCCTCTCGACACCGTTATTGCGATCTCCCTTGTGAGTGCTTTGATGCACCAAATCTCTTCAACTCGTGTCCATGTCAACAGGTTTCTCAATATTCGCAGCATTGCCTTCTTCATTTACTCCTGCTCCAGCCACCCCATCCATATTCACATCCTCATCTACCGCCCGCCGAGGGCTCGTCCCTCCACCCTCAGGTAGGGTCGACCTCGGAGTCAGCGCTCCACTCCCACGGAGCCCTGCCAGCGGCGTCGGTGCATCGTCAATCGGTCGGGGTGTGCCTGCGGTCGACATACCATCCCTTCCCCGGCCCACTCCCAGGAGACGCTCCTCGTCGTGCTCTGCTATTTCATCGTCCTTCTCCGGCTCCTTCTCATCTCGTATCACCCGCCTCAATCTCATGCCTTCACTCATCACTTTTTCAAATTGTTCTCTCCGTTCCACCCATGCCTGTGTATGCTCCTGAGCCTCGCGTTCCAGCTCTTCGATTTCCGCCTTGAGCTTTTCGATATTCACATGTTGTTCGTCGCGTGGCTTCAGTGACGCATTCTTGGTGATTTTGTCCGCGAGCACGTCGTAAGTTTTGCGGACCGCCAATGTCTTTTGTGCTTCATCGAGTTGAACACGCAAGTGTGCCGTATTGTCCCGCACTTCTTGCGCTGTGGCCTCGATGTTCAGCTTTTCTGCCACGTAGCGCTCTCGTTCCCTCTCGTTGGCCGCTCGAAGGAATTGTATTCGCGCAATGCTACTGTCGAACGCAGCAAAATCGAGAATTACATCTTCGCGAAATCGTTGAAGGTCTTTGAGGAATTGTTCATGCTTCTCCCCCGCGTCATGATTTGCTGTGGAGTCATCCGAAGCAGTCGGCCGGTTAAGAAAGGAGCAGATTGGTGTTGTGGGAGCAAGAAGTCTCTTTGTTAGACGTCTGAAAGGGCGCTCTTCGATCCCGAGAAGTCGTGTAGCATGAAGTTTATCTGCGCACAATGAGCGTTGGTGGGTTTGCTATTGATTGATTGTGACTCACCTTCTTCTGCTTGATCTAAAACTGTGAAGGTTGCCATGCTTCTTCAAGTCCTCTCTTCTGATTAGAGAATTAGATAAAACAAGGCGATGGGCCGTTGAAATCACGGGTCTGAGGCAGCTTGAAGGGCAATGCTCCGCAGTACCGCAGGAGCAGCATATGGCTCGAGTCGATGTTGTGGAAGCCTCGCCGGCGAAATACCGAATTCGACTTCTTCTTCCTTGGTGCATGACTTCCCTCTCTATATAAATTTCATCCACCTTTCCTGAAACCTACAGGTCGTTCCCCCCGGGTGCCAAATGTCAGTCTACTAGAATCATGCCGGTGGACAGTCTATTCGACATGGCCCGCCGGGCTTGCGCCCGGTACAGCGCCAGGATCACCGATATAGGGGACCTCAATTACGAGCTCATCAGACCGGTTCTGCTCAAGATTGAAAGTCCAGAGAAACTGGTGAGCCTACATTTTATCTCAGGCACTGCAAACAATCGGAACTAACCAACGTCTTCCACACAGCACCAACTCGAGCAGAATTCCCCCCAAATCATCGGCAAAGATGCCGAGATTTGGATGAGCTTCATCAAGCGAGATATACCGGACTGGCACCTGAAACGACACGAGCCCAAAAACCCCAAGAATTGGTACAAAGTATATCGCCAGCTCAAGGAAGAGGCGCGGATGGACTCGACCGCCGACGAAGCCATATTAAAAGCCGCCTTGGCCAATATCCAGAATGAAAAAGAGCAAAATACGGCAGAGATCGCCTCATCCAGGAGAGACTTGCCATACCTGACCCCGTCAAGAAAAGCGCGCATTCATTATAGCTATATCAGTGGGAAGACTGGAAGCAAAGGGGCAAATAAGATGACCTTGATGGAAAAGATCAGGAAGGAAGCTCGAGATGCAAAGGCCTCCCAGATGAACAGGCCCATGCACGAACTGCAGAAGAGAGCAACGGTCGTCACGAAGGCACCGCGGCAGTTTGTCGAGGATCTAAAGCAAAAGGCGGCAAACCCCATGTCTCCTCCTCGAACACAGGCCTTTCCGGCTTCTATTCGCCCGTCGAGACCGCCGATGCACGCGCCTACTACAACTAGTAGCCCCAAGAAACCTCCAGTCGATTCATCATACGATCTTGTCGTAGATCGTGAAGCTAGGCTGCGAGCATTGAAGAATGGGAAATCAGAACCGAATCCTCCGCGAATGTCGTCAACGCCGACCACGACAAGGAATGGCTCGGACAGACAAGATGACACGGTGAATGTAGGCGGAAATGGAACTGGAATTCTAACAACGAATTTCCTGGAAGATTCTGAGGAGGAGGAGGAGGAGGAGGAGGCTATCGAAGCGCCACCAAAGATGCTGAAGATCAATGACAATGAGCGGCCGAGATCACTGAGTCCCATGAGGCTGAGTCATCCACATCCACAAACGCATACGTTAAAGAGGAAACAGGTTCCATCACTTTTCATGTCGTCACCCAAAAAGACAGCGAGACAGCCTGGAGTATCTTAGATCTTAGATACACAGGTTGGAGACAATATAAAAGAGCCTGATCACTTTGAAGAATTTTTTTTAGTTTTCGGGGGTGGGGAGGGGAGGAGGAGGGATGTTCCACTGCGTTTGAGTTTGTTAGCATTTCACAGTCCCTCCTGTATTCTTTTGACGGTATCTTGTCTTGACTTCTCTCGACGCCTCGTCTCCTCATTCCCGTACTGTGTCAACGAATCCTTTTCCGCAAGCGGTACATCGCGCTCTATGCATCAACCAAGTTGCTCAAAAGTCCATTTCGCTGGGCGTTCCAAAAGCGATGAACGCCACCTGCTGCATGCATGCCATTTGCGTTATCATTCGCATTCGTTAATGGAGTTGAAAGTGTGATTGGGAGTTGAACTTCATCTTTTTGGTGCTTCCCCTGGCCTGTGCGCCAGACCTGGTCCCAACGCTTTCGGCAGGCGGCTCGATCCATGTCTCTGCTCGTCGTCATCATGATCACCATCATCTCCCACCTCTCAATGCCAGGACCAAGTGCAAAGTATTCCCGCCCTCAAGACCATAATCTTCGGCTGTCTTTTCATCCGCCCTATATGACAGAATAGAAATCGTGTAAGTTTGTCTTCTCCTTCTCCTTCCCACCAAAAAAAAAAAAAGGAAAAGGGGAAATCAGGGAGGGAAGTAGGGGAAGGGTTCTCGATTCACATTTGTTTTCCGCCGTAGATCAACCGTTGCTGGACGGGTGGGATGCCTTCCTTTTCCTCGACGCGTTCTTTGATTCTTGATACCTATTTGTTTAAGGTGCAGCATGATTAGGATCGTATCATTGGATTTGCAGCAGAGAGTGAAGGATAGGCCTGGGTATGGTTTGCGTGAGGGAAGGAGGTGGATTGATCGTACCTTATAGTCTGGTTCGATATCGAGTTCGATTTCCTTGCCGGTTAACGTCCGTACTCTAGTCATATTTGTCAGTTCTGGGTGTAAAAGAAACAAGACCGCGGGGGATTTGTAAGGCGCACTTGATCAACATGTTGCCGTCGGGATGAAAGTAATTCGGAGATCGGATTGAGATCGAGATTGGAAGAGTAGCCTATGTCTTGCCTGGTGAACAGCGTACAGGGAAGATGTTGGGAGAAAACAATGAGGAGAGTCGTTTGATGGGTCTACTTCAAGACTCAAGGTTGAAGTTGTCCGCAGCCTTGAAACTTTCTGCGGGGTTCATTATCAACGTGCCAAGCCGGAGTCGGGCACCAACTTTTCTCCCAACACGTGATCGAGCCCAGCCTTGCGTCGTCTTCGACAGGATTTGATATCGATGTTGGTATCAAAAGCTATGGTCAGAAAACTTGGCTTGCTTGAATGCTAAGATACAGTGCAAGTAGAAATCCCAAAAAGACACCAGGTATGGTATGATCGATACATGTCGAAAAGCATCAACAGGACTCTTTTGAAAGAGTCTTCGCAAGCCACCCATCGGTCCTACCTGGGTATAGTTTCCCCTAGACTTGCGCCTTTGATCCCAATCTTTCCCAACCACCTGTAAATTGCCATCCAATATACCCCCATTGATGGTTGAGTCAAATCAATCAACTCCGTTTCCAAATAGCGCCCAATGATTTTGAGTCTTAACGCCCTAACATGGCCCTTTGCTGAGCTGTGTTCAGGGTGTCATCGTTCTGTCATCCCATTGTCGCGTTCAAAAGCTTTTCCAACGATCTGGTTGTTTTCGCTTTGTTCCTCTGTCCACACATACACATTATGACTAAACGATTTCACTTATAATATTTTTTTCCCCAATTTTTTTTGGGGTGTGAGATGACGTCTCGGCCGGATTCAGAATCCTCTCCATGGATCCCTTGACTCGACACTCCCCCTTGTGGAGGAACTTGCTGCCATCATTTCACTGTGAAGCAACGAGTCCACCGGGCTGATACTATCTCTTCCTTGATCAAATCCCCAATATCCCAAATCCTTCTTCTTTGACTGCCCGGATCGCATCATATTAAAAGAAGGTCTGCTGGATGATGTTGATGCTTTGCCTTCAATGAAAGCATCCATTCTCATCGTGGCCATCTGGCTGTTGTCCAGAAGTACTGCTGGAATAGGAGGTCGGCCAGAAGCACTTGCTTCGCTACCTCGTCGACTGCTCACAATGCTTTGCATACCCAAACTTGGGGTATACAATCCTCGATCAGAGGAATAGACAGCCGTGGAATGGACACTTTGTGAATAAGTAGAGCCCGGTTCCGGTAGGCTAGGCGTCACATCCCTGGTCGAAAAACTTCTGAACGAACTTGGTGGTGCTCGGGGCGCTGTATTGCTCCTTTTCCGTGAATGTCGCGGAACAGTGGGCGGTAGGGCAGGATCTGTTGTCGGATCATAATAATCGCGAGTTGGTGGCCTCGAGTCTTGCACCGGCAGAGATCCATCGGTCGTGAAAGATCTCTGACCCGTACCAGTTCTGACGGCATTCTTGGCAACTCGGATCGAATCACGGATCGGTCGACGACGAAGCGATCCTGCGAGTGTTGGTAGCGGTGGTGGTACTATCTCGGGTTCGGGAGGGGGAGGCGGGGGGGGAGGAATGGCAGTCAATTCATTCACACTGAGGGGAGAATGTGACAAGAACGACAAGGCTGTCAGCCAAACGTAGTGACGTTCTTGAGACGTCGCCGTAAATTTGAGAGCTCGTTGAGGGGTCAAGATAAGAATGGATCGGTTGAAATGCGCACCCGATATGGCTCCCTTTGGCATCGGGTTGTCATCTTTGACGTCGAGGACAGATTTGATCGTCACTGCTCATGATCAGTAACATAAATTATCGTTCTCATCCGCTCGACTTACATTTTCGACCACTCTTTCCCATCAGCGCAGTCCCAGATGTTGGTTGTTTGCTGCTCCACATGACCGCACGTTCATAGGGGGCAAGCCACACCCATCGCTTGTGTCGAACGCCATTGTTTGTGACACTTTGAGAAATTTCTTCCACACTTTTATTCGCATCCCAATCAGCCTTTTCGGTCACACCAAAGGACTTTCGCCTTCTGACATATTTGTACATCCATTCGCCCACCATGGTCTGCGCAATGGAGTCCACAACGGATGTCTGATGCATGGACACAGCATCGGAATTGGATTTGGTGTGTGTTCCCCTTCGACTAGGTCCGGTAGCAATTGACGGGCGTGGAGCACTTGCTTCACGTGGGTTGTTGTACGGTTCGGCCAGGAATGGTGCCGGTGTGGTTGCGGTGGGCATCTGGAAACTCGGCATTTCCGGAACGATTGAGACTCTGGGGTCGAGCGGAGGAGATCGGCTTCGGGCTCGTCGTGCTTGGGAATGGGGTGAAATGGCCGGTCCCGATCTTGCCTTTCTCAACGTCGGCTTGACAGATTTGTGCTTTGGTCGTTTGGTCGGGGAGGCATTGCTGCTTCCGGGCGAACTTCGACCTCCTTCGCTGAGGGATTTACCAATTCTCGCCGAGCTATACCTCAATGGTACCGGGAAGGGTGGAGGATTATTGCTGTCGAACGAAGCTGTCGTAGATTGAGAATGAGACGATTGATGAGCGGCGGTTCCACTCGAGATCAATGCGGCTCTTCTCATATTGTTTGATCGGGTTGAGGGGACTCGCTTCAATTTCATGCCCATATTTTGTCGTTGAGAACCCTTGCGAGGGCTGACTCGAGTTTGGAGGAGAATGGCCTTCATCTCTGGTGGCAGACTGTCCTCAGAGAGTCGGAGATTTTCCAAAGCAGCTGCTTCACCGGCACTGGCTGCTACACTTTCACCAATATCTTCCAAAACGGGATCTTGAGAGACCATTTTGCCGGACTTCAGGACGAATTTGGCGGTTGGTCGACTGAAGATGTCGTCCTCTTGGAAAGTATCATCCCCCAAAAGATCATCACGATTCTCGCTGTCATCATCAAATCCGGCGAAAAGACTACTTGACCGCACGGGACGTGGCATATTCGAAGCAAAATCTCTTGTGAGAGGTCCATTGTCATTCACAGGAGGTTGTTTCGATGGACCAGCCATTGAACGTCTGGAAGCGAACATGGAGGTCGCAGGAGAGACCCTCGTTCTGGGGATTGGTGGTGGCACTGCCCGTGATGAAATTGGGGGTCGGAAATGGCTCGACAATGGCGGCGGCGGCGGCGGCGGCGGCGGTGGTGGCATCTCGGAGGGTGGGACGATGGCTCTTGTGTCAACTCGAATCTCTTCTGTCTGCATCGAACTCGACTGATATCCGCCGAGAGACTGGGTGGTGACTTGGGTACCGGCATTTTTGGTTCTGGGTGGTAACACGACGCTAGTCTCCGGTGTGGCAGGTCTTGATCCGGGAGGGATAATGGCGATCAGGGGAACTTTGAGGTCCACCGTCTCTTCACTCTCTGTGTGTTTGTGGCTGTAACTGTCAAAGAAAATCGGTGGAGTTTCGGTCTGAGTGCCCGTGGTGGCGGTTTCAATTCTTTCCAAAGCACTTTCAGGAATGGTGGCCAGTACAGCATCTCGCTTGTCCGGCGTGAGAGGAGGACTGGGAAGAGCCTCAATGGTCTGACAGGCAGAAGAGACCATGATGGGTCGCTTCTTTTCCCAGGGGATGTCAATGCTATCAATTGGACTGACTGGACTTGGAGTAACATTAATTTGCCTGACATTGGCAACTTGAATGTCTGCCGGACGGAACGGGCTTGATTTTGATTGAGATTCCATCACCGGCCATGGCGAAGGTGGGGGGGAGAATTGGACGGCAGTGTCTACGTATTTGATGCTCGGTCGGCGCAGAACCCCATCTGAGGGAATAACACTGGCCCGGTCATGTTCCGGGCTGTCATTGCGTTCGATATCTTCAAAGTCCAAGGGCAAGCCCAGGACTTTCCGCGCCTTAATGGACAGACTTGAAGTCGGTCGGATTTGCTCCTCTGGCAGGGCATCCGGTGATATTCGTCCCCCCTCTTCATTGTCGTGAGCGTTGGCCATATCCTCTTCGAGTTCATCAAACGCAAGCTCATCCGCCAAGTTGACGGAGGCCCCATTGTGGAAGCTCAGGACCGAGACTCGACCACCGTGCGTCTCACTGTTGACGGAGGTAGCGCTATGTCTCCGACCTCTTCGAGTGAGAATGGAGCCTTTGCTCGGGCTTTCCATCAAGCTATTTCGACTATGGCAGTTTCGCTCGGTCGGAGAGACCGGCGGTGCATGATGTTGGGCATTGGCAATTTCACTGAGGACGACTTTGAGGCGGCCCTCAGCAATGTGGACTTTGGTCTCGAGACCACGTCTCTCTGCCAGCCATGCCTCTCTATCTTTGTCCCACAGAACTTGGGTTCTTTCCGCGGATTCTTCTTGACTCTTGGCTCTCTTTTGACTTTGTTCCAGGCGCTTGCGCAAGTCAGAGAGATCGTTCAGCGCCTCGTCGCGTTCTTTGGCCAATTCATTGAGAGCAGAAAGCGTTCCTCCCTCGAGGAGCTGCATCTGACGCTTCACCGACCTCGTTTCCTTATTGGCCTGCAGAAGGTTGTTGTTGAGGACTTCATTTTGCGTCTGAGCGGCGTGCAGGCTGATTTCCAGCTTTTCAATGTCATTGGTTCGATTTTCCAGATCCCGTCGCAGGGACAAGATCTCGGAGACCAGGGAGGCATGAAGGGTGGGTGTAAATCTCCTTGGGTCGAGCGGAGAGATGTTTTCATCTAGAGCCGGGTTTGACTGGCTGGAGTCGTTACTTCGTCTTTTGGTGGCTCGATCGTCAGGCATTGGTGGAGGAGTAGATGAAGGTGACATGTCTTCGTATCGACGGGATCGGAGAGATTGTGAACTGGACGGAGTACGGTATGGAGTATCGGTCGGTGAAGGCAGCGAGTAGTTGACTTCGGAGTCCATTCTTCGATCACGACTTATTGTGCCGCTGGGGGAGGGGGCCAAATCAGTCCTTTAACCGTCGTGGAGCATGCTCAGGTCGACTGAGACTCGAAATAGTGGTGAGACGTCAAGTGCTGCAACCCGAATAGCGACCTCGACCTATTCAGAAGCAGCTGATATACATGGTTGTTGTTCTTAAACGAGCGAGCGTGGGTTAAGATACGAAAACAGGCGAATGACCCTTCGGAACCCAAGGCCTTGTTGGTGAAATGTTGGATCAAATTGGTACAGAATTCAGATTGATGAGGTGAGAGGTAGGATATTGGGCTTCATGCCATGCATATGCGCGTCGAAGTGGTAGGGGAGGGGAAAAAAAGGGCGTCAATGCAAGAACGACGGATGGACAGGAGAAAGACCTGCTCGTCCCTGTAAATTTTGGAACGGGGGAAAGGTTCAAGTGTACTCTCGGGGGAAGTTATGAAAGACGATAAACATGGCAGTGCCTGACGAGAATTGCCTCCGCTCTGGAAGGCAAAGTCCAAAAGGTCCTGTACGAGACTTGGACCAGGCCTTGATGATGCTCACCTCTTTTGTTCGCGGATTACCAGTCTGCGGCATGTCTGAGGCGGGCCCTTGGGCTGATCGGACCAGGCAGATGCATGAGCGGACGAGGGAATGATTGGACGGGATACGCTGAATCGCGGGAAAATCATTGTTCAGGGGCATCGTTGGACTCTGGAGGGGGATCGAGGACGAGGTTGCGAACAGGGATTATAGGTGGAGTGAGGAAGTGGATGCCAACCCGATGTCAACGACTGGCGTTGAATGGGCGTTGATGGAAAGAAAGCGTGAAGCGGGGCCGACAAGGGAACTCCCAGGGCTGGGCGACGGAGTTTTGTTAGCGGCCACGGTGGCGTCGAGTCCGGGGGGTTGAATTTCAGTGAGCGAAGGAATTGAGTTGAGATTGAAATTGGAGCGGGAGGAAAAGAGCGCGGGACGGGATTTGGAAAGGCGAAGAGAGCAAAATTAACCGCGATGAGCGCAGGCCAAACAAAACCGCAGGGAGGCGGTAGATATATGCCTGAACCAGATGTTGAAGCACTTGAGTAGAATCTCGCACTCACAGGATCAGCCAGCAACGAGAAAAAAAAAAAAAAGGTACAGTATCTGCATGGTAGAACCCAGCGGAGCAGAAGACGAAGCAGCAATTAGTGCCAGGGCTAGCGACGTAGCGAGAGAGCGAAGAGCTTTTTGGGAGCCTCTAATCGGCCGCTAAGGTCATTTAAGGCCTATTGATGCCGAGAGGTCGAAAAGCAACGGCCCGACCACTCGGGGCAGATGCCACTCGAAAGTGGACCCGGCCGGCCCCTAAAACAGCTTAGAACAGGCACAAGTGTGTTTCACGTTCCCCACCACCGGAGGATTTTTCCTGGCCTTTCTCAGATCTTTTCCTGGACCGTGTCAAATTTCCAAAACATTTTCAGTTCTCTTCCTCCTAACTGGGAATTTGACAGTTCGCGGGCTACCAGTGTCAACATTAGTACCTTCGGTTACGTTCCGGCTCTCCAAGAGAGATTCATACGATACAGACCAGAAGCACGCACGAAGGGAGCGGCTGCTGCTACGGTCATATGCATCTGCGCCGATATTACCTGTATATTTTTTCACGGAGAACCGCATGAGCAAGATCAGTGACAACCATCCGTCATCTCGCTCCCCTTTCTCGCTTTTCCTTTTTCACCGGCATGAAGCATGAACGGTTCCCACTCTCATTCTCGGACTCTATCAAACCCCTGCCGCTCCGTCTGTGCCATGCCTGCTCTCACTCTCGGTTATCCACTGGTGAGCTCTCCATCTGGGGGGGACATTGCACTTGTGTTTGAAAAATCCTTGGGGCGCCACCGAGAGGGGCTAAATGGCTATCACATTTGCTCTCTCTCTGCCATATTCTACGGATGATTATTGACTCGACCGTCTATTCCGACTGATTGGGCAGGAACATGAAAAGTTGATCATAACGGACTGGGTGGTCGGACAAGCTCTGCAAACATCCGAACCAGTTCAGTCTCTTCCTATATCCAATCATTCTAGAAATCCGTTGATCAAAGCCCTTTTTACTGAACTGTTCGGGCACGTTTATCACAAATCACTTGATGGGCCTGCAACATGGCCCTCTATCAACATCAAACAAGCTTGTCATCTGCACATGCGGCCTGGTTCATCACATTGTCATTTCTCGGATCGGTCTCTTGCGGCTTTGTAGCGTCACACCGATTCTGTCCGCCTCGTGTTTGAAAGCTGTGCCCTGGCCCTTGTGCACGAGGTTGAAAAATCACTGTCAGCTCCAAAAATTATCATGGCGTGCTTGTACCAGGATTATGACATTGTCTCACCATCTTTCCCTTGCCGAATTTTGACAACAGCTATCGGTGACTGTTTGCGCCATTTTTGCGAACTTCCTCCCTCTCGTGTCGTTTCGTTTGACCCTGTCAAGCGTGGGCCAGCTCCCAAAAGCCTTGAAAGTGATAGAGGAGCTCACGGCCCAAAGCAACGGAACACGGATACAGGCAGAGCTACCCGAAGCTGTCCCATCGGGTACCCGTCATCGCTGTTGCTCGATTGACCCACCAGGCTTTTGTCTCCAACTATCTAACATCTCCAACTTTGGAACCACAGCTCAATGCATCCGAATCGTCATCGCCCATTCTCAGCAACCGCCGACGTACTGGAAACCTACATCCATCCCGTCAAGCCCTACCAGCTAAGTCCATTTATTTTCATCTACCATCCACCATCTATAAAATATTAACATGTCAACCACCTCCCCACCCAAAGCCCTCTTAACCGATGTCTTCGGCACCGTCGTCGACTGGCGCAAAACCGTAACAAACCATCTCACCCTCTCAGCCTCCGAAGCACTCAATTCCTCCACCCGCTCCATCCCCGACACCGTCCGGACCTCTGCCTCAGAAATGTCCTGGCCCACCATCGCCCAGCTCTGGCGCGAATCATACTACCAATTCACGCGCACCTATGATCCGGCAAATACCACCACCAAATTCAAAACCGTCGACCAACACCACGTCGAGGCTCTACACAAGATCCTCGCCGACCACGCTCTTGACGGGCTATGGACCGACGACGAAGTCCAAAGGATAAGTATGATCTGGCACTTTTTAGATCCCTGGCCCGACTCCTCCCGTGGCCTAGGGATATTAAATCAAAAATTCCACACCGCCACTCTCAGCAATGGCAACACCAGCCTATTGTCCGATCTGGCCCGACATGGTTCTCTGCCTTATACGCACATTATATCCGCGCAGGACTTCGGTGCGTACAAGCCGCATCCGTCCGTATACTGGGGTGCGGCGGGCAAATTGGGGCTGACACCCAACGAATGTGCCTTGGTTGCTGCACACTTGGGCGATCTCAAAGCCGCTCGAAGTTGTGGCTATCAAACCATTTACATTGCCAGGGCCAAAGAAGAAAGCTGGTCCGATGAAGAAGTGGCCAAGGCTAAGTCCGATGGTTGGGTCGATATGTGGATTGATTTGAATGAAGGATCTGTGGGATTTCTGGAGGTTGCCAAACGATTTGGGCTCAATTGACGGTCAGGATTGAACAGAAGCGAAACGATTTCCTTTTGAACCTCCGAGTCTTAATCCGGCCAAAGAAACATCAGTAGATGGTAAGTCCTCAGGCCTTTTCAAAATTTCTCATTGAATTGCCTCCATTGTCACTTTTCATGTGTCCATTGTTACCTGCGGAAGACATCACCACCAGTCCCCCTCTTTTCTATCCTCCCTCCCTCTCTCCTTGAAATTTCCAGTGCTACATAGGCCTGTCTGCCCGACCGGATATCCGCTTGTGAAGTATAGTGTTCTCGAGAACATACCCATTCTGAACGTGTCATTCAAGCCCGGCCACTTCCACTTTCCACGCGATTCCACCTTATTCCCCCCCGGAACGACTGGTTCCTGACCACCACTAGAGCAAGAAGAACCAGGATCAAGATCATGCTTCACAAGTACATCAAAGGGCAAGAAGATATTTTGCGGTTGTGGTGGGAGTGAAACTAGACGAGGCTGTGTCGAGGAGAGTAAAACCTGAACATAAGTCACAAATTTTATACTCATCCTGATTCCTTCAGCCCGGAAACCAGACCTATTTCCAACTCTTTCCATTTCGATTTCAATCTGCATTCTCCAGGGCCGGCTTGGATAATAGATATTGACGGCATTCCCTGTCCATTGCATCGTCGAACCTAGCATCGATATCGGTCTAGAAGTTGCTGTTGAGCCCTGTTTTTTCATGAGATGGTTACGTATTTAGGTTGTCACATTGTCTAGCTCTGGCTCTGGAACTACATCTCGCTCACGAACACGGAGCTTGACTCAGGGATGTTCATAGGAGAAGACAGATGCGCCGCCCGTGGAGATCTATTAGATCGCGGCCTGAGACAGAGCAGGGCAAGCCCGATTGATTGAACCGACTGGTTAATCGGCCATTGGAAACGGGTGTTAGAGTGTGTCTCCACTTCAATCTGATTCTCATTTTCATTCTCATTTCTTCGACCCTAAGTAGTTGACCACACTTCCGACTTTCCTCTCCTTCCCTCGATCTTCTTTTCTCCGATCCTTGATGCTTCATCCAAACTCCGCTCGGCCTTTTGCCTCTGCATCGGATACGTCACCGTTACAAAGCCAAATGCATAGTTGGAGCCCCGGATTTCTTCTCGGCCTTTTTCGCCGCCTTATACCACTTGGCATTCTCTTCACTGTGCGTAGTTCGCCGTTTGATCATGCGGCGAGGGTGGAACTCGCCGTTCTCGTCAAAGCCGGTTTCACGATCTTCTTCTTCGTCCTTTGTCGATGGCGAACCCACCGTCGTGGTGGGGGCCGTGCTGTCCACTTCGTCGGCCGGCGAGTCAATGTCCGCACCGAAGATGGCGCTCATGCCACGTCCGTCACCTTGCGCCGAAAATGGGTTGAAGCTGATCGGACCGGTTCCACTGTCCTGGAGGTTCAGCCCGTTCAGCTTCTTGGCCGTACCGTTGATGAGTTCACGCTCCTCCTCGTCCGTCAGGGGCTCGATATCCGGCATAGGTCCCCGGGGGAGAATTATGGGCCACCCAAGGTCGCTGCCACCATAAAGCTGACGACCTTTGGCCCGCAAGTAGCCGTACTTGTAGACCTCAAAGAACGTGGTTTTCTTGAACACGCCGCCGTTCGTCCGGTCTGACGTATCCCAATATAGGTTGCGTAGCCACTTGGACAGTCGTGGGTAGTCGTGTCTTATCATCTTGAGGTTGCAGTTGAAGATGTTGTAGTAGGCAACGTCAAAGCGAGCCAGAGTCGTATACAATCTTATGTCTGCTTCGGTGATGTGCTCGCCGAAAAGGTAGGGTTGGTGAGCAGGGTCTCCGAGGTGTTCCTCTAGTCTATCGAGAGATTGGAATAGCGGGTAGATATTGGCGTCATAGGCTTCTTGGGTGGTGGCAAAACCGCACTTGTAGACACCGTTGTTGACGGTGTGGTAGACCCATTCGTTCATGTCATCAATTTGCTTGCGGAGATGTGGTGGGTAGAAACCCCCACCAGGTTTATTGACCTCTCGCTGGTCCGGTTCCAAGAATTCATCAAACGAGTCGTAAAGCATTCGAATGATCTCGCTGGACTCGTTGTTGACGATGGTCCCAGTCTTCTTGTCCCATAGTACCGGCACCGTGTACCGGCCGACATAGTTGGGGTCAGCCTTGAGGTAAAGTTGTTTCAAGGCCGTAAAGCCATAGAGAGGGTCAGCGCCCATGGAACCATTTCGGCCAGTGAAAAGCCAGCCATTCTCGGTGAGATCGAAGTCGGTGGTAATTAGTTGGATCAAGGGTTCAAGGGATTTGAGGGCGCGAACAAGGATGGTTCGATGCGCCTGGAATGAGAGTGAGCTGCGAGATTTCTGTGGCCAGGCTAAAAGGGTAGGGGGTATTGTCTTACCCAAGGACAACCGTAGTTGGCGTAGATCGCATATCGATCCTTCTCGGGAGCAAACTTGGCACCTGGTTCTTTGGAGATCCAGTTCCGAAATACACTGTCTTTCCGTCGAAAGTGGCCGTCGGCGTCAGCGTGTTGATGTGTTGGGCGCTATTATGGAGTCAATTGGAGCTCTAGAAGTTGAAGAGTCTGCAACTTACTGAATCCCCCATTCTGAAAGTCTTGGATCTTGACAGAAGTAGGTGGTCCGCGAGGTCGATCAAATTGGAGAGGGAGAGCGCGTGCGTGAGAGAGAGGATCGGCTTTTCTCAGGTGTGGATTTGGGAGTACGAGAATTGCTCTCAAACTAGCTTTCTCCGTGACTTGAGTCCCCGTTGGCTGAGGCTCGGTTCTGGTTTCGGTCCGGGCGGACGAGGACTGGAAGGATATATGCAGTCGAAGATGCTATATCGGAGAGATTCTGTAAGGTAATCAATGGACAACGGACAACGGACCAGAAGACAGAAGCTGGATGGGCTGGTGGTTTGAAACCCAATTGTGACAATGCGCAGGCTACTTGGGAGGAATTGTTCAGCTGGCGAAGACGGGTGCTGACATTAAACGTCAGGCTCTCCGTGTCCAATTCCGCCCCGCATAAACCATTGCTGGCATGGCTACACGTGATTGACGGACGCTCAGGCGGGTCCGAGGCTTATGCGATGCGCGAGAGAGCTTTGTTCGAGTTTTCGGAGGCCGTATTTCTGATTCTAGACTCTGCGGGAACAGTCGCCATATGCTTTCAGCGGTGATGGTTGAAATGCTCGAGTCGGGAGTCTTTGGCGATCGACGTCACCAGCTTAACCTGGTGGACGACAGGTACTAACCTAAGGGAGACAACAAAGTACATCCCTGCCTATTTTCTACTGCTTGGTACCGCTGTATCTCTCAGGCCTCGGGCCCAGAGGTCATTCCGAGATTGTACATTGTCATAGATCCATCACAGGATCTGACCTTTGTTTCTCCTGCAGCTGAAGAACTCCCCCCCCCCACCGCGGGGAGGCGAGATGAGTAATAAAAGCGGAACGTTGGTTGAACAATGGGCCCCAGACTTTTGATGACATCTGGGTCCAAGGCACTATGTATTGGTCAGCTGGATATGTTGTCTGTATACTCACCTTCTTTTTTCGAATTTTCTTGAAAGCGACAACATTTATTCTGGGTTGTACCCGGCCGATTACTAAGAGAAGGAACTGCCCCATTGGGAGTTGTCTTCTGTTGAAGTGGGGACCTCTCCCCTTTCTTGCTTGCCTGACCCTATCGTCTCGCACTGTTATTGAAATCCAGTCTCAGACTGGCCCTGACAGGGATTATGTCCGTTAGGACTTTTCAAAAGGGTCAGCGATGAGAAAGACCTCCCGGGTCAATGATGGGTCCAATTCGTATGCTAAATGCAGCCACCTTGAAATATCCCGGGGCTCTGATTACCCGTGACCAAAACCCGCGCACGAATTCGTCATAAATGATGACGATGTGCCAACGAAAGAGAAGACGTACAAGCAAGAGACACTAGCAGGAACCCCAAGATATCCACTAGTTATCTCTGCTATTAAAATCTTCGATGAAATGAATGTTGGCATCCCTGATTAGAAATTTGACGTAACACAACTCACTCACACTGGCGAGGCTTGTCCTTTGCGATTGGGCAGTTGCATGTCCGCTCGCCTTTTTGAGAAGCTTGAAGATGCTTGTATCAAATCGCTTTGGACATGAGTATATCCCGTCCTTTTCCGGATCTTTATTCAGCCTTGCATGTGCATATGCGGTGCGAGTCCGAGGACCGCCTCTCGCAAATTCAGAACCCCGAATGCGAATGCATGCTACCAACAGCCACCGACTTCAGAATTTGCAAAGGGTGCATATTCTCGATACAACTCTTGCCAAACAGAAAAACTCACTCGATCTCACTCCACGCCGGGAATCGAAGAAAAGGTGAGATGCCGCCAGAGGCTGTCTCCGAGCAACAGTCGCGATGCAGCATCTGCATGATAAGGATCCGAAATGTGGCTTCGAGCAGCATGATGTGTGCAGATCGTGAGAATTGGCACAACGTTCATTGAAATCTACCGTTTGGTCGAACCAGCTGTTCTGTCAAGCTGTCTCTCCGGCGAAGAAACGTCTCTAAGGGGTTGATTGTGCATTCACCTGAAAACAAACAAGCATCGGATCAAGGAAAATATTCCGAACAAGTGGCTTGCTGCAGTCAGTCCTCGAACCCAAAGGATATGCTTATCCAATCAGAGTTGGAGACCTACAGCCGTTGTACGCAAGACTCCCAGATGATTGTAGGAAATGTGATCGGCGACGCATGGCAGTTGCAACTCCTTTTTGCAGGACAAATTGACCATCCCCACGTCCTCAGATATCCCACATTTCGTCCTGTTGCAGCGAAAAATACCCTTTGATAAGTTAGCAAAGCCTCCTGGCAAATCGGGCCCGGGTTGGTTTGGATTTGTCAACGAAAACTCGGCGTTATCGACCGAGCCTCCAGTTTGATATCTTATCCGATAAGAAATCTTGATGTCCGTTCACCTTCACTCAGTCCATGGGATGAGGTGGAGGTTTGGGAGTCTAAATTCGCACCAGCGACAGCTTGGGCCCTTTGGATAGCTCAAGATGTGATTAGTCTGTTACAGCCTCATTAGGCTCGCGTGGGAGTTTCTTTTGGGCTCTTTCCAAGAGACCAAGGAGGACGTCTATTCCAAATGAGGTGAAGACCCTCCCTGTTGTCTTTTCTCCCGCTTTACTTTCATAGTTCATCATGTGGCGTCTGCGGGATGCAAGTACTTGTAGAGCTCCCAACCTAAACCGTGGGGGGTACTCTTCCACAGATGGCCGGTCTCCCCAGATTAGTTAACCAAAAAGTGGGAGCCATGGCCCAGAGCAATGTATGCTAAGGAACAACGGAATCGGAGCAATTAAGTTAACCTATGGCGCGAGAAATGGTCCGCATGCTTCACTTCTCCGGGAATTGAACCATCGCGCACATAATCTGGAATCTGGTTCCACCCTCTCGAGAATGGTCCCGAGGCCCTGGTCGAGCCCGGCGATTTGGAAATGAAGTTGGCTTCGAAAAACAAATGATGTAACGCTTGACAGGGGAGGGGGAGAGAGGAGTGGAGGTCAGCTTTGACAAGCCGTGGGTCGGAGGAGAATAACTACACGATAGCCAGGAAGCGCTTTGGAAGCTTTTGACATGTTCCATATGGGCCCCGGTGGACAAATGTTGTCGATGTTGAGGCTTTCGGGGAAGGGATTTGGAAGGAGTCGCCAAAGTTAGTAGAGACAAAGTCTAGCTGGAAGCCATCCTGATTCCCGATAGCAATATTTTAGCCTAGAGCGGTACCCTGCGACCGCTAATAAGGGAAAGGAGAACAACTTTATCAAGGGGTGACCAGGTGGGCTTTGGACGTACTGGAATCCTCCCGAGGCTTGCGGAATATCCGCAGCCGATTGGAATCCATGTTGGAAAATGCCAGAAGTGATGTCTTTGAGAACTGGGTGATGGAATGGATGATCGATGGGTTGACGTGCTTGGGCTGACCACGTTTATGGGCGGTCCCTTGAATGCGTCGACGGGGATTGCAAGGAACAGAATCGTGGTTCCAACAGGCGAGGTAGCATTTGCAGGCAGGCCGTAGTTGTTGACTTGCCGGGGGGAAGATAGCATCAGGATGCTGAGGGCACTGCTAACATAGTAGTATGTAGCAGTCAGTACAAGGTCCTTGTCCAACACTCGACCGTTCTTCATGATGATTCATGCGCAATTCCCCCCCCTTTCAACTAGCCGCGACGACCACTCAGAACTAAACAATAAGTATTGTGACTATCTGCGAGGGGAAGTGTCAAGTCGTAACTCTCCGGTCGTAGCCCTTGGAACTAGAGCATAGGCCCATGTCCTCCTCCCTTGTCCCCTGCACCACCACGACACCCGCTGCATTGAACAATGCAGGCTAGGTCCGGTTTAGCCATTGGCAACTATTAGGACTGTCCCAAAGTTCAGGTGAGTCTACTTGTTATTGGCCTCTGGCCGCTGGGCCCCATTTCCTTACAGCATGCTCCCACAAAGTCGTATGGAAAGTTGAGAGACTCTTTTAAACAATTCTTCCAGATCAATCACACTCTCTATACACGCACAGGCACATACAACAAAACCTTCAGACCGGCTATCATACCTTCATCTAAACTGCTTTCGCCACCGCCTCTCACGTCGACTTCGGAAACGCATCTCGACCCTCTTCCCCGAAGTTCTTCAGCCTCCAATCCCCCGGCTCAACCCCCGACATCATCGATCGAGAATTTCCGGGACCTCCTAACGCTTCAAATTTCCTGAAATTTTCCTGCTCCAAAAAAAGTTCTTGCCGCGATCATCTTAGGTGTTCTTCCTTTAGAAAAGGCAAAGCAATCATCTTCCGACTGCCCCTGTGCTGTTATCAACCCAACCTGTTCACAGGCCGGCAAGTCCTCGCCCTCACCGATCGATTGCAATTCCTTTCTTTTTCCAAACCACCTCCGACACCCTCGAGTCATTCCATCCCTGTTTCTGGCCAGTGCCTTGCATCCATCCATCTGGTGTCTTCGCGCCCGCAGTGCTTCCCCAAAAGATTTCCGGCCGATCAGTATTAAACCCTTGAGTCACACAACCACAAACCCTAAACCACGCCGGCCACCAATTCATCGACGACCTCAGACATATTGCTTGTGCGGTGTACGCCTTGTTCTGAATCCATACCTACAAGCCCACTAGTTGGCTGCTTTAGGAGGGCCGTGTGAGAATTTTTTTTTAAAAAACCCAACCGACTGGTCTAGTTCGGGCGTTCCGTCCAGGTCCAGACGTAGGCCTGACCGCCATCTGTGTTTATTGTTCGGATTATTGATTGTCTGACGTCCCTGTGTCCTCCCGCATCGTTATATGCATTGAGCTCCTTGTTGGGTGTCAACTATTTTTGTAGACGCCCACAGGAGTACAAAGTTGCAGATTTCAACTACTGACTCGACATCGACAACGAGGATTGGCACCAATCATGGCTGGTAAAATGACCTTGTATAAACTGGTGGTGCTGGGAGATGGCGGTGTTGGGAAAACGGCTTTGACGATTCAGGTTGGTTTGCCTTTCACCCATTGTGGACCTTCATGTGCTGACTTCTGCCAAGTTATGTCTCAATCACTTCGTCGAAACCTACGATCCCACTATCGAAGACTCCTACCGAAAACAAGTTATGATAGATCAACAAGCATGCATGTTGGAAGTGCTGGATACCGCCGGGCAAGAGGAATACACCGCTCTTCGCGACCAGTGGATTCGAGACGGTGAAGGGTTTATTCTCGTCTACAGCATCACCTCGAGAAACTCCTTTGCAAGAATCCAAAAATTCTATTCACAAGTACAACGGGTCAAAGAGTCCGGACATCCAAATTCACCCACTGGTGCGAGTTATCTTCCCAATCAAATGAGCGGCTCACCCGCATATACCGGCCCTGTTCCGATTATGCTGGTGGGAAATAAGAGTGACAAACACCATGAGCGCGAAGTGTCATCTCAAGAAGGCTTAGCATTGGCTAAAGATCTCGGTTGTGAATTTGTGGAAGCCTCTGCCAAAAACTGCATCAATGTCGAAAAAGCCTTCTACGATGTCGTGCGGCAGCTGAGGAGACAACGGCAATCACCCATCAAACAAATCGATCGCAAAGGAACCAACTATGGGCCCTCTCCCGGCCTGCGAAATGACTACGATAAGGATCATCAAAGAATTTATCGCGAGCATACCAAAAAGAGAGGCACCAAGTGCGTGATTTTATGAAGGGCAACCCGACGACTTCAACGGCGCCAAAAGGCCCCGCCCCTGGAGATGACTTACGACCAGTTAATGTTATACAGCATGCGACATTTTCATCCTTTGTTGCAAAAGTTGGTGCGACCGAAAAATATTCTGACATCCCCCCGGGGGCATTCGATCTCGATTATTTCATCACACACACGACGAAGGCCTTGCTTGGAGACACTATGAAGAAATACCTAAGTTGCTCCGGTAAGGGGGTATCTTTCGGCTGGTTCTGTCTGCCAGTCACCGTTTTCTCTCTTTCCTGTTCTCAAAGTTCTGAACCAATTCTGAAACTTCACCGCTCATCTTGGCTCGGAAAGATTCGTCAGCACCTTGAAGTTGGGTGAAGTGGCCAATGACAACCCATCCAAAAATTGTATGAAAGGATTCGACCAACAGTACAGCAATAACAGTGTACAACACAGCATCGCATCTGCAAATCCGTCGACAAATCACGAACAAACCCACCAAGAACGCTATGTCAATTTTCTTTTATCCCGCTGCCTACCACAAGCGAACCGGCATGAGTTGGCACTAGTGGAGTGAAGTTTATATGGGGAATGGTGGAGGGTGGCTGTGCGTGATGGGTTGACCAGCAACTTAGTATGGACCTTTCTTCGAGGACGTCCGGCACATTCGGGGAGAATTTAATGGTTGGTTGTTGCGACACGAGAGGACGACTGGCGCAAGGCGCTCAGCTTCAAGCAACTACCACCATGAGAAGTTTCGGGCTTGGACAAAAGTGGTGATGTTGATGGTTTCGTGTTTTAGCCTGCGTGGGTTTCAATCCGGATTGGTCAAGATTAGGCGAGTGTCGAAGCCAACTGGAAATGGGTGTGAAGGCGACGAGAAAAAATGCGTTCAAGGTTGAAATTGTGCATTAAGCAGTGGGAATGGCACTGGAAACGGAAATCAACATGGGCATGAACATGGGCCACTGCAGAGGGAGGGATAGCCATCGTTCGTATTCGGAGCTTCGGTCTTTACCGCAAGGGAAAAAAAAAAAAAAAAAAAAAATTTTTTTTAGCCAGAGATCAAGACAGCGAGTGAATTGGAAAAGATAAAAAGATGGACATTGTGCTAGCTGAGTCGTTTAGAGGACAAGCCAAAACGGGCTTGCATGCCACTAAGCCAGAAGTCTGGCACAGCACGCCAAGTCACAGACCTCTTTTGTGCGTTTCTGTCTCTGCATCGACAAATTTCCTCCACCTCGGCCTAGAGGCATCCACCGTCGCCTTCTACACCTGTACGATAGCAGGTACCATGTAGGTATATGTAGTCTATTCTGACTATATACTAGTCATCTACTTGACCTGCTACCGAGTCTGGCGTAGTTAAGGCCACCGTCACTGTTGCTGGCGGGAAAGTTTCTCGTATCTCTTTGCGGCTTGCCCAGTTCTGCTTGTCTCGTCAACAAGTGTTTGTGTGATGTTTCTCTGGTGGGTGAGGGAAACAGGACAGTCATGATAATGTGCCCGCAGTCATCAGTTTGTATCTTCAACAACCCGACAGAACTCCGTCCTTCTCATGCTCCTTGCCTCGTCTACTACTATACTCTGCTTTACGATCGGGGAAAGCGGCATGGATCCGGATATCGGCACCAGAATCTACACACGGAGACATTGAGTGCTGATGCTACTCCACCGGAACCCGACAGGGAGTGCTAAGGATTTTGTACCTTGGCATGCAGGAACTGAGATAGATCATATTCTCCTAGTCTTGCTTAGACTCCCTTGTTCGTTCAAAGTCCTCCCGGCATGGCTGCTCAAGATCCCTTGAGTAGGCCAGCCACCATGTGCCGCAGGTCCTTCCAAGGATTGCTCTCTCCTTGTCTGGTCATCGAAGAAGTGTGTTTTGCGTCTGTACCTGGCCTTGGATAATTGAGTCTGAGTACTTCTGTCAGGTCATCTACTGTTCCGGTTCTCCGATTCGACGTGCTTGGATTTCCACCGTTCTCATTTCTGTCTACCAAAGCAATATACTCATTGCAAATGCTCACCAAAGATGCCATATTATGATCTCCTGTCTGGCAGGTATCCTTGCCAACACGCAGGCTCTATGATTGCTGACCTTGAATCATACACACCGTGCAAGGCTTGGTCCACATGGAGATCCACGTTCACATTGTGGAGGATACGGGGAGGTTTCTCAGCCTTGTGCAGGAGGGAATAACATTGGCGGAACCTAGGAATGTTTCTCCGGCTCTGGATATGTGTGTCAGCGACTCCTCCTTCCTGGAGGCCCTCTGTTTGGAATGCAGGGGGATTCACGGTGCCCTAGCCAGACATACCTGCAAATAAAGCATCTTGAGCAAATGGCGAGCATCAGGAGTCCGTTTACCCCAATCATATAATGTCAGGACATAAAGAGAACCCTTGTCAATTTTGTCCAAGGACCGTATCAGGAAGGAGGTGAGGTCGAAAGCGCCAACATTAAAGCCTACCGAACCCGATAACGTCGCAACTCTTGTCAAATGTCCTTGCCTCAGAGGGGAAGGCAGATAAAATGTGCACAGTGAGCCGATTCTCCGTATGAATTATGCAGGAGCGAGAGCCCAATGTCAATTTGCCGATTCTCCCTAGCACATATCGCTTCGACGCCTCTTCAGCCTAAGCGAGATCGCTTTTTCTTAAATTGTCGAGTTGCCGAAACCGTCTCAATCGGGAAGGTCGTCCAGTGCGCGCTCCTAGGCCCAAAAATCGCCAGTCAGATAGTGAAGGTATGAAGAAGTTGCTCGACTGATGGAACTTGATACAGAGCAATGTGTATGTCCAGCCTTGCCGTGGGCCAGAAACGAATGTAACGGTAAGGTCCGTGCCGACCTTGGTGACAATGGCAGCTGACAGCGAGCCGGGAAAGAGAGGAGGGACGGAAACTCGATAGTCGGCGAACTTTGTAGTTTCCCAATTTTAGAGTCCGACTGTTGCTGAAGAGTTCCTGGTGCCAGCAGCGTTTTCTGGTTACAGCGTCACATCCTCCGCCTGACTCAGATGCCTATAATCAACACCGTTGAAGTCTTGGATGCAGTCTCAGGCTAAAGGGCGTACAAGACCGCAACTTTGTGCATGGCCCATATGCAGCCCGGAACATAGAATGAGTTGAATCGGGGGAAAGCGAAGAGGAATCCGGCTTAGGCGGCGGTCAAATTCGGCCATGCAGCCTTTACAGACCGGACCGCAAACAAAGGCACAGGGGAGTTGGGAGGTGATCAATCCAGATTGATATGATAATTTGTCGATCACTGAAATGCTTACTCGGTGATGCTTCAGGATCTCTCTTATCTCAAATCGGGGCGATAATGAGTGTTCTAACTTTGATACTCCACACAAGTTTGACGATACAGGGGACTCGACACTGTAGACCAACCAAGCTAGAAGGATGCATCGTCTTGCACCAGGTTACGCCGCGAAAATCCGCTGCAACAGGTGTTCGAAATGATCTAATTGGGCCAGCAAAATGCCTCCCGAACTGGGAAACTAGGTGTTGTCAGCAGCCGTGTTATTTTTAACGGGCGCGATTCTTTTTACACAGACCAGAGGCACGACTTGTTGCTGTACTGAAATTGTGCAGGACAAACACATAATACAGACACGGATTTGAAGAATGAATGAAAATCGTCGAATTGGCAAAGTCACTCCATATGGGAAATCATATCTGAAGCTGGGGGTTATGCCGCACCCCACTAAGGACCGAGAGGAGAGTGTCTTGATTTGACCACCGTTAGGCTGAGACGTGTTGAACCAAACTCTCAATGACCATGCAGAGCGATTGTGGAGCCCGACATTGGAGGATCATACTGGATAGAATTGCTTTTCATAGCAGGAGGCAAAGAGGAGGCCAAAAAAGATCCCTCTCTGCCGGATAATCCAAATAGAGGTCGATTAAAGGCTGGAGGGACCAGGCCTCTCGTCTCGAGGTTTTTCCTTGCCTCCGTGCGAACTATCGGCGGTAACAATTCGGGAGCTTTTTAATATGAATAAAATATAAGGTCAAAGTCTGCCATGGAGACGGCCTTGAACATTTGCAAAGGGGAACATCAAGGTTGGACGATATACGGTTGGTTTCAGGTACCAGCAGCTCTTTTCGACGTTGGCTCCAGGTCTGAAAGTCCGCTTCCTGGTGCATAGTACCTGGAAGGGACGGCAATGTCTTTTCAACGTTGCAGCCAGAATGTTCCCGTTGATAAAGTGGTAAAGTGGCGTGATAGTTGTATCGACAATCGGCTATGCTCCTTGCACCACGAACCATAAGTAGCAAAGTCCCGCGCTCTCAAGCGAATTTCCGGTCTGGGCCGTCCGTCCGACTGACGAACGGCTCCGTTGTGGTGTGAAGTTTGAGCCGTTATAATTGTCGAACTGACCTTCTAGGTAATTCCTGACTAGGCCAATGTTGACCGGGGACTGGTACGGTGATCTACAAGGCGGGAAGTCCTTGCATTGCATCCATGCATGTGTGCCTTGGGCCGCGCAGGGTCTTGTATCAAATCTCCCCCGGTGACCAGGATATTTTGTCTCCATTGGTATTTGTGTATTGCTTAGCCTGTTTCATCATTTCACGTTTCTGATCGCCGCGCAGGAGTTGTGATCCTGCCTTTTCCCTTCTTTGGAGAAGTCGCCATGTCGTGTTTCAAGTGGGTGATCACTCTGCGGTTGGTGTCCTTTTCTGCCTCGAGTGCTGAAATTCGGGCTTGCAATTCAGCAATTTTCTCCTCTTTTGCTTGTACTGCTAGTCGAGTGATGTCACGGCCTTTGATGATCCCTTGAGTGCGTAAATCGTATTTGTTGAGGAGATCGACCAGGTCACTCTCAATGTGAGAGCTGAGGTTGACGCCGCGTAAAATCGCCAGTGCTTCGGAAGCAAGTGACGATGGCTCTGGTTCGGATCGAGTTGCTTGTGGGGGTCCCCGAGAAGGAGTGTGGGTCGGTGAGAGTAAATTAGTCCCTGTCGACTTGTGCGATGTCGACGGAGTCGCGAAAACGTCGTCGCTCAAAGGCCACGTTTCGCCTACGGCGCTGGGGCGTTCACTCATTTGTCCCAACGTTCTTTTCCCAGGTGAAGTTAAGGAAGCCGTCCGGGGTGCTTTGTTCGGCGTCTCGAAAGTGGTCCTGTCCAACAACAATTCCTGCTCGGCTTTGAGCAGCGCTTCATCATTGCTCGATGACCATTCGAAGCTTTCCTTGTGCTTCAATTTTTCAGGGTGTCCTCCATCTTTTGGATATTTTTCTGTAGCTTGTTTGTCATTCCGCGGTCTCGTTTCTGGTGTCGGCGGTACGATGTTCGACCTGGCTTTTCCAGGAGTTTGGGGCGGACCGGGCGGTTCTGATCGAGAGTTGCTCAAGACAGCTGCTTCCTCACGGAACTTGGCATCGTCACTCCAGAGGAAGAAGCTGCAGCGCTTATGTTGTGGCTTCTGGCATGTATAGACTATATGCGTCCGTCAACTCGATGTGAAATTACCTACGAATGTACTCTACTTACACCATCTTCCATGATTCTTGCCGCCATTCTTGGTCTGAAATTTATCTGCAGGTAGGCGCGGTTCGCAGTCGCAATGCCACACGCCTTCGATAAATGCTCCCCTTTTACTTGTTCGGCCATTTCGAGTTTTGTATGGGGTCATCCTCGGTCGATGCTCTCACGTGGAATGGAAGCTGCAGTTAGTACTCGAACTAGGCGCGCTCGCTCATTGGCAAGGGTAGAAGAATGGAAGGCGCGTGCTTCGAAATCTTTGAACCGGGGGGGTTTCTGACTTTGGTATTGAGCCTTTGTGTCCTGTCACAGATATCTGGTGTTGGCTGAATCCCTTGTGGCAAGTGAATTGGAAGCAAGTTTGTTGACCTGATGACGCAGGTGGAGTTGGCGGGTGGCCAGGCTCCAGGCTCCAGGCCTCCTCCCCCGGCATTCCTGCCCCATTCGGTCCACGCCAAAAAGGACCCCCTGCAAGCCCAAAATCGTTCAACGATTCTCAAGGCGACACGTTCCTTTTTAATTTCGTATCTTCACTCGACTTATAAGACTATTCGGACAGCTCACGAGAACACCAGTGATAGAGACAATACTTTACTGCCCTCCAACTTCATCTGACACGTGCGCACAACGCCGAACTGTCAATCCGCCCGCGATTCCCCCTCCCCCCAAAACCAGATGATGGTTTCGAAAATACCCATTTCTGAACCCTTATAACACAACCACAATCATGGCACCCACAGGTGGCGGGTCCGGAGCCGGCGGAGGAGGTGGAGGGGGTAACATCAAAGTCGTGGTTCGAGTGCGACCGTTCAACAGTCGTGAAATCGAGCGCCATGCAAAATGCATTGTTCAAATGCAGGGCGCGCAGACCGTCCTGCAGCCTCCTCCGGATGCCGAAGACCGACTTCGAAAAGGAGGGAAAGGGGGTGCAGATGCTCAGAGGACGTTCAAATTCGACAAATCGTACTGGTCATTCAGCAAGGGGGACACTCACTACGCCGGCCAGGATCACCTCTTCAGCGACCTCGGTGTTCCATTACTCGACAATGCTTTCCAGGGATACAACAACTGCATCTTCGCCTATGGCCAGACTGGATCCGGCAAGTCATATAGTATGATGGGTTACGGTGAAGATGCCGGCGTCATCCCTCGCATTTGTCGAGAAATGTTCGAGAGAATCAACGGCATGCAGTCAGATCCCAACCTCACGTGCACTGTCGAAGTGTCTTACCTTGAAATCTATAACGAGCGCGTCCGAGATCTGCTCAACCCGGCCACCAAAGGCAACCTCCGAGTCAGAGAACATCCGTCCACGGGTCCGTACGTGGAAGATCTAGCGAAATTGGCAGTGCGTTCGTTCAAAGAGATTGAAAACCTGATGGATGAAGGGAACAAGGCCAGAACTGTTGCAGCCACAAACATGAATGAAACATCCAGCCGGTCCCATGCTGTCTTCACCTTGACTCTGACGCAGAGACGTCACGATGTGGAAACATCCATGGACACGGAAAAAGTCGCAAAGATTAGCTTAGTTGATTTGGCAGGATCCGAACGAGCGACATCGACCGGTGCGACCGGTGCTCGTCTCAAGGAGGGAGCCGAAATCAATCGATCACTCTCAACATTAGGCCGCGTGATTGCTGCTTTGGCGGACCTTTCTTCTGGCAGGAAGGGTTTGAAAGTCCCTTATCGAGATTCGGTCCTTACCTGGCTCCTTAAAGATTCCTTGGGCGGTAATAGCATGACTGCCATGATTGCCGCAATTTCTCCGGCGGATATCAACTTTGAGGAAACGCTGAGCACGCTCCGATACGCCGACTCGGCCAAGAGAATCAAGAATCATGCCGTGATCAACGAAGATCCCAACGCACGTATGATTCGCGAACTCAAAGAGGAACTGGCCAAACTCAGGAGCCAGCTTGGTGGGACCGCTTCCACTGGCGCCGAAGAGACTTATCCGCCAGATACGCCTCTTGATAAACAGATGGTTTCGATTGTCCAGGCGGACGGATCAATCAAACGTGTCAGCAAGGCTGAAATCATGGACCAATTAAGCCAAAGCGAGAAATTGTACAAAGACCTCAACCAGACCTGGGAAGAGAAATTGCAAAAGACAGAAGAGATCCATAAAGAAAGAGAAGCGGCGCTTGAAGAATTGGGAATCAGTATTGAGAAAGGCAACGTGGGAATGAGTACTCCGAAGAAGATGCCTCACTTGGTCAATTTGAGTGACGATCCCCTCCTAGCAGAATGCCTGGTTTACAACCTAAAGCCTGGCATCACCACCGTCGGCAACGTTGACTCTTCAGAAGCCTCCGAGATCCGACTGAATGGCTCCAAAATATTGGATCATCACTGCAAATTGGAAAACGTTGACAATGTGGTCACCATCATACCCAACGAGGGAGCCGCTGTGATGGTGAATGGCGTGCGTGTGGACAAACCCAGGAGACTGAGGAGCGGAAACCGCATCATTTTGGGAGATTTCCATATTTTCAGGTTCAACAACCCCCTGGAGGCAAAAGCTGAACGAGCCGAAAGAAGTTTACTCAGGCATTCCGTCACGGCGAGCCAGTTAAATTCTCCAACTCCTTTTCTTCCCGGCCACGAACGGTCGTGGAGCGCTGCTGGATCCGAATTTGATGGAGATTCAAGCCGGGCTCAATCTCCAGGTCTAAGTAACCGAGACGCCGATTGGTTTTTTGCCCGGCGCGAAGCCGCCGGTGCGCTTCTTGGATCCGATCCTAAAATCACGCAACTGACAGATGAAGAGCTGGACAATCTTTTCGAGAACATTCAACGAGCACGAGAAGAGCGCCGTCGTCCAGAGAATAAGCTCTACGAGCATGATGAAGATTCCGATGATCTGAGCTCATTCCTTGTGAGAGACAAGTACATGTCCAATGGAACGATCGACAACTTTTCCCTTGACACGGCCCTTACCCTCCCTGAGACGCCCTCGATGCATTCCGGTTCGCAGGACGAAGGCGACGCCACTTTGACTCCCAGTCAATTCGAACCCCAGAGTCAACAACAAGCCCAGCGTAAAGCGGAAGAGGAAAGACAGGAAGCTGCCGCGCAAGCAGCGAAAGAAGCCGAACAAGAAGCTCATGCGGCTCAAATGCAGCAGGAATTGGAGCGTGCGAGACAAGAGTTTCAAGAGGAACTCCGAAAACAGAAGGAAGCGTACGAAGAGCAGATCAAGAAAATAGATCTCGAGTTGCGAACGCGAGAAGCTGCTCGGACTCCATCTGGCTTTTTGCCGCTGGATGCCGCCGAGATCGCCATTGCACGAAATGTGGTGGAAAGGTGGCAACAAAGGAATTACATTTTGATGGCCGAATCTGTTCTGCAGAATGCCGGCCTCCTGAAAGAAGCACAAGTTATGAGCAAGCTTCTGGACCAGGACACCAATTTTCAATTTGTGATTCTGGATCTTGGACAAGATCGGGGATCATCATACGATCTGATCCTTCACGATATTTCTGGCGATGACGACGACGCCTTAGCCAACGCACGAAAGCCTTGCCTCGCGGTACGCGTCATTGACCATCAGCTCAGCCGTGTTCACTTGTGGTCTCTGGAAAGGCTGCGATCACGCGTGGCCAAGATGCGCCAGATGCATCAATATAAAAATCAGCCAGAATATCTGCAACACTTCCGAATGGACAACCCTTTCCGCGACTCCGACCAGCCGTTGTTCTCGCTGATAGGAGATGGCAGCATCCCTCTCACCGCGGTTTTCGAAACCAGAGTGCAAGATTTTGTCGTTGAGATCTGCTCTCCTTCGACGCGACAAATTGTTGGAAAGGTCAGAATGTCATTGGAACCTTCGTTGGCAGAGTCTCCACCGTCGATGATCAAATTCAATATTATTATGCGGGATCTCGCGGGATTTGCCGAGCATGAAGGCACTCAAGTACATGCCCAAATGACGGTATTAGGGACATCAGACGAAAGTGTGGCGACGACCCAGCCAGTCCATGGGTTCGGCGATGGTCCGATACGATTTGAAAGCATCCATCACCTGAGTGTCCGTCGGTCTGGAGAGAAATCCGCTATTTTGAAGATTGCCATTTTTGCACAAGTCAGCCCCACCCATCTAGACAAACTTGTTAGCTGGGATGAGCTTCGTGAAATGAATGAGCAATCCCTAGATCAGCAGCCGGTGCATCGTCTGCCAGAATCCGAATACAGCGTCGAAGAACGCCACGACGTTTTTGCAAAGGTCCAAATACTGGAACTGGCAGAGAATGGCCAATATATGCCGGTCGAAGTTTTACAAATTAATGCAGACGACAACGGATCGTTCCAGTTGCATCAGGGTCTCCAACGCCGAATCTCCGTGACTTTGACACACAGTTTAACAGAGGGTCTTCCATGGGACGACCTCAGAGCCCTTCGTGTTGGAGAGGTTCACCTGATAGATGCATCCGGTCGAATTGTCGATATTGGATCTGTCACACCGGATATCCCTCTGAAACACATCCAAGAGCCCATGATCAAAGATAACGCCGATGGGACCTCGCATATAACCATCGTTGGCCAATGGGACAGCTCGCTGCATAAATCGCTTCTTCTTGATCGGGCGACAAACGAGCAATGCAGAATTCAAATTGCGCTTCGTTGGGACGTCGTCTCCGGCCGTCTCGAACAGCCGATGACGTTTTCGATCGAGCAGCAGCTGCAGATTCTTCCACGATCTTACGTGCGTCCTCAATCGATGTTCAAATCGTTCTGGAACCAGACGCGTGTCACCCATTCGACGGTCGGATTGTTTTCGATCGTTGTGCGCCCCATCAGTGCCAGAGGGGCGGCTGATTTGTGGCGCTTAGACACGTCGAAGGACTATATCAACGGCGAAGAACTCCTGGGCCATTGGAACCCAAGGGGCATTTCTCTGGTCAAAGATTACCTGATCGCGCGGCGGAAGAGACGCCAACTTCAAGACATTGAATCGGCAAAGGCATCATTGGGCCTGCGTAGGCTGAGTGTCAGCAAGACTCGGTCACGAGCGGCCTCGCCATCCAATATCGACACGAGAGAAGAGCAACTGCTCCGCAAGTTCCTTGCCATTTGGATGAAACCGAGCGTCGAGCTATCTAGCCCCATGTTCGACAATGGCAATCGCATGCAAAACTCCACGGCAGCTCAGCCGGAGACCGTTAGATCGCCGACCTCGTCTTCTCCGACGAACACAAATGCAGTCCGCAAGATTCGCTACCTCGCCACCGTCACAAATATCCCCAAGAACCCCATCTCCCTCAAGTCAGGTTATCTGCTCATGCCCTCCGAGAACAACGACCCGCACAGCCAGAGCATGCAGTGGAAGCGTCGATTCGTCGACCTTCGTCCACCGTACTTGCACATCCATTCCGTGCCCGACGGGGAAGCAATCAATGCCATCAACCTGACCCACGCCCGTATTGATCATGATCCCGACTTCAGGCGGCTGTTGGGCAGTGGCAGTTCCATCGCTAGTGATGACTCTGGAAACTCGGGCAGAGGGCACAAACGATCAGGCAGTTTCGATCTACACGGTCTGGCGCACGTTTTCACGGTGTACGGCGAGCAGAACACATTCCTATTCGCGGCCAGGAGCGAGAGTCAGAAATTGGAGTGGATTCTCAAGATCGATCAGAGTTACTTTGGCGCCGAGCATAACGGAGACGCGTGAATTCTACATTCAGATTTCGGCTCTAGCGGCGACGGTGCTCTGGCTGACTTGGATGGAGACGTACAAAGTTCAAGTGCGTTTGAACCGGAATGGATTTTGGAACATGAGCATTCTTTCAGATATCTGAAAGGATTTTGTGGATATCTGGGTGTTATCCATGTCTATTGTGTTCTTTTCGTGGCCCAGATTTGGGCGACATGAGAGAGAAGAGGTCTATCCCCAGCGACTGTGTCAGTGTGATTTGAGATACCCCCACGTTTGCAATTTTCAATCTCTTTAAGAATCTCCTATCTTTGTGCGGTGAGTTGCTCAGCGTTTTCAGAAGGTGGAGACTGGACGTAACATCACACAGGTAGAAACCGGAAAGGGGGTATTGTTATACGACAGCTCATGAGATCTAGATGAGGAGATGTCAGCTTACGGCGAATTGGATTCATGTTCGTAGCTTTCTGCGAAAGGTGGCCCGGTGCCGAGGGAGTATAGTACCCGTTCTATATGCCTAGGTACGCACGATCGAACGAGAGAGAAATGTCCAGCTTGTGAAGGAATGGCAGCTGGTCAAAGGCTTATTGTCTGAGGTCGTTCCTGGGCCTTCGTGTCAATCGCCTGCCGCAAATATCCCACATCATCACTAGTAGGATGCTTTTCGGACAATGGATGTAAGCCAGTCCCCATCCCGGGAACATCTTCCACAGTGCAAGAGCTCGAGGCAGAGATAATCTAGGCCTTGCCTTGAATGATAAAGCCTCCTGGTCTTGAGGGGCGGAAAGCTGTGGCTCTCGAAGAACAATGTAAACTGATGGTCCTGCTTGAGTATTTGCCGGCGGAGATGCTCAAGGAGAGTCGTCAGCTTGCAGAGATCGAACTCAACGTGAACAAGGCATCTCCGATTGGATTGGGAAGAGTCAATTGCACAGATATCACAGGTATAGACATACATCACTTAAGAAATCAGGGCGGAAGAAAGAAAGGCATCAAGGCGTGACGTTGGAATCGACTCAAATATTGATAGCGGCATCACACTCGCGCAATGTTTGGTCCGGCCTCCTGAGTCCAAGTCCTCTCCTTTACTTTCTGTCTGAATGGCTTTTGGGGAATGGCTATGTGATATAGACTCTGATATGCGTGGATCCCTCGCTCTATTGAACTAGGCCATGCTGTTGTGGTTTGGTTTTCATTTTTCTTCACTTAGGATCATGACTAGTCATCCATCAACTCGTGTTCAACTCCTGCAACAATTCCCGGACCTCTGCAAGATTCCCTTGGCTTTTCCTTTCATTGTAGATCGCCGCGATCAAACTAGAATCAATGTTGGGGAACTCTTTCTGCAGTTGGGCCTGGTTGCGATCATCTTCACTTTGCGGCGCATTTGCCTGGAACTGCTGCATGTATTCCACCTGCTCGGCCCGGTCGTTTTGCTGCGCCAGGATCTGCTCGGTGTCGCTGCGGCGAATGTCTTGGGAGGGGGCGGACTGTTGTTGATATTGTTGATACTGCGACTGGGATTGTGGTTGGGACTGATAGTACGTCTGAGCGGCGCCTTGGTTTGTTTGCGATGACTGCGCAGTGTAGGGATTACGGCTGCCTTGGGTGTTGGCCCAGGGGTTGTTCGGCTCCATGGAGAGTTTTGAGAAGCTGTGGGATGGGGAAGATGGTAGTATCTGTTGGACACGCCCGACTCGTTCGTCGGTGAGTTCGACCTTGATACCTCGAGGGTGGTTATGGCGCGTGAGAATTTGGGAGACGGTGCCTCGTACTTGTCGGCCGGATTTTTGGTCTGCCTTGAGGATGATGGAAACAAAAAGGCCTGGCTTGACCTGCGAGTATTGGGTAGTGGGCATTAAATATGAATGCAAGTGTTGGGTGTCGGGTTGTCATGAATGGTGGCGGGATGGAACCCCAGGGGTTGGGAGATGACGTACGTATTTTTGACTCCGTACGCGTTACCTCGAGGCTTGTACAACACCAGGCAGAACATTTAATATCTGAGAATGCGGAATGTGGTGTCTCAATCGTATTCATCATTGCAAACTACAGAACACTATCGCCCGTAGCTCATGGCTATCTTTGGTCCGGTCCACTACCACCCTCTTTGGGTGTGATTTGCTCGACAATTACTTTTATCCCCCTCATATCCCCTGGCCATTCCCATCAAAATAGCTTCGTGGTCGACATGATACCGCTGTTGATTTCAATTCCACACCGGAAGACCAAGCAAACCAGGAATGTGTTCGAGACTGCACATCCAAACACAAACAACCCAAAACCATGATGTATCGGTTCAACTCTTCAAGGCCGTGTCAATCGTAAGTCTGGAAATTCTCTTCGGAACACCCTCCCTTTATCCCTAGCGAGTGACCTCCTTGGAGACTACGTCCGAGTATCCGAGGAAAAAGGTTGGTCCCCTTCTATCCAGGCGATAGAATTGCACACCTAGATGATTCACACATCAATCATCTCTGCATCTTCGGTCAGAACTTCATCGGCAGGGCCCCAATTGCCTTCAAACACCGTGGCGCCCGCTCGTCGACGTGTTTCTGCCCATCGTACTCCTTCCGTGTTCAGCACATCACGGGCTAGGGGCCGATCATTCGGGTCGGGCGATATCATCCACCGTACCACTTGCTCCAGCGCCTGTTCATGCGATGGATCAACCATGAATTGGGGTGGATCGACCAATTCACCGCTCCGTGGATGATGCAAAGCTTTCGGCGGAGGCTGTGTCTGCATGCCACTCTCGACTCCATCAATCACGTCGGCATCGTGTTGATAGGGGTCGGAACTGCCCTCAAAAGACCCTTCCATGGACAACGGATTTCCGGATGAGTCCCGCAAGATGCCACTGGTTCCGGAACTCCAGGTCAAGCTGGGGACGTCGCTCATATCCCCATTTCGCAACTTTTGCCATGATACGCCATGTTCAGGTAATTCAACATTCCCCGCAGTTTCCAACATAATGAGACCCAGGGCAAAGATGTCGGCTGGCTTGTCGTACCTGCCCATCAACACCTCAGGCCCAATGTATTCCCGATCTCCTTCACCTTCAATACCGGCCTTGGCGGGCCATTTGCTTGCCATGCCGAAATCCGCAATCTTCAGGACTCCCTCGAATGTGATCAGAATATTTGCCGGCTTGAGGTCGAGATGGATAATGCCACAATCATGGATATGCTTCAAGCCCTGCACCATACATGGTCAGCGAATTGCGTGGCGGGCCCTTGGGATCGTTCTCGACACCTACCAATGATAGTTCGAGGAGAATCTTCCAGATACGAAAATCGTCTAGTCTTGCTTTCAGACCCACTTGCGCCAGGAAGATGTCGAGTGTGCCCTCTTCACAGAATTCGGTTTGAATGTATAGGTGACCTTGCTCTTCCCAACTGTCGACAAATGTCACAATGTGGTCTGAATGACCCAGCGCCTTGAGAATATCTACTTCATGGATCTTTCTCTGACGGTCTCTAGCTCCCGTGTATGGGTAGCGTGATCTCTTGACTGCCCACGCTTTCTCAGGTAAAGACCCTCTCGATGACGGCCGACTTGCTGACACAGAGTAGATCCGGTGATAGGGGGATATCTCTGGCGGATGCGATACTCGGTAGACTTGGGAAAACTCTCCTGAGCCGATCAGGTCCACTTTCTCAAATCGGGATGTCAGGCCACTGTCAACATTCGAGGTGTCTGCCGCGGCCAGATTCAAGCTCGGGCGGTTGGAGAAATGGGAGAAGTATTCTCGCGGTCCAGTGGGTGTTGCCGGTATGATGGCACCGTTGCCAGTTTCATGTCGCGTTGCCGGGCGCTCACCGCGGCCAGATATCGACAAGCCACTTGGATCCGGAGGAAAGAAGCTGTCGAGAGGGGTGAGAGGTGAGGCTCGATCAAACCTATCGATTCTGGGGCTAGCTGGAGAGGCAGATATCATGTTAGCACGTTCCAAGACAGGTGAATGTAGGGTCGGAATCGAAAGAGTCTTTCTTGACAGCGGCGGAGGAAACGTCCGGCTTTTCACGACCCGACCCTGAGGATAAGAAGAACCGGGCATGGAAACGACATTCCGCGTCGACTTTGGTCTCAAGTTGGTGGATGGCGAAGCTTCCATTACACTATCACTGTCCCGGTCGACACGTCCTGGCGATGCCCAAATAGGGGGACAACTTACTACTTGTTACACGAGTCCCACAGGAAGAATTGGGAACGACCCGATTGATGGCTACTGCCGAATTGTGTGGTGATGGCGATACAGAATTGCGGTTGGGGGGGGGTTCGGTGAAGTGTTTGGTGGGTGTCGGAGGGTAATCGGATTCGGTTGACTGGCTGTTGGCACGGGTAAGGGGAGAACGAGAAGCTCCTTTGTCGTCACCATCAATAGATGCAAAACTCCCCTCCCTGAGTAGGTTGGGCTTGCTAGACCGGGTGCCAAATATTCCAGTGCTTTTGGCGAAAGGGAATACCAATCCCTTTGACGGATCCAGGCGTGTTTCCAGTGGCGTTGCCGGCGCCCCGAGACACTGTCGTGACATGCGGTTGGCAGCAGCATTGTGGGGCGCAAACTTGTCGTCAGTCGGGAAGATCACGGATTGCTTCTTGCAGGGTGTATCTGGCATATGGGCTTTTGGCAAGCCTGCATTGGGATCCTCCGCGTTACGATTCTTCTTTGAAATCAGCCCTGTCGACATGAAAGCAGCGGGTAACGGTTTGGCAGCTTTGTAATTTCCAGGAGTGGCAAATGACCCTTGAGATGAGAATTCATTACCTTCAGGCGACGGTATTGGTCTTGATGCTGTCACAGGTAACGACTTTGAGAAGTCGTGAGATCGAGGTCTACTCGACCGATGAATGGGTTCATGGGTTGGTGAATCGTCTTGCTCACTAGGCTGCGAGGATGATTGAGTCATCGTCCGAGACAAGGGATGTTGAGACTGCCGTGAGAAGCTGTTCTGGCTCGCAGGAATTGGATGAATGGATGCGTTCAGAAGACGTCCTTGACTTGAGAAGGCGCCGCCCTCTCGAGGGAGAGGTTGAACATGGCTGTCTAGTGACATTCGGAGGGCCTTCTTGGAGTTTGTCCCCGGCGTCGCCTCTAACCATGACCTGTCCGTTTCTATGACTTGATTGATCTTCAAGCTGCTCGGTCTTTCCAACTGTCTCTGCTGCAATGTTGACTTCCTCAGGGACGAGGACCGCTTCGGAATCGTGGAAAATCGTGATGACGGCAGAAATGAGTTGCCCCCAAAGCAATCATTGTCGTCATGAGCTCTTTTGTCGTTGACCATGCCACCATCCAGGATATCAGACTCAAAGATGCTGAAGTCGAGGCCTGGGCCATGCAGACTTCGCCTCTTCGCCAAAGGACTTTCAAGGCCGGTGGTATCATCCGTTCGAGGTCCATCTGATCGCTTCATGGGGCTAAGAGGAGCAACGGTTGTTATCAGCGCCCCGCCACTCCGTCGTTTCTCCTGGCGAGGATGAGCGGTCTTCCAACTTCGGGTTTCTTCTTGATTCTTATCATTCTCCTTGCCTTCACCGGCAGTCAAGCATTTCAGGGCTAGCTCCCGCTCGGTCTCTGCTGAATTTCGCTTCATCAGCGGCATTGGTGATGAATTCCCACCGTCACTCGAGTTCGTCAGAACTCGTTTCGAGGGACTCTCGGGCGAGGTTCGAACCCGAGTGACCCCATGCGTCTGGACGGTCCGTCGGAGGATTGGACGCTGAAATCGTGAGCTCTGAGGGGTGCGATTTGAATGGGGAGACGTCATGCTTGATATCTGCAAGAGTGTCTCGGAGGCGGACTTCCGTGAGGGAGACAAAGGCGAAGGCGAGAAAGGAAGATTGGTAGGGCATGGTGACCGAAAAGGATACGGTCGAAACTCTGAACCCTTGGAAGGCGAGCGAGATAACGACTCTCGTATTTCACGGATGGCAGAGTGGGGGTCGAAACGTGAGATATGCTTGGGTGAGTGTAAGTGAGTCCCTTCTCGATCCTCAGGATGAGGAGAGTATGTTGCCATCATGGCTGGATTGTGATCGCTTCAATTTCAAACCAGCACACGACTCGACCTTTCTTCCCAGCAATGGGCCATGAATCTCAACCCCGCTCCGATGATACTAGGTCATTCGTTGAAACCCTTCGCCGCGTATGAGTATGCGTGAAAATAGATCGAATAGATCGATAGACTCAAGAGATCTTCGGCATAATCGACGGGCAATAACGTAGGCGGACGCGCACACGAATGGCGCTGAAGGGCAGAGGAAGCCGCAAAGATGTCTCGGATGGTCTGTATTTTCGATATCGGGTGGCGACAGTGCCAGATAACTATGAGACAGGATCGTAGGGATTGAGAGACCAGCGGGAGGGTGGCTGTCAGTGCGATATAGAATGGAGGGCACCGTTGTCACACTGAGGGCGGGATGGAGGAAAGGTCAAGTCACTGTCGCGAGAGAGGCGTTGAGGTTGACGCAGGCGCCGATACAGGTTGGGTTCCAAGGTCACGAGGTGGTGTCCCCGGATGGCATATGGCCGGGACAATAAGCAGGCGCGGATGGTGGGAGGGATGTTGTTGTTGTTTGTTCAGCGGTGGCGATTGAGGTTGCTTGAGCCGGTTGCGAGGAGGAAGAAAGATGAGGAAGAGCGTATGAGTGGATGACGGTAGAGATCCGTCCAGATTCACGTTTCGCTTTTCGGTCAGGGAAAGATACCCAGAGGTGTAGAAGCGACGAGGGAAAAACACGCTGCGATTCGCATTTTCGATCACGACGCGTGCATATCCAGCGCCAAGATGCGGGTGTAAACACTGCTAGCGGCAGTACTGATACCTAATTTACTGGCCCTGCTTCTAGCAGCGATCAAGTACCCTGTACTTATGCGGCGCCAACCAATAGAGTCCGTTACAAACGTTGGATTTCTGCCTAGATTCGTGGAGTCCGTCAACTTGCGCCTCCCAAAGCCACCATGCAACCATTATGAACCGTGTATTCGCTGCTGTTGTTGTCACGTTGTGCCTGAGTACATTTGTACTCCGCCGTGATCTATCGAAGGCGCTGTCAAGGAGGTTACAACGTCAGCAGGGGAAGTGCTTGGCCCTGTCTTCATTTCGTAGCCCTACGCGAAATTATCTCCCAACTGCGTAATTTCTACATCGTGCAACGGTGACGGCGCGCCCCTGCCTTTCTGACGTGCTATTGTTTGGGATTAATTCCAAAATCCTGGGAGCATAGACCTCATGGTCTTGCTTTTTCCCAGCGGGAGTTTTGACGACGTCGGCGGCAGCCAAAAGTAAACATTGCGAAGGATGCCGTGTGATAGCACCGAGCTGTGCAGAACAACCTTGCATTCCAATTCCATACCCGTCTGTGATCATCTCTCGCCACAATGTGCTCAGGGTTTAAAGGTTTAGCAATTGACGTCCATTGTCACTTGAGGGGCCATGTTGCTGCTTCTGAGTCGTAAATCACATCCTTTCGCCTAACTGTCATGGTGGCAGATGACCATCCTTGATGCCCAAAGCTACCTATTCGTTGGCTGAGGATATTCGTCGCCTATACGCTTCCCAACCTGCCTTCTGATACACTTTTACGGCGGTCACGGGATCGGGGGCAGCGTAGATACCTCTCCCGGAAATAAGAAAATCGGACCCTCCCTCCATGGCGGCCGTGGGGGTTTGATATTGTTGTCCGAGAGCATCTCCTGTGCTCGAGATATTGACACCGGTCGTGAACACTACGAAATCTTCATTCGCCGTGGCGTTGGGCGAGTGGTGGGACAACTCCCTCGTTGACACGAAGCCCACGACGCTTTGAGGGTACTTTCTTGCAATCTCAACTGATGCCCGAGTGTACTCACCCACTGCCAGTGACCCCTTTGAAGTCATTTCGGCTAGAATCAAAATTCCTCGTTCCGATAGCCCGCCTTCGCGGATGGTTCGGTCCAAGGCCTGGATAATTCCTTCGCCGGCGAGAATGCTGGCGTTGACGATGTGAGCCCACTCATGGATCCGAAGTGCACCGCCCTTGTATTGCTTTTGAACGGTGTTACCAATGTCAATGAACTTGCGGTCCTCGAAAAGAAGGAAATCATGACGCTGGGCCAAGCTGACCAGTCCCTCAATCGTCCTCGGACCAAAGTCTGACAGGATATCGATGTGCGTCTTGAGAACGGCGATATATGGTCCCAGACCTATATGGCAGGACCAGCAAAGTCAGAACGGTTTCTCCAGACGTCTCAAATAGTTCCTCTTGTAAGAGCTGTGCGTACCCGTCACTGGACGCCTGGTTCTATCTCGGCATGTGTGACGGACAATCGACTTACTGTCAGCAATAGCGAGGAGTTCTTCCGTGGTGGTCAAGTCTGCCGACAGAACCACATTTGTCTTTTTCCGTTCGGCTACGGCAAAGAGCTGCTTAACGAGTGGATTAGGGTGTGCTGCACCCCGCTGTGCATAAGAAAGACTGCTTTTGGAGGCCATGGTGGAAGGAGGAGGTTTTTGGTGCTGATGGGTTTTTCCCTTTCATCGGCGACTGAATTTTTGGTAAATCGGAAGTGAGGGAACTTTTGACCAAGGCCCGTTAAGTCTGCAGGAATTTCAGCACCAGAGAATCGGGAGTCAGGGACAGGCACCGGGAGCAGGGATCCGCCAGGTCGACGCGGATGTCAGGAGAACAGCGAGCGATGTGGTTGGATGTGATGCGATGGGAATAAATCCCGATCCCTGATGGTGTGGGTGGCAGTGGATGGGTGGAGGGCTGCGCCAGGCGAACCGAAAGGCGTTGAAATCGGGAGGCAGTCAAAATGCCACGTTGAAGATGAACTATGGGTCGGTTGGGCTAGGAAGGAAAAAGGGCCGCCCAAACTGCCAGCCAACGGCTCACCTCCAGCTAACCACCGAACAAACTCGGCGATGACGCTGTTGTTTTTTTTTTTTTTCCCTTGCTCCTTGCGGCCTACCGGCACACCCAGCAGCGCGACGTTAATTAATTAGCGGTTTAGCGTTTGATCCTGCATAGTGGACTCCATTATCCTCTTTTCCCGGTTCCTCGACTTCCCTTTTGCCATCATTGCATTACCCATTATTCATTCCTCCATCCTCTCACCACTCACTACGTTACTGCGGGCTAAGTTCCATGTTGCTTCCCTGCCCCTTACCCGCGACTCCAAAACTCCATCCATCCATCCTTTCGTCTCCTCGTCTCTCGACTCCGTACATACCACTCCCTCACCTCCACCCGACACAATAATACACTCAGTCATTCATTCACCCCATCCATTTCACCTCTCTGCTTCCACCTCCCTGTTTCCGCCTCCAAGTTTTACATAACCAGGAGTTCTGCTTGCCTTAGCCTGCGACTTTTACTCGACATCCTCTTGTTCCGCGATCAACACGCACCTTGTGCCGTCTGCCATTACGTGCAGACGCGCCCCTCCCAGCGCTCAGAAATTTTCGTGGCCCTGTCTCTTCCGATCCGGCGCGACCAACCGCAATGCTCCTGACAAGTCGACAGGTCGATTAACGTCTGTGGCCAGGGAGGAAATACGAGCCAGGAAACAAAACATCTCGATTCTATTATGGCGGGACAACGTACAGAGAACGTCCCTGTTTTGGGAGCCGGCCCACCTGATCCGTCCAAAACTTCTCGGGACGCCTCCCCTGCCCGCAATTCTCGCAATGTATCTGCCATACCCCAGCTCTCACGATCGCGAAAGAATAGCCAGGAGTTTAGTCCGACTAGAAATGCAGCGGCGAGCGGATCGCTGACGACCGTACCTTCAGCTGCTGCAGTGCAGCGAGCCTTGTCCGCTCAACGACCCATTTTGCAACCTTCTAGTGTTGACGGTATGCTCGAGGGTGCACACGCCTCCGAGAGACAAATGAGATCAGGTCCAACTTCCCCTTCGTGGCCCAAGTCGCCCAGACTGAAATCTCCTCCCCCATCTAAAGCCGGGGCGAGAGCAAATGCTGCGAAACGCAACGATGCCGACCAGACACCGTCGAATACGTCTTTGAAAAGATTGGCTCCGGCCTCGGATCCCGACCCGGCCGCCGCTATGCCAGTTCCAGAGGATGGGGATGCGTCCTTTACACATCCCTCCCTCCGAGGACGAGGTCCGAGTACCGAAAGAAGTGCTCTGGAGACTGTTGCCGAAAGCAGTGCGCCTACGACTCCTTCAATTGGCCCTGTAACGACTCCACCTCTGGACCAGAAGCTCGATGTGCCATCTCTCGACCAGAAGGCCGATCTTCACTCGGAGGTGCCGACGGTAAAAGATAGCGAAGGAAGTGGTGGTGATGCCCCCCTTAAATCCCATGCCTACAAAGCAGAGAATGGCCATCGATCAAGAGCTCCCGGCACAGCTCGGCCTGCCTCCGAGCTGGCCAAGCGTTCCTTCACCAGCCTTCCTGGCGTCAAAAACAAACCGGCGTCCGAGCCTCCCAGGACTATGACGGTGGAAACGGAAACTGTCACGTCAATGCCGCAACTTCTGGGTCCCGATCGTGGGGGGTCAGGTCGAGATGGAAATGGGAGTGTCAGAACCAAACCAAGCGACGAGACGATCCGGCCGAAGAAGGAAAAGAAACGCTCGTCACGCAAAACGCCCTCGTTGCATGCTGGTACGGTTACGTCCAAAGCTGATTTGTTCGAGGCCAAGGTTGCCAGTGCTGTCGATGAAGCTGACTCTTCCGACTCTGATGAAACCTTTGTCTATGAATCCAATCCACCGGACAACCGCCCCAGTCGACACCATTCTCGCACACCCAGTGCGACGTCGCTAGCTAGCCAAGATCAGTATGGAGCACGGAATAAACACGGGGTCCGAAGTGGGAGTCATGCGATCGCAGGGAAGAAGAGCATGAAGTTTTCAAACAGCACCTACAACAACTACCTTGACGGCGAATCCGGTCCGGAAGGCCGGTCCAGCCAACGGAATACAAGCTCGACCCCGCGACATCATCATATCAGCCGGCATGGACGACCTCATCATCCCTCGATTTTCGATACAGACTCACCGTTCACACAAGCTGGCAAACCAAGCCCTCCTCGGTCTTCCACCAACAACCCCTCGCGCTTGTCTCGATCGAACAGTCCGCGGCTCTCGAACGGACGACTGGCCGGCGCTTCTCGAAAGGGAGAACCCTTTGGCCCGTACGATGATGTGGCCGATGATGAACGGGCACCTCTGATTGGATCTGTCCGCATCAATCGTGCCAGACATAGTCGTCGACCGTATAGCACCCCACTTCGACCGATCGATTACGATGATGCATATGATCGAAGCTACTGTGGGCGATCCGGCGGGTGTATTTTCCTCGCCTGTGTTCTTCTTCTGGTCTGTGTTGGAATCGCAACGTTTATCATGGCACTTAACCGGCCGCTGCTGGATGTTTCGATTAAGCATATTCAGAATGTACTTGCATCGGAGCAAGAAATCATGCTGGATCTGGATGTGGAGGCGATCAATCCCAATCTATTTGCGATAACGGTGAATGATCTGGATGTTAATCTCTTCGCCGAGAGTCCATATGTGGGAACCACCGCCGAATGGAACAGCCGGACAGGGGCTCTTCGATGGGTTCAGAGGCGAGGTCCCGAAGACCTGGGACTCAGCTGGCCGCCCTGGCATTCCGAAGACGGCGTGGATAAAGGAACCGACCCAATCGACGATCCCGAGTCGGGGGCGCAGAAAATGTTACTGGGCAGAATTTTGGAATTTGATTCACCATTGGTGTTTGATGCATCGCCAGTCCGTCGCAGCTACACCTCTTCTGTTGGCGAAATTCAACTGGCCAAGCCTGGCAATAAAACGGAAGAGGGAGGGTCGGCTCGATGGGAGAGAGTGCTACAACACCAATTTGACCTGATTGTACGAGGGGTGATCAAATATCGGCTTCCTTTAAGCTCGAAGACGAGGTCGGCGAAGATCGACAGCCGTATCGAGGTGCTCCCCAATGATGATAAAACACCCAATGAGCCCGAGAAATTGTCGATGTCGATGGACCCCAAACTATAAAGCATAAGGCGATGTGGGAGGAGAGGAATAGAGCGTTGACATGATGAATTGGACGAATTTCGTTTGTTAAAACAATATTGCCCGCCTTCTATGGGGGCATTTAACGACACAGATACCCAAGGAATCCACAAAAGCGTTGGGATTGCACGTATACTTGGTGATACAGGTTCGGCGAAAAGCATGGAAAGAAACGACGAGAAGTGTGTGGCAACCGAGTCGGGCAACCGTCAGTTCCATTCAGTTTCTTATAGTGGCATCTGAGCCAGAAACATTAAACATTAGCAGGCGCGGAAATTCCAAAACCCAAAAAAAAAAGGAGGAAAATGAAGTCATTGATTTGTTTGGTCCATATTCTCACCGGTTTTCGACATGGTTGACCGTGTTGGTGGATGTCGGGATCAGGCTGCGACAGAGCAAGGTCGGGATCATGCTTGTTTGACCGAATCCCAATGTAAATACGCTCCACCAGAACCAGCGATGCCAAAAGAATATCAATGTACAAATTAACCTGTGCGAATTCCAGAGAGAACTGGGACAGGATATCCAAAAGGTGGTGTTGAGTCATGTTCCGGGTTACTTCATTTGAATAATAGCCTCGTCTGACTGATTGGCATATTGGCAACCCACCGCTTCATCCGCGCGGGAGTGCTTAAATTCTACCCTTGTCAGACAAAATCACAATATCATCTGCGGGCTTGTCCTCACGCTTTCGCATGCAAACGAACCAGAGTATGTCACTCAAAGCTGGCCAGAAGCCACTCTGTGGTGGCCTCACTTGTGCTGGGCAGCCTGCGCCCACCCGCGAAAGGGCAACAGGGGCCTTGTTCGTCTTTTCCCCTCCACCGCCATTCAACTCATCACCCATTTGCCAGTCGCTGCCCAACGGCTAGCCCACCCAAGCCTACTTTGAATCGCTCCCGTCCCCGGTCCATGCAAGCATCTGATCCCTCAGCCCCCAACCTGCGTGACCCAGTTCCGCCTCTCGAACAAGTGTCTCCTCTTCCAAAATCCTCTCCCTTAAATCCCTCAGTTCATCGTTCTGATAATCTCAACCTTCCTCAGAACAAGGCTGAAACCAAACCTGACAGCTCCTACCACACCGTGCCATCCTATCTCACGAACCTAATTGATAAATCGGTCCACTTTGTCACACTCGCGGCCGTCAAGGCTTCTCTCTCCCCATCTATCTGCGGTCAGCATGGGCTCTGTCTATCGCGAACGGTTTGACGACTCTCGGACATCTGTCTCCTCTGCTCGGCGGGATGGTGGCTACACAACAGTGACGCGCTACGTGGTGAAGGATGATGACGCCCGTTCTTCCGTGGGTCGGGACCGTCGGTTTATCCCCGAGCGCGCAGGAGACCGAGTTGAAGAGACCCGGATTGTTCGTCGTGAACGAGAGGTGGATGAGCCAGTGCGTGAGGTCCGCAGAGACGATCCCCGCTACTCTGAACGCGAACTGGTAATTCGCCGCGAACGGGATGAAGAGCCTCGCAGAGAATATGTCTATGATAGCCGACGGGACGAGCCTGTCGCGGAGAGAGAGCTCGTCATTAGACGGACCACCGAGCGCGAGGAACCTCGTCGAGATGATGTTTCAGTGGTGAGATATGATGACCGCCCTCGCGATGTTCGGGTCAGCGAGACCCGTTATCGGGATGACTACGAGATTGTTTCTCCAACCCGCGGGTATGATGATAGAGACCGCGATCTTCAGCGGTACACTCGCACCTCGGAGTATTTCAGCCCACCTCCACCTCCTCAGACCATTGTCATCCGTTCGGACCCTATTATTATTCGCGAAAGAGTCCGCGACGATGACTATCAGATCGTGCGCAAGTCGGATCTTGAAGAAGAGCGAAGCGTTGTCCGCCGAGAACCGCCGTCTCGTGGCGAAGAAGACTTCTTCTACGAGAAGAAGGTCCGGGAGCGGATCGATGAGCCTCGTCGTGATGATGATGACTACTACGAGCGCCGCACCGCCAGACGCCGCTCTGTGAGCCCCCATGACTCGGTTTCGCAGAGAGGTCGTGATTACAGCAGTGACGACAGCATGGTCTACGTTCGCAAAGAGACTCGCGAGGAAAGCCCCAGTCCTGATCACCGCAAAAACCTGGCTGCGGGTGTGGTCGCCGGGATCGGTGCCGCTGAACTTCTACGACATCATAAAAAGAAGGAAGGCCGCGAGACATCCCACGGCCTGGGCCGTGTTGGGCGTGACGTCGGAGCCGGTGCTTTGGGGGCTCTAGCTGTAGAGGGCATTCAGCGTGCAAGGTCGCTCCATCGAAGCAGGAGCCGGCGTCGGTCTCGAGACCGTCACTCTTCGCGATCCCACTCCCGACGACGCAGCAGATCTCGTTCTGAATCGCCATCGAAATTGAAAAAACTGGGAGCGGTTGGTCTCGGCGCGGCGGCGCTGGCGGCCGCCGCCACCATTGCTTCTAAGCGCATGAATAAGAGTAACGACGATGATCGCCGACGTAGTCGTTCTCGACACCGAAGAGAGTCCGTTTCCAGCCTGGAAAATGACTCGGATGCTCCGTCGGATGATGCTCGAAATCCACGCCATCGCAACAAGAGAATTGCCGAGGCTGGCGCGGCCGGTGCCGTGGTTGCGGGACTGATCGATCGAGCTCGGAGCAAATCTCGAGCGAGAGATGGTAAAGAACGCCCTCGAAGTCGTATCCAACAGGCTCTTCCGGTTGTGGCCGCCGGGTTGGGAAGTGCTGCCCTGGCTGGATTGTATGAGAAGAATAAAGCCAAGAAAGAGGCGGAGGAGATCGTCCGAGATGAGCGCCGTGCTCGCTCCCGATCAAGAAGCAGAGCCAGATCTGATGCCTACTATGATGGTCCCAGAGAAGCCGCGGTCAGCGACCCTGGATTGATTGAGTATGGCCATGGGCCGATGTATGGAAACAACTATGGGCCGGATTATTACGGACGGCCACCCCCCCAGGAAGGATATTACGGTGCCTCCAATGCCGTTGTTCCTGCCGCCGCCGGTGCCGCTGCGTATGGCGCGCAACGTGGAGCGAGAAGCAGGAGTCGAAGCATGAGTCGTGAACGGGGGACTCGAAGATCGTCTCGCAGTTCCAGCTCCTCCCCTGACCGAGGCACCCATGGTCGTCGGCGCTCACGAGACGCCGCAAAGATGGCTGCGGCTGCAGGAGCTGGAGCAATCGCCGCCAGCGAGTACGAACGACGCAAACAAGAGAAACGAGAGCGAAAGGCACGAAGACGTGAGTGGCTAACCTAGAATGGGCATGGTCGACATAACTAATGTTCTCTTAGGGAGAGAAGAAGAAGGATATGGCCGTGACCCCTATGAGGATAGTTATAATCCTCCACAGCCATATTCTCCCACCCCCCCACCCCCCGTCAATGACCCGTATGCTTCTCAACAAGGTTTCTACCCTCAAACAAGCCAGTTCCCGCCACCTCCAGGAGCTGTACCACAACAATATCCTCCACAAACGGCGTCCGCACCAGCCCCAGCGACGGCTAGTTCATATCCCCAGCAGACTTACCCACCGCCTCCAGCAGGGCCCCCACCGGCTGGTGCTCCCACTTATGATACCTATGCCTCTGGTGCAAATACTTACGCACCACGTGGTCCTGAAAATGTGAGTGCTGCGCCGAGTCCTGCGTTTGGAAATCCTTTTGCATCCACCGCTCCCAATGACCAGAACCATGTCCCAGATGGTACGTCAGAGTCATGTACCTTGACACCGGCTTTCATCCGTAGCAGGCCAAATGAAGATTTGCTGATCTGTTGAATACAGGTATAAATGATTCCGCCAGTGCTCCACCGCAACCGCCCATCAATGTCCCACCCCCTCCGGCTCCTGGGACGTCGACATCCACCCCCCCGGAGGCGACCGTACCATCGGCAAATACGTATGTCCCGCCCACTGAGAGAGCGGTGTCTCCACCACGTTCTCAATCTCAACCACCTCCATCCAGTCGAAAGAGTGTTCAATTCGCCGACAAACCGGAAGTTTCGACTGTCTCAGATACGGCACGAGCAGAATCTGAGGCGTCAAGTCCTGATCGTCATCGCCAGAGGCACAAGCATTCCCATTCCCGCGGTTACGAAGCCGGGGATGATACGGACTCGACGCCGGACGACTTACGCCGGGGAGCTCGAGATCATTCCTCACGCTCTCTTGATCCAGAATCAGCAGGAGATGGAGAGAGAAGGAGGCATCATCGGCGCCGACGGTCTCACGAACCTAGGTCTTCTCGCGACGAGCCAAGCTCTAGCTCAAGACAAGCCGATCTCGAACGTGTGACGAGCCCTGCCGACTCCGATGCGACAATCGAGTTACCCCCGAGATTTGACGAGAAGGGAAGGAAAAAAGCCGAGGAAGGGGATGATCCTCTTGCAGATCGGATAGATGAGATTCTCGCCGGAAAGGGGCCTGCAGGGAAGATGTTTGGAAATTTTTTGGACGGACTGTTTGGCCCAGATGGCAGGAAGAAAAAGGGCAGGTGAATGCATAATATATCATCCTTGGGCGGATATGCGACGGGCACTTATCGGATCACCACACAGGCCATCGAAACGAATTTCATTGATTGAAGAGGGGATACGCTGGGAAGGAGTTTCATCCTTTGGTTTCGAGTTTCGCGTCACAATTTCCGCCGGCTGATGAAAATTTCAGAAATTCATGGTCGTGACGAGCTCCTACGATGGATAGTAATATGTGGAAATGAACGACAAAGGTCAACTTACCTGAAGATCATGAATTGACGACATGAAAGTTAACGAGGTTTTTGATTCAACCTTTCATTATTTTGGGTCGATTACATACATGGAAATGGATCACGAATTCAACTTAGAACCACCCTTAGTTTTTCAGGCCAAAACCTACATCGATCCGTCTCGGACACTCCAACATTTCACTATCAATAAGTCGATAAGCTAATACATCCATTCAGGACGAGTAAGTATGTGACGTATGTGGATTTATCGCCAGATCCATCCGCTGCCCATCAAATCCCTCAGGGGGTGTCCACGTCGATTCTTGACTGACATGATTGACATAATACACTCGCCCATTGGGCGCTACCCGCTGCTCCCACTCCTGAGGCGGCGAAGTGGACCGAACGACTCCTCCGTCAACTTCGTGGACCGCGCCGGCCTGAAGCATTCGCATGGTCAAACTCGACCGAGCATATGGCGAGTGAGCTCCCGAGGTGTCGCCACTTCTGCCACCAGCAACAGCTTCCACTTCGGAATTTGGCCGGGACATGTTCTGAACTGGAGAAACTGAGTGTCCCCGGCGGTGGTCGGCGATATTCGTCGCGAGTCTGAGGTCGCTGCGTGTATATGCTTCTGGCTGCTTCTCAGTACTCGATGGCCGCGATATAGGATCATGGTCGATGTTGGCAGTGAGAATGGTCTCTTGCATTTCTTCTCTCGACCTTACCGAAGGTCCTTCGCCAGGGTATATCAGCTCGTCCAATCTCTGGATTCTCCTCTCAAATTCCGACCAATCGGTCAAATCAACAAAGAATCGCCATTGTCGTCGAGGTCGAGTGAATTTTTTCAGGGCCCAGATCAATAGGAGCATGAAGGGCTGAAATTGATTAGCCAATTTGGGCCTCCGTGGTCCCAGCCAATTCATCATCACTTACACTAATGAAGGTACTGGTGGCTTTGACAGCGATTTTCTTTCCGTTCCACAGACTGGCAGTATTAAAGAAAAAGACAATGAGGAAGGTGCTGATGGCTCCTATATAGGCCAGACCTGGCTGCAAGATCCGGAACCAACCTGATTTGTCGGGGTCTGTGAGAGATTCGTATCGTCTCCTGCTTTCAATCTCTTCTAGGTGTATCGACCGCCTTATGAAAGTTAGTATCTGCCTCAACAAAACATTTGACAAACTTACCAGTGATAGAACATGAAGTAGGCGACACACTGAGAACACCACACCAGAACAGCTGAAACCGAGCTGATGTTGACAATAACATCTTGGAACTGCTAGTAATTAGATCCTTTTTTTTTTTTTTTTTCCCAGAATATTCTCTGCAATACTTACAGTCTGGAGGAAAGCTGTATCTTCGTGAAGCCTGATGAATGGAAGCCAGTATAGAACGACGACGCTGATGATGAGGGCCGGCCAAGGTGACCTGGTCCTGAATTCAACACCACTCGTCCACGCGAGGAATCTTCTCAATGGTCCAGACTGACCCGTTACCGTGATTGATCGAGTCATTCCATAGAGCTGACGAGCTGCCACGTACAGAGCTGTATTCGCACAGCTCAAAGCAGAATAAATCAAGCAGCCATTGAGGAACCCTGGAAGGAACTTGAAGCCATATTGAATCGTGACAATGATAGGGGCTGCATTGGTCTTAAGCTCGGGAAACGCCGCCATATATTTATTCCTCTCCTCTGCGTCGGTGAGGGTAGTAAGGGCCTGGCCAAATAGTCCAGGGAGGTTTTGATCCTTCCACGATATGTTCGAGACGATGAGTCCGGTCGTGAGACAATACAGGACGACTGTGAACCAGGCAATGTTTCTCGCTGGCAATTTCAGTTCGTGTGGGTCGCGAGCTTCGAATGCTGTGACGGTCAGGAGTTCGACCCCGATGTAAGCAAAGGTCGCCAAAGGCAGGGCCATGCTGAAGAAAACATTCAGTTAACGGTTTCAATGTTGGTTAAGTGACTGACCTGATGGCAATGAAATGACTCGCAGCGGCATTCTCATTATTCTGAACGGCATCTTCGAAATCTGCAACAAATGTCAACCAAGGGTTCTCGGCTGGTAGATGATCTTGGGCTGACATCTCGAGCCAATCTTCTCTCCGGATCCAACTAATGCCTCGTCAGCTTTGGACTTGGGTTGGGTGATGTATGGTACAACCCCCAGCGTTAATCAGGCACATCAGGATGATTATACCAACGACGAGGCAAAGTTTGAGCACACCGCCAACAAACTCCACCCAGCCAAAGACCTGAGAAGTGGTCAGGAAGTTCCAAGATATCGTCCCGAGGACTCACGTTGACAGGGGCGGCATTGATTGCCAGCAATATCCACGGAGCAGCAGCGAAAGTGAGAGATTTCCAAGCATGGGATAGACCCCAATACTTTGTCAGGTCTCCAGCGACGATGATAAGTGCACTGAAGCTGACGCAATAGGTGTACCTACAGAACAAAAACGTCAGATTCTGAACATACAACACGACGAAGGAGGACATACCAGTATAGAATTCCGACGGCAATACCCAGGTCTTCATCGACGAACGATCTGACGAACTCCACCATAGCATTTGGAATGGGCCAAATATTAATGAGTTCGCAAATCCCTTCCATAATAGCGATGACGATAATACCAATAACGAAGACCGCAATCATCGCACCGCCCGGTCCCGCCAGGGCCGTTGTAGAACTGGACCCACGAAAGAACCCGACCCCAATGATCCCACCCAGAGCAATAAACTACATTAAAACAACATCATGTCGTTAGTATATCCCGTGACGGCGATGGCAACGAACTCGTTTGGCTGGCAGGGCGGGCGTTTGTTGCTTACCAAAATCTGCCATGATCGCAACCTCCTCCTGTTGGACAATTGTCTGTCAGCCTTGCTACACAGAAGAAATGATGCACAAGCATGAAGGATCCGAAAATAGAATCCGGGCTCAACTCACTTCAAGAGTACGTCGCCTCTAGGAGTCATGCGAGCCATAGTTATCCTCGAGAACGCGTGACAGAAGAGGGGAGGGGAAAAAACAGGGCACACCGGGCTCTGGAATGGGAAAGAAGGCTAGTAGAACGGAATTTCTCTTCGAGAATCTATCGTTCAGGCAAAGCTATATCGGATAGCGAGCGGCGTGAGTACCTGGCCACCCACAGCCACCACCAAACGAGACGCGGCTCGAGGGGCATTAACGAGGCCCAAGCAGAGCAAGAACAAGGACCAACAAGCAGATTGACTAGTACTCAAACGCAAGGGCGGCGTATTCATGCCCAAAGCTAAGCACAGTGTGGTTTATTTACATCAGAGATCTTTCAAGCAAGCCGTTTGATATCTATGGGGCCAAACTCGATGAATTTCACTACATCCATACATCACTCCTCATGCACATGTTTGGAAATTACCTGCGAAAGACATAGCGGGCTGAAGACCTTGTTTCTGGGCCCTTGGGAAATTTGAGGTAAAGAAAGGGGCATTCAATATTATATATCAAGCTCCATCTGAGATTTATGAAGCTCTGAATTCTTGCAGACAAGGAAAAGGCCAATCCACCGGGCTGTGAGGAAATATAGTCCACTGCCTACCCATCTCTTCAAGCCAGAAAACGAGCATTCTCTCGATTTGTCACTGGTCATCAGTCGACATGCAGCGATAAGACGAAAAGTCTTTCCACTAAAAACTGAACAACAAAGCCTCATGATACGGTCCTGGCCCCCTTTTTTCCTGATCTGGTGGGAATTGAGAGCCACTCTCTCAAGGGTCCCCGCTGGTCTAGATAGTAGAGATCATCGCAGACCAGTATTTCCACTCGGGCTACAGAAACAGGACAGAAAGTCATCCAACCGCGCCCGACGAGTGAAGGGGGCTCGAAAGCAAAGCCGCATCTTGCCTTGCCGGGCAAAAGTCACTCCACGCAGTTGGACAAGAACAAAGCTAGCTAAACCCCATATTGATCAGCTCTCACTCATTTTACCGCCCGTGCATCAAAGCGAGCAAGTTCTAGTTGTGGATCCCTGTCCCGTCCTGCCCCGTCCTGCCCCGTGGCACAATACTAAGAAATTAGTCACGCCGCACCGAGCCATTGGTGCCATATCGAATACGAGATTTTCAGCCTGATCGTGCATACTGCCCTTGGTGAACTCTTGTATCAGAGGTGAGGGTCTGAAAGCAGGTGTGTGTGTTTTCAAGTAACTAGCTTGTTTTCATCGAGATCGGGGAGTAGGTAACTGCATTTGGGGGCCACCAGGCTTCCTGTCTGCGGGTGCTTGAATTTGCACCTTAAAAGCGAACTGTTGACCAGGGCGCAGAAATACAGCACTAATGATGGCGTTCCTGCTAATGAGTTTGCGTCTGTAGTCTGCCGACGGGAATGGTCCGTTTTATTTTTCTTCAGCCGCATAGCATGGCGGCCGCACATCTTTTCTCAGCAAGGGCAAGCGGATTGAGCGACAGAGATAGGAAAATCTATCAAGACAAAAGTGTGGGTTTCGTGCCATACGCTGATTGATTTTGTGGAACTTTGAACGGGGATTCCCCTTGATTCAAAAGTCCACAAGCTAGCTAGACCTAATACCCGTTTGTGCTGGGGTGGCAAATCTCCCTAAGAAACAACCATGTCCGTGATATGCCACTGGCTTGATGCCGAATGGTCCGTGTAAATCCGTTTGCTCATGGAGGCGGAAGCCTCTAAATCGTGGAAATAGTGTCTTGTCCTTTGGTGACAGTGATTCGTTTTCCAGAGTGGAATGAAAAGTAGGCTGGTTTGTATAAAGAGCCGACACAGTAGCTCGGGCACATGTCTACGGCAGAGACTTGGAACTAGGTTGACGTAGTGCATGTTTCTCTTGACTGAGGGCTGCCTTTCTGATTCTCGTCGGCAAAGAACCGCTTATAAAGTCTTCCTCGTCAGCCTCCCCGAAGGTGACAACGTCATCAGACACGCACCACCAGCAGCACCCTGATGAGCCCTTACCGCAATGCCCCAGCTCCGCCTATCCACGTCCTTGTACAAATTCCCACAGGCGTAGGGCTTGAAGAACGCCACTCCGCTGAGACTGGTCAAGCTGAACCGCTCGACTTTCTGGTTCGAGTGTTCTGATGCTCGAATCAAAAGAAATCCGTCATCTTCAGGTAGGACTAAGCCTGCGAAAACGTTGTCCGTGAATCCCAGTTGGAGGGCCCGTTCAGCGGGTGAAGAGAGATCAGCGCGGATCAAGTATACATTCTTCTGCCGGTCGCAGGCGATGAAACGGGGGTAAGAGCGGAAGGGAAGAAGATGTGCTTCGAGAGATTGCGTCTGGTGTTGCCACGTCTATTGCAATCGACATGTCAGCATGGAAAAAGAAATTGGACGATTGAAACGTGTACGGTTTTGGACAATGGACTTACTTCATGCCTGCACCTAATGGTTCCTCTGACAAGCTTCAAATCAGAGCCCCAGATCGACCAGTAATGGTAGTTTCTATCGCGTTCCCAAAGACAAAAGAACTCGCCGTCGCCGGAGAAGTCAAAAGCCATCAAATCTTTATCGCTTAGGGGAATCGATGTGTCACCTCTGGGGATAGGGTTGCACGTCAGCAGAGATTTAGACAGGAATTGGATTGTTTAGTGAGAACCATACCTAGGTGTGAACAGTTCCAGCTTGTCCGGTGTTTGAATCAAGCAAAATCCTTTGCGGGACAGCTTAACGTCTTGGGGCTTGGAGGAGAGTTGAATGGTCCGATATTGGTGGATTTTGTTCTGTCTCTCACTGATCCGTTGCAGTAATCGGACCAGGTACTTGAAACATCTCAGTTGCGGACAAGGAATTTGGGATTCCGAACGGATGAGCAGGTACATACCGTTGATTTTGGATGTTGTTGCTGCACCACAGCCAGAAATGAACCCGCGAGCAAGACCTTGATGCATTTGGCAGGATGAGGAACCACCACGGCATTGGAGAAGTAGGATTTCAGACTTGCTGCTTTCAGTTCTTCGCAGCGAGGTGTATCGTTCCAACTCTCTGATTCATCTCCCAGAAAACCCAAGTCGTAGATGTAAACGTCGGATTTACTCCATAGCGCAGCCGTACCTGCTGACGGGGATAAAGTCCCACCGTCACAGTTTGGAGGAATCTCAAGTCGAATGAAGGATAGAGATCCATCTTGTTTGAAGAAGATTGACCGCGAGCCTTTCGTTGAACCGGACTTCAGCGTGGCAGAGAGAGGACCGGAAGATGAGATCGTCAAAGAAGGTACACCGATAAACGGCTGCGCAGTTGAATCCATCGAACTTCTTGGATAGTTGACTTCAGGAACATCACTCACGACTTCCGGCGCCGTGGATGCGCCGTCAAAGTGCCAGATCCGATCATTGCCGTATACTTCGGTCCACATCAAGATTCTTTCCAACTCTTGAACCGCATAGTTCATCTCAGGTCTCTCGTAGACATTGATAGTAAGGAGTCTGAGGACAAGTTTGGCACAATATCGAATCCAGTCTCGTTGCATTTGAGGAGCAATGCTCGGCGCCTTCTCTTCCAACCAGTATTTCACTGCTGGTTTGATCTCTGCATGCTTGCTGTCTGGATGCTGTCGCTGAGCGGTGTCATTTAGATGTCGGACTCGGTGGTAGAAGTAGTCGTCGGCACCTTTTGATCGACATAAGAGTTGGGCGTTAACTTCTTCCGGTCCACCAATTGCAAAGGCCAGGATCATGGCGAGAACACACCCGAAAGACCAAACGTCTCTTCTTGTGTTTACTTTGGCGGTTTGCTGGTTCTTGACTTCCGGAGGTTGGAAAGCCCCTGGGCCTGTCTTGAATGGTTGGAGGGCAACATCTCGCAGAATAGTTCCGGGAGCCACGGCGCCACATTGTTCGGCAGGTGGGAGTTGAACAATTTGAGAACCAGCCACGGATTCTTCCACGTTGGAGATACCAAAGTCGACGATTTTCCATCGCCCGACTGGCGCGGCAGCTCCGCTCCCGGTCGTTGGAAAGCATACCAGGATATTTTCAGGTGTGAGATCCACATGTCCACATCTGATCCGGCGGCCTTTATCGGTGATCATATGATTGTGGATAAAGTCCAGTCCTTGAGCCAAGCTGTACGCTTCAATGAGGACATTGTGAGGAGTGAACCGACTTGATCGTTCGGGAAAGTTGTCGAGGATTTCCTCCGGAGAGTACAGAAACTTTTGAAGGTCACGTCCCGCTGCCCACGGAGTCAAGATGACAAAATCCGGACCGTGAACGAAGGAGGCAAAGCTTTGCATAATGTTCTGATGATTTTGGAGACTTTTCCTAAACTGCTCCAGGTGAATCCTGTCGGATTCGAACTTGGGTCGTGGCCGTTGTGATTTCATTGCCACTCGTTTTCTTGCCATAACGTGTACCTAACCATGTATTAGTTGTCGATTTTGACGTGGTGTCGGAAGATATACTTCAGAATTGAAACCCCCAGCGTTATGTTGATCGGTACAGTAGAGATAGCCTTTTTCAAGATAGATCTTGTCCAGATCTCTTTGACTTCCAACATCGTCAATAGGTTCGGATTTGGTAATTGGCAAACGGTATCGTTGTGAGTATTCTTCATGCGAATTCTGTTCAATGACGATGGGTTTAAAGAGGTACTGCTCTCTTTTGAAGTCATCCTGGATATTGGGCGGGAGAAACGAAACATCTCTCAGGGGCAGATCATCATCTGTATATCGTGGGTATCTCAAATAATCCCCTCTTGGAGCGAAATATGTCTTGAACTCCGACCATTCAGTCCACTCGATTGTGATAAGGATGCAGAGGATAAGGGACATGGTCCTCCACAGTTCGGTGCGATCATCTTCATGATACCATTTGAAAGGCTTGAGCAGTTCCTTGACTCGTTCACGGGTCACCACGGATCGAGCATCGTGAGGATGAATAAAGACAGTCTCTAAGCTTTCAGGGCGAGAATATTTGCTTTGCAACTCTTTGCGGATTCGGACGAGTAGTCCCAAATCCACTTCGCGACTTTTGGAGCGTTTTCCAAGGAAAGGCATGACCGCTGAGGTGGGGAGAACCCGACATTTACGCCCACAGCCTTGTGAACCAAGTATTCGTTGGCCACCAAAGATTGGGACGATGCATGGTGACAAGGAAATCCTCCCTCATTGAGGATGGGACGGATATGGACTGCTTTCTGGAGCTGCCAGAGACATCGAGCTGCGGTGGAAAGGTCAATGAGGCTAGAAGACAAAGCGTTTTCCGTTCAGTCAAGCGCTACTCCAGTGGCTGCAGCGGGCAACACATGGTGTCAGTCGCCTAAATTTTGGGCCGCTGGCGTGGCTGACGGGGAATCGGTCAGTGACCCGTCGCTCGCAATTTGGTTATCTTGCCACGAAATTGGCCTAACACGTGGTCGTATCTTAGCTTTGAAGGTTCAAGTTGAGGCTCATCTGGCGGACAAACGTTGAAAAAGGAACGTGGAGATGGGTTGATCTTTGCCGGGGGGACCCTTGGGGGTGGGTGAGGAATAAGAAAGAAATGGAGTAAATTACTATTTACAAACTGTTGCGATGCTTCTTTGACGACGAAGAGATGTCCTTATCATCTTGGACTGACATCTCAAGTTCAGTAATAATGTACACCACACTGAAGCCCTTGTCGAACCATTCAAGTCAGTCAAAAGTTCAGCAATTCAGCATCCACATCCATGCCTTCCATTCATCCGGCCTGGCGCTGGCTACAAAATCACCATCGTTCTTGCTTCTTGGTGTACCCACTGGCAGCATCTGCTAACCATCTACCAATCTTCCCCGCTGTACTCTTCCTCCGCTCAGGTTGTTTACCATGTCCCTCATGCGCCTCTTCGTTTTGTAGTCTTTGAGCAAGGGCTGCGTCATTTTCTCGAAGACGAGCCTTCTCTTCGGTGGAATGGAGTGTCGGCTCTGTTTCTCTCGTGGTCACTTCACCGTAGGACGGCAGCATGTCATCTGAAGATTCTGTCGGTTCGGATGCACTCGTGCTTGTCACAGCCGATGCATTCTGATCGTTACGGTAGGTTGGTGGACCGGAGGTCGCGCGATTGGTGTACTGGTCATTGCTTGAAGGTCCAAATGTAGGACTGAGAGGGCGAAACCCTTTGCTGCGCAATTTGGCTTCCTCAACTCGTTGGTCGCGAAAAACTTTTTCTTCCTGGCCACGTTCCTTCCAGTATTGGTAGAGAGGGCCTCGAGAATATTCATTGTTGAAGATTGATGGACTCATACTTGAGTCCGGTGTGACTAATGAGAGGTATAGAACAGGAAAAGATCCTTGGATGCGAGAGTGAAGATGCTCGTGTGCGTGATACCCATGGAGTGATGAGCATAAGGCGACCGACCTCTGCAGAAGATATCTATAGCTCTTAACCGACTGTTGGTTGACTAAAAACTACGAAAGCTTCCCGGGTCGACCGTGAGAAGGAAATTCACTGACGATATCACATATGCCTCGCTGTCGATCGAAGGCGGACAATCGTTGACTTGTTGAAAATGAGCGCTGGCACAGACGAGGTTCTTCGCGGCTCTAAACACTGGTGAACGGAAGATACGGCAGGATACGTCGCAATACGAAAAGATTCAGACATGCAAGCAAAGTGGTCTCCTGGGGGGAATAGTCTGGGGAATGTCACCGGAAAAGAGCGAGAGCCTTCTACCCCACGAGAGGTCTCCAAGCTGCAGGCCAAATGACGCACGAGGAGAGTTTTTGCCCGCAATGGGAAAATGACCCCTATTTTGGGAGACATGAGGTAATTTTTCCTTTGTCCAGTTGTACACTGCGGTGAAGGCCGGGGTGCAGCGCAAGACATGGATGGGAAGTCATTTGACAAGATTAGCCTCCTACCCTGCAAAGCGACTGAGAGGCAGAGGCAAGGATAATTGGGAGGAATAATTGATAGTCCGCACTGAGGTCATGCTTTCTCAAATGCACGACATCAAGGTACTGGCTAACAGGTCGAAATCAACGAGTCGCATAGGTTGCGGCATCTGCCGGCAAGTTCACGTAGAGTGAGTGCCGCTATGATGCAAATCGAAATATTGAGCAAGGTCGACGGAACAAGGCGTCCAAGGAAAGCATTGAGCATATGCAGATTCAGTGACATTGGTATCTGGGATACCTCATCTTCGTCACCACCGGTTGGCGAGAATCATCTTGATAGCCATGTCCCGCATTTTGTATTTGCACCTCCGTTGCCATCCACCATCGGACCGAAATAGCATGTTTAGAAAACAAGAGCCGCACCCTTCGTCTTCTTGTCACCACTAGAAACGCGGTCAATCCCATGCCATGTGCATGCCGGTAAAATTGGATTACATACCCCAATTCGAAATGCTTGCATCGCTTCAAGGGTAATTGTGACTTTGTCTTGCATACGGTACACTCCAATCTCAACACCACCTTCTTGGTTGTCTTGGCCTTCTTGTGGAAGATAGGCCTTGTTTGGCCACCATAACCGGATTGTTTGCGGTCGTATCGACGCTTTCCTTGGGCATACAGTTGGGCCTTATCCAGTGTTAGTCAATCGCTCGAGTGTTCGGTCGGAGTAAGTCCTACTTTTCCGGCTTTGTATTGGGTGACCTTGTGCTGTGTGTGCTTTTTGCAATCCTTGCCCTTGCAGTAGGTGCGGCGAGTCTTGGGAACATTGACCTAGAGAGAAGAAATTCGCGTCAGCGTTTCTGCTCTGTGCGGGATTTCAACAGAGGCAGAGCCTTGTAAATCCAATCCTCCTCTTCAATTCTTTGCAAGTCTAAAACAGGAGTTCGAGATCCCGCGTAGAATGGAGTTCGTTGTAGATATCATGCCCTTCTTGCTGACAGTTTTCTCGCGACAAAATCCCCATCTCTTTCGCTTCTTTGTTCCTTTTGGTATTCATTTGGCCGCCATTGTCCATCTACGTCCGGAGCAGGTCGAAGAGAAGGATTTAATCGTGCTCTTGACTCACCATTTTGACCAATTATCTGGTAGCGTCCCTGGAGGAGAGATGATCTTGTCAAACAGTATCGATGACCAGGCCAAAGTTCAAGTTCTCAAGACTGCAAACCACAGTGGAATGCCAAGACGCACAACTTTGGCTGGAAAATTGAGCCAACCCAATTGAGGGAAGTCTGCCGAGGGCTTGATGAATCTTATCTAATCACTAACTCAGCTTCTGCTCCAGCTCCCCACCACCACACCCCGTATCTCGGCCGGGCTCTACATCAATAGAAGACTACCTCGAGAGGAGTATGGCTAAAGTTGGATATGAAGATTTGTCCGGCACTTCCACTCCAGTGACTTCCAATCCCTATGATAGTCTAATTGCTGCCTGCCGCGGTGATCCCGTCTGCATGCCTATTTCTTCTGTCTCATTTTGTCTGATAACTTTCACAGAAATTGATTCAAGAACGGTATATACTCCACCGGGTCACTAGAAATGGTCAACAGCGAGAGAAAATTCTCCGCGAAGACTTTGAAGGATGGACTCTTGACGAACACCTTGTGAAATTAGATGGTCCTCAGAAGGATGCATCATACATAGACCCTCGACACTGTCTTGTCTTCTGGGGAAGACCCCCTCAAAAGTTAAAGACGCTGGTAGATGTCATCCAATCGAAGCTGAAGGATGCAGCACCGGGTATGCCACGTCTAGCACGATTTGACCGCGCGAGCTTACAAGATAGACCTCTGGCTAATGCCGTTGGAGAACTTACACTTGACGGTCATGGAAATCGCTCATTCCAAGACCGAAGGTGAGATTGCAAAATTGATGGATGACCTCCAACCTTATTTCAAGGCAATCGCCGATCACACAATGACTCATCGTGCAAGACTTGTCAAACCTCTTTTGAGCTACGATTCGGCCGCGCTCGCGCTGAGCTTTGTGCCCGCTGCGGGAGAATCAGTGTCACATGGGCGGACCGTGGAGGACGACAAGTACACGTACCATCATTTAAGGCGAGATACCTATGGTGCTCTCACGGAAGCCGGAATTCAAGTCGGCTCGAGATACGTGGTCCCTTCGGCGCATCTCACAATTGCGAGATACAACACTCCTAATGTCTTTGGCGGTGATCCTCTGGACGGAAACATCACCCTAGACATGAAAAAGCGAAAGCATTGGATCAATGAGATCGACTTGATCAACAAATGGCTGGAAGCAGAATACTGGCCTGTGGAAGGGGAACTGATCAAACCTGGAGGTGAATGGGTTGTTGGTGATGAGAAAGGCCTCGATTTTCGCAATGGGAGACTTTGGTACGGTGGAGGTCAAACAATATATCTAGGAGAAGGATTTATTCACGGTGAGATTTGATGAATCCCGCGTGGCCTTCCCATCGTTATCATCACACGACCAAGCGCAGACGATCGACTACAACGGACCTGAATTGTCTCTTCCAGAACAGTTTCTTGTTCAGATTCAAGAGGGAAAGAAGTCATACGTGATAACACCGACCTGCGATAGAATTGCCTCGTTGGTTCGGCACCTACATTGCCCCATTTTCACACACGTTTATTGCAAATGGATAGGGTGCCCCAAGAAATGTTGCAAAGGATAATTTCCCAGAAAGTCGATGTCCGAGTGTTCTGGGTGGAGAGATATATGACACTCTGCAATGACGCTGGGGTGGCCTGAGATACCTCTTCGTCCATCTATTTTCGTTTTGATTAACAAGCAATAGCTGATTTGGTCAACGTATACGAGATACAACGTGAGACTTTCTGATATTGTGCGAAATAATGCAATGCCTGAGTTTTTGTTCTGGCGTATTATTGCGCACGGTCTCACAAGATCTCACTCACACTCTCTTAGAATTGTGGTCTCCATGCTATCAGAACCATTCGGTTTGCGAGCGATATCTATGTCACTGGCCGCCTCAAAGAGAAGGCCCAGAAATTAGGGTTGACTATGTTGAGTCTTTTCCACGTCAGAATCAGTATCGAAAAGGCGCTATTCTTCTGATCCGCGGTGTCAGGATTGACAAGCATACCTATTGAAGAGCCTAGATCTCTGTCATGAAATGACAGGATTCTCAGTCTTTTTGGGTGTTCCCCAAGGGGTCGAGGCTCTTTCCTGAGACACGGGTTCACAAAAACATCATATCAATATTACCATGTCATGGAGCCCCTTGCATCAGCAGGATACCACGTCATTGCATCAGACAAGAAAAATCATGGGTTCAGCAGCAAGCCCGTCTGAAATGTACATCAACAGCACCTGTTCACGAAGAAATCTCTAGCACAAAGACCTTCATAAGCTCCTAATAGAGCATACCGTTGGACACAACATTGGCGGTATGGTCAGGCGCGTCTGCCAGTATCCCGAGAGCTTCGCAACTATCACTTAAGGAGAATTCTTTCTACCCGGGTCGACGGTATACCAAAAAAAGGGAAAAGAAAAGAGAAAAATTTTGGAGCAACTTTGGCACTTTGGCTTCCAAAGCCACAACCCTGAAACTGCCTTGCTTTGGTCCGGGGCAAAGAGAAAACTGTATCTCAAGAGCTTCTATGACAAGCTTGTGTAGAACCAGGATACGTCCACGTCGGACGTCGTCGGCTTCTACGTCATGGAGGTCAACATGCCTGATACGTTGTGCTGCACGTTTCTCACACACGGCGCCTTCGAGATTGATGCGGCCAGAATCGACAGTGAGGAACGATAAGAGCAAAAGTCAGGATCAGGAAGGAGTATGGTGCTTTCTGGTGAAAAGGCGTGGATTGCTGACAAGGCAGAGGGCATGGCTCGGGAGTTCTATGAAGATGTCGCTGTAAGGTGTGGTGCCGGACTTGGGGCGTTAGTTTGCAGAGGAGAATCCAGAGGGGTGCGTGTGAGAATTGCTTCGGTTCATTGACGCATAACAGTCCCCAAGCAAACACCGTGTCCTCGACAACGTCTTCATTCCTTGCTTAGCTTGTTCTGAAATGATAGATATAAACAGTCAGCTTGCCGCCTTCTTGAAGGACTGAGATGAGGGAGAGCCTTATGAACTCATGTCTACAAGTGGTCTTGGAAGATTATGAAGCTAATGGCAATGTAGTCTTGTTGAACATGGCAATCACAATGACGGAAAGACCCGTGCAAGCGACACCAGAACATGATCCTGCTCGCATAACGAGAATATCCAATTTCGGAATCCAGTTGCTTCACCGATACGAAGGAGACGAGGGTTTTGAACAGGCCATCCAAACAGTGACGGAAGCAATAGCAATGACACTAGGGGACGATGAAAATCGACAGATTATGCAGGGACGCTTTGGTGGGAAAGTTTTTTTCCTAGATATGATGAGACTGGCCATGTCAATCATCTGAAAACGTTTCGGGCCCGAACTCCCAAGGATCAAGAAGATCGAGCGATATGGGCTAACAGCCTCCACCGGCAATTCGCTCAACGAATGAAGAGGGATGATCCAGACTGGGTCCTATGCTTGAAAAGCTTACGACACGCGTATGAAGCTCAGTCTCGTATAAGGGAAAAATCTCATATCTCAACTGTGCGCTGGAATCCTTTATTGATTCCTACCGTTGTCTGCCGGGAATTCCTCTTTTGCGTTTGAACTCTATGCGTCAAGCCCGGAGAATATTTCACCAGCGACAAGAGTGGGAAAGAGCGAATGAAATGGCTCGAGAAGCGTTGTCATTACTCCCTTGTTCTGCGGTCGTCATCTAAGCTGTGACGATCAACAATGGGCTATGCTTCAGACAGCTAGCATTGCAGTAAATACCTGTTCGCTCGCTTTCAAGACAGGCGGATATACGACACTGTTCAACGTATCGAAGTTGTGGCGGACTCGTCCTTGGATACATTACCGATAGCAGAAGTGATTTTCAGATCTGAAGGGAGAGAATCCGAGCCTGGCGGCGGCGCTTGAAGAGCTCGAAACATTTCGGTTCCGATTGTCTGGCGAATCCATCGCGAGATTTAAGCTGTTGGAAGAAAGGGAAAAAGTAGCTGAGAAGTTTGAAGAGCTCGTGCAGGATATAGAACGTTTCTCGGCTTCGACGGATTCCTTCGAAGCTCAGAGATCAGCGCTGGTGCTATAGTCCTTACCGAGCCTCAGATACGGGCATCTTCCTCTTCCAGGGTTATTGTTGATCAATACTCCTCTCATTCTCAACCGGTATCTCCAACGGAACACCTCCACTCCAGAGATGTGGTAGTGAAAGAGATATAGGGGCCGAGACAATGGCATCTGAAGTTGGAGTCGTATCACTTGATGAGTTGACTTGGCAGTGGTCCAACTGTGTAAAAGCAGTCCTGAAAGAGTTAGAAAGTATAAATATCTTCACGTCTCAGAGTATGTCGAGGATGTAGTGGGTGGCTTTGGGCTTTGCAAGCCCGTTTCCACGTCATGTTACTTGCCAACAATTCGGAATTGCCGTAGAAGGCGCATTGGATCGGATTGTATTATCATATTCGCCGATAATAAAGGCTCCTGCGTGTTCCAGGCCTGAGGCATTCAGAAATTTCGGCGTTAGCGGAAATGGCTCGTTAGTTCTAGTTGTCATAACGCCAGAAACACCAAACTAGCGTCCGCTGTAAGGAGTGTCGCAAGAGAAAAGTGACATCGTGAAAGCATGTGGAGAGACTTACTTCTGTGTAGGGTTAGAACCGACCAGCGCTGATCAGGTATTGGAAAAAAGGTCTGAGTCTGATATTGTTCATTTTACCTGTCATGGTTCCTCCGACAGTTTGGACCCCTCGAAAAACCATCTGCTCCTTCAAAGGATGGTCGATGGTCAAACGGTCATCGACCGGCTTACGGTCAAGCAACTCTCCCATTTAGCGGCTAAAGGACGGGCGCGACTGGTATTCCTCTCAGCATGTTCAACAGCTCAGGTTATAGTTGGCAAACTTCAGGCAGAGTGGCTTCATCCAGAAGATCCGTTCCTTTAGGCCCTGTTTGTGCATTTGGAGGCTTGATCGTATAAGTTTTGCTCTGCTTGCAATGCTGCGAGCTTTTGTGGGAATCCCTTAATGTCCCGGTAATCCTAATTGTGCGAGAACATCGTCGTTGCGGAAGATCTATCACAATTAGTCATTTCACGCTAGTGGCTCATGTCGCAACCTAGCCAGCTGTTTCGTGAGGAAGCAGAGATACGGTTAGATTCCTATGCCGAAAGTTATTGTGGGGCCTCTCATAAAATACGATCGGAGCTCGCCATTACTGCCCACCGTCTGGGATTGGTTTCAAGCGGGGACTCTGGAGCGGAAACCCCCCCGCGGAGAGGGAATTTGGGGCGCAGATAATCTGGAGTCATATGTGGAGAGCGACGGCTTTTTCGAAAATAAATTTCAAATTCATGGTCCAAGAGAAGCACCACGGCTTCGTCATGCTGCCTTATGGGTGGGAAACTTCCGCCTCAGCCTTGTGTCCTTCGGGAGCTTTCCGAGCCCTTTGTTCCTATTGGCGGTCGAAGTCGGGAGTAAACCGAACCGATAGAACCGGGATTATTTGCCTCTGCCACAACTAGTTATGGATGTGGCAAGACGTTCGGTCTCCCCATAACCTGCCTCAGTGATTTGGATTCCATTCATACTCCAGTATTGACCTTGCAGGACTTGACGGTGTATGAAACAAAATCCGACCGAAGTGACTTCGGTGAGTTCGACGAGAGTCCGGCATGTCAATTTAATTATGGAGCCTTGACTGAAGCAGAGTGTGTAGATGTACACAACCTGCCCTAGGTTTTGCTAGACATTCAGCATCAGTATGAATATGTTCAAGTTTGGGAGAACTCGGCTGCACGAGAGTGCAGCCGCTCTGTTCGGCAAGATAGGTGGCGGTTATGCAACAGGCGCGCCGGCAAGAAGAACTTTGCGTTCAAAATTCCGTGACTATGTTCAACGATCGATATCTTCGAGTATCCCTCAACGAGCCTCGTTTGCTGGAGGTTTAGCCGTTCCAATCACCTGCCTCGGTCTCGGCGCGGGCGGTTTGGCAATATGGCAACGCTTAGACTCAAAAAATCATGGGGTTTCGGGGAGGGCCATAGCACCGGAATACGCGACCAAGGCTCAAATGGAAAAGGTGAGCTCTCGCTTGCTTTGGTTAAATCTTTCCAGGCCAACAAGTTGAATCTTTCGCTCGTGTTGCCAGGCAATCCGCGAAGTACAAGATACAATAGGGGAAGACAGCATCAGCATCGACGATGAAGTTCTCCATGCCCATGGTTATTCCAATTGGGCAAACCACAACATTGACAAACTGCCGGTCGCAGTTGTGTTCCCCACATCGACCGAGGAAGTTTCTCAAATGGTCAAAATCTGCAATAAATACAAAATACCGATCAGTGAGTTTGGTGACGGATAAGAATACACACGAATGAGTGACCAACAATATAGTCCCATTCTCTGGCGGCTCCAGTATCGAAGGCAACTTCGCAGCGCCATTTGGAGGAATGAGTTTTGACTTTGTCCATATGGCAAATATTTTGCAACTTCACCCAGCTGAGTGAGAACACATCGGCTTTGGGTTGGTTGTTTTTTTGCTGATGAATATTACTAGCATGGATGTCGTTGTTCAACCATCCGTTTCATGGATGGACCTGAATGAGAAAATCAAAGACAGCGGTTTATTCTTTCCTATTGATCCAGGTCCAAGTGCGAAGATTGGTGGAATGGTGGGTACAAACTGTAGCGGTACGAATGCTGTTCGATATGGCACCATGAGAGATTGGGTGGTCAATCTAACCGTCGTGCTTGCTGATGGCCAGGTAGTCAAGACGCGACGACGGCCCAGGTAAGAAGGCTCCTTTTTTCCCAGTCTCGTTCCTCATCAGAATCTGAACGGAATGTCCAGGAAGTCTTCTGCAGGCTACAATCTTACTGGATTGTTTGTCGGATCGGAAGGAACACTTGGGGTAGTGACAGAGATCACCTTGAAACTGACAACTATCCCTGAAGAAACAGGAGTTGGCGTTGTCACATTTCCGTCAATGAGAGCGGCAGCCAAGGCAGCAGTGGACGTTGTGCACAAGGCGATTCCAGTCGGAGCGGTGGAAATTCTTGACGATGTCCAGATGAATGTGATCAACCGGGCGGGTAATACCGATCGAAAATGGAAAGAGACTCCCACGCTTTTCTTCAAATTCGCCGGCACCACGGGCGCGGTCAAAGACAGCATTGCTCAAGTCGGTCAGGTGGTCAAGGCGCATGGAGGGAGTGACTTTGAATTTGCGAGGGATGAAGCTGAGCAAAAGAGCCTGTGGTCTGCCCGGAAAGAAGCACTCTGGAGCATGTTGAGCCTGAGAACGCACGGAAACGAAGTCTGGTCGACCGATGTGGCCGTTCCACTTTCACGGGTGGCCGATCTTGTTGGTAAGATATTGCGCCTATGGAGGCACCCTGACCTCGCTGAAGCTACGGTATGCTGACACAAGGATCGCAGAAGTTTGCAAAGAAGAGATGGACGCCCTTGGTCTCTTCGGCAGTATGATGGGCCACATAGGAGACGGCAACTTCCACGAGACCATTCTGTATGACGGCGAGAAAGAGAAAGAAGAGGTGAAGAGATGCGTCCACAGCATGGTTCAACGTGCTATAGAAATGGAGGGTACCTGCACCGTAAGACAAACATGCATAATTTCCAAGTCTCCGTTCACTCATGTTGACTTCTTCCTTAATTCTAGGGTGAACATGGCGTTGGTCTGGGAAAGAAGGAATTTTTACCTGAGGAATTAGGACTTGGGACACTGGAAGTGATGAGAACAATCAAGAAGAGCTTGGATCCACATTGGCTACTGAATCCCGGGAAGATCTTTGATGCATGAAAGAGCCAATGAGAGAGATCTCGTCATCCCTCCCCGGAGAGATTTGGCAGCAGAGGAACGTTTTATTATGGCTCATACCACAACCCTGTCGTGAACTCCTGATCGAGTGCCTGCCACATCGATCCTGGAATAAGCGCACCTCCAAATGTACTCTGAAGACCGTGGATCATCGGGGTAAAATCAACGTCTTGATTGCTGAAGTCCTGCAAGTTGCCTTCGTCCAAGTGGACATATGACTCCTGGGATGGGGCTTGGAAAATCCAGTTATTCCCACAATCTTTCTGATTTTCGGCCAGCGATTGAGGAGTCGTGATCCAAGGATCATTTTGGGCGCAGCTCGGTTGATCTCGTGTGTCATCCTGTCGGTTGCCACCATTGGATAATGTCACTAGAATTGAGGATATGTAAGAGAGATTTCCAGATCCAACAATGAGTTCAAGTCGTGGTGAACGTACTCTGATGTATGCTGATCGCGCGTTGTCTTATTCCTTGTAAAGCAGCCACACATTGGCCCGCCATTGGGTGTTTGTCATCAAGAAAATTCAGGGTTTGAAAGGATAGCTGCCACATTCGTGTGAACCTGTTCTTGTCGAGTTCACTTTTTAATTTAGGGCATGTCTCTGCCAATGTCAAGATCATGCATGCCGTCACGAGGTCTAGAGTCTAATCAGCCTTGGTTGCCGTGGGAGCAGCGTTGAGAAAGACGTTCTTACAAAATAATCCGAACCACCAAGCCCCGAAGAGACGGCCGGGGATGGCCCTGTTCAAAACTTCAATCAGTTCGCTCGCTGCTTCAAAGCAGCCGATCGCACAACGACCCGCAATTATTGTACGAATGCTGCTTTGCTCGGATGTCACGATATTTGGAGGTGTTCGGCAGCAAAAATCGGAAAATAAGGGTCGATACAACATCAGCCTGACATGTAATGTTCTGAAATACCACGACAGCATTAGATGCGGTCTCAGACAAGAATCTGAACCATGACAGCCCTTACCTTGCTTGGAGGATAAATCGTTGGCGGAGGAATGGCCTTGAAACTTGATCGTCCGGCACTCCACCGTCTCCCCATCTCAGTGTTGGAGGAAGATCTTTTTCGAAAGAAGATAGGGAAGACTCAAGGGCAACGATTGAATCAAACCTTATATTTTTATCGCTCTGGGTCGACGTTGGTGCATCAAGAGAGTCGTGGTCGATGTGGTGTGCATACATCTGCAGGAGAATCTGACCCAGAATTTCGCCCAATTTGACATTGTGTACGGCAAAGGTGGTGCGAGAAAATGTCCCGTCGGGTTGGTGGCAGTATTCGGATGAGTTGTCCAAGTATTCGTCGTCAATGGCAGAAAAGAGAGGTATTTTGGAACTCTCTAGGAGAGTCGGTAAACGTCCGAGAGTCATGCTCACAATTCTTCACCGAGAGTGAGTTCCCATTTCGGCCAGGAATAGATTCATGACTCACCGATCCATGAGCAAGCAGCCATGCCATGCTCTTCGTCTCATCTCAATCTCCAAAGTGTTGTACTTTGAATGATGGTCATTGAGGTGCAGCCCAATACCCTGGGCCATTCTATAGGCCAGACCTGACACACCCCAGCATCGCATGGGATGGTGAGTACTCTGCAAGTATATCGCGAGTAGCAACAGGGTCTGCACGATGGAGAGTCCCCCCTCATCCAGAAGGCTGATCTGAAGCAGCTCATTGACTCGGTCCATAAATTCCCCAGCAGGATGTTCATCCATTTGTTTCATCGAGTCCGAAAACTCACAGCCCAGAGCAAAGATAGTGTTTAAAGCACAGTGAAAAACTGTTGGGGAGCAGCCACGTCCACCAAGACCGACTCTTGAGAGTTCTCCTGCATCTGGATTTGTTCTGTCACTGACCCACAGGAGCTCGTAAGCTTTGAGGAAGCTCGGGAAATGTATCCACGGATAGAACAGATGCACCCCGTTCCAGTAATGATCCAAAAGATGATCTGCAATCCTTCGAGACGGAAGTGAAAACCGGTGAAATCTCCTCACTTGTGGAGGGTTTGTAATACTGTCACGCTGAGATCTCGAGATTGGTGGCTGCATGGATGTGATCGGACCTGAAAAGTCATCTGCCCCCAACCCTCGAGGTATTTGATTCATGAGGGAGACAATGGACGACTGTCCATAGAAGGATTCTCGCTGGCTTTGTGATGGAGCTGGTATTGAACAGATGGCACCCATAGCATTTACTTGATCTTCCTCATCAATAACCGCTGCGACTTCCCCACCATTCCGAGCAACTGATCCTTCATTGCTTCCCATATGTGATGTGCTGAGGCCCATTGGTGCTATTACTTGCCGTGGGCTCCTGTTGCGCAGTGACGGTCCCCCGGAGAAATTCGAGTTGCTGGTCTCACTTTGACTAGGTATACCCGGAGGACTGGCCGAGATGGATGTCGGTCGGGATCCTGGATGATCAAAGGCCTCATTTATGGCAATGGCACGCGGTGGACAGCCACTTTGCCCTGGAATTCTGTGGATAGATCGCTGCTCATTAGATCTCGAACTCCTGCGTGGTAAGAGCGTAGAGATCTCTTGATCAGAACTCTTCACCTGACTTAGCCTCAAGCTGGAGCTGGCTCCCTCCAAGAGACGAATACGATCGTGGAGGACCTTGATATATCTGTTCACTGTATTAGACCATGCCGCCTCGTCGAACTGATGGATCTGCTTACTCTCGCTGACTGTCGTTTCTGCTCGGATTTACAACTGTGCTATACACACATTGCGCCTCACTAAAGCCTCGTCTCTGACATTTGCCGCAGACAGGTTTGACACCGTTGCAACGGATTTTACGCCCTCGACAGACATCACAGGCCAGCGGGACTCTGGTGCGTTTTCGACCACCAGGCTTTTCGCGATTACTAGCATTGTCCTAGAGGATGACGGTCAATTAGTGAACAGGGCCCTCAAACGTCACATTGCGTTGCGCCTACATCACCTGCCCTTGGAGCCATGTTCGACGGCTAGCACAGGTTCATTTATAATCTCACAGGAAGTCTCAGTCGAGCTTGCGGTTGGAATATGGGGTTTCCCAGAGTTTGTGGCGCCTAGAGCCTCTCGCATGTTTAAATTGCAAAAGTCTCCCGGCAATCCGCCCGCCGAGAATAAGCGGAATTTGCAGCGCTGCAGCTATCGATTTCTATTTCACGGTCATCCGACCTCAGAAGGAAGCTCGGGCTGAAATGTCACCGATGCGAAGTACAAGAAAAGATCTACAATGTTAACAGAGCCACAGAGAACGACCATAGTCGACATTTCTTTATATTCGACATTGTCAAAATCTGTTGAGAGAAGAAGAACGATCCAAAGCGTCGGGCATCTGCAATTAGGACAAAGTACTACGGGCCCGGATCCAGTCCCTTTTGCTCGGAGCTAAATTGCGGCTTGATCAGCTACTCCGGGTGTTCAGCGACTGCATGACAACAGAAAGCGACAAGTACTGGTGTGCCACATGTTATCGCAATGGTGAGGAAGAACATTTTGATGCAGATCGCGGATTGTTCTATCAAATTATTCCCTTGCAGATATATATCTCCCAGATCTTGCATCGCAACTTTCTGGCGCACCAACATCAGAGATGCCCGCACACTGTCTGTGATGTTCGTCAGGGGACACATTCTTGGATCACGGGCTCTTGGGGTATCCTGTCGTTGAGACCTTGAAATTTTCCTTTCTGGTTCTTCAAATGACTCTGACCGGTCAATGAAGTGCCATGTTCGGAAAATGGCACGAGCGAAACATGCTGTTTAGGCCCATCCTCGGAGCCGCTTTCTTCGGAACATACCCGACCTAGGTTCTAATAGGCTGTCAACTGACATCAGTGGAGGAATAGGACCGAGAATAGGCGTTCTATGCCGACGTATACGTCCTAACATTTGCCGCCATGGGCGAATACTTAGGTAGAGTTTCCTGTGAGGCATGGGTATGTAACTCGGTATAGAGCAACGCCCTGACGAAGTGAGACCACAACTCTTCAGAAGGCAGCATCACCACAAGAAGGAAAAAGAGATATCATTGTCCGGCGCCGGTCATCATACGTCGGCATGGCCAAAAGTTCTTGGATAACAAAGATTCACCATGCGGCTTTCTACTACATCCCGGCCATCTTGAGAACGTTCATTACATGGCTTTCTGGAGTCTCCGAAACCTCTTCGCAATGGAATCTAAAAACAGCATTTACGGTTTCGATCGCGCGAGCGATCTTCAATGACCCTGCTCGGATCTCGATGCTCGAAGAACAGGAGGCAAGTTTCACAAAGCCGCCCATTACAAGCTCCATGTGGGTTTGTAAAGACGAGTTTCCGGCGACAGGGAAAAATAACTTGTCGCAGCTCGTGAGAGAGGCTGTATCTGATCTATCCGGCGATAACACAGACATCCCTTTCACCGACGTGGCGACAGTGGAAGGAGAGTGGGTTGGTCACAGATATAATTCAACCGGAGTATATGGCAATATTGCAAGTTCTCGGTCAAACGAGGAGCGTCAGTATCATCAGATGGCAAACGACACGAAAAATGACATTGTGTTGATTTATTTGCACGGAGGACAGTTCTAGTGAGTACACTGTGGGACGTGGGAAGGCCAACATCCAGAATATCTAATAACCGCAGTCTTCGAAATCCCGAATCAAGAAGAAGTTTGGTCCACGCACTTGCGCAACGTACCGGCGGTCGATGTTTCTCGATGGCTTACCGTTTGTCACCCCAGCACATGTTCCCTTCGGCACTCTTGGATCTGCTCCTGGTATATTTATCTCTCCTGTACCCTCCTCCATCTGACAGCCATCTGGCCGCGTCTCCACCAACGTCGATCTGTATTTGCGGAGATAGTTCGGGTGGAAACATTGCGGCTGCATTTCTCCAGTTGATCCTCCATTTGAATCGGAAAGAGCCGCCGGGAGTAGCTAGTGTTTTATGGAACGATGCACATGTGCCTCTTCCTTGTCCTGGAGCCGTATGTATACATTCGGGATATATGGATCTGACCAGATCATTGCCATCTGAAATGGAAAACCTAAAGTTTGACATCATACCATCACCGGGCCGTCCCCCCACACCGGTGACCCGTTACTTCGAAGATGCTATATGGCCTCCAGAGCAGCCTCGACATCATGTGTATGCCCCTACTCATCTTCTAACACATCCTTTGGTATCACCAATCACGGCAAGAGACTGGAAGGAGTGTCCTACCCAGGTCTGGTTAAGTGTGGGTCAGGAATGTCTTGCAGATGGGAATATCGTCCTAGCAAAAGAAATGGCCGGACAAGGTGTCGATGTGGAGCTTGAGATCTACGAGGGCATGCCTCATGATTTCCTCGTGCTGTTATCATCTAGTTCTTGCGGACAGGATTGTTTCGACCGATGGGCCAAGTTTGTAAAACGAGCGATTGGCCGTGAGGGACCAGGGGAAAGGACAGAGAATGAAAGGAACGTGGCTATCATTCACAGCATTGATGGGAAAAAAAAGCAAACGCCCTTAACCGAGATTCAACCTCAAAAAACGGTGGAGGAATTGATTGAGGGCATGGAAGCCAAAATCCAGAGCTGGGGGCAACCACCAACAAGGCTGCACTAGTTCAATTCCAGCGTATTCCTCCACTTCGATGTGCAAAATTTGTTCTCTTCTCTTGCGGTTTCTCCTGCTTCTAGCCATCTAATCTCGTGTGATTACATCGATACGTACCTTAACAAAGGGATTCAAGCAAAGATCCTCCAATAGCCAGGACAAAATCAAGAGAAGAAAGAGCCATGCTTTCACACTCGGGAGAATCCCGAAAAGCGGAGTCGGGAAGCTCTGCTTGGCGTTCTGAAGAGAAACACGGGTCGAAGATTTTGTCCTACGTTTTCTGGGGTTTGCTGTACCTTGAAACCGTGACGTCTCCCCAGAATTGAACCTCGATCCGTGCACCTAGAACAGCCTTCCAGATTTCGAAGAAATGGGAATCCCCACAACTCGCCCGGGGCGGGCCCTGAGAAAAGATGTTCATAAAGGACTCCCTCCGACCCTTTGTTTGGGAACGGCTATTCATCATTCATACATCCTGGCCAGTAACTAACACAATCGCAATATGCCTCTCCAAATTGCAATTATAGGGGCCGGCCTCGGCGGCCCAGCACTGGCGCTTGAGCTCCTCAAGGTGCCTGGGATCACTTGTACCATTTACGAACTCCGGCCCGAAGGCTATGAGCAAGGCCAGCACATTTCATTGGCACCTAATGCCATGCGCATAATGAAGCACATCGGAGTTATCGAGAAACTCAATGCGATTGGACACACCTACGAAGCACTTCATCTATGTAATGCCAAAGGAGCGCGAATTGCCACCTTCCACAACGGACACGAGAAAGAGTACGGCTTTGGGGCCATGCGTGTTCACCGACGCTATGTTCAACAAGTCCTGATTGAAGAATGTAAAGCCAAAGGTGTCGAAATCCGGCATGGGATGAAATTGAAGGAGATTCGTGAATATGAAGCTAAACGAACAGTCGAGATGATCTTTACGAGCGGACAGACCGCACAGGCCGACTTCATCGTCGGCGTCGACGGACTGCACTCGGCTGTCAGAGACTATCTGGCCCCAAATGTAGAACCGGTGTACGCAAAAATGCTCGGAGTGACAGGCTTTCTGCACAGAAACAGATTGCACTCGTCAGCAGGCCGAATTGGTCTGCCGGCGCATTTCATCGGCCCTAACGCATTTATCGCCATCATGCCATCAGATGTTTGGGGCAATGATATCGGCTTCTTTTCCACGATGGACTTTAACGAGGAGAAATCTCGGGAAGATTGGGACAAACTTTTCCACGACAAAGACGCCATTCGAGCGATCCTCCGCGAACTGTTCAGCACGGAGAAAGGCTGGAGCGACCTTGTTGCTGAATTGTGCGACACCGCCGAGGAGGAGTCGTTATGCTCATGGCCGTATGTACCGCTTTCTCTCCTGGACAGGCTGACCTGGCTGATAGGTCATTGCATCTAGATTCTTTATTGCACCACCCCTTCCCAACTGGTATTCCCCCAGCGGCCGTGTCTTGGTCATGGGCGACGCAGCTCACGCCATGATTCCCACGGGAGGTCTAGGCGCCTCACTCGCCTTCGAGGATGCAGAATGTCTTGCTCTTCTGTTGAAACATCTGGCTCCCTCGCATCTCAACTCCCATTCTCTTCAGCAGACCTTGCCAATCTGGGAGGCCCACCGTCAACAGAGGTTAGCACTGGTCCAGGAATTCACCAACCGTAACAGACGACTAAGACAACCGGGCGGAAGCTGGCAGTATTTGAAGGAATGGTTTGTATGGCTGTTCTTCAAGGTGATGGGTCGTGGAGGGCAAGCCGAGGAGATATACCGGTATGACACGGAGGTGTTTGCGAAGATGCTGCCGGCTGTTTGAAAGCTTGCTCAATAAGATATCGCTCTCATCAATAGAATGAAACGAGCCAATCATGGTGGTGTGAAGTATGATTACCGATGATCGGCTAGGAAATCTGGGAGAGAAGAAAGAACCTCGGCTTCTCTTTAGTATGGGACTTTTTGCTCTCGCTCTAATAATCATCATTTATTATCACGATCATCATTCCTACACTTTTCCCTTCCCTTTTTCCACTGTAAAGTAATCAGACCACCTATACATCTGCGCGGGGTTGGGAGACATATTTAATCTCACTGTGATTCTACTTCAACTTTAGTCCATCTAGAAACATCCGCCTGTGCCTGTATCTCAGCTGCGATAGACGACCCAGAACCCAGCATTGAGCACACGACACGACAACCTCTGTCGCCGAACATCCTACAGTCTCTGCGTGTACAGTAATTGGCAACGACGCCTTATCCATTTCTTCTTTACGGTCACGACCCCGAACTACGCCTAGTTGCATCTCACTCTCCCCCGCCTTGATCTTCAAAATGTCCAAAACATTCACTACCGCCGACGTGTCCAAACATACTGCCACCGCCAGCGATGGCATGTACATCATTATCGACGGCTCCGTCTATGACGTGACCAATTTCGTCGACGAACACCCCGGCGGCGCCAAGATTTTGAAGAGAGTTGCGGGAAAGGATGCCAGCAAACAATTCTGGAAGGTATGAAACTAAACAAAGCCGAAAGGATACCATTATGGATGATGGGCGAAATAAGAATGTTAAGCTGACGACTGGTTGGGACTTATAGTATCACAATGAATCCGTGCTCAAGAAATATGCGCCGAGGCTGAAGATTGGCTCAATTGGCGAGAAGGCCAAGTTGTGAATACATATCCTCCACTATCAAGCATAGGTTTATCGGACGACCTTTTTGAGTCTTTTCTCACGAATGATATATGAATACGGAACGTGAAGATGCCGGAGTTGTGAAATCTACAAGGTGAGGGACCGCGGAAAGGTGTATGGCTGCGTGATATCGTGGATTAACGGAAAGGTGGAAGAGTTGGGGATCTCGTGTCAACAGCCTGGTCAAGATCTCATATACATACCATGGAAATATATGGGAGGGACTTGGATCAACGGTGAGGCGGTCCGTTCACTGGTCATCTGCTTTCTAGATTTGTCCATAGATCATTGAGTCGATACGTATCCTCCATACCGCAATCGTGCATGTTCACTGTTTTCTTTGAATTTGTACCTGATGCCTGGACCTCAATGATGACCCATCAGATTCGACAAAGTCTGGCAAGTACGTGATGGACCGATTCTGCCGCTCTGGACTTGAGAGCATCTTCCCAGATCTCCTCGACCATATTAGACACAACGCCGAATGGCTCAATGAGTTCGACCAGCAGATTGTAGACGTCGTCCATGTAGTGGACTTCTTCGTACGACATGGCCAAGACTCGGATGCACCACCATCTCTCCCACCGTCCTCGGCATACTATCGCTCCGTGAAAGAGGACATTGAAACTTGTACATGGACAGAAGGTCCTTGTTAGCCTTGGGTTCCATGTTTGAAAGCTTGGTGTGCAGCATCGTTAGGTTTTGAGCAGTCTTCCGGCGCCGATGTGTTGAAGGTGATGGTAGTGAAATAAATTGACAGGGTTACAGATTGATCGGGTAGCAATACTGCATTTCGGCATTCTGTGACTTGTCAAGATATTTGGGATTTGGGCTAGTCAAGCGAGAGCAGCAGCGCTTCCTTTCTGTAGCCACTCGCTGGGGCTCTCAGGAAAATCGGCCGGCAAGACTTGCTTGATGGTGGTACCATTCTTGGTCTGAGGTCCATAACCCTCTGTCGATTTCTACGATGTCCTTAGCCATATCGCAATTACTTTCTGGTCGTGTTCAGACGATAGCTATGGAAGGCCTGTGAAGAAGTTCGCCGATGATGTTCACTTTGACCCTGCTCCTAGTCAGCAGGGTTGCGGTCGTAGGTATAATATGGAAAATTAAGACGGCAAGCTCTGTATCGAACGAGATGTCTCTCATATTAATCAGGGAGGACATCCGGATGGGGGCATTGTAGTGCATTCTAGCGGTGTTTCCACCAACCAAAAGGACCTGTAAGATTCAGCGTGACATCAATCAAGAAAGATCCCCCTTCGCCCTCAGATCCAGGATCCTAACCGATAGCCGAAACAGGGATAACCTGGGAGCACGATTCGTCAATTTTGTGAGAGTCGGAGTGGAGAGAATTCCACTCGGCCAAACAGCAAGTTTGCAGTCGCCACCAAGGCGGCGTCGGCCACAGCGATACCTGGCTTTTTTGCAACGGGAGAAGGCAACACAACCTCTGGTCTACCTTTCGGACATTTGGACAGAAAGATGGAAGCGTACGCAGCAACTGCATAGGGAAGGGCCAACAAAGCCCGGATGTGCGACAGGTTCTCAAACCAATCCTACCCATTCATCAGATGTTCCCTGAAAAGCTAGGTGACTTTGAGGCAGAAATGCAAGTTCGATTGGACTTCGAGGTCGAATTTGAAATATGTGGGAGTGAACAGGTCAAAGAAACACGACCCTGGATTGGAAAATTGTGGCTCAATTAGACATTCGAAAATATCCCAGGTGTTGTTGCTCTCTTTCTAGAAAATGAAGGTTTTCTTCGAGAATCCCCCGAAAAAGTGTTCGCTCCGTTCCACCATTTGCCAGCGGTAGTCTTTCAGCAGATCAAGCAGATCTTCATATTCGGATCTGTGGGTTTTTCTTTTGATCAGGTTGTTGCCGCTGGTGGGCTTCAAGGTTAGAACTTCCTAGGGGTGGGAATGCAGCATCAGGCTCTTTCGATTGTCTTTCTCCATGATTTGTACCGATACAGACGTGATATGCAATTACTTGACCGTCTTCCTTGTTTCTTTGCCCGTGAGCTGCCTGTTTGCATCCTGTGGAACAAGAGCAAAAATGTTAGGGGAATAGTGAATGAGTAATTTCATCCCTGACCCCTTGGGCCTCGGCATTTGAGGCTCGGCATTTCAGGGGACATGGGTATGCTAGAACTGCCTTTTTCTCGGTTCTTCAAATTTTGATGTTTTAAGTCGACTCCATTCTTCAGACTCATGGCGAAAGATGGGAATTAGATAAACAGGATCATTTTGCCGAACGTAGTAGTGAGTGGGGTGAGATAGGGCGAACTAAGACTAGGCTGCATCAATGTGTAATGGCGCCACATCCCCCAAGCGACCTAGATTGTTCCTTCCTACAAAATGGAAATCTGCATACTACAGTTGTACTGGTGCTGGGTGAGCATCCTGCTTTTTGATCGCTTCAAACGATTTGACTGACAAATCCAGGACAGTAATTGGTGCTGTTGGGATTACCTTGAGAGCGGATCAAATAGGCCGAAAGCCGGCATTTGCTGTGACCTTTGTAGTGAAATTCGCTCCAATCACCTTGGAGCTGGTCGCTACCACGAATCAAATCTTTTTTCGTGCTCTTCCTTAGCAGCATGACATTTGGGAGTGTTCGACACCATGCGCATGACCTATATTGAAGAGATGGCCTGGTATCCTTGCTGGTGTTCTTACCGCTGCAATGCCTGTCTCCATGACTTTATGGTCTCTCTTGGCTGCGATTGTCATTGATTGTACCGGCGATCAGAACTCTCGGTGGACGTATCGGACTATTTTTTATCTCGGAATATGGTTTTGTGGTGACGGCCGCCGTCTTTGTCCCCTTTATGCCTGAACCAACATGGTGGCTAACTGGGAAAGGTATGGATTGAAAGCTAAGAGGTCTCTTCAAAGTCCCAGGTACGTCCATATCCAGGCAGATGAATTGGTCGAAATGATTAGAAGGATCTTGGAAGAGACCAAAGAGGAGGCCCTGGAGGCCACGTACTTTGAGTGCTTCTGCAAGCCCAGTCTCCGTCCTGCAATCATATGTGCCGCTCCCTTGGTCATTCACACATTCTCTGCTGCCTCCTTCGTGTCCTCTTACAGCAAATACTACCAACAACCGCCGGCTACAACACCACAACCCGCTTTCAGCTCTTCGGCGGTCCACAAATTCTCTCCATGTTTGGAAACGTTTGTCCCTGGTTCTTGATCGAAAAGGCGGGAAGGAGTGGGCTATCATTCTGGAATATGGCAACTCTTGCTATCCTCCTTCTAGTGACGGATGATCTTGCTGTGCCAATAATAAAAGGAGCAATTCATGAACTGTGGCTCTTCTTCTGTTGCATTGTCGTGTTTTCAACCTCACGATTGGAGCAACAACATGCACACCATTGACAGAATTTCTACTTCTCGACTGCGTGTGAAGACTGCCTCTATGACATTCGCAGTCGAGAACACCTTACACGTCCGTATACCTTGACCATTCTCGTTTTTGAGTGTTGGCCTAACTGCCTGGTGGGGATTTGTACTGGCTTATTTGTTTAGGCCAGACAAGGCAAATTTGGGAGTCAGGGCTGCCTCTATTTTCGGTATTCTATCGGTTCTTTGTGCGATATACATTTGGGCCTCCTGACCGGAATGTGCCAGCCTCTTCATATGAAAAGTTGGATGAACTGTTTATTCAGCACATACCTACAGGGCAATTCAAGAACTCAGAGTGTAACAAAGGGGGTAGGTGGATCCGCACGAGGGTAATCATGATGTGCATTTCATGATGCGCAGTCCTCTCATATAGGTTTTGCAAATCTATGAGCTAGGTAAAATGATATCATAGATATTCTATTATTCCCCCAAGTCGATGTCCCAGGTTGATAGCATTCCAAATAACGTTGCGATATTGTGACTCAGCTTCCGCGAACTCGTCTAACCGGCCGGTGGTCCCCACACGCTGAAGCCGGTCAAGAACTGCGCCTTCCGTGATTTCGAGACCCCTTCTCGTCAACTTTGTAGAACGACTGATGATCTTTCTGATAAGCTGTAAACGACGAACGACTGTTGAGCTGCTGCAGGATGTCACAGTCGCTCAAGTTTGGATTACGGACCAGCCGCACATGGTGCTGGATCTACGACGAGATGGAGCAAAAAGCCTTCAGAATCTGGCCCGAGGAACAGTATGTGACTGATGGACCCGGTGAGAAGTTCAGGTGTTGATGTCACAGGCCGAAGCATTTGCTCTATGAATTTGTCGGTCAGCTGTTCTATCACAATGCCGTTTTGTCCTTTACAGCGCGGGCTCTCGCCGCGGGCGCATTCCGGCGGTACAAAACCTGGGCCGACATTTGCTCCTCGACTCTTAACTCAAGAATACCGTGACATTGGATCGAATAGTAGTCTGACCTGTTGATTTGACCAGTCAGAACCACAAGGTCTCTCATTTCCATCATGGAGATGGTCAAAGTCCATTGAGGATAAAAGCGCGATGGGAACGTGCAGCAAACAACTCACTCCCCTGTCACGAACCGGATTCTGACAAGTATATAAGCTAAGAGGTCCAAGTTTCTGTCATGAAATGACAGGACTCGTAGTCTTTTTGGGCTGTGGACCTCTTCCTGACATCCCCCGTCATGAGGGAGACGCAGTCCACTACCGTGTAATCCGCCGGAACGATCAAGCTAAGAATACCAGTGCCGAAGTGCCGTTAATATTCAGGAGCTCCCATGGAATCAACCACAGAGAGTGGGCCTGAACACCTGGTCTACCTCTTTCATCTGGTTGTCCGACTCTTTACTACTGCACTCTTTGTACAAGGCTTCATGGCGTCGCAGGTATATGTTACAGTACCCAATTTCTAGCAGCTCATGCTCTCCAAGATGCTACCATCGCTTTCTTGCCACGGATAGGTCTTCTCAATCGATCGGATGAGGTCTTCATGGTGGGCTGATCGTGGCGTGATTTTGTTCTTGTAGGGAGCCGGGTGGCTGACCACCCCGGGCTCAAATTTTATGATAGGCATCACTTCCTTTCCGTTCTCAATGGCCTTGCTAATGTTGAGCACGGCCAGAGACTGTGCAATGTTGAGATAGAGGGCATTATCGGCCAAGATGCGCCCTGGGCATATTCGTCGTCCAAAGCCAAACACATACATGTGCGGGTCTGGCTCAGGATCATGGCCGTTTGTCGCCAGGAATCGCTCGGGCTTGAAAGTCATAGGGTCATGGTAAACATTAGGGTCATGTGTGAAGTGCCTGGTTTACCATGAGAATCGAATACATGAACAAAATGGAAGGAATCAGTCCGATACTCACCAGACGTTCGCGAAAAGCATGGCCTCTTTGGGGATGAAATAACCTTCACAGAGGTCATCCTCTGTGCTCGTATGCGGAAGACTCATTGGCGCGACGGGGTGCCAACGAAGGACTTCTTTCACAGTGGCATCTAGATATGGTAGATTCTCTCGATCATGGGCAGTAGGGAGCCTGTTTGGCCCTATCACTCGATCGATCTCTTCTTGAGCCTTCCGCTGGGCGTCTGGGAAGACTGTCATGGCCAAGAAGAAGCACGCAATTGACGAGACCGTCTGGAACTGTTAGTGCCACCTTCCTCTATCATGACCAGGAGGAAACGGCGAAGGGGACGCTCACAGTATCTGCACCTGCCGTGTACAAAGACGCAGCCGACCACTTGTTTGTAAACTTCTCTTCCGAATCCGAGTCACCCTGCTCCAGCAGCTGAGATAGGAAGGAGATTTCACTCTTGCCCTGAGCAATCTGGTGCTTGACAAAAGCGTAAGGCTTTTCCGTTACTTCGGTGAGAGCAGCACTCCATTCCCGTGCCGTTTGCTTGAATCCGGTGCCGGGAAGCCAATCCGGGAGTTCCTTCACTTTTCTGTGTCAGCAGATTCCACACAAGAGTCTCCCAGAAAGAAGTGGAGGGGGTGGTTCTGACAGAAGGGCAGGAGGTCAACCAAGAAGGCTCCAGGCACTGCAGCCCGTGCAAACTTATCCATGGCATCACCGGCCATATTGATAAGGGGGTCATTCGTGTGTGACTCGGCCGTATAACCGTAGGCAATCTTCAAGATCACCGCACCCGCCTCTCTACACCAGGACGAGTTAGTGGCAAAAAGCTGACGCACGTGCATAGACTAGCAAAACGGAGAACCAACCTTCTGATATGGTCAAGCAAAGCCTCCGGCTTCTCGAGGACATGCAGCAAAAAGTGGCCGACCTCAGCCTCTTGCAATGCATTGAATTGCGAGGCTGACTGTTTGGATCCGATGATGCGGGCCATGTTCTTGCGGTAGGTACGGAAACGATTGTTGTAAGGGGAGAGCCCAAGAGTGTTTTCCCACCCCAACCTACGGGTAAAGACGAGAAGTGTCAGCTTGTTGTAATTTGTTTGGTAGTTAATACTTAAGGTGACTAAGGCCGTGTATATAGCAGTTCCACGTACATTTCACCGGCAAAGACCTGTTTGGGTCGCGATGAATGAACCGCTGACCGTTTCTCTAGGAGCTCAAATGCAAGTCGAGCATCATTAATGATAACGATGGTTTGTCCCATCGCCTTCACAGAGCTAATTGGGCCTGTCATTGGCCAGTGGTGCCTTGCTTAGTACAGGATTCGCCACATAATGTTTGAAGGGTTTCAGGGACGAGTTACACGAACCGTATAGATCTTTGTGCTTGAGCCAGTGATGGGCCTCGAGCATGCCTGGTTTAGGCAAATCATTCAAGTTCCCAACAAGGGGGAGGCCCTTTGGGCCCGGCGGCAGCGGTGCGCGACTAGCATTTCTCGATCGACCCAAGGCCCCGACAGCGTACAGGATGGCGAGGCCAAGGATCAAGCTGAAAATGACCGATGAGGAAGGCATGATGTTTGCAGGCTGGATGAAAATTTTGAGAGACCAAGATGAGGAAGATAAAACCACAAATGACCCTGCTGGCTCCCCTGGTCGCCCCAGCAGATGTCTGACATAAGCGGATAAGGGGACTTCAAATGAGCACGAGCAGATACTAATTAACATGGAAGGTGTTGGGGGAGGTTTGGGGTCGGTCACTTATGCGCCGTTATTGGATCTGGTCTCACGGATGTGCGTGTCCGGCACATGAGTGGGCCACAGGAGAACTTCCCCCACCCTTGCCAGCTGTGGATTGTGCAAGAACTAGAGGCCGCTCCCCGGCGAGCTACTTGGACGCGGCTGGGTCAATCATCAACGTTTTCATGCATACTAAGCATCGTGAGGCACTCTCAGCCTTGTCCGTACCCTCTTCGATGGTTCTTACTCCACTCGACGGTGAAGCCTTTGGCTTTGGACGGAACTACCACATTGGTCCCGCTGCCCCCTGTCGATTCGTCCAACAATCCAGTCATCGAGGCTGTCAAGTGTTGTTTACAACCATTTAAGTTCGTCACTAACTGTCGCACGAGTGGGTACAAAAGAGGTTTGATGGCGACGATCGCCGTTGAATAATGATCTGCCCAATGGTGTGACTTCCGCTTGGTACTTGCAACGGTACCCAAATCCTGGTCCTTTCGTGATTGCAAGCCTCGGGATTTTCACCCCCACAAGAAGCTGTGGTCTTTTTCGAAAAGCGATAAATATCGTCTAAAGACTTCCTCCTTTCCCTTTACTTCCGCGACCGGGGCTTCGTTCGGCAACTTGATAATCATCACAGTCAGCCGGGGAATGTGGTACAGAATGAAGCCACAGCACGTCCTTTTTCTATTTACCTTCCTCGTGGGGGCCTCAGTGGGCCAGAACAGCCTTCTGGATCAACTTCCACGATGTGCGGTAAGAATGTTTAAAGGAATCGGTTTGATAGTCAGGCGGGCTTTACCAATATACTAACTAGTTTCGCCTTCCAGGTCCAATGCTTCAACCAGGCGATCTCAACATCGTCATGTTCTCCAAGCGACATCGCCTGTCTGTGTGGTGACACCCAATTCATGCACGCCGCGGCAGCCTGCGAAGCCGTGGACTGCACTGTCAAGGAAACTCTGAGTAAGTCGCTCGGCTCGACTGTCCAGGACCACCTGTCCAACGAGGAAGGATCACGAGCTGATTTACAAAAACTCAGCATCCACCAACGCTACTCTGGCGGCGTGTGGTGTCCCGCCAAATGACGCTTCTACCACAGTCATGGCAATCCCAGCGGCTTTTGGAAGCCTAGCAATCCTCATGGTTGTCCTCCGGATTGCCGACCGTCTTTGGGACAACAAGATTACACTCAGTTGGGAGGACTACTTCGTCGTGATAGCCACGGTGTGGGATGAGAACAAAACGCTACTTCTATGTTATACCGGGTCTAACGAATTTTTTCTTCTGCAGATTCTGGCCGGCGTGTTGAACTTTGTATGCTTTCCTAGTGAGTCCATCTCTCACGAGACGCCCAAGGGTCATCTAATGTCAACTTAGTGGCTGCCCTGGGCATGGGCAAAGACTTTTGGGCCGTGAAATTCGATCATATCAACAAGGTTTTCCAGGTGAGTGGTCACCGACACGGAATGAGCGATTCTACCATGGTCGACTGACGACTCCTTGCAGCTCCTCTATGTTGCCGAGATCTTTTATATGGCGGCCGAGGTGTTCGTCCAGTTATCACTCCTAGCCTTTTACCTTCGAGTTTTTGGCACTCGTGAATTTCAGGGAGCAGTCTTCGTCCTCATGGGGGTGGCGATATGTTTCGGTATTGCTAATACGTTTACCATGGTGTCTCAGTGCACGCCGGTTCCTTTCTTCTGGCAAGGATGGGCCGGAGAGACAAAAGGCAAATGTATCAACATCAATCTCTTTTCTTGGATCCGGGCCGGCGTCGAAATTGCGATCGATGTGGCCATCCTCTCGCTGCCAATTCCCATGCTGCTCAAGCTGCAGATGCGTTGGAAGAAGAAGATTCAGGTGGTCATGATGTTCAGCGTGGGATTCGTGTAAGTTTTCCGCCTTCTTTTGTCATTGACATACCAAGATGGCCGTCAGGAAACCCTGCCGGAAATTGTTTGGGAACCGCTCTGACCGTGTTTTCGCAGTATCACGCTCGTCAGTGTATTGCGGTTAAGATCCTTGATCCAGTTCTCAAAGACGACCAATCCCACTCGTGAGTGGCCTCTTTCTTTGGTTCCCTTACGACGCTGGCAGCGGCTAACAAGTGCCCCGATCAGACGACAATGCGCCAGCCGTCTATTGGAGCGTCCTTGAGTGCGACATGTTCATTATTTGCGCGTGCATGCCTTCGACACGCAAGTTCCTCACGAGGATCTGGCCGACATGCTTCGGCAGCACAGTCAACCAGGGCTACTACGACAGGGCCAAACAGGTCAACCGCGAGGGGCTTGGTCCCAATGCGCAGTACCGACGCCAGCCGTCCGGCGAACAACACCACCAACAATACAACGCAAGCTCCAAGGGCACTGTCATACTCAAGTCGATCGATGTTGACGTGTACCGCACGGAGCGATCCGAGTCTGATGTTGAGCTGGGCGAGCCCCGGTCGGGTCAGGTCTACGGCATTTGAGTGGAAGGGAGTCTTGTAGCTGGTACACTGTTCAGCCTTCGAGAATTTTGACACTCTTGGGGGCGCACAGAAAACGAGCACAACTCGGAGTCGTCCTCACCCCAAACCAGGGGTCAGACGCACGCAGTTTGCAACCCATCTACCAATTGGACTTGCTGCATCAGAACGGCACAAACAAGAAGTCCCCGATTTGGGGCCCTTTTTGAGAACCGCGACATACCTAAAAGAGGGGACCTTCATTGACTTGTAAATAAAAAGCAGCATGGCATGTTGCTGCCGTTGCGCCTATAAGGAAGCGGCTACGGCGCTGACAAAGGTGGTTCTTATGGATGGTTGGGTAACTTCGGTTTGGGCCATTCGTACACTATCGGATCCGTTAAGAGAAATAGGTGTCTCCGAACCTTTGTGTAGTGCTTTTTTCCTACACTAGGCGAATATCTTGCCCAATTAACGTCCACAACACCTTTGCAGTGTCAATCTCCCTTGGTTGGATGCAATATAGACCAGGCGAACATAGTAGACGCAACCCGGAGCAAAATGGACGGTATATTGTTCCCTGGTAAGCAGCCTTCACATCGCCATAACTGCATTTCTGTCAAAATTTATTCATTACGAAAGTTCTCTATTGATCAGTGGACTATCGAAAAGTCCATGCCGGTGTCGTGATAGCCGCTACTTTTGGTGTTACCGCGCCGCGATGCCAACTCGACCGTTTAGTTCGTGTTGAAGACTCTTCGTAGGTGTTGCTGTCTGCACTTCGTCTTCCAACGGGCTCTCACCCCCCGTCCTCCCCGTCGACATTTTCGTCCTCGTATTCTGCGTACCTCTCCTTACCGTTGCCGCTCTCCTCCTCCTCCTCCCTCCTCGTCGTCACCTTCATCATCTGCTTCTTCTCCAGGAAACTTCATGTTAGCATCCGCTCTCCTGCTATTCTGAGACACCTCGCGGTCTGATGTGGTCTTGTGTTGGTGACAGAAAAAAAAAAAAAGGGAGGGGTTTGGGAGACTGTGACTGCGCCATGTGAAGCAGGAGAAGAATACAAGGGGAGGGATCGGAGAAGGCAAGGCGGAGGAAGAGATCGATGTCGAGAAGGATACGATGGGGCCGTTCTTATAGCGACGCTAAAAGCGGCGGGCAGCCAAGAAGACACAGGCTATTACGAAAAGGAGTGCCCGCCAGTGGATTTCCCGGTCTACAAACTTTTACCCCCGCAGTTTAGGTATGATGATCGGCAAAGGCAACCAATCATGAACAGCTCACATTCGGCTTCAATTCGCCCGAACTAAGCCCAAACAGTTATACTCGAATATCGGGTGTCACGACAAAGGCCAAACTTTGCCACGAACCTGGGATATAGAAGCCGGGCCATACCGACATTCGTCTGGTTGCCGATGGACTATCGCTCATCATGTCTTCGTTATTCGTGCTGGTCCTCTGCTTCCTAGCCCAGAGGGTCTCTACAATTCGATATGCACAGTATATTCTTACCCCTTCCTCTCGGACACTATACCCTGCGTCGGTCTACAATATCAATGGCACCGTCCAGAATGGCATGAGTTTGGTGAATGCAAGAGGATCCGCCACTTTTTCCGGTCCGTCAGCGGCGACTTATGACTTTGGTAGAAATATCGCGGGCATAGTGTCATTCAATTTTAACACCAGTACCAATGCTCGTGACCAGTACATTGGGATCAGCTTCACTGAGAGTTCGCTCTGGATCAACAGTGAAGGATGCGATGCTACGGCCGATGCAGGAATCGACCAAGCACTCTGGTTTGCGGTTTCAGGTACCGGTCGCCGTCAAGCTTCGAAAGAGCATCAGCGAGGAGGTTTCCGGTATCTGAACGTCTATCACAATTCCAGCGGAGAAGTCTCGCTCACCAACCTCTCTGTTTACTTTACCGCAGTTCCTCAGAGATCAGCTGCTAGCCTGCAAGCCTACACTGGCTATTTTCACACCAATGATGAGCAATTGAATCGAGTTTGGTATGCTGGCGCTTATACCAACGACCTCTGTACCATTGATCCTACGACCGGTAATTCATTGGTCCACCTGGGAACCATCAACTCAAGCAGCACAGTGAGAACTCCTTTAACATGGTTCTCGAATTATACCATTGCGGCCGGCAAGAGCGTTCTGGTCGACGGTGCGAAACGCGATCGACTGGTGTGGCCAGGTGATATGGCCATTGCGGTGCCTTCCATTTTCGTGTCCACCAACGATCTCTCCACCGTGAGAGACTCCTTGGACTCTCTTCTGCGGCTACAAAATTCATCGACAGGAGCACTCCCCTATGCCGGTACGCCTTTTGCTCAAGAAACCCAGACGTTCAGCTTCACATATCATCTCTACTCGCTCATCGGTATTTACGACTATTATCTCTACAGCGGTGACAAGGCATATCTATCTCAGAATTGGGAAAAATTCAAGTTTGGGCTCAACTATTCGACCAGCTTCATCGATTCCTCCGGAATGGCCAACGTTACCTCGTCAGCTGACTGGCTTCGATTTGGAATGGGTGCCCACAACATTGAAGCCAACGCCATTCTCTACTACACTCTCAACATGGGAACAACGCTTGCTAGTGTCTTGAATGACACCTCTGTGGCCGCCTGGACAGGACTCGCAGCGGGCATCAAGCAGGCGGCGAACACTCGACTCTGGGATTCCGCTGCAAATCTTTACCGCGACAATGACACCGTACCATTGACGACCCTTCACCCACAAGATGGCAACGCATGGGCGATCCTCTCCAATCTGACCACTTCATCGGCCCAGAACGTCAATATCTCGACCGCCCTTGCCTCCCGCTGGGGCCCTTACGGTGCTCCCGCTCCCGAAGCCGGCGCCACCGTTTCCCCATTTATCTCCGGATTCGAGTTGCAAGCGCATTACCTCGCCGGCCAACCTCGCAAGGCCGTAAGCTTGATGAAACGCATGTGGGGGGACTTCATGCTGGACGACCCGCGTATGACGAACTCCACATTCATCGAAGGATATTCGACCAACGGCGATCTGCACTACGCGCCGTATACCAACGATCCACGCATCTCGCATGCGCACGGCTGGGCCACGGGTCCGACCAGCGCATTGACGTTCTATGCCGCGGGTCTGCAGCTGACAAGCGCGGCAGGACGGACGTGGAAGATTGAGCCTCAGTTGGGTGGGTTAAACAGTGCCGAGACAGGCTTTCAATCCAGTCTGGGTATGTTCGAGGTGAATGTCATTGCTTTGGAGAATGGTGGTGTCAGCGTGAGTTTTCAGACTCCTGAGAATACCACCGGGAGTGTTGTTTTTACGTATGAAGCGGGAGACGGAGGCCAGGTTACAGTCGCCAAGGTCGAAAACGGTGCTCGGCTTGTCAAACGGGCTGTGGTTCTTCCTGGTCGATCGGGAACTGCGGCGTTCCATGATCTCCAAGGCGGAAAGTATGAAGCATGCTTGGTCCTTCACGGAAAACCATAACATTGGGATCTCGAGCGAAACAAAGTGAGTGAAAAGAATCGTTCCGTATTGCACACAGGGGGAAACAGCAGCCAAGAAAAAAGTCCACGTTCTCATCTTCCAGACGTCACTTATCTTATGCCTACCCTCCTGGTGCGTCACAACTTCGCCTTCCCCTCCCTTTTCATATCCACAATCCTTACATCCTCAAACTTCACGTCCAAGAAATCCCACACATACGGCCACCGATCACTTCCGAACAGCGACACACTCTTTCCTTCCCCATCTGTCAAACCAGAACCGCGGCGACTCAACTACTCCACAGCCCAGCGTTGTCTTGGGCATTCTTCGTCAGTTTGTCTTTATATTCCTGCGTCCCCATCGATTTCACGATCACCTTGACTTTTGCCTTGTCGAAGTGCTTCCGGGGGTCGAGACAGTAGGCGCAAGCAGTCAGGCTAGGTTAGCCCAGAATAGGATTTCCCGGCTTCGAAGACCTGTTGAACATGACTTGAGATCCTCCCGGTAGTTGGCTAGTACATATGACAGGTGTCCATTGGCTCTTGAGTTTTGACTATCTCTATTTCTAGAGTTGGTGCTGAGGTGAGGTCTCGTCGATCACCTAACAAGTTTGGCCTCGAATGACATGGTTGGCGCTTTTTGAAACCAAACAGCAAAAATACGGACTGTTATTGTGCATAAGGTCTTGTAGCCTTGGGCCTTTCCTTTTTTATACGTGCCTAGCTATCAAAGCACAACGAATCCAGATTACCCCTCAAAAAAGAACGGTCATATCCATAATAAGTGGAGCATTGCAACGTTACGAGAATACCATGTAGCCTAGGGAGCCTCCCAATACGCCAAGAGCGGGCTTCGGCATGTACGTGTCAGCCCTGATGGAGTGTTGATATTCGGTATTCTCGGGGGATCTACAAAGCACTTACGGGATTCGACCACCGGGATATCGGGCTATAGCCAATGGTATGGGGTTACCTGGGCCTCGAGGCTGGTGACCCCGGTGGGGCATTTATGAGCCTTTGGTAGTATTTGCGACGGATAATGAAGGCACAACACCTGAGGCACTGTATCAGTCAGACTTTGTTCCCACTTTTCAAAGAGAAGCTGTGCCATCGCTCGATGGTCAACATGATTCAGCGCTCTCAGCCTCTCCTACTAGCTAGTCTAGTGGCGATTCTGAGCTGCTCAACTGCTGTGGCTCTTAGTGTTCCAAAGATCCAGGCACGAATTTTGGACGGGCCAGAAACTCTCAGAGAGTCTTACGACTATGTGATCATTGGCGGAGGTACAGCAGGCTTGACCGTCGGAGACAGACTTAGTGAAGATGGCGAGAGTAAGTCAGCATCCACGAAAAACCCCGTGGCAACAGTCCGTGCACGCACCGTAGCTCATCTTCTGTTCCAGCTACTGTACTTGTGATTGAGAATGGCGAGCTAGCAAACTCGGACGAAATCAACAATGTTCGTGACCGTGTCACATGGAGCGCCGAGCCATGGTGGCTCTACAATATCACCTCCGGCCCAAACAAGGAGCTAGACAACCTGGAATCTATCGTCTACGCGGCAAGCGTAGTGGGTGGCGGTTCTGCCCTCAACGGCATGCAGTGTCTTCGGGGCACAAAGAAAGACTATGATAGATGGGGCAGCTTTTTCGGTCGTGGCTCTCCTTGGTCTTGGGATGGAATCCTGCCGTACTTCAAAAAGGCGAGCCGCCTCTTCTTCAGTGCAGAGTTACGATACCAGTTATTAATATCCTATCTTCAGGGGGGTTACATTTTCAACCACCATCTCAAGAAACTATGGACCAAATGCCCGGCCTCAAGTACGATGAATCTTATTGGGGCACTACCTCTCGATTATATGCAGGATGGCCGTACTTTCAATGGCCTGGAACTAGTGAGCGTCTCCGCTGTGACTGCATGCTTTGGGAGATGGTGCTGATTCACAGCTCGCGGGGTATCAATTTGAGGTATTCACAGACCTGCCAGGTGTGGAGGTCCCAGGAGACAGCGGAGCAGGCCAGAGTGGCGTCTACTGGTACCCGACTTACAGTGAGCCAATTTTTATACATTTCTTTTCCGGAGAAATCCCAGTCTCCTTGAATGAGAGGATATATTGACGTCGATATTTGCAGTGGACGCGAAGGGCTCCAGGAATAGATCGTATGCGCGGACGGCTCACTGGGATGGTCTGAACCGAGCAAACTATGAACTCCTTATATGGTTCAAGGTTCACAAGATTGAGCTCGACGGAAACAAAGCCACTGGCGTTGTGTTCGGACCTAACGAAGCGGGCCGTGAAGACGTCGACCTCACCACAGTCAATGTGAACAAACAAGTAATCCTCTCTGCGGGGACCATCCACAGCCCCCAACTTCTACAGCTAAGCGGCATCGGGCCTCGTAAGCTATTGGAGAGCGCTGGGATCGAGACCAAGGTCGACCTTCCCGGTGTCGGGCAAAACTTCCACGACCATACCACCCTCACTTTTGAGATTAAGTGCAAGTAGCACAGAGCCTCGTGCCATTGTAGTGGAAGCTGACTGAGCGCCAACCGAAGGATAATTTTACCGATCCGGATTTCGTTGCATGGGCCGAAACTATTCGATCTAGCAACGAAGTCTTCTACAGTCACTACTTCTCGGGCGATGAGCCTGTCAACTACTTCACATGCGAACATCCGTTGAGTCGCGGCAGCATCAACATCAACATCTCTGCTCCTGAGTCCGAGCTCATCGTCGACTACCGCACATACAGTAGCCCAGCCGACTTCGATATCATGCTAGAGCTGGCACGATTTCATCGCTACATTAACGAAGAGTCGCCGCTTCTTGTAGAGTTCGACCCCGTTGAAACATCGCCCAGTCTAAACACGACATCTCGAGAGGAGTGGGTGACGTACATGAGGCAGAATACGGTTCCAACCGCGATGCACCCCGCCGGCACCTGCGCCATGATGCCGTTAGAGCTGGGAGGTGTTGTCGATGAGCAGTTGAGGGTCTATGGTGCTGAGGGGCTACGAGTCGTAGATGCCAGCGTGATGAATGTCATTGTCAGAGGTAATATTGCAGGGCCCGTGTTCGCCATTGCGGAGAAAGGTGCCGAGATTATCAAGCAGAGCTCCAAATAATGCAGATCGTGCTTACGAGGAGAGATTATTATTTAGGGTGTAATGTCCATATTTGACCATCTAAAAGTACCTAGGATTGGGTGAATACTCCATGGGACATAGAGCGCCAATACTTCCCCAGCCTTAGGAGTGACGACGAAGAAGCATAGTACTTGAGAAGGGAATAATATCGCATACAACTACATCTGGTCCTGGGTGAATGAATACCTTGGATGGAGAAATCCCCGAACCTGCAGGAAAAGGACCAGATCTTGGTAGTGACCTGTACATATGTACTCGATCATATACTAGCATCCTATCTACACTAACGAACTGTACATGAGCACGATTGTTCCATGTTCGACAAATTGACACCTATACAATATCTGTGCCACCTGATCAAGGCAGTGTCCCGATCTAGTAGTTCTCGATCGCGTCGTCGATGGATCTAGTAGATCCGGATGTCGTATCCGTCGCCGATCAGTGGCGGTGAGTGTGTGAATATGTCAAACTGGGTGCAACTCGAGATGTATTGAATGCTCTGTTCTCTATCTACTTGTCGAGGTACTGAGGTTTCTTTTATAGACATGCGAATACTACGTCGTTACACAGAGAAACCATCAGCAATGGTCCACAAATCGCTTTCCTAAACGCTGACGACGTTATCTCCTGGTTTATAGATGCCACCAATATCGAGCCAGGAATTAAACAGCAAGCTCTCGGTCTTCTCTCGATACCCGTACTGTCAGCTGAATTGGAAAGAGTGTTGAGTCAGGCGAAGCTGACTGTTACCCCATCACGAAATAGACTGTCGGAGTACACAATAGAGATGCTAGAGCTTTTGAGGCACTGGTGAGTCAACAACATCATTGGTCAGCAAAGAGGCGGAGGTGGAAGGGCATACCGCAAGAAGAAGCTACTTATCCCGATTAGAGGCGACAGCGAGATCACAAGCACCACGGGGAAAGGGACGGAATACCCAATTGGGAATGCCGAGAGCGCGATCGAGTCGATCGCGAGCGATCTAGTAGATCGGAACACTGACGGAATCAGCCACCAACCATCCTCCGTCACATCACGATTGTCTCCTTACTTCACAGCCAAGTCTTGGGTGGATGCAATGAGAGGATAACCTTTGCGAGAGATCCTTCTCTCGTGGAGATGTGGTAGTCGAGCTTCGAGTCGCAATCAGTTGCCAACGATACATTCACTCCAAGAATGACGCACTCGCGGACCTCCATTCTTTGAGGAATGCTTTCGCGGCAGCAGCAGCTGTTGCCGCCGCATAAGTCTGCCAATCTTTATTCTTGTGACTGTCAGCGTAGTCGCATACTGCCTTGATGATCAGGCTGGGGAAGAAATCCCATATGCCAGCACCTTCCATCTCGAATCCTATAATGTCGTACTTCTGGGCGACTTCGTCTCGATGCGTCCCGGACTTCATCAGAGTGTCGCCGGATCCCATATTGCCGATATGTATGGACGGTGGATATGCTTCCGCTGGTAATTGGCCTGACGGCACGGGGCCATTCTTGAGTCTTATGCGTCGCACAATCCCGCTGGTTTCACAGCCGAGGTCTTCGCAGCTGCTTCTGAAGGCGTGCGTGCAAATGCGTGTAGAGCCTTCCGACAAGCACGTGTGACACTCTCCAACTACATGATGGTGATGCAGCGAGGTTGATGCGTACAACTTGTCTTTCTCCGGACCAGGATATGCCGACCCTCTCATTATACGCTGAATATCATTCAAAAGCTGTACGGTGTTGAGCTCCAATTGGTGGCGATGATGACTCGTCTCGAGCTTCGCAAGCATTGAACGGATCTCCGCCGATGGCTTACCAGACCCGCCTTGGAGGCTATCTTTTGCTTCAAACTCTCCAGGATATTGCCTTCCAAAGTCGTACTCTGTGGATCTTCGTTAGCCTGTATCGATGTTGACAGAACGATAACAACGACACCGTCGAAAAGGGCATGGTTTAGGATTTGGAAGACTCACGTATAAGTGACCGGCTGATGACAACGTCTCCCAAGAAGATCTCTTGCTTGTTACGTCTTGCATACGGCACGCCACCACATATTCCCACAACAATTGCAAGTTGAATGTTCTCAAAACTCGAATGCAATCCCTGGGCAACATTGGCAGCGCTGACTTTGCCCATACTCGGCATGTGGACCACGACAACGTTATGCTGTCCGATGCGGCCGGTAGTGTATGCGTTGGGATCTCTTGCGGCCTTGCCGTATCTCCGACTGCCTTCGTCCCAATGCTCGTCGAACAAGGAAATGACAGCATCTGCCTCAGTAGGGAGGGCGCAGATGATCGCGATCTCGAAGCCGAGACGGTTGCGAGGACATAGCGGAGTGGTAGGCTCTGAGATGGAAAGGTTTTCGAACGCTGGCTCGAGTATCGGCTTGGCCCGGGGTGCGACAATTGCCCTTCGAGACGTTTGACTAGTGTGACCCCTTGAGATGTCACCATTCTTTGCCAAAGACGCAAGGGTGATTGAGGCTGGCTGTGCCAGCGATGGCTTCATTGGCCCGAGTGTCCAGATATCGTGCATCCATCCGGTTCCAGCAAGTAGATCTTCCAAGGGAGTAGCAACATCATCAAGGATCATTCGACGCCTACCTTCGATATCGGCCACCATATGCCCGCCAACGCTCGAGGTTGCCCTGAGAAAGAATTGGTTGTTCACACAGCTACGAGCAGCGTCCCAGTAGCTCCTGTAGTCGAACTCTTCCCACGGAGTCGGTTTGGACAAGAACTCTTTCGCAGACAACCAGTCTGAGTTGACATTCGTCTGATAATTCCGAAAGAGATCTCTAGCTCGTTTGCCTGTGCCAATTTCAATTAACATCAATCCTAGCGACAGCACTCTCGGATACCGGTGGATCTTCCCGACAAGAGTGCTGGTATCGTCCTTGGAGGTTTGGTCCTTTCCCCATTCCACAGCCAAATATGGCCTGTTGACTGAGACTACGGGCTGCCCGTCAATCTCATTCGGGTGTTCTTGGAGAAAGTGGATGTCGTCAGCGCTCCAGGGCTTGGACATCCAATCGGAATCGTAGAACTCCCAGGCGGATCTGGCAATAATATATGCGAGAATCACCTTCATTTTGTTCGACAGATGTCCGGTCTGTAAAGCCGCCGAGAGAGACAGCGACGGACATGCGAGCACATGTGCTTCCAGTGGTAGACAGTCCTCGAGCAGCCATACTTGATCATTATGCACTCTCAGGCATATCTGAGACCCCGACGCAGACTTGATGTACTGGCATAGCTGAGCTTCTTTTGTGGACACAGTTTGCTGCTCAAGGAGGCTCAAACTTTTCTCTGGATTTGAAAAGCGGGCTCGTTTCTTCCCTGCCCTTTCACTTTTCAGGGTTTCAGCGACTGCCCGATGTCAGTAGTCGAGTGGACTGGACTTACCTCGAGACTTGGAATTGCATGTGCTGCCACTCAATTCCCTGCAAGAGCGACGGAAACGCAGGGCGCGACGAAAATACCATGTCAAAGCAAACAAATTTCTCCTTAACGTCGCGGAAAGGTTTCAAGCGCAACCGGGAGAGATGCGTCTTCCTTTGCGTAGGGGCTGTCGGGTGGATGCTTCCATCTTCATCACACTGGCAATTTGAATATTTACACAGCGTCTGATAAAGTTGTTTGCTGACGTGTTTGGGATATTCGTTTTGTGACATGGCTTTGTTGATGATACTAGGATGTTTAGGAGCTGCCACCGAAGCCTGGAGAGGCTGTGTGGCGACAGCCTCGGACCGGCGACTAGCGAACCCTCTAACAAGGGCGATGAGCTTGGGAAGTCGGCCCTCCGAAGCATACGCGAGTAAGCCTGCTTCAGCTTCAATCTCACCCTTGCTATGACCGTGAACTCGAGATGTCTTGACAAGATCGAACAACGATGAAAAGTCTTCGCGGGGCCTTTTCTGGTGCCACTGCCAAAACACATCAGCTTCCGCATCTCCCACCTATATCAAATGAGTTTCACGGACACTGGAGGCCCGCGCAAGCTCCTTGAGAAGTTTTCTGATTCTTCTCTCAAATTTGTCTTCCGGTAGGGTGCTGTCGAGCTTTTCCAAGACCTCAGAAAGGGCGGCTAACTCTCCACCGAGGGTTCCAAAGTTTCGGTCCAGCCTCTTGATTCCCAACAACGTGGCCACGTCCGCAATGGCGATCAAAGCATCTGGAGCGGCCTCCAGTAAATCCACATCCGCCGCAGCCTCAAATGCGACGGAGGTCGGCATCGCCTTCGACGATGAGATGACGAAGTGTACGAAAAGTTGGAAATGGTAACTTACGGGCAAAGACGTGGCTCCTCTTAGCCTTCCGGCTCGCTGACAGATGGAAGCACCAAGTGGTTAGCACCGCAAAAAGGCCCCGCACTAAGATTTCGCTAGCAATGTTGCCGTTATCATTACCTCGTCTCCCTTCAAAGATTGTCCATCGCATCACACTTGTTTTCGATTCAGCAGAGGCCTGGAGTCACCAATCCTGGTACACCTCGATGGCCGAGAATGGGCTCGACGGCCATATTACAGAACTCAACATCTCCTCAGCAACGCAGAGATGCCATCAGCTGTTAACGCGATGCCTAGATATCCGGCTCCTCATGGAGCGCGAATGGGCGGAGAATAGGCTCGCTGACTTCAATCTTTGGGCTTCGGGAATTGGCGCTACCGCAACAGAGACGGACAAAATATCTTTGGATGCAAGGCTTAGCGGAAGACCTACGCTCCTTACTATCTTCACCCGTCTTTTGCAAATGCTGATAGGTTTTCTTGAAGAGTGTCTGACATTAGGTCTCCATCAGTGCGCGGATGAGCTTGAGCAACATTTACAGTGGTTGGCACGCAGTCACGACATTGTGGCAGACCATGAGCAAAGGAGCAGAACCCCACGGAAACGACCAGGTCCAAACCGCCGAGCATCAAGGTCACCATCGCCATGGTCTGACCAGTCCAACCTGGATTCATCATTGGACGATCTTGGCGACCATGACAATGGTCGACTCGCCGAAGCCATGATGAGTGTTGACTCCATCTTGGATCAGTTGAACAACCTCAGCCTCGCTGTCCGCCGAGCAGGAAGCCAGCTCCGCCTACAAAAGGCCGATTCACGTTTTAAGCGATCAGATCACTCGAGCCTGGAAACGTTCCTCAAGTTCTGGGTACTAACGTGTACGAGTACGAAGATCATTCCTCTGGATCCCTCCGTGGACAATCGGGACCGCTTGAGTCCTATCCAATTGCGCCTGATTGAGACCAATCTCATCAGACGAAACCGGTTTTTATATGCTCAAAGGCACTCAAAGAGACTGCTCGGGAACAGACAAACTCTTCAGACTGAACCTTCGGTGCCCACCGCGGAGCCATGTGAGACTCTGCCACTGTACGAGAATGCGCAACCAGAGTTACTCCCACGCCGCCATGACCTTCCTGCAGCGCGACAGCTCTCTGATGTGCCTCTGAACCCCGCCGCTGACGACTCAACTGCGACCCGACTCGAATCGGCCACAGAGATCCTCAGGGAGACCAAAGGCCGACATTCTCAGATAACCTCGACTGCTCTGCGGGTTCGTTACCCTAATCCGCCCAAGACACGTTCAGGTACCAGGTTCTTTAAGTGTCCCTGTTGTTGCCAGACTTTGGATCGCGGATTCTCTTTGGGCAGCCGCTGGAGGTAAAGTGGCTTGCCTACTGTACAGATGTCGCTAATCATATACAGGAGACACCTCGCAGAAGACATCTGCCCATATACGTGCATTGACAATGACTGTCCCACGCCCCACGCCACCTTCGTCACACGACAAGCCTGGATGGAACATATGAAAGGGGAAGAGCATTCCACTGACAAATTTTGGACTTGCCTGATATGCGCCGATGATGTCAAACATGAGGATGAGTCATCTCTATCGAATCACATCAAGGAGAAACATGAGGAGCACATCTCTGTCGAGCAGATTCCGACTTTGCTTGATGCATGTCTGCAAACGTTCTCGACCACCGATTTGTCTTGTCCATTATGTTCAAAGGACGAGGCAGAAGACAGTCGATCCTCTCTAGATCACATCGCCGAGCATATCCATACCTTTGCTCTACTTTCCCTTCCATGGGCTCCGGACGCTCCCATCGTGAATCCTAGCGTGGTGAAAGAATCAAGCAACAGGGTGCTTTTGTGGCTAGAGTTGAATAATTGTTTGACACCGGACGCTCCAGGAGCACCAGCTGTGCAAAACAGCACTATCGACGAAGCGAGTCTCTATTTTGAGAATGAGGAGTACTTCGCGGAGAATGAAAGCATGAATTCCAGTTCGAGCAGCGCTTCGACTGACACAGACCGGGACCTGGAAGGCTTTCATGTCGAAGGCCCATTGGTGTTCACTGAGGTCGATTTGGACACAGAGAGAGACTTTACCAGCGAACTTCGACTGCCGGCTAGGCTCTTCATTGGGTATGTGCCTGTGCCCGAAGTCTTTACAAACGCAACTCTGGACAAAGACTAACATAGTCGCACCACAGAGGTCTTGCCTGGCATACAAGCGACGAAACATTATATAAAAGGTTCCAACAATTTGGCAAGGTAGAAGAGGCTGTAAGGATATAACGATAGCCTTAATATCAGGCGGCTAATATTTCCTTAGGTTGTCGTTAGACATCGAGATACGAATCGTAGCCGAGGCTTTGGTTTTGTGCGCTTCTCAACTAAAGCGGAAGCCGATGAAGCACTCCAGAGAATGAACAATGCACAGTGAGACACATAGCTCGATCTTAATCGCACCCCGGAACTAACCTTTCAGGCTCGACGGCCGCCGGATTCGAGTAGTTCATGCTGCTCAGAGCAACAGACAGGGTGATCCTGGTCGAGGTGGTGGATTTGCGGCAGACGAAACGATCAGCAACCAGCCTCAGCGCATGATGAATCAAGGCCAGCCAGCGGCCAATCCCAATCAGGCCATGGAGGTTGGCATGGGCGGTAACGCTGGCCAAATGGGTCAAGTAAGTGCAGCCAAGAAGGAGTCGATCCTCTATCAGGACCCCAACGCTCATCACTCCTACAGAGATTGCATCTCCACCAAACAAGTGGACGAAAATCGCCTCCGAGCCTTTCTATACGCCCTGACGATTCCTCCTCTCTACCACCGCCCTCACCGTCTTCGAGTCGGCATAGCCCGTCATCTTCCAATGATGCTGCATCGATCGCAGAGGGTACTAGTTTAATGCAGCGATCTTTGGTTTTCGATTCGCCTAAGTCGCAGAAGCGCAGTCGCGAGTCGGATGAACGCGAGCCGGAGGAAGTTCCGAAGCAGATGACTGTCGAAATGCCGAGATGGCTAAACAAAAGCCGAGCAGGTGAGTTTGTTCCGTCCGAATCGACGTATAGTGACCGTGTTTACCTGAAGAAATATCATCCACGTTTCAAGACCTGGAGTGGAAGCAGCGATACCGTCTCCATCATGCGGCTCAGAACCCGGAAACGTCTCTATTTCGGGTTGACAGGTCACTCGAAGTGATCAAGAGGAACCGTTACGGTAACGTGCAGCCCTGGGACGCTTCAAGAGTCAAATTGAAGAAGCCCATCGATGGTTCGGACTACATCAATGCATCTCCTGTCATCCTCACCAGTAATATACCAGCAGTGGATGGCGAAGGGAGGAGCACCATGCCATTGCCAACCAACCGACTAGAGAGAAATTACATTGCCACGCAAGGACCCAAGGATGGAACGTTACTTCACTTCTGGCACATGGTCCTACAGGAGTCGTCTGGAGTCGTTGGGGTCATCATAATGCTTACCAGGCTCTTCGAAGGCAACAAGGAAAAGTGCGGCCAATATTATCCGAATGATATGGAGAATCCTACAATGATTATATCTACACCTAGGCCCGAAGAAGAGGAATCATCTGTGAGAGGGGATGGTACAGATGAGGACAAAACAGCTGTTCACAAGTCAATCAGCGACATGCAGCCCAGTGCCCGTTCGCTGCAAAAGACACCTACGAACGGAGGCGAAAAACAGCAGGACGGAGCAAGCGAGGATGAAACCACCATTACCGAACAGCCTCACAGAAAGATTCCTGGTAACATTCCCTTAATTTACACACAGCCTCCCCCGATGCTGACTAGTGGGAACAGATATCGAGCCTAACAAGATGGAAAGAAGCAGTGCTGGAAACGAGTGTACCATCACGTTACTTTCCAGTTATTACGATCGAGATATCAGCTGTGAGGTTCGAACATTACACTTGAGGATCGGGGAGGACGCTAAAATCATACATCATTATTTGTTCAACGAATGGCCAGATTTCGGGAATCCCGAAGCCGAGGACCAGAGAGGACTTGTCAAGCTGATGCAAATCTCAAAGACCCTAGCAGGAGACTCCCCCCGCGTCATTCACGATAGTGCTGGAGTCGGGCGAACTGGCACTTGGATTGCTTTGGACTTCCTTTTGGAGATGCTCGAGACTGGAAGACTGATTCAGGGATCTACACCCATGCTGAAAGATTCTGAGGACAGTGGAGAAGACGTCATTGAAGAAATAGTGAACAAGCTGCGCGAGCAGCGTATGATGATGGTCATGAACGAAATGCAATACAGTTTCATCTACGAGGTTCTCAAGGACGCGTTTGTGGAGAAATACGCCGTCAAGTTTCCCGACAAAGAGAGGCCAGAAGATTCTTCTGGGCGTGACCGAGACTGCAGGCGCACCAAGACCAGTCTAACCCTTCCTGCAGAGTGGACATGACCACTCCTGAAGGCTATATGAACAGATACGGTCGCCCTCTCACCATCAATATCGGAGGCCTTGTTGTTTCCGTCGCTCCAGAAGGCAAAGAGAACGAACGCCCTCGAGAGCAAGTGACGACCGGCAGCGCGCAGAGGTAGCAAACTCAGCTGGCCAGTTGGAATCCACCATATACGCAGAGCGCTCGCAACGAGACTTCACTGAAGAGTTTGATAAAGATAATATAGATTGGCGAATTGTGGAGGCGGCCCTCAGAGCACTCAGTTTGATCGATTTGATACCGCGACAACGGCACACAATATCGGAAGACACGTAATATTGGAGGTTACATGATATTGCAATATTGAGACCTCATCAATATTAACACCCCTTCAATATTAGCACGGTCTCAATGCAGACGGTGACCAGCCAAGCTAGCCAGCCCCCTGGCTTCGCTATATACCATTTTCCCGAGAAGTTGATATCTTGGTAGTCAGGCTCCTCATGCTGGAACGCTACACCTAACTACTATGATGCTAGGAAATCATTATTAGCTTTGCGCCTGCTGTGTCGCGCAAATTCATGCAAGGTCGCTGCGCAGGTTGGTACCTCTGATTAAAGCGATCACTAATCCTGGCCAGTGCTAAGCAAAAACAAACCCCCACCACATAATTAATACCGTAAAAATGCATTTCCCTTTCGGACAATGAAGCATGGAAACCAACAGTCTCTAGTCTTGTCATCAGATACCACGAGCGATTACGATACTTATCTAGCATTTCAATTTTCATTCCCAGTCAGCCTTCTATACACTCGGCAATTGCTACATCGAACACCTCTACCATAGGCGTATACCGTGGCGTTGTTCGACGGAGACAAGCCAAACAGACGACAGCCTCCGCCTTCAGCCAATAGGAGAAGACTGGATGGCACATTGAACGAGGAAAGAGTCAATGTGTTGGTGTTATGCCATGCGTTGTCCGGTAGCAGCGATGCTGAAAATTGGTGGCGGCCGTTGATGGGGCCCGGCAAGGCTTTCGATTACGATCGTTTCTTCGTCTTTTGTGGAAGCATGCTGGGTTCGCCATATGGGTCAGCGTCACCGTTGACCACAAACCTCGTGACAGGGAAACCATACGGTCCGAAGTTTCTAGAGACCACCATCCGTGATGATGTCCGGTATACTGAGTGAACATGTATTCATTTCCTGCCCAGGGGCTAATCCATTCTCTAGAATCCACAAACATATCCTGGATACACTAGGCGTCACCGGTGTCGCAGCTATCGTCGGAGGCTCATTGGGAGGCATGGCTACATTGGAGTGGCCTTTATCTGGATACATCCAGACCATCGTTCCAATCGCGACTTCGTCGTATCAAACTACTTGGAGAATTTCCTGGAATAAGTGACAAAAGGAGGCTATCCGAGACGATGGAGAGTCTCAAAAAGGCTGGTATACACCGGTACCATCTGGACAGCTGAGACGTTATGGCTATCACTACCTAGTTCAAAGGAAGGAGTTGGGCATTTGCAGACAAGAGGCAGCATGCGTTGCTGCTTGTCAGTGGATTCATTTGAGCTCATACGGCCTAGCTCTCAGAGTTCTTGATGCTGATGTTGGAAACGGCGATGTGCCGCGGCTACACATGGTGGCCGCATACGGGTCATGAAGCCTGCCTGACATCCGAACAGTCTCCCGAGACAGCGCTTGCCGGGAAGCTACCTGGCGACAAACATCGAGTATATGGCTATGGGTCCCACCTGGGATCGACGGAAGCGTCATGACCACCATGGATTTGCAAAAATACACCTCAAAGGGTTGGAAGGATGGCCCCGCAGAAATCGAAATTCAGTGAAAAAAATCCTAGAGATCATGACCTCTGTCTCATTCTAGACGCATTATGTCTGGTCTGATCTGGTGTTTATCCCCGCCAGAGCCGACAAATGAGCGTCCGACCTACACCGCCAGTGGGAGATTGGAAGACAAGCCAAGATCTTGCGCCATGCGAAAGTCGAAGCGGCTTTTGTTTTAACCATATAGACTCCTGGGATGGGTTAAATGCCGCCATTCATTACCTCTGTACCGATTTCATGTAGAAGGAGTATTCTAGGTGTCTTCCACCATCGGACAGCTGTCCGTCTATCCTTTCCCCGAACATGACTGGATAATCGAAGATTACCCCGTAGTAGTGGCAGTGATACCGTTGACGTTTTTCTGCGTCGATGAAGATTCACGATCAACGGATGTAGCTGTCGACTTGGATTTTTCAATTTGAGCCTGTCTATTCTGCACGATCCGCAGGAGATTGCGAAGGAGCACGACGATAGTCACTTTGCCGATTGCCGGGACGTATATTGATGCTTTGTCTTTGACCTGGGGACCGAAATTCTAACATGGTTCATCTATTAGCGGCGGCGTCGAAGGCCGAATGGGATCGAAAAAGGGCCATGGAGAGCGCATGGTCTCCAAGTCGGGAGATAGCGGACGTACTTACCCTTTCGCTTGAGAAATTAATACACACCGCACCCTCTTTCAATAAGTGACATGGAAACTTATACTTATCCCCCGGCACACCCGTGATCACGACATCACAGAGCGGGGCGCACATCTCGACAGTCCAGCCTTCCTTTTCTACAACCTCGTGCTTCCGCTTCCGTATCCCCTCGCCCCTCGTAAACTGCTGGACACCGGTGACGTCGACACTATACACGCACGCGCCATCATTCGCAAGCAGCGCTGCAAGCGGTCGACCCACGACTTCGGAGCGATTCACCACACAGATTGTGCGGCCAAACAGTCTGTTCCCATAAGGCAGGATCGTGTTGTATATATGCAAGTACTCGAGGATTTTGATTACGGCCAACGGAGTGCATGGCAGGATGGATTTCATCGCTTGCTCGTCGTCCAGGAACCGGATGTTCTGGTACATATTGAAGAGGTACTGGTGGGATAAGCCTTCGACGTCCTTGGAGACGTCGACGGTTTGTTGTAGGTACTGGTCTTGACGGTTGTTGAAGATTGGATAGTAGACGATAATGCCGTCGACGGACGGGTCGGCATTGGCGGAGATGATGGTTTCTTCGACATCGTCCTTCGCGGCGAGTTTCAGGGTGTATGAAAATCCACTTGACAAACCCGTTAGATACGTGATGTATATGAGGGATCAAGGCCTGTTGAGAGGAGCATTTGCATCCTGTGTCCGAGATCTTATGCATTCGAGTTGATGACATCTTACTTTTCTTTACATGTCTTCTCCGTCCAGTCCGCGTAGACTTTTGCAGCTGGATCGCTGTTTGCGAGAATACCCAACAAATGTGGTTTGCGGCCCAGTTTTTTCAGACCATCCTGGACCTCGCTGAGTAGCCCTTTGGCGATACTGCCGGCTAGAATGACTTTGCAGCCGCTCGTAGGAGAGTCTGCGTCTTTTGACATCTTTTTTGGTTTCTCATAAGTTTGTTGGTAACATGACGGCGGTAACTGAAATTCTTTTCTAAGGGAAGGGAAAAAAAAAAAAAAAAAAAAAAAAAGGCAATGAATGAAGGCACTTGAATGGCTCAGTCAGGCTGAAAATTCGGTGCGGCTCGGGCCTTGGCGCGAGTTTTTGCGATGACACACGAAACAACTTTTACTCTTCAGGTAGTAAAAACCACGAAGAGGTCATTTCGCAAGAATCGATTTCAACATCTTACGTTATTGTTCTTGATCGAGAAGTATTGTATGTATATGGAGAGCCTGAGCCTGATGCACAATTCATGCGCACAACGCCATGTCCAGTCCGCTGTCATATCTTGCTCTGAGCCTTGCCTTCACCCCGGGGAACCTTTCTTTCCACCCCCAAAGATTCCAAGTCCTTCTTCTTGTAGTAATGGGGAGCAACTTCAATCAACCATTCTGGTTTCAAAGGCATGCAGCTCCTCATATATTCCTTGCTCGTCAAGACCAATTCATGATATATGACCCACTTGGGTTGATTCTCGATCAACACACTCGATGGATGAATGTAGACGACTTGTCCATTTTTAACTGTCCGATAACTCTGGCCATCACGTTGCAACCTCGCGGAATGCGGGAAGAAGCCAGCTGTAATGGCTTTCTGAATCGGTTCGATATTCGACTGACCACCACAACTCTTGCTGGCATCCACTTCGACTCGATCACACAATCTTGCCAACTGATCCCGCACATCTCGCGCCCTCGTCAGACTTCTTTGCTGTAAAAAGTTCTCTCGTGCCCAGACGTAGCTGTAGTCGGAATCCGTCCATTCTTGGAAAACATTCAGGAGCGTCAGATGGTCACCACCATCCTTGTTCGTGAATCTGGCTCTCGCACTGTCGGCATGGATTTTCTTGTCTTTGGGTCGGAAGAATAGCGCAGATGCTTCACCTAACATGGCAATGATGGAAAGCACCTCCTCAACACAACCGTATTTGTCGGCCGCCAGAATTGATCGTGCAAGCATGGGATCGGTAGGAAATTCGGCCATTTGACGACCAATTTTGGTCAATTCTCCCTCGCTGTTAAACGCCCCAAGCGCATAGAGCTGTTCCACTGCTCGAACAATCGTGTCTGTGGACGGGGCATCCATAAAATCAAAGTCGAGGAGATCGTTGATTCCTAGACTTTTGAGCATGAGGATGACTCCGGTCAGGTTGGTTCTTTGAATTTCCGGCGTGGTATTCTCTTCCAACTCGTTCTTGTAGGCCTGAGCAGTGTAGAGACGAAAACATTTGCCCGGACCCACTCGTCCCGCTCGACCGGCACGCTGGCCAGCCGAAGCACGGCTGCACGGAACCACCACCAATGACTCCATGCCCGTTCGTGGATTGTACTGGTTTTCTTTGACAAATCCAGGGTCAATCACGTAAACGATTCCGTCAATGGTCAAGGACGTCTCGGCAATATTGGTCGCCAGCACGACCTTCCTAGCCCCCGGTGGAGTGGGTTCGAAGATTTTGGCCTGTAAATCCGTCGGTAGATTGGCGTAGATGGGACAGATAATCATTTCTTTGATTTTGCTTCCCAGTTTCCGGGCCGTTTCTTGCAAGTTGGCTTCCATGGCTTCGATCTCCTCTTGACCGGTGAGAAATACCAGGATGTCGCCGGCTCCCTGTGTGATGTGTATTTGGAAGACGGTCGTAATGGCGGCTGCTAGGTAGTTGGCCTCCGGTTGTGCAGTGTAATGAACGTCCACCGCATACCTTCTGCCGGGGATATTAAAGATGGGTGCATCATCAAAGTACTTCTGGAACTTCCTGGCGTCCATCGTCGCCGAAGAAATGAGCAGCTTCAGATCCGGTCGTGCTCGTGCAATGTCCTTCAACAATCCACAGGCGATATCAGTGCTGACTGTCCGTTCGTGTGCTTCATCAATCATGAGTGCTGAATATTGGGACAACTCCGGGTCGGTGAGCAGTTCTCTTAACAACATGCCGTCAGTCATGTACTTGAGGACAGTCTTGTCACTGGTCTTGTCCTCGAATCGGATGGCGTAACCCACTTCATTCCCCAACCGCTTGCCCATTTCCTCCGCCACTCTGGCCGCAACAGACATGGCCGCCACTCTTCGAGGTTGGGTACACCCGATCTTCATTCCTCCCTCGGTAAGACCAGCTTCATGCAGATACTGTGGTATTTGAGTCGTCTTGCCGCTTCCCGTCTCACCGACAATGATCAAGACCTGATGATCTTTGACTGCTTGAATGATCTCATCCCGGAATTGGTAGATTGGGAGGCTTTTTCGGGTTTCTTCTACACTCCTGGCTCGAGCTTCTGCTGCACCCAACCGCTCGGCCCATTCTCTCTGTTCTCTGGTCTTTCCTTTTCCCAGGTCCCCCCCCAGGGTCTCCGACATGATGAATTTCATCTGCTGACTCTCATCAAAGACGTAGCGATAATCGCCCTCGTCGACCAACTCTGCTCTCTTAATCTGTCCTTCGGCTCGTTTGGTTTGCTCTTTCTCCCATTCCTCATGCTCGGTGACATATCGCTCTCGGCCGGTCTCGTCCCTGTCGACATACCGTTGGTAAAGGGCCTGCTCCTTTTTCCGTCTATCGATCTTTCCCTTCTCCGTGAGGTAGTCCTCTGGGAGAGCATAGCCGTCCAGATGATCATCGATGCTCAATCTCTCCTCGGCAAGACGCAGGATTTCTTTATTTCGTGCAAACTCTTCCTTTTCTCTCCTTGAAAGATCGGGATTGTCCCTTAGTTCGGCCTGTTCTTCAGCGACTTGTTTGCGCAATAGTGCCAGTCTTTCCGCTTCTCTTTTCTTGAGATAGTCTTGGCGGGAGCGGATTCTCAAATCCGGCATGGCGGCCGCTCTTGCAGCGGCATCATCAGCCAAAGCTCTTCGTTGGGCAGTGACGCTGTCTTTGGCTGAGGATCTGTCTTCCACAATCTTTTTGGCTCGCTCTTCATCACGCTGGGCCAGTCTTTTGGCAAATTCGTCTCGCTCCTTTAAATCCCGATCTCTTTCTCTTTGGGCTTTCTCTTCCTCTGTCTCCGGCGGTGAGGCGCGATGAGAAGCCGATCCATCGGACAATTTTACCCGTTTGGATGAGGACTCCACCAAATCCGACTCTTCATGGTGTTCTTCATCTTCCAAGATCTCTTCGTCACCCCAGCGCTCGTCAAAGTCATCATCATCACGGCGTCTTCGATGAGCAGTATTTCTTTTGTGAGACTTGATCCGAGGTTCGCTGGAGGGCTGTTCAGACATGTCGAAGGTTGCAGTTGGGGGGGTTGTTTGAGGAATTCACCTGGTACCATTTAATCCACAAATCGGGAGGGTGCCAGCCACCGATAATTGGCCGCCAACATCAAGAGCTACTCGAGGAACTATCGACAACTCGCTTCTTGAAGAATCATGTCAGGCGCAACGAATATTGACTCACTGTGTGAATGGCCGCGCCTGCGACTTTGCCGATCAAAAAGTCAAGAAAAGTTAAAAAGTTTCTCCACAAGGGGCGGGCCAAGCCAAGTTACATAAGCAGGTGAGCCTTGTGCCAACTCTCGATGTGGTGACTGGTCCAGTCATCGAGGCTGTCGCACTAGCAGTCTGTGTGTAATGTATGCTCCAGGGATTGAGCGAGGCTGATATAGAATACCAGAGTTGGGCAGGCATCTCATTCTGTCTTCTCCAGGCCTACCACTGTGTCTACGAGGCTCTAACATATTCATGCATCCTTATCAAGGGATTTACCCCTTCTAAGCATCCGATGTTCGACTCTCGATTCATCAGCCATAGCCACACAGCCTTCACAACCGTTGTTTTATTCAGAGTCTGATGGGTATATTTCCCACGCTCAAAAAAAGTCGCGAGGTGTTTCTGCCCCATTGCAGAAAATGTAAATCAAAATTGTCTATGATTCATCATCGTCATCATTCATATCATCAACTCCTCTTAGCCACGCTGCCCGCGCATCTACGGCCTCTTTTCTTACATCACGCTTCACATCATCCAACACATTGGTTAGACCGTGTAAGACTTCTCGCTTGAGTCCTATCAGTGGATTTGCTCGTGATGTGCCGGTGACGATATACTTTGGCATCAAGGTCAGACAGCGTGTTGCCAGACGGCGGGTTTTCGGAAGATTAACTGCAGACATGGCGGTTGTTGGTGATGTGAACGGCGGTAACTTGACGGAACTCGATTTGTATCCACCCGCCACGGAAATGAGCCTTTTCACAAGAGCGGGAATATGTCCGCTTTCTTCCAATGCCGATGGGTTATGTGATATCACCACCGCCAATGTCTCTAATGTAGCCATCTTGACCATTTGATTGGCGATGTCCAATGATTGTAGAAGAAGAGGCAACAAGGTAGGCAATTCCGGCATGACAATTTCCGATGGCACAGAGGACAAAATGCCGCTGAGCGCGATGAGATAGTTTTCTTTCTCGCTAGGCGATTGTGACGCTTTGAACTTCTCAGAGATGAGTGGTGTCAACGTCTGGAACACACACTGTGGAGCTAGAAGCCTGATTTGGGCTAGGTTATTTTTAGATAAAACATCGTCGGAAGCCAGAATGGTGGCGAAACCCATTGCGGCTTTTCTGGAGACCTCTCGAGGGTATTGAGTCTGATCGAGGAGATCAACGAGGCTCGTGAGATATTGATTTGTCTTTGGAGAGAGTCGCACAGTCAGAGCTTTGATCAGTGAGAAGGAGAGCCGAATGTTGAAATCAGGGGTCTCGGATTCGTCCATCGGTTCGTCCCTGAGCGCGGAAAGCCTTTGGAAGAGAAGATTGTCGATGAATTGTAAATCGGCCGTCTCGATATGTTTGTTGACGTAGAGTGCGATTTGGAGAAGGCAGCTTTGAATGATCGCAATATTGGTCGATTTCGAAGCATAGCATACCAGATCGTCAATAATTCCAGGTATTTGATCTCTCGTCAGCACCCGTGAATGAACATTTTTAGGCATGGCCGCCAAAAGCCATGTGGATAAGATTGTAATTACCGGAGGCTCGAACAGCAGGGTTGGTCTGATTGTCTCGCCGTCAAACTTGATGCCCCTGAAAAGGAGGTAGATGTTCTCTGCAGCTTTCTGGATATTTTCTGCCGTAGAATGTCGCACAATCAAGTTGACAATTCGACCCAGGAGATCAAGAATATTTTCATTTGTGAGAGGACCGGTTCTCACATCTGTAGCTTTCCTGCATAGGCCAATGACTACACGGTCATAATATGCATCGAGGAACGCATTTTGATCGACCACAGCCCGATTCAGTACGAACAGTACTGTACCGAGGATGGCACGGGTATACGGAAAATCCTTTGGCTGGTATGAATGGAAAAGAATGTCCAGTTTGTTTAGCAGACGTCTCATCAACGTCCCCAGTAAATCCTTCTCGACGCTGATCTCGGCCAATCCTTCGAGGACGGAATCATAGTCGGCCGGTTGGGCGTCTTCCTCGGAATCTGGTAAACGTGCCATAAATGCTGGGAAGGTGATGTCGGAAATGAGGGCAGGCTTGAATCGGGATATCTCGGCTAACGCCGTCATGGCCCTCTTTTTGAGTTCATCTCGACCATAAGATTCTTCATTTAAGACGATGTCATCGAAATACTGGACCAAGAGACCAATTTCATTATCAGTGAGCATCGAATTCATCTTCGATACCAACAGTAAACCATTTGCCGCGGTGAGTCGAAACGATACCTCTTCTTTGACTGTCGCCATGAGGGCTTGACTGTAAATGGCAACAAATTTATCTTTGAACTCGCCCATCAAATTTTCTCGACCATCAGGATTCTTCTGGCTTGGCTTCGTCCATGATCCATAGACTTCAACAGCTGCCTCGAAGAGATGATTGGCAACCTCCAAAGTGGCCCTGTGTTGCATTAAGCCTTCTGAAGATTGGTATATGGTGAAGAGCGCCGGGCCAATGGCTTTGATGACAATATCGAACGACTGTATTGATGCCGAAGATACAGCCCGCAGAATGTCGCCAGATGCTTTCGCTTGTCGTGACGCTGGCTCTTGAAGGTGTTCCAAACATTCCTTGTTGATAGGGTTCAGGTACTGAAGAAGAGGAGAATTCGTGGAGTTGTTGGCAACATATGACAAGGAGGTTGCGATCCCATTCAGGACACGCAGCGCCTCCTCGGCTAGTTCTGGTTCTTGAGCTTGCAAGACCTCAAATTTGACCGCATCCCAGAGCGTGACCGAGTACTGGGCGATTGTTACAGGGTCATAGTTGTGGGCACAAGCGGTAAGAGTTTGCAAAACGTCTTTCTTAACAGTGGTAGAGGTCGAGTCCAGCCGATCCAACATGTTGGGAAAGGTGTGAGGTGCAAACACACTAGTGGAAGCCAGACAGCCGCGAAGCCTTTCCTTCAAATCCTGTGCAGTGATGCCGTAGGGATCATTTGGAGGAGGTCGAAAAGTGATGGGGAAGTACGCGTACGCCGAGTCGAACATAATGTCGACGTGGTTCGTGATATTCCATTCCACCATGAGCACTCTTAGCATGGAGAATATCAACATCAGGTTGCGAGGATCCTTCTCGCCAGCAACCAAGTCAGTGATGCCCACGAGAGACTCATCCCCCATATCCCTGATGGCTAAGGTTGGTCAGTCAGGCGTCTGGACTATCTTGAATCAATCCATACCATTGCGATGGTGGCCCAGAAGCTCATTCAAGAGCTGGAGAACTCGGTATCTACCAGCTTGATTTATCGTTTGCAAATCGCCAAAATGGTCGAAGATTCTACTCCCTCGTCAGTCAAGCGCGGTGTACGTGACCTGCTGCCAGACAACCTTGGTGGAGCAAGTCCCCTGGACAGCTGTCGCGTGGTGGTCCACACTCACGCTCTCACAACTGTTTGTGCCATGTCCTTCGTGAACCTCTCCAGGCTCTGTAGCTTGGACAAGCCCTCAATGGCCCCTCCATCTTCGATGCGGTCGCACATAAACTGGCACAAGACTTGGATTTGTTGGCGGGAGAGGTATTTCGGCGGTAGATTTGAGAGAACGGCGACTAGGTAGGACACGGCCCGGGCGCGGATTTTCTCGTCTCCATCATTGATGTACTCGCCCAGCGACTGGACGAGTTCGATTAACGTAGTTTGACGGCCCTCGAGCCCTTCACGGTCAGTATCCGGAGATGGAACAGTGAGAGTGGGAGAACGTACTCCGAGCCGCAGCCTTTGCAATCTCAGCGGCCTCTTGCTGATTGCTCTCTGCGGCAAGGACATAGTCTCGCGCGTGGGGAAGAGCCATGATACATGATGGATGTGGCAGACGAGCAATGGACCGAATTGCAGGTGGCTGTGCTGTGTAATTGGCTTGACATGACTGGCCTGCACCCGTCAAAATGTTCGCTCTACAAAAATTTACCCGCTCAACCTTCCCCATTTGAAGTGTACAAGTCGGTATAGTTTATCCGCAAGTCCTGGCCAAACTTGATCCTTCATGCAAGATGCAAGATATCCGACACCCGAGGACGCCTTCGCCCATCACTCCCGCACCAAGTGGCCTGATCTGACTAGGTTCCTGGAATTGAAACATCTGGGCGCCAGCATTCATGGACCCCTTCGATCTCGCCTAAGTGCTGAGGCTATCACTGGTGGGCTGCATGCATTTCCGCGGACAACAACACGCCGACGGGCTTTCTTGAGCAATCCCTAGAACACGAGAAAGTGGACAGTATCCGATCCCCAGGGAAATAATAAATATAAGAACTACCTCAGTCTAGAGACCCCACAATCAACAGAATCATCACTCTTAGGCCAAACCATCATCTCCTGAACGGACCTGGGACTGCCCTCTGCAAACAGGAGGTCTTGGACCTCGCGGCTCTCGACCGCTTCTTTCTCCATCCTCTCCCTCACTCCATTCTCATACTCCCTCATATCTTTGACACGCTGCTCCATGATTTCTTTTTCGTCGGGCTTGGTGCTTGAGGAACTTTCATGCACCAATGTCCATTCCAGCCCCCTGACCCAGCTCTATCCCGTCCAGCAAGGCCATATTCACTCCTCTCCCCGTCCGAGGTCGCATCACATAGGCAGCGTCTCCAACCAGAGTCCCCGAATCGGTCGTCCGTTGGCCTCCCTCGGCGGGTTTAGGGGTGAGGCCACATCCACATTTCGTTCAACCCGCTCTCGTCTACGAGACTTCTTGACCTCTTGGGACCATTCTGAGAAATACTTTCCCAAGATGGCTTTATTCGTGCCGCCGATATCTACCTAGCCTAACCCACTGGTACTTCTCCAAGTCTCAGGGACGGTCAATGCACCCCCATTCCCGTGTGCCATTAGTGCTTTTCCAGAGTGAAGAGGTATATAGCTTCCTTTGCCCACTTCGAAGCAGATTGTGGACTAAATTGCTTTGGATCGATCCTTGCCTCAACAATCGATATACCCCAAGTAAATGGGTACATTTGCATCGAGCTTGTGTCCGTACATGTTAGAGCTATTTTCAACCATATGTCGTGAGGATAACGTGGGAAATACTCATAACAGGTCTAACATGACTTCATGTGCCATCGGAGCCAACCACCAAATCGAGCAGTCTCTTGCTCTCAAAACGCTGCCTCTCGTCCTTGAGAATGACTCGAGATCCAGCTTGCTCCACCTTCACGAACAACCTTTTGTCCCCAATGAACGTCAATACCCTCTTTTTTTTTTTTTTTTTTTTTTTTTTTTTGATATCCTTGTCCAGAAACTCCCTTGAATACGCTCTCCCGATCTCTGGTTTGTTTTTGTTCTTCCTGGATTCTTCAGTAGCCTCTGCGGCTGATTGGTCCTACTTGCCATCGACCCTCCAGCAATGGGCATCATCACAGAACTTGCGCGATGAAGCCATCCCAGACGCCAGCATCACGAAGAGCTTGCTGACCTGAATCTCGGTGAAGATCAATCTGACCACTTCGCAGACGCTGTGTTGGACTTGAAGGTGAAAAGCCTCGTTCAAAGATAGCGACAGAGAAGGGCTGATGACGACTCGAGGTAGGAAAGGCACCACGTGCCTCTCTAGAAAAGATCTTAGCAAGCAATAAACTTGCTGTACCTGCTCCGGCAATTGCAATAGGAATCTGAGACGTGGCCGCCAATTTTGACTTGTTTGATATTGAGAAGGCTAAAAGGTGGGGGTTGATATATTGCGTTTGAGGTGAGGGCTTGTGCGAAAGCGATTGCAGAATCATCCTCCAGTCATTCATAATTGAAAGGCTCTAGAGACACATGACCACACACAGTCAGTCTTTCTTGTTTTAGCTGTGTCTCCGGAAGAACACATGTGATCTTTGATTTCCACAGGTGCAATCCAAGCAACACTAGCTTCCATCACTCATGAGAGAATGATGATACACCCGTTACAATTTTGTATCTACTTAGGTAGGTACAATTAGGTAAGCCACATTACTCGCATCTGCGGAAGAGCTCTCGAGCACTTTTCATTCGGGAAAGCATCGAGTATGGCAGTGTCTTCGACTGGACGATAAAACAGTACCCAGATCAATGCGACGAAGGCCTTTGAGAAGCTCATGAATAATCATGAAGCGGCATGACATTGCCTCGACGCAGGATGTTGACGCAATGAGAGGGTGCTGCGTTTAGGAAAATTTGCATATGAGACACGGGACAGAGAGAATTTCAGTGTTACACTGGTGGTTGCCACTTTTGTTGCCTTCCAATGCAAATGCTTGTTCAGCCTGGATAATACTAGAGTCCTCCTGGATAGTAGTAGTATCCCCGTTAGTGAATAGAGCCAAAATTACGAAAACATCTCCTTTACCTGCCTCAGTTTGTCGCGCATACCTTTATCGGATCCGGGTATACTGTTCTCATAGTCAATCACTATATCTCCCTTGTCAGCGCGATGAAGAAGAAACAGACGACGGCAAAGGCAAAGAAAAGTCAAAATGACCGACAAGAAATGCCCGGTACGATGTCGCTGTAGACGCAGTCCCCGGATGCACAAGGGCTGCCTACCACAACAGAGATCATGCGTTGCACCTACCCTTATTTGCACCCACGCGAATGGGATTCAGCATCACGCAGCCGAGCTTGAACGCATGCGGACTCGACTTTCAGCTTCAGAGAAGCAAACAGCCAAGACCAGTGAAAGAGACATGAGCTGGGCACGAAAAACAAGGAGAAGTGGGGCGACATGTTAAAAGTCCGGCGTCGAGGTCCAGGGCATGACGTATGGAGAGGCAGAGCAGGAGAGATGTCATATGGGAATCCGACATAGCGAGTGGATTTAGGCAATGATGATTTGGAGCGGTGTATTCGGAGGAAGAACGCCCCCCTTCTCCCCCTCCTTTGGCATGGACGCCAGTGACAATGAACAAGAACCCTAAGACTTGCTAGAAGTCCTCCTGGAAAAGTCTCCCGACAGAAGCGCAACGGAAACTGGACCCTTCAGCATTCATGATGCGACAAATGGCAGCGGTACAACGGCGAAAAAAATTTCGAAGCTGGTCAATGGTGAACCGAAGGAGACTTTGACGAGTATGGAGAGTTGAGTGGTGAACGGTGAGCTCACGGAACAGAGATTTTGTCATGAATGCGCCATGGGCGTGGAAGAGGTTTAGTGGGGATGATGCCAGATCAGGCAGAATTCCTTCGATGGAGAGGATATGAACCGAATGCGGGTGATGCGCTTATCAAAAGACTGTTTCCGTCGATATTAATTGCAAATCTGGGTCAGGTACTCATTACAGAAATAATGATCAAGAATTCCGGAGTCGCAAATGGAGCCAGGCGTCCCTCAAATCTTCTGCGTATCGGATCGATGTTAAACGTAGAGGCAAGGTACTAGCAATCATACTGCGCCCTAGATTAAAAAACAAAATGGCTGATTATGTAACGCACGAGGCTGAAGCCCGCCCTGTCTTGCCAGTAACAGCCACACAAACCAGAAAGGGACATCGAGACCAAGACTCGCAATCTATGATTCGAGGCAGACCAGATCTATTTCAATACATAACCTCTTGAGAACCCCAAGATCTATAATTCATCTTTTACTGGTACAACGGGAGGCGGTCTGCCACTGTCCTTGAGCAAATCCACACCCTTCTTTTTACGCCATTTCTCCCAAATGGCCCAGAACTCCTTTTCCATGCCACTTTCCATCTGATCTGGTAAGACAACAACATACTCCACGTAAAGATTGCCGAACTCCTCCGCGTCATGATCGTGCTCATGCACATGACCTTCATGGTACAACGGCATTCCCTCGCCCTTGATTGTGTCTACCTGACCAGGCTGGACAACTTCGCCGCGTTTTCGGGATAGTTGAACCAAATGACCGTCTAAATGGGTCAGATTGCGTGTCCAATCGCCCATCCAAGCCTCTCGCAAGCTCAGGACTTCCTTCCAGTACAAGTCGTCATCTTTGCGGCGGAAGAATGTTCCGTCTGTTCGTGCGCCCTCATCCTCGCTGATCATGGGTTCTGATTCCATGATGTATGCGTACAAATTACCGGCAACATGATCAGGATGCTCGTCCGCTTCACTTTCAAACACCAGGCGATGGCCCTTGGGCATGCCTCTCTCGATGCTCGCCGTCAACGTTGTGGGTCCTCTCACCACCTTCTTTCCTCCGCACACTTTGCATTTGTGTTTGATCGACTTGCCTTGTCCACCGCATTGATCACATGCCATCTGAACTTGTTGAAATATGCCTGGCGCCAGCATGTGTTTCTGGATGATCATCCCTCGTCCCCCGCATTTATTGCAAGTCTCGACCTGTCCATCGGCAGAGCCTGACCCTTCGCACTCTTCGCAAATTTGCTGTTTCTCGATTGTGAATTCGGTGTCTCGGCCAGTGTAAAAATCTCGTAACGGCACATGCAATCTAACTTCCAGATCTGGGCCCCTTCTCACTCCGCTCCCTCCCCCGGCACCAAAATGTCCTCCACCGCCGAAAAACCTGGAAAAAAGATCAAAGGGGTCATGAGCATGTCCTCCACCACCTCCGCCTCTTTTATGACTTTCTAATCCCTCATGACCATATTGATCATAGATTTTGCGTGTCGTGGGATCGGACAAGGCTTCGTACGCCTCCGTGACTTCGAGGAATCTCTTTTCATCTCCCGTGGCTTTATCTGGATGGTACTTCTTGGAGAGGGTGCGGTAGGCTTTCTTCAGGTCGCGCTCGGAGCAGGACTTGTCGAGTCCGAGAACTTTGTAGAGATCTTGTGCAGCGAGAGAACATGTGATGAGGACGAGTAGAGGGAGGAGGTGGGAGATTAACTGGAGGAGTAACATGTTGAGACCTGCTCACCCTGAAGGGAGGCTTGGAGAGCACGCAGGTAGTAGTACCTTGAATGTGGACCGGGGCGGGGAGGTTTATGCCGGGGCAAACATGATAATCAGAGTGCGAAGAAGCAGGCGACCGCTGAGAATATTGATGACTTATCGTCTAGTCTACACCTAAAGAGATGCCGGTAGGTCAAGTTTGAATAAACAGGGGCCATTGAGACACTTGTAGATACGGCCACATGTCAGAACGCGGCTTGGCAGCGCTTTTTGCCGCATTTCCTGCCGTAGTTCAGAAAGCCCGCTTTGGGATTGCCTCTGTGACAGCCGGCTTCCTCATATCGGTTCGTTCTTAGACCACAGTGCTAGCAATCCATTTCCTTGATAATATCTGCAGTCCTCTCCTTTTTATCCCCCTTTCCTACGCTCACGTGCCTTTCGAGACCCTGGGACGCCTGAAACCGAGAAACCCGACTCAGCAGATATACTTCAGCCTGAATTGGCTGCAGAAGTCGATCGTTTTCGATCTGAACATGCCCTCGCTGAGTCTCCACAGTCAAAACACCCTCGAAATTGGAGTGGAAGTAAGTTATGGAGGGCAGGTGGTCCCAGGGACAGTTTTGGACCTGTCGTCTACGTCCACAACTCGTTGAGGTCTGTTTGCCATATTTTGATTCCATCTGCGGTAGCGGCTATATGCCTGTGTTCAAAAATGGACTCGATGTAGGTATCTGCTGAACCTCTCGACGCTTTGATAGGTCAAGCAGGTTCGATGGGCGTCGTAACTCCCTACCAACCTCCCAGAAGGGAATGGCCTCATGTTGAAGACCAGCAAAATACCCTCAAAGCTGGATACGTGCTTCCCGCCCTGCATCCATCTGGCCGTGGCAATGGCAGACATACTGTGGCAAGACATGGATGCTAAAGGATCTGCGTGACATGTCGTGCGATACGTCTGCACACAACAAGAATTCGTCCAGGTCGAGAGCCTGCCGTTTGTGCCGCATGCAAGATCCTTTTTTCTGTCCTGTGGATTGATTCAAATCGGCCCTCAGGGTGGTGTTCTCCTTCCTGGCTAATTTGAGTATCAGGACGTTGGGCTCTTCTGGATGGAATATTCAATAACGCGGCGCGTGTGCTGACTGAGTGGGAGACCGAGCTGGCAAAATTTAAACCTTCTGAGAAGCCCAATTTCAAGAAAACTGTGCGCAACCCGCCAGCGTAGGACTTGGCCCTCAATTCCTCGAATTCTTCATATTCAAACGATTCTTCAAGGCCCTACTTCTCCTCACTCAAACAAATTACTTCCTACCCCTCGGACGACATGCAGGCTTGCGAATTATTTACCATCTGGGCTGCGGCCATCCTGCTGGCGAACAAATTCCTCGTCACCGCTCTTCCGCCTTTGAGTTACGTTTGGTTAGCAGATGCGACAGAACTTTTCGACGGCAACATGAGTGACGGCGATAATGCTGACGAAATCTATGCTTAGTCCGTACATCCTTTCTCCAGATTCCTGACGCTAAGATCTATCCCTAACATATATCCCAGTGATCCGCTGAACCTAGCTATTCACCCACATGAAACTGGTCGCTCAATGGTCAAAGTCCCAGCAACTGTGTATCCACACGACACATCTCCAACTGCAACATCCGGGGACGACACCACAGGTACTGTGACCGAACATTCCACCTTGATCACCACCGCCGCTCGTCCTCACCTGCAACTTCGCAGTCCGAACCCGAATCCGAATGATCTCGTTCCAGACGCATCACCATCGATTCAGTCACTAGAGTCAATAGTACCGATAACCACCTCTCGTTCTCTGGCTGTCGAGTGCGGAGGCGGGAGTGAATGTCCTCCTGGCTACGTTCAATTACTTGTTCCAGGAATGTGCTATTGCCGGCTTCTGCCCTCGCAGAACAGTGTTCAAATTCTGGGTGAGCATTGCCAAATGTTTAAATCGACTAGCGATGAAGTTCAGTCTTTCTTTGATGCCAGATCTTCTGACGACGTTGCGATGTAGACTCGATTTAGAAAGCTGCTCAGAGCGAAATTTCCTGAAGGGATAACCGAACGATCATTATGGCCATGCAAATATACCACGTTCTCTTTCCGGCATTGGTAGACTTTGACGAGTAAGTGTACGGAGTACCAGCTTTGCTTCAAGCACTGGAAGAATTTGTTGACGAGTGGCTGGTTGAATTTGGTCTTGGGGACGGTGGATACCCATTACTATGTGCTGCAGAGATTTTCTTCTCGCATGCATTCACCTTTTTATGGATAGCTCGGTAGCATCAATGAGAAATCTTCAACAAAATGTCGGTCGAATCGGATTCTTCATGAGGCATGCATTTTCCCTCTTTAATTCATATTCAGACCGTCAGTAACCTTAGAGTCAATGTAGAGCTGAGTTCCACATGCGGTAATATATTACAAGGTCCATCTCATTTTCACAATAGGCCCTCCTAGTTCGGAACGATCTCATCCCGGTACATAGAACATGGTACGAATCCCTATGTCGACTGCTCTGTAAACGGCTCTTTCAACCCTTTTGTCTTTCTGTCTAAAATCAGCTGCAAATCTGCTCGACTCAACGCCCACAAGCCCGTTGGGCCATCCAGATTATTCATAATAGTTATTGGCTCCAAGGTGCCCATCTTGGAAACTCCCTTGCGTAGGAAACCCACGACCAAAGCAACCTTCCCCCAGTCCACGTCATTCTCTCCACGGAAGACATTCCTCCACACGGCAGCGGCCATCATCGCGTCGCCTTTGGTAAGGCCTTCGTCGTACGAGACCAAGACTCCACGCCACTGCATAAACATGTCCCTGAGGTACTTGTTTCGTATGGCTTTCGAGGAGATATTGTGGTGAACCACCATCCTATCTTCGGCCCCGTAGGAAAAATGCTCAAAGAAAAACCGCGAGTAGTCATCAAAGTCTTTGGGCTCCAAGGCCCGGAGTCGCACGGTCAGAATCCACATGTGCAGAAATGTCACTTGGGCCCAGGTGGCGAAGGTAGGCGGGAGATCGAGGACGGTGAACCACCATGTGTCTTCGGCCCGTACTCCCAGATCGGCGCCGTCTGCTGTCTTGGGAGGAGCCATTCCTGTCACCGGGTTTAGACGCTTATCTTCTGTTATCTTGTAATCTGCCTGCGCCGCACAGGATTTGAATAGTCTGTCCGAAATACCATAATTTAGGTACGTCTTGCTCGCATTCGGAGCTACTTTCTGAAACCCCATTGCGAAACGTTCACCCAGCGTATAAGTGACTCCTTGTTCTTTAGAGGGTCGGTGCGTGTCTGTGATGTTGGCATTGCTTTGGTGTCGGTCCTCTTGTGAGAGCTTCAAATTGCCGGGGATGGTGGGTCTCGCAGTCGATTTGGATTTGGCAGGCTCTGATGGTGATTCGACGTCATCAGGATATGTAGCTGTAATGTTGGAGGTAACGGTTCCGGCCGTGGTTGGAGGAACGTTGGTTTGAAGGCTGGCTTGCTCAGCAGGCTTCTGAGGTGCTGCTTGCTGCCATTTAGCGGAAGCTGTGGACAGATGTCGCTGTCTCGAAGTGGAAGCCTGCTTGACCCCAAATAAAAAAAATTAGCAGGACGCTCAAGGAAACTGGAAGCACAAAGTTTTTCTTGCCTTTGCTCCCTGCCGAAGCATTCGTAGACAATACGAGCACACGTTGAACGAGGCCATCTTGCCAAGTCATGGAATGAATCTGGGGTCGAGGATGAAACTGAGGTCAATAGGAGCTTCAAGCTGCTTATTGCACCTGAGCGCAAGTCGTATTCGCGATATCTAGCGCGTCATGAATAAAAGTTGTACGCCGTCAGACGATAAATGTTTCCATAACTTCAACACAAATAAGATGGCAAGAGGTTGTCAAACATAAAGCCTTTTTCTACTTTATCATTGGCCCATTCGGCTCGTACCCTTATTGTACCCTCGTGCTTGCATTAGCAGCAAACCAGTACCGAGAAGGTGCTAGGGCAAGTCATCACCCGCGCTTGGCCATATTGCAGTGTTTGTCTGTTGACCCCCTCAAATCTCTCTCCTTTCTATGCTCTACGGTCCTAAAATTGGATTGCTGACAGAGTCGGTATCTGAACAGACCCTTGCAGTGTACCCGAAGCTTTTCATGGCAAGTGCTTACCGAAGCTTGTTTCTGAGCCGCGTCTGCTCGTCTATGGGTAGGCCTCCGCAGCCAGCCAAATCTACATCACCATCCTTCGTCCCCGCCGCCGATTCTTCTCCTGACAATTGCCTGTTTGAGTTGTTGGCTTCTCCTGATCTTTCTCCAACATGGCGAACGAAAAGACATTCAAAGTCAGTCGAGCGCTTCTGCTATGATAAAGATGATAGATGAACACGGTGTTGGAATAATTGATCTGTGGTTGCGCAATCCTAGTCCAGTTGGTCCTCGATGTGGCTGATTTATCTCTGGCTGGGGGTCGAAGCTGTTGACTTCCTGGTAGTGCTGACGGTTTCAAGTAGATTAACCAGATGTATAGCAGCCCCCGGCTGACAGATGTGTATGTATAACATCTTCAAACTCCCTCGCTGGATCTCTTCCCCTTCTGAGTTGCTGTGATCGAATCCCTTGTGAATTTTCCTGGCCGGTTTTTCTTTTCACCTCCGCAGTCATGGCGCGTTTCTTCCTTCCAGTCGCACTTTTGCTCTTAGCCAAATCAATTCTTGCCGCTCCTGCTTTAGTTACAGGCACCGCGCTGCCTCCACACATTACTCAACAAGCTGGCGGCGGTCTCCCTAATACTCCCGGCACTCCACATATCTCCCAAAACGCGGTGTCTCTGTTCCAGTTGGCCAACTTTCTCGAGAACCTGGAGTCGGCATTCTTCCAAGAAGGATTGATGAACTTTACACAATGGGGCACTGGTGGCCAGACAAATGGTGTGAGCAATATGGCGGTTGTTTCCCACATCGCAGCTCAAGAAGAAGTTCATGTGGCTTCAATTGTTAGCTTGTTGAAGGGAAATGGGGCTCAGGATGTTGCTCCATGCCAATACGGCTTCCCGGTTACGGATGAGACGAGCTTCTTTGCACTGGGCAATATCATCACGACCGTTGGCATCGGCGCCTTGATCGCACTCCAGAATGGACTCTCACAGTCTGATCCAGGTCTCGAGGCGACTATTGGCACCATCCTCCCAGTGGAGTCTCGGCATGATGCCTTCTTCCGCATCACCGCCAACGAGGTTCCTAACCCAACCACCTTCGAAACTGGAATCAGCGGAATCTGGGCGTACAATCTGGCTCTCGACTTCATCCTTGGGGGTTCCTGCCCAAATCTTCCTCAGTCGATTGCTTCTTTACCTGTGTTCCCCGACTTGGGGATTGTCGGCTATGGTGCTCCATCGTTCACTACACCCAACGCTCCGGGAAAGTTAATCTTCAAGGTCGGCCAGCCAAATCTGCTACCACAAGGGTGGAATTCGGGACCGCTCTATATGGCATGGGTCAATCAGGATAATCTGCCAGCATACACTCCGGTGACTATTAATGCAAACGGCGAATTGCATGCCGATGTCCAACCTGGGATGTTTGGTATTGCATTTGCCGCACTGACGAACCAAAATTCTGCGACCAATATTGACGACCTTACCAAAGCCACACTGGCCGGACCAATTCCAATCCCGCTCACGTAAAATTTTCGGTGTCTTATAAGTGTTGATGGGGGGCACGAGTTGCAATGAAGAATGCATGCAGGAATGGCGAGTGGTGTGGAAGAGAGGAGCAACTGGTAAATCATGGTATTCAACGCCGTCGATGGAAAGGGTCTAATCTTCAGTAGTCACAACGGAAGGAATTCAATTAGAGTTGACACCCAGTGATCATCCGTTTCTTACATACTGAACCACACGTGGTATTTAGCGATGGCCAGAAACGACGTAGGGGCTTGGTGGCATGTATGGGAAGATGTGTGATATCCTCATCGTGCCTATGGACGTCCCTGGAGAGAGGTTCGTTCCAAGCCATTTTATCATTTTTTCTGAAGAAGTCAAACTTCTCCCCAGTTACTACTTACTTCAGACCATTCAAGAATAGCTATTGAGCAGTTCTTCTTCAGCCGATGCTAACAACAACCCCCGCCTACCCCTCGCCCTTCAGTTGTGCCATATCCACACCCAATGCGAGAGCCAAGACAGCATCCTCTCTCAGACTCCAGAAAGATTTAAACCATATCATTCTTCTTCAGACTTTCAGAAATTCACCGATGCGATCACTGTGTGATTGCATCACCATTCCATCCTTGCACCTAATCGGATTTAGAATGTACCCTCCATTCAGCAAGCTCCGTCAAGTCACCTCATTCCTCAGGAACCCGACCTCCTGTGAACGTGCTGTCAACCCTCGTCGTGATCGCCATGTCAGATCGATGTCCTTCTCCTTCGCACGTAATAGTATTCCCTAGGAGCTGTTGGAGAGGAGGTATGTCTTCAAATATGATTAAAAGCCTCACTGTACAATCTGAAAATGTCTCACCTTGTTTTCATCGACGTGCAAGACCAATCGGGACTCAACAAGCAACGAGTCAAACACCATGTCGCGGCGGGCGCTCACAGGAAGAAACGAATGATTTCAGTGTTTCACTATCAAGATGGATCATCTCACCAACAACCACCTACCAGCCGATCTGGGAAGACGTCTCGCAACATTCTGCAAGATGATCCAATCTCGGATTGGGAAACTTTGTCAACGAGCATCCCTGGGAATGATGTCGACTTGGCCGTCGACGACTCCAGGACAAAGAGATCCTCTACAAGAAAGAGTGGCGCCAGAAACAAGGCACTTACACTTCGATAGCGTGTCGGAGCACCTAGAGATTATCTGAAGGTTGAGTTGGGTCTAAATGAATCATTCAATTGGATGATGGGACAATTCGCTTACTCTTGGTCGTCTCTGGTCAGACAGGACCCAACCATATTCGACTTGAGCAACCGCATCGAACTCTTCCGAGAGTCCTTTTTCATTGTCTCCGACCTGTTGGAAATATAAAAGATTGATGCCGCTTTTACGGTGCTCGGACATACTCTCGATGCTGTCCCCCAATATCTGCGAGACTTCTCACCCGGGGTTACTCTTCTCCCTCGTTGGGCTAGCATATGGGATCAACAGGACAAACGACTCCGTGCTTCATGCAGAGGTCAAGCCGCACGTTGCCGAGATGGCCTCTGTAATCCTCGGTGCAAAACATCCCATTTACAATTTTGCTTATGTCCGAGTTCGAGATTGCACTCAAGCCTCATATGACCGAGCTCGTCGTCAAATTCATCACTGATACTCTTTCAAAGGCCCTTCGGACCAAACTCTTACCAGACTTTGCGTCAGCAATTTAGACGTTCACAGTTTTATGCGTCCACAGGAAGGCATGATGAGGCCCCAAAGTTGATGGCGAGCGTCCTAAGCCTGTGGAAAGAATAGGATGGAATCGATTCGGCTCTTTCTAGACTCGCTGAGCTTGAAGTACACCTCATGCGACTGCAACATTCCCAGCTCCCGGATCCCTCTATCCAGGTCCAAGCCAACAATGCCATGTTGAGAATCGAAGTGATGTCAGGTGTTTATACTAATAAATTTACCGACAAGACCTCGCCCACTCGACAACGTCCTTCCAGATCCCCACTGACATTGGCTCTGGCATAATGGTTTCTCCAACACAAACGTTATACCTTTGCGTTGCACTGCTACAATCGCTCTGAAATGAATTCTCCGGACCATTACTCAGCCGACCATCTCTCCCTCGCTGACAGCATTACCAACGCTGTTCAAACTGCCCTGTTGGAAATGTTGTCCTGACCAGATGAGATCTCAATTCTCTCGTCACAGGCTTCAGTACAGGAAAACGTGATGGAATATCATCCGTGATTTCGCGAAGGTTCTTGCTGGTCTGTTCGTTTACGTTGTCGACAAAGTCGACTACTCAAGCTATCGTGACATCTTCAATCGATCCAGACATCACAAATCTTCAGCAAGAAGCAACTGCGTCGTTCAATCAATTTGGATTTACGGTGCCGACCGATTCGTGTCACATGAATCTGGATAGAGACACTCCGGGTGCCAGCCGATGCCAGGAACCGATGCCAGCACTCTACAGCCTGCCTGCGCCCGTCTTCAACACAGCCTTTTCGATTTGTCGATCACTTGTACAATACTCTTTCGCAAGTTAGACTGGATATTCTCTGACTGTCGGTATGTCCCGCTGCGGCCCCCCAACCGTAATCCTGCTGGGGTTTTTAAGCAATCCTCCAGGGCTGTATGCTTCAGCTGACCTATCATCCAAAAACCTGACGATTAACATTTTTCCAACGGCCATGTGCAGCTAGATCCGCTCTATTTCGACGACTATGAGACATCTAGAGCTCCCCACTTCGATCCCGGACTCAAACATCTCGCCAGCCTGAATATGACTGTCCCAAAAGGACAACTTTTTGGAATCTATCCGCACCACGAGTGGACAAGAACTTCCACGCGAAATTGCGCAGGACCATTTCTCTACGCTCAACGCAACCAACTTCCGCGACAGAGTGTTTGCTCAGGGGATACCGCAGGATGAGTATCTTCAGTCATGTGAGCGATGAAGACAATTCTTTTCTTTGCTCAGCGAGTATTATATAGTCCAATCCATTGCAGAGACTTCCCGGTTTCGCATGACACTACTATGATTTTACTCCTTGCTCACGACAGATCTTCGACCATGTGCAGTCCTTTGATCGTCCTGTTTATCAGCCTCGCTAGCCTTGTGCTTAGTCATAGCGTCCAGCGACAAGGTCAGTGCCTAGTAAATGATTTTGGCTTGTCCGACAAATTGACAAACTCTATTAGTTGTCCACGATCGGATCTTACGCCGTTGTGAGAATGAAACCCGACCATGGTCATATCCGTGGAGCAACGAGACCTCACAGCCCTCACTTTCTGGCGTCGGTAGCTATTCAGAAACTTCGGCTTCGATAACTGGTGAATCGACAGCAGAATGTCAATTCTCACGGTCATGTAGTGGGTGTGACGGCTTTCCATGCTACCCTACTGGAACCGGTTATTCTTCTTCTGAGACCACCGGAGCTTCTAATTCCTCCTCATGGAGTCAGTCTACTACAAATACAACGTCGAACAGGAGCAGTCAATCTTTCACTAAACACCCCGGCCAGATTCCAACTGCATCCACCTCTTCTTCTGCTTCTTCTTCGCCGAATGGGACAACAGCATCAACTGCAGGTCAGAGTACATCTACAATATCGTCGTTGAACACAGCGGGCAATAATGAAACAGCGAATGCAGGCGAAGTTTCCTCGAGCATCGCTTCATCGAATGTAACGACTTCATCAGGATCCCTTAGCTACAGTGAGATAATGACAGTGTTCACAAATGTCACGCAAACTGTATTCTCCAACTACACTCGTATACTTGGCCCTCCCCGACCATCGAATTCTTCATGTTGGCGTTCTCAAGGCCTCGCTAGTTACGGGCCACATAAGGGAACACCTTGGCCACAGCTATCAACACGGCCTGCAGCGTCTACCACATTCTCTACAATAGCATTGGATGATTCAACTGCGACAGGAACTGAATATACAAGCTCTTCGTCAGGTGACAATTCAACCTCAGCACGAGATAATGTTCTGACGAGAGCGACAGACGACCCAACTACGACACTGACAGGCACTACGACGCCGCCACCACTCTGGAGCAATACTACAACCACCAGCACTTGCACAGAAGGAACCATCCCTCAAGCATCAGAGTGGAACGATTGGAACATCAGTAGCATCTCTACCTCTAGCTCGAGCAGTAGCTCGACTACCACTTCAAGGACCCGTTCCATGACTGCTACCACCCAGTCAAGCAGTTCTTCCGTATCTTCTCAGACTGTCAATGCTACCACTACCGGCGTGACTACATCTCGGACTTTGTCATCCGAGATCAGCACCCCCAGTTCCACTTCTCCAATCATGCCCGAGTCGGCCAGCCCTAAACCTCAGATTGTGCCTACAACGATATCCTCTAACGAAGTTGTACCGACTACACTCAATCTAAATGCTTCCACCATCTGTCTCGTCAATTCCACGATCGCTATCTGTCCAACGAGTGCGGCGCCTTGGCTTTGGACAAGTAGCAGCAACGCCGCAAGTGTGAATGGAAGTGGGGAACCAGCATTTACAAAATCTATTATCTCGGCGAACAACAATACAAACCGCGAATCTTTGGGCGTATCCCGTACTGTCATCATTCCACCTAGACGGGTCGTCCGAAGGAACGAGTTGGAAATTCAATGACATTTTCATCGTGGCAAAGAAGGCGAGCGATGACTGTGAATGCAATAGTGGAGGAAGGGAGGAACATGGTCGCATTGGTTGGGTAAGCATGGTTCTCATCGTTCGTTTCCCCCCGCAATTCGAGTCGGGGCTCAATTTGGGTGACATATCCGAGGTCACGAATTCCTTTCGTGTCCTGTTTAATCGGGGCTGTAAGATGCAAGGTTCAGAGGGTATTTCAAATGCATGATTGACAATAAGGCATGCATAATGGCAGTGGACCGGAGGATTTAGAACATCCGGAGACCCAGGATTGTTCATTACCCTGTTGATTGGCACATCTGGGCTTTGAAAGAGGCATGAATGTGATGTTCCTGGTCCTCTGGTGATGTCGTATTTCATCACTAGTCTGTACATGGAACGGGTATTCCTCTGGCCGATTCATTGATCCACTGGCTGTAGAAGATATTTATCTGCCGATCTCGTTGTCTCTATCTGATTTCGTATCCAGTTGTCGTCTTGAGTGCAAGGTCTTGATAAATTCTGTCAGAACTGATCGAGCTGTTGTCGTTATGCCGGGTGCGGTAAAATTATTGTCGGAAGGCCATTAATTCACAGCTCCGATGGGGGCAATTCAGCTCTGGTGAATTGTTCAGGGTATTTTTGTTTGTGACCAAATTGAGGCGGTAGAATTGAGCATCGTTGTTTGTATCTTGTGGCCTAAAAAAATGTCATCTCATGTCGTTTGTGCCTTGCGCGTTCAGCCTCACACGGAAGCGACAATGAGATTGACAATGATATCATGTGTGCTCATTCGGATTCAATCGGAGTCGGTGGCGCACTGCTTATACCTGAGGTTGCTGGCGTTGCTGCTGCGTTGTCTTTCTGCGCCCTCGAGGACTTCGTTCCAGACAGAAACTGATGAGTCCATTCCGCAATCGACGCAGCCGGCCCTCCAACAATGGACACAGCCTGCAATTCGGTGTCTTTTCCAAGAATGGTGCCTTGATATCGAAATTCCTCGCCGGTCTTGCTGTGTTTCTTCTTCAGCGCTGGTCCCGATCAGTCACATGCTCGTCACCAAAACTTCCACCAGAATTCAAGCCAACTCACCAGTAAGATAATCTTCTTGGTCATCGAGTCCTGCTGCAATTTCCTCCACATTTGCATCATCTCCGAATCCGGCGACCCTCCTGATTTCCTTGTTGACCGGCCCTTGAGCCCAGTTCACAAAAGCCTCAACGCCTCGCAAGTCTTCAAACGGCACCATCACACCTTCGATCTCAACCTCGCCTCTCAGATTTTCCTCAACCGTGGTCATCTGGGGAACTAGGGCTCCGGCCTGGCTCAGTGCGAGCCTTACATCCTGAATAGTCGGTACCATACTATTGTGCGTATTGAAAGCAGTCCGCGCAGTTGAAGAAGCCAGCAAAATCAAATACCGCGTAGCCAGATCAGTCACGGTATCGATCACCGCAGGACGGGCATACCCAAATCCAGCCGCTCTCAATATTTGAATGACCGCAGGGCGCAAAAGCGCCGTATGCAAACCGGTCGAAGTCATTTTGGCCTCGCTGACGAAGTTGCAGGATCCTCGCTCGTGGTTTGAAGGTCATCACATCGCAAAGAGGCTGGAAGGCGCAGCGCAGAGAAAAATATCATTTCATCCCAGGCAGTTGAAATGGGTGGTAGAAAACTGCAACAAAAACGCCAGCTCAAACGCAAATTCTCTGACGGAGCAGAAATTCCACACCAGCCGTTTGTCACACTCAGGCCATCCACTGAATCAATGCGTCGATTTCCAGTAACTCCGAGCCTATGGGCACCCTACGTACAAGTAGCTGAGATGAATTCACAAGTTTCTGGGAACAAGAATTTGGCAAACTTAAATGACGGGACAGACGCAATGACCGCCGATGGCGGTTCACTGCAGCAGACCCCAGCCAATGACGATGACAACATCCAGGTAGACGCTGGCCTTGCCACTGAAGGTTGGGCGACCCAAACGGGAGGCAGGGCCCAAGGCAGGGCCAAAGCGACAGCCACTACGTCCAGGCTGCCGACTCCGGCGCATCATCGCAATCGACGCGCCAATTCCATCCTCAAGCCCAGAGTCACCAGACATCAAACCCCGTCTCAAACGGCCGCTCTTCACAAGGCTGTCACCATCAAACTTGAACCCGAAGTACGGGAGATTGATTACTCTGTCCGCACCGATTCGGATGAGCCTCCTTCGTCGCCATCGTCTGAGAATGATGCTGACGAATATTTCGAATTGAACGACGTCGAGATGTCAGATCCTCCGCCTCCACAACGTCCCTCCCTCAAACTCAAGCTCGGTGGCAAGAACTTGGTTCCTCAAGGAGATGCAATTCAGACTGCGCGGACCCCAGTAATTCCTGCCAGCGCAACGCGAACGCCGTCGATCAAGCTCAAGTTCGGTGGCACGCCTCATCCCATCCCTGAAGCTCCCGCTCCAAAGTCAAAGAAGAAAGATACGACAACCATCCCGCCTGGCCCTACTTCGAAGAAAAGAAAACGACCATCAAACGCGAATAATCTTGAAAATGAACCTGGTCAACCGGCACCCAAACCTCCCGCGATCCGCAAAATCACTTTAACACAATCCACGCAGCCTCCCCCGCAGCCGAAGTCTGCACAAACACTGAAAATCAAGTCCAAAGGGAAAATCCCCAAGCGACAACTTGGGGTGGGCTACGACTCGGAGCTTGAGGATCGTGAGGTCGATCCCGTCATCCATGAGGGCTTTATTCTACGAATGCCACCGGGGCCAGACTGTGACTATCTGAGAAAAGCGATTGAGGAAGGCACAGTCGGTTCTCGGACAAAAGGTGGGGCGGACATCAGTATGAGGATGCTAGACACCCAGGGGAGGAGAGGCATCTTGACGATCAAAGGCAACCATTACGCTACATCGCTGGTCGATCTTCCCTGCATCGTTGAGGGGATGAAGTCGTGGGATAAAAAGGGCTGGATCAAGAGTATAGACATCAACCAGATGCTGTTGGTTCTGGGTCCGTGTAAAACAGATGATGAGGCCAGGAACTACGCTCTCCCTGAAGATGTGGATCCAAAGAACTACCAATACGCTCACGGACTCACCGCCCCGATGAAATGGGTGCGAAAACGCCGCTTTGCCAGAACCAAGCGCGCTCGAGTCGATGACATTGAAGCTGTCGAGCGAAGGGTCAACGCTCTTCTCGAAGCAGACAAGGCCGCCATCAGTTCCCAATATCAACTTCTGGATCACGACCCTCGTCTTGACGAAGAACGCTACAGCCCCGACATGGATGATGAGGATGCCGAAGGAGAGGACGATGAAGAAGCTGATGGATACTTTGCAATACGCCATGGTCAGCATGACGGTGCTTTTGTTGAAACTCCGATGTTCACGGAAACTCCTGTCGAAGACATTGGCCAGGATGAGGTCGATGAATTCGAACGAATGTTTGCCGGGGATGACGATGCTCCTACAACACAGGCGACGTCTCAAGCGCACAATACCTTACATGTTCCGGAGGTGGGAGATTCTTCATTTGCCGTCACCAGCACCTCCGCATCACCGTCCATCACGGTGGCACATACGCCCGCATCGGGGGCTGAGCCGACCTCTGACGAAGATGACGATGACGATGGAGGTGAAGATGACGAAGATCTGGATGATGCGGAGAAAGAGGGTGACGAAAACCTGCAACAAGTCAAGGACCGAATTGAAGACATGCAACAGAAGATCGCGGAGCAGACCGAGGTGCTCAAGAAGACCCAGAATGCAATTCTCAAGAAAAAATTGGCCCGCAAGATTCAAGATTTGAAGGATGATGTGGCCATGATGAAGAAGAGTGCAGGTTTGCGTGGTGATGAAGATGATGACTAAATACCGACATATTTCAACATTCGCCTCAATCGATTGGTATGCATTGAAAGTAGGTGGGTGTGGGATGCAAAAGAGTGGTCATCTAAAGCCATGGTCTTGTCAAAGTCCTTTGGGCGGGAGACGATGACCTTGTGATCGCTTCGCCCCCTGTTCTGAAGTCCCATGAGGCTGCATTGCAGGGCAATATTTTTATGCGGTGGTCTAAATCAACTCCCACATACGCCGAGGGTTCCGTTCCTAGGAGCAGACCGTGAGGTTCAGGAGATGCATCGGTTCCCCTGGGATCCTAACGTGGGCTCCATTGCGCTGATTGGGTTGTGTCATGTTCCAGGAACCCAGAATACTTTCATTGAATACAATGTAGTCTGGATCTTGAGGAGTGTATTGCATTGCCTGACGGTCTACTGCGGCGTGTCAATAACAAGAATTCATTCGTGGTCAAGCGTCGTCTTCATAAGGCCGCGATATGGATATCGATGGCGGAGGAACGGTTGACTGGTACCCTCTCCATGTCATTCGTTTCTCGGAAAATTGGTTTCAGTGGAAAAGTCGCTTTTCAAGACCATTTATCCGGCCAGCAGGTAGCGAGGAGGGTTTGAACATAAGGCATCCGTCGTGGGTGTAGGAAGGAACTTAAAGAGAAGCGTCTCAGTTGAAGAGATGAATTTGAAATTTTCAACCTGGCCCGTGAGAATATCAGACAAAGAGCGGGGAGGAAAAAATCTGGCCACCTTGATACCATGCTCCGGTTCAGACTACGAAAGTCTTCGCACGGTTTTTTATGATACGCGGTGTCGGGCTCAGCATCCGCCGATACGAAGTCCAAGACAACTAGACTTCAACATGCAATGGCGGGCGCTATTAACGCCATCACCAAGATGTTGTCCAATGAATCCCTTCCAGAGCCCGTTCAGCTAGAAATGATACCTTGGTCACATTGAAGAACGTTGTCTTCGCGCTTTGGCACGCTAAATATCCCATGGCCGATTCCATACTGATTTTGATTTTAGAATGTCGCCTCCTAGGTTCTGTGAGCTTTCAAAAGCCTACAACAAACTGCCAAGGCAATCCGTGGGAGGATATACACGACCAGAGGGCCGGGAGCCCAGTGACCAAGGCTAAGAGCCCAATGACCAGGGCCTAGGGACTTGTCCTTACCTATATGTCGACTGACCTCATCTTGCTTCTATTGCTCGACGTCTCGCCGAGGATGGATCGTCCTGTCCTGAGAGATTCCATGATTTGCATCAAATGTATTTCCCGATGCCAAATGGGCGATTTGGTCAGTTTCGATACTGTATACCGGTTCGCGGAATGCAAGAAGCCTGGTCGATCAGTAAAAAGGGAGATTCGCCGGTTACAAAGTCAAAGACAGCGAGGTTCGTGCCTTGAGAATAAGAGATTAGCGATACCACCCCTATCAACGATGTCGCGAACATCAAATACGCTCCTGTTCGGACACATTTCTGCCCGCGGTGAAAGCGGTGACAGAATCTCAGGAGATGGAACAAAATCGCCGAATCTGTTCGGTGGTATGAGAGTGGACTGGTGCAAACTTGCATAAAGGGAACTATATGTGAGAAAACCGTGGAGATAACAGATTGTCCGAATGAAAGATGTGGGCACGAAAGCCGAAACTTGCCCCCGTTTTGAACTTCCTCAGTTCACCGGCGAGACCGCTAAACGGAAGCATCCAAGGCCTCAACACCGTAGCGAAGCAGACCAAAGTTTGGCGAAACCAAAAACCAATTTTCAGGGTTTCGAAGAAGACACATGGCACCGCAGCTGGTCGAGTTTCCAAATATTGGCACACTGCGGGTTCGTCCTAATTACAGGGATGTTGAAGGGAAAGACCCAAGCGTTTATTTCCTCCTTCTACAGTACTACCCAAGGCCCATATGCACAGTAGTTACTGAAACCAACTGAGACGGGAGTCGAGCCTTTGTTGAGCACGGCGCTCATGTTACGCTCAGACGCCCGAAGCACTGGCCAAGCCGGGTATGCCGGTGGAAATGCCAAAATGTATCGAGCTAGGCTCGCGAGGGACTCTGATAGGAAAGGATTCGACATGCACGGTTGCCCAATTTGCAGTAGAGAAGCGCCACTATTAGAACGAACGGAGACCTGGTTGGATAGCAGAGGGAGGGAAGTTGCCGATCGAAGTTCGTGATGGGATCGAAGCTGAATAAGTCTTTTGCAAAAACAGGGCGGATTGATTCATCCAAGGAATCGAGAATGTTGAGCGAGAGATGACCCTGGAACGAGAGGGGGCGCAGGAGGAATTGGAATTCCGCCCGGGGTGAATGTCCAGTTAATAGCGGAAGTCTGTATACGGTAGAGTGTTACAACCCCGGCCGTATCAAGCAGATCGCTCCTCTATTCGGTGCGGTTTGGCCCTCTCTGCCACCTTTTTGGCCCATGCCCTGTCCCATGTCATTGATGAGCCACACCCACATTCTCGTATTGAAAGGGCTCGCATCATGAGCCTCACCAAACTTCGAATCCATGGAATGGCCACCTGCATCCTCAATTACCTCTCTCACGCTCTTTCTCTCTCCCTCTGTCGATGCTGTCTCCACGGATTCTGTGAGCGACAAGCCCGTCCATTAATTAACCCTTCCCATCTCAGGCGTGGCATGGTGGCCACAGCGAGTCAGATCTTGGTGCGGGCGGTGACACCGCACGCCGGCGAACTTTGCCCCCATTTGCTAGGCCAGCCTCACCTACACGGCGAGAAATCATGTCTACAGAAGCAACTTCCGATCGCAATCATCGTCCCAAACGAAACAAGACTGAATTGGCTTGTGACACATGTCGCCGCCGCAAATCACGATGCGATGGCCGACGTCCTTCGTGTTCGCACTGCGAAACCATGGGTCTCGATTGCATCTACCGGCCTCCTCTGACTAGCTTAGAAACGTGAGTATTGGAGAGGCGAAGGCTGAGCACGGTGGTGGATGAAGACTGATCATCCGAAATACTTAGAGATTCTTCCGTCCTTGCGCGTCTCTCCCATCTCGAAGCACGCGTTCAAGCCATCGATCATGGTCGTTCAGAAGCGCTTTCTTTTGGCACTCCCGCGACCGCTCCCGAGGGCTCCGTCATCTTGGCATGGCCCAAGGTTCCTGAGTTTCACCATGCGGCCGCCCATAAACTCTTCCATTACTGGTCCAAATTGCGAATCAACTTGACCATCCCAGACATTGAGCCGCTGAAATTCCTGAAGCAAGTGGATGAGGCCGACGATTTTCTCTTTTCGTCCCATTTTGCCACGCCCGTCTCTGGAGACATGCCCCTCGCAGAAGCCATCCGGGCCATCGAGTCCCTCTTTGAAAACATCCTCCGTCTGCCATTTGTCTTGAGGCATCTCTTGACCTATGGAGGGTTATCCAAGGACATCTGCTTGGGCTTCTTCAAACAATACCGGCCCTCCTCGCCGCAAGCCTACCAAGTTCGGCTTGAATTCAAGAATCAGTCGGCCGAAGAGCTTCTTCTCCAAACTGTGGCCTTTAAGCACGTCGCATCTACCACCTCGGAACCATATTTGAGTCAGAAAGCCGATTTATGTTTCAGGCGTGCTCTTGAGCGGATGTGGATGATGCAAACCCAACAAAGCCCTCAGGCTCTGCCCTTCAAATTTCTCTTTGTGATCATCCTGCTCTATCTCTACGGCCGTCCGTTTCACGCTCTGGGTCTTCTCCAAAGCCTCGAATCGCTAATTCATAATGCGTCCCCGAAATCTCAAGAAGATCTGTAAGCGGATGCCATACCGATCGCGTCTGCCCGCGTTAACAAAAACTTATAGTGCTTTCAAGTCTCGATATGAAGCTTGTCTCCACCAATATTTCATCCTGGAAAGGTACGCCATCATTGCCTTGGCAAACCCGGTCGACTAATTTTCGATGTCCAGCGACATTCTGACTGAAATTGACGGCATTCCTTCACAGCGTCTACATAATATCGGAGTTTCATTGGCCAATGACACCGTTACCACTCCTCCCAACCTTTTCGGCCACGATTTTAGTGCTCCGCCCGGAGAGAGTCATCCTTCTTGGGAGCTTCAGGCCCACTTGCGCTTGCGAGGCTATTTGAACAGCGTCCTCGACAACCTCTACACGGCCAATCGAGCCTACTGCCGTCCAGATGATGTTGCAGAGCCTCTGACGGACATTGCTCGTCGTCTAGATTTGTGGTATTGGTCGCTTCCCTTGGACATGAGATTTCCCCGGCATCCATCTGCATTCCTGTTTGCCGCGAACCGCATGTCGGCACCAATGGTAAGTCCGATCCTCCTCCCCCCCCTTTTTCAGAATGGTCCTGAATGCGCTGAATCGAGAAGGATGAAGTGATGTTTCGATATTACGCCGCCGTGTTCTTGATGAATCGTCCGATTTTATATTCGGTGCTCTATGAGACCCTCGAACATGCGGCCAGATCGCCCGAAAGTGAAGCATCCAAACAGGATCCGTGGACGTATGAATCGTGTTACAACTGCGTGCAAAATGCCATCATGATCATCCTACTTCATACGACGAGACATCACACCAATCCCCACGATTATTTCGAGAACTGGTGTAACCTTCAACATTTGATTGCCGCGCATGCGATTATTGTTCAGGTTCGGAATTCGCCCACCATGTCCATACTGCTTCGAGACAGTGGCGATCCTAGTCAGCTGTTGGACGCCGCTGAAAATGTTCTGGAACGATGTTTGAATCGGCCTGCCACCATTCGAGAAACTTTGGGCTTGCTCAGAAATATTCGGCAAAACTTCCAACGAAACACTCCCCGGACCCCTTCCCTGGGCAATGGCTATGCCACCTCACCGGTCTATTCGGCCAAAAGCTAACTCTGGTTCTGCATATCAGCTACTGAGGGAACTCGGTAAGTTTTGGTCGAGATACAGGTACCCGCAGGGCTTTGCCACCAACACAAGTCTGGGCCACTCCCGATGGGGGACCGTTTGGCTGCACTAATCGACTACGTGCCGGATTAGAGGACCCTCCGTTGGGTTACACCTCACGCGAATGCTGCACATGGACGCCTGCAGCTGGTCAGCCTGGAGCCTTGAACATGCGAGGATTACCCCTTACTCTCTGGCACCACGCCCCCGTTCTTCGCGAGTCGTGGAGCCAGACTCAATTTTCCTAGTACGGCAAACGACGATGCTCCGCCACACGCAGGAATGTTGTTGGCCAGACTATTTTTACAGGCGTACGCCAAGGTCGCAAATTTAATCGCTTCTTTGAACTGGGCCGGAAGACCGTATTCATCACTGGTGCAAAGCTGAACTCCCTGTGGGTGCAGTTTTTCGCGCAAATGTCCCATGAGCGTCTCGTTCTTGGTGCCGCCTCCACTGGCAATCATTTTCGTGATTGGTGCCTTGGGAAGAATGAAATCCGCGACCGCTCGTACAATCGAACTTGCCGTGAACATTGTGAGAGTCGCCAGCAGATCCTCTGTCGATGCCGATCGGTAATCCTCAAGAATGCGATCCGCATAGGCGGCACCAAAGTCCAATCGCCACGCCGACCGGGGAGGTTTCCGAAGGAAATATGGATGTCCCTCCAATGCAGCCAACAACGTCGGGATGACCGTTCCTGTCGCGGCCAATTCACCGTCCTTGTCATAAGGCCGGCCGACTCGGGCCCTCGTGACATGGTCAATCATGACATTTCCGGGGCCAGTGTCAAATGCCATCATTTGGTGTCGATCGGCATCAGCCAACTGCACATTGGCGATGCCCCCGATATTCAATGTCACAACCGGTGCCTCATTCCGGAATGAACAAAAGTCGAGATACTGCATTAACGGTGCTCCTGACCCTCCGAGGGCATGGTCAATGGGCCTGAATTGGGTCACCGTAGTGATGTTGGTCAGGGCGGCGACAACGCCCGACTCCACGATGAACAAACCGCACGGGAAGCCTCCTTTGGTCCACCTTTCAACCAAACTGTGGCTTCCCTTTTCGATGAATTCTTTTTCCTTCACCCGGTCGGGAGGCTCTTGGTAGATCGTCTGCCCATCGTAGCCGATAACATCGACTTCCTCAGGCTGCATTCCCACTTTGGAAAGCAACTTGTTGGTCGCTTCTGCAAACGCCGCTCCAGCGGCATAGTTGACTCGGCATAATTCGAAAATGGAGAGATCATTGGCAAATGCCCGAAGAACCAACGGTTGAAGTTCTTCTGGCCAATCTACTGAGACTCCATCCACAAATTTAGGACGAGTGGGATGGCCGTCGGCGGCGATGTCAATTGTACACAAGACTGCATCGATACCATCGAAGGATGAGCCACTGTTGAGGCCAAGAATGTACGGCATCGTAAATCAACGGGATCTTGACAACACTGTCACCTTTTCGAACCGCTCCAGTCACTGTTTGTTCAAGTTGTGAAGTTAGTTGAACGGGTTTCCGAGTGTGCCACGACCATATATGTTGGGGATTGGAACTCGCTTGCAATCCAACGTCGGAGATGATCATCAGGCTGACGAACCCATCGATGGAACCCTGATCGAGGTTTGCAGCCTATGAACCGTTTGCCGACCCTTAGACCTCTCTTCATGCCGTGTTCTCTTTGGCTTATTTTCGAAATCGAAGGTGGGATCGCACCAAGTTTTTTATCCAATCGTGGGGGTCCCGACGGGGAGTTATCCGACCAACATTCCCTGTCCATATGAAAGCCATGAGGGTCTTTGCGCGCTAATGTTGCTATCTATGCCAGCAGCAACCAATCACTTGCTGTGGAAATATAAAGCCATTGTGTCGGACTCGGTTCGGGCACCTGTCGTAACCGTTACGCCAGGTTCGACCACTGCAAATCATGATCCCAACCTAATAATGCGAACGCAGCTTCACTTTCATTTGTGCCAATACGAGATAGAAATTGCATCTCATCGAGTTCCCGTTGGATTGGGCATCATTCGATTGATAAGCACGGGAGCTGATTCTTTCAAACTGGCTTGGGGAAAGAACATTACATTTCAGGGCGGTCTGAATGAAAGAAATCTGCCTGTCAGTCGTGACGGAGAAATCCCCGATTACTAAAATGAGTGAACCACATCTTTTTCATCAGTCCGCATCACCTAGAACCGGAACGGTCCGAGACAAGGAGTTCTTTCAGGATCGACTCCGCGGTTTTAAGCCTCTGTTCCACGTTTCTCTTGTCGCAACCGATGGGAGTTCTCCGGTTCGTGACCGACTTAGCAAGGCCGAAATATCCACCCGAAGAGAGCAAGTCGCAAGTCACCACCTAGTCGCCAATCGTTTCTCTTCTCTTGCAGGAGGGATTGTGATCCTAGTCAGACGAGAAAATGCTTCTGACACCACATCCGGGCGCAAGTGTTCAAGCTCCTCTGCAACCCCCGCCAGCAAGCGGCATTGTCCAGTGGACTTCCTCAGCATGCCGGGCCCTCTAAAATCCCTACCTCCACTGGAAATCATCGCAAGGGGGTTTACGGCTCTAGCCCTGGGAGACGTTCAGTGTAGCCCAAGCCCTTTGCCATCGAGCCTGTTGAAGTCAATGCTGCCACAGGTCTCTGGAACATCGATGATCTGATCAGCAAACTCGATGATTGAATCCTGTGTCCTCGGGTTCATCCCCGACCCATTACCAACCTTGAACATGACCAAGATTCACCAAAAGTACGAGTATAAGCTGGAACAGAATCTTTTAGATCGAGCAGCCAAAATACCCCCCATTGGAGTACAGCGGCATCCTTTATCAGTGGCTTGGATTCCCAGCAATTTTGGTGCACTGTGATTCAGTGTCCGATACTTGGCGGAATTGTCATATTCCTGCCCTCGGCTTGTAAGTGCCCCCTATTCAACAGCGGGCCAAATCACCATGAGAGTTCGAGAGTTATCATGGAACCGTGTCTCCTGATGGCAAGGGGAGATACCAAAGGGCGGATGACGTATTTGGGTCATGTCATCTGGGATGAGGGCTGGTTGATGATTTCCAGAAAACATCACCAACTCTATTATCCTGAAGATCTTAGAATGTGAAGGGAATCCCCAGTCCGCTAGGACCGCGCGGGCCCATCCCTTTGCCAGCGCAGAATTCAGAATTGCGCTAGAGTATGAGAACCCCTGTCCACGCATTTGCTCCCCGGCATCCGCGGGATGGGGATATGTGGTTTCCATCAACGGACTGCTTGGCAATCAACGCCCCTCAGTCATTTCTGAACTCTAATTCGTGCGCAAATTGCTAGCGAGGTCCGGGGTGTGGCAACTTCCATCACACCGTCCAATTGACGGTGTAGGCGGATCTTCTCCGTCCTCGTGCGGGACTGCAGCAGCAAAGGACAATGGACTGATCAGCTACTTGATAAAAGGTACCATGATCCCACTCACCCCCCCCTGTTCCTTCTTCGTTGAGGTACTGCCTCAGCAAAGTCCTCTTCCTCCATCTGTTTTGAGGCGCCTGCTGGGGTTTGACTGGGACCACTTCACCATGAAGGCTCGTATGTTTAATATCAACTGGGGTGAGCACCGATGGGCGATCTTCTTCTGTGCCGTCTCCAGCCTCGGTGCTCTCTGTTATGGATATGATCAGATATATTACACCGGGGTGCTGGGCATGGAAAGATTCGTGCAGGACTATGGCACCACGCACGACGAAGACGGCAATGTGGCATTGACGACCACCTTCATCTCGTTGACGGCCAGCATCATCTATGTCGGAGAACTCCTTGGGGCACTGGCTTCGGCTCCCATCAATGACTACTTTGGGAGGAAGGGTGTTTTTCTCTGCGCGTCGACCTGCATCATTGCCGGGGCCATTGCTCAAGTGGCCGATCAAGGCAGCATGGGGGTGATTATTCTTGGTCGAATCCTCATTGGATTGGGAATTGGTCAATTCACGGTGACATGTCTGCTGTACATTGGCGAGGTGGCTCCTCAACCCATCCGCGGTCCAGCATTGATGATGTTTCAATTTATGCAGTCGTGTTCGCAGCTTGTGGGCTCGGGGATCACTCAGGGGACCGAGTCCATTACTTCGACGGCCTCGTATCGAATTCCTATGGGCCTGCTTGCCTTGCTGCCTTTGCTGATGCTCATGGGACTGCTTTTCATTCCCGAATCCCCCGTCTGGTACATTCGCAAAGGCCGACGGGACCGTGCCAGAAAGGCGTTGATGAAAATCAATCATAGCATGCCCAACTACACCCCCGAGGCCGACCTGACCGCCTTAGCACACATGGTCGAAACCGAACGGATCCGAGAAGCGAAATCGTCCTGGATCTCCCTGGTGAAAGACCCGATCGAACGACGCAAGTTGATTTACTCCTGTGGGGCCATGGTGGCGCAGCAAATCAATGGCATTCAATTTTTCTATTCGTACGGAGTCGTCTTTGCCCAATCCATCGGCATTGAAGAAGCATTCACCATCTCCTTAATCACCAACACCCTCCAGGTCGTCGCGGTCGGTGTGTCGGTCATCTTGGGCAACAAAGTGCGCCGCCGAATGAATCTTCTGGTGACGACTCTCATGATGCTGGCCGCATACATCATCATCGGCGGCCTCGGTGCCGGGCCCTATACGAAAACCAGCTTCAGCACCACGATTGTTGTCATCTCCTATATCGTGATCGTGGCGTTTAATTTCGGTCACGGACCTCTCGCATTCACGATCGCGTCCGAGATGGCGGTGGGACGCAACCGGAACAAGATCATGAGTTCGTCGATTGTTTCATTCTTCTTTACCGTCTGGGTCATTGCATTTACGAGCCCGTACATTTACTACGACGGCGGTTTGGGACCCATGCTGGGTTTCGTCTACGCGGGCACTACATGCATCACACTCGCGTACGTGTGGCTCTGTGTTGGCGAAACCACTGGACGCAGCCACTTGGAAATCGAACTGTTCTTCCAAGAACAGATCTCGGTGCGGAAGTGGCGACAGCACCGGTTCGAGCACCATGACGCCACCGTGGAGGAGACTGGGGCGCGAGATGCTGGAGACGGTGAAATGGGTCGCGCTGGCGGACCAACTCTAACTGAACCGACTGGATCGGAGGGAGAGAAAGTGGAAGAGAAGGTGAAGGAGAAAGAGCTCACCACCACGAGCCAGAGCAGTGGGAGTGGGAGTGCAAATGTTGCCTATGAAGAGAAAGAGGGCGTTTAGACGTGCGAATGCTTGACGAAACCAGAGCGGCCGGCGCGGTGCCGGTACCATTGAATTGGATATGGGAAGTGGAAATGAATAAGTAAGCGATGGAGTATGGGGATCCCAGTGATGGCTTCCGTGAAAAGCATCTGGAAAACGGCAGGAAATGAATTTGAGCTTGGATCTGATATTGGATATTCGAAAAATGACGGAGTGCGCAGGAACTTGGATCGAAAAGCGATGGATTTCATTATACCCCGACACGCATGCCGTCTGCAGTGGAATCTTGGGTCGAGCTAAATTGCACGAGAGAATGCACATACTCGTATATATATGTATATCGAATTGGGATATATTCTGATGTGGGAATGGTACCGGATTCGCCAAGATACAGAGAAGGAGGTTAGATCAAATAATACCTTATACGTCGACGTCCGGTCGTGGATGGATGCTTTTCGTCTAGCCTTTGCGTCCAGTCTACTCGAATAGACAGACTCACCACCATCTACCAGAGCATCTCGAGCTTTTACGACGTCAACTCGGGCGTCTCACCCAACTGGAAGTCTGCCATGGCATCAGGATACCTTGCCCCGCTAATGATACACGCCTCACAAGCCTGTCGGATCGCCTTATCCTCTTCATCCGAAAGCTTCACCGTCAAAGCGTACATGTTCTCCTTGACACGCTCGACGCTGCGTGTGTCGACTAGCGGATGCACTCCCTCCCACTGCTTCAGCAACCACGCGAGTACGAGCTGGGAAGACGTGAGGTCCTTTTGGCCTGCAATCTCCTCGAGCTTGCGCACCAATTCGAGGTTCTTATCGAAGTTTTCTGGCTGGAAGCGGGGGACCGTGCTTCGCCAGTCCCCGGCCACGTCGGCGGGGGATTTGATCCTTCCAGTCAAAAAGCCACGGCCGAGTGGTGAGTAGGCGACGATTGCAATGCCGAGTTCTTTGCAAGTGTCAAGGACGGAATGGCTACCGGTTTCAATATCGAGAGACCAGGGTGAGTATTCGATTTGGAGCGCGGAGATGGGGTGGACGGCGTGGGCGCGGCGGAGTGTCGAGGCTGATACCTCAGACAAGCCGAGGTATTTTATTTTTCCTTCACTGTTATGGCAGGAGATGTGTCAATGGGCGATCCATAGAGAAAGCGGCAGAGAATTCTCCCTTTCCCCGCCAGGAAAAAAAAGGGGGGAGGAAACTAAGGAGCAAGTCAAATAGGGACCTCGTGACTTACTTCTTCAAGTCGGCCAAGGCCTTAACAGTCTCTTCAATGGGGGTCTTCCCGTCGACACGATGACAATAGTAAAGATCAATATAATTGGTCTTCAACTTGCTCAGGCTGCGAGCACTGGCGATCTTGACGTATTCCGGATCGCTTCTGATGAGGAAGTTGGGGCCGTCCATGCCCGCGAAGCCGAACTTGGTGGTAAGGAAGATATCTTGGCGCTTCTCGGGATTCTTTGTGAACCACTTGCCCAGGAGCTCTTCAGTGTCGCCGTAGAGGTCGGCGTCATCCCAGTGGGTGGCACCCATGGCGTGTACGGCGTCGAGGAACGCAAGACGTTTTTCGTCTGAACCTCCGTCACCTTACACGCCGCCCAAAGACATCATACCGACGCCCTCGGCCGGAATAAAAGGACCCCCGCGGCCGAGAGGGCGGGTTGGGAGAGGGGATGGAAGAGACATTGTGGGTGGTTTTGGCTTGAGCAGACAAGCTGAGTGACAGAGAGGGGGGGCCTTATGAGATAGCTTTTGAAGTCCTGCAAAAATGCCAGTGAAAGAAGACGCCACAGAAGGGAGTATAGCTTTAGCATAAATAGCCGGTGCTTCCCGGTACCACACATTTCCAAGGAGGTTGTTGCTTCAAAAGTGGCCAACCACGTCAAAGATTTCTCGAGTGAAATCTGTGGCCGCGTCGGACGAGCTCGGCGGACTGTCCAATGCCGGAAATACCAAAATCGAATCTTACTTCGAGAAGGCTCTTTGATAGTGCTGTTCGAAAAAGTCAATTGTCAAAGTCCTGCAGAAATGTCAGCGAGATAACGATGGAGGGTACAAGCTTCGGCATGAATAGCGGGTGCTTCCCAGTACCTATCTGCTTGCCCGTCATCTTTACCTTTAGTATAATTTACGGGACCTAGTTGTTCTGAGTGAGTTATCTTCCGAACGAGGCCTATCAATAAGGTTTTTTCAATGACAAGCTAAAGCGTGGACGATGCGTACCTCTACCGGCTGGAAATTGGAGAAGACGAAGGATTACCCGGCTTGGCGCCAAGTCCGCGTGATGTTCCTCCGCTCGGCAGACCTGGGCCAATCATATCGATGGTGTTTAGCGGAACTGACCTGGACGAATCCGGCCAAGTGAATTCGAGTAAGAAGGAAGAGCTGTACAGGGATGCCAGTAAGATCAATGGTGGATGTGGCACTGGCGGGCCCTAAGAGCCATATCCGAGTAAATCCAGGTCTGGGTTTGGATGCTCATGCGAACCGCTGTGTAAACAAGCTCAAGGAATGCGGAGACCCCGCGCAAGGAAATCAATAACTAGTAGACATTGCCCAGTTCGGGGAGCTGGCCTTCCGAATTCAGCCTTCCGTGGGTTTTCATGCTCCAACAAACATTTGACGAAACACCTGACTTTTGCGTTGCATGTGGGTCCGGAATCAGCCCTAACTGAGTCTAGTGGGAAAAATAATACTTTCATTTTCGCAACCGTTCAACAAGGGGAATATACTGTATCCGTCCATCTCGATCATAGCTTGGAAACTCCTCCCTCATTCTGTCTCTTCTTGCACGGCAATTCCCTTCTGAGGATCTTCCCGGACGGCGTTTTCGGCAATGGATTCAACTCCCACAACCCCCCTCGCAGTTTCTTATATCCTGCCACTTGCTTGTCTGCCCACTCCCGAATCTCATCCAGGAGGGTTTGTCTCTGGTCTGTCCCCAATGAAGCTGTCTCTGGTGGTAGGGTAACATAGGCGATGGGCAGCTCCGTAGCTTCGGCGTCGGAGTAGATCGATGTCACTGCCGCATCGGTCACGGAAGGGTGTTTCAAGAGCAGATCTTCGAGCTCGGACGGTGGGACTTGAAAGCTAACCACGGTGAGTGTGTTCGATGCTCTTCCCCAAATTAATCCCCGGACTTACCCTTTATACTTGATCAACTGCGAATGGGTCAGCGAGCTTCTGTGCTCAATGCCGAGAGCATACCTCTTTCAGTCTGTCCGTGACCCAAAAATTGTCATTTTCATCCACACGCATGATATCTCCTGTTCTAAGCCACTCGCCTACATATGTCTCTCGAGTTGCTTCTTCGTTGTTGAAATATCCCCTAAGTATAGATAAGCACGCCCATGCCTCGAAGGTTGAACACCCTGTCACCGCCTTACATCATTGTTTGAGGGCCTTTCACCCATAATTCGCCCTCTTGGCCTCGTGGAACATCTTTGAACGTGACGGGGTCAACCAATCGAACCTCCCTGTCCATAAGTTCATCAGTCCGCCATTCTGATAGAAAGGGGAGAGGGCATCCCTCCGAGCCAATAGGCTTGACATACGTTCCACAAATGACTCTCCCAACTGTCCCAATGTTGTGCTCATCATCTAACGGACTCTGCAGCATCACTGTGGGAGAACATTCAGACATGCCGAAGCCTTTCTTGTCAGCGACCACTCCGGCCTCGTCCAAATCCATATCTCACCTTGCACAACCCTGGTATCAACACCGAATCTTTCTTTCAGCCTCATCTGGAGAGATCTCTTGGTCGGCGCTGCCGCAATAAGCAAAGTTTTTAGTGATGAGAGATCGTATTGCGCGGCAATATCTGAATTGGCCAGTTGAACCGCCACAGGGGGGACGATGTGAGCCCATGTGGCCTTATACTCGGCCATCTTTTGGCAAAACAGCTTGAGGTCAAACGCCGGTAGAGCACACGTGAATGCGCCCACCCACATACTGTTGAGAACCACCACGCCCATTCCATAGATGTGACAATCTGGACATGTCTCGTTAGCACCTCGAGTCAGCCATGGGCGTGGGGAATATATTTCGTACAAGGAGGAAAGAACACTTCTCGGGAGGCATGATGGAGAAGCAACGGTACAGAGATCCGTTGTTGAATGACATTGGAAACAAGATTATAATGTGACAGTTGGACTCCCTTGATCTTCCCCGTCGTACCCGACGAGTATACAATCACCGCCGTGGCCTTCTTCGTCGACTGGCCGCCCAGATCGTATGGCGGGAGCATTTCCTCGGAGGTGTGACCGGCAACGTCGTCGGGAAACTACAGGGAATGAGCTTGAGTCGCCATCAAAGAAGTCCACTTACCAACTTGAGGCCCCCCCATCGTTTGAGGACCGTGAAGACTGTTGGGATCGATTTGCCTGGACAGCCCAGTTGCTGGATTGCGGCATTGACGGTGTCTAGCTTGCTGGGCTCGACGGCGATATGAGTGGGCTGAACCAGGGATATTGCATGTGCCACATCCTTCGCCATCGACGATGGATTGAGCGGTCTGTTGCTATGTGTTAGAGTCTTGCTTCGTCAATCGCATTAAGGCATACGAGAACACTCCTCCCATCCAAAGAGTGGCATGGCAAAGAATGACAAAATCAGTCTGCACTCGTTTTAGTTTGGAACCGAGCGTTGGTCATGGTTCCCCCTTGACGTACCGAGTTGGGAACCAGGACCAGCAATCTATCTCCCTCGGTCACACCCAACCGATATTTCAGTCCCCATGCACACTTGCTGGCTTGTTCTCGCAGACCGCCATACGTTATGCTTTTGTCGGCAATGGTATCAATATGGACAACCTTGTCAGCTGGCACATTATCGGGGTTGTACTTTGTCATCAGTTGAGGGACCGTGATCTGGTCGTCCAGACCGATAGGGCAATACTGCCCGACCGTAGGTCGGAAGACCATTCTTTCCAATCGACTCGAGTCCAGATCGACAGCTGACTTCGGCGCGTAGAGCACATCTGTTATAACATCCACCTTGGCCAGGATCACAATGCCGGTCCGAGCATCCTTCAGTATAATTCAGGAAATGGCTTGGGCAACCCTGAGATCGAAGGGAAAAAGAAGAAAATAAAACAGAGAAGCCTCATGCGCCTCCGTGTTTCATTCGGGTAGCAATGAAGCCACACCTCAAATTTCCCCAAACTCGAGGGCGAATCCTCCGCACCACTGACCTCGGTTAGTCGAGTCAGAAATCCTCGACGCGTTGCGGGTCAGGGCCTCGTCGGTAATCTCAAGAATGCCCTAAAGCATACGTCCCCCCGGGCAAGTACCAAATAAAAGCGGCTAACATTAGTCAATCATGGACTCGTTTGGGTCGACCGTCCCTCTGCTGAACCAACATGGTATAACCCACAATCATCACCACATTCCCATCGACAACGGAGGGCTTTCGTCAGTGACTATGTCGAGATATATCTGGCACCGAGTGCCGAAGAATGGGAATTGTCAAGCCATGTCCCGACAGAAGTATTTCAGCGTCATGCTAAACTAGGGCTTTTGTGGCAGCGTCTACCTGCCAATATCCCTCCCTCAGGAGTGGAATTGCTTTCACGACGTTATTCTGATTGACGAGTTTATCGAAGGTCGGCTACATTGGAGTTCTTTGGAGTCTGATCGGAGGAAAAACTCAATTGGTTGTGCCTCCGATTGTCGACTTTGGAATGAAAGGCCAAAAAGAGGAATTCCTTCCTCGAGCCCTGCGAGGGGAGATTCGAGGGGTATCAAGGGATCACCGAGCCCGATGGGAGGACACGCATGAAAATTGCCCTCGATTGTCATATCGCTCACTCCCAGAGGTCCAGCTGGAAGCGACGTCACAAACATCCGAACCAGCGCGACTCTATCATCTGACGGGAATTCTTTCAGGTGAATGAGAGTAAGAAATGGGTCACGAATACTTTGTGGTACGATTTCATAATGGCAGCGGTGCGGACGGGGCTCAGAAGAGTCTGGAGTCGCAGGTCTTTCGGTGTTAAGTATCCCGTTTGGATGCACCCGGTGTGTCCAGAAGGCCATTGCCCAATTCAGGTGTCTCAGCCAGCGGATGTACTTTTATTGAATTGGGCGAAGTCCAGGTCCCGAGGGAGAATTTGTTGGGTGGTGAGGTGGGCTTTGAACCAGGATTCAAGATGATCGTGTCGAGGAAGTGATCAAGACTCTCTGAGGAAGAGAAAACGTATGGGCTGACAGCTCTCTCTGACTTCTATCATGAACGGTTCATCCTTGCGGCATACATATCCATGATGCACGCCAGGACACTCAGAAACGGATGGTCTTTGGACCACCACGTCTCTCCTGCGTCATACTTCAGTCGCTCCCCGGGCCATGGACTCTACGATGAGTGGAAATTTGGTAGGCATCCCGGTTCATACTGCGAGAATGTTGGAGTCGTGCGTACGAGAAGCTCAACAAACCTGGGGAGGCATCGAATCCTCGAAGAATAGAGTAGATCTCGAGAGACGGTAAGGGTCATGGTGGTGGGAGGAAGCGATGAGATCTAGACCGATTTTGGCCATCAAGCCGGCGGTTGCAGCAGAGACAAGGCCAAGAAGAAGGCAATGTCCAAGTGGTAAGGCGGACTTGACGTACTGTAGATTCGAAGCAAGCCGGGAACAAAAGAAAAATGATGGGGGTGGGCAATTGAATGGAGGGAGGTGAACTTGAGATGTTAGGGCGAATTAGGAGTTGTGGGGCTCTGCATGATTCGCCCGCTCCAAACTCCAGGACGCCTGCCGGATTAACCATTGACCTTTTTTCTTCCAACGAAATTGATCGTGACCTCGACATCTCCCCTCTATCAGCCACGAGCTTCTCGTCCACTATTTTTATCCTCGCTAACTGACGAAACAGCCAGAGGATAACCCAGGCCAGTTCTCCAAAATGACAGAAAGGCGTTCTCTTCCCCCCGCTGATAGCTGCTAATGCCCACCATCGTCGTATTCGCAAATCAATTTTTATTTTCGCACCCCTCCAATTCTCTCCGCCCGCAACCGCGCAGCGCAGATAGCCATACCCGCGAGTGATCGTATATGAGAGGAAGGACTAATAAGTTATTGAACGTGAAAGGGTAGTATATCAAACATCTCTGTGCTTGCAAATACCTGTCCGACTCGAGTCTTCGGATTGCGACATCACGTCGCGGGAAGCTCTCGACTTCAGCAGACATATCTGACAGTCCCTCTCAGCGGAGCTCTTTCGCTATAGAGGTCGCCCAACGATATCACCATGTGCTTTAATACCAAAATCGACGATCCAACCCAACAACCGATCCGCATATCTCAGTCTGCTGAGGCGCGGAACAGCGAAGTCCTCTACGATGTGACCAAGGAGCGAAAGTGGAGCAGAAAGAGCTCGCAACCCTATATTGATGATGGCAGCAAGGGAAATGATGCTGAGAATGCCACCGAGCTAAGAAAGAAATCTAGCACGGGAGCCGAGTCTGTTCCATCGAATTCAAAGCCGAAGTCCAAACGACGAGGTGACACACACCACATGACGGGTTATTCGATGGATTTCGGAGCTACATTCTAACCTTGTGATGGACGGTGGCATTGGAAGTTCAGCAAGGATCCCATTGATGATGAATTGGGTTGAATGGAACGCACAGAAGGATTGTATGGATCGCTTGTTCATGCGACCCAAATTGCCATTGCGCTGGATGGTATCTGACTTTATCTCTCGTTGGCTCAGACTCGAGCAAGACGTGTGGGACGATGTCAATCTCGGGATCACTTTCTCCCCTGATGCCCCTTTCCCTCGCTGTCTCGGATCTTGTGACGTTCCTTTTCTGGTTGAAAGTATGTGAAGAGGTGTTGTATGAGACGGGCTGTATTCGGCGAATCTACATAGAAGTCCGTCGTCGTCCACTCTGACCAATGTACTGCTTCGAGCACCAACATGGCAACCCGGTCATATCAAAGTTGTGTGGTTGTAGCGGCGTGAAGAGAATGTATGAGTTAGCTCAACCTATCTGCCGGGGGTGGCAGACCGACACGTTGTGGTCGTATCGAATTGTAACGAGGATCAATATTCTCCTTGTTAGACTCCGCGGAGGAATGTTCCTCTAAACGAGAGTTTTATAATGTTTTTCTTTTTTTGTATTCTCTTCCGTCCCCACTTGGCTTGGACATTCTCCTGGAGGTTGAATAACTGACTCAGGGATAGTTGCCATTTCGACATACGGAAGTGTGAAACTTCCGCTTCTCGTTTGATAAGGGCAGCAATTTCTGGCGAAGATGAGAAAAGAAAAACCGCATGGCTGACGAAGTTAACGGTACCTGGCAGCAGTCGGCAGCCATGCTTCTGTGGCTTCGCAATCCGCAGTCTGGAATCTACTGGTTCAAGTCCATGCGCCGCGAGCCTAATACAATATAATGGAATTTCCTCATTACATCGACCCACCACGGAACTTGGATCCCGCCCCACAAATATAGCTACAGCCCGGCCAGCGACCGTGGGATCATGCGTGGGAAGGCGAGGTAATCAGTGGCTCATTTTGCGGCGACCTTTACTGTGGAACATACGTCTCGAATACTTGCAATCTCGACCGACTATCCGGTCCATAACATCTCCATCAATCATACCGTATGGTGAAGGACGAGCGAGACTTTCCGTAAACTTCGGAACCCAGTATGCTTTTCCTCAAAACCAAAACAACTTTGGTGGCTTCCCCTTAGTCGCAGCAACATTCGTCAGATGCGCCTCTCACTGCGTATTGATCCCCCGCCCATTCCTGCGAATTGAGATGATACATTTACAGATCCGGATATGATCTTTGCTGATGAACCAATGCTTTGTTTAGGCCCGTCCGCAGATCATGTCGAGAGCCAACTATGAATGTAGTGGACGATCCCCTCTTGAACGACGAAATAAAAATCTCCAGAGGCGGAGAATGTACGCCAACAGAATCCACCAGCATTGCTCGGCAACGTCCTGGACCATGAGATGAAAGTGCAATCTCCGCCGTAGTGACTTCAGCGTTTGCGTCACCTCCACTGTCTTGGGATGTTTCGTACCCAGCTTCTTCCTCCTTCCCGTCAATACCCTGCGGTACCACATTCTGGCTTCATCGAACCGATTTTGTTGCTCACAGAGGACCCCGATACTGTAGGCGGTATTCAGCGTCGTGGGATGGTCGGGCCCCAAGGTATGCTCCCGACCTACCAATGCCCTCCGGTACTCTTCATTGGCTTCTTCGAATTTGTGCTGCTTGCGGTGGACGATTGCCAGGTGATTCACGACCTGTAGTACCGCCGGGTGGTCTTTGCCCAAGATATCTTCACGGTCCTTGAGGACCTTCTTATGCAAATCTTCAGCTTTCTGGAGATTTCCTTGGTTCCGGGCCACGATGGCTAGATGATTCTTCGTCCTCAGAGCGGTGAGACTCTTGTCACCAAGTTCTTCCTCACACATTAACAAGGTGATCAAGTGCCTCTCTTCGGCGAGTCTGAGCTTCCCCTGTTCTTGGTAAATGAACCCTAACTGATTCATCGTCTCCAGAATATCAGCAGAAATACGTTTGCCGTCATACATATCCCGTTCGATCGCGAGCACTTGTTCTAGTAAGGTTTCGGCATCTTCAAGTCGTGCTTGTTGCTCGCGAAGATCTGCCATTTCCTTGAGTATGTTGAGAGACATATTGCTGTCGAATCCATGGGCGGCTTTGGACATATCCAGGGCACGGTTCAGCCACTTTTCGGCTTCATCGAGCAAACCTTGCTTTAGGCAGACAAAGCCGGCGGTATAGAGCTTCTCGATGCTGGGCTCACTACTGCTCGAATTATCCTCCACTTCGGCGGCACTCCTCCGAGCAATGGAGAGAACGAAGTTGCCGATATCTGACGAAACGTGATACCCGGAGTATTGGCTCCCAGATGACAGCCATGTGGTAAGACGGTGTTGGTCGACCTGCATGCTTCCCAACCAGGAGGATCCAACAGAACGTTTGTAAGCCAGGAACCATTCCTTCCCCGGCCAAGTGCCGAGGAATGTGGCGACCTTCTTGACCAGATCCTGACGCAGTCCCGGCGTCCCAGAAAGACATACGTGGTGAACCCAAAACTGAGATGCGTACTTCAATAGGCCGTAGCGAGAGGGATCTGTATTTTCGCGTGCCGCCTGCCACCCTTGTTCATCAATGCCGTGTAGAAGGTAATCAAGACAGATGGACGACAATTCGTAGTGAACATCACAGACATCTCGACAGATCGAACCAACCCCAGACGAGCTGGATGGAGTCCCCTGCTCTCGAATCAGGAAATCGGCAAATGACTTGTGTACGAGCTCCACCGTGCCGTCCTGGTGAATGGTCGCCAGCGCACCACAGTCTTCACGAAGACGTCGAATCTCTCCGTCTTTGTCGTAATTCCCCTCGTCGTCTTGGAATGACGCACCACTCATCACAGGTCTCGCGGCGAGGATCTCGTCGACGGTGAGTGGCCGCGGAGCTAACGCCAGCCACCAGAGTGTCTTTGCAAAGCGCTCCCATTGGTTCGAGTTCAGCGAGTCGTACCGGCGCTGAATGAGCTGATGGTAACGTTCTGATAGCGCTCGAGGGAGACTCCGTAATATTCGGTCAGCCTCGTTTGGCCCGGGACCGCACCCCTTCAATTCCTCCATCATCAATTTGACCCACAAAAACGTGCCTTGTGAATTTTGAACCAATCTTTCCGTAATGTTGGTCGCATTTGCATTCAGATCGGGGGACGCGGTAACCCATGTCTCTGTAACTTTTCGTATATCTGGGCTCACGTCCGACGGCCGGATATTGACAACCGTCCAATCACTGGGAATATTGGCCGGAGAGACGAATTCATCGACACGACAGGTCACGAACACTTTGATGGTCGGGGTGGCCTTGACCAGCTTCTCGAGCTCGTCCAATAGATGGAGACGCTCCCGCTCATGAGCAGTGCACTCATCAACCCCGTCGATAATGCAAAATAGTGGTGAGATCGCGGCTACCATCTGATAAAGCGGTTGTCGAATTGCCTCGAATAACACTTTGACCGATGAAGCCGAGCCCACCCCCGATTTGGACAAGTTGTCCAGTGAGCTGATGTCGAGCCCAACGTTCTCTAGGAGCCAGAACATTAGACTCCTGATACATGCAGTAATAGGACATGTAGGGCCGCCAAAAAACAAGAATACTTGTCCGCCAGGAGGTCGTATTTCGCACAGTCGGTCGAAAATGATGGATGATAACGCGGATTTTCCACACCCCGGACGGCCCTGAACCATCAGCAACGATGAACCTGACGAAGACACCCAATTCATGAATTCAGGGGTCTTCAGAAACCATTCAAAGGTTCCTGGAACAATTCCTTCCTTGTGATGCTGATAGTTTTCCTTCGAACTAATAGGGTTCAGCTGACTTCGTATCCTCAGCATTATTTCTTCTATTCACCTTGGTTAGTAGGCTGAGAATTCGTTCAGATATCACCTTCACAACCTTTCATGTGCTGCTTCTGCTGATGTTTGTCGGCCAGATTAGCGACCCAGCTTAACTCATTCATGTGGGTTTCCAAATTGTCCATGACTTCCTTGAAGTCTCCGTCAAAAGTCGTGACGAGACCTCGAGCCAGCGATTCTGACCGATGAAATTTTCAGTTAAAACGAGGTGATCGGTGAATTTTCTCACACTTACTTAGGGCAGATCTATTGTAGTGGGCAACAGCGAGTAAACAGAATTCGATCACGTCGCCGTAGAACCTCGTCAGGGCCATCTGCACGAGCTTACTTCGGCTTGAATCCCTGGGCGAGCAGTATAGCTTTTCATATTCATCAATTCGAAGCAGTCTATCCAGGATGGTATTGAGCGTTCCATATATTTTGGCGAAGCCTTCGGCGACGTTGATTGTACACTTTACGATGTCAGTAGAGTTATGAAGGAGGGGAGTGGAGGGGCAGTGCTGGAGCCAAGATGCGCCCAACTTACTTGTAGAACGAGCAAGATGGGCGACCAGACAGGGCTCACTATCGCCGCATTCGCCTGCGCAGCTTGAGAGAATGATTTTTCAAACTGATAAAAGGGCTGCAAAGCGGCGGAATTGAATTTGAGAAGCCGCTTCACAGATTTATTTCTATCGATGGTTGAGAGTAGCAGCTTTCCAATCGCCCCGGCATCGGTGGACGATCGCAGGACACCTTTCTGTGCATCGGACAGGTTGTCGTAAGCCTTTTGCTTCCTCGCGTCCAAGGAATCTAGCCGTTGAAGTGCGTCATTCCAGGCATCACTGTGGATACCCTCGCTAGGTTTGTGCATGGACGTTAGCGAGTGGAGGACACGTGCACGAACTGTACAGTAGTAAGGAATGAAAAAAGCGTAGGGAAGAGGGAGGCGTGTCCCGCATTTGTAGGCGTGGGCCAAAGACTCTCTTCCCCCTTTTCTTCGTGCTGCTACAGATGTTGCTTTTTCCTTGCTACACTTATGCCCACGCATTTACGGACAAAGAACGACAGATTAACAGTTCCCCCAACCCAACGACTTCGTATTCTTATCCTTGCATCTTACATTTTTAAACATCTCTCAACACGACGTTCCAGAATCTTCATGTCCACAGATTCATGGTCCGTTGCTCGCAATTAGTAGTTTACAAGCATACGGATCGAGTTACGACCCGTAGTTTATCGCTAGCAACGAGTTCCAACTTATCGCTAATAGATGTGCGCGAAGGGGGATCTACTCCGGAATCTATTCTAATGTTCGAAATTTAGGGACTCTTCGATACCCCTTTTTACCGTGATTCAGCTCCCCCTTTCCCTCTAGTGACTGCACAGGCCAAGCCAATAGCGGTCCAGACCATACCTACACATTACCCCAACTGGAAATTGGATGCCGAATCACACGGCTTGTCGGTGTTCCACATTCAGGCTTGAAAATGATCGGCCATTCTGGCGCTGCAAACCATTCCCAAGATGTGCCACCAAATGACAACCCCCGGTTGTTCAACAAAATACCCCGATCCTTCTTGACAAAACTATCACTTTCAACGGGTTTGACTTACCCCCACTGGATAGCCCGTTCGAGACTACAGAATGAGTCCGAACTAGCCTTTCGCATTGTCTATCCTGGTTAACAGCGTGTCCTACCTCCGGTGGACTGGAAGATAATTTTCTGGGACTGGAAAGTGCTCGTTATGTAGTTCCACCGTATTGTCTCGATGGAACTTCGTAGAGGCTTGACATGCTTCCCAGCTCAACAGGACGCGTCGAGGCTAATCGTGATGGGACGCCACCAAACAGTGTACTACAATATACACCTGTTTATGCACCCTTAGTTCGAACTCTTTTGATGTTTTTAGGATGGATGAAGCTTGCAAACGACCGAAATTACCACTGCGACGAAGCATTTCGGCCTCACATCCATACCCAACTCCTTGTATTATTGTGGACTCCTAGATCGGCTGCCCCTGAGTCCGCTTGTCGCAAAGACCTTCCCTGATTGTTGCTTATACCTCGGCCGTGATCCCCAGCAGGCCCCCGCTCCCGACTGGAGTAGATCAGACGCAGTCGAGATAAGGCGACAAGTCTTCGTCAGTGGGCCACACCAATCCATCAAATGCATGCCACAAAGAGCAAGGTAAGTGGTGATTATCTTTGGCGTGAGTCAAAAGGGTGGAGAGAGATAAAATGAGTAGTGTAATCGAGGCTGACTGCAAATGCTCGCTTGGAGGCCTGAGGATACCCGGGAAAGTTGGGCCTTATCATGCGGCGTGAAAATGGCGAGATCCAGCTGAAATTTCAGACGAAGAGGTAAGAAAATTGCGAAAAGATTTAATCCTCTACTTCAAAGTCCGCGGCGTACCTCGAGTTCGGATCGGGACCGAACATCGCTCACCCTCCGCGGGAGATCGAATTCCGGTCGTGCGTTACAATCTGGTCTTGTATGCTGCTGGAACCATGATCACGAAGAGCAGGAAGTTTTTTTTTCCTTCTCAGAACTACAGCCTCGCTAGCAAGGCTGGATCACGTGAACTGGGCTCCTTTCGAGTTTCTGCCAAGAACTCTAGGTTACATTCGTTTACGGATCATATGTAAGTAAAGCGGCCACCCTCGGCAGATAGTTCCAGTTAGCTCATACATTCGCTTTCCGCCGCTACAACATCTTCAACAGAGATGGAATCGATCAACTTCTCGTGACCGTCTGAAGGGCGCATTGTTGGCAGTCCATATTAGGACTGGCCCAGTCACGTGCACCGCAACAGATAGATTCAATCAATCAATCCTCTCTCGGTCCTACACGCATGAGGGTGTGTATGGTAAATTGCTGAAGATCAGGAAAAGATCCTCCAACCTGGATGATGCTTTCCATCCATGGCAATCTATTCGTCTCATGAAGGTGGGCCCCGAACCCTACCGTTTGCACCGTGTCGTTGATGATGGGTAAAGGCATTCTGATGAATGGCATTGTTCAATTATACTCTCTCGTGTGTAATGTGAAGAATGATTGCAAAATGTGACTCGCTTCATTGTAGATTTGCCTGCATGTCAAGGGCGGTTGGAAGGCGGCAGCCCACGCAAACAGCCTCCCAGTGGAGTATACCTGCATATTTCGTAAGCACAACACGTTGGTGGGCAAAAATAAGACCCCAGATTTGAATTCGAATTTCATTGAGAAGCTCCAAGAACGCCGACGCTGTTGTCATTGCTGTTGGATACCTGCGTAGTGCGCCGCTGCGGGTCGGACCGGCATTGTTTTCCGTGGGCAAGGGCCTTGCCCGAGATATAAAGCGGCCTCGTGTTCCTCTATTCGTAGTTAGACTCATAAAACCCCAAATTGACGAATCCGGTGTTGGTCACGTGACGTTGAACGTCGACGTCGACAGATGCATCTTGATAAAGATGTCAATTCGCCTACCTCATCTTCGCCATCAAACGTCCCTGGAAGAGTGATCGATCTGATTGCACCCACTCAGCAGCTGAGTTCCGAAGAAGGAGACCAGGCAACGCGTATTTTTAACGCTGTCATCGAAGCTTGCGAACCTTTGCGGGACAAGGCGCCATACAAACAGATCACTCTCGTTCGCCTCACCTATGAGTATGCGCACTCCGATTAATCGAAGGCGCTGACATCGATCGCCCAAGCAATGCAATTACTCTGACACATGATTTCCATCGACTCCTTGGTAATTTCCAAGTCTACTTTTGAACCCCCGGACAGTCAGCCTATACATACCGAATTGACTCGACACGCACGGGCATTTTACGCCATCAGATCTTCCCCGTCGATCGTACCCTTTTCCTAACTGACACCCGAACGATTGATCCTTCTCCGCGGTTACTCGCCATACACTGCGCTATTGCGCATATACTCCATTTAAGTGCCGCTGGCCGTTACATTGACAGGATCCTTGAGGACCTTGACGAGGGGGACATAAGGGCAGATGGATCCACCGAGTTGGGATTTCTCACTAAACTGAGAGTTCAGGGTTGGTGGGATGGACGGATTCACGCATATTGATTCGCTAAGCCACTGAGTGATGAACTGACGGCTCATATCCTCTAGAAGACACTGGAAAGATGATCAACAAAAGAGGTCCTGGCCGTGTCTCAGTTATGGTCTTCTCAACCGTTCGTCGCTTCCAATATCAGCCTCGATATCACCAGAGGTCCGGACTTGATTTCGGAGTACAGTACCCGATCATCCCATTCTGTGGTCGGAGCAAGGCTTGGAGAATTCAAAATCCTTTATGATTAGCTATTCTGACGGCTGGTTTGTGTTATTTTGTTCAACTCTCTGAGCTGACGAATTAGAATCGACCAGGTTGAGGTGTTTTCGGAATTCATCGAGGCGAATCCAAGTTGCCAAATAAAGTTTGGCTCATTCAGAACGTTGACAATCATAGTTATTCCTCCCTATTTCCATTATCTGCCGAAGCCACCTTACTTGCAAGACCTCCGCTAACAGCGTTGCTGGGTCTTATTTCGTGTACAAGAGGAATGGATTTTCACTCGATATTTCCAGTTTAAGTCGAGAATCACAATTCTCCCATCATATGATCGAATTGACGATGGCGACATGGCCACTCTCGGGGCCTTTCCTTTCCTCATCTGTAAGTCATGTCCTCGGATGGTGATGTTGAAACGGTCGTTCGTCAACAAGGAAAAAGCACACACAAGTTAGCAATATCCTGTCCCGCTTTGAGATAACTGTATGCTACTCTTGCGCTCGCTCGCCCCAGATGAAAGAAACGGCGAGTGGGAGGAAGAAGACGTGCCAAAAATTTTCCTGAGCTTGAAAATGGTCAAGTCCTCAGATGCCTATTCGCGGTGCACAACATGGTCAATGAGGAGATGTCAATATGCAGCCTGGGAGAAAAGGTCCACGTCAAACACAGAAACACCATTTTGCACTCACGTCCTGACGAATGTGAACTGGTGTCGATCAACATCACCAGAGACAAAGGCCTTCCGGGTATGGAGTGTTCCCATTGAGGACAGGCTTTTTTTGAGTGTAAGGGTCACAGCTGGGTTTCGTAACTGGCCAGTTTCTACTCTAAAGTTACATTGTTCTCAGTTACGTCGATAGGCCGACGTCCTGCGGCGCATATCACAAGGACTTCCTGCCGGATTCTCAAGCCAAATAGTATCCAAACACGCGCCCATCGTGATTAGGGGAAGCGGGCCCAACGGTAAGTCCTTGGCCGTGTGTACAATTCTGCCAACGCTACTAGAGTAAGCTGGATGGCACTGTTTCCATCCCATTTTAGATTTTCAAATCGCACAAAGGTCTGCTCTCTCATAGTGTACCTCTTTCTTGAGCCACTGAATAGTGCCCATAGGTGGCCCCCTTTCAGGCGAAAGGGTTCTTAGTGTTGCGCTTTCGTATGCCCGGAGGGTCCATTTGGGTGCAGCTTTGCAGGGTTCAACCTCGTTACCTCAGCCTTGTTGTTCCTGCCATACGCTGCACCAATTATACCTATCGAATGCTTGTAATTCAGATTTAACCCTCATCTTGCTAGTACATGCTTTGGTGAACATGTCCCAACTGGCGAGCCCTCGGGCCAACGGCTAGTGCCACTGCTCCAGGGTTGTTCCATGAGGTGGTTCGCCGCAATACGCAGCCTCGTCATTCCTCAAACGCTCGACTTCGAAGCCAACAAAGCAAAACTCTTCCCTGACCACATCCCAGGCCTCGCCGAACGGGACAGAAGCATCCGGTGGTAATGAGAAAGACGAACATGAAGATGAGAGGCTGCTTACGAAATCCTGGGAGTTCTTTCTCGACTCATGGATACTTCATTATGCCGCCTTGTTGCTTTCCATCGTATCGCTTGCAGCTGCCATATACACTTTGCGATCTTCCAATGTCCGACCACTGTCGAAGTAACAATTACCCGTCATCTTCAACACTATGCTGTCATCCCTTGCGGGCCCATGGTCAAGGGGGATCCACAATGCTCACCACGGCATCAGTTCTCGGTCAATCCAAGTGGGTAGGGTACCATACTTCCGAGCATCCACTACCGGACTTTGCATTCCTTAATGTGGCTTCAAAAGGTTCATTGCTCCACCGGGAATCATTTGCAATTCGTCGGGCTTATTCAAGATCTATGCCATCAAAGCATGACACGTCCCCATGTGAAAATGAGTCTGGAGATTAGCTTTTCGAACTAGGGAAGAGGGAGCAAAAGGAGCATATAAGGAGGAAACCGGGTGGTGCATCGGAAGGTCAATCGCCTAGAGCATGGGGGCCACTTAGTCACTAGACAAATGCAATTGGTGTCTCGTCTGCCAAGGACAGGGGACCTGGACAAGCCCCTTATGGCTGGCCTTGTACTTTCGTTCCAACACGAGCACGAGTTGAAGACCGTTAACCTAACACGCCATGCTTCTATACAGAATGGCCAAAATATCTTGATTACCATAGCCCATTGACCTGATCAGGCCACCTGGACTGCTTAGAATATACGGGAGTAGAATAGTACAACTTGGGTTGTGTCGCGGCAGGAAGGGGCAGATGCTCCGAGGGAAGTAGACGAATTCTTTCCGTCCTGTCGGGCGCGTGGAAGATTGAACAAGTCAGTGTGGACCAACAGTGTTTTGAACCGAACTCGTCTGTCTTGGCTTTGTCACCGCTTGTATCTGATCCGTCGAGATGGATTGGCCCAGGAGCCGGGGGACAAAGAGAATGCAAGGCTATAAAGGAAGTACGATATTTCTCTCCCACTTTCCGCAAACTAAATACATCATATCAGTGGCTCATTTGGGATGTCACCGATACCAAGCAAATCAAATCCCACATCTTTGAGATTATATCGTGCAAAGGACCATGAAAACTCCCTATGTCGAACGCCGTGAACAAAATGCTAGATTCTCTTGACAACTCGATGCATGAGCACGTTGTTTCGGATTATGCGGATGGTCAGGCGGGAGAGGTGGTCCCAGCAGATACTGAGAAACGTGGCGACCCAGCTGCGGAGAAGAAGTCCGGATATGCAGGCCGCGACTGGCGCGAGCGACTCCTCGTTCCCTGGATCTTCCTTTCCACCATCGTGGGCATTGTCTTGGGCAACCTTGTTGACAGCGTTGGACCGGCATCACCACAGGGTAGCTTCGTCGACGTGTTCGTCCGCTGGATTATTGCGCCTCTACTCATGGTGAGTTGAAGAATCTCCAAGAACGGTCAAGGATCAATTACTGACGAATGTAGCTTGGCCTTGCGTGGGGACTCTTACCGGATAAACAAAGGCTGCAGAGTGGGTCGATTTTCGTAAATCTTGCCCGTTGCATCGCAATGGTAAGCAAAGAATGCCAATGTTGTATATCGACCAATACTAATATCTGATTCCCTGACGAACAGAGACTCCTGCTAGTCTTGGTCAAATCAGGACTCGTTTTAATCTGGTCTCGCTTAGGATCTATTCCCTGGATTCCTTATATCTGTTGTGGAATAGCCGTACTACGGTATTCGGTTCGTAGGCTCGCACCAAGGGTCGGCGACACCGGAGCAAGTGCCAGCTGAAGTCTTTCAGCTGATATTAGCAATTGATGTGGAAGGGAGTGTATCGGGGTTGAAATCAGAAGGGAGGACCTCTTATATTGTAAAGTGTTTTGACAAGGGAGTTGGACCTCTCCGCCATTGATCCCGCGCGACACCTTCACATTATCCCTCCTTTACAAATCGTGCTCTCTATTCCAGAGACCTGGACGCCTGGCCTCCTGAAGCGATGTTGATATTCAGCATGGAAATTTTCCTCCTCCCCATCCCGCCAAATAGTGTGTCGCAGTCGTTTTCGATCTGGCATACCAGGCCAGGACCGTGGGGCCGTCGTCCGTCGCCGCAAGAAGCGAAATCCGGTTTTCTAATGCTCTTGTAAATGGTGCAGTCCAAAGACGTGCGTGTGGCCCAAACAGGCCGCCTTCGTGACAGGGCCTTGAAGTGTTGATGATGTTGAGAACATATGAGCTAACTGAAACCTATCTGCTGAGATGGCCACTTGTAGCCTATCGTCACCGTGGTCGCACGTGACCGGAGCAATCATTTCTCCGCCCAAATTCTTGCGAGCTTCTTTTTCCACAGCTCGATTGAATTCACCTATCCAGGCCGCAGCATTTTCAAAGTCAATCACGTCATGAAACATGTCCCCATTCTTCAAACCGACAACCTATATCCTGACTAATGAGCTACAATGGCGATAACATCCACTGATTCTACGATGCTGCGAGCTCGACTGCGTGTGCAGCATTTGCTCACAGGCTGAGCAAAAACCTGCTCAACAGCGCACCAGCACTGACACCCAAAGATCCAGAGTAAAGAGTCCACAGGTATCGTACGGCGACAAGAACAGTGGACCACGAGCCCGAACGCTTCACGAACTACAGGTTTTTTTTCTGTCTCGGATTCGATGTTCTCAAAAGCGAAAAGATACCAAAAAAGAGGCAATGACGACATCAACCCACAAAGTTCACAACAAAGAAGTTAAATGGCTCAAGCTAAGCTTCCTCAATGGAATCAATTCTATCCGACAAATCGAGAGTACCCATCCCTGTGTACCTCAAAAGTGGTCCATGGTGCAACGACTCAATGGATAAGCGAGCCGGAGCAATTTTGCACCGCCGGCAGCCGGTCGAATCATGAACCTTTTGGTTCAGCCTCGTGTCGAAGCTTCGGCCGTTAACATCCGATATGGCTGGCCATATCAAGAAGAATGAGTATATTAGAATCCTTTTTTATTTTTCCCCCATTCCTCACTGTCCTGCGCGTTCCCGCATGACTGCCAACAATACAATATATTTTCATTACTGCTGTAACACATTGGTTGCCGTGCTTACAATTCTTTTTCCCTCCTAACCTCCACAGTTTCAATTTTCCCGTTCCGGCTCTGAATCTTGAACCTCACCCGTCATGGATCCCCCTCGTACCCCCATTGACGCAATGAAGCAAGAAATATCTGAACAAGAACCACAACAGTCTCAAACGACCTCGTCCTCGTCCTCGATCTCCTCACACAAAGGAAACAATGAAGCCTCCGAACCCCCCGAGTTCACGATCTCAACCCGCTTCGTCATGGCATTTGTGGCACTCGCAGTCCTCACACTCATGGTAGCCTTGGATGGCACATCGATCAGCGTGGCTTTGCCCATCATCGCACGCAAATTGCACGGCACCGCCATCGAGGCTTTCTGGGCAGGCACTTCTTTCCTGTTAGCATCGACGGTGTTCCAGCCCAATTTTGCTTCATTCAGCCACATATTCGGCCGCATGCCGGTGATTATGGTATCGATCGCCTTCTTCTTCGTTGGAGTCATGATGGCTGCCTTGTCAAACAACTTTGGCGTCCTGCTTGCTGGTCGTTCAATTCAAGGTATCGGCGGTGGTGGTGAGTCCTCTACATATTCCTCCTTCGCCCCATGGCAACCTTATCTGATAAGTGAATTTCCACAACAGGGATCATTGTCATGACCGAAATCGTGATCACGGACCTCGTGCCCCTCCGCTGGCGAGGTCAATGGGCCGGCATCATCGCCGGAATGTGGAGTATTGGTAGCGTGTCAGGCCCGATCATCGGCGGTGCGTTTGCCCAGGTCCAATGGCGCTGGATCTTCTGGATCAATCTTCCCTTCATCGGGGTCGGAGTCATCATGGTGCCATTATTCCTGCGCCTGAACATCATACCACAGAGCATCGCCGCCAAACTGCGTCGTGTCGACTGGATCGGCACCGTCCTGTTTGTCGGCAGCATGACGAGCTTCCTCATCCCTCTGACCTGGGGCGGAGTCATGTATTCGTGGTCGTCATGGCGCACATTGGTTCCCCTTCTTATCGGCGCCGCGGGCCTCGTGGGCTTCTGCTTCTTTGAGAGGTACATCGCTCCCGAACCCCTGCTGCGACTCTCCATTTTCTCCAACCGCACGGCGAACATCGCCTACGTGACCACCACCCTGCACGGCATGATCCTGTGGTGTCTCTTGTACTATCAGCCTCTGTACTTCGAAGCCGTCAAAGGATACTCACCGGTCGTCTCTGGCGTGGCTTTGTTCCCCGCCACTTTCACGGTGGCGCCCATGGCCGTCGTCACGGGCCTCCTCATCACCAAGTTCGCCGCATACCGCTGGGCCATCTGGTCGGGCTGGGCCATTACCACCCTGGGCCTCGGCCTTCTCGTCCTGCTCGATGTCGATACCAAGATCCCGCAATGGATCTTCCTCGACTTGGTCTCGGGAATTGGCCTGGGAATCTTGTTCCCATCGCTGCAATTCCAGCTCCAAGCCGCCAGCAGTAATGCAGACATGGCGTTCGCCGTGGCCATGTTCGTCTTTTTCCGATCGTTCGGACAGTCGCTCGGTGTCGCGGTCGGTGGCGTCATCTTCCAGAACGAGATGGCCAGCAATCTCGAAGCATACTCTGCGTACGCGGCTCAGGCATCCGAGCTGGCCAAGGACGCCGCGGCCCTCGTCGAGATCATCAAGCATACTCCCTCGGGCCAAGGAAAGCTGGAGCTCCGCACCGCATACACGGACAGTCTGCGCACGGTCTACATCGTCATGATTGCACTGGCCGGCCTGTGTTTTGCGGCCAGTCTATTCATCAAAGGATATGATTTGAATGTCGGCCTTGAGACGGAGCAAGGTTTAATCCAGAGTAAAAAGGACCGCACAGTCAAGGTCGAGGAGGGAGGCGGGGAAAATGTCGAAGCTTGAGAGAGACAGGTGACAAATTCGTCATGACGGCGAGACGAGAGGTTGGGATAATGCACTGGCTGGGTGAATGCGACGGGGAGCAGTGTTTGCATTGCGTTTGTTGGAGCATTGCGCCAGCATCCTTGGGTTGAGTACGACTAGAGGAATGACTTCTTCTTTCACCTCATCAACAGATAGATTTCCTTTAGAATTGGGTTGAGATGGCTTGGTTCACGCCACTCCGGGATGAATGAGCATGATAGACTGAATGTACAATTGGTTCTCTAAAACCTCAAGCTTCTTTTTCCTCCAAACGAGTTCAGATCTTTTGTCCCGGGTTCCTATCATTATGAATCGAAATCTCATATTTAGAGCCACCCTTTGTTAGCACCGCCAAAATCCCCCCCCCCCCTCTCTTCTTTAAAAGGGGGAGGTGGCCTGATTCGCATCCTCGAGGACACGTAGCCATTTGCCCCGCCGGGCGATTTCCAAAATACCACATCAACCTCCTCGCCTCGGGCAATTGTCGCGCTCACCTCAAACCCTTCGCCATGCTTCCCGTTTAGCTTCTTCGCCTCGGCCAATTTTCCCCGAACATATGCCGCCCAGATGCCCTTGCTCGGCCCCCGGCCTACCGGTTTAATCACCACGCTCTCGGGGCATGCTCTCCCTTCAAAATCCCAGCCACGGACGCTCAAGATCAGGGCATTTGCTTCCTCATCCCACACGCCGCGAAGCACGCTTACCCCTTGCTTCGGGTCGACGAAGTGCCGATTGTCGATCCACGGGGTGGTGCGCACTGAGTCTCGAGTCCATGGTGATTCGTACATTTTGCGCTGTCCCTGGGGCACGTTGAGGCGGGCGTAGCCTATGGCGGCGTTGTCGGTGAACGGGTCCATGTGTGTCCATTTCACGGCGTCAGACGCGGCCTCGGTCTCGCTCGTCCCCGGTCAAGACGAAGGGAGTATCATTCCGCGGATAGAATGGGCCGCCATTCTCTCACATGGGATTGAGGTTGCTGTCGGCGTAGTCAAGGAGGCCGTTGAGTCCATCACTTCGGCCGAGTTCAGAGAGCCACTGCACCGCATAGCCGAAGGTGGGTTTGGTATATGGGAATAGGGGTCAGGGGGCGGATATGATGTCGGCTTTGGCAAGAGATATAGCTTTGGTGAGAGCGTCTTTCTGAGAGACCGTGGGAGACTCGGCGGTGATTTGGCGGTAGTGGTTGGCTACGACGGGGGGTTGCAGGCGGATTTGTCCCGAGATGTTGGTGATGAAGCCCGAGACTTGTTTGGCGTAGAGGGAGGAGACGAGCTCGGAGTTCCAGGTGTTCATAAATGCGGAGGCCCTGTGCAGAAGCCATGTCAGCGATCCCCGAACTCTGGTCGTGTCAAGGCTTGAGGTATCCTGCCAGGCCGTCCAGGCCACATCGGCGGCAGGGAAAACGTGGTCTTGCTTAACCATCCACATATCAACGAAAAGGCCATTGGGTCCCACCATGCCTTTCCTGTCCCAAGCAGCTCGGTATTTGGTCAAGACCTCGCTGACCGTACCTGTACCATCTCGGGAGTCGTTATAGCGCATTGCGATGATCTGTCAGGGATTAGGGAAAGCGGCGTCCGGGGAATTGATTGCACACGACAAAGACGACGTTGGGCTCACAGCAGACCCCTACCCATCCATTTCTCTCCATTTCCTTGATAATGGCGATTTGTAGACTTCGATTGTCGTAGGAGAAAATCTCGTTGCCGAATCCATAAAAGAGAGGATCCCATTTGAACACGATGGAATCGGGATTTTCAAACTCGTCATCATCAAACAGCATCGCGTACAAGCTGGTCATGAGAAGGAGATGGCCGCTGTACATGATATTTTCACGTACGACAGGGTCCGCCCAAGGGTCTCGTAACTTCGCTAGACTGGGATCAGTTCTAATCCCCCCCAAACTGGTGGTGAACCAATAGCCCCAGACCTCTCTTCGAAGCATTTTGTGAATGAGTTGACGAAGGAGCGGCTTGAAGATGGTGCGAACAGCCGGCAGGCGGTGGTAGTGAGCAAGTCCAGCTGCGTAGGCCAGTTGATAGCGGTAGCATCAAGGAATTCTTGGGCAGGCTCCTGAGCCCCCATATGAAACCATTCTCCATCTGGCTGGAAAGCCAAGTTGTGGAAGTGTCGGAGGTGGCCTACTTGCTCCGCGGAGAGCTTGGAATACTTTGATATATCAAGAGGAAGGCTCTGAGGCATGAATTGAGACATGGTGGTAGTGGTGATGGTCGCCGCCATATACAAAACAGGTTGATCTCGGTCGCACTGTGTCGCAAAGAACCGTTTTCTCGACAATCAAAATTATTTATACAATAGAGAACGGAAGGACTCAAGCGTACAAGGGGAGATCGGAGTTATCCCGTCCACCAATTGGTGTTCGGTATTGTGGTGTGTGCTAGTCTTGAAACTGATTTGGTGGGCCGCATGAGGACCGAGGTTCTGCATAGGGTTTTAAAAAAAAGGAAAAAACGAGAGCCTTGGGATAGGGGTTGAAGAAGAGGGAAGAGAACACAGTATTGACATCCGAAGTGTAATTACTACCGGTCAACATGGACTGACGGATGAGCGATCTGAGCCGCAGGGTGTACCGAAGGTTTGGCTCGTCGGGGCTGGGCTCATGAAAAGAGGGGAAAACATGGGAAATTTGGGTGGAAATGGGTATGGACATGGGGAATGTTGTTAAGCGAGAGAAATCCCTATTACGGGAATCCCACACAAGTCACCTTTGACAACTAGACCTTCATACGTTTGCCTATTCAAATATTACTCTTTCATGTTCTAGACACCTATCCACGATTCCCCGCCTGCCTCAGCACCTCCATTCACCCACCACGCGACATCGACAACGACATCTTCATTGCCATCCTTTTGGGCACCCTCCACCAATCTCCGTCAAATACCTAAGAATACTCCAGCTCGTATTCGCCTTTTTCACATCCAGGTACCTTTATGGCCACTACCGACGTCATTTTTGGCCTTGACTGCATTGCTGACCGATCTGTCGACGTATCTAGGGACCCATACTCGAGGTTATATGCGACAGGCCGTTCACCTATTCACATATCTATCCATTCCTCCTCTTCCTCATCTTCTGCCATGGTCGCAGGAGATGCGGGATTCTCTCCTTCAATAATCTCCCACACATCTACCACATCCAACGGGGCCCGGCACGATGCCCTTCCTGCGGAGACGGCTGGACTCCATATTGACCTGCCACACCTCGCGACGGCCACAGAGATTGCGCTGGGGACTCTTTCCACCCTTCCTACTCCTCTGCTTGTCTTGTCCTCCTTGAAGACCGTCATCCTCGCCAACTCTGCCGCAGGAAGGCTGTTCGGGATCGACCAAGACGCGGCCGACTCCACCGTCACCGACATCCTCCAAGGCCAGACTCTCTCACAGATTGGAATAGACATGGTCTCCGATGGCATACCGATATGGGTCAGCTGGGAGAAATTCCTTGACAATCTCGCACGGGGCTTGCAAACGGTCCCGGGGGACGGGGTTCCAGTCGCTGAACTGCTCCCGACCATTCACAACGGAGCCACCACTCCGACGGCTTCCTCCTCCTCAGGGTCGCGCAGAGATCGCTCGGCCCCGCGACAGAGAACGCAGAAATCCCAGGACACCGTGGTCGATGTTGCCATTTCCTCTTACCATGGCCCGGCTGCTCCTCGTCACGGTCGACAGCCTATCACACAGAATAAGGCGCGAAGCCCGGGGGTTTCAGCAACCTGCCGCATGATCATCAGCATCTGGACTGTGGAAGGCCAGCGTTTCTTCACCTTGACCTTTACCAGCGTGTCTGCCCACCAGCCTCACAAAATGCGGCCCGGCTCTCAAGCATCTCGCGGCAACGCGTCCACGAACTCGGCCCAATCCTCTCGCTCTTCGCAATCTCAGACGCCGACATCTTCGGCCTCGAGTTCGCAGGTCGGCTCTCCCGCCGAAACCCCCAATACGGTCTCATTCCCTCCCAGCGGTGGCCCCGGCCCATGCGCCGCGTCTTCGACTTTGACCGACTTTCAAAAAGTTCTCAAGATGAAAAATGCCATGTTGAATGCCATCGAGATTCCTCTCATCGCCATGTGGAAGGACGAAAGCGTTGTATTCCCAAACATGGCCGCCCGCCGTCTTTTGGCCGTTGACGCGGATCCCACCTCCGAGAATTCCTACGACTTCCTGTCTCGGTTCACCCCATGGTCGGCGGGTTTCGCTCGACAGCTCCAGGAGATCGACAACCCCATCATTTCTCTCTGCCGAACCCAGAAGGCGTTCACGAGCTGGCATATTGGCATGATCGATGAGAAGACGGGGAAGAGGTCCAATTTCGACGTCAGCGGCCACCCGGTCTTTGACGAGAAGACGGGAGAGTTCCTCGCCGGATTGATCGCGTTCAAAGACGTGACTTCTTACACCGAAAAGATTGCTCTGCAGACCGCGGAAAAAGAAGAACAGTTTCGTCTGATATGCGACATGATGCCGCAAATGTGCTGGACCGCCAGAGCGGACGGCTATCACGATTATTTTTCTCAGCACTGGTACGACTATACGGGTTTAACCCCGGCCAATTCCCTAGGCCCCGGCTGGAAATGGCCGTTTCACGAAGACGACACGCCCGACACCATTCGCCGATGGTCACATTCGCTCGCCACGGGCGACGAGTTCAGAACCCAGTACCGTTGTCGGCGGCACGACGGTGAATGGCGATGGATGCTGGGACGAGCCTTACCACTGCGAGACCACAAGACGGGAAAGATTTTGAAATGGTTTGGCAGTTGTACCGACATCCAGGACATCGTGGATGCGAAGATTGCCAGCCAAAGAGCCCGACAGAATCTCTTGGATGTCCTCAAACATTCGCAAATGACGTTGTGGATCATCGATCGGGAGGAGAAGGTGACGTTCTTCGAGGGCAATCTCAACGCCGACGGCCAGCCCAAGGACGACAGTATCGGAATGTCCATATATGATTTGCTGGCGACCCAGCTCGATCCTGGTAGTATCCGTGAATTCAAGGGTGCCGTGGAGCGCACTCTGAACGGCACATCTGATTGGGAAGTCTGCGAAAATGTGATTCAGTCAAGATGGTTTCGATCCAAACTCGTCCCGCTCAAGGGAAAGCGAGGTCCCAATGGCGTCGAGGATGACGACTACATTGCCGGCGTGATTGGCATCGGAACGGATGTCACCCAATTGCGACAGAAAGAACAAGAGAACATAAAGCTCCTGGCCAATGAAGCCGCCGCCAAAGAAGCGAACAAGATGAAGAGCAATTTTCTGGCCAACATGTCTCACGAGATTCGAACCCCCATCGCCGGTGTGCTCGGAATGTCCGAGCTGTTGATGGATACGGCATTGGACAAGGAGCAGAGCGAGTTTGCTCAAAACATTCAAAGATCCGCCAATTCTCTCTTGACCGTGATCAACGATATCCTCGATTTCTCCAAGATCGAATCCGGCCGACTGGATATTGAGGAAGTCCAGTTCAGTTTGGGGGTGGTCCTCCAAGACGTGGCCAAGATGCTCTCCTTTGCCGCCCAGCGAAAAGGACTCGAGTTTCGCCACGAAATCAATCTGGGCCCGTCGGATGATTCCGTTTTGCTGGGGGATCCTGGTCGAGTTCGTCAGATTTTAACCAACCTATTGACCAACAGCATCAAATTTACTTCGGACGGTTATGTCAGAATGAGCACCAGCATTATCAGTGAGACGACAGACACCGCCACGATCGAATTTTGCATCGAAGATAGCGGAATCGGCATCGAGGAAGAAGTGAAGAAGAGGCTCTTCCATCCTTTTAGCCAGGCCGATTCCAGCACGGCCAGGCGATTTGGAGGTACCGGCCTTGGCCTGACGATCTGCAAGAACCTTGTTGACTTGATGCATGGCACCATTCGTCTTGATTCCAAGTTGGACTCTGGAACCAAAGCTACCTTCCGCATTCCCTTCAAGAAGCCGGAGTACCGGACGGGATCTTCAGTAACATTACTAGACATCGGCATGATGCCCGACCGGTTGCAATCCGACTTATCCCTATCCCTCACAGGATCTTCCCGGGAAGAGGTTCGAAAAGGCCAAAGGGTGTCACCGCCCTTCAACATTTCCAATCCCGCACACCAGAGGGCTCAGCGCTCCTCGATGGCACCGACAGATCCCAGAGCAGAACCTCCAGTACCCGAGATTCAGCGAGAGCAATTTCACATTCTGGTTGTTGAAGGTATGTTTTGCGTCCTCGGTTCAACGTGAACATGGTAACCAAGAGTCATAGACAACCCGGTTAACCAACAAATTGCCCTGAAATTCATCCGAGCCCTCAAGTTTTCGGCGAACGCCGTATGGAACGGGAAGGAAGCACTGGAATATCTCCTTAAAGCTACGTCTTCGGAACTAACTGCCGACCAATCCAAGGAGTATCCGGTGCCGTCCCTGATACTGATGGACGTGCAAATGCCTGTTTTGGACGGTTATCACGCAACACACATGCTCAGGCACCACGCCCCGTTCACCACCATCTCGGCGATTTCTCGAATTCCGATTGTGGCCATGACGGCGTCTGCAATTCAAGGTGATCGAGAAAAATGTGAGAGAGCAGGAATGGATGACTACATGGCGAAACCTGTCAAAAGAATGCTTCTGGAGCAGACAATCTTGAAATGGGTGGCAAACGGCCGTAGCGGGGGACTCGCCCGCGGAACGTCAGAGACGACAACAGACCTTCCGAAGCCGCCCTTGGCGCGAGCATGTACCGACCATTCGTCGGCTTGCTCGGAACACGACATTATCGCCGCCGAGATCTTTGCCAGACATGCCAAAGACTCCCTGGCGAATCATGCTTCGTCCGCTGCTGCACCCCATTCAGCCACCGTTGCCGGAAAAGCCCTGGCCCGTCGGTCGAGCATATCCAGATCCATTCTTGAAACAGAAATACCGGGGGAAGAGACGGAGGGGGACCGGGAGATGCGACGAGCCGAAGCAGAAGACAAAGCAAGAGCCCTGCGGGATGCGAAATTGTTGTCGGCCACGGAAAATGATCATGGCCAACCCCCGATAGCTCCTACCATCATGCTGGACGACATGTATTCCTCGAGTACGCGCCCGGCCCATCTGTCAACCGGGTGCGCTCAACCCGCTGAGAGTAGAGCGGGTGCATCGCCGATGGCGTTAACTGAGGAAAACGTGTCGCTGTTCAACAATGCACAAGACGGTACGTTCGAACAGCAAAAAATGCCGTCACCCAAAATCGAATCAGATGGCGAAGCTTATCCCATACCCGACATCCCGGGGCCTCCGCCGGAGGGACTGCTGCCAGCAGTGGACCTAGCGGGTATGGATGCTAACGCTGAAGCACTAGTCCAGTCATTGCTAGAATCAACGCCGCATTCCGCCCATACAATAGAAACTCGGACAGGATCTGAAGAGTCAGGCAGTTCTTCCCAAGAAAATCGACGAAATGTCGGCGGTCTGATGCCGGGATATCGACAGAACAGTGACTGGACTACCAGAACAGCAAGACCGGAGAAATCATGATCGGAGTGACGAGCAAGCCCAACATTTAATTATCCTTTCGTTGACTGAGAAAAGGACCTTGGAGAGTTGGTAACATTCTGGTATCTGAAATCATTTTCTTGGAGCTTGGTGTCGAGGATATCACGCTAACATCGTTCCAACACATTCGTCTCTCGTTTCCTGGTCCTTACAGGGGAAATCCCAAAAGATTTGGCGAGATTGGATATGCTTTGTCATTCAGGTTGGAGTCGTCTCGGTTTCCTGTGGCCAGCTTCAGGTATACGAGTTACGCGACATGACCTTACGGATACACACGGTTCGAAGTGGCTGGATGGAACTCTGTTCTTGGAGATCATTTCATGACGAGAGTCCGGTTCAATCCTCCATTGAACCGTTGATGTGACGTGATGAGAGAAGAAATAAAAACATGGTGACAGGATACCAGCCAGGTATGTTGGCTGAATTGTCCTCGTCTGAGCGATAAGCCGAATAGATATACACGATTGGTGCAGATGTCATGACATGATATGAATTCCATGCATATCACCGGCATGCCATTACGGATACGTCGTGGTAGTACGACTAGCAAGGTTGCCATATGCAAGGCTGAAAGGCTTCGCAACAGTGGAGGAGATTGCCAAGTATTGAGAATCCTCCCAATTCAAGAATGCTTCCGTCTCGCTTAACGCTCGCGGAATTCTTCCCGCTTCATTAGTAACGGGGGTGTCTTTTACCCATGAGTGGATTCATCATCCATCAGAGCGCTATTCCCCAGACGGCTCCAGAATCATAGTTCCGGCCCCCGGGGTGCGAGCTGGGATAAATCGAGATAGAGGGGAGGCGGTGCGCCACACGTGTGCGAGGTGTATATATTTGTGCCCCAGCTAGCACTCTGCAATAAGGGGTAGTGGGACACCAGACTGACCTGAGCCAATCTCCATCCAGGACGATACTGAGCACTCATTCCAATTCTGCATCTGTCAGGGATCGGCCGCCAGAGGGCTCTAAAGAGTGCACAAACGAGTACCCATCTATCTATATAAGTGCAGGGAGGCATCGACTTCAACGCTGAGGAAGTCGAATAGGGATATTGCGATGGGGTGAGGTAGGCCTATGCCAATCAGTCACGTGACAGAGTAAGCAAACAGTGCAAATGTTGGGCAGATGGCTCTCTTTCGGAGCAACATGCATAACAGAGACAGCAACAGACATATTTTGGGCACAACTGTTATTAGTCTACCTTCGTGTGCCTTGATGCTCTTACCTACCTGCCTTTGAAGTGATCCTCAAGCTCGCGCTCCCACTTTGGCCTGTTGTGTGGTATGTTGGTTGTTGATTTGAGTCGAGACAGATGCTGGTTTGGCAAGCCCCCATATCACCCCTCCAAAATATCCTGCGCAACGTATGCCATATGCACGGCGCGGTGGAACGGTGCCGGCGCTTACGACCAACGGCTCGTAGATACATCCTACAATGACAATTATCAATGCCATTCGTGCATAGTCCCTAGGTAACGTAAAGACTAGAGCTTCTGTCGCAATGGATATTCAGCACATCCTCCCTATCGAAGCTTGTACCTCTGCACAAGAGCATATGCGAGCGGGAATCTTTTGGTTCGCACGATACCGATGAAGGGCAATGAATTGTAAGTCGTCCCAGGACCAATCAACCAAGCAGTCCGTCTTTAAAGCAGTACACAGTCATATTTGGAAGAACATACCAACGAGTAGAATTCCTGCCAAGTAGCGAGGGAAAACAAATTATATTCCCTATTGGCCAAAGAGCCAACGGCCGAGGTAGATTGACCATGGACCCCGGATATTGAAACTTCATAAATTAACCACCCCCGCAAACCCCCGTCCTGCAGATGTGACAGATGTTTGTTCTACGATCGGAGAGACAGATATTCTGGGGTGAGAAAGGGATCGTCCGTGCACTCATTCTACAAGCCGGAAACGGAAAAAAACCTGGTGACCAAGAGGTGCTTTGGTTATAACATTGATCCTCACCTGGCACTATGGCGGATACACCACTCAAACCCTCATCCTCGACGTCGGGCTTCTTCCAGGCTCTTCCGACGATTCCTCCCCAATACACCAGCCCAAGCTCTCTCCCCAGTAAATCCACATCGCTGAAAGAAGGTGCTCGAGCATCTGACGACCCAGTACTCGCACGAGTCCTAAGCCTATATCTCCCCTCTCCTACGCCGAGAGAAGTCTCTTCGGCCCTTCACAAGCTCTCACGTCGCGTGCTCCAGCCATCCACGCTCCGCCTTGTGGTTGACGCCGAGACGAATCCGCCCACCCTGCACCCGTTGACGACGTTCGGCGAAGAGAATCGCTCAGACCCTCTGCAGACGAGCGAAGGCTGGCGTGCTCTCAAGGACATCGGTATCGAAGAGGGTGCCGTGGCTCGTGGCTACCGGCTGGAGAGCACGGATTGGAACCGTCGAGTCCATCAATATGCCATCATCCACGTCTGGTCTGCGACGGCTTCGCTGACCATGTGTCCTGCGTCTATGACCGATGGTGCTGCAAAACTACTGTCCAGACACCTGGAGGATCCTGATGGAGATCAGGCTGGGCGACAGGCTGTGTTTCGCGAAGCATACCGTCGCCTGACATCCTTTGATCCGAAGGACGCTTGGACAAGCGGACAGTGGATGACGGAGCGAAGTGGTGGCAGTGACGTCAGTGGGACCGAGACTCTTGCCCGGAGACTGACAAGTCAGGAGCGTGCAGACGACGCGGCAGCGGGACGTGATCACGATGCAACAGGTATGCCTTTGGGGCCTTGGCGGATTGACGGGTTCAAGTGGTTCAGCAGTGCGACGGACTCGGACATGACGATTCTGCTAGCTCAGACTCCCGGAGGCTTGAGCGCGTTCTATGCACCGATGCGAAGACGGGTCGGACCAGGAGATTCGGTTCAAACCGAATTGAATGGCGTGCGCATTCAGCGACTCAAGAATAAGCTCGGCACGAAGCAATTGCCCACGGCGGAGTTGGAGCTCCAAGGGACAAGAGCATGGCTGATAGGAGCGGAAGGGCGAGGGATCAAAGAAGTGTCGGCGATATTGAACATTACCAGGCTACACACGGCGGCGGGCAGCGTGGCGTATTGGTCTCGTGGCCTGGCGGTGAGTCGGGCATACACCAAGGTGCGAAAAGTGCGAGGTGGACTCCTTCGGGATAATCCACAGCATCTACGCTGGATGGCCGATGAAACGGTCCAGTATTGGGCTGGAGTTCACCTGACATTCCTTGGAGTCTCATTGCTCGGTGTTAGTGAACAAGGCTGGAATGCCGTGGGACGTGGCACAAGGGCGGCGAGGATTCTCCCTCAAGACCCTGCGGGCGTCGAAGGTCTCCTGAGGGTTCTCACTCCCGTGATGAAAGCAAAGGTAAGCCTGCGCAGTGTAGAAGGGTTACGCAGCTGCATGGAGAGCCTGGGCGGAGTGGGATACTGCGAGAACAACGAGGATGGCGGGATTCTGAACATTGCTAAGATTTTCCGAGATGCCGTGGTCAACACGATCTGGGAGGGGACTGTCAGTGTCATGGCTGAAGATGTCGTGCGCGCCCTAAGGGACAAACAGTTGGGGATGGGCAATGTGCTTGACAATGTTCTCGTGCCCTGGATTCAAAATGTCTTGAGCATCTGCGCTGGTCGATTCCCCGATGAGTGCGAGGCGGTGAAGGTGAGATGGCACACATTTGGAGATATGGCAAGAGGGCTAGACGCTTCCGAGTTACACTGGCGAGGCCGAGAGATCTTGGATCACCTCGAAGCGACTGTCTGCGCGTGTCTGCTCATGTTCGACGCTTGTAGCGATGGCGACGAGGTTGCTGCTCTGATCGCGTCGCGGTGGACGTGGTCGCGAGTTCGGTCCAAGGCTGAAGGCCGTGGCCGTCAATTGGATTGGGGTCAGGAGGTGAGGATGGACAAGAGGATTTTCCTGGGTGAGAATGAAGACGGCCAAAGCAGCGTTCGAGGCAAGTTGTGAGTCAGGGAGATAACCAGCTACGATCTACTCCACAACAAGGTAACCGGTGTTGATTCCCTCATCAGCAGTGGGCACTGGAGGTGGAGAGCACAGCCAATCTGCGCTTTCTCAGACGGTCCTTCGGTATGGATGATTTCCCCAGTCAGCGGAGGATGCCCTGGCTACGAAGTTAGATAGAGAATGGTTCATATTGCTGCCTGCCCAGTCATCCAGGAAGCTTTTTCAGCCTTATTGACCTCATCGTCATCTCGTTGGCAGAACTCTGCTTTTTAGCTCAGGCTGCGGTGCCCAGCTTCACCTGGAGCCTGCAAGCTGCTCTTTCCCCTCCCTTTCGAATGCGACTCTACTAGTGGTACCAAAGGACAACCCTGCGAGTGCCAGTGGGTTGTCAAAAGCTAGCAAGGACCGAATCGCCGCCTAGCATGTGCAGATGGGCTCGTCGTGGTAAAGGCTGACACCATCAAGTTACTGTACCTCAGTGTTAACGTATCTCTGGTTACCCGCCGCGCACCCACGCAACAAAAAAGCGCAGGCGCCTTTTTCACCTGTGAAACACAGCCTCACCACTGCTCTCAAAGCCTTTCACAGTCCCAGGAAAACCATGCCTGTGTTCACCCCACGTATGCTTAATTCTCAATTTATTTCCACGGCTTCCTTACCATTCTATGTTCTTGCCTCTAGCCAACAGAACCCAACATGTCGAATCAGACCATCTTGAGGATATCGAGAGTGAGAGGACTGCCTATGACGAGGAACTCAGGTCACTGACTTGGGATTAGGAGATCACTCAGATCCAACAGGGAAGTGACCTGTGTATGTGTTGACCAACCTCTTTTGGCCAACTGTAGCTGACATTTTCTCTAAGCTATCGCCGTCGCTTGCCAGGAAAAGGATGTCCGCCATGTGAAAGCCCTCATCATCGGTCCCCACGGCACACCTTATGAGTACGGTTTCTTCGAATTCTCCGTCAACTTTGGCGCAGAATACCCAAGCAGGCCTCCCAAGGTCGAAGCCAAAACAACCAATGGCGGAAGAACTCGGTTCAATCCAAATATCTACTCCGGGGGCAAGGTCTGCTTGTCTATCTTGGGCACATGGCATGGCGAGAGGCCAGGTGAAGAGTGGTCCTCTGCGCAAGGCCTCGAGTCGATTTTGTGGTCTATACAAAGTCTCATGTCCAACAACCCATACGAAAATGAGCCGGGATATGAGAATGCCAAAGGCACCGAGGACAAGAGGATGAATGATCTCTATTGTGCCAAGGTAGAGCCGGGTGACGTGTCGTAGCTCGATTCAGAAGCAGCTAATACTCGACCAGATTCGACACGAGACCCTTCGAATTGCCGTCATCCAGAAGTTGGAGGAAGCTTTGCACATTCAGGCTGACGGCTCAATAGCACCTCTGGCCCAGTCTCCAAAATGGGAATCTGGCGATGAGGAGGACAAAAATACGGATGATCACCTCGAAACCGAGCCCAAGCTCAAATTCGAACCGTTCAAAGATCTCTTCAAACGAAGATTTCTGTGGTACTTTGAGCACTACATGTCCACCATCGTGGAGCACACACCTCAGCACAAGGATGGCTCTGATTTCACCAAAATGCCCTTTGAAGGTGGAGGAAATACCATGGACGGCAAGTTTCGCTATGCCGATCTGGGTAAGAGGCTGGTTCGCATTAAAGAGGTGATTCGTGAGGAAACCGACAAATGGGCCGTGGAAGGGGCAGAATTGATGAGGCGAGAATCGTCAAAGGCTGCCGGCATCCAACGACAGTTTGAGCAATTAGGTGACTATTTGAAGCGAAAGAAATATCACAACATCTCCGTCGAGCTGGAGAATGACAACCCCTATGTCTGGTTCATGACCTACTTTGGCAAACCAACGACACATCTCGATGGTGGAGTCTTCAAAATCAGAATCTGCATCAGTCCGCGCTTCCCGGATGAACAGCCTCGAATCAAAGTCGAGACTCCAATCTATCACCATAGAGTCGCGAAAGATGGAGTTCTGTGCTATTTCCCCAAGAGAGTGGATGAGTTGAGAAATCACATTGAATGCATTGCCGAAGCCTTGGAAGAGGAATCTCCTCCGTACGATCCTCGAACCATTGTCCATCCTGAAGCCACCAAATTGCTTTGGGGATCTGAAAGCGACAAGAAGAAGTATTACCGTCAACTTAGGAGATCCGCCCAGCGAACCACAGAGGAGGACTTTTGAGTCTCCCTTATACAATAATTGGCGATGTCAATGACGAGAAATTTGCATCTGGATGGAGTTGGAGCCCGATCCCCGGGGGGGAAAGAGAAGCATGGCTTTATTTGGCAAGGAGTCAGGAGATTCGGGCCGTCACAGCGGAGGACATGGAACATGGACTTTGAAAGCGACGACAGCACATGGCAAGCCACTGAGCGCATGAGCTTTACGACACTGGGGGGTTCTGGGGAAGGGGGGTTAAGTGCAGGTGGAGGCGGCGGTACAGGTAGTACATGATAATGATCTAGCTGGCAATTTCCACTTTGATGTTGACTTAGAGTAATGATCATTATTGCATCGACCGACTGCTTAGTTATGTATGGCCTTTGCTGGTGGAGATGTCTGATCTCTGCACGCCACAGGGAAATCGATATTTCCGGAGCCGATCCTGAACAGTTAAAAAGACTGGTCGTCCCACTTTTCCAGGAACAAATCTTGCATGGCCCTTGCTTTAAAGAAAATTCGCGCTGAGAATTTGCGACGTGACGGTTTCCCCGGTCTTTAAAACAATGATAGAAGCCACTAGATCTCCTAGGTCTTACGGCAACATCCTGATTGTCGGAGGCTGCGGCCTCTTGGGCTCACGACTCGTGGATCAGCTACTCAACTTTCCCTCCGAAGACCCGGATCCATCTTGCAACGAATCGCTGCAGGGACCAAAGGCCAACAGCGCAACCGGCAGTCGTCATTCTCACGGTCCTGCATCTTCGAACGCGAACGAGTTCTACTCTTCTACCTTCCCTAGTCTACGTTCTAGATACCCTCCTACTTCGTCTTCGGGCACAAAGGTCCACGTCCTTGACCTGCGGTGTGCGCAGAACATCTTCCCCCATTGCTCTTACCATGAGGCCGACGTTACGTCTCCGGGGACTCTGCTGGAAGTATTCAAGAAAGTGAAGCCCGATGTGGTTATCAACACCGTCTCGCCCCAATGGGAGGCGCCCGCGGACTTACTGAGAAGAGTCAACATCGTTGGCACGAGGATTCTACTCGAAGTGGCGGGTGGAAAGCACGGCGACTGGGGCGGGAAGTGCAAAGCGTTCGTCCATACCAGTAGTGCCAGCGTGGTCCACGATGGTGAAGCCGACCTGATCAATGCTGACGAGCGATACCCCTACGTCTGCCCCAATCCCCGAGAGTACTATTCCGAAACCAAAGTCCACGCCGAAAAGCTGGTCCTCGAGGCAAACGACAATCCCAAGTATGGGAATATGCTCACTTGTGCTGTGAGACCGGCTGGTATCGTCGGCGAGGGCGATCGTTTCGGTTTCGGCGGCGGTGTTCTGCGTACGGCGAGTGTTGCGCCGTCCTGGCAGCTCCATGTTCAACTGGGACCGGGCGACAATCTGTTCGACTGCACGTACGTTCACAATGTGGCCTACGGCCTATTGTGCGCGGCGCAGGCACTACTTCTGACGTACCAGCGGCGGCAGGAAGGAAAAGCCATCTTGCTGGACCACGAAAGAGTGGACGGAGAGGCATTCAACGTCACCAACGATTCACCTGCTTTCTTCTGGGACCTGGCCCAATATCTCTTCAGCCGATACGGGCGGAATATCGACAAAGACAACATCTGGGCACTCCCAGTCAGTCTCACAACCTTCGTCGGCGCCGCCGCCGAGACCTTCAACTGGCTCACCGGCCGCAAGGGCAAGCTGAACCGCCAGACCCTCAAGTATGCCTGTATCAACCGGTACTACAGCTGTGAGAAGCTCAAGAGACGAACAGGCTACCAGCCCATGGTGCCGATTGATGAAGGATTCGCTAGGGCTGTTCGGTGGTACAAGGCAGACGAGGAGGAGCGGAGGGGGAAGTCATCTGTGGAGAAAAAGGTGCAGTAGAGCGAGCACACATACAGTGCATCCCCTCGCACTCTCTGCGCGGATATTTCGGATGGATTTTGCTTGTGTGTCTGCGCATCGTGCAGCGGTACTTTTCCTTCTCGGTCTCCATGTGTACATACCTGGGTCCACGATTCTTTCTAATGACTGTTTTGTGTGGGGGCGCTGTCTAGATCGTGAGGAGGAATACATTTCTGGCTTGCGCATTTGTCTCAAACCAGTCTGATTAGACGGTGTGCAAGATAACCCATTGGACATCAACCCTTCTGTGTATGTCCTCGAGGATTATTGACGTCCAGACAAAACGCTGGGCCACAGGAAAACGGAAATAGAAGCCGCGTCCTCAGTGCAAAGTTCTTCAAGGAGGCCGGCTGATCGATTCTGCGGTCACCACTCACCGGGGGCCTTTGAATCCTGGCGCTCTGTCCCGCGATTTTCGCTGCCGATGAAGCATCTCATTGGGTGCAACAGTTCCCAGGCTGCTTTTCTAGTGTTGAACCAGCTTACTACCTACATCGTCCATTTCCAATGCAAACGGAAATGAAGTAAGCAAGCATCATCAGTCGTTCGATTTTCATTGCGACCTGGTTGGGGAATCTCCTCACGTGCTGCATGATACGAACAGTTAGGCTTGAAAATGTCTGGTCTAAGCGATGGTGGTCGGATTGGCGATTGAACAGCCGGCTTCGGTAGCGTTGAACGTGGTGTCGTGGTCCAAACTCGTGGATGATTTTCCAAGATGCTTCTAGTGCAGACGGGCCTGCTCTTTAGTTTAGAAACAAAGACAATTTTAGCCGGTTCGAGGTTGAATGCCGTGGAAGATGCAATGAGTACGAGCTTCTCTTGCATAATGGATGCTGTCTTCACGCAGTAGTGTCGCCTTGGGGGGGGGGCAATAACATGATTGGCGCCCTCTTCTAGGCCGAGCGGATGGGTCAGCTGAGAACCGGAGTGCCTGCGGTGTATTCGAAAGCTCCCAAAATTTGGTCCCTGAAAGAGAGTTCAAGGAGGGCCGTGTTGGGGGAACATGATGTCTGGCGGCAGAGAGTGATGTGATGATCGAGATTCGAAATTGGATGTCCTTGGTCTCTTTCTGAATGGGTTGCGGAATACGTGAGATGGCAGGGGGTCGGGGTTCAAACCCGGAACTTCTACATCATTCGAGCCAAAAACGTCAAGTTGGTATTATTGGGAGGAGGAATTGCTATGTGCTTTTGTCGTGCAGGCATCTGCAGTGCCGCCCTTGGAGATCACACCAATTGCTGGTATGGGAGGCGACTGATTGGACAAGATGCCGTTGACTGCTTGTTTCATCCACGTCTGAAGTGTTCGTGCTCAGCGATCCTTGGTGCACGGTGTATCTGACGACCAAGTTGCCCAGGAAAAATGGGCACGCCAGAGCGGTCTTTTGTACAACGCTCAAGCGTGATCCAAACATTTTGTTATGGCCTTTTTCTCGACGACAGGGATGGCAGATACGTAGAAGGATGTAGACAGATGCAATTGACCCTGTAGCCGAACAGCCGTCAACAAACACAAGTGGAGAGGGGGACGGTTTTTTTCGAATTGTCAGCAAGCCGATGATAGGTAGGGTTGTAGGGCCGGCATTTAGGACAGGAGGGCGAGAGGGCAGGATCGAGATGAACGTGAGATGGGAGAGAATAGGATCAGGTCCAGGCTAGGGGAATGCGGACGATAAAGCCAATGCCCCGACCCGACGAGCTGCCCGGGGACGACGTGGTATTGGGGCACAGAGGGTCCAGTTCAGGACCTGAAGGGTGTACTCGATCTTAGGGGAGTTTGCTGAGGGCGCCGAGGACCGAAAGGAGAGTGTTATTGGTTGTGACAAGGGAATATGCCCTGTACGTGCATTAGCTGGGTAAAATAGTCTGTATACAATGCACTGAGCGCCGTGCTTGGATGGAGCAGCAGAAATAGCAAGGGTTGAAAGACTCTGAGTCTCTCTTTCGGCCTTTCTTTTTTGGCTTTGAAAGCGCAGTTTTTGATTCCTGCCAAAGCCCATAGCCCCACTTGTACACCTGCAGAACAGTACAGGAGAAACACAGCCTCCGCAGTCCCTGGTTACTTGCTCGTACACGCCCTCATACCACGCAGGCTGCCCGCTGTGGACCCTCCCTTACAAACCCTACCAGTTCTTTTCTTTTCTACGCTGGCACTACACTGCTACTCTTTGTGCTACTGCTACTACCACTTGCAACCAGATTCCAAACACAAACCTCCAAATCCACGCCCTCGTTCTCCATCAACTTACATTACTAGATATACGCATTCTCTCGATCATTCACCGGTCCTCATGTAGTCCGCCTGGCCTTTGTTTCCGACCAAAAGAAAAAAAGTTAACCTTCCAAGCGGCCTTCGGTCCTCCTATCCTCCCGTCGTTCTACGCCACCCATCTTTGTTTCTTTTCGACCCGTCCTCAATAGTCACTCGACACAGCACATTCGCTCTTAATTCACCTTTCCTGGCCTCTCGACCTCTATCAATGAGAGCCCCGGGAGCCTTGTCTGCGGAGATGTCAATATAGCACGGGACTTTTGGGCTCCCATGGTGGGTCAATAATCTTCACCAACGCAGCCGATCCCAACTCCCTCCGTCACCCGTCCAGGCCTTGCAGTCCGTCCCTAGCAGGACTAGGAGTAATGGCACAGGATGGCCCGCCGTCACAATATCTCGAGCCACCTGTGATCACTGCCATCAAGAGCGATGCCGGTTTTGGAGGCGAGGTAGCTCGCCACCCTATGGAGAGGTCCTTCAGTCAGGATATTCAGGAAGGGACTCAAGAATTGAAAGAGGCGGCTGAACAGACACGGAACATCATTCTCGATCTCAGCCTCGATGGCCATGTACGATGGGTCAGTCCGTCGTGGACCGACATGGTCGGCACGGAACTCGACGCTGTCCGGGGACACAAGATCTCGGAGTTCATCAGTGACAACCCTGATGTGTTTGACTCGGCTATAGAGGCTCTGAAGTCGAATGACTCTAAGAGCCAAATTGTCAAGTTTTCTGTGAAAATTGGTACCTCTTCAGATATGGCTCCTATGTTACCGACGGAGGATAGGGAAAAACCAAATGAAGACAACGTCGAAACCGACGAGGCAAGGAATGCTGCCCTCGAACTCGAAGGTCAAGGCATCATGGTCTACGACCGGTCTTCTGGTGGAGAGTCACACACAATGTGGATGTTACAGCCCGCTACCGCTCCCGTATGCATCGAGATTGCCCTCCCACAAGCTTTGGTCGAAACCCTCGGAGTCGGCGCGGAAATTCTAGCAAAGTATTTGACAGAGCTTGCAGAGGCCGGGGCCAATGACCCTGAGAATCACCCACCGCCCTTACCAATTCTCTGCCGTGTTTGTGAGCGTTCCATCGTGCCTTGGTGGTTTGAGAAGCACTCAGATCTTTGCGTGCAAGAACACAAGGCCGAGTTGAACGTACAGATGATACAGGAAAACCTTTCGGAGCATCGCCACGCAATTGTCAAGGTTCTTGATGCCTTTGAGGCTCGTCAAGGCCGAGGGTCTGGCGGTGACAACTCTCCAGCTCTGACACCCACCCCTGAATACAAGGGACAGCCCATCGGTCCGTCTCCAGCGACGTCCTCTGGCGTATCCTCGGCTTCAGCATCTCATGCCGCCAGCCCTGTGAGGTCGAGGAGTCCGTCGACTGCAGGACTGGGCCACGCTCGTGGTCGATCATTTGTCGTGCGACGGCCCCTGGTTCGAATTGTCGAGCTGATTCTCGATCTTTGTGATACAGCTCTCGAAATCAACGTCCCTTCGATCAAGGACAGTAAGAACAACGCCGAAGATGAATTCAAATCGCAGTCGCCGCAATCAGAGTCGAGGATCTCGCAGATCATGCAATGGCAGGCCCCCAGCAGCCTCGATAACGAGCCAGGGTTGGCAGCTTTGAGCGCAGATACAGAAAAGCTGGCTCGTGCCAAGGTGGATGCCGTGCATCGACATCAAGTCATCCTGGAATATTCGGAACGAATCCGACAAGAATATATGGCGGAGGTTGATGCCTGTATCAATGAAGCGTTGATCAAGGCTGAACGGGCGGCGGCTGGGGAATCATTATCGTCCAGCGAAAGCGAGCCTGAAGAACAGAATACACTAGAAGGTATTGTCGAGAGCCCCGGAGAAGATGAGGAACCTCCGTCGCAACCCAAAGAGCCGGAACCGACACGGGCGACGCCATACGTCGGGCCAAGGTCGATGGCCTCGGCTCTCAGGAATCCTCGGGATATCCCGCATATTACCATGGGAGAACAGAGACGGTCTTCATCACAGGCCGTTTCGACCGGTTCGAGCAGCCCTATTGAGTGTCCTACTCCCAGATCGCATAAGAGCAATCTCATCACCCAGCCACAGCCCATCTCGAATAGACGTTCGATATACGTGGAAGATGCAAATGACAGCGACAGTAGTCTGCCGTCCTCTTCGATGTTGTCAAATAATTGGCGGGCCGACTCTCCTGCTTCTGTGTCAGACCATGGACGAACTACCTCTTCGCGCGATAGGAAAAGAAGGAGCATGCACCTTCATGGTCTCAACTCGGCTTCTCCCCACCGTCAGCAATCTCCTGTGAGATATCCTCCGCCGCCATCTTCTCCCCTGCGCATGACGAAGTCGAGAATTCCCAGTGGAGACATTGCCCCGTCTCCAGTGGTGTCTCCTCTATTGACGGCTGGTGAATTCATGCCTTCCAGCAATGGACCGAATCTGCATCGGAGGCAATCTTCGATGCACTCATCCGATCTCAAGGCTCCTTCTTCTCCCAGGCTCAATTCCGTCACCCAGCCTCAGCAGCGAGTTCAGCCACCGTCCATCAAAGATTTCGAGGTTATCAAGCCCATCAGTAAAGGTGCGTTTGGCAGCGTATACCTGGCCAAGAAGAAAACCACCGGCGAATATTTCGCCATCAAAGTTCTCCGGAAATCCGACATGGTGGCTAAAAATCAAGTCACCAACGTCAAAGCTGAACGTGCAATCATGATGTGGCAAGGAGAGAGTGATTTTGTCGCCAAGTTGTATTGGACTTTCTCCAGCAAAGACTACCTGTATCTGGTGATGGAGTACCTGAACGGAGGTGACTGTGCCTCCCTAGTAAAAATCTTGGGCGGGCTGAGTGAAGACTGGGCGAAGAAATACATCGCCGAAGTCGTCCTTGGAGTGGAGCATCTACACAGTCGAGGGATTGTTCACCGTGACCTGAAGCCGGACAATCTTCTTATCGACTCCAAAGGACATCTCAAACTGACCGACTTTGGTCTTTCTCGGATGGGTCTCATTGGTCGACAGAAACGCGCGTTGAAACAGCCCGATGAACCAGCACCAGATCTTTTGAAGCAAGGACCGTTCACTCAGTCGGGTTCGGGGTCGAACCCGACATCGAGGTCGACATCATTCGACTACCAAGGCCCGCATTCGCCTGCGCCCACTCCTCTTATGACGCCGGCCCTGGCAGGCGGTCTTGATCAACCCTCTTACTTCAGCTTGAATCGGGATAGTTCTCTGAGCCGAGAAATGTCTTGGAAGAGCTCTGGATATCGCAGCGACAGTGGCAACGGTTCTAGTTTTGACCTCCACCATCTCTTCAAGAAACTGGGCGTCCAAGAAGGCAGTGATGCGCCACCGCAAATCATACCTCGAGGCAATCCCATCGAGGAAGAGTCCAATAGTCAAGGGAGCGCTTCTCCCGATCTTTTCCCCTTATCCCAGTCGATGAGCAATATTTCACAGGCCACTGCTCCTCCTCCGCCTCCGGCCTCGTCCCAGATCCCTCCTCCGCTGTTCGATCCTGAAGAAAGTGATCGTCGCTTTGTGGGCACCCCCGACTATTTGGCGCCCGAGACCATCAACGGCACGGTTCAAGATGAGATGTGCGACTGGTGGTCGTTGGGCTGTATCATGTTTGAGTTTCTTTACGGAATTCCGCCCTTTAATGCGGAGACGCCGGAGAAGGTGTTTGATAACATTCTGAATCGGAGGATCGCCTGGCCGGATGACGATGAAATCGAGGTCAGTCCGGAGGCCAAGGACCTGATTAATAAACTCATTCAGACGAATCCTCGAGAGCGATTGGGTGCCAACGTGGATGAAAAGTATCCCAGCGGGGGTCACGAAATTCAAGCACATCCGTGGTTTGCGGACATCAACTGGGACACGCTCCTGGAAGATGAGGCGCAATTCATCCCCAATCCCGAACATCCAGAAGACACCGAATACTTTGACTCGCGGGGGGCCACCTTGTCGTCATTCCCAGAGGAGCTGGAGGACCAGATATCGCCATCCGGGACCACTCCCAACGGCGCCGACTATGCCAGTCGTCCACACGATGCCCTGTTCCGAGTCAGAACCCAAACAAACTCAGCCAAACGGGGTCTCATGCCTCTCCACATTCCTCCCCATGTTGCTCGTGATTCCAGAAATCGAAGGCTCAGTGAGCCGGTCATCGCCGATGATTTTGGCAATTTCACGTTCAAGAACCTGCCCGTGCTCGAGAAAGCAAACAAGGATATCGTGGAGAAGATGAGGAAGGAAGCTATGCAGGCTCAAGCCCGCGGATATGCACATTCTCAGGCCATATCGGCGGCCAATAGCCCTGCGGTAGGCTCCCCGGGACCCTCTCTGGAAGGGAGCCCGATGATGCCCATGCCCGTGAAGCGAGCTCTCTCTATCAGCAAGGGTCATAGACCCGGCTCTCCTTCAAGCCTGGGGACGTCCAGTTCTTCTCCTAGCAGACCTTCTCAGCCATCCTCCCCCCTGTTGGTTCAGTTCTCGACCGCCCAGCATCATGAGAGAAGGAAGACTTCGGGGTCTTCTCAGGGAAGCAGCTCCTTGGTGCCCGGCAGCTTCTTCGACATCCCTCACGATGCTGTCAAACACGGAACGCCCGCCGCGTCGTCTCCGATCAAACCGGTGCGCATGCCCACCGTCTCACCGGCCAAACCGATGCATCCACCACAACGGCAGCCCAGCGTCCATGGACGCACTCGATCCCAGACGGTTGGCTCTCAAGAAAGTGACACCCAAGGCCCTCGTGAGGCATTCATCCCCGGACATCACAAGCGCAAGAGCCAACTACTGGTCCGCGATGTCTCACCCTCGTCATCGGATAATGAATCGGCCCAAGCCAAAGCCTTGCTCAAAGTTCAGCGTCGGAGGCAGAGCTCAAGGCGACTGTCGCAGATCAATTTCCTGGATGGTCCCGTGTACCGTCCGTTGGACGTGTTAATTTGCGAAGATCACCCCGTGTCTCGGATGGTCATGGAGAGACTGTTTGAGAAACTTCGATGTCGAACCATTACAGCCAACAATGGTCCTGAAGCGCTAAGATTGGCAGTGAGCCAGATCCAATTTGACATCGTATTCATGGAATTTAAACTCCCCCTTATCAGTGGGGTCGATGTCGCGCGCATGATTCGGGACACCAAGAGTGCAAACACGAGCACGCCGATTGTCTGTATCACGGGCTACCTGAAAGACCTCCCCGACGTCCACCACTTCGACACCCTCATGCAGAAGCCGCCGACGACCCAGAAGTTGACCGAAATGCTGTGCAAGTATTGTGCGTGGAAACCGGCTCCGAAAGAGTTCAAACTGGCTCCACCATTGACGATTCCCCCGATTAGCACACGTTTCGATCCAACGCACACACAAGACAGTCCGAGCTCCGTGGCCTCGAGTTTGGCGCCCACCATGCCCGATTCGTCCTACAAGGGATCTAGTCGTGAAGATTCGATTAGCAGCGGGGGATTCTTCAGTGACCTCGAGTCTTTCAAAAATGAAGACATTTCGGTGATTGTGTCCCGGGCGGCTACCGACGAATGGGCCAAAGCAGGGTTGGGCATATCAGATGATATCATCAGTCAGCGACCGTACGTCCACAGCGGGTTTCCTCATCTCATCCATACTGAGTCCGCTCCTCCGAGCGCTTGCATCGAGGAGCCCAGTGGGATAGGCCTGCGTACTCCGAGACGTCAAAGGTCGTCTGAAGCGGTCAAGTTGAAGCGCGAGATGCTGGAGAAGAGCATGATCAACCCAAGCGGCGCCGCGGAAGAGGGGGACGATGAAGACGAAGAACTTGGCGACGCCCAAGTTCGTGCTCGATCTCCCATAGGCAAAGGAACCAGACCGACGTCCAAGCTTGGAATTGAGATGATGCGTACGAATAGTCGAGGTAGCGTCATTTCCATGCACGAGGAAAAAGCAGCCGAGTCCGACAGTCTCAGGAAGTCCTTGGAAATTCTGGAAGAGCGAATGGAAAGCTTGAAGATTCCAGAGGAGCCTTCGACAGCGAGTCTGCCGGCGATTCAACCACGAAAAAAGTTGGAGAGAACCAATTCACAGCACTCAGACCCGGAGCAAGAAAGTGATCGTCGCTCCAGCGGTGGACAAATTACCCCGCCGGTCATTTTTCCGCTAAAGCCGGGAACTAACGTCGCCGACATCGAAATGGATGCAGACATTACCCCAGTACCGACCAAGACCATCGACCTGGAACAAGAACCTACTCCTAAACCTCAAGGGAGCCCATCAGGACCCACCCAACAGTCAGTCTCGAGGCTGACTTGATTTTTTTTTTCTTTTCATGTATTCATGATTGTGATGAGTGAGTTTTATGGAATTTCTCGTCTACGACAAGGATCTGAATTTCTTTTGTACAATGATTTGCAAGGCGCTGGAGGCGAGAATAGCATAGGTGTTTTATTAACGGGAAAATTCCAGGGCATCAGTGTATCTGGTTGAACGGCGTCGTCCTTTCCTTTTGTCTTGAATGGGGAAAAGTGTCCGCAATCATGGGATTTCTTCAGCTGCGCAATTCGCCCCCGTTGGAGAACAGGTTACAATTCTTCGATTCTCACCAAGAAAGAACGTTTTGTGGCTTCCTTCTCCGATGTACATTGTCTGTTATCGAGGGACTAGAATTTTTGCGTCCAACCTGCAGAAACGCATTGGTTTGGAGGATTCGTACTGCATTTGATCGCGAAATTCTGGGGACTGGCAATAAGCAAGGACGATGAGTGACTGAGCGCATAATTTGAAGGATTCTCCGTACTCTGTTCTCGTTCCTTAGGGGGCAGATGGGCATAAGATAAAGCCTAATCAGTTAACAATTTGAGAATACTCGCACCAAAGATATGATCGTTTTATTGAGGAACTTGTAGTGAGGTGTATTTGTGCGCAGAATATTTGCAAACGGCAGCCTTGCCAAACCCTGGAGCACTTCTATGGGTGTTGTCTTCGCGGCCGGTTAGAGCCTAGTCCCTCCCTGTTCGGCGGACTCATGACTGGACCAGGGCTTGTAGCATCATCGCTTTGCCGAGGGGGAGAGAAAATTCTTCCGAGGTGGCAAACCGACGGGTCAAGTGATTCCTGAATCTTGTGCCTCACCAAAGCTGGGGATGCTCAGGTTGGTATAGCTGCGCAGGTCAAAGGTTTGGCGGCCGAGCGAAGAGCGGATGCAGTGTGTATTGGCGTATGCGTTTGCATTTTTAGCCGAAGTCGGGCAGCGCAGTGATTCGTGAAGCCCAAGTGTCCTCCCGGACCGGGTGTGGAGGGGGAGATGGGGGAGGGTGAGAAACATCTCGTCACTGGTAGATGGATAGTCTCGACGACGCCATCGTTGTCATCGTCTCATGGCCATGGTTATTTCTTCTGTTCTCTGCGGCTGGGGAATTTACTTGTACGACCCTGTGATCCGACCTTGCCGGTTTTAAAGACCTTGGGCTGCTCTAAGAAACCTCTAATGACCTATAACCCCACCCCCATACCATACAGTACTCGAGAATCTTGTAAGCCTGGAGTGCATATCATTGCTGATGCCTCGGCCGTTTAAACGGTTGTGCCGTCAAGTTGTACAGTACAATACCTATAGGGGGCGACGCTATCTCTTGCCTAGGGAGGGAGGTACCTGGATAGTGGAGATGCATGCGCGAAAGGGTGACCAGCCTCTGGACTTCCCTCCCTTTTTGGCTGCAACCTCCGCCTGGGATCCTTTGTCCGCCATTGTCTTCTCTCCTCTCTTCCAGCGACCTGCACCTGCGCCTGCGATTCAAGATCTCAGTCACTCCACCACAGCCATCTCCATCTTCTCTCGATCCATCCTCATCTACATCTAACTGTTCACTCTTTTCCTTTTTCGCCTCCTCTTTGTCTCACCCGGTCACGCAAACTGGCCTATCACGCACTCGTGCCGCCCTAACTCGAATTATCCGCCAATCCGCCGGCGCCTCCTTGAATCAAGGGCCAGTCCCTTGAAACACCCAAACAGGTTGTCACAATCGATTCCAGGCCCACGCCTGAATCAACTCTAATCTCACCCTCTTCACTCCATCACACTTGAACCCTTTCCTCACTTTATCACCTCTGTTCAATGTCTTCGTTCTCTTGAGATCATCGTCAAACTTTCGACCACTCGGCCACTGTATCTCTCGCGACCCTCGGCCTGGATGCTGGCATCAGCACCAACCGGCCACGAGCTCGAATCACGCTGACTACATCTCCTCCCGACCGTCGTATCTCATCTAAGATGGCTACGTCCACATCTGCATCATCCTCCACCCTCTCTCCCACTCCCAGTCCAACTGGAAGTGCGGATAATGGAGGCAACGGTCCGAGTTCGCCACTGCTCTTCTTCGTTGCTCTAGGGTTTGGCGTGGTCTTTACCAATTTATGGTGAGCCGATTTATCCGGCCATCGACGTCCCCCGTGTCCTCTCTCATTGACGTTTTTCTTCAGGATTATCGTCGGTGTTAAATACTGCTTCCGATACAACCAACGGAACCGACAGCGTATGAATGGTGAAGATTCGGACGGGGTAGATCTCGGCACCATGCCCCGACAACATCGCCGCAGGCGTGAAAAGAAATTAATGACCATGGAAGAGGTCAATGAAAAATTTCCGTTAATCAAATATAAAACATGGCGATCCAATCGAGCCGAAGAGGGATTACCGACCGCGGGAGGAATCAATACGGCCTCCCGACCGGCCAGCATACACGACATGTCTCGGGAATCGAAGGATCTGAAGGACTCGAGTGTGGCTCAAGAGCTGTCTCATGCACAAACCACCTCAACCGAGGACGAAAAATCCGGCGATCCCGCCCTGGCGAAACCGGAAGTCGGGGTGGGAGAGAAGAGCGCCAGCCAAGATCTGCCTTCGACACCGTCGCGGCCCAAGTCTACCCAATCGACGGTGACTCCCGGATCTCCCATACAGAAAGTGACCTCCAATGATGAGGACGACGACGACGACCATATTCAGACCGCCGTGCCAGCTGAACAATTACCGGATCCCGGAGATTCCTGCGCCATTTGCCTTGATACCATCGACGACGACGATGATATCCGTGGCCTACACTGTGGCCATGCATTCCATGCATCTTGCGTTGATCCGTGGTTGACATCGCGACGGGCTTGCTGCCCTCTTTGCAAGGCGGATTATTACGTCCCCAAACCACGACCCGAAGGTGCCAACGGTGAAGGGTTGGCCAGGAGTGGCACCCATTCAGACGTTCAACCACCTCCGACAGCCTTTTCGGTTATCGGCAACGGCCGAGTCGGCCGAAGACCCGCCATGATCATTCCAGGGCGGTTCATGAACATTGTATATCATGACCGCGATCGACATGGCTTTCCGCTCGTGGTGCGAGCGGACCGCATTGATCAACCGCACAGGCTAGAACACACCGAAAGACCGCGACAACGGAGATTGAGTGCGACGACCGCGGTCAATGGAGGCTTTTCTGACACGCAATCTCCATCCACGGGTTGGAGGTCAAGGTTTGCAGGATTTCGATTACTCGGTCGGGGTCGAGCGGCACCCCTGAACCCCAACCGTGGTGTGGCGGTTCCGGAAGCTGCGCCCACACCTTCACAGCTTGAAGCTGGAAGGTGAGCAAAAGCCCATTAGAGTCTACTCCAGAATCGATGATGACATGACATGATTATGAAAATGATGGGTGATGGGGTTGGGGTTTTGGGGCATGCTTTGGGTTCTTTTTGGGATCCTGAGGGGGCGGCATACAGCAAACGCTGCCGATGGGCGGGGTGTTGAAGTTTTGTGTGTTGGAATTGGGGACTCTAAGGCTGAATCGATCGGTGTATTTGCATAGCGTGGACGCACAAGCCTCTGGAAAAACATCATCCACCAACTAGCTCTCTCGCAGGATTCTACGGGACGACAAATACCACAAGACAAAATACTTGGATACGAAGCCGATATTTCCATTTGGAACCGTGACATTGTAACTCTAGTCTGTATTAGGACCCATGGGTAATTTGAATATCTTGAATTCCGAAGATTGAACTGTCCAGTCCAAGACGTCTCTGTTGGTTTGTTTTGAGTGGGTGACATCTGGTCTGTGTTTTGCTCCCAACGTCCGTCAACCCCACAAATAGTCATGGAGACAACCGTCAAACTGACGAGTTCCCAGTCCCTGTTTTTTGTGGCAGCCCTTTTCCAGGCGAACGAGTGGACCATGTCAGCATGTAAGTCGTGACAACCCTGATGACAAGCCTTTCTGGCATGTTAGTAAGATTTGGGAATCTCCCGAACCAGCAAATCGCGATACCCACTTTCCATCCCAGTATGCATCGGGGATCAAATGCAGGGTGAGATTGTGATGCTGACGCAGCCAACATGGCAAAGCTGACGCTGTAACTAAAGGATCTGGCCTGTGACATAAAGCATCACCATTACGGGGGTTATCACGTGCACTCGGTCCCCAGTCATCCCCTCACCAAAATAATTTGCTACATATTGTAGTTGACAAATTTTCTTGTAAAATCAGGGCGGTGGCATGGTGGTGAGTTCCCCTTAACACCAAGCCGAATTCTCTCGCGCCCGGTTGCTAACATGCGTCTCAGTAATGGTCAGCATGTATCGTTGTGGTGAATACTTTCATTTCAGCAGCTTCGCTGGGTGGTCTTCAAGTGTTTCCAGCTCCGATCCGATCCCGGTTCGATTCCGGGTGCCGCCACTTTTTTTCTCCCTCCTGTTCACATTTTATTTTTTGCTTCGTATGAGTCCCCCGTTCAGCCTCGGGTTTAGCAAAGGAAGACAAAACCTGCCTATGCTAGCTAGGTGTGTTCAATTCATTATGGATCGCATTCAAGCAACGCGGAATCTTCCTGTATGTGAGTGCAGTGGTGAATTTCTCATTCATGATAAATTAGCTCTCAGACAGGTGATGGGCTGAGATTAATGCCTCACAGTACTTTTTGACGCTCTTGTCAGATGTCAACGACCGTGATCTGCATTTAGGCAAGTCCCTTTCTTCATATCCAGGACAACTGACTAGCCGAACTGGTCACGATGGATCACCACTCCTATTCCGCATACGATGCCGATCTTCTCCTTCAGCGGGGACAGATAAGACTGGTTACCATCTAACCCACTCAATCCCCGGATCCACCGATCACATACCACATCGAAGTGGCCGGTCTCTCATAAACAGGGACATTTAATGCTATCCTTTACACGTGGGGGAGGTCAAATACCAGAACATCCTGTAGATTGCGACAGGACCATCCTGCTTGTGACTCAAAGTTGCATGGACGCCCCTCAGTGGCATTCGGAATCACGGACTTCGACTACTTTGGACCGATCAACTTTCCATAAATCAGCTTGACGTGGAAGGAATGAATGAGGAGGTGCTTCTCATGAACCAAATTTACTCTCAAGCTACTGCCGTGGTAATTCGGTTACGAGATTGGGAGGAAAAACTTGCGAAAGATTCGACATGCTTCAGGAAGAAGGTGGAAACTGAATCCTCGGGGGGAAATCGTCAGGAAATTCATATATTCAATGCTCCCTCTTGGAGATGGTACATTCATAAACCTTAAAATCAGAGGGCCGCAGCAGTTACAGTCGGCCTCATGCATGAAATGGGCCATATCATGAAGTCAGAAACAAATTCGGGACTCATGAAGAGTATATTAGCTGTACCAGTTGCCTGGAAGATTGTGGCTGACATCTTCAATAGCTCGTGCTGGCGACGCAAATGGACCGTTCGAGAAGTCGTTCTCAGCCTAATATCACTGCTGACTTCGGTACCGTGTCTGGAACATCTCTGATGCTCAGCATGATGATTATTGCGGTGATGAATATTGAGGGTGACGTACTGCAATTCAAGTAATATTCTGAGCAATATGCGGACCTTCTACGCCCTTGTCTCATGGCTATGAACCGGGCGATCACGACCTTTCGGGAAAAGGACACCACAAAATTATTACTTCCACCCGCTTATCCGAATTTATTTCAAGTCCACCAGGGAGGTGGATGAAATATATGCAGTGAAGGTCTGACGAGGATCTAGGTCATATCCAGAGTCCTCGGTACGACCAGAACCCAAGAACCATCTTCACAGAATATAGGAGCCAGTTTATTCCGCATGATCATGAGCAGCGGTCCTTGTCGCCCGCGTCTGGGATGTATGTGATCGTACCCGACAAGAGAAGTCTTCGTGGTGTATCAACAGGTCTGGTCAGGCACACTGAACTTCTACGAACAAAATGATTGATGGCGATTTCTACTCGTGCAGATGGCCTGGTTGCCTCTAGCAGACATATCATCTTTGATGGCCAACCTGACCGGCCTCAAAGTGGCCATTGTCCTTTGCAAATGGACTGCAGAGCGTGGATATACCTATTGATCAGTCAAGCAGAGGGTTTGGCACACGTCGGCGACGTGGCAGAAACGCCTACAATGTCACGAGAGATTCGGGAATTCGAGATATGTTGAATTGTCAAGATGCCACCCAAGGCTGATCTTTGTCTCCATCCGAAATGTGCTCATACAAATGGGATAAATCTGTCAGCAAAATTCTCTTCGCTACAGCTACCGGGTTGTGAATATCACCCGTCCAAGAGTCAGAGGGCTCAGGCTCGCGATAAGATAACTTCAATCTGCCTAGAATCTCGAGTTCTGGTTTCGTATCCCCTCCACAACAGAACTATGTCAATTAACCGGCAACTTTCCATGCTCGATAATCACATGAGGGTCCAGCACGAAAGTGAACCACCTAGACATATCAAATGTGCAAGGCGAAGAATTTCGAAGTGGCCATCATTGGCGGAGGCACTCGCAGGCAACACGTTGGCCGTCGCACTGCACCACCGCCAGGTGCCCTTCACAATTTACGAACAGGCGCCTCAGTTTGGAGAGGCCGGAGCCGGCATGTTATTCACAACGTCTGGCCATCGAAGTATGTCTGGTCCGATTATCTCAATGGATTGGAAAATGCCAAAGATGGACGAAAAACCCAAGATATTGCACCCACCACTTCAAACAGTTTAGGTCAAAATAGCGTGCGCCATGCACGGTTTCTCTAGGGCAAATACGAGATTGAGAGTTGAAACAAAGATCGTATTTTCCACTTCACATGGGTCGTTCATGGCGGTTCGCCTATCTTCAGGGTGCCAAATTTCCCTGTATTTGGCAATAAATGAGCACTTGTGAAGGACTGGAAAGAGCGGATGAATGAATTGCCAGTAACACGAGAGGAAATCATCCGCACTCCGCCGACGAGGATAAACGGCAGCACTGTCATCTTTGTCGCGAACCACTTCCGAGGAGTTCGTGAGATGCCTGGTTGGTGCGTGTCCAGATCCAGACTGGCCTAGTTGAACATGGTTGGAGATTCCTGTTGATGTAGGTTGATCTTGGAGGCCGTGACTAACATGTCGTACAAATGCAATCGTTGAGGAGCCACCATATAGCGTATCGGTGTCGTCAGGGGAGGAGGTGGTAGCCAGACCATCTTCTGAATGCTGACCATGACTTTCGGTGAACGTGGAACTGGGTGCGTTCTGGAATATGGTTGAAGACGCAGGAGGGGAGAGGCCTTGGCCAGGCAATCGACACTCGCGAGCGGTTACTGAGCGAGTAAGGCCTTCATTGTAGCCCTGTCGAGTTAACAATTCCTCGCGGTCACCATCTCTGGTGACTAAAGTTAACTTTTGATGTAGATATCTGCTGATAGAGCACTCTGTAAAAGAGTCAATACCTTTGCAAATCGGAATGAGGACGCTTGTAGATGCATGTGGCTAGAACACCCCGTTTCTGACAAGCTTTATTGCTGCAAGCGAGCTGGATTTTCAAGCGTTTGCGGCGGAAGGAGGAAGACAGAGCTTGCGGTGTTGAATGAATCCTAGCTGCTGAGCCTGCTATGGGTGTAAGCGATTTCTGATTGCGACGTGAAGTTGAGTGTATCCGAGAGTGACGAGGATTTTCTTCAAGCATGTCGAAAACTCGGAAATGCGGTTGACAGCTCAACGAAAAGAATCCCTGTTGGTGCACCACTGAAACACTGATAAAAGGCCTCTATCGACAACGGTATTCCTAATTGCTGCGCTGCGCGACGACGAGATATTATCATGTCTATAAAGGAGACGTTAGGAACGCAACAAGCAGATAGAGAACAGAGCATTCAGTTGCACCCAGTCTGAGTGACTTGGTCTCAATGACCCTGCGTTGCCTGACCTTCCATTCTGGGTTAATTAGGTACCGGCGCGGTCCTCTGTCACGTGTTGTCACGTGATTCCATCATGTGTCATGGTTACTATACGCGCGCCTCACGGGCGTAAGAATCAAGCCTCTCCACTCTATTCTATACTATCCCGAGTCCCAAACTTCACGCCCTCACAGTGTCTGAGATAACGACTATGGAAGAACTGATCGTCTAATATCGGCTTGTTAGGCTGTTGTATCAGTCACGGTTTTGCCCAACCTCAAAGCAATGGCATTTCCCTCAGCCTCGTCGCCTCTCTCTTCTCCCCCTCTAACGCAATCATTCTCCAACCAAACCCTCACGACAGAGGAAGCCAGAAAATATCGTCCAACCAAGAAACTACCGTTTGAACTCGCTCAACATGTGCAGACATATTACGAAGAAAACCTTTTCCTGCAAGCCTTTAATTTCCTCCTGTCCATCACTGGAAACACGGTCTCTACGCTCAATCGCATGGCTCCAGTCACGATCCCTCCAGCGCCTCATCTGGCTCTCGCAGCGACCATGGTCGTTCACCCGGTCCCCACCACGAGAACTAATTCCCGTGAGAAGTGGGATCAAGCCAATGCCGCTCTTCGTCTCCTCTGGCTCGTCCATAATACTGTCGGCCCAATTGAGGCTGATTTCGCCACAGCTTTTACATTTCGGAGATATGACTTTAGATCAACCCGTCATGTTGGGTTGCGCTTTGATGATGGTGATGATGATGATGAAGACAGGGATGTGACTGGAGATGACGAGCACTCCGCCGTGCATGACCTCAACTCCCCGTACGCCGGCTCTCAAGGGCTGTGGGTTCGCGCGGAGGACTTCTGGCATGTTGTGGGCTGGGCATTCAACTGCGCCTGTCTCTCTGGCATACATTTGATGCGGTGGAATCAGTATCGTCTGCTCCTTGAATTCCTCATCGATGTGCTCGAGACCGACTGGCAGCTTCGCAATGCCGAACCCGAGCCTTCACCGGAGGAGAGCTTGATTTGGCAGTACATCGAGCTCGCAGGAGGTGGACACGCGCGAGCCAGAAGAATCATTAGAGCTATCTTTGCAGACGGGACCGCACGTTCGATGGGTGAGTTCCGCTCCATCTTTGCTCACGAGCTTAAGGAGCCGGCGCCAGAGAATGGCACCGTCAAGAAGCGAGAGGTTGATGTCAACATTGAAGAGGATATCTACGGCGACTACACGAGGGAGGATGATTCGGACCTGTCGGATGATGTCGATGCGGCTAGCACTGGTACAGGAGGGGGGGCAAGACCTTCTAAACAAATACGCTCGAGCACGAGGACACGGACGCCATCGTCTAGAGGCCTTACTCCCAAGAGCAGCATTGGCAGCTTGCGAAGTGACTATGAGAATGGCGAGGACTCCGCACCCCCCCCATCCTCGGAATCTGCACTGGGAGATTCTTCGAGCCTCGCCCTTCGCCTGCGCCTTCTCCGCCTCCTCACGTACATCTCGTCACATCCGACACTGACGTCGGTCTCGCCCACCAGCTTTCCCGATCTAGACGATCTGTTCACCCTCTTTGTGGAATTCATCAGACCACTCCCTCTCCCTGTCTTTGCGCGAATAGTTCTCCCTTCGTCTTCCCCCCACCAGATCTTCGACGACCACACTCGAACCACTCTCTGTGAGTCCATCCTACAGCGCATTCTCGAGAATTCGGCTCCCTCAATCCGTTCTCACGTGCACCTCTCTCAAACGAAATTGGAGGAAGAGTACCTCCCTTTCGCAGCTGGACGCAATAGCGTCGACGCGAATGCGAGAGTGTCGCTACTGCTAGAGACCTTGACGCGATGTATGGTGCGACTTGGCGCATTGGAGAGCTCGGAACAGTTGACTAGTGCCTTACAGAAGGGTATACGAAGACGAATGGGCTGTGTAGCTGACTGGGGCGAGGGTAAGAAGGCGAGAAAAGGTGCTAGGAGAGAAGAGGAAGCCTGGTCATGGCTAGTCGAGAGTGGAGAAAGGATGGACAAGGTCGTCAAGAGCCTTCACCGTTGAAACTATGGTACTGGTGCAGTTTGGGGTGAAACGAACTACAAAATAGGTCAATGGACACCAAAAATAATGTATCGTTTATGCATTTGGTGTACTTCATCGTGCACCTGACAGGCACGCGGACTGGATTATCACGCTGCAAAAGACTGGCCGCAATGCATCTTTCATAATCTCATGATCCATGCACCGATAAAGTTCTCGCTCATTTCCTCTTTACACTCCCAGCTTCCATGGCCAAGTACATGGGGCTTTATCACGCTGGCCGCTTTCTATTGTGCCTCTAGGGAGGTGGTCGTGGTCCAATTATTTGTCTTCTGGCTCCCCCCACACCCAAGCCTGGTCCTCCTCTGTTCTGGCTGTCTCCACCCATATAGCCATATTGATGCACATCCCAGCTTTGTCCTGGCCCACTGCCCTCATTCAGATCGCGCGCCCTCGCGGCTGTCGCCTTTTGCCCTTCTTCCCACTCCCGCTGGCGTTCCCGCTCCCGCTCCATTTCCCGCTCCAGGAGAGATTTCGACGCCCACCCTCCTGCTTTGGTGCGTGTTTGTGACTGGATACGTCGCTGTTGCTCGAGGTCCACTTCAGTCGTAGTCGAGAAATCTTGCGGGCGGTGGGACGTCGCTTGCGGCTGAGCAGGAGGTGCGTGTGAGGCTAGGTATCGGTCTGTGCGGTTCATGCCAGGCGTATAGGTTGCTGGGTCAGGAAGAGGGCGAGAAGATGTCGTAGCAGGGGCGGGATCTGGGCGAGGTGGTTTTGGAGGGAGTCGGTCTTGGAGGGTCTGGGCTTTCTGCCATTCCTGTTTCAAATAGTCCCGCTCCGCGGCATCCCAATCGTCCTCATGGCTTGTTTGGGCTGCTTGCGGCCCGGCCGGAAGTGCGGGTGCAGGAGTTTCGGACCCGGGTTTGGTTGCGGGCAGCGGTCTAGCAGACTGTCGTTGTTGAGCTTTCATCTCTTCTAGTTGGCGCTCCAGTTCTGCAATCCGCCTGCTCTCTGCCGTCTGCTGCTCAACGAGAGGTTGTGCCGGAGCACTGACAGGACTTCGAGCCTGGTCCGCTTGATATTGACTGAGGAACTGTCCATTGAGGCGGGCATCGCTTATTCTTCTTTGAGAATTCCGTTCCTTTGCCATCTGAACCTCGCGTTCTGCTTGCTCGGCGGCTTCACGTTCTCGTTCGCGCTCATAAAGGCGCTCCTGGCGGCGCTGCTCTTCTTGCCGACTACGTTCTTCCTCTTGGAGGCGTCTTCGTTCATCCGCTCGCTGTTCTTCGGCCTCCCGTTCTCTCAGTCGGCGCGTTTCTTCAGCCCACCTTCGCTCTTCCTCCAGCCTCGCTTGCTCTTCTTCTGCTGCTCGTTGAGCTTCTTGTTGTTTTTGGTATTCCTCGGCCTCGAGACGTTTTCTCTCGGCCTCCTCCTTGAGGCGTTTCTCCTTCTCGGCGAGAGATGGTACATTTGGAGTCGGAGACGTAATTTGTCTTCTTGTACCAAATGCGACACCTTGATTTCCTTGACTGGCTCCACCCATGTACCCGTATTGATGTATATTCCAGGCCGGTGCGGTCTTTCCCTCCTCGTCTTTACTGCTCCAACTGCTGACTGTGCCGCCCGTAGCCAGTCCACCTCTGCCAAGGATATTCTTTGTTGGACTTATCCGTCCCGAATATGCGGCCTTATTCAGAGGATTGAAGGTTATCGAAGGGCTGTCGGCAGTGGTATTGCTAGTTCCACGAGGTCTGGTTGCCATTGTGGTCGTGTAGGCCGGTGATCTAGGCCCACTTGATCCTGTTCCTTGTGGACTCATAGAAGAACCTTTGGTCTTTGCGCCAATAGTCGTGGGAAAGGCCGAAGAATTGAGGGCATTCACTCGGCGGCTGAAGGCCGCAATACATTGCAAGACTTGTGCGGGATCTTTCGAATCGTATAGATCAACGGTAAGGAAACGATCGTGTGAGGGAAGACTGAGCGGCGGCATCTCGCAAGCGCGAAGGAAGTGGGAGATGTTCTCCATCTGTACAAATGGCATGTTGGACTGTTTGTATTTGACGCCGGGAGAGACTGCGAGATTGACGAGCCTGGAGATTCCATCAGTGTCCATGGCCGTCAGGTTGTAGGTTTCTCATACTTGCACAGAGCGACACCATCTTTCAGAGCATCCATCAAGTCTCCCGGAGGCAATCTCTCTCCTAGAGTGTCTTCGATCCAAGTTCTGACTTCCTTCGCAGCGCCAGGTGTATATCGGTCCAAGCGCAATTTGCGCATGTCCTGGTCGAGGCTGGTCACCGAAGCCATGGTGGTGAGGGCTTAGTTGTCTTTGCGAGCCGCGGTTGAGGTTATGTCCTTTGGTAGAGGTGATTCTGGAGGGCCGGTTCTGAAACAGGCAGTGAAAATATCCAAGTAAAATATGAGTTGAAAACTCTGTGCAAGCCGAGAGTGGCCGCGTATGCTGAAAGATTGAGGAATTGGAGAGATGGGCTGTGTGTAAGACTTTGATACAAGTCAATGGCGGCAACCTGGGAGAAATCGGGCTCCCCCCTGCAGGTTGACGTCGAAGATCCTCCCGGGAAATTCATATTCTACCAGTTACTCCATACAATCCACGACCCACCACAACACTGATGCCCGTTAATTCTGCAATAGTCATCAATATGGGACCGGTGAGAAATCTATGGATGCGGTGGAAGATGCTACGATTGCCGTGGCGGAAGAAGTTCTTGATTGGTATGGCCTACAAGAACCGTGAACGGCTTTGCCTTCTAATACCCCCCACAGGTCAAGATCTCTCAGGGAACACTTTCTGGGAGTTTAAGGACGCTCTCAATCACAATCGGTGGCGTCGCATGGTCAAATCTGGCCGCCGAACTCATCTTTCGGATGTACAAATATCGCCTCAATGGCATCAATGGCTGCGGCAAACACGAACCGATCCCCCCACTCTACAGGAGCAAGCTGCGGATGTGCAGAGAATAGCCACGCTAAAATATAATGCCCGGCTTGCGGATGAGAGATGGGCTGCTAAAGCCCAATACATCGAGAAACCCAAACCTGCTGCCACATCCCTATTGACCGGGAATTTTGAAGAGGGGGCTCAACCGGACCATGCTCCGGGACGGCAGCCTCAGTTGGGAAAAACACCTTCCAGGGGCGGGGAGCCATGGAAGAAAGTAAGAGAAACTGGGGCGAATCCAGGAGCGAACTGGGAGCCTGCATCCTGGGTTCCTGGAACATCGAAGCGATGACACTGCTGTCTGGCTGTTCGCCCAATATATCAAGTCGATGCACGATACCTTCCCGTTGAAGCTGGCATGTCCAACGGAATCAAGTCGATCCCCGATAATGCGCTCTTGTTCGAAAGACTTTGAAATACAAAAAGACTCTCCTGGCCGAAGAGATTTCAGCTTCGGTCATTCCCAACTCTTAGCAAATGAAAATATGTCAAATCCTACCAATGTCCCTCATCTAGGGGCCTCTTACGATCCGCTGAAATAGAGTCCCAGATTCTAGAAGCGACAAATGACGACACCTGCCACGTCTAGCCCTTTTGTTTTGGGGGATTAAAAAGCAGGAGCTTGCTGATGAATGCCGTCGCAGTTGGAGATATCCCAATTTAGCCGTCGTATGCCTACAAAAAGAGCCGGATATACAGAAGGACACTATTCTTTGCGCGAAGATATTTGCGTGCACTTCCTGATCCTGTTTCAGTTGGCTTGAAGTGACGAATGCTCCTTTGTCTAGCTATCACCGTCTACGAAATGGGGAACTTTGTGCTCCACCGAAAGAAATGACATTACATCTTTCAATCGGTGTAATCCAAAAAGGGGAGAGGTGCCTTGTTGCCGGGACTGCATAACGGCATACAACTAATGTCTCCACCAATTGTTTGATCCAACTTATCTCTTGCCTCGATCAACATCTTCCTGGAGCGTCCAAAAATCCGGATCCAGCCGGCACCAATAAAATCTTGACACAAATGGTGATTACTGACATAGCCGGCCGAAACACTACTGCAAGCTGGTCATCGCCCATTATCTTGTGCTACCTAAAGACTTGTTCGAATGACTGGGTTGAGGGGACTGCAACATGGAATGGCGGACTGGGACCATGCAAGGATGGGCATGGACCTGTGGCCATATTCCCAATAGGTCCTCTGGAGACGTTTTATGTGCAAGTTGAATACTAAATGGAGGACCTAAACCGTTCATAAGCACATGGTGGTTTCGTTCCTTATCGGGAGTTCAGATGGATCTCCATCTCATTCTTTGCGACCTCCTTGTTCACTGAGGACTCCATGCACGGGCAGAGCTTGAATCAACGAGTGACTGGCTATTCATGTTCGACCATGAAAGTAAAACTCCTGTTTCAACCGTGCGGAGCCGTCCTATTTTGGCCGTTACTGCACAAGCTGCGCCCTTCCGATCAAACTATCCTCCGACATCTCTTCGAATGGCGAAACTATTACGATGCTAGAAAGTCAGCAAAGCCGAAGCACCTCGAGGATCATCGCTGAACCTGTCCCCCGTCACATTCGCAGTTAGAGTACCCAGCCACAAAAGGGCAGATAAGTCCAAACAAAACATCGTCAGACTCGCTCTGTACCCAGTTTTGACTCCACCCGAAGACTGCAAGGGTGATCCAAAGATCGGTTGCGGCCTCTACTATTGTCCGATCCCTAGAAACCAAACAGAAAGTTGACGGCTAATGAATACAAGAAGTTCGTAACCATAAAGCTTTGCGCAGAATGCGAGGAGGCGGCAGACACGAAAAAGGATAGGGGAAGACAAGAACATGAGCTGTGGGAGAGAGTATCAATCCTGGAGGAACAGGAGAACCAGAAGAAAACTGGGAATTTGTCTGAATTTGGCTGACGTAAGGTTCTCTGTGGCATCCGATCAATAGGTTCTGATGAGAAATTCTGAAGAATCGAGACCGCGAGATGCCAATAGACATTATAAACAAGGCTGTCTATGTTGGAAATGAGCACAGGAGCTCAAGAAAATGAACAGAATGGTGCACGAAAGCCACAATTTCCATCGACAACAATGGAAATAATCCTTATATGCCGAGAGACTGTCTCGCTCGATTCTGCTCACTGAAAATGACGTTTTGGAAGACGAAAATTTTGGTTTATGGGCGGTACGGGGGTTCCAATCCTGGGAAGCTAGTGACAGCAGTGACAATTTCGGCAGCATTACGGTCGCCGGTATCAAGAAGCGGGATGAAGATCACTCATTACTAACCCATTGAAAAGACGAAGACCGCCTTTCGTCGCACAGATCAACACCACCGACAGATTGGCTTTCCAAAAAGAATGATTGTAAGCCTTCAAGATTTCCTTCTTGAGGGGAGTGTAGGCTCAAGAGGATTGTCGCTCGACATTGAGGGGCCGACTCCAGCGATTATTTATCTGTGCGGTGGAACCGCGGATAGTGGGCTCTACCCGCTGGCAGAGACTCTCGAGAGACCCAATAGCCTGGAGAAGACATTTTCGAGTCTTGCACAGCGGCCGACAAACACAATGCGGAATATGAATATGACGACGCTTGGGACCTCAGAGCAATGGAACGCGTACATCAACGTGGAATAGGAAATTCTTAATCCTTCCCGCGGCGTAGAGTGTTCTTGGAGTCATTTTCATTGCTCATGTAATCGGACAGACGAAGCAATTAGGGTTACCTGCATGGAAGGAGGGCGCGATGTCTGCCCTAGCATATGGCCTAGACGGAAATACACTGAACGCTATGAGAGAGAATATATGAGCAAATCGTGTCCTCCATGGACATTTGCGAAGAACATAATCGTCGGATTTGATGATAGCGATGGGTTCCACGGGCTCTGTAGCAGAGTCGCAAGGCTGCCCCTTTTATCTTGCAAAGCTGAACCAAGAGTATAAACCGGGAAAGTCTGCCGAGTGTGGTCTTCGAGCCGATGTTCACCAATTCTCACCCTTGCCTTGAAGTGATTGGATTGATCTCTGTGAAGCACTTTATAAACTGATCAGCTAGTCGTCGCACCTCTTACCTGTGCTGTCGGCAGAGATGGCTGTTCAAGGAGTAGAGCAGATGATCCATAGGGACCCTGCGCTCTTGTAAGTTGTTACTACACCTCGACGTTGCAATCGTACTAACACCCGCAAAGCTACTGGATCCTGCTTCCTATAACGATTGTTATGATTCTGACTGGTGTCCTCCGACATTATGCTACCGTTCTCCTTGCGAGCCCTCCGAAACCACCTTCGACCCTTCTCGAATCTCGCGAGCGTCAGGCCCTTCTCCGCGGCGTCAATTTGCGAAACAACGCTGCTGCAGCCCTCACATCCGCTTCCTTCAATACGCGGAAAGAATATCTCATCGATGGCTATAAGAAAGGCACGTTTCTCAAGGGAGGTCCGGAGTCTCGAGGTCAAGCTGCTGCCAATCCGATGTCAGACCCTGCCGCCATGGAGGGAATGATGGGAATGATGAAAGGAAATATGGCGATGATGATCCCACAAACCCTCATCATGTCCTGGATTAATGCGTTCTTTGCCGGTTTTGTCATCCTCAAGCTACCATTCCCACTCACAATCCGATTCAAATCTATGCTACAGTCAGGAGTCATGACTCGAGATCTGGATGTCAGATGGGTGTCGAGCTTGTCATGGTACTTCTTGTGTCTTTTTGGCCTTCAGAGTGTCTTCATCTTCATTCTGGGCAAAGAAAATGCTGCCAATCAAATGTCTCAGCAAATGGCCCAAATGAACCCTGGAGCAAACGCCAATCCTTTTGGCCCGGGTCAAGAACCTGATAAGATGTTCCAAGCTGAAGCCGAAAACTTGGAGGTCTTGGAACATTGGAGCGTCCTAGATGGGGCAGAGGATCGTCTGTTGCAAATCTATGGCAGTTAGATTACCCTCGTGGCTTCAAAAATATTCCGTTACGGAACAGTCCGATTCAGCCTCCACCAATGAGATTCTTATTTCTCGAAGTCATAGACCTGATGTCTGATTTATTGATCGACAATGGTGTACCTTCCCAACAAGAAATGGGTTGTTGTCGTCTTTGCCAATGGTCAGCCTTGTGGAACGGAGGTCCTAGCATGGCATTTGATCGACGACTTGCTCAACGTGCCTGAGGAGGAGCGCCTAGACTTGTTTGCGTGGTTGGTTGTTACTTCATATACCTGATGAAGTGTCTAAGTGCTCAGCCACGGAATGAGCAAGTACTGGTAGAAGCGAAGAAATCCGAGCTGGAGGCCCAGTCACGTCTTTACTCAACTGCTCCTCCCCCCCATTTTTTCCTCCCCTTCTGCCACTCCCGATGCCTTTGCCACGATATGGGGGAATCTACTCCCCATCCCGCAAATCGTCCTCTCGTTATTTCCCTCTTAATGAGCTCACAATCTAGACTTTGTGCTTTTGCAGAGGGATTGTCAAGGTGGTTCTCGATTTGAAACATGTGAGTGGCAAGTGCTTCCTCGCTGACTTGATTCTGTTCACCCAGGGGAGCGAACCGACGGTAATGGTTAAATCAGAATTCAAACATGACATTCAAGCGGTTGGTGAATTTGGAGCCGAGCTGGATTTTCTTTCTGGGAGGGAAAATGGTTTGGTTCGACCAAGTGTTGGCAGACCTTGCCCGATAACAAAAGCGAAGCATGAAGGTGCTTTTGTTTTAGTTCTACTTAGAGAAATATCCACAGGGCTCGGGATTGCGTGAAACTGTTTCTTAAACCTGAAAACTGTTCCGAGATGCGGCTGCTGCGTCGTTCTAAGGGGTATCGTCTGTGCTGAAAACATGTACCGTTCTAATCCACTTCATAAACTGCCAAACGCATGTCTAAGCCGCATCAAAGAGTCTTTTCAAAGGCCTTTGCCAACTCATCCACTTCCGCATCTTTCTTCAGTGTTACGTTCTCATTCTCAGCCTCATCTGCTTCTTTGAGGAGCTTTTCGCGAGCCTCTTCCTCTTCCTCTTCTTCTGCCTCTTCACCTCCTTCTTCCTCTTCACTATCTTCTCCTTCCAACTCGTCAAGTTCGTCAAGGCCCCAATGGTCGTCAAGGTCTTCATCTTTGCCCTTCTCATCTCTCCGCTCTCTCAATAATTCCGCCAAGGCCTCCACTGACGGATCATCTTCTTCGAATTTGTTGCCATTCAGTTCAATCCGCCGCAGCTCGGGGAGGCCGTTTTTAGCAGCTTGGAGAAGGGCTTTGACTCCAGCTGGGTGGATGTCGTTATACTGCAGCCTCAGAATTTCAATCTTATCGTTGCTACCTGACGCCAATGCCTCAAAAACCTTGATCGCGCCTCTTCCTCCCAGCAAGTCATCTCCGACACCCAGCTCTTTCAGACCCGACCATCCTTTGAGTGCACTGGCCAGCGCCCGAGCACCCTTGAGAGTGAAAGTGTTGTCTTGCATGTCCAACACTTCTAGATTGCTGCAAGTTGACAATCCGGAGGAGATGAGATGCCAAATTCCTTCAGGGCGAATACCATTCTGTGTCATCTTCACGCTTTTCATTCCTGACCTGTGGGCCTCAAATGCCTTTGCCCAGGCCGCCATGCTGCCATTCTCTAACCGATTCCTCCCGCAGACTATACTTTCGAGGTCCGGTACGTCTTTTCCTTCCTTTCTGGCGGCCGCTTTTCGCTCGGCGAGAGTGGTTAGAGCCTCGGCAATTGAAGTTCCAGCGATAGGGCCCATGCCATTATTATTTAGGATGAGATGTTTGAGGGGTACATGCCGGGAGAGGAAGTCGACAAGGGGGCCTTTGGTATTGAGACCGAACGCATTGTCGCTGAGATCTATGGTGTGAAGGTTGGGACATTCTAGGAGAGCAGTCAAGAGGGAGGACAGAGCGGGGGGGATTTCTTCGAGTAGTCTAGAGGTGAAAATGTCATGGAGGTCTGCGCTTTGAAGAGTCGACTTTGACGAAAGGATAGATGCGAGTGCTGCGCAAGCTGAAACACCGAGAGTGTTTCCTGAAAGATCGATATGGGTGAGGCCTGAAGACTCGTGGAGGGGTTGAATGTGTTTGTCCAGATCTTCTTTCGTGTCGAGTTTGAGGCCCTTGCCAGCTAGAGAAAATGATTCCGTTGCCATGGCTCGCTGCTGTGGGATATTAGGTGCCTGAGCAGCATCAATGTAATTTGGCGATCTCACAGAATTCGCTGAACGTCTGATACTGCCCGGAGGTGAGGTTGTTACTGCGGAGCGTAAGGATCAACCTGCAACGCCAGATGTCAAGTATCTTTTCAGTGGCACGAGCTGCCGGCCTATATTTTATAGGGAATTCTTGTTTCCGAATGAACCTCGAGTGCAGTACGACTGGAGCAAACTGGCAGGGACGCCGTCGAAAATCGGAATGAGGAGTCTTCGTCTAATCGGAACTGCTGCAGCAGTCGCGTTCTGCCTTGCGAGTGAGAATGCATTCAGCGTCAATGACGATGTCTTCGCCTTTCCCCAGGTAAAACCCATGGCAGATTTTATGTCAACCCTGAGCTTACATTGGACAGTACGCGGTCGAATTCTCGGAATCGTATATCTTGGAAGCCGATGCCCTTGTGTATCTGGATACTCGACAAAGGAAGCGTACTGCTGCATCCTCTCCACAGACACATCTGAGCGATCTCTCTTCTGACTTAAGCCCCGAGAACAATGATCCCTCGCATCCTGAAAGTGTCAACTCTCCCGGGGCCTACGAGCACATCATCCTACACGGCAATCCTCATCTCTGTTTCATCCCCGAAGCGAAGCCGGGTACCAGCAATGGCACAACTGCCGAGCCGTCTTCGGCAGAACGAGAAAAGGAATTAGATCAAGCCGTCAAAAGAGGATCGCAGCTGCTTCAGGGCATGGCTTCCAACCAATGTTTGTATTACTCCACGGGCTGGTGGACATATTCATTCTGTTACAATGCCCAGATTACACAATTCCATGCTCTCCCTCCCGGTACAAACGGCCGAGTTTGGCCACCACAGGAAGATCCAACCACCCCAAGCTATATTCTAGGCAAGTTCGAGAACCCAAAGGCCGCCAAGTCGCCCGCACAAGCGGACTCCGACCATGGGTTGTCCACAGAAGTCAAATCAAAGGCCGAGACGAACTATTTGGTACGACGGCTGGAGGGAGGAACGCCGTGCGATCTCACGGGAAATGATCGTAAGGTTGAGGTGCAGTTCCACTGTAATCCCCAATTGACCGATCGTATTGGCTGGATTAAAGAGACGGCTACCTGTGCGTATCTGATGATAATTTACACACCCCGACTGTGTAACGATGTCGCTTTCCAGCCACCCAAAGAAAGCCGAGCCCATCCCATCACGTGTAGGGAAATCATCGCTGAAGATGCTGTGGCATCGTGGGAGGCTCGCCAGGAGAAGGACGGATCTCGACAGACTCTCGACCGACGTCGATCTCAGCAGGTAATAATGGGCAACGTTGAAGTTGGAGGAATGAAATATGTTGGTCGCGAAGGGAAAAGATTGGAGAGAGGGCGCATCGTATTGACCCAAGATGAAAAAGCCGAGACGGTGATTATGCAGAAAAATGGCCAAATTTCAAGCTTGTCCAAAGCAGAGCTCAAGAAGCTCGACCTCAGCCCGGAGGACGTTGACGCTTTTCGCAAAGAGTTGCAGAAGTTGGCCGGATCAAAAGACTGGAAAATTGAACGATTGGATGATGTGAATGGCCATATTCAGCTGCGAGGCGTTGTTGCCACGGATGACGAGACTGATGAGGAGACCCCGAAAACGACTGCTGGAGGGGATGATGAAGGACCTGGCAGCCAGGAAGAATATAAAGAAGTGTGACATATGAGGGCCGATTTGAAAGAAAGAGCTGGTTACCGGAAGTTGGCTTACCCTACCCGGGCTCAGAGAGATCTCGTCCCCGAGCTTCCGGATGTCGAACACTTATGAGCTTGCTCATGGTCCCAGCTAGACACGGAGGAACGTCAGTTCCTGGATCCTGGGTTTCAGTTCTGCCGTCTGAGTGTCGTCGAGCTTTGAATCTCTATCAGCATCAGCTCAAAAGGACATCTCGGCCCATTATGACAATGCTTCGACCCACGAGGTTGCCCAGAGAGGCACGAAGCATCAATAACCATGTGGTGCTGCCGGAAGGAATCTCGCAGACACCGGGTGAAGGATGAAAATCTGCTGAAAAACCTCAAGTTGAGCAACGAATTGACCTCCAGCCGCGTCCAACAGCCAGAGAATGAGCAAAAAGGCCATATTTTACTGGACAGTTCTCATGAGGGGGGGTTGCTCAGTTGACTGTTAAGCCTAGAAAGAGTACAATGATGAAATATCTAGTTCAAAGGACATACCCAAATGTAAGATAGGATTCTCCTTACTTGGTCATAGTCAAAGGGCATCCAGGTATACCAGATAAGGAGATGTGTAGCCAATACTGGTACCCCCACATCCATAAGGAGTGAATGCATGCGCATCATGTCGAATCAAACTGGTTCGAGTTCGGGGTTTAATTTTGTATAGGATAATACTTCAAGCCGGTAGATAAAATTGTGTACGTCCCTGGCTCCCTACCCCTTGCCAGTGTCACGTGCGACTTGTCGCACCGTCCTTTCAGGGCGAAGCAAGGGTTTATGCAGATGCAGTCTGCGCGACCCCAAATCTGTAGTCTGCCGTAGACTGGTCGCCAGCAAGCACCCGCACCCTAATGTCTGGCTCTCACTCAGACGACTCGCATCTCCTTCCAAACGCATTGCGGGTTTTACCACCTGTTCTCTCAGACTCAGATTCTACACATTCACGGCATCAAGCTCGTCTTTCTTCCAAGCATAGCGATTCAAAACAGTTTTCGAGAGCTTTCATCCACCATCCATTATACGTCACCCAGCAGCGTTTAACCCAAAACCCCGTCTGACATTTACGGTTTCGCTTAACCAGCTAGACGAAACCGGGCCTTCGATCACATCCGACCGCCTGTTTTGTTTTATCTTGATGGCCATTTCCTTTCCGTCCTCTCCCTGATTGCTATCTTCTGTCGTTCCATCCGCATTCATCCCCACTATGGGTTTCGTGGCAATATGCACCGCAATCTACGATTACAAACCACAAAGCGCCGGCGAGCTGGAGATCAATGAAGGGGAGCTGCTATATATCCTCGAGAAGAGCAAGGAAGATGACTGGTGGAAGGCGAAAAAGAAGGCAGCTGGCGATGACGAAGACGAACCTGAAGGTTTGATCCCAAACAACTACGTCGAAGACGCAAAACCCATACATGCCGCCAAAGCCCTCTACGACTACAGTCGACAAACAGACGAGGAGGTCTCTTTCACCGAAGATGCCGTGTTGGCCGTCTACGATACCTCCGACCCCGACTGGACTCTGGTCGGCGTCGGTGACGACTTTGGCTTTGCGCCCGCCAACTACATCGAGATTTCCGGAGCCGCACCCAGATCACCTTCGATATCATCCAACAGACAATCCATTCCGCCAGTGGCGGAAGCCGATTCACTTTCACCTCCGACCTCTCCGGCTAGGTCAGTTCAGAGCCCTGCCGCAAATTTGGCAAGGGTCCTAGGAGGAGGAGCTCCGACTTCACCCACTGCCACTCGAACCGTCTCTTCTCCTCCACCTGCAATACCACGCCAACAGCTTACTCCAGATGCGTCCGATGACGAAGAACCTGCTCCCGCTCTGCCACGAAGACCTCCATCACAGACGATACCGTCTCCCACCGCTCATGCCCCGAGACACTCAGAAGATGCCGCGGGCGTTCTCCCCTCGCCTCCTTACAATCGAGCACTGGGACGGCCGGGAGATGAGGATGCGCCGGTTCAATCCCCTGGTGGCTTCCACTTGTATAATATAAATGAAATGGTCTCGGCAATGGGCCGAAGGCGAAAGATGCCCACAACTTTAGGCATTAATATTGCGACGGGTACAATTATGCTTTCGCCAGAGAAGTCCAGAGATGGGCCCTCACAGGAGTGGACGGCAGACAAAATGACGCATTATTCCATCGAAGGCAAACATGTCTTCATCGAATTGGTCAGACCAAGCAAAAGTTTGGACCTTCATGCGGGCGCGAAGGACACGGCAGAAGAGATTGTCGGGGCTCTTGGGGAAATCGCGGTCGCACAACGCGCTGAAGGTATCCGAGAGGTGATGGCGGCCGCGAGCGGTGGCGCTAGTCAGAAGAAAGGGCAAGTCCTTTATGACTTTATGGCCCAAGGTGATGACGAGGTGACAGTCGGCGTGGGTGACGAAGTTATTATCCTGGATGACACCAAATCGGAAGATTGGTGGAATGTGAGACGGTTGAAGAATGGCCAAGAGGGTGTCGTTCCCAGCAGCTACATCGAGCTTACCGGCTTTGCGACGATCGAACCACCCACACGATCGGGAGTCAACGCTGGCTTGTCAACCGTCGACCAGAACCGACTCGAAGAAGAGAGACTCGCCCGAGAAGCTGCAAAGGCGGATCGGGCTCGTCAAGAGGCAGAGCAAGCACGGTCTCGCAGTGAAGTAGGGCCGGGCATGCAGCTTCCTCAACGCGGTAGCAGCCTCGCGGACGAGCAATCACATCGGAGAGATCGAAAGGAAAAGGATGACCGTAAAAAGAGCCGGTCCAAACCGGATCCAACAAAGGTTCGGACCTGGACGGACCACTCGGGAACCTTCAAAGTCGAAGCTCAATTTCTAGGAGTGGCAGATGGGAAGATTCATCTCCACAAGGTCAATGGCGTAAAGATCGCTGTCCCTGTATCGAAGATGTCCCCAGAAGACCTCGAGTATGTTGAGAAGGTAACGAACGAGTCGATCGAAGATCATATTCCCGTGGCTGATTTGATCAAGATGAAACATCGGAGTCAATCGTCCGAACAGTCCAAGCCTCGAAGCGGTGCCACCGTCGAACCCCGAGTGCCAGAGCAGCCAAAAGTTCCCGAGTATGACTGGTTTGATTTCTTCCTCAAAGCTGGTGTCGGACCACACCAGTGCGAACGATATTCACAAGCAATGATAAGGGACTCCATGGACGAAAGTGTCCTGCCGGACATTACCCCGGACACTTTACGAACCTTGGGACTCAAAGAGGGTGACGCGCTTAAGGTGATGAAGTTTTTGGATCAGAAATTCGGACGAGCCCGCGGTCCCGCGACCAATGGTATCAATGGTGAACCTGCCGCAGGAGGTATCTTCTCCGGCCCCGGGGGAACATTGCACAACAACACTCGCAGGGGAAGACCGGAAGTCAATCGGCGAACAAGCGACGTCGTTGATGCTGATGCTTTCACAAAGACAGAAACCGGGAACAAGTCAAGTGTGGGCGGAGAGGCAAAAGCTACGATTCTTACTGAAGCACCTCGAAGAGAACCAAAAAGTGGTTTTGACGATGATGCCTGGACGGTTAAGCCATCCTTACAGCCTCCAACATCATCGCAACCGACTCCTGCGGCTGCTCCAGCGCCCAAACCTCCGACTGGCGCAATCAAAGACCTGTCTTTACTTGACCCTCCTCTCCAGCCAACGCCTGCACAACCTCCAGCGCCAGTAGTGAACCAACCACCTCCTCCACAAACGCAACCTCCGCCTCAACAAGCTCCGGCTTTAGCTCCAGCTCCAGCTCCAGCTCCGGCCCCGGCTCCGGCTCCAACAGTGACCCCTTCAATTCAGCAACCTCAGCAGACAGGCGCGTCCCCGCAGTTCTTTTCACAATTGAATCAACAACCAGGATCAATCCAGCCTCAGCAGACGGGATTCCAAGCCCAACAGCTAAATGTGACCCGTCAGCGACCAGCCGCACCACAACAGAGCTTTACTGGGACTGGTTTATTGCCGCCTCCGCCACGACCAACTTCGGCGCCCCAGAATCCGCAATCAAATCAATTTGGACTGCAGCCACTGCAGCCGCAGTTGACAGGAGTTCCTCGGACCTCCGCTCTGCAGGCGCCTCCTGGCCAGAGTTTGAACGATCTGACGCAGCAACGATTACAACAGCAATATCAACAGGCGCCGTTACAGCCTCCACCGACAGGATTCATTCAGCCCAACCAAAGTTTCGGACAGTTCGGTCTTGCTCCCCAGCCCACAGGATTCCAACAGCCACAACAGCAATTTGGTCCATTTCAGCAACCATATCTTAATGGCAATGCCGCCGGAAGTCCTTTCGCTGATCCCCGACCGGCCTTCCAGTCCCAACCAACCGGAATACCATTCCAGCAGAGCCCACCCCCGGAGGGAATCAATTCCGTCCTCCCACCGGCGCTCCAGCCCCAACGGACTGGATTCACGTCCCCCATCCAACAACCGCAGCAGACCAATGGATTGGGCCAAGGTATTCAACCCCAGCCCACGGGCTTCCCTCAGGTCCAACCGGTTCAAGCCCAGCCGACTGGATTTCAACCGCCACTTCAATCGCAAGCGACCGGATTTGGGCAGATTCCCCAGCAGAATGGGTTTACAAATTTCTCTCCACCACCTATTCCACCCATTCCTCCGCTTCCAACAGTCGCTCCTCTGCAGCCCCAAAAGACAGGTCCAGCTCCGCCTGTCAAGTTTGGCGTGACAGAGACGAAGAAGCTAACTCCTCAACCGACCGGGCGGAGAGCAAACCTTGCGAATGCCAGTAAGTCTTTACTTTACATTGCGATATCCCGACTGGCGACTAACAATATTTTAGCGGCTCAGAATCCATTCGGCTTTTGAAGTCGTTGAGTAGACCGGTGACAAGAGCAGTCACATGTGTTCAAACCTTCTTCTTGCACAAATTGTGCCACAACGGTGGCCTCGTTCACATCATCTTCACCATATCGTGGGGGGTAAATCCCTCGCATGCTCACTTAACGCAACATAGCGGTCGGAATTTGTCTCTAGCGCGGAACGGAGAAGATTAGGCTTCGGAAGGGAAACTAGGATAGGTGCTTTCATCTTTAATCCGGCATTGGGTGGGGAGTGCATTCAGAGATAGATGTTGGACGCCGTTAGCAGGAGATTTGTGGTTTGCTCGCCCAAAAACACAACGCAGTTCTTCTCATTCGACGATTTTTATCTGTGTCGGCGCGAAGCAGTAACCAATCATTTGTTTCTAATTGAGAAGTCCCATATCCAGGTCCAGCTAGCTCGAGGAACTTGGAGGACATGGGAACTTGAGGCCAAGTAGAGACACATGAGAGCGGAATTAGGTATATAATTTTTGGTACCTGATTTAATGACGCGAGATTGGTTGATTGATTTGGTTTCTGAGAAATCGGACTGTCCTGAGGTTTACCTCTCGTAGCTACTTATCGCGGCAGTCTCGTGATGATTACCTACTTGATAGACCCATGTCTCCAAACGTTCCAGACAGGCCTGGCAGTGTGACGCACGTGAATCGAAATCAATTCTCTAGAGCTCATGGAGATAGCAGATCGCAAGGTTAATGGAGGCAGAGACTATTGGCATCGTCCTGCGCCTCATCATAAATGCGTCGCCCTCGAAAGATGCCTGTATTTGGGGGGGGAGAGTTTCGTGCCACCTACACTTCTCCCGGCGCTCCATCACTCAATTCTGTGTTCTTATCTGCATCTTTGTCGCAAGACCTATCCTGGAGAGATGGCTTGGAGGGAAAGTTCGCACATAATTACTTGGTCACCGGCTTGAATCTCCGTTGCCGACCTCTCTGCTGTCTAGCTGGCAAAACTGTCAAGAAGGCTCAAAGCCCCATATCTTGATGCACGGATAACTCATAACTTCACAAGTGGCGCACAACGCGAACATTAAATTCTGGATCTGGCAAAAGACGGCTCCCCTATAGTACCCCCGACTGCGATTCGATACGATTGGTCGACCTTCTTGTGGCTTGACAGCGATTTCGAAGGCTGTGCAAAAAGCTCTGCCTCGGCCGCTCATCTCGAAAGGGTTTCCAGATGCGGAAGAGGGTGAACATCACCGGCTACCCAATATGAAACCTCCGCTAGCTCTCTTGAGAATTCTTACCACCATGTTCACCTTCGGAGAATCATCGCGTTCGAATGGCCCCCAACTGTAGCGCCAGACCAAACTTTATTCAGGGGGAAAGTTGTCACAATGGCTGGCAAACGCATTGGCATGTCGAAATCTCTACATGCGTCAGCCCCTCAACGGCCGCCAGAATCATAGCTCCAATTGGACCGGTACAGTTGAATCGGCCAGTGGTGACGTTTGACTAGCCAATGCCTTCGCCGTATCCCAGTCTGGTAAAACATTGCTCTCCCATGGTTCAATGATGTTCTTTGGCTCTCTCCTGATTGGACTTCGCAGGCCCTACTCCTTTCAGATCATTTACTCGCATGTCGCACTTGGTGTCAATGCCGGGCTGCGTCACCGATCTTTGAGCTTGGATGGCTGTAATGCAGTTTGCCGAACCAGTTTCGGCTCCCAAAATTGGGTTATCCTGCTGCAATACTCTAAAACCGTGGAGCATATTACGATATATATGGCTTCAGCCGATTCTATCTTCAGTCCTTTTCAGACACTCACCTACAACTACTTCATTGTACCTCTTTGATTATTCTCACTCGGTCTGATTTCATAACAACTGACGGTACCGCCATGACTGAGCCCATTCCAGGACCTCGTGCCCTCCCCGTGCTTGGCAATTTGCTGGACATGTTGGGGGACCTCGATGTCCCTATCCGGGGCCTCGAGCGTCTCGCGGACACCTACGGTCCCATCTACCAAGCTACTCTTGCTGGCAAACGTCGCCTCGTTTGTAGCTCCGCTGAGCTCATGGAAGAACTCACGAACGAAAAACGGTTCATGAAATCCCCGCCTATCACATTGTCGAAAGACGGGGGCCCCAAAGGACTATTCACCGCTCGAACTGAGGATCCTGACTGGGGCCAGGCTCATCGAATCCTTATGCCAGCATTTGCACCTTTGTCGATTCAAGAAATGTTCACAGACATGAAAGATATTGCCAACCAGCTGATTCTGTCTTGGGCAAGAAAAGGCCCCGAGAATCGAGTATTGGCAACAGAAGACTTCACACGACTGACCCTTGACACTATTGCTCTTTGCACAATGAGTTACCGATTTAACTCGTTCTACTCGGACGAACTTCACCCTTTTGTGAAGGCGATGTTGGTCACGTTCGAGGAAAACAATGCCAGAGCGACCAGGCCTGAGATTGCCACAAAGCTCATGTACAGGAAGAATGCCGAGTTTGCAGAAGCTAACAAAACATTGCACAAGATCGGACAAGGCATTATTGACAATCGCCGAGCCAACCCGACGGACAAAAAGGATGTATTGAACTCCATGATATACGGGAAAGACCCCCTAACGGGACAAGTCATGAGGGACGAACTGATCGCACAACAAATGATCACCTTTTTGATAGCGGGCCACGAGACTACATCGGGACTCCTGTCCTTTGCCTTGATGAATTTGCTAAAGAACCCCCACACCTACCTCAAAGCACAGAAGGAGGTGGATGAGGTCATCGGCAGACGAGCAATTGAGGTCGGCGACCTCAAGAATCTGAAGTATATCAATGCCGTCTTACGAGAAACTGCACGACTCACGCCAACCGTCCCACTCCTGCAAAAACACGTCAATCCGGAAATGGCACACAACGTTGTAACCATCGGGCACGGAAAATACAAGATTGAGCCCGATGATCACATCATGATTCTTATCAGCAAGAGTCAGAGAGATCCCAAACTCTGGGGTGAGACTGCAGACGACTTTGATCCGGACCGGATGTGTGATGAGAACTTCGACAAGATGTCTGCCGAACATCCAGGTTTCTGGAAGGTGCGTGCTTGTCCGACATCCGTCAGAAGAATACACTGACCGAAAAATAGCCTTTTGGAAACGGAAAAAGAGCGTGCATCGGGCGGCCTTTCGCGTGGCAAGAAGCACTGCTTGTGGTGGCGATGGTACTCCAGAACTTCGACGTGAAGTTGGATGACCCTAATTACACGATGAAAATAAAACAAAGTCTCACTATCAAACCCGACAACTTGTACATTCGTGTGAGCCCTCGGAAAGGCCTCGACGCAACAACCATGGACCACATGATTCACAGCCATGGTTCCTCTAACCGGACCATTGGCCTGGATACGAGACTGAAAGTGGATCGTGCTTCTGCCGATGAATCTGCGACAACCACGGCGAAGCCCATGACCGTTATTTATGGCTCCAATACGGGAACATGCCAGGCTTTTGCTCAACGACTTGCATCCGAGGCGGCATCTCACGGATTCAAAGCCAATGTGATGGACATGGATTCTGCCACTGAGGCCTTGCCAACAGGAACTCCGGTGGTTGTCATCACGTCCTCTTATGAAGGCCAACCACCGGATAACGCAGCAAGATTTATGGAATGGCTCCAAGGATGCCAGGAAGGTTCGTTGAATGGTGTCGAATACACTGTCTTTGGGTGTGGTCACAGTAAGTCCATAGTCCACAGTCTCACAACCCGCAAGGCTGACTATCTCCAGGGGACTGGGCTCAGACCTTCCACCGGATACCCAAACTAGCCAATGAGCTGATGAGCAAATGCGGTGCAAAGAGGGTCGCGCCGGCTGGCTTTACCGACGCCGCGAAAGGAAATCTCTACAGTGACTTCGAAGATTGGCTTGATTCTAGCTTCTGGCCCCACCTCGCGCCCGGAAACGACGACCGAGCCCATGAGGCTGTTGTGAATATTGAAGTCTCCACCAATGCCCGTGCCTCCAGCCTTCGGTACGATGTCGATCTGGCCACCGTGAAGGAAAATAAGGTGCTCACCAGCAACGGAGAACCTACCAAATGCCACATGGAGATCGAATTGCCTTCAGATGTTACCTATGAATGTGGAGACTACCTAGCCATCTTGCCTCTCAATTCGGAGAAAAGCGTGAAGCATATCATGACTCACTTCGGCCTTCCATGGGATGCCGTTGTTACGGTGAAAGCAACGGGTCCATCTACCATCCCTGGAAATACCCCGTTGTCTGTATTCGACGTCCTGCGAAGCTACGTCGAGCTGGCACAGCCAGCCACGAAAAAGGTGAGTTGGCTGTTACGATGTGAAATTCTCAAGGCGTTACTAATGGTGATTCAGAATCTGAGGACCTTGGCTATGTATGCTGGAGACGCCAAAGACAAGTCGTTATTGGAGAATCTAGCCAACGAAAATACCCGCTTCGAGCTCGAAATCACACGGAAACGGACAAGCGTTTTCAACATTCTCACGCAACATCCTTCCATTAAACTCCCTTTTGGCGAGTTTCTCGGTCTGTTGCCTCCTCTACATGTTCGACAATATTCTATTTCTTCGTCTCCGCTCGCCAATCCCACCAGGTGCACTATAACCTATGGCGTCATTGATACCCAAGCCCTCTCCAATCCTGCGCAGCGCTTCGAAGGTGTGGCGGGAAACTACCTCCAAGGTCTCAAAAAAGACGACTCAATTCAAGTGAGCGTCCGGCCGAGCGCTAAAAAGACATTCCGACTGCCCCTCGATATGGAGGGCACGCCGCTGCTCATGTTCGCGGCTGGAACTGGCCTTGCACCTTTCCGTGGATTCATACAGCAGCGGGCTATTCAGAAGATGGCAAATCCGGGCCGTGAAATGGCTCGTGCGGTATTATTCCTTGGCTGTCGAAGTCAGACTGGCGACAGACTCTACGCTGGTGAGCTGGATGCTTGGGTCAAAGACGGCGTGGTGGAAATCAAGTACGCATTCAGTAAAGAGAAAGACGCGTCTGAGGGCTGCGCATATGTGCCTGAGCGAATGATGCACGATGCCAACGACATTATTGACCTCTGGAAAGATGGGGCCCGTGCATATGTGTGTGGAACAAGAATGTTCTCAGAGGCGGTGCGTGAAGCCGGGACAAAAATTGCCTTCATGGTTCAAGAACAAAGAGGTGAGCGAACAGAGGCTGAAAGGATGGAACAGGTGAACCGACTCCGAGGGGCTATGCAAGAGAGAGTCGCTAGCGATGTCTTCGACTGAACATTTGTTGTCTGGGGTAAAGGGTTGTGAAAGCGTAAGCTTTCTTTTAAATCCCGAACCCCCCGCATGTGACCCCACCATGGGCCAAAAATAAATCACGTGCCTGAAAATGTCTTCCTCACGTGCCGGCTCAATCACGTGATGCAAACGGCTTGGCAATCTCGACCTGGGCTAGCCCCCAAAATACAAAGCTACGCTTTTACCCCCCCGGCGGAATATCCTGTCCGCGGCCCCTAGTAGACTCTAAGAGAAGGAATGCGTTATTGTTCTATCTAACAATAGAGCAAGACTGAATAAGGAGGAAGGGCGCAAGCTGCAACATTGCCAACTTCCTCACGTGAAGTTGCCGAGCAAAGTATCACGTGATTGGACCCCAGCTACCTCTCTTAGGTGGCTTGCCTTTTCGCCCTGACAACTCTTCCTCTGACGAAAAGCCACTCCAAGATCCGGCCTCCAAGTCCTGCTCGCAACGATGGATTCTAGCATTTACAATGATCCTCAAAAATTCTTTGCCATGATGCAAGCGACGAACCCCAATTTGCCAGTTCCTTCGTCATTTCCATCCGCATCCAAGGTATGTATACCTTGCCCTACTTCTTGGTCAACAATCTACACCAACTTTACTGACAACATGTACTAGGTCAGGCAAGAATCAAAGACCTATTCCAAAACCATATTTGAGTCTTGGAACGAGCTTCATCAGATCTTGATTCGCCGGGAAGACGCCATTCGCAAAAGATGGATGAAGAAGACGAAAGATCAACGTAAGAAAATCTTGTTGACGGTTTGGCCAGAAATGCCCCTTCGACATCGGCCAGATTTCCAAGAACTTGCTCGTCCAAGATCGCGGTGCGGCTCCATGAACAGGGACGCCTTCAAGTGGCCCTACATCAACCAAGAGGACCTTGTACGAGGAAAGTCTCTGCTATTATTTCTGAATGCTCGCGCACGGAACCCTCCACATGTCTTCGCTCACGCTGACCATGAAGCCACTCATGTCGGGCAAACCAGCAAGGCCATCACGCTTCCGTTCCTCAACCAGTACACAATGTACCTTGTCGGCCAGACAAGAGCAGAGACATATGGACGCCTTGTCCATTGGGACGACGACCCGGAAGCATTCGATCTGATGCACAACTGTCTGCAATTCCAGCCGGGAGCAGGATTGCTGGTCCTGGAGATTCAAAGTAAGACCTACAGTTTCTTGGTGCAATGCTGCTGCCGGATATTTCACGACGTCGCCCGAGATGACCTCTCTTCTCCCGATATCCCCATTCGGCCCGAGCCTGCTCCCATTGTTGCCGGCGAGACGTCATACGCTCAGCTATCGTCCGTTGCCGCAGAAGCTCCTTATCGGGTGCCAGCTAAGCTCGAGACTCACCGATTACTGCTGTTGGTGGGAGCCAGAAAAGCAGCCGCCGAAGATCATATCTGGGATTTGAGAGAGGACCCTGGCTATTTCTCGGCCGTTATTACAGATTTTGCTCAACACAGGCAAGAGAGCCTGTTGGATATCAACGGGGACCGCCATCCCCATGACAACGACGAGGTTTTCTGGAATCGAGTTGCTACCAGCGTGATTACAGACGCATATATGGGTTTCCTAGGTTGGGAGGTTCTTTACAGGAATGTGGCCAACGTCGATAGCCTATCTTCGGTGATAGAGTCCCTTGATCACCAGGCACCCCTTCCCGAGTCTGTTGAAACCGCTCTTCTGGATTTAGCATTCACCGCCGAGAAACTCTCACAAGGCCCGATCATGGTCCTCAAAAGTGGAGTGCCGGCGTCACCGCTCATCCGAGAGCGTTTCGTCCGAGAGCCTCAAGAGCCCGGCACAAACATCATGCGAACAAGGACAAAGAGTGCACTGGGAAACGATCCCCTCATCGGAATGTTTTTCCAAATTTGGAACGAAGAACAAGTATTCCTTGCACGCCTACCCAATCTTGTTGACGAATTGCAGCGCTGCATGGACGAAGATCCTGTCCAGAAGAAAAGGATGTCGTCGTATATTGCAGCCTCCTTCTCAGACCTCGCATTGATTGCGCAGGTGATGAAACAGACGCAAACCTTCTTCCCGTGGGCGGCCGCGTTCGAAAGGAAGATGTCCGACGAAGATAGAGGACCGGCGTACACCACATCCATGAAAGATGCCACCACTGTACACGAAATGCTGCGGGAAGGTTTGGCGCCAAATTTAGCGCGATTGATCACGCCTCTTCATCAAAAGTTTCGTTATCCAGTCGACAAGGCTTATAACGCCACAAATGTCGATGCAATGCGCCAAGCCGAATCTCATCTCGACATTATGTGGAAGAGAGTCGATGATCACTTCATGCAATACGCCAAGACGTCGCTGCATGGGCTATTCGACAAGTATTTTGTTGCTCCACGTGAGATACGGCGCACCCCTATATGGACGTCTCCTCAACCAGGAGGAACGGAGGTCACTGAATCTGAAGACGGTTTACCATCTTCAGATTTCTCACGATTGAATATTGTCGACCAGAAAATTGCCAAGTTTGCCGTCGAGCCTCCGCGAGCCAAAATTAAGACCAAAGGCATCCCTAGGCCAGCAACATCCGACCAGGTTCCAGAGACGATCGAAACGGACGCCACGCAGCAAGACGAACTTCCGACCTTTACTCTCGGCAAGCGAGCATGGAAAGTGTTCTCCACAATGTTTCATCAGCCTTCTCAAAAAGATCATGCGGGAGAGATCTCGTGGTCAGATTTTCTTCACGCTATGACTGCAACGGGCTTTAAAGCAGAGAAGCTTTATGGGTCTGTCTGGCAATTCACCCCCTCAGAGCCCGGGGTTGAGCATAGTATTCACATACATGAGCCACATCCAGTGGGGAAAATCTCTTTTCGTACAGCTCGCAGACTGGGTAGACGCTTGTTTCGAACGTATGGTTGGACCGGCGACATGTTCAAACTTGTTTAAGGGTTTGCGGCAGTTGTGCAAAGGCGTTGAGAAGGCCAAGATCTTGGACTGCTCAAGTATATATCGTTTCCGGTCGTTCATCATCAAAGCTCCCTCGGAACTCACCTTTGCTCAAATGCTTCTATCACTGCTTTGGATCTCAGTCCTTGCTTGTAAGAAGAGTATCTCCTCCCACTTTCCTGGTATCCCAGCGGAGTGCCCCAAACATTCAGAAAACCTTCAAGCCACCGGAACTTGGTATCGACCGCCAGTACAAAGTCGTTATTTCATTTCTAAAGAGGTGTAATGATCCTTTCTCGTTTCCGTCCTGGGAGACTTATACATTATGCCTTATATGGAGGCTAGTAGTAGGAATTTTATCACTCTTTAACTCCGAGGTCGGTTCCAAAAAAGTTTCCTCCTCCCAGTGCGGGGACGTGTCCTTGAACTAATAGGGATATCTACAGGGATTTTGTAGGGATTCTCGAGTCTCTCCTTCCTTGTACCCATTGTCTCTTTCTAGTTGGATTAGCTTACGAATATGCTGTATAATGCGCTTAACCCACTCCTGAATCTGGTGTTGAGGAAGCTTATTCTACGCCTTGATCCATGCCTCATTTGCAACCTTTCGAACTCGAAGGCGCACCTTTCCTCGTGGTGATGCGCTCGAGATATGGCCAACAAGGCTCGATCATATATTCAAACCCGGTGAGTTTCTGGTCATAGAAGCTTGATGACTCCTTCATGATCGGAAATCGTATTCTAATACATCGAGGCATGCGGTGGTGCGTTGTCTTCTTGTACGATCGTATTAGGGCGAGTTCTCATACACTCCTTTGCGAAAGGGAGACGCTTTGGCTTGAGAATGTACCGTTGACATCGATACCAATCGACCCCATTTCCTTCTCGTCGAACGATCTTACCTGTTGAAGTGTTGAACGTGCAGCATTCTGTCCACGGTTTTCTGATATTCTTCTCGTTCTTGCAATGATGCCTCTGGTATGTGCAAAGGGAGCCAAACCCGGGCACCCTCAAGAGTTAAAGACTGGGAATTCGAATGCGTCGCAGCCCATTTGCTAACGGCTCGAACAAAGCTGCAAAATCATGTCCAGCTATCAGTTCAAAAGATATGTTATCTGCTGATATACCGTCGAAGGACATATTATCTCTGGCCACGGTTTGAGCCTGCGCATCCCTACTTTCCCCGTCGGCGAGACAATGAAGTATTCAAAAAAGTGGCATGTTTCCCCACCGGGGTCGTGTTCTGATTCGGTGCTGAAAGAGTGTTGAGCGAGTCTTTGGCGACTTTGATGGCAGCGAGGACCACTTGAGGTATTGTCGGTGCCACGCTCTGTCATCCATGCCCAGGCAGGGGTCTATCTCTTCCGGGAGCATATATGAGACAACCAGACATCTGCCTCTGCCGCGGTAGGACTTGATAGTCAAGATAATCTATCTCATCTTTGGCCACGCTGGACCGTCTGTCAAGTATGTAGACCGACCAGATCAACCTCAATATGGTTATGCGCGAACGTTCATCGGAGAAACTTTTGAACAACATGTCTCGACGATGCAGTCCCGTTTCGAAGCACAGGCAGGATGAGATGCATACGGGCCTGCTTGCTTTAATCTCCTCCCCGGTCGTGACATAGTATAGTGCCTGTGGGAAATAGTTCTGGCGTTGTGGCTGGTCTTATACGTACTGTAACAACAAGGAGTTGAACACCACCTATTCCCTTTGAATTCATGAAGGGTCTTTTAGACTTTGGTAAGATGTCTCCAGTGTCCTGAAGTGGCCGAGTAGCTGTAGCTCTTGCAATATCGAGTGAACCCACATTGCTTGATATTCTATTCTGGCCGGGACCGGCGTGACGAGTTCTGTATGTTTGGGGGATCAAAGGCTACGATATATGGTAGCTATTTTGCGGCTGACGTGCGACTTCTAGCCGGGTATATATCTAGAAGCTCCGTGGTGTCACTTGCGAGGTCCCAAGGAGGAATTCAGTCTAATAAAATAAACGATTCCGAGGCATTCCGTATGTTCTGGAACGCTGTTATACACCCCGAACTCTAAATCACAGTTTTCCTTCGAACGGCCAAATTGGCTACTCCCAGATTTCTTGCATCTTTACTGCTCCAGGGAACGACAATCTGCAATCATGGCTCTATCGATCTTCCTTTCTGCGAGCCATCATGACCTCGAAGTGTTACCGGATGACCGATCGTTGAACTTCTACCAGTTCTTTGCGTGCATGGACCGTTTTGCAGCCCACCAGTTTCACTCCTATTTGTCTCCCCAGACTGCATTATATTCCGTCTCGAGTATCTTTTGCCGGCCTGCGCGCATGACAAGATCAAAAAAAAAAAAAAGGTTTTGGCTGTACCTGAGACACATGGAGCATTGCATTTGCTGATTCGGGAAGGTCCAAGCACTTAGATTAAACCTAGTGATGTAGTCGTATGAAGCTGGCACAATTGGTTTATCTTCGGGGGATAATTTCTGAGATATATTGCAGCTCCAGACAATTCTCGAGATGAGAATGTAGAGGGAGCGCTCGGCGATGTTTTGCCCCGGACAAATTCTTCTTCCAAACCCCCTGAACGCCGGAAGACGACCAGGTCCCACTACCGTATCGACTTCAGCTTGCAACTTGGCAAATTCTTCAGGATGTAAGGTCATGGTAGGCATGAAACTCATCATTGCAGGCGCTGTAGTGCCTGCACCGGCCTCGAAGAGCGTTCTAATAGCATAGGCTGCGTGATCATGGCTCATATTATAGGACTGCTTGTTCTGGAACCACTTGCCGCAGAAGTTTTCCATGTCAGGCCCTTGTTGACTTCTCTCGATACCCTCTTGCAACAAATTCCTGAAAAGATCAATCTCCTCAGCGTGGAGCCTTGCACCTTCACGCTTGAACGGAGCCAAAAAGGAGGGCAGTACAACAGAGCAGGAATCGTGTCCGCAAGATGTGCTCCAGGGCTGACTCCTCTTTCCACTGTGTGCAGGACAGCGAGTGCCCTTTGACGAACGAATCCTCCCCTGTGTAGACCGGCTTCGAGTAAGCCAGACGCAGGATGAGTCCGGCCGAGTAGCGCTCAAACTAGGCTTCGTACTTTCTAGAGGCGCAGATCAGGTCGCGTACCGTTCGAAGACTCTCTTCCTCTTGCAAAGTTTCATATGTCGTCGCAACACTGATATTAGTCAATTTATGCATCAACTTCCGCACATTGCGCCAAGTCCCCCCGTACGGCAAGAACAACGGCCTCAAATTGTCGCTCAAAAGCTTTGCCGCCATTGGCAACTGCTCGCGATCGCTGTAGATGGTGCCTCGTTCTCGTAATAAGTCGTTGGCAATTTCCTCTGTGCTTACGACGATGTGATTGCGACCTGCAATGTCCAGTCGGAAGAGAGGTCCATACTGCTTGCTCCATTGCGGAAATTTGAACCAGCTGTGGCGAGGCGGGATATCGAGGAGGTTATCGATGATGGGTTTTCCTGACGGACCATCTGGTAACTGTGTGCCACTGGGCACTTTGCCCGAAGTTGGTGTGAAAATAAAGTAGGCACAAACTGCGATGGTAAACGTGACAAATATGACGCTTGCAAGCATCTTTGCTGATATGGTCTGAGACAAGTCTGAATTGAATTGCATAGAGACAATTCCAACGTTCAATGGTGCATTAATACTACGGAGCTGGAGAGGGTTGGCACCTACCTGCAATCACCACCCTTGCTTTTGCGGACCATTTCCCGTTCGTGGCATTTACGCAATGCTATCTCTTGCGAGGTACGTCGATCGATGTCGACCCCTTGACGAAGATCTGAGCAGGGCTCCTTTCGTGAGGCATGCCCCTAAGAGATAACAGCGAGTACAGTTCCATATTTAAAGAGCGATCTAGTGGTATCAAGCCGAATCTTGTCCAATGTCTATTGGTCTCTTGCCCCGATGGATTGTGCATACCCCACAATTTCCGGGGCTAAGGACCCACAAATTCCGATGAATCCCCTCTTTCGGATGTTGATATGCAGTCGGAGCACTCCCTGCAGATTTCGAAGAACGAGGAGCAAGGATCGTAGGAGCGGCTAAATGGCTGACTTCTATTGATGAATGTGGTTGATTCTCTGACTTCCTTGAGACCGCACGTATATGAAAAACGTGCTGAATTGTGCTCTTGTCTGGAGGTGACTGGTGCTAAGCCTCTCGGTCACAAGCAGTCATGCGCAGGCACCGGGGCGAGATCTTAATTTGGGAATGCCCTTCGGCAGTCGACGTCTTCAGTACGTGTGCAGAGCTACGATGCCCCCGCCCTCGGTTACTGTGTCAAGAAGTTTCCAGTCTAGTATTACCCTTCGCAGTATAAAGTCGCCTGGGCAGTTCCCGACTTTTCCCCATGTGCCAGGAAATGGCTAATCAGAGGGTATTGGAGGGATCTACCAGCTTAAGAAGCTTCGGGACCGGGGGTTCAGCGTCAAGCTCGTTGAAAGTGGTGCAGACTATGGAGGCGTCTGGTAACGTACCTGGTCTCCAAATATTAATGTTCCTCAGGACCACTAATTAGAGCCAAGGTATTGGAATCGCTATCCAGGAGCTCGTGTCGACAGCCCAATCCCTCACTACGGGTTTTCCGACCCCGAGCTCTGGAAGGACTGGCTTTGGAAGCAGCGTTTTCCCAGTTCAACTGAACTACGCGCTTATTTCCGGTTCGTTGCTGACCGTTGGGGTCTCCAAAAGGACACTTTCTTCAACACCTATGTCAATTCTGTCGTTTGACAGGAGGACGAATCGAAGTGGACTATCAACACGCGTGGAGGAACAACATTCAAAGCTCGTTTCTTCCTTCCGAACACTGGATTCGCCGCAAAACGTTATATTCCCGACTGGAAAGGCATAGATTCATTTAAAGGAACCTGGATCCATCCGTCCTATTGGCCCAAGGAGGAGCTAGATCTTCAAGGTTAAAAGATTGCAGTTATTGGGACGGGCTCGACGGGAGTACAAGATTTAGCGCCAGGTAAGTTGCAATCCTTAGCTAACTTAGGGTGGACCATACACTGAACGGAAGCGGCTATCCTCCGTCAGACTACCAGAGTCTTGGAAGAGCACACTAATTCTTTGACAGTCGCGTCTAATTTCGTCCTTTTCTAGCGTACACTAAATCTTGCACTTCCTATGAGGCAGGTAGATTACAACGGAAGCACCAGCACAAGGGCCTCCTAAATGGCTTGATGAAGACACAACAAAATCCACCACGGGTGACCTTGGCGGAATCTGGAACAGAGTGCCCAATACCTCGCTCGATCTACTACCTGGTCTTGGCCATAGGCGCTCAAAGCAGTCCAGAAAACACAGATGACCTGGCCGAAAGACATTTTGATTACGGCCGCTACTTGACCGCTCAAAGATTCCTGGAAGATGCAAGCATGTGGACTGTCCGCTCCTACGCCCTGGTCACTATGTACATGCTCAACTCATATCGCAGAAATACTGCCTTCATGTCCTTGGGGATTGCTGTAAGAGCAGCATATGCTCTTGGATTACACTCCAAAGAGGTCGCCTCGCTCTTCCCGAGGGACGAATATAGAGCTGGGGAGCGTTTATGGAAAGTCATCCGGATCCTCGATCTTTTCATGAGTGCTTCATTGGGGCGCCCCCCATCGACGACAGAGACTCGGGATACTCAGGTCGACGATGAGGACTATTCGCCGTCTAACGATCTTTGCGCGATATTCGAGAAGGTTCTGACAGACGTATACTCTCGACGCATGATCTCGACGGACACTTTGAGCAACATCAGCGCTCTCCAACGGACCTGGGCATCTCGATTTCCCCGTGGCCTCGCGACAGATAGGATTGATCAACTCGAGCACGGGCCTGAGCGATTGACGCCTAACATTTCTCTCCTACACGTCAAAGAAGCCTACTATTGGACCATCATTCTCTTGACCCGACCGTGCCTTACGGAATGTATAACATCGCACGTCAGAAGCACCGCGTCCAATCAGACTGCGTACTCCAAACCATGTATAGATTCCGACCCAAAGGCTGTGATTGTACATGCATGCATTGACGCGGCCATTAGAACAGTCGAGCTTCTCAGGGTCCTCCTGGGAGCCAATGCGATACCGAAAAGGTTACCGTTTGTGATAAATTCGCTCTTTGTCGCAGGGTTAGTCTTGGGTCTCGGATGTTTTGGCGATCTCTCCCAAGCATTCCCCCTCGATGAATATTTGGAGCTGGCACATCAACTGCTATCACAGTTCACGTCCGATGTCATTTCGCAGCGTAATGCGAGGATCATTGGCCATCTTCGACACGCAACTGAGGATTATTTCAGGCAGCGTTTGGCTCAGAACATGTATTTGGAACGCTCTGCTATCGCGAAGATATTTGGGCAAATCCATCAAGCGCGATCAGGAGCACCGATTCGCGTTCTCTGTCCAGGCACATTTGGTACTAATGCCGGCCCCGTGGACCCAACACGGCAGAGCGATGATAATCGCAGCGGTCAGGCAACATCGCCGCCAGTTCATCTACATCTCGCAGGGACGGAACAAAGTCGGTCGGATTTCGATCATCTCTCTGAAACATCTCACAGGTTCGAAAACACCATAGAAGACGACTGCACCTTATTGAACCTTCCCTCCGTGTCGCCGGAAAATCTGTGGTTCGACTCGTTCCAAGAGAATGTGCCTTTGTTCTCCACTTATTCACTGTTCAACAGCCCTTACCAAGGCCAATAACCGCTCCGTATATAGCACGCATATTAGCCACGTCGTTGCATTGCCACTCTGAAAAGACGTCTTGAGCTCGGATAAAATAAAAGCAGGGCAAGAGGGACCTTTCCCCCCAGAGACCGACTTGAGCCGACTGCACGTGAACTGTGATTACAGACAAACCATGGTATGGGTAGGCTGTGCTTTTCATCAATCAAGCTCTGTGCACCAATGCCGGAGGACTCTATCGACAAAACTGCCAGGCCATCCTTCCCAATTTCGCACTCTGAGCCGACCATTGAAGCAGGCTCGTATAAGGCAATAATAAGACCTCCGAATACTCAGAGCTAGAGGAGATGAAGCATTACGAAGGCTGCTGGTGCTCGGCCTGCAAGGGAGTCCGATAACGCCTCTGTCGAACAATGAGAAAGTGGAGGATAGAAGGGTAAAAACCGTGTGTCGATTCAAGCTATGGAAAGGGGGAGAAGCCCCTGTATATCGGTCAAGGAAAAGTGGTTCCTGGCACACTAGTGGCCGTCTGACAGTCTCTTTTGGGCCCGAACTTGGTCGCCTAATCTACCAGTATGGGAAATATTACCTTGCTTCGTGCGGAGCACCATTGAATGAAGGGTATGTCTCATATCTAGTGGGTGATGCTATTATTCTACAAGTTGTTGATATCCATAGAGGAATTTCAGGACCCTATTAGGTAGGGGCCGTGTGCATGATATTGTAAAAAGTCCAATTGGGGTTGGGCACCTTCAATGACGCCATTTCTTCGGCTGACTGACCGAATAGAGTATCATCCTACGAGCTGCATACTTTGTACATGAACCTTACTATTACTTCCATGGCGACAACTCCGTCTTATGCACATGATAGATTTCAGCCGCACAAAACTTCCAACCCTTTGGACATCGGGTTGTCAGTCACCTAATGCCCTAGCACTTCCTAAGCCACTAGTTTTATGGACCTGGGACTTTCTCCATCTATTGGCGAGACCATTCACATGTCTACAAAATTGATTGAAAGTTGATTTTGCAAATAGTTCAGCGGGTCCTGACTGTTGTTACATCGTCTGGAGAATGTGGCTGAAGGTCAAATCAGTGTTGACGGGCCCCGAGGTCGCAAGATGTTTCTCCTTCGCGACTGGAGGACGTCAATACGCTGCAGTGCCATTCCTCATGCGAACATATATAGTGAGGTCTAAGACGTTGTGGTCGGCACATCTCAAGCAGTGACCCAAGCACTCAGATTCACTTCCAGCCGAAGCAGACCTCTCCATCACAGCGGACATCATGGCCATTCAACCACTTGCTCCAGCCGACGCTTCTAGGCTCAAAGACGTCTCTGTCCTAATCACCGGCGCGGCTTCTGGCCTGGGAAAACACGCCGCTACCTTTTTCGCAAAGTCAGGCGCCCTCGTCACGATAGCCGACCTGCAAGACGGGTCCCATATCGCCGCCGAGTTGAGTCAGCAAGGCTACAAGGTTCAATTCGTCCGCTGCGACGTGACCAGTTGGGATTCCCAAGTCGCTGCATTCCGCGCTGCCCTCAACTTCTCCCCAACGAAGACGCTCGATGTTGTGGCAGCCTTTGCCGGCGTCGACGGCTTCGATCATATCGTCGACCACGTCTCTCGCAGCGAAGTTTCCGTCGAAGGGCCCCCTCCGCCGATCCCCAGTGTTGCGCCGATCGAAGTCAACCTCAAAGGCGCATATTATACGTCCACGCTCGCTCTGCACTACTTCCGCCTCAAACCCCAGGGGGGTACCGTTCCAACTCTTACACCGTCCAAATCCCTGACCATCGTATCTTCCTTAGCTGGATACATCGACGACACCCACAGCACGCCGTATACGGCGTCTAAGTTTGGTAGCCGGGGCCTCTTCCGCGCCCTACGCGCACACGCCCACAACCAGCTCAACGTGCGTGTGAACACCATCGCGCCCTGGGCCATGAAGACGCCCATGATCGAAGCCGCGCTCGAGAGAATGGCGGAATTCGGTATTATGCCCAGTAAAGGAATCACGTTGGTGGAACATGACGTCTTGACACAGGCGTTAACGAGAATTGCGGTCGACGAGGGCATTCATGGTAAGTTTCAACCTGTTCCTTTTTCGGTCGAGGAGTTCCCGGAGCAGCGTCGAGCTGACCATGACACGATTAATTAGGTCGCTCATTTGCAATTGTGCCGGAAGGCGCCGTAGACCTGGGGGATGATATCGACGGCAGTTACGCCGGGCCAAAACTAGTCGAGTTGATGGGATTGCGCAAAGCAGCAGGTGATTACCTCCATAGTTGAGCGAAGATATTACCACCACTTGCCAGGAAGGCTTGCCTTCCGGCCAGGGCATTGGCTCTTCGAGGAAACGAAAATACGGCAAGATGATTGGGGGGTGGTACAGTGATGGAACCGAAGAAGCGGTTGGATTTTGGATCCAATAATCGGGAAAGTGGCATATCCTGACCAAATGCACCAATGTGTGGTGTCTCCTGAATTTGGTAGGCAAGTACGCATCCGAGGCCAGAATTGTGTTTGTGAATCAACGATGTTTCCACCGCCCGCCTTATCTAGGACCACGTTTTCAGCTCCATCTTCCACATGAGAATGATGTTGGTTGCCCACCTAATGGTCGTGACAATTTCCTGCACTTGATCCTGCTGATTTGCAGCTTACCCTGCGGAACTTCAGAAAAGTTTCGTCGATTTCGTCATCGCGGATCGAGTCCATCAATTCTTCGCATATATCTGAGAGAGTTGGGGCACATCAATTTGAGAGAGTTGAAGGCCAAGCGGAACATAGTATGTCGAAAATGTAAAGGCTCGAGACACTACGCCCATCTAGTAGCCAAGTTGAGAAAAATCCCAGACCCAAAGGTATGGTTTGAGCAGAGAATGGAAACGCGAGATCTGGTGCCCTTGAACTGTCCAATGTCGGCAGCCTTTGAGCCTCCAACCACATCTTAGGACAGCGGAATTGGAAGTCTTCTATTCAGTTAAGCAGCTAGGTCCAGCAGCTCCACCATTAAAGTGAGCGCCGTGATCGGGAAGGAGGGCAGGCTCAATTTTGGCTTCTTTTGGCAAATAGGAGCTGTTGAAGACGACATGATTAAGAGAATGGTCGATCAAGTCCAGAAAATCCTACCGAAGATGTTGCAAGACAAGATCCAAGTCGTGATGGCATTCCCATGGTTAAACCGTACCTACCGTCAAAGTACATCAGAAGAATCACCAAGGAAGCATATAGAAGACAATGCAAAGAGCGGTATCAAGGAATGCCAAGGAACAGAAGGGCAGGCATGGTTCAGTAGTGTTTAATTGATGGAATTGACAGTCCTATATGATATCGACTCGATTGCTTGAGGAGTCAAGCGATGATGTGGTGAGATGAGCAGGATATTTTATTGTAGCCAAATAGCTTAGGTCAGACTGTTGGTCAGGCCCATTTGCTGGTCGGAATCGCCAAATTTGAAAGAGAAAGAGGACGAGTACATGTTCCCACCCAGGTTCGACAATGGTTCGAAGTGAAAAAAGTCATTTGTGTCAAGAAGAACGGGTAGCTCTGCGGCAGAGGATGATGTGGAATGAGAAGCCACCGCGTTTGTAGCGTCTGGACTGTCATTTTTCCATAACATGGCCCAATCCCTGAATTGGCTATAAGCCGAGCCTGCAGCGCTGTCCTGCCCTGAACTGTAAGCTTTTTGGCTCGCTGCACGTTCGTCAAGTGACTTAACCTCTGATGTCTTCGACGTCCCCTTTGCGCGCTCTTTTAACACTTGCTGGCAAGGTGCATGGGACATGGAGGACAATTGAGGATCCCACAACAGCAAGCCATCTCCAGCTTCTTCTCTTGTCGGGTATCAACTGCTTGACTCGAAAAATGTTGGTGTGAAAAGAGTATTGAAACCAGCTTGATCTGTGAACATTCGCCGCCGTTTCATAAGCGCCGTCCTTGACTCGAGGTTGGCTCCATTTTCGACCAGTTGTTGTACTAGATTGTCTTGATTGTCTCTGACTATCTACTCCTTAGGTGACTCCGGCTCCATTCGAGCTGGAGCGCTCCAATTTCCCGCATCTCTGACATCCCTTTGCAGTCCCTCGAAGCCCTGAGTTAACCGTCCGAGGCTATGACGTGGATAATCCTCTCCGAAGTGCCACATCAAGCTCTATGCTCTGGTGAATCCTTGTTGCTGGAGTTAGCTGTGGTCAAGATGTCCAGCTGGGGTTTCTGGCACCATCACAGATCGAATAATCTTGCAAAGCTAGCTTCACCCCAGACCGGATCTAGACTGCTGGGCTTGGGAAGTTCGAACGTGGACCTGGATAAGTCACCACAACAGGCGGGACTGGAGGAAAGTTAAGTCATGTGCCAATATAACTGAAATGCATAGGAACACAAGACCAAGGACGAGCGGGAATCTAAGCGGGTGTGTTGCGCTCTGGAGAGGTCCACTGGCGACATAGTTGATCCAGACCTGAAGATTGTGAAGGTTGTATGTTAGTAATATGGTACTAAGCCTTGTCTTGGAAGAGAGAAGTGTAGACAGGATCCAGGTAAGTGCTAGAATGGCATATTCGGACTTACAGTAGCACAAGACAAAATCAATTGCAACCCAAACCATTCCACTTCGCTCCCCTTGGGGATGAGTTCGGAGAACAATACGCGGAAAGATGCGTTGACGAAGGAGCCCGACAGACTGATGACGAACAGCTGGACGTAGAACTCCCATCGATTCTATATCCTTGAGAGTTACACACCGCTTTGGCTGACAATAGCGTCCGAGGAAATGCCTCGGATAGTAAGGAGTTTACCTTGAATCCAAAGTCCACACTTGACAGCCCAATACATCCCCAGGCCGGAATCAGGAGAATAAGGGCATACCCCATGATTAACCAAGTTTCTAGTTTGATTCGGATGTACGGTCTTATCACGAAGAAGGCCACAGTGCATCCAATGCTGAGCAAGCTCTGAGATAGTGAATATAGAGAATACTCCAGCGTGCTGGGGTGCACTTCGGCAACGAAAAGCTGACCGACAATGGAGATTAGGGTAAATGTAGAATCCGTGTAGATCGTGTATGAGACAAGTAGAGCGAGCATATTCTTTCGGAGGAGGAGATCCTTGAACGGGATGAAAACTGTGCAAAGCATCAAGTTAACCACTACCAGGGGAAAGCCGAGTATTTACATACAATCGAGAATGGGTCTGCTCCAACTTCCCTTGAGATTCGAAGTAGGTTTCGAAGGGACGGCAGGGAGTCCTAAGAATGCAACAATCGAGCCTGCGACGGTGATGAACCCTACCACAGTGGTTACGAGCAAGCCGCTGTCATCGTCAAAAGATTAGCTACTTTGTCTCTTCGATGTCGATACTGCCATCTCGCTTACGCTGTTTGTGCGGAGCCGCCGGAGAGTGTTGCCGAAAGTATGATCACGATCACTATCGTGACCACTGCTCCCAGGGAATTAGCTATTAAGCCAAACACAGACATATTGAAGGCATATGTTCGTCTCGCGGCAGTGGCCTTTGAAGTTTTATCTGAACAGGCAAGTATGTCAGTCTCAGTGCAGTGAGATTCGACAACAGTCCAGCTCACGATCGTTGTTTCCTTCAGCCTCCGGCGTTTCCACACGCCGCATGCAATGAGGTATGTATATATTGAGCAATGCAGTCAACACAAGTGTGGAGATTGCAAATGCTACGTAAAGACCCGCTAATGAATCAAAATGATAGATCGAAAACTTCTGCAACCAGTACACGGGGATTGCAAGGGCACCATAAAGCGTGAAGAATAATGGGACCAGGAAATGTTTTCGCACTATTTCGACACCGCTGTCAGTTCCTGCTCCTCCCAGGGCGAAGCCAAGCGCATTAAGATACAGCAGCACCGAATTTAAATCAAGTCGTGTACCACCCCAAGGCACGATGCAATATGTTGTACATGGCTGGCCTTCTGTCAAACTGGGTGCAACTCGAGATGTCTTGAATGCTCTGTTCTCTATCTACTTGTCGAGGTATTGAGGCTTCCTTTATAGAAATGCGAATACTACGTCGTTACACAGAGCAACCATCGGTAACGTCGTCTATGGAAACCTCTCACCAGTGTTTCAGCTGTGGAGCCTGTACACAACAGCCCTTTGTTCAACAATTGTTCATAGACGAGGCCAGCTTTCACACTTTTCACGGAGACTGATCACTCTTCCAAACTACTTTGCTTTTATGGTTCCTTCTACCCAGGCTTTGTCGGGTCGGAAAGTCCGCAGTTGCAGAATATGATCTTTACCAAATTTGTCACACGAATATGACCGATTACAACAAATTCCGAAGCCGGCAAGGACCTGACAAAATCTCTGGGTATGAAATGGGAAGCTGGTCTGGCAAGAGCTTCAGCAAACGCCATTCAAGAGAAAACTGAGGAGAGTTGAGGGGATGTCCCGGGAGAGCGACTATACACGGCGACTCGCGTACCACAGCGATCTTGCAGACGCCGGCGGAGCTTGTTTGTGCGAACATTGTCCGCATGATAGACCCGCTAGTAACAGGAATCTGGCACGAGGAGACAGGAAAAGCGTCGACAAGACCCTCGAGAAGATGAAAAGGTAAAATGAGAGCCATTAAGGCAGTAGCAGCAAGAAATGGGGCTGGGGTCAAAATGGTCAAACAGGACTCCACAACATCAGGAGAGTCTATACAAATCGAAAATCGAACGACGATGAGTAAAAAGCTTGCAGTACTAGGAAAATTACGACGTCGGCAATCAGTAGCCGAGAACAAAATCCTTTTGATCGGAGAATTGGTCTAGCAAGGTACTTCCGAGACGCGTGATCTTCCAATGACGAGCGGAATCTTCGAGCCGCCGTATGTCCTGTCGTGGAAAGTCTTCCGTCTGCCGATGGATGCGCCATTTGTTGTACAGGCGACAACAGCGTGGTATAGCGAGGAAGATCTTCGGACTGCATGCAGTTGTGACCGGTACAAGCATGGCAGAGCGATGTGAAGGACTTTTCAAAACACGAACTCCTAATTATGCTGAGGACATTGGTTCTTTGAGCCCTTGAATGACCGCTTTCATCAACCACCGTATTCCATCTTTTCGATGGCTTGGCTACAAGCCGGCGTTCGCATTTATCGGATTGGAGCTGTGTGATGTTGAGTTGGTTGGTCGATTGTTGTCGGATCTACTCGCGTGACCACACATTTGTGCAGCCCCCTTTTCTCCTTGCCTCGCCATTTACACTTTGTCTACAAACTCTCTCATCAGTCTGATAATGGAGGGGGATCACAACCCCATACGACAGTAGTTTTACGTACTCAGGTGAATGAGAATAAAGGGGCGGGAATAGGGGAGTTCGACTGGGGGTAAAATGCGTCTATAGAGAGAGTACATAAGCTCGCCCTTTCAGGTAGAGAGGGTAGAACCCTCAATCCATTCTTTGTGTAGCGATTGGCTTCATTTACCCCGACCTTTCTGGTTCTCTTGATCGAAATCTTTGCGACCCTTTAGCAAAATCCAATACCACATTTCTGCACTTCTCCATTGATTGACCCTCCTATTGTATTATCTTGATAGCTACAGGGGCCTTCCACTAAGCATAAGTGCGATGCTTTTAAATGCATCAGTTACATTGTTCCATCGTCTTTGCCTCATTGCCTTCAGTTTTTGGCAATTCACCGGAGGAATGTGGATCGAAAACACGAACATCCAGGTGTCGTCATTCTAGATTTCAACCACCGCCACGTCCGTGTGCTTGCAGTGCATTTGTCGATGGGCCGCGATCGAGATCCTCTTGTTTACGTAGATCAGGCTGCGTTTCCAGGTCATATCGTCGGTATGGGTTGGCTGATGCACGTGCGTGCAGCAGGCTCTGAACGGTGGCTCCTGTATGAGAAGCACGTCCAGCTTCTACGTTTGCGGATCGTTGATGACGCTTTCAACCCGGCTCTGGGTTTCATAATGTTCAATTGTAATACCCGGCTATCCGTCGGATTCATCGTCCGGTGTCCTATATTCCTTGTCTCCTGTTGGGTGTGGGTCCAACATAGCTATACGGGAGCGACAGATTCTCACCTCTATGTAGTGCTCCTATACTGTAAGTCCTCTACCCAGACTTCTAAGCGGAGGAAACAAAGAAGTATCCAGCTGGAGCACGTTCCATGCGAACGTGCCGGCCACCATGAACGATGTACGAAACGACTACCACCAGATAACTCGGCTTCAATTTCAAATATTCGCATCCGTCACAGGAGCTTCGCTTCTCGCCCTAAAGCGTTTCGCTGTTGCTGACAGGACGATAAAGGAATGGCAGCCCTCGATGCACTTTATCCTCGAGTAATGGATGCCGAACCAGTGACATGAAACTCTTCATTGAGATTGCTCCGACTGAATGTTATGGTTCAGAGGGATAATGGGCTCTGGATATTGAGGTATGCCATCGGAAGCCTTGGTTTTATGATCACCTGGAAATTTGCTGACCTGGTGGGTGGTCTAATAAGTGACATAGGTGACCTTCAACGATGATTTCCATATAGTGAGGGCGCACGCATCTGGCCCCAGACCGTCGATCAAATGTTCTGTCCAGGTTCGGTAGACCTTGCCACGGTCAGAGTTTCCGCCAGATCAGCGACCGTCCTCTGCCAGAAAGCCGTCGCAACGATGATCAGCGGCTCCCTTCCGAACAGTGCCCAACCATAGGTTTATGGCTGTGCCCGCTAAAAAACAACGATCTACACTTCCCATTTCACACAAAAATTCCCACGGAAGAAATTTTGATCCATTGAATGTTTATTTTCGGAATCTTGAGGACTTTGTGCATTACAGAAATCTACCACATCAAAGATTTGAATTCATTGGCCAAGATATCGAAAGTCACGGCGACGGGATATCTACCAAGACCACTAGTGTAATTCAGTCGTGGACAACATCCTCACTAAGAACTTTTCAGTCAGGACGGCAACTCGAGTGTGCTTGAAAAAACTCTGAGCCCGCACACTGATCTTGGTGAGTCGACCTATTTTTAAAACCGGGCCACATTAGGTCGTGAGTTTGCACGGAGGAATTGTGCATGATGGTTGGTACACCCCGGAGTACTCGGTGCGAAGTCTGTCGCAAACGGAAGAAGAAGGCAAGTTCGCAAAAGTCCATCACCCCCTGTTGGCGATTGTATCACACTCGGAGCAAAAGCATCTAGATTGTAGGAGTACCTAGGCACCAGCTTCTAACCATATTGGCAGTGCGGTGAAGAGCGTCCTGAATGCCGGGCCTGCGTGATTGCTGGTTGGAAGTGCCCAGGTTATAAAAAAAGCTGGAAATTTGTGCATGAAAACGACCATCTCAGAATCCATTATGAAAAAAGGTTGCACGTTTTTGAAGAGCCAGATTTTACCGACAACGTATTGCTTGAGACAAAGATTGAGGCTACTGCCGATGGTGGCTACCATACCTATGAGGTGTTCAGGACGGGCCAAAGACCCTTTCATGTAGGGGTCTCTTGGTCCTTGGCTGCAGACTCAGACCGTATCGGCTCGATTCTCTGTTACATCCTCCTAGACAAGAAGACCCAATCGTTCTTCCAGCTTCAGTTTCTCGGTAACTTCATTTCGTTCATTCCGGGTCGCCTCGGCCACAATGCTTCTCTCGATTTAGCAGTCGCCAGTCTCTGCAGTATCTACACCGACTTTCTCACCAGCAGCCCTGGAATGGAGGCAAGCAGCGTGATTGCATCGACCGTATCTATACGACAGTATACCAAAAGTATCCGCTCTCTTCAGGCCTGTGTTCAGGATGTTAAACTACGATCTGACTCCTGCACGTTGTGTGCTTCCATTATACTTCAATTTTGTGAGGTGAGCAGTCCAGCATTGATCCACCTCAAGTACTGCTAGCTAATGTCACCCAAAAGCTTATGATCGATCACGATATTGGCCAATGGAATAATCTCTCCAGAGGTTCAGAAGCTCTCGTCCAAGAACGAGGCCCCATAGGATTCTCGTCTGACTTTGATAGAGCGATGCTTGAGTCGCAACGAGCTTTCTTTGTAAGTTCGCCAATGATTCGCCGTAAATTATATGTGCCTGGGGCTGATATGACTTTTGCATAGATGATTCAGGATCTGTCTGCCGGGCGGGATTGTTTCCTTGCCGAGCCTCAATGGCGAGCACTCTTCAAAGCTGGCAAGAGATCATCCGATAACTCAGTCCCATGCATCTCTCTCCGAAACCAACTATGCGACTTCCTCGTGGACTTACCCGGCCTTACATCAAATATTACCGCATTTGTGGCCCGAGTTTCCGCTGCCCCAGAGCAAGACTACCGGGCTCATGCCCTAAGCCTCCTATCCAGGGTTATGTCTTTCAAACACGATTTTGAACTCTGGTATCAAGTGAACATTGACGTGCTGCACCAAAGCGACAGCCCTTTCTGGTCTCACCCCAAGCCGCGCGATTATCCAGAAAGGATTGCGTCTGGGCTAACAGCGCATCCTCACTATCAAGGTGTCCTTTCGGCCGTCCTGTATTGCATCAGCAATTCAATCCTGATTCAGTTGGACAAGCTCATCATATCTGTACAGCAGGCATGCAAGTCTGGCGATGGCCCTTACTTATTCAAGGTGAATAAGGAAACATATGTTCAGCAGCAGCGGAGAGCTCGAAGGGCTTTCAACTTTGTGAAAGGCAGATCGAATGTTGCCTCGAAGCCTCTGGCGCATGGGTTACGTCAATTTTGGTCGCAAGATGAATGACTTGAAATGTTCTTTTGATAGCATATCGCATGAAAGATTGCAACCAGTCTTCCTGATTTGAACACGTAATTCATATCCCAGCGGATCTAACAGGTTACCACGATAGTGCACTCGAAGAATTTAATGTAGAATTTGATTGTAAAATTCTAGAGTTATGTAGAGAGAAAATGTTCTCTGTTCGGAAACCCGTCATTCAATAGTTTTCATCGTCTCAAGGCAGCACATTGCGGCCAACTGGGTGGATGTACGAGAAGGGGATTTCCACCATTGGCGCCTAATCAGGGTCTGATCGGTAGGATTGGCGCGTCGCTGGATCAACGGCGCCCTTGAGCAGTCGAAGTAGGGGTAGCTTCATCTAGGTGTAAGTCCATATTTCAGGGGCCGAGGTTTATCAGGGCTTTCTTCTATCGGACTCAGAGCATCGCAGTTAATTTACATTTGACTGGCCACACACAAAGAGTGGGTCATATTTCGCGAAGTCAAGCCATTTGGTCCGATTGGCTAGCGCGCATAATCAACCCATCTAACATTTTAACCATTCTTCTTATGTTCAAAGATTTCAAAGATCAGCCTTCACAACATAGCTATTGTCTATCTCGTAGTGAGCGGCGGAGGATGCGACAGTACAGCGAAGCTGCCTACTATTTTGCTACGTAATACAGGTGTGTTTTTGTCAATCAATCTACAGAACTGAGCCACATGATTATAAAAGAGCCGTCGTCCACTATTTCAGAAAATGGTCATACATCGTCAAAGCATTCCAACCGCAGGATTTGAATGACGTCCCCATTATCATTGCAATACAACGAGGGCACTCGTTAAATCTCCAGGCTAGGGTCTCTTCAGCCATCAGAAATCTCTTCGCCCTCTACTTGTCGTCCTTCTGACCATAGGAGACCATTGAATCAACATGGCCGCATCAGTCGGAGTCCTTCACAAAGTTTTCAAAGTCGGTATCATCTGCGGCAGCCAGCGCTCTCCCCGCGCCGGGCCACAGATCACCGATTTTGTGTATAAAACCATCCAAGCTCACCAGGGCAGGAAAGAAAATATCGGAGAACATCCCGCAATCACATTTGACCACATCGATCTCGCGGCCCTCAACCTGCCCATTTTGAACGAGCCCGCCATCCCAAACCAGATAAAGTCCCCTGAGGCTTATGTCCACGAGCGCACAAGGTCCTGGTCCCGCCGCGTCGATGCCCTCGACGCTTTTGTATTCGTCACACCTCAGTACAACTGGAGTATCCCGGGCGGCCTTAAGAACGCGCTCGACTACCTGCTCAATGAGTGGAACGACAAGGCAGCCATGATCGTCTCGTACGGCGGTCGCGGGGGAGGCAAGTGCGCCGTGCATCTGGAGATTGTGTTGGGCGGCGCACTGAGCATGAGGCTGGTCAGTAAGACGGTCAACCTCACGTTTCCTGGAAATCAGTTTCTCATCAAAGCCGCGGGAGGCCAGGAGTTGGGTTTGGATCCTGCAAAGGACAACGGGATCTGGAGTGAGAAGAGGAGCGATATCATTAGTGCCTGGGATGAGCTGATTGAATTGCTGGTGACGGGGAAGAAAGGGAAGTTCATCGCGCCGGACTGGGAGACTAAGCTTCTTTAGATGGCACTTTCCGCGCAACGCGTGCCCGAGATGGGCGGCGCCGGTAGAAGAGGTAGAGAAATGGAGACAAGAACAACTAAGCTGACGCAAGGGATTCGTTCCGCATTCAGCTCTGAAAATTGCTGCCTTGGTACCACTTGTATGTTGTATATCCTTGATGGAGACATGAGGACGAGTTGTTGTGCTTGAATGGAGGCACTGGTGTGGAAATCGTAGACTAGGCTTCAATCCCCTACGAAGCCACAACTTGTACTCCGTGACTGAAAGATACAGGACCGCGGCCCTCGATAACTGGGTGTTTCATGTCCTAATTCATAGCGACATTACTTTTTGCCGACGATTTGATCAAAGTTGCCCACAAACACATGGGCGTCGTCTCTCTTTCCCGTTCCTGAAACAGCAGGGAAGTCGTGCTTAGCAGCGAGCTCCAACACCACCCGAACGTGGTCCACGTTAACTCCCTTCTGGAGTGCAAGGCTTTATCAACTTGTTCGATCTCCCGACACGGCCCCGTGTCTCTGTACTTCAACTTCGAGGGAATCAAGCTCGGACCCGATAGAGAGAAAATAGTCCTGTTTATTCAACCGAGATCGATAGTGTATGTCGTTGAGCTTCGACGGCTCAGAACCTTGCCCTGGATGTATTCAGGCAGTTGACTGGGCATTGTTGCAACCTGCACTCTTCCTACTTGTTCAGCCTTTTGCTCTCTCAGATAGATCAACAAGGCATTCCTTCATGGTTTCTCGAGACTCCATGGTCTATCATATACTCCGCTCGACCAAAAAGAAGCCTTCCGTCCACGCTGATGCCGTCGCCGCTGCGTATTGTTGCCATCCTTTCCTTTTGTGAACTATCGGAATAATCACACACCCCCTTAATGACAGTGCTCAGGAGATAATCTGACATCCTTGCCCCTTCCATTTTGAAAGCAATGATTCCATCAGCGTCACCCACTTATCGTTTGATTGGAAGTGACGTAGGAGAGAAAACGTACCGCTGGGTACACAAATTTGTTCCCGAATCCGCCATGGCCTGTTGTACTCTCCTCCGTCGTCATTTTGTCAATAATAAAGCACACAAAACTGCAGTGGCGGCAGTTCAGACTTCCAACCCGACAACACCGCATAGAAATGCTGCGGTGAATATCACACCTCTTCCCAAATTAAGCCAAGCCCACCTACTCAACAAGTCCATGACTTCTTTCTCAGAGATCTGTTCATGGTCTTGATTCACTCTCTTCTCCATATTCAGCAGTGGCTTGTTGAGCTGCTCACGCATGAAGAGCCGCGTATATGCCCATGCGCACAGGAGGAGCGCCGCGGCGGCATAGCACCATGCCGCGCTTGCAGGTGGGACATTGCCGCAAGTCAGGTACAAGTAGGCCAAGGCCGAAATGGACGCAACAGGGATGGCAGTTTTTTTGCCTACACGATAGATATTTTTAACAAAGGCGAGGAAGGGACCTGGAGGTATGTGTGGTTTGGCGGAGAGCGCGGAAGAGAGGGACCAAAGGGTAAGCGTGACTCCACCTCCTGGAAGATTTAGTTACGGTCAAAGTTCCCGTCTTCGGAGGTAAACAAGTGAGATTCATCAACTATACCAGATAAAAACCCTGATCCTGTAAGGGCGATAACCTTGGTAGCTGCAACAGCGGCCATTTCTTTGGGGCAAGGCTTGGCCAAATTTTGAGGTTTGGACGTGTAGCTCGCATATACCAAACAGTGTCTGAAAGGGGGCGGAGGGGGAGTGAATTTATAATTGATTGGGGCTCACATTGTGACACTTGACATCAGGAAAGCTGGGGTTAAAATTTCTCAGCAAGCTTGTCTTGCGGGGTAGTGTCCTCTAGCGACTTGTACTATACGAAGATCTACGGCGGGGGTTCTCGTTTCCGGCGGCCACATCCTTTGGGCAGGCTGTGTTATTTTACACGCTGGGCCATATAGGGAAGTATAACGTCGCCTTTGTGGGACCGGCAAGAGATGCCCAGGGAAAGGTCGCCATCGCAAACGTCATGGGAAGTATCCGCTACCACATCTTCCCAAGCAAGGTGGACGACTGGGAGATGTCGTCATTGGAGGCCCCGAAGTGTGCATGGCGTTGGTCCGGGATGACCTGGGGAAGGAAACGATCACGGGGTTTTGAAGCTGCTTGGACACACCCGCTCTGCTGCGGCGGGTCGTCAATGCCAAATACCCCGGACAAAAACAATGAGGGCAAGCTAGGTGTTGGGGCTCGGAATCCTCTGTTCGGACGCGTCTTCTGGAAGGCTTGCTGTCTCCCATTGTTCCCGTCTTTTCTGATTTCACCCTCACCTTCCTCATCCCTCTCCCGTTGTCCTTGTCGCTTGATGTAAAAGTAGTGACTGGTGCCCAATAGCGTTGCTCTGCGACGCTGAATCTGGCAAACTCTGATGCTTGGAATTTTGCGATGCGTTTATCGAATGCGCTTGCGAAGCGATATCCCTTCGTATGATAGTATTGGCTAATCTCACAATGAAGAGATTCGTTGTTGGCTCGGCATGTCCAAATGTCGCTTTCCAGTCCTGCGAAGTCTCTATGCCACAACAAAGGGCACCTCCCCATCCGAGGTGCTCTCGTAGTCCCGTGTAGAGTCTGTTTGGTGATCCGGGAGTTTGTGTATTACCTTTGTCGGTGGGTCTGCCCGTTCTCTAGGGATGGTTTATTGGGGACTTGCCTTGACAGAGAATCTTTAACGCCGTCTGGCGATGTTCTCCTGCGTGGTAGAATGCTCTTGAGTTTGTCCACGAGAGGAGGGGGATCTGATCGATCTGCCGCCTCTACTGCTTGCTCATCACGTTGAGTATGCTTATTGACCCAGGCTTGAGAAGTTTGCCAGCGCCGGTGCTGTTTGTTGGCACAGTGACCGTGGCGGGCCATCTGAACGTCGACGCTGGCTTGTACCTGGAACTCCTAGCTCGATCCCATTATCAATGAACTCATGTTCGTCGCTGAAGTCCTCGCTTGGAATACTAGCCCGGCCCGGGCATAGAACGGCCGTGGGAGGGGCATACGTTCGTAGGCGGTAGGTTTTCCAGACCTCGTTGGAGACACTCATGAGATGTTAGAGCTGATTCTCAATTTGAAGGATTAAAACTCACGACTCGCTCAATATCTTTCCATCGCTCACCGACACAGGTAGCGATGTCACTCCTAAAGGCCTCGCAGTTATTGTTGGCCTTATACTCAGCCGTCGCCCCTCGGACACAGTTCGGATCCTAGTGAGTGGTATAGCATACATTTCCTGACTTGTGAGGGAAGTTGCTTTGATGGATTGCGGCCGCGGACAGGATATTCCAAGGGTGGTAAAAGCGTAGCTTCTGAATTTTGGGGCTTAGCTCCCAAACCCCCAGGCCTCACTGCGTTTGATATTGCCCAGGCCCTTTGCATCACGTGATTGACCAACCAAGCGCAATCCGGAAAATCTATAATCCGACGATTACCTAATCGTCCACTCTAGCTGAACCATCGGATCCAGTCCATGGCCCACCTAGGAATGGGTAGAATGGCGCCTTTGTCTGCCAAACCCTGTCGCGGGACCACATGCCAAGGATTACATAATCGGGGGTTCTTCAGCACTTCCTGCACAGCATCCCATCTTGACTCTCCTCGTGCTATGTCTTGTACCTAGAACTCGATGCTAGCTAGAATACATTGATTGTATCCTTGACCCCGAACCCTCACAGACCCCCCGGATCGGATCCAGTCCATGGACCATATGTAGACGATGTTGATCACCGTGTCCTGTGCCGTACGATATCCTCCATCGGATCCAGTCCATGGACCTGTCGAACAAGAGTCATCATACATAGGCTCCACCACCGAAACACTGGTAAACGGTTTCCATAGACAACGGTATTCCTAGTGGTTGCTCTGCGCGACGATGAGATATTGTCACGTCTATAAAAGAGTCGCCAGGAACGCAACAAATAGATAGATAACAGAGCATTCAAGACATCTCAAGTTGCACCCAATTTGGCAGGGCCCCTGTCAGGGCGAGGACGCGCTATGGAACAGGGGTGAAGGTCTGACAATGATATTGCTACCCTGAAAGCAGTGCGAGGCCATCCTAGATGCTTGTACCCTTGTGGTATAATCATACCACAAGGCTCCCGCGCAGGCACATGAGGCTATCGACAGCCACAGTGGGTCCACGGCAGGCACCCGGCAGGCCCGATGGCCATGGACCACCCAGAGATGGGTTTTCCTTGGTCTACCCCTTCATAGCCTCAGTTAGAGACTTCATCCCCAGCTGCGCCTTGAAAGCTTCGAACTTTGGGTAAACAAGCGACTTGGTAAAGCCATCAGCGATCATGTCAGAAGTAAGGACGTATTCAATAGCGTAAATCCCTAAACGTCCCAGCAAGCAAGACTCTTCCACCACCTCTTGACTTTGAATTATAATGTCGTTTCCGGGAAATCTGCCTCTGGTTTAGGCGGCCTGCTTTTGACGCCGCTACAAGAACCGCTCTCCCATCCTCTCATCCTCTACCTCTTCGCCTCCGCCTCGTCGAGAGGCGTCTCCCATCGCCTCCTTCAATCTCGCTTACGGTCTTGGCTATTGTGCAGAGGCTATAGACTTACGATTCGATGTTTCTTTCCACCGTGATTATATACAAAGTGGCATCTAACATGATGTTAAGTATTGAGGTTTTCCCCCCATCTACTTCTACCCCATCGACGTTCTCAACATCCACTCTCTCTTTCTACCCTGGTAATGTTGGCGGAGGCGGGAGACAGGGAGGCGTCTCTCGACATCGCTGTCTTTCTTGATCCTGGGGCCTCTGGCATTTCTGCCCTTCCTCACATGATCGGCCGGCGCCCTGTATCCTCGGGCCTCCTTCCAGTTCGCCCTTCCGCGGCCCTCCAGACCCTTAGAAAATTGTTGAACGGTTGGAGGTTGCAAGAGCCCCTTTACTGGGAATAGGGGTTATCACTCCTATGCAGGATACAGGAGGTAGGAATAGGAGAAGAAAAGGGTCAACAAAGCCTGTATAAATATCAGCAACCTGGCAGAACCAGTTGCCAAAGAGCAGAGCATTTAATTCACATTCTCTTGACGTTCATTGTTTGACAGAAATCTATGGCGCTTCTGTTGTCCTGAATAAGCTCTTAAGTGAACCCTCGGCAAGGATGGTACTTCTGTTGCCTCGAACGAGCCCTTAGAAAACCCTGGGAAAGTGATGACACTTCCGTTGTCCTGTATGCTGTACAACAGCGCAGCACATAGCCCGACCCACCATTAGCCGTTGCCGGTTCCACAATGTGTCCCCCGATCCTGTCATAACCCTTGCGATCTCTCTACTCAACGCCCTCCCAGAAGAAATCCGCCCAGGCCGCAAGATCCGCGGCATTAAAGACGATGTCGCCTTCTGGCGGCACAGCGGCTCGGAGTATGATTTTGTCAAATTCGAGAATCAAAGGCGCTCCAGCAACGTCATAGGCTGAGACAGTGCCTGGCTGAACGGTGACAATTGGCTGACCGATGGTGTTCGACTGAGCAGTAGGACCTAGTTGTGGAGTGGGATTTTGGGTGATAGTAAGCTCTTGAACGATTGTCGGAATTGGAGCGTTGGGACTTGGGTGGCTTCTGGTAGCTGGTCTATATACAGGAGGCGGAGAAGGGCACCACTTTTCAACCACTAGCGTCTTCTGTACTCGCTTAATTGAGATGATGATGACAATCTTGACATCTCCTCCAGAGTTGGCAATCCACCATCCTGCGTCATGTCGCAGACGAGCAAGGGTTTCAGAGAGTCCAGACTCAAAAACAATTGTTGGCCACTCAGATTTCTTTTTCCGGGTCGGGAAGGGGCGGAATCCCATATCACCCTCTCTAGAGGAATTAGGAAGTTTGTATGTTGTCCCGCCAACAGGATATAAGCACTCTCGTGGGAGGCCCATTGTGATGATAAGTTCGTCACGAAGTCTCTGGGCTAGTGTGTGGTGCGCACCTTCATGCTCCGCTGAGGGCATCAGCTTGATAACTAATAGATTGCTATCCGCGTAATGGCTCATCCGAGTATGCTTCCCTATGCTGTCGCGCTGATGGTCAATTTTTTCAAGGTGGCCCTTTGTGACACCCCTGAAAGCAAGGTACTGCTGATTCGTGCGGCCGTCCATCAACGCAGCGGACTGCGAGTGGACACGTTCTTTTAGATCTCGGATCCCTTTGTACGTATAGATACGAGCGTCCTCTAATCCCTCTAAGGGCGACATCTCCGGTGCTGAACTCTCCGCTGCCGTAACCTCTCTTGATGTAGTTGAGCTTGAGGATGACCTTGACATGGGTGTATATGTAGGTGCCCCATCGTTGAATCCGCAAACTGTGTTCATGTTGAAGTTCCAAGGGCGGAAGGCGCAATGTTGAAAGAGTAGAAAAAGCTGGTAGAAGAATCAGGCCGGGAAAGTTGTTGATGAATCGGGAGTGTACTGAGGCGAGAGGTGGGTGCACTGAGGTAGGAGATGGATTATGAATGATGAACTGTAGGGAGAGAAGATTGATTGATTGATTTATCTCAAAGCACACTCTGATGAATGTCAACATAAGTAGGTGGAAAGGGTTGAGGGTATAAGTTGCCTCAGGTGTCACTATAGAGTGGTAATCCCAAGCCAGTCACGGTGACAACGCCAAGCCAGCATTGCCTATTCTGGCCAACAATAGTAGGCCCTTCAGTAGAGAGGTGAAAGCGGATGTATAAGCGTCACTCTCTCGAGGCTGTTAGACTTGGCGTGCCAGCCAAGCGCTCACGTGAGAATGAAGACGCTTGCAATGAGCGACGAGTGGATGGTCTTGTTATTTAGTGAAGAAACTACTCCAAAGGCGGACAACCCACAGCGACATCATTAAACACCAATCGGACCTAGTTGTGCGGGCGTTGTCCACATGATAGAAGGTACCTGAAAACACTCCATTCTCCTAGGGGTTTGAAGTACCTTTCCATCTACCCTGTCTCCTTCACATAGTTGGCGCTTTTTGATGCCCTTTCAACGACGTCGTTGACTCCTTTTGATGGAGTCCTTTGCACTCGCCTTTCCACGCCTTTTTGCACTTGATTTTGGTGTTGTGGCATGTTAGACCCTCTCTGTCGCCCGTGTAGCCTGTCTGTCGCCTCTGTAGTCCCCTTGTTGCTTCGTGGCCTCGCTGCCGACCCCCTTCAGGGCCGTCCTAACGCCCTGTGAACTTCCTGTGAGTTCTGAATGAATCCCGACTCTTTTGCCTGGTTATATCTCGCAGTGTGAGTGCGCATTCTCTTGCCTCTACCTCTTACCAGGTACCTTTCCATCGTTCGGACAACGCTCGCACAACTAGGCCGGATTGGTGTTTAGCATTATCGCTATGGTACGCGAGTCACCGTGGGCTGTCGCTCTCCCGAGATATTCCCAAAAGCGGCAGCATATTTCCCTGCAACCTGCGCTGTGTTGTAGAAGTACGGTGAGAAGACACCGAGGTTTGGTTCAACTGGGGTGGGAGAAGGCGTACCTACGGACGAGCAGTCTCCAAGAGCTACGCAGGCATTTTCACGTTCTTCGAGCTTTGGGTTGATTGGTCCGGTGGGAACGGAACAAACTGGCAGGAGGAAAGAGCACACAATGAGAAAGAGAGTCAAGTAGAGACGTGGTTGTCCATGGTGAATTTTGCAGAGTTTGATGGACTCATCAAGTTCATAAGAGTTCGGGGGAAGCGTATGTAAAATCGAATAGCTTCATGAGATGCGTGACCGTGTCGCGCAGGTCTAGCTAATTTTAACCCACAGGCACCCGCGTAGGTGTGTTGCGACGTCTCTGTCTACCGCTGTCCGCCGGAGGACCTGTTAAACTGGGTGCAACTCGAGATGTATTGAATGCTCTGTTCTCTATCTACTTGTCGAGGTATTGAGGCTTCTTTTATAGACATGCGAATACTACGTCGTTAGGCAGAGCAACCGTCGTCGTCTATGGAAACCTCTCACCAGTATTTCAGCTGTGGAGCCTATACACAATAGCCCTTTGTTCAACAGATACGCACTCCACCACCACAACTTTGGCTGACCGCCATCGCTACACTAGAGCCATATCGCTTTTGTGCACTGTCCACTTATGCGTCTGGGTGCTCCCAATAATCGGCATCTCCATCCCACGACCGCGCGAGGAAATGACTGCCTGGCCCAGTACCCTATTCATCGGTTTCCGTGGCTACGTTTTGATCCCTGCGTGCATCATGCTAATCGTATCTCAATTCCCTCTGCAAGTCAAAGCGATATCGTCTTCAATACATACCATTGATGAGTCTTCACTCAGCCTCACAACCTTAGCCGCCCAGATGATAGCATTCGTCCTCCTCGGATTCAGCTGGAAAATCCGGCTCGGTCGGCCAGGCGACCCCTTCAACACCACCCCACCAGACGTCACGGACCCGTAAGCCATATATCGCCTTGGGATTGGGCAGGGAGTGTTACTTGTGGTATTTCTTTGGGTTATGAGTGAAAAATAGACGCAACCAACAGGATGCTGATGAGAGGACAGCCCTCCTTTGGGCAGCTTGAAGTTAGTTTGGTTAGCCTGATATATCTCGTGACGTGATGAAGACGATGTCTAGATAGCTCATCAAATATTTGATTTTAGCTATGAAGACTTCAGTATATTACTTAATTTCGGAAGCCCCTCCAACGTGAATCCGATTTCGCTAATCCTGTAAGGCAGCTATCCTATCGTGAGTATTTCGTAGTCGTAGTCGTCCTGGATGCAAGACTCCCAGTTAGATTTGTTGGAGATCTCACACCACTCTGATGACAGCCTTGCCATGCACATGTCCCGCTGAGGCCTCTTCGAAGGCTTTCCGCGTTTCCTCAAGAGGGTAGGTTGCATCGATGATAGGCTTGATCGTCCCATCTTCCACCATCTTCGTGATATTGTTCAGCTGCTCAGCGTTCATGCAAACAATGAAAAATTTTCCATCGATCCCACGTTTCAACGCTTCCTCTTTGCAGTTTACCGTTACTATGCTAACGATCGTTCCTTCTTTTCGGACGACATCGAAGCACTGCTCCAACACGGTCTGTCCCACACATTCCAGCACCAGGTCGATGTCCTTGACAGCGCTCTTGAGATCGGTAGCTTTATAGTCGATGAACTCATCCACTCCGTACCCCTCAAGGATCTCGCGACTTCTCGCCGAAGACCCGGTGGCAATGACGTATGCCCCAAACATCTTTGCAAATTGCGTCGCAAACACACCAGTGCCGCCGGCACCGCCAGTCACCAATACTCTTTGGCCTTTCTTCAGCTTGCCATGATCAAACAGCGCCTGCCAAGCAGTCAACGCGCTCAACGGAATAGCGGCTGCTTCGACAAAGGCCAGATTACGCGGTTTAAGCACAACTTGGTCAACGTCGGCTTTGACAAACTCGGCCATGGCGCCTTCATGGTTCCTTCGGCTGGTCAGCCCATAAACCTCTGCACCGACCTCAATGCCGCGGCCCTCGCACCCGGGACCGACTGCGACTACGACCCCTGAGAAGTCATGCCCGGGAATATGTGAGACATAGTCGCCGGCAGGACTCTGATATATTGGCCAATAAAGTTCTGGCCAAATGAGGCCGACACCATGGACCTTGATCAAGACTTGTTTCTCCCAAGGGGGAGACGGGACTGGTTCGGTCTGGTAGCTGAGCTTCTCCGGTCCTCCGGGAGGATAGAAACGGACTGCGTTCATGGTTTGTGCCATAGTGAAGTGCCAGCGACAGGGCAAACGGTGGTCACAATGGTTGAAACAAAGGTTTTTCGACATCCAAAAAAAAAAAAAAGGGATATCCGCTGAATTTATATTTGACAAACCACCAGTGGACCCGCATTTTCTTCCATGTCGGCCTTCTTGTCACCAAGCTTCAATGTTAATTAATTATCCAGTGCGCGATCGTATTTTCCATTCAGAGATCGCAAAAAATGTGGCATGCGCGTTTTCAATTGATCATCATTGAGAATGATTGACGTTAACGTGGAACAATTTCTGTCCGGGGCCGAATGCTTGAATGATCTCATCTACCCGCGGAACCCAATCAGATGAGGACTCTAACCTTTGTCTGCCCGCCTTTCCTCTTTTAAATACGACAATCGAGCCGTCCACATTCCATGCCCGCCCAGCTTGGACGTCCCGTAAGATTTTGACGAGTCTTCGTCGATACTTCCCCATAGTCAAAGTCAGGACCCTCGATGACGAAACGGACTACTTTAACGGGCCAAGTCTACTTTTGCATAACATTCTGCAATCGATCATGCTTGGGGATACCTTAACTTGGATACGAGAGGCGCCGGCAATCCGGCAAAGGCCTCTGCAGTCTAGGAGAAGCCATCGGAAGTCTCGACGAGGATGCTTTCCTTGCAAGAAACAAAGGGTCAAAGTACGTTAGTCCCCGTCTTGCTGGTTGCCTCTAACCAGGGCAGTGCGACGAGGAACGCCCTGTATGTGGACAGTGTATGGCTCGCTCTAGGAAGTGCGAATTCGCCACGACCAAACGCCCCCCCGGAGAGGGCGACGGACCTGCACATAAAGGTTCTCGGTCTCAGGCGGTGAATATGGATGACTTCCCAATGTGGCCCACAACCGCCGCCCTCAGCTCTGAGTACACCCTTGGTATCCACGTCTTCGCCACCGTCATAGCTCGATTCACCAATGCCTCCATTCGGAATGGCAGCAGTCCCAACAGTCTCGCTCATATTCTCCGACACTTTGAGCACGCCGGCTGCAGGACTCTCTCCTCTTACACTGGGCAACGAATCCTCCATGATGACGTCCCATCGATGCTCACCTCCTATCCCTTCCTCATGCATGCCGTACTGGCATTCTCCGCTTTTCACTTGCGATATCTTGCAGCTAAGCATCACAATCGTCTCAACGACACCTTCTACGGTCCTTTGACCCTAACATCCTCCTACCATAGCCAACGAGCCCTCGAACTCTATGGTGAATGCATTCAATCGTACCGCTCCATCGACCCTTCCACGTCCGGCTCTGCCTTGGAAATGGACGCCTTATTCGCTGCCTGTATAATACTAACCTCCCTATTCTATCACTACGACATCGACTTTCACTCTCACTCGCTCCAATCCACCTCGACCATCATCTCCTGGACAATAACCAACCCAATCCCCATCCCCTTTGGGACGCGGTTCAACCCTTGCTATGACCCCCAAAAAACCAATCACAACGTCGACTGGCTCATCAACGTGACCGGCGTCTCGATCTTACTGCAGCAGATGCACTTTCAGGAGAACGTGTGGAAAAGCAAGTGGTTGCCGTTCTTTCTAGAGGCGAGCCCAGAGCATGCCAGCGGGCCCGCCGCTGCAGACCACCACCAGTACGCCTTGCCTTATCTCTACGCATTCGTTCGCGATTCCCCGCTCGCTTCTATCTACGCCCCCGCCCTCACAGTCCTCCGACCTTTACTGTCATTAGACCCTACCGACCTCTCCAACTTCAGTCCACTCATCTCCCTCCCCGGTCGGTTGTCACCGCATTTCATCAACCTCATGCGCCAGCAGGACCCTGCCGCGGTGTTGCTCCTAGGATACTGGTTCGGGATCTTGGAGCGGGTGCCGCATTGGTGGTGCAGCGAACGGGGGAAGGTGGAGGTGGAGGCGGTGCTAGGATTTCTGGAGAGGGTCGTGGAGAGGTGGGAGAGCGAGGCGCAGAAGTTGTGGGACGGGGTGAGAAAGTTGCGGAGGGCTGTTGAGGAGTTTAGGTGGTGGAGGGACAGACAAAGATGAATGAATTTTCTCCCTGGGAGGCTTGCGGACGATGTCATTAATGTTGCGCTCTCGTGTGGTGTTGGTGGTGGCTGTGAGTCCTTGATCTGGACTGGATCCTATAGTTTCAATTCGAGCAATGAATCTTCACCCACCACAATTTAGCCAATTTGAAACGGTTTTGCCAAACATGATATTACGTGCTTGTCCGAAGGACATCGTGTTGCACTTCCGATCGATGGTGTAGCATTACCAGATATATCTCTAGCCGGGAATGAGAATACCATATAACATCCAGCAGGCTGTGAATTGTTCAACAAGCAAATACTCGGCCTCATGCTGCTCGCCCCAGGTTCGACACCTTCTGATGGACTTCTGCGAGACATCGAACTTTGTCCAAGTTGTGGTAGAATTTTGATATTAATCGTCCTCTTGACCAACCAATCTGGTTTGAATTTGAAAGATTTCGCCAAAGGCCCGTAGACTCGCTAGTCCATCTTCCGCACCATCTTCGATTAGTATTGTAGTGGGCTCGAGACAAGCATAAGAGAGTATAAAAAAAAAAAATCCAGCACGCAACAACGGAGACGAATCAACAGAGTCTTGAGTCCATAGACGCCTGCTGAACTTCAACCATGTTGAGTACTCTGGCTCTCTCCTCATGAGTGGAGGGAAGAGTTCGTCTATGTACCTATCTACCAACGAGTGTCGTCAGCAGGGCTGCCTGCTGTTGCCTACCTTTGGCGTTATTACCTAAAATATACTGTAGGGTGTAAAACCACCCTAAGTCCACCTAGCGGAGCGCTAATTGCGCCAAGCCATTAGCCAACGTCATTAGTCTGTATTTTGGGGGCTTTGCCCCCAAACCCCCAGGCTCGCTACGCTCGAGACATCACGTGACTGAGCCGGCCACCCTGGTCTTGGCAATTCTTGGCGGCGCACACAAGCGGCCTTACGACGATTCACGTGATTGCGACCCCTCGGGGTCCGGAAAATCTATAATCCGACGACCCTGGCGCCATCGGATCCAGTCTACGGGCCAACCGCCAGGCCCTCGTGTCACGTGATTAGCCAAGCCTCCGGAAAATCTATAATCCGAGTATTACGTAATCCTGTGGTTGACCCATCGGATCCAATCCACGGCCCACCCAGGGATGGGTAGAGAGAGGCTGTAGCCCGGAAAATCTATAATCCGACACCTAATCACGTGCTCTAATTGGCTGACCCCATTGGATCCAATCCATGGACCACTTCGAGCGGGGCGCTGAACACGTGATACTTGGCACTTGATCACGTGCGATCAACTAGAGCACTTAACTAGATCTGTTTAACAACCCTCCATCGGATCCAGTCTACGGACACCCTCGGGGGGGGGGGGGGGGTGATCAACCAGGGCGTTTAACTAGATCCTGTCAACCAACCCCATTGGATCCAGTCTACGGACCACCTTCGGGGGGTTGATTAACTAGAGCATTTAACTAGATCCGCTTAACAACCACCCCCATCGGATCCAGTCTACGGGCACCCCTCGGGAGGGTGATTAGCTAGAGCATTTAACTAAATCCGCTTAACAACTATCTCCATCGGATCCAGTCTATGGACCGCCCCAAGGGCCTTTGGCACTATTAAAGGCAATTGCCAGTCGGGGTACGATGATTAGAAGAAATCGACGGGGAAAATCCATGTTGGACGACGAGAGGTCTCCATGGGCGACGACGTTACAGATGGTTGCTCTGTGCAACAGTGTAGCATTCGTGTGTCTATAAAAGGAGCCTCAACACCTCGATAGGTAGATAGGGAACAGAGCGCTCCTTCATCTCGAGTTGTACCACAAGTTTGACAATCCACTAGTTCCGTATAAGGGAGAAGAGTATTTACTATCGGAACACGAAGGCCATTTCTATTTCGGCTGGATACTGGTCGTGTGGGAGCAGGGTCAACCTCGTCGTCGATGACTCTCGTTTTCTGGACTCCTCTATCTACTATGCCACCTTGAAAGTCTCCCGGATTGGCGAGACAGGACGATTTCTGACCTATGCCTCGCTCGCTAGTAATCGCTTATCGAGTCGTTGCCGGACAATGATGGCTCGGATTGAGGCGGGCCCGTTGGCGAGGACGGAATAGGCGGAGGACTGCTGCGGAGAGGAATATCACGCTCTTCCCGTTCAGTCAAGCTAATATGCTCGGGACGACGTCGGTCTCGATCGGCTAGGCGTGATTTAACCGTGTCAGATATTCTCACTCGAAAACGCTCGAAATCAAAAGGCTCTTCGAATAGGATACCTCGGAGTGACTTGACGCGGGACACCGCGACGTAGCTGAGACCCGCCACAAAATCATCACCGTCATTCCTTGCGCCTTATGGACCGTGATCACATAGGCATTGGTGATGGGGAACTGTGTCCGAGAACAGCTGACGGCGCCGTAGTAGAAATCTCGCCTCGAGCGAAAGATCGGCATCCAAGAATGGCCACCTTCGTCGCCTCGAGAAGGCCCCTCGTAGCCGTCAAAGTGGACGAGAATCGCGAATGGAGGGCCCTTCCGCCAATTCGCATCCGCCTTCCAAATGATATCCTCCACCGTCCCGAGAGAGCCGTTCACCAGGCCGCGTTCGGTCCAGATATTCTCGGTCAGCATAATTCGACAGCCCATTGACAGTGGGATCGCCGTCTGCAGGTTGCCGGCTTCTTCGGTCGTCGCATTCGACGCCTTGATCCCTTCATGAGACGCATGGACGACGAAAACAGGACGTCGAAGATCTCGCAGGCGATCGTGATTGAAATCCGCCACCTGTTGCTTCGTGCTATAAATACGGAGGGCGTCTGCAAATGCTGGAATCTCCGACGACACGACTGACTGAACACGAGTCGACAGGAGTTGCCAATCGTTCACGGAAACCCTGTCGTCCCAGAGACTGTCCAGCGCCTTTCTGAACGCCGAGGCTTCTTCATCCTGACCCTCTTGATGGCGAATGACGTCGAGTTCGATCGTCTGATTAAAGGCGCGATAGAGGTTTCGAGCCGCGATCTCCTGCGGGTCCTTTAACGGCCCATCATAGTACAGGGGTTTCATCATCACCGGGGGCAATTGAAAAAAGTCGCCCGTCATTACATTATTGAGACTCCCGAAAAGCATATCTGATTTGGCGGGAAAGATCTCGCGGCAACGCTGATCGAGCCACGACAGCATCTTCAAGCCAATCATCGATTTCTCGTCAATGATGAGGTACCGCACGTCGGAGACTCGCCTGGGTGGCCTGTAAGTTCTGCGGGCTCAGTATCTCGTATTCCGTGGTGAACCTGACCGGAAGTCGGAATAGAGCGTGCAGGGTCCGCCCATTAATTGCATGGGCCGCCACACCCGTGGGAGCGACACGGAGAATCGGATTCGGGAGATCATGGGCACTGGCCATCTCTTGGAGGATAGTCGAGATCAGCATAATTACGTACGACTTACCCGTCCCGGCCTTACCGTCGAGATTGATGAGGAATTGGGCCGGATTGTACCCGGCCAGGACTCGACCGTAATGACTGACGATATGGTTAAACAGCTGTCGCTGTTTCACCTCGGGATCATCGGGATTAGCCGATGAGACGGCGGCCAAGTGAGCCGGAGATGTCACCTTCATTTGCTTCCAAAAGTCGTCAGAAAGGGTGGGATATCGGCCACGTGATGGCTCCAATCATACGGGCGATCCAGGTCACGATCACCTAGCTTGTCTGGATCTTCCAGCCGGACGGCGGCATCATGATCAGGAAGTTGCTGGGCAAGCAATTCCCATGAAGCTTGAACATCGACATCGTCATCGACGTGAAGATCCTCGAAATCATCTTCCTCGGGTTCGGGAGGGAGCTCCTCATGTAGTCACTCTCCGCGTTGTGCGAATGGGTCACCTGCCAGTAGCTCCAGCGGTGGTTGGCATTGATATCCACTCCGGCCCTGGGTGTTGGGGTCCGTATTGCCCCCGTTCCAGGGACCGTACGTGGTGTTTGGTTTGAAGCCATTGTTGGGTTGTAAGCCGCTTATCGGATTGGAATTTGACCACAGGCCATCGTGCTGCCGATATCGGTGGGCAAGCTTAAGATGACCATAGTGGTCCACATGTAGAGAAGCGGGGTGAGTATGATGAAGTGGCCTGGTAGGCTGCGGGGTCTGCTGAGGTAGTAGCAGGCAGTCAGGTAAAAGGCCGTGGGCTGTACGAAGGTTGTTGAGTGTTGTAACGACGAGAACGCGGCGTGTGAGCTGGGGTGGAATCAGCGGGGTTACAGTGTAGCAATTAGGCGTTACAAAGCTTGAGAAGTATGTCGATTAAGAAGGGAGGAGAGAAAGTTACCTTTGTATATTGCTTCTCCTTGTGAGACGACGCAAATACCATCAAGACAGAACTTCCTGTCCGAGCGCAATGAGAAAGTGACTGACAGACCACGACCCATACAGCCTATTGACGGTGCTTTCAGAAATCTCCATACTTTCGTAAGTGTCTGATTCTAGAATCTCACTGATATATGCCTGATGAACGCCGAGAGAGGCAATGGCAAGCACAAATAATAGCATGGCGGCAGCGAGATCAGCAGCCCGAAACGTCGTTTGGGCACCAGACGGCGTGGAAGGAGCCGGGACTTAATTCGACTAACTGAGTATAGGCTGGACATCGCTGACTGATCATACGAAGTTATCAATGGACTCCACACGGTTCATTATGAAGAAAAGTGTTATGAAATCGCCCCAACTCGAGTGCAACATGATGGTACCGGCGATATAGGAGATGGTCAAAGCAAGCGAAATGAGTGATATCGCGTATACAAAATGGAATGGTATGGCACGCTTGAGGTAAAGGAAAGGTGTTCAAAGGGGATCATTCCGTCTCCTAACCGTTATGAAACGGAAGATTTGCCAAGAAGAAGAGGATAATTGCTGAGATACCATATTCGCCAGTGGCAACGGGATAATATATGGCCAACCCCCTAGTCCTGTGCAATTCAGGATTCTGACGAACAGGCTAGCATCAAAGATTCATCGAGAAGGAATCTCCATCAAATACCACCTGCGACCTATCCGAGATAAGAAAAATTGAAAGACTCAGTGGAGAAGAATTAGATGGTGTAGAGGGAAATGTGTTTTACTACGACTAGCAGGAGATTGGCGAGAGAAGATCGAACACGTTGACAGCGCACTTCCCTAATTTCCAAGCCGCGCGCATAGGGAGAATACGAAGCTGCTACCAAAAGTAATTAGTCAAATCCGCCTTGCGGCGTCTTTCCCTGGCTCTAGTCGGACCGAGGAAGATTGGGGCGAAACTAATACGGGCAAGCAGTATTTGACGGAATGCTACAGTAAGACCCACTTGCTGGGAAGGTTAATTCAAGGCCTGCTCGACAATTTTGCCGAATGTGGCGGACGATGACTTCGTGTATTCTTGATTCTACTTAAGTTTGCAGTCTACCATACCAGTGGCCGGCCCCTCGAGGAGGTGTTGCGGAATGAAGCGTGAGATGGGGCGCACCGAATTACATGCGGGAACGTGTGTCAAAAGTTGCTTCTTCTCGTTGGGGTCCGGGTTACCGTTCATGCTGGCTTGACACCCAGCCTCAGGGAGACTGGTTGCGTCCTGCAGTGCTTCAGGGGGTTCAAGCAGGGGGGTTCTGGTCACCAACTGACTCCAGGAGCCAAAGAAGGTAAGAGATCAGGGGCTCCCTTCCATGTCCAAGCTTCTTTGCGCATTCGATATCTTGATCTTGGCCTGAGGCTGAAGCCGATTTCTATCGGATAAACCTCATATCCACATGAAATTTAAATCTAAGGCTGCCGACCTGATACACTGAAAAGCAATAGCTGGAACTTAAAAGGGGATTAAGGCCTTTGTGGCGCATGGGGGTTTGACACCACTGGCTGGCTCCCAATTTGATCGAGGGAGTCTCCGAATGCATGTTTGGAGGGTGTCCAAATACATAAGAAACGAGGTCGGCGCTGAACCGTGAGGGATTATCAACTTGTAGACCGCAACACTGTATATTGACAAAGTGTTTCGGCCTCTACCATGAGGTTATATCATTCTTTGTTGGCCGTGGGCCTCTTATGCGCCAGTCTTGTATTGAGTACCTCATCAGACGCAGCAGATCCTTTCTCACACGCTAAGCAAGACTCATATCTGATCCCTCATTCAGCAGTACAATGGACGAACATGTCGGCGCAGTTCCAGCAATTTTCGGAAAGAAACCTGTTCGGTAGACAGACCACCTGTCCGGCAGGATATTGTGAGTGGAAGCTCATTGACCTTCATTTCCCAAGATATTCTTTCACTGTTTGAAGAGAGAAACTCATTGCTGTTCAGCTTCGTGTTCCAATGGGTTTTGTTGTCCAGTGGGCGACACCTGCACCCCCGATGGCTGCTGTGATGCTGGTGAGGAACAATGTGGATCAAGTTATTGTTACGACCCATCCACCTCAATCTGTTGTCCAGATGGTTCGTATTGTCTCATCGGGCAAGACTGTGTCGGGAATGGCCGCTGCTGTGATACTGGTGAAGAACCATGTGGATCAAGTTATTGCTACGACCCGTCCACCTCAACCTGCTGTCCCGATGGTTCATACTGTCCAATCGGGCAAGACTGTGTCGGGAATGGCCGCTGCTGCCCAGCCGGTGAGCAGCTCTGTAACAATATATACTGCTACAACCCCTCTACCCAGAAATGCTGTAGCAACGGAGCTTGTCCGCTAGCGGACAGCTGTTGCACATACGAATGCTGCCGATCGGTCGGGCATTGCGGAGATGACGGCTTCTGCGCCGCAAACACCTGCACAGTAACGTCGACATCCAGGACGACCTCGTACAACACCGTTACAACGACTGTCACCAAGGTTGTGGAATCCGAGGAAGAGGAGCAGGGCCCAGAGTTCACGTGTCCACCAATGACAGCTACCAACGACGCTGGCGCCACCCTTGAGTTGGGCGACGACTGTTCTTTGACCTTCTACCCGGCCCCTACGGTGACTGCCTCGACCTCTTCGTCCTTTCCGGCGTCGTCGCTTAGACCTCGAACAAACGCGGCCGATTGCTTGGTCACGAGCACCTCCATTATGGGCTACACAATTTACACACAGACAACACTCACCACGACCGTCACTGAGATAACCACACCGGAAGGCTTTTTCTGTCCTCCTATGACTGCTACCAATGCCGTTGGTGACGAGTTGAGTCTGGATGAGGAATGCAAGCTGGAGTTCTCGCCTGGGTCCTCTGATTCTAATTTATCAACTAGTTCATCCCCACCTGAAAGTAGCAGCACGGGAATACGTGGTGGTGGTGATACGGCCTCCAGTGTTTCACAACGCTCTTTGCCGCGGTATATAATGCTAATCCCGGTGCCATTAATATTGGTGATGTATGCGTGAGTAGTTTTGTGGCATGTCAATGGCAGAATTCATAATCCTCCCGTCTCCAACCATTGAGCTAATACCTACAAGATCCTTATGGCAAGTACTAACCTCCTTTCTTACCACGAAGTAGTCAGCCCGAGGGGTCCGTGCTAGCCTTGGACATGGTGGCCCAAGTGCAGGCAGAGATGAAGACTGACTATGGGTGGCCGATTTGGCACTCTAGAGACTGCCCCTTTAGCTCTCCGGACATCGTTCTGATCGCAGGGTTTTGTCGTCCGTCCCATCCAAAACAGGCGGGGGGGGGGGGGGGGGGGGGGGGGGGGGGGGGGGGGAGGGGTGTGGGAAAACCAGAAACCTGATCTACTCATTCGTGATTCTAGAGCTGAGTGTTTAAACTATCGGCTTTCAAGCGCTGGGAACGACAGTGGATTTTCGTGGCCGCTTTATATCTTCGCCGTAAATATAGTAGAAAGCTGCCCTGAGCCTGTTTCGTAGGGGAACTGGCAGAACATTTATGTCAGACATTTAGTGACGCCATATCATCAACCTCCTGATCCGCGAATATTTCAAGATTTTGTGACACCTGTTACTTCGTATGAGATTCCACTATTGCAAATAGGGTCTCTGGGAAACCTGCTATGAGAAGGAGTTGCTCAGCCTCGATCACTCCCCGCGTTTCATAAGATGTCCTACTATTCGTATTGAATGGGTTGTTCTGGAAGGGATCGCAAATGGCGGCAGAATACCCTTCTCATAATTCGTCGACCCCCTAATCAAGTTCACAGTCAAGTTTATAGGCGAGACAGTTACCAACAAGCGCTTATAGCAGATTGTAGGGTTATATACGCTCAGACCGTTTGACATTAGTACCATTCTCTCTTACGTCGACCTCGCGTCGAGACTATGACTATAATTATATTCATCTCCAATAGTAGTCTATGGCAACATTACTCGGTCCCTAGACTAGCGAATGGTCATGCCTCCATGTCGCATCCTCTCTCCGGTTATCAGAGTCCGACTGCACACGGACACAATATACAATAACGGGCCGGTTTTAGTACACAGGCCGCACCATCAATGTTGGGATACAATTCCTCACATAACTCTTGCATAAGAGGTTCAGAGTATCGTCGCAAAGGAACAAAATGAGGACGGTATTGGTCGGAATCAATTATTTTGGCCCAGCGTGGGGACTTGCTGCATATCGGATGTCCAGACCGTAATTATGTACTTCTCTCAAGCATCTCCGGTATCCGGAAGAGAACATGGTAATTCTGACCGACAATCAACAAAGACCAATGTTGCAACCCGACCAAGACAAATATCTTGGGGGCAATGCACTGAGTGGTGAAAGAGGCTTGCCCTGGTGACGGTGTGATCTTCTACTACTACAACAGCCACGGAAAGCAGGAGTCAAATTTCGATGCAGCTAAGGACTTAATGAACGATGAACACCTTCACTCGGTGGATTTTCGAGCTACAGGATTAATTGAAGAGCATGACATGAACCGAGTCATAGTCAAGACACTAGCTTCGAATGTTAGACTTACAATAGCCAGTAGATAACGAGCTTGGGCAGCTCATCCCTTGCTGCAGAGGCAGTGCACAGAGTAGCGCGACCATCTCGGGGCATCCCCGGTCCACGCTATGAGCGGTATGGCCGCCCAGATTCCCATCAAAAGGACCACTCAGAGGCCAATGAGAAGGCTATGGAGAATGTGCGACAAGACAAGCTTTGTGAAATCTGAGCAGTCCATGACGGAACCTGGGTTGTGCACCTGGCTCTTGCCACAGAAAGTGTTCAAGAAGTGCATGGCCACACCCCAATCAACTCTTTAAGCGTCACGAGGACATGCACGTCTCCTACGCGGCCTTCTGAACACGAACATGCCAGGCACCATCACTGAAGGCTGTATCCGAAAGATCCTCGGTATTGGTCTGGGATACATGGAAGGCTGGTTGCGAGGAATCGGCTCTGTGCTTGTCAACCACCTGAGGGAGAGTGCTGCTACCGCGAAGGTTTCACGATCTCAACTATGGGTAGTCGGTCAAGCACGGTTGTCAAGACTACTGAAGGTCGAACTATAGACAAGTCATTTAATCTAAGGCTGTTGAGGGAACAAGCCGATGGGTGGATTGTAAAAGCCCCTACGAGCAACAAGTATCAGCTTCCCGCGAGATATTCTGCGGGTCAACTGACTGCTGAAGATTATGCTGATTTCTTGACGGGATAATGTGTCGAGACCATTTCATGATAAGTGATTGAATTCTAACAGTTATTTTAGTCTCGGGTACTATGAGGTCGCCACCGTTGGATTGTCACAACCTGTGGCCAAAATTGTCAAGCTATGGGCCTGTGGCTGAGCAAAAGTGAGAGCCGGTTAGAATGTTTTCCGCGAGAAGAGGGTTTCGAGAACAGTCTCGACCCACATACACAGAAAGGCTGAGGTGATGACGGCTTGGGGCTTCATACACTACGGTCACGGATCGACAATCGGCGTGTATGGAATAATGTATGCTTTCGAGCAGTATGCAGATAAGCCAACATGAAATCCAGTTATGAAACATGAAAGTTCTCACATATATACCCCGGTCTCTTCCCCAATCCGTACAAAGAGGCCCGTGCTCCCAAACCCGTATTGAAGCGGGGGCGTGCTAGCTCGAGGTCTAAATGATGTTACGAATCATACGAAACTTCGGGAGGGGTATTTCTTTGGTTTCGGGAAGTGTGTAGGAACACTGAATAGGAAGGTAGGAAAGCGTTTTTCTTTTCCTCCGAGAGTTGATTACGGAGCTGAGACGTGATGATCGAGGCTGTGCACTTCTAGGAGGCTGGTTTGAGGCATGAGTTAGGGTTTTTGCAGGGCACGGAATGGGATCAGACTCCAGTGGAGTATGACTGATTCAGTTGGTGGGGTTGACGAGCCGTTTCACGACTCTCGTCTAGATGGTTTCGCCTCTTAACCGAGTCGAGGATTGACACTGGAATGAGAGAGGGTTCGAGATGTGATAGTGTGAATTAGGAACTGTGGTCATGGAGGCAGACCTCGTGGTCAGGGATGATCAGCACCCAATGGGAAAAGTTTCTCCCTTCCGCAACCCCCCTGCCGAAGGGCCTTCTTTAGGCTAGCTTACCTTTGAGCTAGGGTACCTGCGGTCAGGCCTTCATTCTCTGGCCTAATGTTTTGCAGCTAGGAACCCCACCACCCTCAAGGAAAGTCGCTGCTTGCAGTGCCCGATAGCGTAATGAGAGACCTGATCGAACCTAAAATTAGGATTGTAGGGTGTATTGTTCAATTAGCAACTTGATAGTCCAATATTCATCTCATGCCGACATATGACATACCCTGTGTAGGCAGATTAGTCAATATTCAATACTGTCGGTCCTTCAAGTAACGAAGGCAGTTAGAAGGAGCAGATATTTTCATACCGGCAGCCGTTGAGGAAGCTAGTCACAAAAGTTGTATTGGATGCCTTGTGCTTCTCAGCGAATCGCATCGCCACCGCACTGAACCGACCCTCGGCTTCTCTCCGCTTACCCTTTCCCTCAGCCTGGTGAGGACACAGCGCAACCAGGAGTCATCTGTCAACAACATAGCTGTTTCTTAATGTTCCCCGCGGACCTCAGCCACCCTCGCTCTTTTGCCAAACTCATGCAGGTCCCAGGAACCTGCACCAAGACCTACGGCGTCCGTCATGTTTCTGCCTCCAATCCGAACTCTCATGTCTCCTCGACCCTTAACCACCCAAACAGCTTCCGCTGATCCGCCTTTATCGAACGAGGAGAAAAATGTCTTTCCCGACCTCAGATCTCATGACTGAGTTGTGTGTGCTAATGGTGTCTGGCAAGGTTCCCGTCGCGCAGCTCCTCAAACGTCCCAAGTACTCCGTCAAGTTGCACCAGGAGTGGGATGGGATGACTCTTCCACAATCCCACCTAGAGGGCATCGACCCTCATCATTGCACCATTCGGGACATGAGCCGTAAACCCCTGTTTCGGCCCATCTTCCCAATGGCTGAAATACTTTCGTACACTCGTTGTCTGACTGCTCTTCTTAACTTCTTTTCCTTACACACACTTTCCCTTAAACGAGTCTCCATTGTGTAACCGCAGCAGCCTCCGGTATTGCTTCAGGACGCGAGCAACACATGTTTTGGTGGTCTAGAATACATGAGACGAATGACATGATTTGTCACTGAACAACAAACTCCCAATACATAAAGCGGGGGTTTCCATTCGGAGTCCTTGGAGAATGCAAGTCTTGAAGATATCAACACCTGAAATACTTCGGCCAGGACACAGCGCCTCGGCTGTTCCAGTCAACCACATATCAAGATGGTTGACACACTGCATCGTTCGTCTACTCTCCTTCAAGCATCACCACGGCAATGCTGACTCCCTGAGTAGCTCCTCCCTCGATCATTGCCTCATGGCCCAAGCCAAACTATGTCAATCCAGAGAACAGAGGATCTGCTCTGGTCTACATCTCTATCATCTTGAGTATCTTAGGGATTGCCACTGTTACTGCCCGAATATACTCTCGGCTTTTTATCACCCGAGCTCCGGGACTGGATGATCTCCTGATCGTCCTTGCACTGTTCTTTGGTGTTGCCATGTCCGTTCTAATCATCATCGGAAACAAAGTCTATTTCAGTGGTCGACATGTCTGGGATATACCCATCGCGACCTTTAGCCCTCACCGACTCAATGTCTGGGTCAGTATGTGGTGCTACGTTACTGCCGCCTCGTTGGTCAAGATCAGTGTGCTCTTGTTCTATCGCAGGCTGAGTGTCAGGTTCAGCAAGCTGTTCTTGGTGGCGACTTGGGTCGGGATCGTCTACAACATCCTCTACCTGATAGCTTTCGGACTGGCTTTGCTTCTCATCTGCCATCCTGTACAAGCCTACTGGAAGAGTTTTGATCCCGGTTGGGCCTCCACGCACAAGTTCAATTGCCAGACAGAAGGTGTATCTTTGCCCGCCTCGGCTGGCCTGAGTGTATTGGGGGATTTCTATAGCACTTTGTTGCCGATGCTTCTGATCTTCCATCTCGACCTTCCTCGACGTCAAAAGCTCGCTCTGTATGGGCTCTTCGTACTAGGCTTTCTCGCTGTCGCCGCGGGAATCGTCCGGACTTTCCTATTGTATAGATTGCTGAACGTCGACTATGACTTCACTTGGGAACTCTGGGAGACTTGGATATGGGCTGTGGTTGAACTTTACGTTGCCATTTTTGCCGCCAGTGCGCCTGCTCTCAAACCATTCTTGCGACGGTATTTCATTGAGACCGTCGGGAGTCTAGTGCACTCGCGAAGAAGAGGAGACTCACGATGGAGCATCGGACAGGGGATCTCGGACGCAAATTGGATCCCGGATGAGTCGAAGATGAGTACGTCGGTAGATGTGGAGAGAATAGGGGTTGCCTATAGTGACAGTGAATCCGAGACTCGAGAAAGAAGTGTTCTCGAGGATGTTGGAGACAGTGAGACCCGGCACTTCGAATTAAGGATCGGTCGAAACGGTAAGACGATTCCTATGCAGGTTGACAAAAAGAGCGAGAACAGTAACGAAATGCCTGCAACACCATCTCTTCGAGGCCACGAACGTAACCGTTCGGTCGACGGCGGACGGACTTCAAACTGGCCCATGCCCCCAGGAAACACTTATCCAGGTTTTCATCTGCGATCCAAAGGGACTGTGATATCACAAGAATCGCAGCACACCATACAGGTGGGGTTGCAGCTTGATCGAGCAGTGGACAATTCAAGCTCACGAGGATCGCGAGGAAGTGTGCGGAATGCAAGACTGAGGGCCCAGGCTCAAATGAATCGCACACGAATATAGGCCTAGCATCGGGCTCAAGGCTCGAGTCGCCAAGTGATTTGGACCACAGGTCCATACCGGGAGAGAAGTTGCCGTGGAACATGATCAGGATGTCGAGCAGTGTTCAGACGAGAGTGGTAATACTGATGAGCCGTTGAGAGCTTTGATCTGGAGAAGAACGAGGACGAAGGCCGTGTTCAGTCTTGTAGTAATGGGTCCCTGCTTCCTCAATCCGCAGAATTTCCTCTGGCATCTTCTCCGTGTGGTTGACAAGGAACATGTTCAAAATGGGGGGTCCGACCCCATGCAGCGGGGGCTGGAGGAAGAAGATGCCGACTGTTAGAGTGCCTCAAGGTGGAATCGTAATGATACGAAGGCGTAGGAGTTGGGCAATGATCTAAATGATAGCGACGGAGTCAATATAGTATTAACTAATCACGCTTTGAGAAGTCATCAAGTTTGTCCGAGCGCCAGGGGGTCGTCATGTGACAAATAACAACGGATCCTCATATCAGCCCATCCAGGCGTGTCCCGACCGCAGTCTTCTTAGATCTTGTTCTTCCCCACATTGAGGGACCCCGACTCTTGCAAGCCGTACATCATTCTGGCCCAGTTCGTAGGCCCCAAACTCTTCCAAGCGTGCATGGTTCCCCTTTGAATCGTCATGTCGCCTCTCCTCATTTCCCTAGTCTGGCCCAAATCCAGAATCAGCTCGATCTCGCCTTCCAGCACAACTCCATGGTCAAAAGAGACTATTCTATGCATCGGGCTTGTGCCTCCGGGTACCATATCCACGAACCTCAAAACCATACCTCCTAGAATGACGATGTCAGGCCATTCATGAGATAATGTTTGCAGACCCCAATATCTCTCCCATCTTGGGGGGTCAACAGGTGAACTTGACGTTGCATATCCCAGGGAAAATTTGCTACCTCGTCGATTCGTGTCCATGGAAACTCTTCTTAATGTCGTGTGGAGAATATGGCCTTTCCCTCTAAGGTGGAGCTCCGGGAACTCTGTTCAATCCATCCGCCAGGAACTGCTGCGAAAGTTTGCCCTATGAGGAATACAGATCAATTTGCAGCATCTGACCATATACGAAATTTTCGCTGTGAACCGTTCGAGTCACTGCTCCAAGGCTTCCTCGAATATTCGCTCTCTTTGGGTGTTACGGCCGGTTAACTTTCACAACACTCCTCAGACAGACAGATGACAGCGCAGCTCTTATGCCGCAGTTGAAAGTGCAGTTCTCATTCAGATACGATGCAGCTGGTAAGTCCTTATACAACTGCAAATGTTTGTCCGATTTATCCTGGCAGGACTTAATCTTGTCGTATCACCGATAGTTCAACACGCCTTGTTCGCTTGGTTTTGAGACAGGAAATCCAACTTGCCCCCTCGAATCTCTGGGATTCCAATCTTTGTGAGCACATCCCAGATATCGCTGCCTCCTAGGGACACTGGACTAAGGAGCAGGTTGAGAAACATGGAGAAATGTGTGATTGTCCTTCAATAGCTATTGCTACTTTGAGGTCTCAAGACTAACGAGGTTCTTCCTTTAGGTTCGTCTACAAGACTAGGTGGGACCACTTGGGTCTTCCTAAATTCGTCATATGTGGTGAATGACTTGATGGAAAATAGGGCGTCTATCTACTGCTCAAGGTCTCCGTTTCTCATGCCCCCGACCCCCCCCTCTCGGGGGATTCACGTCTGTTGTCGACACCCTATGATGCACGATGGAAGTAAGTCCGCAAGATAATGCATCAAATGCTTAGCGTCAGGAAATTGGACGCCTTCATGCCTCTCCAGGACCTCAAGTCCGGGAAACTCTGCTGGGACTATCCCAATCACAAGGAACAGTGGTACTGTGCAAATGCTCGTTACGCGAACTCGGTCATTATGAGTTTGGCCTTTGGTCGCCACAGAGCCTTGGACAATCCAGATTGACACGAATTACTGGGGACTGAGATGCCTTTCTGGAGAACTTCAAGCCTGGATATAACCCAGCCGGCACGTTCAGGTTCCTTGCGAAGCTGCCTAGGCGTCTTCGGTGGTGGCGAGCCGGAGGTGAAAGAAAATTTCAAGAAACAAAAAGGTGAGTCTTGTCTCTGTGGCAGGACTTGTTGCTGACGCAGTTGGTCAGATAAGACTCGCGCTCTTCAGACCTGCTTGGGGTGGCCCATATGGCACGTTCACACTGTTGCACCCATCTTGTGACACTGGCATCGCTTCCCAGGGCAGTTCTTGTCCTCTGGCTCTACTCTATGCTGGCTGAACGATACAGATGCCCAGGATAGGTACAAAATGTCGGACGAGTCGGTCGCGCTGATGCGGTCGTTGAAGTGCTAGGCCATCATCACCAGCTATTCCTGGTTGCCTTGTTCGCGTACGAGCGACTGAAGATTCATGTACTCACGACCGGGCTGTAAATGGTACAGATTAGCCAATCGAGAGAAGAAGGGCACAGCCTGAGGAGCAATCTCACCTCACAAGTCAATAATTTTCCAGCTTTGAGATATTGTCCGTTGAAAGCAAACAGGGGCTTTTTCGTTGTATACTTGATACACTCTCCAATATTAAGCAGCATTTCAATGTTCCCAAGATGACTTTGTCGTACTTGGCTACTATCGCTGGAATTGTCATGTCTATAGTCTTGCTAGTCAGTGAATCTGGCGTGGTCATTACAATCTCAGACCATTATCATGTCCTCGACTTCTATCGTTCGATGGCCGTCGTTACCCCAGATGGGATTTCCCCCGGCTTCGGCTCCACCACCTGGGATCTCCAGATTCCGGCAGCCTTCCCTAAGAGCTCGACGTCCAATATGATTTGCAAATCCTAGACTTCGCTCAAAGTGAGCATATGGTAAGCACGAGATTCATCTGTAGGCGACTATGATCAGGCGGCTAGTATCGAGCAGTCGTACTTTGAGCCGCCTTTGGTTTCGAGTTGACGCTCGAAAAGTGAGTCTAATCTGCTGCCGTCTTGAGTACTTAGTCCATGATATTTTCCTACCGGACTCTCCCTATAGGGTGAACACTTGACGAATACATCTGAATCAAGCAATCACGGCTAACAGATATGAGCTTTGTGATAGGATGTTCGGCATGGGCGAAGCCGATCCCCATGCAGTCGCATGTCAGAAGAGCCCTCTCCAGAAGACATTCGATTGTCATGACAACAGCCTCTTTGAGCCCCATTTGGCGAGCGGATTGCTGACTCAATCGCTCAATCTAGTCTTCCGGTTTGATCGACTTCGTCGCCGCCCCATGGTTTTAAAGTGGTATTAAAAGGTCTTAGATTTGATAGGTTTGCTTCGCGGCATTGCAGGAGCATTGTCTGCTTCAACGTATTGTTTGGCTTCTACGCTACGCTAACCTATAGCTTCTACCAATTAACCTTGAACTGTCTCATCCTAACGAAGCCTCGCCCCTTAGTCTAATACTGCCCATCAACAATATCCATAATCTGTACCTTCTCAATTTGCGGTGTAAGCACTCCCATCACGCTTTGGTGATAAGGATCCTTAGCTGACTTGTAGTCGCGATCGGCCGCGCTGGAGAATTCCATCACGAATTGATGGGTGAAATCGTTCTGCAATAGAGTCAATCAAATTGCCCATCATATATAGTTTTCAATCTTCTTGGGGAAGATTGGGATGGCGAGAATGAAACAGAGGCAGTAATGGTTTTATTCGAAGAAAGAATGCAAGATCAGAAGCCATTAGTGATAAGAACAACCTACATTGAGTGGTTCAGGTGCCTGGTTTTTGCCGACCTTGACGGATTTCATGTATGGCTGCTGGGTTTCTGCATGGATGCATTTATCTTTCATCGCGTATACCTGCTTCAGAGTCTGTGTAGTCGTTCAGTCAGCCGACGCGGAACATCGTAGCCATGCAACTCATGCTGTCTGGTCACGACGTACTTCATCAAGTTCGTTGGCTGGTAGGTCCTTCTTGAATTGGACTTGGACGGCTCGGGTGATACTTATGATGGTGACTCTAAGGTATGTAGTGGTTTGAGCAAAGTCGGAGCCAATGACAAATTGTTCGAGCAGTTGATGTGAGTATGGTAGAGCCAGTTTTCTCAGTCGGGCCCGAGCACTGCAGCGGGATACTAGATCCGGGTCTATGCATCTTATGTCTTGCGCTTTACGACGCTCACAATTGTTGGTCCGTCTGTTGACGTTCTGTGTTGAGCGGAGTGCTAGGTATCAGTAGAGGGGCTGCGAAGCCGGATTTAGTGGCTAGCAATATGGGACGATCATATTTCACACTCATAGTCTCATTACCGTTGCTCATGATGGTTTTCAAACAGGACCCACCATATTCGAGTCCCGGCTGACTCAAATTGAAATGAGCCCGAGCCCCTTTCTATCGAAGGCTACTTTTCCTTCCCGTCCCAACAGAAATCAGCAAGACGGTGGCCGACGGGATACTCTCTCCTCCATGTCCAACGTCATTCTGGGCAAGTTCGGCCACTTCGGGCATTTCGACAACCAATACGTCCCTGAAACCTTAAAGGAATACCCTAATGAAACTTGAGGAAGCCTTCTCAACAGCGAGAAGCGACTAGGACTTTGAGAGAGAATACGAGGCCTACTATTCCTGCATGGGCCGACCCTCAAGCCTTCATCATCTGAATGGTCTTACAGGACGGGCTGGCGGTGCTCAGACCTATCTGAAACGAGAAGATTCCAACCATACAGGAAGTCACAATATCAACAATGTCCTTGCTCAGACCCTTTTGGCGAGAACGGTTCGGTAAGGAGCGTATCATTACCAACACAGATACCGGCCAGAAAAGGCGTTGCAGCGGCAGCGGTATGCTCAAGGTTCGAAATGGAATGCGTTGTCTACATCAGGACTAAGCATGGGTGCTGGCAGACACTGAACGAGCCTTGGGTGCAAAGGTTATGGTCGTTAACTTAGGTATACGTATCGTTTGCGACGCCATGAACGAAGCTCTCCGCGCCTGCTGACATTGACACTACATGTTACATTATTGGGTCAGCTATTGGGTCTTATCCTTTTCCCACTACGGTACGAACGTTTCAGGACGTGATCGGGTAGGAGACGAAAGAACAACGACAGCACTTACGAGTTGTGTACTCAATGCTGTGGTAACCTGTTTTCCTTTTGCTCGGATTCTGGTATCAATCTGATCGGTCTTGAAGCCGCCTGGAATGTACAGACACCAAGAATATTCTACGACCCTGCTGACGGCTCGATCAGCTATTTACACGGTGCCATGACCTACGTATTGCAAGATGAGCACAGTCAGACTAGCAATTCCTACTCGATCTTCGCGGGACTGGAATATCCGGGTATCGGCCTAGAAATAGCGTAATTGAAGGTTAGCGCGAAGGTTGATTTCACGAGTGCTACGGACACTGAGTCGTTAGCTATGTTGCGCACCTTGTAGAAACAGAATGTATCATTCCAGCATTGGAGTCGAGCCATGCCATTTAGATCGAAATGGAGGTGGCAAAATCCATGAGGGAAGAACCGTTGGCTATTTGTCTGTCAACCGGGGGTACAACTTGGGATGTATTGATGCTCTGTCGTATCTGGTAGTTTGTCCTGCCAGGTTGCACATATATATCACGCTTGGTCGACCCCTTCCCTACTCCTATTCCTAACCTTATATTCTGCAGTGATAACCCATTTCCCAATAATTGGGCGTTGAACAGTAGGCAGTTGTCCGTTATTGGAAAATAGTTATGATTCCTATCCAGGATATAGGGGTAGGAATAGGAGCAGAAAATGGGTCAATCAAACCTGTGTATACACTAGAAATCTGGCAGGACCAGCTGCCAAACAGACAGAGCACTCAACAAAAATCAATGTACCCCCGCTGATTGTTTGGCAGCTTCTCAAGGGCTCTGTGCCCAACCTCTTTCCGTTGGCCTCGCATCCCGCAACTTGGCTTTCCCAAGCATGTGTAGCATGCTGCAAAGAAGAACAGGTCCATTGGTTTGCAAAACAGTCTAGAGTGCATCTGCCAATATAATGGGCGGAAAGCGACAGAACTATTCACATGATACACCGATGTACATCTGCCCCAGGGGCCTGGATGACCATGAGAGAGGATTGCTCCTTATTCATTGCATTTCTACAGAAGTACCCAATATGGAATCATCAGCACACCAGCACAAACTTTCCCAGATAAAGTAGTCCTTGTCAACGGCGCTTCTGGGGCTTGCCGCCATCCCCAATCCCAATGCACGGCTCCACCCCTTTTTCGGGTGCACATCGGGATCCCACGATTTAATTACGAAGCCAAATCGCATCAGGCATCAGGAAGGTAAGGGGCCAACGACTAATATCTTGAAATGCATTGGCCTCCACGCTTTTGCAAACAGAGACAACATACACGAGCACCATGGTTGAATCTGCCCTTCGAGACGCTGGCTTTTCCGGCCGTATCCTGACCCCCTACTTCAGCCGAGTTCACGCTAGCCTTGCGTCGGGCCAATACGGCGTCCGAGCGAAAGGCTGCGATGATTGCCTTCCCAGCTTCCACGGACGACGATGTCACTGCTGTAACTTATGCCACGCGGTAGGTTTCATATGTTCGAACATTGTCGGAATGAGTATATGCTGATTTATCAATAGATCAAACTTGGAGATTGCTGTCAAATGTAGTGGCCACCATTACTCAAACGCCAACAGCATCGAAAATGGCACGGTCATTGATATGGGCGCGCTCAGGGACGTCTCGATCGACAAGGAGAATAGCCGTGTAACCATCGGCGGCCGGTGTCTATGGGGAGACGTCTACATGGCGCTGAGGGACGAGAATCTTGTCTGTGTTGGAGGTGGTGTCCATGTTGTGGGAGTTGGTGGTCATCTCACTGGAGGCACGGCCCGACGTATCTTTTCGTGAAGTTATTCGTCAGACTAACATTCGAGGTGCCAGGTGGCTACGGACCATTGTCGTTCAAGTTTGGCATGGGTTAGTCGTCTTCCTGTTCCTTTTGGTGGCGGTTGTGGACCGACCGTTAAGGCCATCGAATCCCGAGCATTTTTGGCCGAGATTCCTGCAGACACGCGAACTTCTATGTCCAGAGGCGGTCTTGCAGCCACAGAGAAGTGATCCGGAGTGGTGATGATGACACATGCAGAAAGGAGACATCGCTTGAAGGTCACAAGTTTCCACGAAGTTCTTCATGTTGAGGCCGGGTTTTGACATGTTCGTAGTTGGGTCCAGAGTGCAGTTGACAATATAAACAACGAGACGGAAGGTTCCACAAAAAGAGCTCGGGTTCCCACTTTCTCCGGTCAGCCCTACGCTTCAATTTCCTAGGAACAACTTGGCCAACCTAGAAGCTTCCAATTAACGATAACACCCAGCCCTTCAACGGACGGGGGCCCCTGAACAGCAACCGTTTCGAACCAAGAGTGCTTCCGTGCCTGGTTAGAGAAGGTAACCACTGAAGCTTACGTAATTATTGATTTTTGGAGCAAAATGCCTTGCAGAAAAGAGCTGACATTGCGTCTTCAGCAAGAAGCCAGCTGACTAGAGCTAACCTATGATCGTGCACAGCTCAGACTTCGTTGACTGCTGCGACCAATTCAGCACCGAGCATCCATTGGCAGAAATCACTTGCCCATTGGCCAGCTTGCTCTATGCTCGTACAATTTGGCAATCATTCATGCCGCCATGTGCAGCATTATTGACTAGATTGTCCAAACGTCCATATTGACTCTGGACGACAGCGGCAAGATTCTTTGGACTGCCCTATGTTGATAGATCTGCCTAGACTATGATCGAGTTTGTGGCGGTCGGCATACTCGCAAGGGCTTCCTCTGTTTGGGAATTTTTTTTTTTTTTTTTTTTACAGGTGGAAAAATGGAAAAGTCCCTGGAGAATTGAGACAATTTGTGTTCAAAGGGTAATTTCCGAAAAGCATTCAGCTGAGTACCGAGGATCATCGTCTGTTCAAGCGAAGACAGCTCGCTAATGCTGACTGACGAGAAAGTAGCGTTCGGCTTGTCTTTCCTAATTAACAGCCTCGGAAACAAACCCGAAACAAAGGTGGGTCGCTTTTTTCTACACCGCTGATTCATCAGACGTCATACCCGTCAATCGTCTCGCCTTTTGTCTTGGGGTCATCAATGATTACCCGATCGCCGCTCGTTCAAGACTTCATCTGAAATGCTGCAACTTATCCCATATCTAACTCCAGTTCATGCAGAGTGTCTTCTGCAGGAGCCAATGAAATGTAGCCCACTGTTGCGTCCGGATTGACCGATATCCGCTCGCGTTTTCCCGATTGAGATATTTGTGGCGGTTGCGGATAGCTGCGCGTCCACAATCTTGGGGAATGAATACGGGTCTCAGGTCAGCCATCCTTCCAAAACCGGCACTGGACAGGTACAGACAAGATCATTGGCGCCCAACACGGACTTCTGACACATTCTAGGATCCAAAAGCCTGCCCGTGGTCGCGTTGTGATGCATTATTTGGCCCCGAACGGAACCCACGCTCGGAGGGCCCTGACATGCAACTTTTCCTCGCAGATGGCAGGCTGCCGCCCATGAATATGGCATCACCTTCAATGCACTGACAGACAAGCTTGGCATTCCGAAATCATAATTCTTTATTTGCTCACAAAGCTTGCTCCTTCGTGAATCCTCATTCGGGAAGGCTTTTGTGGCCAATGGAACAACCTGTTGCACGCCAACGCACTAAGCAGAGCACGCTGGGGAAATCCAGGCAGGTCAGCATCAACATCAGCTCTTGTGACAAGAGAGCTTCAATGCCATTCAAGGTCTGGAGGGTAGTATCGACATTCCCGGTCAGCCCACTGACGGAGTTAAGTAGTGACCCCCCTTTCTGATCGTTGTTAGCTTGACTGAAACAAACCTTCAAACTTCAGGGCTGGGGTGAGCAAAGTATGCATATAAGACATCAATTCAGACCCGTAGATCATGTCTACTTGCTCACATAGCAAGACAAGTGACTACGTTCAATTCATATTTCCAAAAGGTGTCTTCTCTCGAACAAGACTTTTTCCAATCCGAGCTTCCGAGCCTCTTTTGCTCGACGGTGATGTCTCTCCACAGGACTCTGAGAGAGCTGCAACGAGGCTCCAACCCCAGCAGCCGTTCTTCGTCAAGCGCAAGCACATCGAGGCAAAACCCCATTTCACCACAAGTCAATCGCTCTCAATCCAATCGTGCAGCACACCAGTCTGTTTTTTCAAATCAATTGCAAAGCAAGCCTGACTCGCGGGACCCAAACTCAACTCGAGACTACTTAGAGGAAGTACTTGATTCGGAATTTGAATGTGGTGACGCACCACCACCTTATATGTTCCTGTGCAATGGCGATAAAAAACCAGAATACACGATTTGTCATGGCAGCTCTACCCAGGCTAATGTTTCTCGTCTCGATGGTGCCTTGTGCCTACGATGTAACATGAAGAAAGCCAAAGCTTGGTATCTGAAGACGCAAAGGGATTGTGTAAATAGGTGACAGACCCAATGTGGGAAATTCCGTTATCGTCAACGTATGAGCAAGGCGCCACGGAGCACTTGATATGGGGCCAGGGAATGATTACTTATGAGATACGAATGAGACTCTGTTGCATACAAATTTGGCTACCGATCAGCTTCCATTCTCAACTCCATTCGTCCAAAGATTTTCTGCATGCCTTAGAGTTGAACCACATGGATACCTCGCCCATGCGGACTACAGTTACACTGATATCCTCATTGGCATCAACTCAAACAAGAACTTGCTGCCTGTGGTTCGAATGACTTACAACAGATCATCAATTCGACATCAAGCACACATACGCTTCAAGAAAGGTACGCTATGGAGACTCGGTGCCTCTTAGATCAAATTTTCAGAGAGAGATACAGTTTTGATATCCGATCAAAGGAAAGATCAAGAGCTGTGTTTCACAGTAAAGCAAAATCTTTGAGACAACGATGTCGAACTGGATTTTCGATATCGGCGCGAACCCAGCGCTCTCGAGTTGTTCTACGACTTGTTCTTTGTTGGCAACCTTGCCACAGTCACCATCAAAAGCGAGATCGTTGGTGCCAGATGATGCATTTGCATCACTGCAGACTATTATCAGAGCACAGCTCTCAAAGCATATCTAGAATTCTTCACGCTCCTCTGTTTACATGGCTTCATACCATTATGTACGATGTCAGATTTTCCACGAGCACCGTATTTCACCATGTGCACAAGGCAATTTCTTTCGTAGTCATGATCAGTTTGTGATCTGTGCATCAATTTATGATATAGGAAATGTCCATGCAACCATCAATAAGTTCAAGGCCATGTCGCTAGTGCTGATGGCGTCGTGGCTGGCTCTCGCATTTCAATACGGTGTCACCTTATACATTCGAAGAGATTGCAAGACGAGAATCACATCTGTACGACAGGATGCTTGACCGTTTCGGGGGGGGATTCTCCGTCATTTTCGGGGGAGTCAAGCACATACCTAACTGTTATCTTGCATGATTCGTTTGAACAGGGAAGAATCATTTCAAGGACTGACGACTCTAGGTATGCCACCTGCTCATGTGACGCAGTTTCAATTGTTGCGATCTTGTGTCATTAGGAGGTTTCCGCTTCAAATGTAATCATCTCGTCGGGAGGAGGCTTGGTCCATTGACTCTTATCATTCTGGGCGGGGGTATCTTGGGCATATCGAGGATTACTTACCGGTTGTCCCATACTGTGACCATAGTAACCGCAAGTAACTTTGGTCGGCTCATTTGTGCGGTCCTCTTGGTGGTGAGTCAAGTTTCTTGTTTCTCATTGCATGACTTGACAAGGATTAGTATGTTATCCTCATGTTCTATTTCAGTCACATCGAACACGATCAATTTGGTACCGTTCGCCAACAAATATGGCTCATTTTGACCATCCAGTTCACGTGGTTGTCCTTCTTATCGTGGAAGGGTCTTCAATTTTTTTATGTTGTCGGGATTCATTGGTCGTATCATGACTGCATGAGAGTCCTCTTTATCCGCTCCACGCTTACCTATACTGCAGTAGTTATTTCGAAGGATATCTGAGCTTAGCTGAAGTCGGATCGGACATTGCAACGTGCCTAGATGCCTTGATCAATACGACCTTCAAAAGCGGTACATTGCTCATCAAGCTGGATGACTATACGAGTGACATTGTGGAGATTGAAAACATTCTTGACGCCTTCAACTCGACTCGATGGCAAGACAAGGCCAGCACTGTAATTAATGAGCTTTGGGGTGGAGGGGAGGCCCGCAATAGGCCATAGCTTGTAAGGTTGAAGGAACATGGTCCACACGATCATGATCCCTCACCAATTGAACAGACAGCATTGGCACGCGATGCGATGGATACGGTCTTCATATACTTTTACTTCGCTGCGGGAAGCCTTCCTCTCTGTCTTCGCGAAGAAGCAGCATCCAAATTGAAATGTGATGTCAATCAGTGTCAGAGTGATCGTGGGAATGGGAGTCATTCTCCGGCGGCCGCGGCAAATCAGATTGACAATAACACGAGAGTCATTCGTTTTACCTAAACCCTCTGGACAGTGGGTGTGGTGATGCTTGGATATATTATCGGTAAGATTTCCCGGTGTTCTGTTCACGCTGACCGTGTTCGACAGTCATCGTATTGGATCACGTAATTTATCGGTTAAATGAGCGCAAGCGGCTCGCCGCCTTACCAGAGTGGAGTGATCGCAATAGTTTTTTCCATTATGAGGGCATCCCGCAGGATCTTCCACGGATGTAGCAACACGACCAGAAGGCGATTTGTAAAATAATCGGGTTGTACCGGACTGTTCAATCGGGAACGAGACATTTTCTCAGCCTTCTCCCTTTCTCTCGTTGTGGGGTGGATATTTCGATTTGTTTTCGCTTTGGCGCAAGTGGTCGGGCCCTGGCTTTCGGTGGAGCTTATGAAGCTACTAATGCAACCGTAAGAGAAACAACGGTGGCCCGATCCATTGATTTCACCCCTGATTTTCGTCCTCTAATTGTGGCCTGATCTGCTCGGGTCAGAAAAGCTGAGTAGTTTGCGACTTCGACAGGCATCTAACAGCAGCTTTTTGTATGTCGCACGGAGAGAGTGGGGGGAAAGTACCCCGCGGAGATGCTCGAGGCCCCACTGGATTTTGCACCTGGTTGTGGGCTCCAAAGAGGGTGCTCATTGCAAAGTAAGCCGATTCAACGGCTCAGACCCCTGCAATTGTGATAGACCGTTAGTTAGATCAAGCACATGCTTGGAAATATCTCAGATCTGGTTGTACAGTATCTCCCGGATCATCCATGTCTGATATGATAGTGGGCGATAAGTAGTGCAAGCCACGGAACCTTTGGGCGACTCTTATTGTCACGATTGTGCTGCCGCGGAGATAACAAAGTGAGTCAATTGCTGCAACATGTAAACATCAGATCAGTATATAAGTCGACTCGAGGTTCGCATGATCTTGGTCAGAGCATTGACATTGAATATATCACTGGCAGCGAACAGCAACGCATGATGGAGCATATCGACGAAGTCCTTATCACGACTGATCTCCCGGCAAGGATGAAGTATCTCCAATCCTTCATTCGATGGGATCCAACCAAGGATGGCCCCCTGATTGAGGCTTGCAAACCTGTCCTCGCCCCTATCGTCACCAATGTCGTCGATGCCGTCTATGATCACCTTCTCCAGTACGACATTACTGCAGCACCGTTTGCGCCGGCACAATCTGCGGAAGGACAGTCCGCAGATGTCCACGAGCTGCATCGAGACCACGCAAATATCAAGTTCCGGAAAGACTTCTTGAAAGGATACCTTGTCAGGCTGGTTTCGAACCATGACTGGTCGCCAGAAAGCAAGTTTTGGGCATATATTGACATGGTCGGAAAAGCACACACTGGGTCATTGGATTCGGGTCTCAAGACCCGGAAAAACAAGCCACCATTATATGTGGAATACCGAGACGTCAACCTATTACTGGGCTGGGTTGAGAACGCCGTCACAGACATCGTGATGGGTGTGGAAGCGCTCGACCTCAAGACCAAAATCGACGTCCTCAAGGCTCTGAACAAGTACTGGTGGATCCAGAATGATCTTTTCGCAAGACATTATATCACTGATGGCACAACCGATGGGATTGATGGAGACAAGGTAGGACCTATGCACTATGTGGTTGACCTCAGCTAATAACTTTAGCCGTGATCGAATTATTCCGACCTTTGCTATTGTCCGCATCCACCATCATTCTGTTTGCAGCATATTGGATGCTTCAATATAGGGAGTCAATGGCAGGAGCTACTGGTCGCAAACGAGTGGCATCTCAAAGATTGATCGTTTGATGTCGATCGGGAAGAGGACGAAATGGGGAGAAACCCAACTCGCAATCTGTTCTTTAGGAATGACGTCTAGGGCTGCAAAGAGGTCGATTTATATAGGCATGCAGAGTTAGATCTAACTGGTGTAACACCATTTTCCTCAATGAGGGTGCATATAGGTGTGCATATGGGAGAATTCGAGCAGCAGGAGCTGATGCCAAATGCCGACTTCGAAGTGCAAACACGCCAAGGCTACGAAGCTCAGAGTTTGTCCCTGCTCCCATCGAAAACACCGTTCTGGTCGTCCGACATTCAGTGATTCTCGAGCTAGTCCGCCATGATCTGTTCCAATTGCCGTAGAATCTTTCTCTCGCGCATTCACTCCTCTCGGAAAAGTTCCTCCAGTTTCCGCTATGGATCGACGGTTCCTGCAAATCCCAATGCCGCTCCAATCCAAGCGCCTTCCTCGATTTCCATAGACAGCGCCAATCCAGCGCAGTCATCCGAAACACAGACGCCATCAGCCTCGACTGCGACACTGAAAGCGAGATCGAACGCGACAAAGGAATTGAAAAAGCCGGCCAAGTTGAAGAGCTCGGTCCCCGGTGGGGTGGAGTTGAAGGGGTTGGGCTATACGAAAGCACAACCTCGAATCCTCGCTAAAGAAGACGATGAGTACCCTGACTGGTTGTGGACACTGTTGGATGCGAAAAGGACTACCCTGGGAGATTCAAAAGTTGATCTTGAAGGTATGTTTTCTCATCGCGAAAACTATCTCTTGTGTAGAGATTCTTCTTCACACCCAACTTCCCGCACATCATTTCCACTAACGACATCTACAGCAATGACAAAGAAACAACGGGCCAAATACGAGCGCAAGCAAGCAAAGATTCGTGAATCTCTTCCTGTTACTGTTCCGCTTCACGAGCAAAGTAAAGACTTGACTGGACCGGGGGATGACGCAGTGACCAGTCTAGAACGTCGCCAGGAGATAACAAGAAGCGCGAGGGCGGCGAGAAGGAGAAGTATCCGGGAAAGCAACTTCCTCAAATCGATGTAACGATGATTGGAACGGATCAGCCGTGTATATTATCTCGTCAAAATGCCAGGTGCTTCTGAGATGATTATTCGACTTCAGCGTTCTTCGAAGCACCTCTTGATTGCCATCAAAAAGTTAACCGAACAAGTCAACTCCTGCACTCAGTCACCAAAGTATCCACAAGAAGCATGAATCCGATGTTTACAATTACAAGAAGCCGTGCATTAATCTTCCAGAAACTTGATAAGCGTCCCATGTTCAGTCATACCATCGCGCCATCGATATACACATGCGTTATGCATAGCCTGCGTCCCGTTATGAGAAGCTGTTCTCCAATGTGATCTGCCGCCGGGGTATCATTTCCAGTCATATCGTTCCCTCATCCATTAGCAGTCATTTCATGCAATAGCATGTTTGTTCACTTGGTTTGCCGACTCCCCTAATTGATCATCAATGCCAATCAAGAGGCGCCAAATCACGGAAAACCCATTATGCGCTGATGCTGCTCGTTGCCGAACTCCACCGCAATCGCCTCAAGCTACTTCCACTGCCGCGTAAAGCCTCGCGTCCACAGTTGCCACTGGTGATGCCCATTTCCCCTTCCAATCTACCTACTTCACGACCCCAGGCGTATCCGGCACTGAAGCTGATGGCGGAAAACACAAGAACCACGCCAGCTGAAATCATCCATGAAGCCAAAGTCGGACTAATCAATTCTTCATTGGCCACTGCTGCTTTGGCGGCGCGGACCTTCTTCGCATGTCGTTCTTTGCTGGACTCGCGTGACTTCCGTTTTGCTTGTTGTGGAGATGGAGTTCTTCGGCGCCGGACGGGCTTCTCAAATTCCGATTCCGGAACCAATCGCAATGCCGTGGGTTGCGTTGACGTTCGTGTTGCTGGTGTCCGGGTTTCGGGGCCCTTGGGTCGAACTGCAGCGGCACAGGAGAGTAAAGTAGTCAATGAAGCACGAAGCGCAGCATCATGGTCAGGTTGATAGGATGATGTGGCAGGTCGATTCCGTGACTGATGATGTCGTGGATAACTTCTTTGTGCTAGCGTCCGATCATCAGATGGTCCAGATGCTGCCAAAGATGGGGCCGGTGGAAAGTATGAGCCTGGTATAGGTCCCGTTTGGGACGATGGTGGATGTGTAAATGCATTTGGTTGTGGAGTAAATGCCTTGTCCAAGCTGCCAGCGCCCAGCGCCGTTGAGGTCTCATCATCATCCGCGTTGCCATCTTGATAGATGTCTTCGTTGGAACTACTCAGGACGCGATCACTTTCACTCTCACTCTCTTCATATTCATCCTGACTGCTTCCGGCAGTGCTTGTTGAACGTGGCTGTGATGTGGAGGTATGAGGGGATGGTTGAAGCGGTCGAGATCTTCGGTCATCGTGGGGTCGAATCTGAAGTCCGGTAGTAATAATGTCATTGCTCGTGGATGATAAGGATGAAGACGAAGGACGAGATGAGATCTCGATCCATGAATCTGTGAGAATGTTAGCCATATCCGTCCTCGCCGCGAACCATGGCGGAATATTGGGATGGCAATACCTTCAGAGCGCATCCCTCGAATACTCGAATTTGGTGGCATCAGGGGTGAATCCGTGGTCCAGGGATGGCGATTGTCTCGCTCACTTCTCTGTGAGCCGAACAACTCTGATTGTGCTGGTCGCATGGCTTGCGAAGATATCCCTCCTCGTTTGAAGGGGGCCGGATAAAATCAATCGCCCGCAAAACACCGGAACAATGGTGGTGGCCAAAAAGATTGCAGAGATCTTCGAGGCAATAGACAAGGCGTCGACAAGTGCTGGGCAAAAGTGTGATGCGTCTCACCGCTGACGATGAGATCCGGTGGGGGAGATTTTGACTTCGTGACCTAAGAAATTGCGCTAATACCGGATCTCTTTTAGGGCGGGGAAAGCCTAACCCTGAGGTATACCTATTGCTCTATGTCAGATTGAAGTTGTCAGAATGAAAGGAAGAACAGGATGTTGGATGCTGGAATTGCCGAACCGTCGATGCCAAGGGTCAGCCACTGCCAGCATACCAAGTTTGGATGTAGAAAGGGCAGTGTCCAGCAGGGAACTGGTGCAGGTTTCCCAAATGGCGGAGCTGTGGAAAAAGGAGATTAAGTTCGGGTGGCAGCTGATATCTGGTTTGCTGAGCACTGACACGCCACGGCATCAGATGTCAACCCAAAATGACCAGAATGAATCACGCGGGCGGGCCTTGGGTGCCCGGGGTTGGCCAGAGTCGGATGAATCCACCACCGCCGGTATCGGTTTGGGTGAAACATCCCCGCTCAACATTGTCACCAATGGACGGGCATTTCAGACCGCCAAAAAAGCTACCTAATTGAACCACCATTCGTTTTCATGGACGCGTTGTGAAATTTGGTCTATCGAGTCTCGAGCAGAAACAAACATTTTAGCCAATATTTTTTTTTTTTTTTTATACATTACCTTGAGTTCCCGCTTTGATCCTCCGTTTACTCCGTACATAGGAAACCATGAGACTGGAGATGAAACCGCTGAGTCACTCCAGCATATCCAGTAGATCATGACAATCGACAGTCGATCAAGTACCATGGATCTGGTGTTTGTCAACTTAGAAAGTTGTCTTTTTTCCAGAGAAGTCGCCAAATCCCCCGCGATTTGTAGTGAAAGCGCGACCACCACGACCACCACCTCGTCCGCCGAAATCTCCTCTGCCACCACCACGGCCGCGTCCATTGAAGCCACCGCGTCCGCCACGTCCGCCGAATCCTCCTCCTCGTGCTGGAGAGTCACCGTTTTGTTGACGGGGTTGAGTGTAGTCAATGCGGACTGATCGATTGCTAATGTACGCACCCTGCATGGCTTCAAGAGCTGCAGTGGCCTCTTCCACTGATGCGAAGGTCACGTATCCAAAGCCCTTGGGTGCGGCAGTTTCACGATCGGTAGGGATGCGAATTCCCATCACGGTCCCGTAGGGGGCAAATGCATCAGAGATATCTTCCTGGGTCACATTGAAAGAGAGGTTTCCGAGGAACAATGTATCGGTAGGGTCGCCAATCTTATCGCCATGTGACTTGCGACGTTCTTCTAGTTTATCTCCCGGGTTGGGACGAGCATTGGCAAAGTCGACATTCAGGGGACGGCCATTGAGCTCAACGCCCTTTTTCAAGGCGTGAGCTTGGGCGGCATCTGCGGCGTCGACGAATTCGACATAACCAAATCTGCGTGGGTGTTAGCTGGGCTTTATCCTACAGAATAGATTGTAGCCTACCCCTTGGAACGTCCACTTTGACGGTCAGTCATCAAACGCACGCCCTTGAGCTCGCCAAATTCCTGAAATTCTTGTCTCAACCAGTCTTCGTCGACGTCCCATGAAAGATTGCCGACAAACAAGTTGCAGCTATTTGAAGCGTTCACAGCATCAACCTTGGTCTTCTTGGAGACCGGGGTCTCGACCTCTTCGGCCTTGCGTTTGACAGGTTGTGTGTTGGCTTCGATTTCGGCTTCTTCATCTTCTTCTTCATCACTTTCGCTTTCATCACTGTCTTCGCTCTCTTCGCTGTCGTCTTCCTCTTCACTTTCGTCGCTGTTGCTTGCCTCATCACTGTCAGTATCATCATCCTCACTGTCCTCACCGTCAACGCGGGCAGGCTTGACACCATTTGTCTTGGGAGCAGCTTTGATTTCCTCGTCACTTTCGGACTCCTCAGAGCTGTCATCCCCGTCGACTTCTTCTTCCGCAACAGCGACATTTGTGCCTTCGACCTCTTCATCGGCCGAATCTTCGTCATCTTCGGATTCAGACTCCTCGCTGGAACTTTCCTCATCGCTTTCCTCCTCGTCAGAGTCATCAGCGTCGGCTCTGACACCCGGAGCCCCATTGAGCGCAGAACCGTTCAATTTTGGTGCCTCGTCTTCTGATGTAGACTCGTCGGAGTCAGGCTCTTCGCCAGACTCGTCGTTGGATTCGTCCTCGTCGGCAGGTTTGATCCCGTTAGCTTTCTCGATTGTCGCTTCATTTTCACCGTCACTCTGCTCCTCCTCCTCGTCGGAGCTTTCAGAGCTTGCATTGGACTCCTCATCCTCTTCCTCAGAACTTGGTTCTGGAGCTGGCAGCTGGACAGGTATCTTCTTCGTCTTCTTTTCTTCCTTGGTAGCGATTTTCTTGGCCATTTCCCTGCCCTTGATTTTCATGCTTTGCGCAGGCTTCGTGACGGCCGCGCCCTTGACTTTGGTCAGGACGTCGGGTTTTGGGCCAGCCTTTGCGGCGACCTTTGCGGCGGACTTGGACTTTGATTTAGACATCTCGTAGATAAATTACTACTCGCAGCTGGTTAGGAGATGAATATACGATGATGAAGAGATTGTGACAGACCTTGAACCCTCTCAGGTGCAACTTCGTCCCTCGGACCCTCAGCGTGCAGCTTGTGTGCGGCTTGTGTGTGGCAAAACCCTCAACCCACAAAGTGAATTAGAGCCCTCGACCTCAAATGTCAAATGCCGGAGCAAATGACTGGCAGAAACAGAAATTTCTGCGGAGCGCGCAATACCACAGTGATGGAACTCAGACTGGACAAAAAGGTCGACAGGAATAGACAAGCAAGACCTGCGACAATGGATTCAGATACCCTCGTTTATCAGACCCACGGAGCCCTCGATAAGACCTCAAATGATGTCCTCGACGAACATGCCCACTAAGAATAGAATATTATGGGAAGAGGAAAACCTAAAGCGCAAGGGAAAAAATTTAAAAGGCGAGAAAATTTCTGGGCGCTAGTGCTGGCTTTTTATCTTATCTTAGCGCGTCGGAATAATTCAACGAAATCTCGACGTTTCCATCAAACCTCGAAGCAAGCCCCGGCCCTTTTCTGTTTGCTGGAGGACTCTCCCTTCTCTCGGCACGATGTCGACTCCTTCCCACTCTCACAGACCTCGCAAGAAGCGGAAACAAGGACTGACACTGATTCGAAGTGACACCATTGCAGACATCGTCAAGGTTAATGCTCATGACAACTCCATCACTCCCGAATTTCCTCTGGTTGCTTTTTTATGGCCCGCTCGGGGGACGACGTCTCAATGGATTGTTTTGCCCTTGGTCCTGATGATTGCAGCCGTCTTTAGATGGAGTATTGGTCTCTGGGGTTACTCCGGATACCAGCAGCCACCAATGTATGGGGATTTTGAAGCTCAAAGACATTGGATGGAGATTACGATCCATCTGCCCGTGTCCAGTTGGTACTTTCATGACCTCCAATATTGGGGCCTTGACTACCCGCCGTTGACAGCTTATCATAGCTGGCTCTGCGGCAGCGTGTGAGTGCTTTGACGATTTCTCCTTGGATCATGCTGATGAATCAAAGGGGATCGATTTTCAGCCAGGACTGGTTTTCTCTCGACACATCTCGTGGGATGGAAGACCCCAACCTCAAGGTATTCATGCGAGCGACTGTCGTGGTGTCGGAATATCTCGTCTATGTGCCTGCATTGATTATATTTCTTCGCCATTTCAGCCGGGCACAGGGGACTGGGACCACTTCATCTTCAATCGCCCTCGTTGCTATCCTGATGCAGCCTGCCAACATTCTCATTGACCACGGCCACTTCCAGTACAACACCGTCATGCTCGGCTTCGTCGTTGCCGCCTTGTCGAGCATGTACGCCGGGCGGCCTTTATGGTCTTGCTTGTTTTTTGTCGCCGCTCTGGGATTCAAGCAGATGGCCCTATACTATTCACCTGTCATCTTTGCATACCTTCTAGGGTCTTGTCTCACTCCAAAGTTCCGCATGGGTCGACTCTTATCGATCGCAATGACCACGATTCTGGCATTCGCCACTTTGTTCGCGCCCCTACTGCTGGGTGCACTTTATGATCTGTATCAGAGGACACCTCTTTCTTCGCCACCAACACCACCATTCCTTGCCGAACGTGGTGTCACCCTCAATTCCCACTCGCCACTTGGGGTGATCACCCTGCAAATTAGTCAGGTCCTCCACCGGATGTTTCCTTTTGCTCGTGGACTGTTTGAAGACAAAGTGGCCAACTTTTGGTGCTTCACCAATACATTCTACAAATTGCGAAAACTCCAGGGAACAATTGATCTCCCGCGGCTTTCAGCCATATTTACTCTCGGCTCCATCCTCGGACCAATGCTCGTCATCGGCGCTGTTCCCAAAAAGTCACTCCTCCCTTACGCTTTGGCGACATCGGCGTGGGGATTTTTCCTCTTCTCATTCCAAGTCCACGAAAAGTCCGTGCTCCTACCATTACTTCCAATGACGCTATTGCTTGGAGGCAAGCAGGGTCTCGGCAAGGAATACAGAGCATGGATTGGCTGGGCAAATATGCTGGGCGTGTGGACAATGTACCCCCTCCTAAAGAGAGATGGTCTCCAAGTACCCTACTTTGTGGTCTCACTCCTGTGGTGCTACCTCCTGGGTCTCCCACCAACCAGCGTCAATGCATACTACGACCCTGACCACGATAATGTTCCCGGCCGACCTCTGGCCCCGGATGAAATGTACACGCCGACTAAAATATTGCATTTCCAAACATATCTCGTCATGGCATTCTGGCATCTTTTGGCGGCATTTGCCATTCCCCCTGATGATAAGCCTGACCTTTGGGTTGTTGTCAACTCCTGTATTGGGGCCGTTGCTTTCGGAATTTGCTATCTCTGGTGTTTCTGGAAATTGGTATTGGAAAGCGGGTTACTTGACCAATATGTTGGGGATCGCAACGTCAATGCTAATCAGCCTATTTCCATGGAGCAGTCAGCCTCTCCAGAGAAGAAGATCAAGTAAATATCCCTCCTCCCCTACCCAATTCCGTTGATCCTGCTCTCCTATATTGGGGTAACGCTGTTTCATGAGACCCATTATACAAAATCCTATTTACGTAAAATCATTTGCTTTCCAAAAATCGCAACTGTCTATCATAAACCCATCACGTCTATCATGTTGCTCCGATCATACATAGTTCACGACCCCTCGGACAGCCCAAATTTCTCCATTACCTACCCGGCCAACCACACCGTCAACGATCAGATCTCCTGGCTTGATGATTTTCTCCCCATCAATCTCCTCCCACCACAGTTCTTGCCCACCTAGTGTCTTGATTTTTTCGGTTTTGCCTTCTCTCCACGGGCTGGTTGGCACCACGTGCTCTTCTACAAACCGCTGCAGGTTTCGCGCCGCCTTGTCCTCATCTCTTTCCGCACTAACTCCTGTATCATCGCCCGGTCTATCCTCCCAGGGTTTGCGGGGAAGCGCTTGCATGGCGCTGTTCAGTGGCGACAGTAAAGTGGTATTATCTTCTGGCTTGGTAGATTCCAAACGGTCCGTCACAGTCGAAATGTCACGGGTTAAAGATGCAAAGATGTTGATCTTGCGGGTTTGTGGGAGGATGTCGGAGATTGAAAGGGTGTTATCATCCACACCATCGCCCATGCCGCCGCGGAAATGGTCGGATTCTTCTGGGTTTCTGCCCTGGACCGGTCCTGGATTCATGGGGTTTTGGTCTTGGTTTGTGTGGACGATGTCGAGAGAAAATGGATTGTCGCGGAAGATATCAAGGGAAGGTAGAGCGGTGGTCAGAGAGACCGAAGAAAAGAAGAGAGAGAAGAGGATTGTGCGACGCATCTTTGGGCCACGTCCGAGATTTCAATCTGAATGATAGTCTCGAATTGCGAGAGCAAGAAAGCCGGTGGCGTTTGATGAGGGTGATCCAAAGTCGCAAGCGGATAAAGTCTGGGCACCCCACAACTCACCCCGCTTTGGGCCCTGGGTGACGCCGCCCTGTGCTCACCCCCTGCTCACTAACCTGTGACTCACTGTCGTGGGGGCCGAAAGCTTGGGTGACTTTGGCCTGCTCACCTTGGTGGGTCCGCTTACCGACGGCCGTGATTGGCGTCCTTGATCCGCCATCGTGGTGCCTATGCTGGCGCAGGCTTCAGAACTACGAGCCGTTTCAAAAGCAGCGGCAGTGGACGCACACTTTTAGGCTGGCATCGTCTGGCCTGCTTTGTGTGGTAAGGAGCCGCTATCTTCGCTGCCGCGCACTCTCACTCTAGGCCGTGGGATAAATAGAGGAGAATACCTCCTCGCTGCTTTCACCGGAGTTCACACCTCTCAAGATATCCCAGCGCCCGAGCCCTTCCACTCCTAGCTTTGCCTGACTGTCTAACACAGTAGGCACGCATGTGGTCATCACTCGTTGGGAGAGAATGACTCAAACTTACGCAAACCTGGCCAGCCCCTTCTTGCGCATTCCTGCTGTCGACAAGCCTTCCACCGCTTCTGCTCGCTACCCTCCGATCTTTCGCGCCGGGAACTCCTTGATGACCTAGCCTCTGTGCTCATGGCTATCATACGTACGTCCCATATGGCTAGTTTTGGCCCACGGGACATTTCCAACTCCCGATCTGCCCTCAGCCCTCGACAATGGTCTCAACTCCGCAGTTTCGACACGCTGTATGGCTCTACCGTGGGTCGAGAGGACACCTGATCTTCAGTACAACCCAATGGTCTGCACACGGACGAGACCGTGGGATGGCTGAAACGCGCAACTATTGACCCGCCACGGCGACAGATGCACTGCACGAACTCCGAGGACGACCCAGCAATTCCTGGTAGCATTAGATGTGAATTTATCGCCAAGCTCAAATTATGCCTTGCCATCCGGCCATCACACCAGGTTTAGGTTTTGCGCAATTGAAGCTGGGCGGCTTTCTCTCACCACAGCTGTAATAGGCAGAATACCAGATCTAGGGCTTCGAACGCTGCCGAGATAGTTGTCGAGACAGAGAGTGATTCAGAGAGCGACTGTGATGTTACGGGAGTGACAACAGAGCGTCTGGCACTCCTTCTTGACGAGCACGGCGACGCAGCCGACAAAGTCTGCCGAGTGGCACATTCCGCAAACCCTGCAAGAGCCGAAGACATTGCTACGGGAAGACCAACATTCGACCCGGCGCCGCACCTTTCTACAAGCAATGCAGATTCGTTCGAGATCCCGGAAACACCGTCAGTGCCAGAGAAAATGCGGTGCCCAGTACATCCCTGGTCAAGGATAAGCATTTACATGCGAAACAGCCTCAACAACGTCCTACTGTAGTAGATTGGGGACTCCTGTCCAGCGCCATCAGCGTGCTCCCTGGATTGACGCTAGCTACAACGACACAGAGATCTATCCGGTGGCCTACGACATTGGTAAGAATCAAGAATGAACCGAATGTAGTACTAAGTTGTGGCTAAGCCGCTTTTAGCCTTTTGACGCCCTTGAATTCCCTGAACTCAATAAGAGTCCATGGCAAAGCGGATGATAGCCATCGGTTCTAGATCTCAAGAAACCAGCCAGGGATCCTCCTTTACCTATAGTGTAGTAAATCATAATACTTGTATGCCTCCTACACTCTCTATCGCATTCTCTACATTGACAAGATGAACTAGCTCCGGATAATCGTTCGCCCACTCCTGGCTTAATTTCCAATTTTCGAGGGAGACAACAAAACTCTCAAACTCGGGATTTAAAACAACGCCGCCATTCTCGGATATGAGGATAAGTTGCTTCGCGTTAGGCCAAGCGAAACGAGGAGCCTTGATATACATAAAGCCGAATGGGGACTACCGAGAATTTCAAGATGATTCAAGATCATATAGTCTCGTAATTGTGGCCAAGGAAGATAGTCAATAGAGATCATATGAGGAAGACTCTCCTGAAGAGCGGAAGAGCGATACCATGGCCGGATATCCTCATAGAAATTTGGGTCTGGATGTAAACGCCACTTGGCTCAGTTTCAATCAGTCAATGGGCTACCTGATGAATACTGTCATGCTGGGAATCTTGACGGGACAGAACATACCCGGAGAAGACGATACATTAAAATGTAAATCCAAAGAGAACAGATGTTGTTGGGAACTCATAACGCCGAAAGATCCCGGCAATGGTGGTAACGACAGGATTTGGTGTCAATTTTGAAGCAGTTTTTGGCATTATTTTAGAATCGCCTGGTTAGGGAAAGAGCGACGAGCCGGCCAATCACGTAACCATATGGCTCGGCGTTATCACGTAACTATGCCGGGGAGGGCGCCGGGTAATGTTATTCTGTACACCACATTTTGTTATTCTGTACACCGCTTTTGATTGGTCCGGATTTTTATTTTTCCGGTTATCTGCGCAGTTCGAAGATACGTGATGTCACAACACCTAAGTCTGCCTATATAGAATGCAGAAATGATGGTTAACGATGGTATCCTCTGCACGGTCGATACCTCGTGCTGACTAAGGTAACAAACCAGCGCCCATAGGCTT